CTCATACCATGTTCCACCGATGCTTGGATTCCTAACTCCCAACAAGAGAGAGAGCCGAGTCAGTCCTATGGTTCCCCCCCCCCCCCCCCCCCCCTTCACATAGGGATATACTGTGTTGTTTCTCAAGAGTTGTGGGTGGACATACTTTTCGTAGCAGATCAACTCGTAGTTGCGCAGCTGCCGCTCAGCCTTGTAGGCCAATAACAAACCCGACGCGCCGGCCCCGACGTGGATGATCTTGAGCTTCCGTGGCTGCGAGTGGTATTGGTCGAGGATCTCGTACTCGTCCACGAGGTTTGTGATCATCTTGGTGGAGAAGACACGGGGGACACGGGGCTGCTCACACACTGGGGTCTATTGAACGAAAAAGAAAAGAAAGGAATTTTTCTTTCAAAACATATGAATGAAGACAGGCGGGGTGGTGATGATTCAGATTCTTTGCCAAAAATCCTAAAACACGGGCAATCTTCTGAGTGCGTGTATGTATTTGCATGTAAACTTTACCTTACTGATTTGGGATCTTTCATTCCCTCGGGATGATATGGCCATGACCCGTGTAAGTTTAGATGCCTCGGTCTTGTCTTGTCTTGTCCTGCCTTGTACCAGCTTGCCATGTAAGATGCCGCTGCATTGTACTCGGTACGAAAGGCCCAAGCGCTGGAAAAAGCGGCGCTTGACATTGGGTGCCACAGGGAGACCACTAGCAAAGTTGAATAATAGGCACCCTAAGACGCTGGCCCCATCGGTTCTCCCCATGCATTGTAAGTAATAAGTCAGGGTTTGAATGTCCCCATGCATGGCCGCGGCAAACAATTTCTTCGTTCAGTCAGGACTTTCTGACTCTCGCGCTAGCTGGTGCTGGACACACTGGCACCGGCCGGTCAGAGATGCATTACTATCCCTGTCGGGAATTGCTGTGGGGAAGTGGGGATTCTTGGTGGGCTTAGGGGGAGAGAGTCTTAGTGAATAAGCTGTTTCTTTGATATCTTTTATGTCTATATGCGACACTCATATATGGGTATTGGCCTGGAGAAGGTCCAGTTCAAGTCTAGTCTGGTCATATAGATCCTGTTATGGATAATTGTTCCCATCTGATATATGATACGCGTGCAATATGTAGTACAGCCACTTAACCCAAGCCGCTTCTGATGATTAACAATTAAATATAAATGAAATTGTGATCGGGTTCATTATGTGTGTTTTCAGGTTTCAGCTCATATTACGGACATTTTGGAACCAGTCTTCTAGACCAGCAAAAACTTAACACGAAGCAGCTCAACTCTGGTTGCGTGATAAGCGAAACTCACCCTTGCGGGTTGGTTTTTCTCGGTTTACTACGAAGTATTTATAAGTTGAGTCCAGGAAGAGGAGGAGGTTCGAATCGAGGTCTTGCTGCCTGCTCACCCGTTATTGTGAGTTCGTCCTGACAAGACCTAGATTATTTGTTTGTGTGATTTGATCGAAGTGAGCGCTGTGGGAATCGAATCGAGGTCGAGGTCCTGCTGCCTGCTAGCCCGGTGCCAGTTTGACCTGACAGGACCTGGACAGTGACGTCGTCGGATTTCGTTCGATGTTTCGCCCTTGTCGAGGTAAGGGGGTCTTGGTGTTGATAGAAATTTGGAAAGAATAAAATATATCATGCGAAGAATTTTCATTTTCTTTGTTTGTACCAGACCCTGTGGGTACCTGGTTGACGCGGAGTTCCCTCCTCCCTCCCTCCCTCCCTCTCCGTCTCGTCATCCGCCTTCATGCGTGACCACCAGTCACGGAAAGCACTTCCCCTGCGACATAGCTGGCTTCGTCCGAGAGAAGGAAAGCCACTGCCGATGCAATCTCTGAGGGCTGGGCGACTCTACCCAGCGGATTACTCGGCAGGGTTTCGAGGAAGCCTTCCTCCTCTTTGGCACGTTTCACAAAGGCAGCAGTGGCCGTGGCACCTATACAGACCGTCCGCTTTGATCAGAAACAGTGTCCAAACCCAAGGCCTCGAGGGTTCTCAAAAACGAAACGTCACACGTACCTGGTGCGACCGAGTTCGTTCGAATGCCGAACTTTCCAAAGTCCTCCTGCCACGCTCGCGAGAGTCCTATCACGGCATGTTTTGTAGCACAATACACTGCCAGTCCGCTCACGCCTCGCAGTCCCGCTCCGCTGGCGATATTGACGATGCTGCCTCGTGAACCCCACGGACCCTGGGGTTCTTGCTCCTGCATCGCGCGGAGCGCGGCTGTGCCGTAATTCCACACGCCGCCGATGTTGACGTGGATCATTCGATCGTAGGCCTCGTCCGAGGCGATAGGACCTTCAACCAGGCCGATCCCCGCGTTGTTCACCAGACCGTCCAGTCTGCCCGCCGCGGAGACGACCTTGGCCATGTATGCCCGGCAGGTGGTGCGGTCGCCCACATCGACGCCGCCCTCGAAGTGCACTGTGCCCTTCTCGATCCACGCCCTCAGTTCGTCCGGGGGAGCCGGGGAGAGATCGACCGTCCAGACTGTGGCGCCTCGCTCTGCAAGAGTCAGCGTGATGGCGAGACCAATCCCCGAGGCGGACCCGGTCACCACAATGTTTTTGCCTGTGAAGGTTGCCATATCTCTGGGCCGAATATTCTTTTCTGTTTTGGGCATGTATCCAAAAATATTTGTTTGTGACACGCGCCCCTGTCCACACTAAATCTGCATCTAAGTCGCTCTCCCTCCGCCTTCAGCTCTGAGGGGGAAGAAAGCGAGCGGAAAAAGCGGTCCGTCTAGGATATTTTGTATGCAGTTGTCATATTGTACGCGTGCAAAATGCATCGGAGGGACAATGACTCGAGCAGCATCCGAATGAGCAAGCAAGCTGTTGTTCCTCCGTACCTCGGGCATATCGGATCTGGGGGCAGGGAGGCACATTTGGAGCCACAATGGAGCCATGGTTTGTGGGGAAGGGGACTAGTGAGCTTTTTCACTGTCAGCGGTGGAGAAGGGAGCCGGGGTCTTGTCAGCCTTTTCACTGTCGTTATCGCTCCTCATCTCCTGAAGCTGGACATCACGTCTCGTGTCAGTCAACTCTGACTCGATACTGCCCCCAAGCTGTCGTTGGCCAGACTGATTCGGAACGGAACAACAAAATTGCATCCTGAACCTGATTCGTCGAGAGAGACCGCACATAGATTTTCCTTAGCGGAAATGTTGAACAGCTTCCTTATGCAACCCCGGAGGTTCAACTTTTTGCGTCCTCATACATTGGGATCCAACATTTGCCCGTTGATGGACTCATGCAGCGGCCATACGCCCTTGGGTGGGCCCCCTGGGGCCGGTTCCGTCGCGTTCCAGCCTCGTGGTCTAAAGCTCAGGCCTCCCGAAACTATAGCCGGGGCTTGACCCCATGGGGGAACGCAAGCACATCTCGTGTGGAGGGCTTGAGGCCATCCGCTGAAGAGTACATATACAAGCGGATGTCTCTGGCATATGGGGAAGACGTCAACCTCTGAGCACTCTCATAACGTTAGCTTTTTACTCGGGCACGTCAATATTCCTCCCACGAGATTGCTGAGCCGTGAGCACTTCATCCGCCACAATGGGCAGCACTCAAGACCTAGACCAGGACGTCGAGTCCAGGTTCGAGGAAAAAGAGAGCCCAACAGTGACACGACATGAACTCATCGACTTCGAAGATGAAAAGACCCGCGTCGCCAAAGGTGACGACTCGGACGGACGCGTCAACTGGACTTGGAAACAGGTCGTGGCAACCGTGTCCTTGTGTGGTGTATATGTGGGTAAGGTTACCATCTCATGACAAACATGGATATGGGCCTCCAGACCGGCTTGCTAACCTAGTCGTCTTCACCAGGATCACAAATCCCACTCTATTTCGTCGGAGGTAATCCCCACGAAGGCGTTCTTGTTTCTTCGACCACAGGCACTAACAGCCAGAAGGCTCGCTCAGCTACATCGCAGCCGACTTGGGCTCTGCTTCCACCGGTTGGCTCCCCGTCTCGAACTCCCTGGCTCTTGCCGCTATCTGTCCGTTCTGTGGCTATCTCCAAGATATGTTCGGCAAGCGGAACATTTCCATCCTGGGATCGGTGATGATCTTGATTGGCGTCTTGATCACCGCAACAGCACACACCTTTGCTCAAGGCGTTGTCGGTATGACAATTGCCGGCGGTGGGGCTGCTATTGGAGAGCTTACGGCGCTGGCTGGGTGAGTGTGTCCTGCGTAATGACCCTGAAGCCGGTCTATCACTGACCTTTCATGCTCAGGACGGCGGAGCTGGTCCCTGTCAAGAAGCGCGGCATCTATCTTGCATGTGTCACCTTTTTCATCTGTGAGTGCAAACCTCTCATTGGAGCTTCCCTCTACGCATACTGACGCGTCAAGGCCCATTCTTTCCATACGTCTTGTACTCTCAATTACTCTCTGCCCATGCGACATGGCGATGGGGTCTATGGATCACATTGTAGGACATATGAAATCTTCTACTGGCCTACTGTGCTGACAGCCCCAAGCATCTATAACGCAATCTTCTTCGTCGGGGTCCTGCTTTTCTACTTCCCAGACTCCCATCTTCTGCGCAAGGGCAATCTGAGCCGGACAGAAATCGCGAAGAAAATCGACTATGTCGGTGCTTTTCTCTCTATAACTGGAGTGATTTTATTGTAAGCCACCGCAAAAGTCATCAACTTCCCTCGCTGATATGTGTACAGCCTCGTTGCTTTGCAGTCAGGGGGCTCATCCCACCCCTGGACGAGCGCATACGTTCTCTGCATGCTGTTCTTTGGCGCGGCACTCATAGCCGCTTTCGTTCTATGGGAGTGGAAAGGGGCCAAGTATCCCATGGTTCCGAAGGACCTCTTTGTTGGTCAGCGTGTCGTTGCCATCGCTCTTGCAGTCGCCTTTGTGTCAGGAATGAACTTTTACTCGATGATCAACTTTGCTCCGCTAACATACAGCACTGTCTATAACCCTGAGTACGTGCCTTCCATCAACCTTGCTCTGGGGAATCGTTGACACATCTTAGTCCTATTCAAGTCGGTGTGAAGGGCCTTGGTTATTCGATTGCCATCACCGTCGGTGCCACAGTCATGAACGCGCTGCTCACAATCCTGAAAGGGAACAACCGCGAGCTCCTGCTGATCTCCTGCGTCTTAATGAGTAAGTTGACCGTTCGTGTGGGCTGTCTGTGTACCCTTCTGACATAGTTTCGCAAAGCTGCATTTACCGGCAGCATGGCTGCAGTGAATCCAAACAACCCGGGACTTGCTGTGGGTCTGGCCACCGTTGCAGGCTTTGGAATTGGGGGCGTCATCGTCCCATCGGCCACGATTGCAATGACCGCCTGTCCAGATTCCCTGATTGCCACAGCAACGGCGTTAACCCTCACCATCCGCTTCGTTGGCGGTTCCATCGGCTATTCCATCTACTACAACGTCTTCGATGAGAAACTCACCCACAAGCTCCCCGAGAGGGTCCTGGCTTTCGCGCTCGAGGCTGGTCTTCCTAAATCCTCCGCGGCCGCATTCGTCCAGACGTTTCTTACGGCCCCTGCGAATGTCACCACTGTCCCTGGGGCCACTCCGGCCGTTATTTATGCGGCGACTATCGGGACGCGCTGGGCATATTCGGACGCCTTGTCTTACGTCTGGTATGTCAGCATACCATTTGGCGTTCTGTCCATTGTCGGATGTCTCTTGATCGGAGATATCTCCAAGTACATGACAAACAGAATTGCCGTCCAGATTAAGCACTAGAGTGGGAATTATCAAAGGTGTGTAGCAAGCAAGGACCCCTTTTCGGGCTCAGCCTTGCCGGGTAGCCTCCACATTTACGCCTCCTTGAGCACACATGAGCAATATATATATATACATACATGTATATATCAGATGTGTCCGGAGCAAGTGTCTTTCAAGTCAAGTCAGTTCCCAGGCAAGCATCTCAGAGACTTCGATTGCTGTCACGCATAATTCTCATTTGCGCCGGCCGGACGAGACTCGGGAATCGTGGCCGAGGCTGTTGATAGTAATCAATCACACATACTTCGCAGCTCTACGAATAAGGTATCGCGCCAATATACGATGAGATTCCCATTTGTGGTGTGGCATTCATCCGATTCGCTACTCACCTGTTGATGTACGAGTAGAGGTAAGCTCGAAAGTCACCAAACCAGGCGTACTAGGACGCCTCTTTTTTTCTAATCAGACTGTTGGGCTTGCGATGGACTACAAACAACGGAGTCAAAATCCCTCATTATTCTCGTCTACTGGCATTCTCTGTCCCGTGATGCAGAATTTGCTGATGAGACGGGCTCGTGGGGACCCATATAAGGTACCCAGCAGAAAGAGCACATCCAGATTTGTCTCTCCAGCAAGCACTCTCCCGGACTCGTTCAGCGAGCATCTTACCTTGCTCGTCGGTCCCACAGCGGTATTGTCAATAATTATCTCTTCTGGCTAAGAGATAACAAGCGATCACACAGCATGGAGAAATTTCCAGAATCAGGTATCCTGGTCGAGGCCGAGGAGTTCGACGACTATGGAGGCTGGGTCCTGGACTCTCAATTCGATCTCGAGATGGGCTCGCCTTACTTGCTAGCCCATGGGAACGGGAGACCCGTCGTGGATGCAAAAACTACGATCTCCATCTCAGAAGCCAACAGATACAACGTTTGGGTCCGCGCCAAGGACTGGGTCCCTGGTCGCCATCCCGGCAGATTTACGGTCGAGGTCAACGGGAGCACGTTGGATACGGTCTTCGGAGCGAACGACCTCGACTGGTCCTGGCAATTTGGAGGTATAGTGGAACTGCCGGTCGGCGAGATACGGCTCGCGCTCCACGACCTGACCGGCTTCTGCGGACGCTGTGATGCGATCTTCTTCGGCCGCGACGACGCCCCGCCTCCCCAGGCAGTCAACGCTGAGACGCGGGCATGGCGACGGAGGCTCCGTGGCCTGCCACAGCACCCTATTGATGCGGGGACATTCGACGTCGTGGTCATTGGAGGCGGCGTCCCCGGTGTGGCTGCCGCTCTGACGGCCGCGCGACTAGGGGAGCGCGTTGCGCTGGTTCACGATCGGCCGTACCTTGGGGGCAATGCCAGTGTGGAAATTGGACTGCGCCCGCGTGGGGTGACCGGACCGCTGATCGACGAGATCTCCCAGCGCAAGCCCAACGGCGATATCTACGCAAAGGAGCTGCTCGACGCGGAAGCCAGAGCGACAGTCTTCCTGGAGCACGCCGTTTACAACGTGGTGAAACGGAATTCGACCATCATCTGCGTGGATGCCCGCCATGCCCGCAGCGGACGGGAGATCCGCTTGACGGCGCCGTTGTTCATCGACTGCTCAGGAAAGGCCATTGTCGGGCTGCTCTCGGGCGCGGAGACACTCTTCGGGCAGGAGTCGCAAGCAGAGTACGGGGAGAAGCTTGCGCCACTGGACGGCAACAACATGCATCACGGCAACACTGTGTTTTTCCGCACACGCATGGCCGACTCGCCTGTTTCGTTCCCGCCCGTGCCCTGGGCTACGGAGGTGGCTAAGGACTTTTCCGATCTTGGTGGCCAGCTCACACGGTGGGGCGTTGAAAATGGTCCTGGCCCTGCCGTGACGACGCCGAAGTCCCTATCTCGTGCCAAAAACGTCCCCAGGCGCATGACAAGGCCACTCACTCACTTCTGGGAGTACGGCCAGTGGCTGGACCCTTATACGCACGGCGAGCATATTCGCGACTTCTTACTTTGCGCCATCTATGGCACCTTCTGGAACGTCAAAACGAGGGACCCAGAAACATACGCCAACCTCGAATTCGACCACGTCGCTTATGTAGCCGCACAGGGCGAGTTCCGGAGATATAAGGGGGACTACGTCCTCACCGAGAACGACATTCGGAACCATAAGCAATTCCGTGACGCGGTGGTGCAGAATGAGGGAGCATTCTGTTTGCATTATCCGGGCGACGAGGAGTACGATTTTCGTCTCCGGTGGTGGGAATGGGATGAGAGAGACGGGAAGCCTTACGATATCCCCTTTCGGTGTCTATACTCAGTCAATGTCTCGAACTTGATGATGGCAGGTAAGCACATGAGTGCGACTCATGTAGCATCATCCAACACCAAATTCATGGGGAACGGTGGACAGCACGCTATTGCGACAGCGGCCGCGGCTCATCTGTGCAAGAAGTACAGCAAGACGCCTAGGGGCATCTACGAAAACCACCTTCCGGAGCTTCAGAAGCTCGCTGCGACTATAACCGGCACTGATTGTTCGCGACTCCAAAGTTATCTGTGACGAATTCTCGGGGCGTCTTTACTCCTCCCTCACCCATTTTGTCTAGCTTTGACTGCAGAACAGGTCATTTGTTGAAGAGGTGTTTTGGGGAAGCTTTTTGCAGTGCCGACATCGTGCCTTCGATAGAGCTGAAGAAAAACTTCCGATCACATGCGTCTGCGCGGCTGCAGTTTGAAAGGCCTTCAATCTGCTCCTCCAGTTGTAGAGGCCTCATGATGGAGGATACTCAGCCTCTCGAGTGCTGTTTGCATACCCGGTAAATTCCAGGACACAAACCCTGATGCAAAGGTCTTTTGAAAGGTCCCACTGCCAACTTTGAAACTTGCTGGGACGTCATCGGCCTTACGGATGTTGGCAAACCTAACAACCTGCAGTCGTCCCCTCCATGGACCAGGACCTTGCTCACTGCCAATATCTCAATCACAAGCAGGAATCTTATTGACGTGCTAGACACAATCCCCTTTCCCCTTTCTACGAGTCCTCTCCACCGTCGTAATCTCCATTGTCAACAGGCCAGACGCACACAGCCCATTAGCAAAGTGGTGGTGGGTAAGAATTTTCTCGAAGGCTTGTCGCCAATCCGACACCCTGGTGTTCATGCAAGCCTGACACCCTCAAACAGAGAACTCGGGATTGCAAAGCTTGAGCATGGCGAATCAGGCCGTGACTTTCCATACATGCAGAGGCGCAGACCAGGGCTCAGATAAGGGACTGCAGTGACAAACAGAGGCCTTGGCCTTATTCAATCAGCCGCAAAAGTCCAAAGTAAATGAAGTCCTCCATCAAGCAGATCACGCAAACTTCCATCCCGTCTGTGCCCCTCCATCTCTGATGTTGCCCACTCCGTCCGACCTTTCGTTCATTTCAGCCTCATTCTTCCTGCTCTTCTGTTGCGACCAGCATTTTCCTGCTTTGGGACTGTCTATGTATCGTACCATATTAACTAGATACTCAATCATTGACCATGTGGTATCGCATCCATCAGACCTTCTAGACACGAGAATCCGTATTTGTGGCCCGTCAAGAGTCCATATGAGGCTGAGAGAACCTACCCCGCCGGGACACGAAGCCGAGTACTCGGCACATGCACACTGCCCCAACTAGCGCTGCAAGACGCAATGCACGGGGCCAGAAAAACACGATACTTAGGCTGTCACTAGGCGAATCAAATGAGTAGTTTGGGAAGCCTGTGCCGTGCATTGCCGTGCATTTGCGTTGGCCTCTGCGGCTTCTGGCGGCATTCTCGGAGCATTTCTCATGCAGCGGGCCTAATTGGTTACAAAGTCTGGGGACCTTTTATCTGTGGTCACTTCACTGTGTTTTCTGGCCGGTGCAGGAAATCTTTTCCCCAGCGGACTTGTGTTGAGCCAACCCATGTCATGCATGAGCCACGGATAAGGATGCGCCTATAGTTTCCCTTCTGGAAGCGACTGCAATTACGAGGCAGGTAGGTAGGTAAGAGTAGGCTGTGAAAGTTGCTTGCGCCCCTCCCCCGCTCAGAACCGCACAAGAAGAGGGGATAAGGACAGGACCTTTTGTAGAGGTTGGTTGATCCATAGGCAGACGGGCAGGTAAGCAAACACGAACCTTGTATGTAAGCGACTTTTGAATGATGTATGCATGCACGTAAGTATGTGCTGAGTAGGTGTGAAGGTAGGCAGGGCATGTATATATAAAGGGGCTCCTTCCAACCCGCTTTCTACCCATCTTGGAGCCATCAACAACCAGAAATCACCATCAAGTCCTTCATTTGACAACCACCCTTCTGTATAACAACCGCTTCCCCTTCTTCAGACCAGGCCCCGCCCATTCATTCCTTGCATCAAAATTAAAAAAAACAATTCTGTGCTTGCCATTGAGCATCCTGTATACTATCCAGCCAGCCAACCAGGGTTATCACGACCATCTCAGATCCATATCATATCACCCCATAGCATATCATTTCCGCACTATCTCGACCCTTTTTATCTCAATTTCAATCCCAACCTCGACCAGCGAAAATGAGCCCCCAGGCTTACCAGGTTGTCCGCTACGAGCACCGACACCCGCACCATCACCATTATAGCCACCCAGCATACCTTGTCGTCCAGTACCAGCGCCGGAGCCACTACGATCATGTCTACCACAACCATGGCCAACACCATCACCATAACAATCAGCGCGTTGCCGTCCGGGTCACGACGTACACGTACTCGACCTACCGGAGATAAGGGGCCGCAAGACCTCAAGAGCTGCTGACAGCCAAGTACGGAAGGGAGGAGAGAGGGAGTCAGTGGGGGGCAGAATGTGGGTGCTTGGTTGATGACCGGCTGGCTACCTGGTAGGTAGGTAGCTGGTTAGGAAGATGCGTGAGAAGCCCCGAGGAAATGTTGTTGGAAGTGGTTTTTGGTTAGACTGCCTGCTTGGGAAATGTCTTTGATCTTATCCATGGTCGCTCTGGGCATGGGCCGTGGCCGGGAAAAAATGGGCGGACGGATTCGTGAATGGGCTTGTTTTGAAAAAAAAGTTGTGACTGTAATGCACTTTCTTTTCGATCCTTTGTTAAGATAGACGCTGGCATGGATAATATGCCTCTCTACGCGCCTTCTCTCTTTGTTCCAGACCAATTCTCCTCCCTTTAGCTTTCTCGCGATCTCTCTTCCCATCGTCTTACATGCCATGTTCGCCGTCCGCCTGGAAAAGCTATCCATATCCTTGTACACCGTAGCGCCTAGCGCTGCAGGTCCCTAAGAGCGTGGAGGTTCTAGGAGGACGGGACACGGAGCAGCGAAGTAGCGATACCCATATATGGCCTTGAAAGACCTTGGATGTATTGACTATGGGATGTTGTGATAGAAATTGAATGGCCGGTTGGAAGCCATGTCAAGCTGCCCATGACCTCCGTGAGATTGGGGAAATATCGGTAGAACCAATCACGTCGATCCTCGTCCTTACCATATTGGGTAAGACTTGTAAAGGTCCAGAGCGGCACCAAGCTATTCCTGAAATAGGCACCTCGTCTTCGCAAATGTGCCTAGGTGTGACGAGGCTGAGCCTCACCGTGTTGTTACTCTTCATGTCTTCTCCACCGTCATCAAGGGGCGCGTGTTGCAGGTGTCACACGAGTACAACCTCTGAGTGTAAGCTGGTGCCTTCGCCGACACTCTTACAGGAGTCGGGCCTCTGCCTTGCCCTGTAAACTGCTTGAGAAGGTGGAGGAGATATGGCCGCCTCGAGGCCGATAATTGTCGCCATTGCATCCTTCGAGCTCTGCTCGTGCACGCGGTTCTCGGACCTGGAAGAACACTTTGCTGTCTCGACATCTCAGGCAGACTTATACACAGCAACCGCGGTCGCAATATCTTACACGTGGGGCGAGTTTGACCGGCGCAAGCATGTTCTCGGGCATCCGACAGGTGCTGCCGAGCGACGCGTGAGCTTCGAACTGGGCGCAGAATGGGGACTGGCAAGCTTCATCCATCGACTCGTGCAGCTGACCTTGACTTATCAAGGCGTCTGGATTGATCAGGCTTGTCTCCCTCAAGATGTAAGCGACGAGGAATGGGCCGACGTGCTCATGTCCATTCCCCTTGTGTTCAAGACACTCCCGGTGATTGCATTGTTTCCAGGCCGACTGTGCAGATGCTTGTCCACAACCTGGCAAAGGTACCAGGATGCCGTCCAAGGTCCCCAGGATGGGCCTAGGTCTGCGGCCTTTGACACATCCAAGGTAGTGGGAGAAGCCTACGAAAGGCTACGCGACATCATCACAGCAACCGAGTGTATATACGCAAACGGCTGGTGCTCCTGGGTCGACCGAATCTGGCCATCCGAAGAGCTGCGATATTCCCGTCAAATCTCTGTATGCTGGGTGGAGGAAGGTTTCGCAGATTGCCGTCAGCCTGGGAATCCGAACTTGAAGCCCGAGGAGTTGTCCGGTCTGCCACTGCTGCTGTACCGTGAGATGCAGTCCACTGGAGTATCACACGAGGACACTATGATTGCAATCAGACGGAGAGGCTCAAGATGGATCCGACGCCTGTGGCTCGCCATTGGCGAGAATCTTAAAGAATACTCCGAGGCAACTTCAACAAGCTCATTCTCCCTGGATCAGCGTAAGAGTGAGGACATGGCCCGATTCCTGCTAGGCGACATTATGCATTTCGGTAACAGCTCGACCGCGCTCTCCGACCTCTTCCGCTTCGTGTGGGCCTGTGAAATCCTAGCTCAAACAGGCAAGCGAGCCACAAAGGCGCACGACTATATTTTCTCCGTCTGGGCTGATTGGCCAAGCTATCAGATCCCTCGGTCGTTCTCCCACCTGACCTGCTTTGAGCTGCTTGCCGATGCGTTGGATCAGTTCAAGTCTCGCGACCATCAAGTTTTTGTACCCAGCTCCAGTCCTTCGGGCCTCATCAACTCTTCTTCGCCGTCGTGGAGGTTTACCTGCAGCCTCTCCAAAAACCCCGAGTTGATTCAAGACACTCATGACGTATATCGTCCCTTCTTTTGGCTCAATGCAATGGTTGGGATGAGCTCTGCTCTTCCCCTGCATATTGAGCAGGGCACCTCTCGGACCTCTGAGCCACGCCTTGTGAAGGAGTGGATCTTGGAACTCTCGACAAGCGCGGTGCTTGAATGTGTTTTGGAGTTCAAGTACAGAAGAGATCAAAGGTTCGTGATAGACGTCGTCCGCTCTGGTACGAGCGACATGGGAGGTAACCCCTTCTCACTGCATGGGAAGTCGCACCTTGACGTGGATGACATTTTCGACTTCATATGCCTTTCACTGAACCTGGACAAGGCAAAGTGCCGGAGAGCAAACCTTCAGGCCACGTGTGTGCAGCGGCAGGTGACTAGTAAGTTCAGTGACACGATGACGGAGACACAGGAAATCGTCTGTTTCGGGCTTGCAAATTGGGAAAAGATTGAAGATGCGTGGCTGGGCGGTCAGAAAGCGCTGAGCGTCAACATCACAAACGAGAAGTGGCCGTTATATGAGGCCGTGTCGCTGCCGGGACGGGACGACCACTTCTCAATCGCTGGAGTTTGGGTCCCGCTCTGTGGTATTTGCGAATGCATGTTGGAATGTGTGATAGACAACGAAGACATCAATGGCGTCCTGGTGTAATCAATGGTAGACGTAAAAGACACGCGAGTCGGCGCGTGCAATACAGCCATGCCATCCATTGAAGATAGATATGAAGTGATGTTGAAAGTGAAGTCCCAGGTTCGAGAAGGTACAAGGTTCAGGGCGAAGTGGTGAACGAGGCTGGCCAATCAACAAGCGACCTTTGTCTTCAATGGGCATGCTTGCTCGCAAACGCATCCTGTCCACATCCTGACCTCAACCCTTTCACATACCCTGGTCTCTTCTTCAACACACTGCGAAACCCAGACGGACTGCGAGGAAAAGCTTTTTGATCCTCGCTCTTGGACAGAATCTAGCACACTACTACGAGTCCTCACATTCACTTCGATCTTGCAACACAGATTCGACCCGACTCCCTTCTCGCAACTCTCAAGTCATCGACGAACTCAAGAGCCCATACGCTTGCTATCAACTCTCCACGAGCGCCAGAAACCTATTCGTAGCACACGCCGATCCTTCTCCAGTCCTATCCCGGGATTCTCACCTCTGTACATCACCTCAATCCTCCACGTCAGCTTTCCAACCACTCCAAACGGGCCCAGCAGGGAAGGAGTGATCGAACAAAGCACGGAAAAAGAGGAGCAAAAACAAGAAGCGGGAACCAAAAAATGATAACAGACGCCCAACTATACAGCCTGGCCATCTTCCTCGGCAGCGCGGCGATGCTGCTGATCGTGCTCTACCACTTCCTCGAGGTCAACGCGCAGGGCGACGACAAGTTGAACGGCGAACTGAGGGATGAGAAGGTCGGCGTTGGGGCCGTCAAACCCCCGGGCGGCGTCGGCGAGGAGAACACTCGATGAGACGTATATGCAAGAGTGTGTGGCACGACAAGAAGGACTAAGATAGGACGCAGAGTTCGAGAATATCAAGGTGGGGAAACGTGGGTGTCTCGCAAGTTGGGGACAGCTGGAATGGAAATGGGGAATGTTCAGGATCCTCGCGCACGCGGGAAGAGAGGACCTCAATCACGGGTACTTACGGAGCGTATGGCGATGGCGAGGAGGCACCAAAGACCCATGCTAGGAGGTGGGAAAGGCGCAGGACGAATGAGATCCTACAACGTTCATATTACCACAAACACAACCAAGCCACACCGTGTCCATTCGATACCTCCCAGACTCCCTCGCAGCTTGACCCACAGGGGGTTTGAGGCGTTGGAAGCAATTGCAAGTGCGGAGGCAGAAGCAGAGGCAAAAGCAGACAGACGGAGCCAGAACTGCGCCCTCGCCCTCGCCCTCGCCCTCGCCGCCTAAGACCAAAGGAAATCAAGGCACATGCAAAGCAAGGTGCAGGCGAGACTGGATTTTCGTCGATAACCCGCCCTCTTCATGTAAACATATGTATCACCACACTGGAGACCAATGTCTGAGCAATAGTGTGCAGTTTAGATAGCCACATCAATGTTGTATGGCCCCTATGCTCTTTGGCACGTTGCCGCAAATCTATCATGAGCGTCAATTTTCGTGACAAGCTAGTTCATTCATTTCTCGAGGGTCGACGCTGGAGCAAAGCTTGGTGTCCCCGCCTCGACTGGGCACCTCACAGCTCATGCAAAGCTCATTCTCTAGTCACCCATGACTTAAGAGATAGACGAGGCGAGTGCTGAGGCTAGTCCGCTAATGTCCACTTCCCTCCGCATATCTCGTCAAAGTGACATTCCGTTTGCTGAGGCCCACCTTAACAGTGACCAAGTCCCAGGCTAGTAATGCCCATCGACGACCCTCTGAATCCCTGGGTTTTGGATCAAGGTCGCCCTTCTCGCCTCGTTTACCAGGATACACCCGCCACGGTCAATTCCTGGACCGATCTTCGCCTTTCTTGCTGCCATGGCTTTCAAGGTCTCTTCAGCCACAGCCCTCGGACTGCTCTTTTCCTTGCGGTGTGTCTTCATGAAACTTCTTTGAGCTTGTTTCTCTGCATCGTTGTGTTCGGCCTGCAGTAGCGTCATCGTGTCGGGTTCCAAGTCGTCTTGTACTGACTTTACCGAGACGTCAGGTGTGGTGATTCTGCCCTGTTCGTCTGACAGGTAGCGGGCTTTGTTACGGAGGAGGGTCTGAGGATCTGTGTAAGAAAGAGTTCTAGCGAACGAAGTTGAAGGTTGTGTGGGAGGGTGAAAGGAAAACCTTGAGACATCAAAGGGTTTTGATGCTGCGCTATTTTGCTTACCGATGATCTTGGTTGTTGGGCCATCCCCTATCTTAGACGCGACTTCATTCACATGCTCCTCAATGTGTCTGAGCCAGTCTTTCGGGTTTTCAAATATTTCGGAGGGGCGGACAGAGCCTTCCACATCATCTACTACGAGGTATTTGCACCTCTTCCACCAGCAGATATAGCCGCCTTCGTCTTTAACTTGCTCTGGTGCCGGGCGGTGGACTTTTGAGATATGATGTCGCAGAGTCTCGAGATTGTGAAGATGTGCCTTACAACCCCGCCAACGGCATCTAAAAACAGGAAGGCTTGGCGAAGCAGGTGAAGGTATAGTGACTTCAATCGAAGACACTTCCTGCACTGCGGGATTCTTCGTTGCTTCAAAGGCATGGTGCAGGTTTTTGGCTCCAGGAGGCCGCCCTCGTCTCTTCCCACTGGGGAAAAATGAGCCGGTGCTCATGGTCTTTGATTCCACAGTGGAAGGTACTTGAATAGATGCAGATCGAGCCGACCGCCTTCGCTCTGAGATCGGAGAGCTGGTTGAGGAAATGAAGCTCTGCCTTCGCTTCTGAGGAATTACTGGCTTCGGGGTGTGCTTCGGGACCTCGTGAGATCGTGGAGGAGCAGGAGCACTCTGCGAATTTGTACTCGCTTGCGCTGGTGAGGAGTTCGACCAGGCCTGCTCAGCTCGTGACTTCCAATTGACTTTTGCTTCAGGGGAGACGTGTTTGTTTGTCGCAGTCGCGGTCACTGGCGCAGGCGCAGGTGCGGGCGCAGGTGCGGGCGCAGGTGCGGGCATCTCGCGCTTTTCCGGATCCGGTTTACGCCGCCTTACTTCCCCCAGCCGATATCGAGGCGGCTCGGTCGGGACATCGGCGTAAGGAACCTGGGGTACTGGGGGTCCCCTAGGATCTATCGCATCCCAGTTAAACGTGCTCAGATCAGAATCGATTTCCACATATTTCCCAAGAAGACCTGCCAGATGTGCATTGAGCGGGCGCTCAGTCGGATGCCTACCAGCAGCAATCAGAATATCCCTCGCTACGGTCTTTGCGTTGTAGTAGGTCTTGCGAAAGGCTTCCTGCTTATTGATAGGTTTAGCAAGTATCGACCGTTGTGACTGCGGCGGATGTGACGGTGGCGGCGCAACTGGGGACCGATGGATTTGAGGTGCTGGATAGTGAGGAAGTGGAACGTATCCTTGCGGGTACTGAGGGAAGCTGGGATCAAACCGGAGTGGCGCTGGATATCCCGGACCACTATATGGAACCGTAGGCGGAGGTGCATATGCAGGTAATGGCCCATCCTGATTCTGATCCTGATAGTCCTGGAGCGGATCTGTTGGTCCAGGAGAAGGGCTGTCAACTCGCTGTTTCTTTGACATCACGTAGTCCTCATTATCGCTTAAGAGAGTCAGGTCGACTAACTCCGAGAAGTCGCGTTTCCGCGCCATTGCCTCCTTCGAACCAGGAGCGGGTTCGGGACGAGCTTGTTGATGGGGTCTAGTCGGCTTTGGCCGTTGTAGTTGAGAATATCGAGGAGCAGAGGGGCGACCGGGAAAGACAGGAATCCTTGCAGCCTGAACCCCATTGCTGAGGCGTACCGCAGGAGCCGGGGTTGGGGTAGGAGCAGAGGAATTCGTCGTCAATAGCCCTGAAGGTGTAGTGGCCGGCTGCCCTGTAGCGACAGAAGCTCCGGGGGCTGGTACCTGTATCGGTGGCTGCGAAGGTGACGGTACAGGAGCTGGGGTCTTCGATGGCCCTCTCAGCTGAGGTACATCGCTCAGGAGTTGCCTGGCGAATTGACCTCTGTGGAATTTAAGGCCCTTTTTCTCGAGTGTCAGACATAAATCGATGTAACTCGGATTCTGCTCAAGAATCTGATGAATCTCTTGAGGGCTGATCTCAATATCCGCATTTTCAGGGTTGGCCTTGAGAAATTTGACAGCTACTTCTGTGAGAGCATTGCGTTTGTCTTCGGGCCATATCGTCTCGTTATTTACTTTGGGAGGGAGACCTTGAGTGAGGGCAGTTACTTGTTCAACTGACGGCATTGCTGGAGTTGGAGTTTGTCGTTCAGCTGGAGTTGGGGCGCTTCCTTGTTTGGAGCTCGCACCTATTCCAGCCAAATTGGGATTTGCGATGGTCGGTCCGGCAGTATCTGTCTCTGCCGGAGGCTTGCGATTGTATTTCTCTCTGATGCGCCGTTCAGCAGGGAAGCGGCCTAAGTCAGGTAACCCTTCCGGATTGTTCTCAACGACAACCTTGTACCCATTGAGCCTCGTTCCTACCGGCGCGACCGAGAGAGCATCTGGCTTTACTCTGGCTGGTTTTGTGGCGGATGTCGTTGTAGATGGCTGCGGAGTAGCCTGGAGAGGAGCTGGCATCGTTGATGGTTGAGGCCGACTTTGTGTGGGTGGAAGAGCCTGCTGAGTTCTCATCTGAGGGGATTGTGACGGGGCTGGTATCGACGGAACAGATGAAGTCTTTCGCATGTCGTCCCAGAGCTTTTGGAAAAGGGTTGGATCTTTGCTTCGAAACTCTTGCATCTTTTCCATCATGGCCTTAAGTCCAGCCGCCATGTCCGCTTCGCTGTCCACAGGGTCGGACTGCTTGTCTGGATGAGATTCATTGTCAGGACGCTTCTGCGCAGACTGAGCAGCTTTTTTGGTCTGTTTCGTCTGTTTCGTCCTTTTATTGCTTTGACTGGATGTGGGAGCAACTGTAGCTGTAGGAATCGTCACTTGCTCTCGATTCTTCGCCGTGGCCGACGCCTCTTCTTCCGCTTTCTTTTTCGCGGCAGCTTCCTCTGCCTTTTTTCGCCTTGCTTCGGCTTCGGCCTGAGCAGCTGCTTGCATGCGTCTCATTTCATGCTCTTTATGAAAGGGATTGAACACCTGGGTGGGATCAATGTAACCAGGCATTGACTGCGGCTCAAGCGTCGCCGAATATTGACCTTGAGCCGGCGCCTCCACTGGTGTGACGAGATTAGAAATACTGTTTACTAACTGAGGTTGCTGTTGCGCATTTCGTTGCGATAGCTCCAGACTCGGGCCCTTTCTGTGCGAACCAGTGTTAGCAACCGGTCGCGTTTTCTCTTGAGCAGTCGACGCTGTCGAATTAGCCACCCTATAATTCGTCTGGGGCGTGGTAGAGGACCGATAACCCTGGCCTTGCGTCGTAGGGTTCTGCGACTGATAGTAGGGTGAGGCCGATCGCTGTGAAGCCGATTGTTGCATCGAGGCGGATTTCTCCATCGCCGGCGAAGCCGATGAGCGCCCCGTCAGCGCAGCTGTTGCGTGCTGAAAGCGGGCGCCGACATTCCCAGCTAAAGACGTTGCTGCTCCTAATAACGAGTTCTGTTGATTTTGAGATGAGAGATCATTTTGATAGCCGTAGTTTGGAGGCCGACTGTCATAACGAGATGAACTGTGCGTTGTGACGGGGGATTGTATGCGATTTAGGGTAGTTGAAGATGAAGCCAAATTAGACGCCGCGGTTGAGTGTTGCTGGCGATGCCCGTGCCGCTGTAAAGCTGCGTCGTCCAAACCCGATGCATATGCCAGATTATTCAGACCCGAGTTGTTCTGCCCTGCCATGTTTGAGGACGCGGCATTGTAATAATTGTGCCCGCTGCCTTCATCAACCGCCGCAGCCTGCGCTGAATACTGGCCCTGCTGTATCCGGTCGTCGCGGGAGGCGACTTGTGACCTTCCGTTATCCCAGGCGTCTCCGTTATAGGTTGTTCGTTGGCTTGCGCTGTTCGGATAGTTCTGCTGTTGATGACCAGCCCAATCGTAGCCGGAGGTGTTGTACTGTTGTTGCGGAACATCCCCCGGATAGGACGCTTGTGTGGCATATCGATTGTTTGCGCTCGCACGTCTTTCAGTGCTGTAGGAATTGTTCATGTTTCCTTGTTGCGCATCGTAGGTTCCTCCGTAGGCTGTGAGCGGCGGATAAGACATCACAAGCTCTTCATTACCTGAGTTCCGAAGCAACCTAGCTCGCCCACCTTTACAACGCTCTTGACTCTTCGCTCGAACACATCTCCTACCCGTGTCGGCATGGCCCACCGTTGATCGCGAATGAGGAGTTCGACTTTGTACGAGGTAGCTGTTGGGAAAGTTGTGGTCGCGGAGTGAGCGCGCGCTCTGTCCCGTCGTGCGACTTCGACTTCTCTAGTACAGTAACTGAGATCCCAGGCGATAAAACAGAGTGCGCCCCATCGCCATTCGTGTAGACTCTTGTTAGGTGCGAGTGCGGGCACTCCTGACGCGCAGGCGGCTCGGTGGATCACGAACCTGGAAACCGTGACTTGCAGCCCCCAAAGCTGCGGCAGCTGTGCCGAATGATCCACCGGAATGGATTTCTTGGCACCTGCGGATCCTCGCACCACCGCAAAATTCCCAAAATTCGCGGTGGCATATTGACGACCTCAGATCCTCGTCCGCTGTTCGACATTCTCTATTCCCACGACCACCAATCGCCCAGCCATGACGAAGATGAACCATGGTATGATTTCCCTCCATTCCAAAGGAATATTCACAGCATGAGGAAACCGAATCACTGACGAGTCTTCTACAGGACTTGCCTCGTCGAGGCGCAAGTCTCGCAAACTTCACTTTGGCGCCCCGTCCAGCGTGCGACGAACAATCATGAGCGCCCCGTTGAGCAAGGAATTAAGAGAAAAGCACAATGTACGAAAACCTTCCATGTTTCCAAAACATCATGGTCTTACCGAAAACAAAACCAGGTCCGCAGCATCCCCATCCGCAAGGACGACGAAGTCACCATCGTGCGAGGCTCCAACAAGGGCCGCGAGGGAAAAGTCACCTCGGTCTACCGATTGAAATATCTCATCCACATCGAACGCGTCTCGCGAGAGAAGTCCAACGGCCAATCCGTCCCGATCGGCGTACATCCCAGCAAGGTTGTCGTGACGAAACTCAAGCTCGACAAGGACCGGGAAAAGATCTTGGAGAGGATCGGTAAGGGAAGAGAAGCCGTCAAGTCGAAGGAGTAGAGAGGGGGCAAAAGATTTGGCGAAAGCGGTGCGCGCGCATATGTTATGGGGGAAAGTCGCCGATCCGTGGATGTTTTTGTCCCAATGCACACACATCATACAGGGTGAGCTGGAAAAACCAAAACATTCAATCAGACTCGCAACACTTTTTCCCTCGACGGTTTCCCATGAGGATCATTATCAACGACAATGAGTTGATAGAGACAAAAGGCGTCATATCATACATACCCGAAGACCGGACGTCTGATTCGTGGCTTGCTTGCTTGAATGGGACGAGGGCAAAAAAAGACACAAAACAAGATCATTCCACAAGGAAGATATTTTCGGCGTGCTTATGGTTCTCTTCCTGCCTCTTCTGCACCCTTCCCTTCCACCTTTGTCCAGGCCCCTAACTTACTCGAACTTTACGAGAAAAATTTCTCTACAACCCTTTACGAAATTAATGCCAGTATTATCTCCTTGTCTACCGAATTCCCGTGGTTACCCAAGGTATACGGCTGGCGCACATTGAAAGATTTTTCTCCTTCTCATCCACATCTCACAAAGGTTGGATGAAGAAGAGCTCGCCGGCAGACTGTCTCCAAGGAAACACGATTTTCCAATGAGTTGCAGGATTTGATGGCGAGGGACATATATTCACCCCCCCAAAACCCCAGCTCTCCCTATCTTAAGGGACACCCATGGGATACATGCGAATCTCTTTGTTGTTGCATTTTTCTTCTTTTTTTTTCATTCTCTTTTTGGAGGGGGGGAGGATCCTCGAGATTTCGGCCCCGCCCGCGTCCTGGTTGTCCCTTGCTTTCCCTTACCAGCGGCCGTATCAAAGCTGCCAGCGCTGATATAGTATTTCCGGCAAACTCATGCTCCCTCTAGAGCGCCTGCAGTCATATGTAGATGGCAAACATTTGCGAACCACTCCCCTCCCCAAAGGGTCCCGCAGTGGCAAGACGCGCTTCCAATATCTAAGCTTTATTTCATTGATTGAGGAGATGGGGGCGGTACCAACCTCAAGAACGCAGGCACAAAACACATTTTCTCCAGACGTCGTCGAGACAACAGATTTTATCATGGCAGGGGGGCTGAGGATTCAAGACCACCACCAAAAAAAAAACCGCGCTTATTGGCTGAAGGTAGATCTTGGCTATACCGAGTATTGTGGAGCCACCCACACGACTCGCAGGGCACATTCAGGTACGAAGGATTTAAGGTAGAATTGCTTACTGTGTACTAGTTCTGCATAAACGGCATGAGCAACACGTCCAGAGTTCTTCAGAAACCATACACACTTGGTCTCCTTAGAGCACACGTCGCCGTAGACACACTCCCAATCCCTGCCCTAGTGCATGTTTTGTGCCGCCAGGCGAAAGCAGCTCCTTCCATTCTTCAGAATTGCTTCTCCAAAACGCCATCGGCAGAATAGCCGTTGGCAGCATTCATCGTACCACGCTCGGTCGGCGGGGGCACATCCATGCCGGTAACCTTGGACAGATACCTAGAGAGACCTTCCTCACCCTCTTCGTGCTCGGCATGACCCTTCTGGATCTTCTGGAGGCTGTCCCGCATCAGGAACTCGTAGTATCCCGTGGCGAAGATGGTGGCGGGGACGTTGACCAGGATGGAAATCCACGAGTACCCGTTGTCGAAGCTGAAGGCTTCACCGCCGAAGAAGATGGCTGCGACGATACGCGTGCCCAGGTCCCTGGCCAAGTTGGTCGAGATACTATTTCCGGCGAAACCCCAGACCATGGTGGCGTAGACCAGACCGATGGTGAAAGGCGCTGTGCTGGGGCTGACGAAGGGGTTGGCCGGGTCGAGGCACGCCCAGATGAGAATGCCAATGTAGCTGTCTACGAAGAACTCCTGGAAGAAGAGATAGCCCTGGTTGTGCTGGTCCGGGTTGGGGAACGTGCAGAATATGCTGGCCACTCCGCCGTTATAGACCGCGGTACCATGCTCCTTGAGATCGATGGCTTTTGCTGCTTGGATCTCCGGCCAGTAGCACGCCATGAGGAACAAGGCGGCCATGAAGGCGCCAAAGATCTGAGAGAAAATGTAGTGGGGGACTTTCTTCCATGGGAAGCCTAACGGTTGAAACAAAAACTGTTAGCCAACGACGGTCTCTTCCAAAAAATTCGCACTAGGTCACGACGAAGGAGAAAGAGTTGTTTTCGACTTACCTTGCCAGATAGCAAAACAAATTGTGATGGCCGGGTTGAAGTGACCACCGCTGGTGGGTGCACAGGTAATGATCGCAAACGCGATACCCATGGCAAAGGCACAACCAATCTGGAAGATAGATCCAAAGACTGGGATGCCAACAGCTGCCCCAACGCCATTGGTTGTAGCAAGGGTGAACGAGGCCACGGAGGCAATACCAGGGAACACGTAGAAGAAAACACCAGTACTGATATCGCAGTTAGCATCGAAAATCTTGTCTGGAACAGGGTAGATCTGCAGGTCCAAAGATCTGGTGCAAAGATCGAAAACTGGGCCGTAGCTACTCACGCTTCTGCCATCATTTCCCGCATAATACGCGGTCGCTTGTGCTCAAAATTGAGCTTTCGCTGGGACACGGGCTTGGGTGCAACCACATGGCGAGTGGCATGACGCTGGAGGACCTCTGAGATACCAAGTTCGATGTCATGCGTATGCTGTCGCGTCAACGAAGGCGGGTGGTTGCTCGCCATTTCTTCGCTTCTTTTTGCTTGCGGATCGTCTGTGATTAATATTCAAAAATCCGGGGTCGCTACCTCGTGCACAGTCTGGGGGAAGGATGATCTGGGGAAAGGGGATGGAAGAGTAATCACGCAAAAAATCCCAAAATCTGGGGTGAGTGGCCATAGATGTAGACCACGACCTGCTCCCAGGACCTCGGTCGATGCCACGTTCCTCGTTCCCACTATTTTGATTCATAACCAGCTCGCCTTCCGGACCTACCGTTGGTGCGCATTCTCGTACTCAACAACCGCTCGGGCGAAAATTGAATCCACAAGTGGATTAGAAGGAGGTAGGGGTCATTCAATGATGAGGCCCGCAACGAGGGGGCCCGGTAGTTGTGGTATCAGTAACGCGTGCGGTTGGGACAGGGTTCTCCGGCGTCATGATGAAGCAATGCAAGCTGATCGATCCGACTTGTCACGAGAGTTTTGTCGCCACGCAAGGGGGCATTGCTTGACCAGACACAAGCTTCGCAAGCACGCCACCTTTCTAGATCAGCGACCTGCTTTCCCTGATGGGGCAGGACTTCTTTGAATAGGGAGGGGGAGGAACGAAGGGTAAAAAGGCTGAGAGACCAGGGATGCGATGAGGTAGGCAGACTTAGGAAGGCCGCAACTCGCGTGGTTGGGTCATTGGTGGCAATCGGTCGGTTACGTCGTCGATGATTCGTAGTGCACAGGGCAACAACTTGGACTGTGTTGGAGGTTGGCACAAACAAGCCTCGGTGAAGAGATTGATTGGCGTGCGTCATCGGCCTCCGCCAACGATATGGGATCAGGATCATTAGAAAGAGCTCTGGAATCGGCGGATGCGGAGATAGAGCGGACAGCCGACTGTAACAATAGGCAAGTCACTGACTCCCTGTGGATCGCTGGGGTCTCCATGTGGAGAAGAGGATGTAGTTCATTGCGTATGATTTGAGTCGGACGTGCCGCTCGACTCCACTCCCACAGCATATCGGTATCCTTCGTCGTTCTGAATTGCCCCGAGAAGCAGTCGTCGCGACGTCCCCTCGTGCTTTTTTTTGGGCGACAGACCTACGGTACCTCCCCGGTCGAATCCGTCCTTTGGCTGTAGGCTTGGATGATGGCCGATATTCCGAGGGCGCTCTGCATTATTCTGCGGGAGTTGGCCAGTATTCGTACTGGTTGGTGGCAGTCAGTGGCTGAATGATCAAACCATTCCTGCACACCCCCCGAAAGGTTTAGCCTGTTCGGAGACGCTGCCAAAGCTGCCGTACTGTCCGCAGGACGATGTGAATAAGCCTGCGGCGGAACGGGTAGAAAAATGCGACGCACCCTCTTCGAAATACATATCCAGGCTACACAATGCACAGGGCCAATCAAGTTATCCGTCGTGGAAGCCTAAGGCAGATATAAATAATTTGCCAGCGCCACCTCAGTCATTGCAGGAGGCCTGGTTGCTACCCTCCGGTGGACTTGAAGCGTTTTCGTCCTCTCTCCCGGAACCGACCCTTCTGCGGAGAACGAAGAGAGCGAGTGCGCAGTAGTCGGTGTAATCTGTCCTGGAGCTTTTCATCCACAACAAAGCACAGTGGCGTGGATGCGGAGAGCGGGCGCATTTCCGTCCACCCAGCGTAGAAAATCAAGGGGCCCCAAAGAGGATCCAGCAGGCTCCATATCCACCGGAGACCACATCTCGAAACGTAACCCGGCCCGAGTTGTGCACATACTGTTTTCTCACCATTTTTCCACCGCAGGCCTTATGTCGATTTCGTTGGTAAAACAAGTCCTAGGCTGGGTATGCAGGTACCAATACGAGTCGGCGATGGCTTCTGGCTTGATCTTAGCTTCGGGGTGGTCGAACTTCCATTCTTTGGTCCGCTCGATATCAATCACACCATCAATAATGGCGTGAACCACATGCACTCCTTTGGGCCCAAACTCTCTTGCCAGTGATTGTGCTAGGGCCCTCATGGCAAATTTCCCAGTTGCGAAGGACGCGCACAGAGCGGAGCCTTTCATGGCTGCCGTTGCAGAAGTAAAGATAAGGGTAGGCGGGTACTCTGCGGATGTGTTCTTGAGAAGCAGGGGGAGGACGGCCTGCGAGAAGTGGAACGCTCCTCGCCTGATCAGATGACAAGTTTCGTGTCAGCAGATTCTTCGTTCTTGACGGGGATTCTCTGCATTATTTGCAGTTGTGTCTCAACATACCCGTTGGCTTCCCATCCACTCTCAAATTCATCGTCGGTCAGTTCCAGGAACGGCTTCCTTACGAACCTCCCTCCCACATTGTAGATTGCGGCTGCGAGCGATGCGCCTCCCATCTCTTTCTGCAGCTGCTCAAAGGCAGCCTTGACACTTTTGCTGTCCGAGGTATCGGTACTGATGCCAATTGCCTTGCCACCAGCGGAATTGATCTCGTTGACGATGGGTTCAAAGTTTGCCGGTTTCCGAGCGAGGAGCGCGACGGCATAGTTCTGTGCGAATCGACGGGCGACCGAAGCACCTCTGTCCCAGCGTTTAGTGCTCTGGTCGATGTTTCCAATGCTTTCACCAGAGTCGAGACTTACGTGCCAGGGCCAACACCGGCAACCACTGCCCATGCTTTTTGGGATGCCATTGTAGACGAAGTCAACCTGTGAAGCTCGACGTGAAGTCTATTATGAGCAGTTTGTTGCGCAGTTGCTGTCATACAAGTCTGGAAGGAACAGACGATGGAAGGCAGCCGGTACAACACAGTTCAATTGAGCCTTGGGTCGGCGACCGAGAAGAGCAGATCGTCAGTCAAAGATGTCATTCGAGTTTCATTTAAGAAGCTGATGGCTTGTCGGCTCGTCTCTTAGGATCGTCCAGCCCCACAATGATGTGCTCGCGGGTTACAAATCGATTGTATGGGCGTCCCCAATAACTAATCCCAGCAAGTGACAAAACAAGGCTTTGATAATACTGCGTCAAAGCGCAGGCTGCGATCAACCATGTGTTTACCCCGCCGTTCGCTGACTGCGATTGATCCAACAACCGAAGCCAGCCATCCCACGGATTAGTCAGCAAGTCGGCCCCCAACCTCCATCAATCAAGCACAAGGCTCTTTGATTCCTTCCTTGATCAACCACCAGTTGATAGGAAACCCAGTCCAATGCCCGAGAAACATTCCCACCTAGAGATATCATTAACATCTGGACCCTGTCTTCCACAATAAGTCGATGGCACGGGTTGATATGTAGACTGACCTGCATCATGAACCAGTAAGCCGCCGTATTCATCTCGAGCCTCTGCTCGAAGATCACCAGGTCGAAGATGGCCATCCAGCCAAAAAGGCCGATTTCGAAAAAGGTCAGCGACAAGAAATCGGCCTTTGCAGCGCGGACGATGGTGCGCCACCCATAGTCGCCCACCATGGGCGCGATGGAGAAGTATTGGAAGACGATCCCAAAAGCGAGAGCCAGTCCAAAGTCTTGACCCAAGACGTGGGGGGAAAGAGTGAGCATCAGCTATTAGTTTCCTGCAATCGGCGATGGAGGTGTGTGCGCCCTCATCGAACTCGCAATAACTAGATAGAGAGGTTTGGGGAATAGTATCGCTTTAACTTACCCACGAGAAAAGCAGCATAAAGCATCTTCCCACCGATCGTCACGTCAAATGCGTAGATGAGCCATTCGCCCACAAGGTCGCCGAGGACACAGCCGGCACCACAATGGCAAGTCGCAATGGTGACCGTCGCAAACATTGGGAGGTCTGCATGCATATGGGAGTGTGGCTGGTGCTTGTGGTGGTGATCATGATCATGATGGTGATGATGATGAGTATCTCCGCCATGCTCGGCATCGCCGTCAGGATAGGCAGCGGCCACCACACCACTGCCAGCTCTGTGATGGTTATCCGCTGTCAAAATCTCATCCGTACCGTCGGTGCTCTCTTCAATGTGATCCGGCTGAGACGGCGCGTGTAACAGCGGATTCTCTTCTATCGTCCCGGCCTCGTTGTTGGGCGGCGCCGACATTCCCTGTCTGCCATACTGGACGTATATCCAGACAGTAATGGGCCACAGATAGAGAGCGTTGATGATGTAGACCGGAATCCTTGGCAAAAAAGGAGGCATGAGAAGAGGAACATCCTCAAGCGTGGAAAGGAGAGAGGGGTCGATCCAGCACCCGAGTATATGACATAAACTCACATAATGGCCATCATGTGTCTCCACCGCCCTCGAAGCACAATATCACATGTGATCCATAGCGAGGCGAGGACGGCAATCCCAATCGATGCCCACGAGAAGATTGTGAGCGCGACTGTAGGTGTGTAGACTGCAGGGTCGTCCTTACTTCGACTGTCCATCTTGTTGTACGGCAGACGATGAATACACGATCGAGAGACAACCCGAAATATGACCAGGCAGAGCCGTGGCCAAGGTCATGCAGCAGGTAAAGAGATGTGTGTCAGTCAACGAACAACAATGATGCCAGATGGTGAGAGAAAGCAGGTGCCGGTCGAAGGAGGGAAGGAGTAGGTGGCTGACTCATCCTCGAGGTCAATCGTCTGCCATGGGACAATGAACAATATGCCACAGTCTACCTTGAGCTAAGCCTATCGGAAGTATGCGCTACTCTTGGGCCTGTTTGAAGACCACATAGCCTTGGGAGTTTAGGGCCACTAGGGTGATTTCTGGACAGTAGACGCGCCTCGGGGTCCCAATCTCTATCCAGCAACAGGAGCTATGATTCCGACCTGGCTAAGAGAGAGGAACTATAAGCCTCAAACTCTTATAAACTTAGGCCCTTTTGGCAGGGGTACGTCACACAGACTCACAGACCCTCTCGCAGCTGCAAAGCCAGGCCTTCCATCTCCGGGGTTTCTCGATCCTGATCTCGCGTCCTCCTCGCATCTGCCCAGAGCTCCACGGCGGCAGGGGTGAGGACTATATCCAACCACATGAACGACGTCAGACAGTCTTCGACCTGTCGCCACGTCAAGATATCAATGAACGACATGACCTCTGCAAGCTGCTCGACAAACCACGACCGCTCTTCTCGGGCATCGATGACGCTGTCGTCGACTTGAATGCCCCCGAGCACAAGTGCCCAGAGCATCATGCGCTTACATGTGTCGGGAAACAGTTGCCATGGATTTGCGCTCTCGCTCTCAATGATTGCTTTTCGGAGTGCTCCTGCTAGAATCGTACTCGTGCCACCGCTGGGATTCATTGGAAAAAGCACGAGATTGCTGTATATTCGTAGGGCGATGCGACTGATCTCGTAAATGTGCTCTGAGAACTTCTGTGAAGTTGAGCGCATCTCATCATCAGCTTCGCTTGATGGTAAGAGGCTCAGCAGAAGATATTGGGCGTCATTGCGGGCGTTGACGATATCGGCGAAGACCATCGCCGGTCCGTTCCTCCTCAGATAACAGTCAACCACGGTATTGACGACCAACATTGCCTGGACTGCTTGGAGGAGCTCATGTCTCCAGGGTGAGCTCAGTGGCAGGCGACTCCAGGTCGTAGTCCGAACATCCCATTTGATCTCTGCCGTTGTCATCAAGTCGGACAAGTGCTGTACGGCCGCCAATGTGGGTGGACTCATAGGAATGATGTAGAGCTTAGAGTTGGTTTGTGAAGCAGTGACCAAGTCGCATCTGTCTGAAAATTAGCATTCTTCCAAACGCTCCATGAGGTCGGGTTTTTGAAGGCATGTTCAACTGACAAAGCGGCTGTGCTGGCTACCCCAGGCGACTTGATCTCAGAGCATCCACCTTTCATAACCACCAGTCGAACCAACGCTTCCGAATGTGCGCTTGGAAAAGGGTTGGCGCTATATACATGGATAAATTGTGCGGTTCTGAGGGGGGAGTCGAACCGTGATGGCTGCGGTACTTTGAAAAATGATCCTTTCGCGCGGCTGATGAATGCTGCGGAATTGCCAGCGAGTACGATAATGGCTCCCAGTAACTCGTCAGACGGGGGACCAGTCATCTCTTGAATTTCCTGATTGACGAGTTTGATCATCTCCACACGGTAGGCCAGACATAATTTTGTGAATGCCTTCGTTTTGAAGTTGCTCCCACTCAGAAGCTCGTAATTCTCAGCCGTGCCGACTATATATGCATAAAATGCAAGAGGGGAGCTTCGAATTGCCTCCAGATAGGTGTCGACGACCGGATTGTTCAGATTTCGCGTAGGAATCGGAGTCAGACCTGGCCAGAAGAGCCGGATGGCTTTGAGAGCGACGTCAGCTTCCTCACAGCATGATTCGGAGAATTGAAAATAGCATCGAAACGTACCATGATCAACCACTTCGTTGACCGGGCCAGGAATATCAGAGACAGCATAGCGCGCAAAGGGATCTCTCCTCGACTGGCTGAGGATACCAAGTGGTTGCTCTTGTGGGCTCTGGGACGGAACGACGGCGAGAGAAGCCAGGCCAGCACTGCCGGGTTCTTGCGATAGCTTGCGCCGCGAAGCTGACTTTTTGGTTGCTTTCCAAGCCAGAAACTTATGGATGGTTGTTCCGGGCTCAAAATGGACCACCTTACGTTTTCTCCGTCTCGCCTTCGCCGTATGAGAAGCAACAGCAAAGCGCGTTTCATCACTAACCATATCTGCCGGTCCAGTGATGGTAATGAAGCTCTCTGGCGTTATGAGAGGCTTTGCCGCCATCTCTCAATAAGTTTTCTAGTTCAGCCCCAGCAAAAACAGCAAGACGGTTTGAGGCGCAAGTAAGAACTCCGATATTGGTCGACTTCTTCGAGGATGTTCCAATAGTATACGTATGAAAGATATGAGGGAGTTGACACATCTCCAAGTTCGAGGGGGTGGATGCACTTTTGATGTTCATGATCCATCACGAAAGTCCTGCTCTGCGGCTCGTCAAAATGCCACCCTAACAGACATTCGCTGAAGTTATAGGCACTCTCGAGGACTGAAAATGGCGGACTTATGAGAATGGTTCAGAATCAGGGGTTCCAGATCTGAAATCAGACGGCGAGCTCTTTCAAAACATAATGACTAAGTCATGGCTATTATAAACATAGCCGTAACATGGCACTGGGTGCTGAAGCTGAGAGGGAGAAGGAGTTTGTAATTCTGCTCGTCTATATTTCGAGAGCTTAGCCCGGGATTCTGGCTTGGCCTTCAATGCTCAAGGCTTGGTGGCTTTCCCAAGCTTGCCCGGCTTTGTTGTGTTAGGTAAAAAGTGCTGATTAATGGTGCACTTCTATCCTGCTTGCCTGGCTTTGAACCCTCCGTGGGTGCTCGGGTTAAGGATTCGCTTCTGGGGCCAAGGCTCGTATAGACGCGGGGTGTCGGCATTAATGTCCCACTCGAGATCATTTGCAGCATATGGTGAAAGCTCCTCGGGGCTTCGTTGCTTCTCCGAATCCCGACTTCGTTTGACGGCAAGCAGACCTCAGAGTTCGATCCTTAGGCATTTGGTCTTGTATGGCCAATTTCGGAGGAACAACAGCCCATCAATAGGTTATCTCTCATTGCAAGTCCTTTAAACCATGAGCCGGACACTCGACCCGAGAATTCTGTATATATGAGCGGCGTTATACATAATCACTCTCTCCGCAGCACTGTATTGCGAGAATCCTAAGCACTGACAATGCGAACACCAAGACGACCGCGCTTTCAAAAAAGGATGCCCTTTTCCTCGTCAATCGAAGTCGAGCCCAGAGTCTAACATCGCCTATCACAGCCTGGGACACTCCTCGTCGCCTTCTGAAGCGGTGGTCTGGTTCTGGGCTGGAATAAATCCATCGTAGTAATGGTGGATGGAAACAGATTTCTCATTGTGATCTAGTTCGGCACCCTTCAAATGCACTGGTCTGACCTCCACGGCCTGCGGCCAATGTTTCCTGGTGTGTCGTCTCGAGATATCTGGAAAACCTACGATGGGCCCTTCGTGAAGGTAAGGCATGGCAGGAATCGCACCCATTGCACTCACGAGGTGGCTCCCAGCTGGTATAAGTGTACTTCGCCGTGGACGATTGCAGTTGGACCAAGGACGTGTCGCACATGGTGTACTCTGTGTTGTCAGGCCGGCTAATCATGTTCGTTAAAAAACCGTTCAGTAGGCCTCCTTCGTGGCCAAGCCGAACAGAGATCCCGACCCTGAAAGCTTGTCAAGTCCAGTGTCCTGTAAGCGGGTGACAGTCGATGGATATCCAGGTTCACGGGGGGGAAGTGCTCCTTCGTTACCAAGGCAAGCAGCAAGGCGTTCCAATTTTTTTGTCAGCCAGGCATGTGATGCTGGTTGACACACATGGAGCATGTGAGTCCGCCGTCGCGCAACATTGCTTTGTGTACTCCGCATTTGCTGCTAAGATGAATGACAAGAAGCCTGACGCCGCAGCAACTCGGCGAGCAATAACTCATAGTTTGGAAGGCCTCCTGCGTTCCTTGACGGTAGTCTGATCGGCGCTCGGTATGGGCGTCGCCTCGTCTGCAAATATCTGTTCATTAAGCCTCGCGGCCAGCGAAAGCACACGCTTGGAGACAGCTGCGCCGTCGCGCCTATTCTTTCCTTCCCGACGGTATTGTGCGATCTTCTCGATAAAATCCCAGAGGCGGCCAGATGGACTCAGTTCGCCCGTACTCGGGTCTCTTTCGGGCGTCCATTCAGGAGCAAGTCGCACTGTGGTTTTAGGCTTCGAATCCGTACCCTTTGCGACATCTATGATTCCTTCTTCTTGGAACCGACTGTAGGCGTTTTTGAGGGCTTCTTTGTTGACTGCTTCAAAGTAAGACAGGTCCCCTTGGTGGTACAGAGTGCGACCAGCAAGCTGAGCCATGTTCTGAGCCTTCTGCATATCGATCCAACCAGCAGGGGAGGCCGGAGGTACCAATGCCAGTAAGGAGACAGCTCCGAGCCAGGCAGCATCCACAAATGGCCAGATGAGGAAACAGTATAAGTCGTAATTCTCTCTGCCTGACTTTCGCTCAGCATCAGATAGACCGACCATTCTTTCCGGGTCTTCCGTAACTTTGAGGACATCATCCCGCACTAACCCTTGCATGGCCTGTTCGAGGTTGTGTCGCAAGCCTTGACCAGCTGAGAAGATGAATTCGCCCCTGAACAGCTGGGAGAGGAAGGTAACTTTGTCGACCAACTCAGCTTCGGCCATCCGCTGATTTGCGCTTCCTCCACCCTGTTTGACCTTGGTATACATTGCGGTCGCTATCAGCGCTTCCGAGATGAATAGATGGATAGTCATGTTCCTGTAGAACGACAGTTGGAAACGATCAACGGCGTAATAAGTCTCTTCTGCAAGACCGTCGACAGTGCCAACGAGCTTCGGCCCAAGGACATCTAGAGCCCGCTCGACGACATATGAGGTGGGCATTCCTCTAAAATCCGCCACTTTGCCCCCATTTGCCCTTATACGTCGGCAAAGCCAGTCAACTCGACGAACCAGCTCAGATTTACCCACCCCACGGCCACGTATTGTCAAGAGCACAGTCCCAACGAGTGCCGTCGGCATAATGACTGAAGCTGCATTAATATCGGAGAGGACTCGATATCCAAGGGTTCGCAGCAACCGAACTCTGTTATTTGAACTTGAAGAGGCAGTTTCGCCGAGAGTGGTTGGGGTTTGACGTGCTTGCTGTTCCTTGATGAACTCTTTCAAGCTCCAGGGTTCATGGAATCTGCAGTCGATTCGACCAAGGTTCAGTGACAGGACGGAGGACGCCGAGATGAAGTCGGCAAGATTCTCCTTCTGCTTCGGAGTTCCCAGGAGTTCATTGACATATGAGTCGACCTCAATCACTTTGTCGTATTGCAAGGACACCGGGCAAACATATGCGTCTTCCGTCCGGCCCGAGAGCACCGAGTCGAGAAGAAATCTGAGGAAGCCAAACTTAGGTCCCAATAACTTTCCCGTGCGACTTCGACCACCTTCAATGAAACATTCCAGGTTGAGTCCCTGCTGGAGCAGAGTATCCAGATAGGACTGTACGAGGGTCGTGTAAAGCTGGTCATTCCCGAAACTTCGCCTAATCCACATCGCCCCAGTATTTTGTAGGAAGTTGCCAACGAGTGGGAAATTGAGGTTGTCGCCAGCCACAACAACAGGGAGTGTCAGGCCAAGGCGGTAGCACACAAGGTGAAGGGTGACATAGTCAACATGGCTCGTATGCCGCGGTAGAAATATTATGGATTGTTTCTTTTTGGCCGCCAACGTTGCAACTTCCCGTAGTCTTCTAACCTCAGCTTCAGAGACATGGATCGCGCTATAGGCCCTGGTGAGCAACTGCGTGGTGCCATAGAAAGCTGCCCGAATGTACATCTTGCTTTCCATTTTGCAGACCATTTTATCCAACATGTCGGCCGTAATCTCAACCAATTGCGACGTGATTTCATGCCTTCGCTTCTCCCTCTCGGGCAGATATGTTGGGCTTGTGGTGTCCAGAAGATATTCCTTCTCTTCAACTTTCAAGCGTTCCTCTGTCAACTCGACGATCTTTTGCCGCAAAAGAGGAGATGCCATCACCTTGGCTTTGACATTGGCTGTGTAGCCCGGGTAGAACACTGGCTGTCCGATCGGATTGTCATAGGCTCGCCATCCGACGCCCCTGACGAAAAGCGATATTTCATGCGCGAAGGTGAAAGGGTTGGTGCGGAAACGCTGCATGCGCGTGAGGATGCTGCGGTCGGTGGTGTCATCTCGCGAGACGGGCTCGCCCTCGGGACGGACGAGCTCAGTCATTGATGAAGAGCCCAAGATCAGAGACAATGGCACGTAGCAGGCATCAGTAACATGCAGGATATTGGTCAAATCTGGCTGGCAGCTCCGAAACCCGAACAGTCACTGAGGAGCAGCTCCTCGTAGGGATCTAGGTGAAGCGACCCGAGGCCGGAGCCCCAACAAACCCCGGACTTTCTGGTGTTTCCCGCCCCCCCCCCGCTTACATAAACAACACAAACCACTCTCTGTTTCAGCCTTACAGCCTTACAGCCTTGCGGTTCCTTGTCCCACGCTTTTCAACTGGTGCCCTGCCATACCATCTTTCAACTCCCTAATCAGCCGGGAGTTGCGTGGTGAAGCTACAGACATGCTTATGCTCGCAGCCTCATTAATGAGGGACAATTCCGTAAAAGGAAGTGCCAGTTCTTCAAACTGCTATCTAGGTTTCGAACCTCCACACCCAGGCCGGAATCACCGTAGCATTCATTTCAACTTTCATTTACTGCAAAAGCACAGAAAGGGATTTTATCAATATTGCCCCAGTGAAGCCAGCAGATCCCGTTCTAAATCCAACACAGATTTTCCCATTCACTTAGATTCGGAATTGAAGTCCGAGATTCTTGTCGATCCACGAAGCCTTGTGGGCTGTGATTGACCGGCTGAGACGATGAGACAAAGTCTGACGTAGCCCGTCACTGTTGGACTATGATGTTATTTCATAACCGATCCCAATACCAACGTTCGCGGTTTTACATAGCTATTTATACTCCTTCATCGATATTTGGCTTTTCAACAATTCAACCTCAGCCGGACTAGTTTCTTAATCCGTGAGCAACGATGTCGACACTGTCTGGTCAGCAAGGGGCCGGCTCTAAAGAGAATCCGCCTGGTAAAAGCTCGACAGAATCAAGTACTGGCAATGTCCACGACCGGTACCTAGGCGGGTCGAGCAGCGATGGTGGACATTCGGGACCGCCGAGTCACGTAAGTTTCCCTCCAGCCTTTATGGCCCTTCAACGGGCCTCTGATTTCTTGTGTCGCGATTTGGGGGATCCGCAAAAATAGTCTACCAGGGACGGGGGAGAGAGAGGTCTCGTAGTTGAGGCTTGCGTCTGCTCCTTGAATGATGAATCTCAGGATGATGTAACAGATGGATCAGCCTGGGACTGGAATACGAGCCCCTTCAATAATGGTCCGCCGCGGGAGGATGAACCCGCTAACACCATATCTCGTGAGCAGGATTCCCATGCCGAGAAATCATCACGCGAAACAACAAAAACCTCCGACCCTCTAAAAGGACTCGATTCCTCGGATGAAGGTGGAGGCACAAGGGGTACCACAGCAGGCGAGTTTGCGGGAGAAGGCCCAAGTGCAACCAGCGGAACACAGCGGTCACTGGCCGAGGGAGCAAGTCATGGATGAGAGAGCATCCAAGCATCCGGGATCGCAAAGTGTCCAAGAGTGCTCAGGATTGGTTGTAGAACTGGGATTTGGATCGATTTAGTTACTGCTGTTGCATAGAGGCTCAATTTTCCGAAACAGGATGGGGTTGTAAATATACCCAGATCGGTTGTACCTCCTGGCAAGGGGACCATGATTTGTCCCGGTTCTCGACAGAAAGTATGCCCCTTCTAAAGTACACAGCCATCCGCTCCCTTTCCCGCGGATTGTCCGTGGAGCAAGGTATCTGGATATCTCAATCAACCGTCAAGAGCTGCTCATAAAATCCACCAATCTGGCGGGCACGATCCACAAGATGGATTTCTAGGATCCAATGCAATAGCTGACCATCCTTGCCCGTGCGCCTCATCGGCTTCTGACTGCCCGTGGTGATGTAGTATTCGACTTTATCTCCCGGGATGCGCTCGTGTGGGAATTGGCCAACAAGGTGCCCTGAATGGGACCCGCCGAACTCATAACCGGCCTCCTGGGCGAGATCGCAGGCGATTTGATACAGTTCCTCGCCTGTGATGTTCGGGTTGCTGTCGAAACGCGACTTGACCTGCTTCCACAGCGGCTCTAGTGTGTCGCGCAGCTTCTCCTTGATCGGATCATCTCCTAGCACAAACGTACGACCAAAATCGGCTTCCCAGGCTTCGAACACTGGGCCTAGATCCACGAAAAGGATGTCGTCGGGTTGAAGGACGCGATCAGGAGGGTTTTCGGCATAAGGAAACAAGGTATTTGGTCCGCTTCTGATAACGCGCTTATGCCAATGGCTTTTTACATCGTAGCGCTTCGCACCGAGATCATGGATCTCATCGCTGAGTTCTTTTTCACTGATGCCGGGCCGGACTACAGATTTCTCGATCTCCTCAAATAGCTTGACCGCTTTGGTCTGTGCGTCCAGGAGGTACGCAGCTCGCTCTTGCTCCGTTGTGTTTGAGGTTTCGGTGGCCATTATTGATATGGTTTCTATTGGAGGAGTGAAATGAATGTTCTATTGATTCGACACAATTGCACAGCGACAGGGGTGAATAGAAACTAAACAGACGTACCTAGGTACCTAGTAGTGTTCCAAGAGTCACGTATCGGTTTTATTTTGTGTGGAGAAAGGTTTCTGCGGGGTTTGAACCGGTCAAAGGTACCTCGGTCCTTGCTCTCCGCTGGTGCGCAGAGCCTTGTCGCCAGCACCCTCACCATGATTGTGTCTGTCGAGGCAAATAGACGACCACGGTGCCTGGAGGCTTCCTCCCCGGGAAGCAGCATCCTGACCATGTGCTCGAGGGTGGCAGAAGGGTTGCCCTCGACCCTGGAATACACAGCCTTGTTGGCGAGAGATTGACGTCCGTCGTCCGACTGGGATAGAAGGGAGACAGAAGTATTCGATTATGTGGAGTCAAGCATATCCGTTTTTTAGCCATTCGTTCTGCTATTTATGTGCTTCTCCTCATCGTTTCAAGCCACTCATCCTATACAGCGAACGCTTCGGAACTTTTGGCATTAACTACCGCAGGACCCTTGGATGTGTGAAGAGCCCCAACAGTGCTCTATCAAACAACGTGTTGCACTTCGGAGCGCGTAGGGGCTCGGGAGAGGGGAGTCCTTAAGGAATTTATATCGATTTCACATTTGCAAGCTCCTTCGAGGTAGGTAGAGTTCGTGAGTGTCAACGTTTTAGAGCATATACCGGACTCTGTGAGGTGGACCCGAAAAGGAAATCTCGCGCACGGGTACATCGGTCGCTTCCCAGCGAAGCAAGCGAGTTAGTGGCGACGGGGCTTGTATCAGAATAAAGCGGCTTGACCAATCTTTTTCATTGCGGTGTTCCATGCATTGTAAACTGGCTGTCTTAATATGTCGGGCTGAGCGGAAATAGTTTCGTTGCCCTGGTTGGCCAAGACCAACGTGATACCTTCTTTCGACTGGTTGTAGCGCGGCCATTGCGGTACACCATCTGCATTGGGATCAAGCTTGTATGCGAACGAGATCCAGGCGCTCATCACGGTGGTTGAGACATTGACATCCCCTGCGGTTGCACCCTGGAGGTGGGAGGCCTCGCCAAATACGTAGGCTAACTCGGCGCCATGCTCGACTGCGACTCGCCGATCGTATGCGGTGCTCATGCCGGGATATTCGTAGCTTAGGTTCAGTTGCGTCAACGGCGGTTGTTGGCGGAAGTAGTAGCCCCATGCGGGGACCTTGGTGCTCCCAAGCTTAAGGAACGCACGCCGGCCGAGGTGGAAATTCACGTCACCATAGACACCGACGGCGGTCCAGAAAGGATGGCCTGCCGTGGGATCGGCATTGTATCCTTTTCCGAGAGACACATCGGACAGGTTCTCGTACACTTGAATGATACCCTGGGCTAGGGAGGTCTGGTTGCTGAGTAAAGGAGTAATATACTCGACAAGAGCGGAGCTGTTTGGGGGATTGAATGGATCAGCCATAAACACCGAGCCCTCGTCCAGGTTACAGCCATGGATGAAGGGTATCTGTGCGAATTCGTAGTCGACCAGGATTTCTGTGAGATTCTTCTTGAACCAATCGTTGTCGAGCGTGTACAGAAAGCCAAATGCGCCCTCGACCAACAGGGGAGACAGAATGGACACGTCCACTGTTCGAAGACAGGCGACGGTATCTGAAGCGTTGAGACAATTCGTTTGGTTCAGGAGAACATTGTATGCTGCAAGCCCAGCTGCTGGTTTCTCTACAAGGGGAGCTCCAAGCCCACCAAAAGCGCCTGACTCCGTAATCATGCCTTGGAAAAGCCTGTTGGTCTCGTTAAGTGTGTAAGCGCGGTGCATTTGGGCTTGTGCATCCCACGCCCCTGCGGACTCCCCGAAGATGACAACCTTATTAGGGTTTCCTCCGAAGCTCGCAATATTCTCGTGAGCCCACTGCAGGGCGAGATATTGGTCTTTCAGCCCGAGATTGGAAATGCCCTCGGCCTGGAACGCGGGGCTATTCAGGAAGCCAAATCCTCCAAGACGATAGTTACATGCAACGTAGATGATGGGTTGACCAATCTGGACAGAATACTGGACCAAGGCAGTGCCGTTGTAAAAGATGGACTGGCCGTTCTCATTGCCACCGCCATGAATCCAGAACAGTACAGGAAGTGATGCCGTAGAAGGCAAGCCTTGGGGGCGAATGACGTTCAAAGTCAGGCAGTCTTCACTGAGTCCGTTGTACAAGGCATATAACGGATCTTGTAAACACCCAGGTGAATATTCAGTTGCCAAGAATGGATTTCCCAGAGCCTTTACTGGAAATGGCTGAGGATTCGTGAATCGTAAGGGTCCGAGGGGAGGCATCGCATATGGAATCCCAAGGAATTGATCAAGACCTGTTATTGATGTGTTGCCGACGAAAATGCCTGCTGCGGCATGGACTGTTGGAGGTGAGCCTGAAGGCGCTGCAAAACCGGTCGTAATGGCCACCGCCGCGAATGCCGCGGCGCGATACAAGATTTGGGAAGCCATAGTGACAGTCGTAATTCAGGCTGAGGTACGAGCGTCGAGGACGAGGAGAGCTGAAGGCAGGGGAATCTCCGGTCCTTATCAGTCGCTTTGCTATGTGATGTGTAGTCTAGAAGTTCCTAAAAGGAACTTCGCTACCTTGTCAGTGACACCATGAGTGTATTGTTAATGTCTGGATTTCGGACTCAGCTTCCTTTTGTGGGAATTTCTTACGACAGCTGCAGCAACCAAGCTATGATTGCCTTGTGCGGCGCTAGGTGGTATTTGAAAACATTATGGACGATGAACGGCACTTCTGTTCTGCGCCCAGTGCCGATACGTGCGGATTCGGACGCTTCAACGCAGCAATAGCTTGTTGTAGCGTGTTGAGCGAGCCGAGCCTGATGTCCCTAGGTGCAAACACAGCTCCCAGCCCCACCCCTTCCACCATCCTACTGGTACTTCAGGTACCCGACAGATGGGAATAGATGGTGGCATATGGGAATTTAGTTGGTGGACTGGAGAAATCCATTTGCAGATGGTGGGGCGAGTTGGAGTGATTTCATTTGCCAGTCTGAGGCATTCCAACACTGCATCCAGCCTCGCCAGATAGCCTCAGATAGGAGACCCGCCGTTTTTTTCCTCTTTCATGCTTCGAGTCGGATTTGAACGACACATCGAGGGTAGCTGCCATCATTGTCGCGTTGGTTGCCGTATGCCGCTTACCTATGGCTGTCATGGCCTTGTCGATACGCTGTCTAAGCGATTAATGGCACTTGGCTTAAACTCAGACGAAAGGTTTTATATGCGGCAGCCGAACTTAGCTGTGTACACGAATCTTATCTGGTGGGTGAGAAGGAGGGCCAGAAGCAGCACAGGGGCCGTTATTATCTCATGGACATGTTGATTTTTCCCACCCACTCTTGCCCTTGCATCGTTTGGTAATATTGCAGCCGTTACTCCACCCTCTCGTACAGCGTGCTGATTCGTGTGACTCGTCACGTGGCCTTTAGAGTAGACCCCGACCTGCAACATTCTTCGACTGGGTGGTCGTTGGGATATTGTGCCATGAGTGCTTGCTTGAGGACAGCCTGATCGTGAAGCCTGGTGCTTGACGTGATGCCAAGTGGAGTGTAAGCCGTGACAGTCCCCAAGTATTCTCAGCCTCGTCAGGACTGACAAGGCTGAAAATATTTTCCTGGCCAATCACAAGTCTGTCGCGAATTTCTTGAGATTTCTAGCAGCAAATATGTCAAACTCGCGATGACTTTTCTGGTAGATTGAACCAGATTGAAGCACATTCCACCCCGCAGCAGCAATGAGGCTCACTGCAGATCTCATTCATAACTCTCTGTCATATCTGAACCCTCTCAAAGAGCGTGAACTGGACCTCCGAGGTATGTCTGAAAAGAGCAGATGCTACACTTTGATTTCTCTGAACGGGCAAGAGCATAGTTGACCACACACGATTCTCTTTGTGCAAAATGTATAGGCCATAAAATTCCCACCATCGAAAACTTGGGCGTTGCAGGCCCGCAAGATGCAATTGACTTCACCGACAACGACATTACCACCATCTCCAATTTCCCTCTTTCCCCCCGGTTGAACACCCTGCTGTGTGCGCGGAATCGAATACAAGGCGTGGACAAGAGAATAGCGGAACAAATACCCAACCTGACAACGCTGGTCTTGACGTCAAATTATGTCAAGGAGCTTGCTGATCTAGAGGGTTTGGCCGCCTGCGGAGCATTAACTCACTTGAGTTTACTGGACAATCCGATAACGAAGAAAGAGGTAAGCCTGGAGCACGAAGTCCGAAGAGAAAAGCCCTTCTGTTAACTCCATTCTACAGCATTACAGACTCTACCTCATTTGGTCGATCCCCTCGCTGCGGTTCCTCGATTTCCAAAAAGTGCGACAAGCAGAACGAGAGAGGGCAAACGAGCTGTTTGGCTCTGTGGAAGCACCCACTGAATTGGCCACGAAGATCAAGGGACTCAAGAGTCGGACATTTGACGCTTCTGCAGCCGGTGTGAATGGCAAGACCGCACCCGCGCAAAAGGGTGTCCGGACGCGGTTGACCGAGTTGGAGAAGAAGAGGGTAGAAATGATGATCCAGAATGCCAAAAGTTTTCAGGAGATTGAACGAATTGAGAGAGATCTTGCGGAGGGCAGAATACCCGCTGGTGCGGCGGACGCCGACAGGACGGTCTCCTGAACCTGCTGTTTAGCGTGTATCGCTGGAGAAACACTTGTACACGGGCAGGCAGCATTACTGCGGTGGTTGCGCATTGAGGTGAATAGATTCACAACCAAAAGGCGGTCTATTTCTATTGACCAAGGCGCGACCTCAACCCAACAATCTAGACTTGAGAAACCTCCCCCTCTAGGCCGTACTATTCCAATAAGAACTTCAGAAACGCTTGACTAACAATCAACCCATCATGTGGCAGGTTCACTTTGGTCATGTGTTGCTTAAATGCCTTGTCATCGAAAATACCTGTGGCATGTCGTGTGTTGATGATTTCTGTCATGATTTCCTGGTTGAACTCGGGGTGGCCCTGCACAGTAAGGAGCCGTTTCGGTGAATACATGGATTGGACCTTGCAAACAGGCGAGGATCCAAGCTCTTCTACGCCCTCTGGGTAATAGAAGACACAGTCGCGGTGCATTTGATGGAGGCGCTGTCCGGCATTCCTGTCAGCAAAAGGCACCAGTGGCATGTTGTACTCGGTACAGGGCTAGTGCAGATTACACAACATACAATCTTGTCCACGCCAAAGACTTCCTTCCCCTTTTCCGACAGCTGGACATCATTCACTGCCGCTTCCCAGCCCTCAGGGTTTCGCCCAACCTCAGCTTTCAAAGCCCGACCCACGATCTGGTGGCCAAAGCACACGCCAATCACGCGGACAGTGGTTTCTGACAGGATCTTCGCTGTATAGTCGACCAGTTTGTTGATCCAGGGTGTGTCTGCGAACGAGTCGTGTCCTGGGTTGGTCCTCACATCAGCACCGGTCGCTTGCTCCTAAGCCCAGTGAATGCTCGTCGCTTCCAGGGGCAGTGGAAGCAGACTGCATGATATCTTCGTCCTGCGGTCCATGGCCACAGTCTCATCTCAAGAACTCCCCAACAACATTAAGAACGAGCAACACTCACTGGAGCCGGTGATCAAAATGGCATCAATGTCATCGGGATTGGGATACTGGTCCGGGTTCAACTCAACCTGCCAGAACGAAAACTCGAGGCTACTGTCGGGATCCAAGTCGGCTCGCCCCAAGGCTTTGGCCCCTGACCGAAGTAAAAATTCGAAGACACCGCCATAACCATGAAATCTTTTCTTAGTCTCCGGCAGCGGAGTGTCGCACTCAAGGACGGCGATGCGCAGGGTTCGAACGAGTTTCAGATTCATTTTCTCTTCGTCCTCCGCGAGATCAATGAGTGCTCCGGGGAGTCGATCTCAACCAGAATCAGAGCTGCAAGGGCTTCACCGCCGCCATTGAAGTGAGCACCACATGAAGGGCGTAAGTGGCAATTCCATTATCTAATTGCGGATATAGCAGCCTGTGGGCAGTCAGTCAGTCGCGTCATTTGAAGTCGACCCGGCCTCTTCGCCTGCCGCTTTCACACGTCGCTCTTCTCCATTCACTCTATCTTTGGCGTGCTCTGATTGATAATGTACTCATACTCTGATTGGCTCTGTCCAAGGCTCGGCTATCGCCCAGTATGCAAGGGGCATGAAAGCACGACACCGGGTGATCTTCGACGCCACACAGTCGTTGTACAAGGTCTTGTACAAGTACGCTCCTTCCCCAGCAGATCTGCAAATTTTGGTGGTCAGCCATTGCCATTCGCGGCTGTCAGTCTAGCAAGAAAAGTCATCAGGCCTTTGTACTTCTGAGATCAGAACATCAGCGTGGCCTCCGCAAGATCGCTGTGATCATGTCATTGCGAGGATCTGAGGCGTTTGCACAGTAATCCTGGCCGAACACCAGATGGGCCAAGCGTCAGCATTCTGTTACTTCCAGCCCTATATCCGCCACATGCTAAGGCCTCGTGCGGCGGGCATTCTGTTCTTGCCCCTCAGCTTCATAAAGTTGTGGCCACCCAAAACCCGCGCTCGAACTTTTTAATGGCGTCTGACACCCTGGGCAAAATCGTTATATACTGCTTGTGACGACGAGACAGGCGTTGATCCCTCGCGCTACAGATTTGATCCTAGCAGAGTCACCTCGCCAGCATCACACCCGACTATGAAGAGCGACGACAAGAGACCGTTGATCGATCCGGTAGCGACGCCGGGCCCGTGCATCGAAGCCGGTATAGAGAACCACACGGGTCCTCAACCGACCGAAACGACAAGTTTGCTGTCCAAGCGGAAGCACACGCGGCGCTCTGATGTGCACTATCGAGACTGCATCTCAGGCCCTCGTTTTCATTTCCTGTTCTGGAGCATAATTTTTGGTTGCACAATTGCGTTCTTCGACACCACATTGATGGCCTCTTCCCATCCCGTCATCACCTCCTACTTCGAAGCCTCGAACGCTGCTTCATGGCTTAGTACAGTGTTCTACCTGACTTCCACGGTGTTTCAGCCAGTTTACGGCCGAGTTTCGGACACTATCGGTCGACGGCCAGCCTTGCTCTTCGCGATTGTCATGTTTTTCGCCAGCACGCTATGGTGCGGTGCAGCTGGAAGTATTAGCAGTTTCATCGCCGCCAGAGCGGTAAGTGGATTGGGTGCCGGCGGTGTGATTGCCCTCGGGGGAATCTTGACGAGCGACATTGTCAAAATCGAGTACAGAGGCATTTATCAGAGTTATTTCAACTTGGTATGTCTCCCCTTTTTCGACTGGCGAGGTCGGTTGCGCTGCCCCTGTCCCGCTCAGTCCACCTCTCAAAAGCAGATCCACCTCCCTGCTAACATTTCTTCAAAACCCAGGCGTATGGAGCAGGCAATGGGCTGGGTGCCGCCTTAGGTGGCTTTCTCTGTGACCACTTCGGCTGGCGCGCTGCCTTCTTCTTGCAGCTACCTTTTATCGTCGTCTATGGGGTGCTTGCCATCTTTTCTTGCCCAGATAACCTCGGTCCACATCTTGCTAAGACACAGGGCAAGACACTCGGCGAAGCCTTCAAGAGCTTCGATACCTATGGGACGATTGGAATGATCCTCACAGTCTCCGGCCTCATTCTGGGGGTGAATTTGGGCGGGAACGTTTTCACGTGGAGGCATCCCCTTGTTATCAGCAGCCTGGTGATATCTGGCATTGCAGGCGTTTCCCTGGTCTTCGTGGAGCGGAAAGCCGAACGACCAATTCTACCTCTGAGGCTTTTCTCAACAACGCCCCTTGCAAATGTCAATGGAAGCAACTTTATTGCCTCGATGCTTACCAATACCGTTTTGTTCAATGTTCCGCTCTACCTGCAAGCAGTCCGACAAACCTCGCCTACGACTTCGGGTCTTTACCTAGTACCTCCTCTAGTCGGCGCTAGTATCGCCGCTATCCTAGCAGGAGTTTACATCACCGTCACCAGACGGATGAAGCCGCCGATGGTGCTGGGCTCAGCCTTGGGACTTGGTGGCGCGGTAGCTATAACGTGTCTGTCAGCAGACACCCCTACCTCGCTTGTCCCTTATCTCATTCCTTTTGTCTCGATCGGCCAAGGATTCTTCTTCCCAGCAGCAACAATCGCAGTCTTAGCACTCAACTCACAGGAGGATCAAGCTGTGGCAACTACCACACTTGGCCTCATCCGCAACCTCGGCTCCATTATGGGCGTGGCTTTGAGTAGCTGGGTATTGCAAAATGCGCTGCCGATATATCTAAACAGATACATCACCGCACCTGACGCAGCGACCAAAGAACACATCATTCGCACCGTCAGAGAATCGATCCACTCGATCCGGGATTTGGATCCCGTGCACAGGAAACAGGTCATTGATGCATATGCGTCGAGCTTGAGAGCGACATTCGTCCTGGCCATCATCTTCTCCATTTTATCTGTCATGCTCATCTGGCCTGCTCAGCTGCCACGTCTGCAAAAACAAGAGGACATGGACAAAGACGAGACGGCTGTTTTCGCTCCGGGATCGAGTGGCGAGTCTGACGATGATGAAGAGGATGAGGCAGAAGCTGGGTCGCAAGCATTGCTGGCAACGCCGACTCATTCTATTGTGCGAACTTTGACGAGCGGTACGAATCGGAGCGCCAGATCAACGTCCTTGGGTGAGGCGCTAGGAAGGAGAGCAAGTTTTGACACGAATTTCTAGACTCTACAGCGTGAATACATTGCTTATGATGTACAACTTAATCTGGTCTTTGCGGCGGAGAAAAGCATTGACCTACTTAACAAACTTTTCGAACCCGCCGGAAACACGTCTGTCAATCCCCTGTACGACCTTTGCTTAGCTAAAATTTCGATCAGCCGCCAGTAAGGGCCTCATTCGTCCTATCAGCCGTGGACGTGGAGGGTGGTCAGAGGCCTCTCTGACACGAGATTGAGCACAACAGCTTGGGGGTTTTCCGAGCTGTTAACTGCGCAACACTCTAGACAAATAGGATGGCCCAAGTCGGCCCCTAGGAAACAGCCACACCTGAACCCACCACCTCCAGTCTCGTACATCTCCCGATATGCACTGGGAGCATGACCGTTCTATCATGGCCCATCTCCACAATGACGATATCCTCGACACCTAGAGGAGAGCCCGCCTTTTTATGTGAGAGGCTATCAAGGCAGCCTAGTCTCCAAAATTGATTAGCCGAAATCTGACTTGATCAATGACGCCGAATGGCCTTAGCAGGCTCCAAAAGGTGATCGGAGAAGGTCTTCTGAATCGTCTGGTCCCTCGTCGTGGATATTCCCTGAATCTCATTTCCCTCATGGCCAAACAGCGTGAGGCCATCTGCCATGACAACGGCTCAGCGAGGTTCATCTCTTCGTTGCGCAACCGGTTCACTCTCGTTTCTGGTACTCGCGCTCCGTCTCGAGCAGTTCGCTCAAGGAGGCGAGAAACAACTGTCCTTCGTCCTCGTTCAGCGGCAAAAGAGGTCGACGTGGCGCCTTACCATAACCGTGGACCTGGTGCAAAACAAACTCTGTGCAGTTGCCAGTCAGTGAGGGTTAGTGTAAATGGGTCTTTGGTCTTGTTGTCGACAGCTGCTCCGAAACAGGAACCACCTACTCATTGCCCGAATGCCCGCGTGGACAGCAATCGCGTCCGCGCGCGACAGCACGGCCTGCAATTTGTCTCTCTCCGACACTTCCTCATGCGTCGGTGATGAGGTGTTGAGGAGCTCCCACAGCCTTACAGAGGCTCGTGGAGCGAAATTAGGTATTCCGCTCACAGTACCGTGTCCGCCACACGCCTTCCACGCGGTAAGGTCTCCGATTAGGCCATCGAGGAGAAGGAAAGGGAAACGGCGAGTGGGCATGGTGGTTTGGAAGCCATCCTGAGCTGCTTTCAACCGCACCAGTTTGCCGATACTGCCGCCGCATCTGAGAATACGAAATGAATCCACGGCCAACGAGCAGCAGGCCTGAGTCACTTACGTTAACTTGACGCCGCACAAATTTGGCGCCGCTCTCATGATCTTCTCAATGACCTCAGATGACATATCTAGGCCTGCCGCGTTTGTCGGAAAGTTATAGAGGAATAACGGAATCTGAGGTGGACCATCAGCCCAGGTCATCAATCTCCTTGACAGATCCGGGTGTTCTGGTACCGGAGAAGCTTCACATATGTCGACGTAGTACTTGACGATCTGTTCCTGGTCCGAATTCAAGCTTGCAGCGTAGTAGGCCGGTAGTATCACGAGCCCGGCGTCCCTAGATTAGGTCAACAGACCTCGCCGCGAATTTAGCAGTCTTAAGAATGCAGACTTACGCTCCGGCAGCTGCAGCATCCCGACACAACCGAATTGTTTCTCGAGTGCTGAGGCCCCCGACTCCGGCAACGATGGGAGTCGAGGTCAAGCTCAGATCGTCTAGAGTCTGGCGAGTGACTTCAATCAGAGTCCGCCGCTCCGATGGGTCCTGATGTATATAACCAGCCGAGTTAAATATTTGGGGCCGCAAAAGATCAGGACGGCGGCAGAAAAGGAACCAACCCACCAGATGAGCACCTTCTCCAAGGGAGCCTGAGCAGACAGGTACTAATGTTGTATTTTTCCGTCAGCTGTCGCTATCGTTATAGTGCATCGCAAGATCTTGGGGGGCCCGGTCGGACACAGACTGACTTATGCCTTTTGTTGCCAGATCTGATAGTGTTTATTGCTCTTTCATTAGTCTGAGGAGGGCAATAATCCAAACGTTAAACCATACCAGCGAGATGTTCCCTGTAACTGGCAAGGTCCAGTTCCTGGTCGTCGTCAAAAAAGGTAGGCAGCGGGCCATACAGCCCGGGCCTCAGTTCGCGCATGGTTCGAGTCAAAGAGTTAGGTTCAGTCAAGGAGTATACCGAGATAGGAGAAGTCAAGAAGGCAGCACAGTGCCCATACTCTGTCGCCAATCAACCCCATGCGAGTTATGAACACGTCGCCGTGTCCATATTGTGCCTCCCCGAGATGTCGTTGTTCCCTGTCGGCATCAGCGGAAAGGTACCGACAATGCAAACACACTCTAGCTTCCAAGCTTTTGAGCAGGATCGGCGTTGTGCGGCAGCCTCCTAACTACCTCCAACCGTTGCTTGTTATTTGTAGTCTGAGGGTCTCCACCCTTATCAGCTTCTAGGAACGTCGGGCAAATGAATGCCAACATTGAGAACTATCAACCAGACACATTCTCAGACCAGCTTACAATCCAGACCCCTGCGAGTCTGCAGGCTTCGTGCGCTCGTCAATTCTTCAGCATATTTCATAGCGCGGTCCTCTTATCGCCCTTAGATGCGGCTCGTCGGCTCGTCTCCGACGGCCACCAACATTTCGATGAGTGGTCATGGAGACATGTGCGAGGAAAGGTGCTTTCGACTAGGACTTATAGCATATTAACCCCTTGGCTACTGGCGCACATCACTGGGGCTCTCTGCAGAAGATATTGCAACGGATTAAGCAGTTTGCAACCCCCAGTCACGGATCCAAGATTCTGCATACACCGATCGCGAGAATTACAATGGCAGCCGACGAGGTGAGCATTTTGGGGACCAGTCTTTACTGCAACAAGAGAAAAATTCTGATGTACTCTCAACTATGAGTTCAGCCCAAGCTTTCCTTCGGAAAGGAACCCAATATGGCCGCTGTGGATGAGCCCACGAGCGCGGAAATAGGGACGTTGACTGATGCCAAAGTGAACGGTCTCCATAGGCAGCTAAAGGTACGTTACTGATCTCTCCTGTACCCCTACGGCATGATACTGGTGTCACTGACTCTGCGCTTGCGGATCCCATAGCCTCGTCACATGTGTGTGTAAAGATATCGATCTTTGCCGCTCCAGCATGACTTACCTTCTTAGGCAAATGATCGCAATAGGCGGTGTCATTGTAAGTATTGCTGGCTGTATGGTCTTCTGTGGCCATTTACCGACAATATCTACAGGGTACTGGATTGTTTCTTGGGACTGGAAACAACTTGGCGAATGGTGGCCCTGCAGGACTGTTGATCGCATACTGCCTCATGGCCTCGCTGTTATTCTCGGTTATGGTATGTCTCAACGACCCCCTGCTCCTGGGTCATTCGACGCTGACTCCTGTCCTTGCAGGTTGCTTTGGGAGAGATGGTGTCCAAGTTTCCCATTCCTGGTGGCCAGTTTGCGCTGGCAAGCCGGTTCGTCGCACCTGAGCTGGGCTTTGCGATGGGCTGGCTCTATTGGTATAAGTACGGCCACTCCCTGAGAACTCTCTATATGACATGCTCATTGTTTACAGCTATATTAGTGGGTGAAGGCACACTCCTTACACTTGCCTGTGCGACTGACCGTAGGAAGTCGTTCTACCCGCCGAGATTTCTGCAGCTGCTGTCATCATCTCATACTGGACGCCTGCCGGCCAACCAGACTCGACCTGTACGACTGGAATCTGCAACAACGCGTTGTGGGTTGGGCTTATGCTCATCGTGGTGGTTAGTTTCACTATTCCTGTTGTCTTTAGGGCCTTGGGTTCTAACGATCCGTGTGTCAGTGGGCCATCAACTTTGCAGGAACCCGTGTCTTTGGTGAACTCGAGTTTTGGTTTGCTTCTATCAAAGTCATCACCATTTTGGGGTTGATCATTGCTGGCATCGTCATCACCTCTGGCGGTGGCCCGAACCACGAGTCAATTGGTTTTCGATATTGGCATGAGACGGGCGGGTTTGTTCAGTATGCTGGCATCCGTAAGTCTCGATCAATGAAGACAACACTGAAATATTCTCTTGCTCAAGCTATTGACATTCGGAAAATACAGCCGGCGCAGAGGGACGGTTCTTGGGCTTCTTTAGCGGTGCGTTGTCTATCAAGGCCATCCTGCCAACCTCCACATGCTAACAAAATACACATAGTGCTGATAAGCGCCGCGTTTGCCTTTATTGGCACAGAAATCACTGCCATCGCTGCTGCGGAGACGGCAAACGTGGGTTTCTCATATGTATCCATGGTGTGGAGAGTCCTGCTCACATCTTCAAGCCTCAACGCTCGGTTCCTCGCGCGATCAAGGGTGTCTGGATTCGTCTTTGCCTTTGTGAGTCGTTCTTTGTGTCTACCTGAACTGACCCGTAAAATAAATCCAAATACTGATAACTACAATAGTCTACATCATCAGTGCTTTCATGGTGAGTTCCGTTACAAAAATGATCTGCCAGGATGCATTGATACTCATTTCTCCGCAGATTGGTTTGCTTGTTTCTCCTACCGATCCTTCACTAAACCTGTCCTCGACTGCCGCCAAGAGTCCTTTCGTCATTGCCATGAAGGTATTCACTCTTTCACAACGGCCCCTGAATGCGAAGCTCATCCCCGTGTTACAGAATGCCGGCATAAGTGCCCTTCCATCTGTGGTAAATGCTGCCCTTCTCACCAGCGCGTGGTCTGCTGGGGTTGCCGACCTTTTTGTGTCGTCTCGCACATTGTACGGCCTTTATTCTCGTGGCCACGCCTTCAAAATCCTCGGAAAGACCCGTCAAGATGGCTTACCGTGGGTCGCCGTCGTTGTTGGCGCCGCCTTCTCTTTACTGTCGTTCATGGCAGCTAGCAAGGGCAAAGCAGGAACTGCATTCGGATATTGTACGCTCAAACCCCCAGATCCCACGTTGGCCATGTTTTGACATGTATCCTCACTCTGCAGTCGCGAATATGACGGCAATCTGTGGTATCATTTCATGGTCTGGAATTCTTTGGACCAGCATTCGTTGGCACAAGGGCCTGAAAGTCAACGGCTTCGACCGCAAGTCTCTACCCTATCGTGCACCGCTTCAGCCTTACCTCAGCTATTATGGTCTGGCCGTGTGTGTTATTGTCCTCATTTTCGGTGGTTTTGGCTCGTTCATCCACAAGTTCGACACGTCCTCGTTCATCACCACGTACTTTCCAATCCCGTTCTTTGCCGTGTTGCTCTTCGGCTACAAGTTCTTCCAAAGGAGCGAGATGGTGAAGTATGAGGATTTTGACTTGGTCACTGGTGCATCAGAAGACGTCAGCAATATAGTGAGTTTCGCTGCCGGATTGAGGCGTACCGATGCTGACACAGTGTGCCGCAGTTCGAGCACGAGACTCTTTGGCAGAAAATCAGAGACAGCGCATGAGTTGAAGTTATGGAAGGATTATCCAGAGATCGTGCCGCATATTGTCAGAGGGTTTGAGGTGATGCTGGGACCGTAGAGGCAGTCATTTGGAAGCCCCAGACAAGGGCCAGGAGCTGAGAGAAACTGGACCTGTCTTCCCATCCGTCCATGGGGCGCCTTTTTCTTGGAAATGAAGTTAGGGGCTCCTTTTAAGTAAATCTTTAACCAAATGCTTAAAGCTTCAAGTAAGGTCTTAACTAACTTTTACCTTCTAGGTATGCTTACCCAGTCCTGAGAAAGAGGGGTTAATTGGTTGGAAGGGGGAGATACCACGACCATGAAGATCAAATTAGACTTGCTGCTGGTCCCCACCACTGCGATAAGGGGCAATGGCTACGATAACACTCCCTTTGTACTGCCCATAATGCACCTGGATTACAATCTGAGCAGACACCACATCTTCTTTTCATCCCAGAGCCATTTTCTGCATAATAGAATGCCTCCCAGCTCCCTCTTTCGGATTGCAGTGCCACTCTTGCCTAGCTGACTATGTCTGGGAGTCGCAACTCAGAAGAACCACCACCAGCCAAGACCCGTCGCATTGCCCGGGCATGCTTGCAGGTAATAGGTCAAAATCGTGAAATCCTCCTTTTCTACCAGAACGAGCTCTAATCATGGATATCGATTGCCCAGTGCCGTGCGCGGAAGCAGCGATGCTTGCCCGCCGAGGAACATCCCAGCTTGGGTGCCGCCTGCAAGCGATGCAAGCACCAGGATGTCTCATGCTCCTTTCAGACCGAACAGCAGGATCCGCCAATTTCCTTTCAAGGGTCTAATGCTGATGTCAGTCTGCTTGCCAGTATCCAAGCTCGGTATCAACCCTCACAGTTGTTCTCTCACGCTGAGCTCCGGATTTACTGATTATGGGGTAAAAGCTTGAACAATCACGAGCACCGCTTGGCAGATCTGGAGGCGCGGAGTCCTCCTCTCCAGCAGGATGATGGCTTTCAGCTTCACGCTCTTAGTCCTCAGTCAGTCATCAACCCCATGTATTGAAGCTCGATATCTGACGTATATCAGACCGTCTACGATCAGTAGTCAAGACGACTACAACGGTGCGGAGCCTAGAAACGATGATCAAAGGACGTCCGTCGACCATAGTTCGCGGGATGACAATCAGAGAATTCTCAACATGAACGCTGTCGATCTAGGCCCACCTATATCTACGCTTCGAAGCCTTGGAGCCATGTACGGAAATCACAATCCTCGAGAGTCCACCAACAATGCCCGGACCATTGGGATAAGCATGGAGCCAACGACACACCGTTGGCCACTGGATCCCATCCTCAATGGTGTCTTGACGATGGCTGAAGCCTGCCGAGCGATCAACATGTGAGGGATGTTTGTGCGCCGCATTTGACGTTGATTGACATGATCTTGCTTAGATTCTTCAATCACTGCCACCCAATGGCACCAGTACTAAGCGAAGGCCTGCGATCTGAGGCGGAACTGTTGAGATCGGGCAGACCATTGTTGTTCCTGGCTCTCTGCTCGATAGGAACTCGATTCTGGCTCCCTGATCATGCCTTGTAGGTCAGCGGGTGCTTTCTCGGACTCACTCGCGCTGATCAAGGATAGTCCACGAAGGTGGCCAACATTGCACCCTAGATGCTCCGAGCTGGCTGTCCTTCTTGACAAAGCTGTATCACGACTGCTGCTACGCCCCACGCCCCGCGATGTCCATCTAGACTCGGTGGTCGTCCTTCTCCTATATGCTCAATGGATGCCGTACAGCAGGCAAGCATACCAAGACCGGAACGATCAAGACCAGGAAAGGAGATCCAAGCGTCCGTCGAGTCGCTACAATGATATCAGCGCTTGGGCCGTGCTTGGGCTGGCTGCCAGGTACGCGACAATGCTTAACCTGGCAAAAGATGCCATTGCCCCTTTCAAGAGACCTCAATCGGTCGCAACTCAAGAAGACATGGCGCGGCTGAGGATTTGGTACAACCTCTTGACGTGTGATTGGAACTTGATGCTGTCTTCTGCCCTTCCCGCCACCCTTGACCCTACCGAAGGGGTCAGTATCGCGCGGACTTTTGGTAGGCAGCCTACGGGGCAGCAGCCCAATGATCTGCGGTATGCAGCCTTGGTGGAGCTCGTCGGCATCTCACACAGTGCTCTCGAGACCAACAAGGAGTTTTCAGCTCGCCGGTTGAACGCTGCTGGGCTTCGAAAATTCAACGTGGCTTGCGATGACTGGGAAAGGTATGTTGCCCTCATAAATCCGCGCTTTGATGGTAGCTAGCTTTTCACACCTTCTCAACAGGCATTGGAGTCCGATTCTTCGTATGAATCACCACTCCCTGGTGTTGATAGGACCACCCTAACGACCTGCAGGATATACCCACTTCCAGCATGTTCATCTGCCGTTCACTTCGCTACGGGTAATTGCTCCATATTCAATTCTCTATGCAGCCGACTAATCTTGAACATCAGTGGTGCCGGCTCGCGCTCAACAGTGCTGTTTTAGGTCCTTATCTGGCCTCAATCATTGAAGGGGATACACAGCCATCACATGTTTGGATTCTGGAAGCCCTGGAGACTAGTCTCACGGCAGCCATGCAGATAATATTCTGCGTGTCAACACTCGGTCATGATCACGTATGGGGAATCGATTCGCAAGACGCGTGCACAGTTCCTACGGACCGCTTCGCTGTTGACCAGACCACGCTTGAGCGTCTTTGCTACGCCGTGGACTCTACATGGGTCTCGTACACGTTTGCTGTAACTTTTCTGGCGTTTTGCTATGTGAAAGGGCTTGTCGACGGTAGACATATTGCTTTTCCTTTCTCAACAGACGCTCCACAAACTCTGGCTGACTTTGCCCGTGAACAGACGAGCTGCGGCTGCGGCCCCTTATATCTGCAAGCTCACCTCAACATGTGGCCCCGCGGTCACCCCGATCAATATCACTTCTTGCACGTTTCCTACGATTGGCCCTCGATCTGTTCGACGCGGTGTGCCAAGTTTCCACCTTCCGACTAGCACAAGAGCTCCAAGCTGTCGTCAAAGACTGCGTCCTGCTTCTGTTGACCGAGGACAGCGAAGATCGCACCCGTGGTCAAGAGGTCGACACGACGGGCATGCAGTCTTTATTCGACCAAATGATGGACCCCGGGTTTGATTGGCCAGTACTCGCAGAAGACTGGGATGTTACCAGGACACCTTTGACCTGAGGGTAGTCGTTGAGTTCATTGAGGGTCACTTACAGAGTTTGGGTGTCGTAAATGATTGCAACAAGTGTATCTTCATTGGACGACGATCTAGAACGTGGCAATGTTCCTCTTGGCGGCGAGGAAGGGAAGCAGAATTTGCGCTTCTTGAGATTACACAGATTGGTACCACGAGCCGTTTCTATGACCAATGTGTTGGTCCCGAAGAGAAACAAGAGAAGGGGTTGTACAAGCATTCCGCTACAACGTCGGCCCCAAGCCGATGCCTTGTCGGCTCAGTATCGGGCCTTCCGACTGCGACGGACTCGCCCGCTTCACCAATGACGTTCCACTATGCATCTACAGTGACGCGCTGTGAGGTAGCGGACCTGATGGTGAACGAGCCTTGGTGCATCGCGGACATCGATATCTTCACAGGAGGCTCGAAGACAGGATTCTTCCTCAGATTGGAAACTCCATTGCTACCTACTCTACGCATCGTACTGTACGGCCGCTTCCACCATGCCTATCACCATTCACAGCCTACCTCGAGTATACACACATACAACCCCTGTAACAGACTCACACTTGAAGCTCCGTCTGCGAGGCAACGAAGACCAAAGTCAACGAGAAGATCACGCTGCTGTCACCGCTCTCAAATCTATCAAGAGGGGAGCACTCACAGTCACGCCGGTGCTGAGCCATCCCACCGTGGGCTCTGAACGCTGTGGACGCTTTGGAGCGGAGGTTGAAGGCGTCGACTGGACTCAACCAGTACCCAAAGAAGTGGTCGAACAGGTAAAACAAGAAAAGCCCCTTTCCTCTGCTGTCTCACTGCTGCTTTCAACCCTTCCTTTGCTTGTTCTTCATCCCTCATTGTCTTCAAATATTGAAGGACGGTATTGACGAACTCTTCAGCTGAAAGACTTGCAAGACGAATACGCCGTGCTGATCTTTCGCAGAACGGGTCTCGACAACGTTCGGCATGTCGCTTTCTCACAGCAACTTGGACAGAGGCTGGAGATTAATCCCTTCTTTTATGGTCGCGAACAGGACCGAATAGGAGATCCTTTTCTATGGGATGTCAGCAAGTATATATCACTTTTCCAACTTTTCTAATCTTGAGCGCATAATAATAGGCTCACAAATGTGCTGCTGCTGCTGCTGCCCCAGCTTTCTTCGAGGCTGACTTGAATTATCAAAACTGCAGCATCAATCGGGATGGGACTCTGGTAAAACCAAACTCTCGCAGGTGGCATCATAGTCTCGGCAATGCACTTTGGCATACGGTAAGTGGATGTTGTCCTTTTTGGTGAAATGAGAAATAGATGGAGTCGAACCATTCCCCACAGAGCAGCCATCTGTGCAGTGTCTGAGCGCGTTCTGGTTGTGGGGATGAGCTTAATGTTCATGTTGATGATAAGAATAATAATGTCGAGATAGGACTCCTCATACCATCAAGAACGCTCGAAATACTCCCTTCTCTTGTCGCACGGAGAGCCAGTTCGAGGCGGGTCCTGGACACACTTTGCAGACACGCGGCAGGCATATGAAGATCTCCCGCACTCGATAAAGGACATGCTAGAGGACCTGGTGGTGGAGCACGAGTATGACTTTCCCTCGATCTTCTTGTCCTTTTTTCTAATTTTTGGGCGCTGCGACTTTTGCGGAGCCTACCAAAGCAAAGCCGCAATACATCCATGATGACCATATGGCTGATCCTTTCGTTGATACACAAGTCTCTGGCATTCGCGGCTCCTAGGGTCCCCGACAACGTTCAAGGAACCTCTACCGCATGAACGGGCCGCCAAACCCCCAGCGTACCACAAGCTTGTCCAGCGCGCCCCTGGAGGACGAAAGACACTCTTCCTCGCCGCCCACGCCAAACTCATCCTGGGGTGGTCATTCGAAGAAAGCCAAAAGCTCATTTGGGATCTGATTGAGTGGTGCACGCAGCCCAAGTACGTGTTCAGCATGGAATGGCTGGACGGCGGCGATATGGTGTGGTGGGATAACCGGTGCGTAGCCTTTTGGGTATTGTTTGAGGATTGCCTGCCCCCTTTCCACCTTCTTTACCTTTCCCTTCGATGCTTTCAATGAGCGTGGATTGCGAAACACTCGCTCGCAATGCCACTCCAATGGACAGAACAGAAGCAGCTGACGCAAGGGCTACAGACAGTCTATGCACCGTGCTAATCCATACACGGAGAGCATGACAGCCCGAGACGTGCGTAGGGCTACCGTTATAGACGACGGGCCTTTGGCTTGGGGCGTCACCGGGAGCGAGAGGATTGTCGCAGAGCAGCATGCGAAGGAATTCGGAGCGCGACAATGGGACCTTGCACTCGAGTAGGGAACTGGAGGAGGAGATGTCAGTCTCTCTCACGCTAGGCATGACATCTGGGTCCCATGAGTAGTCAATTTCCGTTACATCAGGACCTATAAAATGTTTGAGCGGATCTCACCGTCTCTTTCTGTATCTGGTTCTTCAAATAACCGTGGGCCATGCATTGCAATATATAAACTGTATCTCAATTTTCCTTTCCTTTCCTTTCCTTTTTCTTTTCTTCTAAAATCCCGAGCATAGACCTACCCCAACGCCTCCCCCGCCCTCTGAAACACAACCTTGAACTTCTCGGGCACGTCGAACTTGCCCATCCGCACATCGACAAAGTGCAAGCCGCGGCCCTCGCAGAAGTTCTCGTCGGCGAGCAACGCGTCGAGATCCCGCCAGGTGGAGATCTCGTAGTTGCGCACGGGATAGTCGTCCTCTTTCGCCTGCCCGTCTCCGACCACGGAGAGCTGCGCCTCACTCGCGCCAAACGCGCGGGCCAACTCCCCGTACCGCCAGGGTGCCAGGTCGTTGTAGTCGGCGTGCATGCCGTGGATGAGGCGCTCGTAGGCGTAGCCGGCGTTGTTGATCAGGAAGATGGTCGCGGGGATGCGGTGCCGGATGAAGGTGCCCAGTTCCTGCACCGTGGCTTGCAGGCCGCCGTCGCCGTCGAGGAGGATGGTTCGTCCTTCACCACCACCACCACTGTCTTTTGTTTCTTCTTTTGATGGTGACGGTGATGGTGCTGCCTTATGTTGATGACGTCGTTGTCGCCGTAGTTCTTGCCGCGCCAAACTCACCCCCATGGTCAGCGGCAGCATATGGCCGATCGAGAACCACTGGCCCGAGGCGATGGTCTGGGCTCCCTGGGGCAGGACCAGGTCTCGCCCTCCCAAAATCGGCGTCGCGTTGCCCAGGACCACCATGTCGTAGGGGCGTAGGTACGCGCTGAGTCGGAGGTAGAAAGACGTCTGGTCGATCGGGGCGTCGAGGTCGATGATGCTTTTGCCCACCCCTGGCGAGATAAATGCAGGGGCCTGGATGGTGCGGAAGTTCCCCAGAGACGCCACTGCATCGGGTGCCGCGGCCACGGCTGAACGATCAATCTGCTGCGTCAGCCGGGCGAGGAATCGTGGGAGATCGATCGACTCCGTATCCCTCGTTGTCTCCGTCCCCGTGGCGCCGTTGGTCGTGGTATGTCGAGTCCGGTTGTGGATGGCATTCTTAGCCAACGTGACCGTCCGCGCCGGGTCCGGCACCACCTTCCACGACAGCGTCTGCGTGTCAGAGAACATGGGCCCAAAGGCAATCACCAGATCCGCGCCTTGCACGTACGGCATTGTGTCGATCTGGCCGACGGGGCCCGAGTGCACGCCGTAGTAGTTGGGGAGCGCATGCTCGACCATGCCGTTGCCGGAGGGCATGCACAGGGTCGGGATCCCCGACGCGCGCACGAAGGCGTTGATCTCGCTCCGCAGCTGCCGCACGCCACCGCCGCTGTCGACCAGAAGGAGGGGCTGTTTGGCGGTGTAGATTCTCTGCAACAGATCGTCGACGAGTCTCTTCTCGCGGTGCTCGTCGCCATCAATCGACCCCGACCCTGACCCCGAACCTTTCGACGTCGAGTCCAGCAACGGCTCCTCCAACCTCCCCCCATCGACCTCCTTCCCCACCATATCCGCCGGTAGCTCGATATATGCGGGTCTGCTCTCCCTCAACGCCGTGGCAATGGCGTGATCAATGTCCTGCGGCACTGTGTCTTGATTCACAAGATTGGCCTGCGCGACCGTGACGTGGCGCGCGATCTCGGCAAACACCCTCGGCCGCCCGTCCCCGAGCGTGTGGTGGACATTCGCCCGCAAATCCTGCAGACGGCGCTGCGGCGTGCCCACGATCGACACCACGGGCACATGCTCGCTGAAGCTGCCCGCGACGGCGTTGAGGCAACTTAGCTCGCCGACCCCGTACGTCGTCAGCAGCGCCCCCAATCCACGTACCCGCGCGTACCCGTCCGCCGCGTAGCCCGCGTTCAGCTCGTTACACGTGCCCACCCACTTCACCCCCGCGGGTCCCAGGTGGTCCAGCGCCTTGAGCGTGAAATCACCCGGCACCCCGTGGATGGCGTGCACGCCTTGCTGGCGCAGGCGGGTGAAGAGGTACGTCGCTACGGTGGTGGTACGACCACCACCGGGTCTTGATACCATCGAATGGGAAGTCGGCTGTCCTTTGTATTTGTTGGTTTCTGTTAGCGCTTTGATTGCACGTACGAGGTATATCCTGATTGATTAGGTTGCACTGCGCTTTTTTCATGGCCCTCTCGACACAAAAGGCTCAAGTAATAAAAGGTGAGGTCGCGACTAAGCCGCGGTCGGGAAAGCAGCACATAAGAGGTATTACGCTACGCATTACCCCGATGTGGAGAGTTTTCTGAGGCCCACCAAAAATGGCGATATAAGGGCCCAATGGTCACGCTCATGTCTGATAACGTCAACCGTAAGCCCTCGACTGGAGAGGGGAGTGTCATTATGCTACCGAGAGTAAGCGGGTTCCCATCATGGCGGGGCGCGTGTCTCAGCCTCACATCTGACAAGGCTGGGAGGCCCCTTTTCTATAGCAAGAATGAGACTAAACAGATAGTCGCATAGCGGAGGATAAGCAGGATTATACGCATGGATGATCTTCACTTCGATGCAAAACACGTCGTTTCCAAGTCGTTTCTATTTCTATTTCTCGAGACTTGAACTTACGAACCTGGAGTATTAGATCTACCTTCCTTCCGGGATACACCCTCCCACTTAGAGTGATAAACCTCATTCGAGGCTGCTGGCACGCAAGTCAAGACTTGTGTTGCCGCAACGTATTCCACCGGGGTCTCAGTATTGTAGCTCCTTTCCCTCTGTCTTCAATGGCCCTCTTCACAACATGCGGGCCACGTACTCTCCAGCATGGAACACATCCCGCGAGCCCCAACACCCCATCCATAATCTTCGGACGGACTTCCCTAGGCGCGGAAAGAGGCTGAAGCGTCTATGCATGCCTTGTTCTGTGCGGGATTGGAGATAGTCCGCGGGTGGCTACAGCGTAGTCACTTTACTGACATATTGCTGGTGTTTGTTTGTGGAATTGCGCATCGGACTCATGGTGATGACTTCTGGAGCCGGGTGAATACGTGATCGGGGTTTGCCCCTGGATAAGCATGAAGTCGCTGACATGTGGTCGAGCCTGCGTATCAGAAAAATGTCGTCCGCGATAGCCGGCTGATGTCGCGACTGCCGCTAACAGAAGTAGCGACTGAATAAGTGGAGGGCTCATACGGCTTGTTGAGCTGGAATTTTGATCCACGTTCCAAGATTGAGGCATTTGGCCGAGGAAGTTGGTTAAAAAGCAGTATTAGCTCGCTTTTCAGACATAAACCACCAAGGTTCGTCGATATCCTAGGCCGAATTGACGTCAAATAGCAGGCTCGCAAGCACGACCGAGGCAAATTCGAATAGCGTAACATAGAAAACAATCATGAGCCGCTCGGGCAGTCGCTGAGGCCAGGGGCGGTGGGATAGAACCAGGCGGCGACTGCAATGATAATGTACAAGGTCATCAGCAAGATACCCTCAAGGTAATGCGACTTGCCATCGCTGATCAAGTAGTTGACAAGGAGAACTGCCACGAACAAGACGGCGATCTGGAAGCCATCAAAGAACAAGGTCATGTCGTCTTTACCCATAATCCAGCCCAACACAACCACGAATGGAAGCACGAGAAGTGCAATTTGCATGCTGGAGCCAACAGCGACACCAATGGCCAAATCCATCTTGTCTTTAACAGCCACAGTGACCGCAGTCGCGTGTTCCGCAGCATTGCCAACAATGGGAAGCAAAATGAGACCGACAAAGTTCTTGGAAATGCCGCCGCCGCAGGTGATGGAGTTGATCGAATCAACCAAGTACTCAGCGTTCAGGGCGACGAGGACAGTGGAGATCGCCAACGTCAGCATAGCAACCCAAATGGAGAGTTGGGGCTGCTCGGGCTCATCGTCTTCCGGCTCCGGCGTCTCAGTACCTGCTCCCTTTTTCGAGCGGAGCTTGTCGGGAATGACTGCATCCTTGAACTTTGTACCTACATCCCGTGTCTCATTCTTCGCGCTGGGGGCGTTGTAAATTGCGGCGTGACTTTTGAGTTGGAAAAAGAGGTAGCAGGCATAGACAATCAGGAGAAGGATGGCCGTGCCTCTGCTCAGTTGCGCCACACCAGGTTTGGCGTTCTCGGTAGTGGCAGTTTCGGTGTTGCTGGTGTTGTTTCCGGTCCGAGCCCACTGCTCGAATGCGGTGGGAATAATCAGACTGCTGACTGCCAAGAAGAGCAGACTGGAAGCAGTTTGAGCGACTGTGATGTTGAAGGCCTGCTCCATGCGGTTGACGCCGCCGAAGAAAAAACACATGCCCATAACCAGTAGAAGATTGGAGAGCATACTGCCAATCAAGGAAGTTTGGACAATCAAGACCTGATCTTTTGCCAGAGCGATAATGGACACAATCAACTCGACCGCGTTACCAAAGGAAGCATTGAGCAAACCACCAAGAACTTCACCGGTTCTCAGAGCAATCTCCTCAGTGGCATAACTCAACATGGCTGCCAAGGGGATGATGGCGATGAAGTTGATGACAAAAACTGCGACCGGATTGACATGGGCGTAGTAGACCGCAATGCCGACAGGCGAGGCAATCAGGAGAATATTGATCCAGGAATTGAAGACGGTTGCTCGAATTTGGCTCCACGCGGTAAACGTTGGTTTGTCTTTGCCGTTGTTGTCATCCTTGCTTTCCTTGGACTCGCGGCTGAAGAGTGCCTTGAGACCGTGTTTCTCTACGCTTTTGTCACCAAGGCCACGGTTCCGCATTGAAGCCCCTTCATCTGTTTGACTGGGTTTGTTATATGTGGCAGTATCGCTGCTCATCCCGTCTTCATTGGGCCCATTCTGGAACTCGTCATTGACTGGACTGAGCGAGCGTGGCAACTCGACCTCATCGCCAGGTGCGTATGGCTTTGGAGTCGACCTGGCATTTGGTGTGGTTGCAGCATGTTTCACGGACGGATTTGCACCGAGCTCTTCACCTCTTTCTCTTGATGAGGATTGCCGATAATTATTTGGATCGTCTGTTCTGGTAGCGGTCAGGGGCGAGCCATTGCCGTCGCCGTTCTCAACGCGACGGAGAGTATTGGACCTCGAATTGGATTTCCACTTCGCAAACGGATTCTTGATGGGCAAGTTTGTGTCGTCGTTAGGGTCAGCGTACCACGCGGAAGCTTTTGCCTGATGGCGAAGCTTGTCTGCGCTTTGGTCAGGATGCAACGCACAGGAAGCCGTTGGTGCAGTGTTACTCACGCATTGTTCAGAACCCTAACCTCAAACCACTCTATGATGGAATATCTCAGTTGTCTCGAAATGGCGACACTTGTACAGTTCAAGAGGCCATTGGATGTCTAGAAGACAGTGGTATGGCGAGTAAGAGGTTTAGGGTAGATGGTGCAGAAGTTGGGATGTATGAGAAGGTCCTTCCAGATATGTGGCAGACTGTTACTCGCTGCACAGCCCCGTTCGACAGCGGAAACAAACCAGCGGTGATGGCGTGACGGTGAAGTGAAGGTGAAGGATGATGATGCAAAAACAGGGAATCGGGCAGACACAACAGCACCGGACCAGTCATGAAAGGGAGGAATGAGAGGAATGAGAGAATGGCTTCTTGGCAAGACGGAAGAGAGATTGATTAAATTCCTCGGACTCATCTAGCTAGAGTAACTAATTAGGTAGAGAATATCGGTAAACGAAAAGCAAACGCGGAAGCGCGCTCTGCGTGTGAAAGTGTTTCCCTTTGTCTGGCTTGAAACCAGGGGCTGAATGCTCCATACTACGGATAGGCATCAGTATTTGGCGATGGTGGCGCCGCGGGAATGAAATCATGACCGGGAGGCAGATGCTGAAGCTGCGGATTCCCACCTGATTCCCAATGAGTTGTCCCCAGTTGGCGCCAATTCCCCTGGTCGCCTCCCAGCGCTCATGCACAATGACGGGGAATATCCAAACAGAATCTAAACAAACCCAGCCTAATTTGTTGGCCCCTGCCCTGTTCAGCTGCAACCCCTGGTCTCTCAGGCTGTCTAAGCCACACCGGCTCCACCACTTTGGTTAAACCCGAGCCTATTGCAGCGGCTGATCACTACCCCCTGGACTTCTACTCAGGCGTCTCTGGTTTCTTGGCGCGTCTATCCAGCGCCGATCCCAGCGTCATTGTGTTCTTGCCCATCAAGTTGTGTTCGTAGGGATCGAGGGATGTAGGAGCATCAAGGATTGGGGTCAATCCCATGGCATTCCTCCTTTGGGCTCAATTTGCGAGGCTACAATCCCGGCGGACAGGGTGCAGGTGAGATGTAAGATTCCTCCTGGATTTTTCTGCCCACAGCTTCAAGGCCCGAGCTATACCTCCTGCTCGTCTTGAAGCCTTGGCTTCTCCGTCGGCGGCCTGGGCGCAATTCAGCTGTGATTGCTTGGGCGTTCTTGGGCGTTCTTGGACACGCTTGGGGCATCTTGGTTAAGCTTGAATCAACGGGCTTGTCTCCTCATTTACGAGGTTTTGCCAGCTGCACCAAGGACCATTTTTACCATGTCAAGCAAGAGGAGCTGAATGCGGTGCGAAGCCGAGGCAGAAGCCTCGTAACAATCAGCCACAGTGCACCGCCACATCTCTTTTCGCCTTGCTCAATGCCATTCTCTTTGCTCAGCCTGCGAAGGTGCCTGACATTACAGAGACCTGATCAAATCCTCTTCAGGCACCACTTACGGTCGCAGTCACGTCCAGGGGTTTCCCAACCCACCCAATTCACCGCCAATTGCATGCTATTATTGATTGGTGAGCTTCTCCCACGTGGTTGAAAGGCTTATCACGTGACCTCACGTGAGCTAGATTGTCACAAAACTAGGGGCACGACAATCTCAAATCATCCCACACCAGCGCCCAAATACTCACTTGACTGTGCCCACGAAGAGCACATTTACGCGTAGCTTACGCTGCTTGCGACTGATTTCTGACGTCGCCCGCGTGAACAGGACGATATGCCACATTCACGATACTATGTTCGAGTGGGTTTTTGTGAGGTTTTGTCTCCAGCCACAGATGTCGTGGCTCGATCAGATTTGCCCTAGGTGACCTCGATTGATCTGTTGTCGTATGGCTCGCTTTGCAGCATCTCGTACAGTTAGCGCGGGTCCGCCTCTGACTGTTTCGAGCTTTCTGAGTTCTGTCACCGAGACCTGGGAAAAGCAAGGGCTGGGATGGGACCCGAGGAGACCTGTGCCAATAGGTTTGCTCCAGCACCTTGTTCGTCGACTCTATTCTGATTCATCCAGGGGTATGTGTCAGTGGAGGCCCCGACTCTATGGCGTTGGCATACTTGCTCAACCTACTTGGCGCAGTGCGTGGGAAGCACAAGGTCTGGGTCCAGCCATTCGCCTTCATTGTCAACCACAATGCTCGCAGAGAGAGCACCGAGGAAGCAAACTACGTCCACTGCCAGTTACGCCGGCTTGGTATGTCTCTCCATATCTGAACAAAACCGTGCTTATGGCTCGAAGGTGTCGAAAGCAAGATACTCGAGATCCAATGGCCTAATGCCAATGACCCAGCGAATACCACCGATTTCGAGTTGAAGGCTCGGCGAGCTCGGTATCGGTTGATTGCAGACGCAGCGATCGAAAGAAAGATCAACCACCTTTTTCTGGGGCATCATCAGGACGACCAGATCGAGACGATCCTAATGCGTCTAGTGCGGAACGCTGGAACCTCGTTTCTTGGGTTACAAGGAATGTCAGACCACAGCACGATACCGTGTTGCGAAGACATTAGGGGTGCAAACGAAGTGGAAAAATACCAGAAATTTGCGCAGTGGCTGCATCCTGTCCGAAGTCAAGGGGATCGCGAAACGGTCAGCTCGAGTGCCGTCAACCATGGGAAAGCCGTGACGCCTTCGGTTCCAGGCGGCTTACGAATACACCGCCCACTTCTGCCGTTTACAAAATCTGAGATCGTCGTCTTCTGCAATAAGAACCAAGTTCCCTATGTCCAGGATAAGACAAACTATGATCCTACATTGACATTACGGAATGCTGTGCGGTATATGAGAAGCAATTACGTCTTGCCAAAAGCCTTGCAGGGATCCTCCATCCTCGCACTTCAACAGTCGTCCTGTCGTGCCGTGAATTCTCTTGCCGCACGAGGGGAACAGGTTCTTCAAGAGCTCAGAGTGCTTCTCTTCGATCTCCGGTCTGGCCGCATGACTGTACGAGTATCGTCTGCTTTTGTCTCTCTCTGCGAGTCCGATCCCGAAGCTGGAGCATATGCATTGGCGAGGCTGACAAGTGTGGTGAGTCCGCAGTCGAGAGATGACGAGCCAACTCTTGTACCTCGGCATAACCTGAGGCAGTTCTTGGACAAGAGTCGGTCTCAGTTCCGAGAGTGGATGACCGTACAGCAGGTCTTACTCGAGAAAGCGGAGACTGGACTGAATGCGAATAAACAGCTGGACGCGTCCAGCCTCCAAATCGAACGACAGAGCGATTCCAGCAGGGGCTCGCCGGATGAAGAAGGAACTGTCTGGACGCTGTCGCGTCCACCAATGCGTGTGTCAGAAGTTACGCTCACAACGAGGGGCTTCTCAGTTGGTGCGCACAAAGAACAGGCCGGGGATGGGGATGCGAGTCTAACTGCCCGCGTAAATCTCGCGGACAACCGCAGCCAGGCAGGGCTTTGGTCGGAGTGGATTCTTTGGGATCATCGATATTGGATCCGTGTGCGAACAAAAAATGCCAAAGCGCTTTCCCGAGTTCGTGTTCGCACTTATTCCGAGTCTGATGTACAAAGGGTGTATGCAAGGCTCCAGAATAGGAGCTCAGAGCTCCAGTCCCTTCTGGCGGAAGCTGCCCCTGGCAAGTTGAGGTATACCCTTCCAGTGCTGACGGTAGACGAACATGTTTCGGTTTTTCCGACATTGAACGTCACTGTGGATGAGGAGGATTCAATGGATGTCAAATCCAGGCTGACCGACCCCCCAATCCTAGAATGGGAAGTCTGCTACAAGGTCATTGATCAGTCATTTATCAACAAGCATCGGGAAAGAATTGAGTGGCGGAATGCACAGGTGGCAACGCCGCAATTGAGCTAGTTCCTCTATGCGAAGTCCCGGAGAACGAGCGGTGAAGGGCAGATCGAATGAAACCGAAAGGACCGATGACAATGAGGGATTCTCAATCGAACACGTCCATTCCCTCTTGCTGGGAAACATCGACACGAATACTATCAGTTGAACAAGATGCCTGACATTTGATTGTTGGGCAGTGCCATCACGGAAATACCCCAAAAGATGACCCCAGGAATTGCTGAACAGTGATCCGGTGGAAGTTGACTGCGAAACTGATGCAGGGTGCCCTCCTAGGCAATGCGTGTTAGCGAAGCTGAGTCGACACAATGTATTCCGTGCTGGAGTCTGGGCTGCTGACATGATATCCGAGCGAACGCCGAATGATGGTATCTGTTGCTACCGGAAATCTGCAACATGATTGATGGGTATTTGTACGATCACATTTGATCTTCCCCACACGGGGTCCTAAAGCGTCGTCATGGCATTCCAGCAAACGCGGAGAGGAGGTGGAGATAGGCGCCTCGGCCTTTAGGCGAAGTCCATATAAATATCGAATTCGCCGCCGTTGAGCCGGGCCGAGCATCGCTTCAGTCCCAACTCGTCTACAAACAGTATCAAACATCACGATGGCAGCACAAGTGACTCCCGAAGCACTGACTGCGCCAACACAAACATTTGACAATGCTCCACCGTTCCCAGAGGATGTTCCGACCGCACCTCTTCTACGCCTGTCTCTGGCTAAACTCCTCGAACGGGATCCTGAAGAGGTCATTCGTTTCGTGCGAGCCTGCGAGGACCTCGGATTCTTCTATTTAGACTTAAGTGGCCCAGGAGACTCTCTGCTTGCCGATGCAGACCAGCTTTTCAAAGTCGGCGTGGAGTTGTTTGAGCTCCCACTGGACGAGAAAAAGAAGTACGATTTCCAGCAAAAGAAGTCGTACTTTGGCTACAAAGGTTTTGGTGCCAACGTGGTTGACCGGGATGGTAATCTCGATCGCAACGAGTTCTACAATGTGAGTGTACTGGCAGACTGGTGAATGCTAGCAAGGTCCTGACGATATGCAGGTGTCCAAAGATGATATGTTTGGGCTCATGGATCCGCTCCCCGCTCCGGAAGTCCTCGATTCACAACGGCCCCTTCTGAAGTCGTTCATGTCATCAGCTCACAGCATTGTTACACTAGTCCTGGGATTGCTTAACGACCACCTTAAACTACCACCCAACACTTTGCAAGACATGCACCGCCTCGTCGAGGGCCATTCAGGAGATCAAATCCGCTTCATCAAAGCTCCGCCACAGCCCATGGACGACCGGCGAACAGCTCTGGGTGAGCATACCGACTTCGGAAGTGTGACGGTCCTCTTCAATCGTTTGGGTGGTCTGCAGGTCCTTCCGCCTGGACGCGACGCACAATGGTGCTATGTCAAACCCCTCCCAAATCACGCCATTATCAACCTGGGCGATGCAATGGTGAAGTTCACAAACGGTCTTCTTAGATCTAACATACATCGCGTGGTTTCCCCGCCGGGCGAGCAGGCAAACCACACCAGATACTCCCTGGTATACTTCAACCGACCGGAGAATGATGTGATGCTGAAGCGGTTGGAGGGAAGCGAGATGATTCCTCCATTAGAGAAGGACGCGGTTGAAGAGCAGATCAACAGCAAAGATTGGATCATAAGAAGAGCACTGGGACACCGGATTGAACTGTTCGGCAAGGATGCCTCGAATTTTGACAAGATCCAAGGAACTGAAAAGATCAGCCAGCGTGCTTACCTGTAGAGGTTGCCCAGGTTGTGACATGACAGACTCGGAGTCATTGCCTATTTGTAGAAGAAGCCACATGGCTCAATGATTCATCTCCATAACATTCACCTGACTCAACTGTCGAAAGTGTCTCAGGTCCAAAAGGCTGCAGGAGAAGAATAATAATGAATATTAGGGACGGTACCTAGCTACCTCGGAAATGGCGCGCCTCAACCCCAAAGAGGCTAGCCTTCCTGCGCACATTGTGAAATTTCGATGATTTTTTCCTGTCAATGTTGCAATTGTTACAATTGTTCACCACCGACTGCGTTGGGCCAAAAGCCTGGTCTCTCGAACTCCAATATTCTTGCCATCCATACTTACCATCTATTTGTATTGGCTCGTCCACCTCCCCTCGTCCCATGTGTCGAAGGAACATCCCTCTTCTGCATCTGCCTATCCGGCCATGTTAGCCCCGCCACCTCAGGCCCGTCGGCCTGTTCTACCGACCAGCATCTCGACTCCCTCGCTCCCTTCAAAAACCATGAGACCTCAACCCATGCAACGGAGATCAACCCTGAAGCGATCAATCGATGAAACCAGCTTCATGGAGACGCCTTCAAGTCCCTCCAAACGTTCTCGCGTGACATTTGATTCCGACGTCGAGATCGTGTCCGCAGACGAGGACGAGGACGTGGACCCCCTGGTCGTCAAAGAACAAGTACGGAGAGCAATTGAAAGACATCGATTTAGAGAAGACGAGGCATACGAACGTGTGAAGGGTTATTTCAGTGCCCCGCCGGACAAGCCAAACGCACCGTCCACAAAGGTGCTCAAGTTTCACCTTCAGGCTGTCCTGGCTAACATTACGTCCCTGGACAAAGACTGCAGCGGTCTGGTCGATGCAGTGCTGAACAGTGAATGGGTGGGACGAGATGAACAGTATTATGCGATTTTTGTCAGATTCCTAAATAATCTGGCGGCTGCGCAACGTGGCTATCAGCGCAAGATCATGTCGATCCTCGTAGAGCTTCTGGGACCGCAAAAAACACGACGGATCGAAAGCTCAACCCCTGTCAGACAAGGAAAGATCCATCGACGAGTTCTGCAAGCCATTCAACACATCACCGTCAATGTTCCTTCCTCGCCCGCCGCTCTTGCCGATCGAGTCGCTTCCCGCCTCCAGTTTGACTTCCAAAAGGCAGACGAGCGCATGACCTACATCCGAAACTTCATGGAGATGATCAAATATGTGCCCGAGCTCACTTCGGAAATCCTCACATGTGTCTTGCGAGAACTTATCAAGCTTGACGTCTCAGTTCAGGTTGACCTTGACGAAGAAGAGGAGGATGTCGAAGACGATTTGCTCAGCCACATGTCCTCGTCGCAGACACTGGTTGCGCGCTCGTCTCAGGACATGCTTGCTGGCGGGCCTGATGATCAAAGTGATGATATCAGCACCAGCGACGAATCTGAGATGGACGAAGATGAAGATACTGATCCCGCCAAAGCTCGTCGACGCAAACTGAAGGAGGATATCAAGCAGGTCGACCTGATCATGGACATTATGTTCCAATATTACGCCAAACTCACCACTTCAGCCGCACTCCAGACCCGCGACAATGCTGTTGAGCAGCTTATCTCTCAATTCCACACCCACATTCTTCCGACGTACCGGGCCCGTCATCCGCAATTCTTGGTCTTCCACTTCGCCCAAGCAGACCCCATCATCGTCGATCGCTTCGTCACATCTTGTGTCGCTGTTCTTGTTGACAAGAAACAGCCACACCTCCTCCGGCACAGCGCTGCTGCCTATTTTTCCGGCTTCGTCGGCCGTGGTGCTCATGTCTCCCCCCAGGTGGTGCATGATTGCTTGGACTTGCTCTGCGACCATCTGACCATTTTGCGCAAATCGTACGAGCCAACGTGCCGTGGTCCGGACTTGAAACGCTACGGCGATTTCTATGCCGCCTTCCAAGCAATTTTGTACATTTTCTGCTTCCGCTGGCGTGACATCGCCTCCGCCAATTCTGACGACGAATCCGACTTCGACGTCGACGAGGATGAAGTTGAGACGTACCACTTCGCCGAGTCGCTCCGCGAGTCACTTCGAGAGGCGATCTATTCCCCCCTCAATCCCTTGCGCGTCTGCACCCCAGTCATCGTCGAGCAGTTCGCCAAGCTGACACACGCGCTACAATTATTCTATGTCTATCCGAAATTGGAGGAGAATAGACACGTGCGAGTTACCGGTCACTGGCGCGGCGTGTCTGACTTGACCATCAGCAATCCAGATCGGGACTTGAGTTGGGTCGGAGACAATGGAATGCTGGAGGGATATTTTCCGTACGACCCATACCACTTGCCCATCAGCAAGCATTGGATTGAGGGAGACTATGTGGAGTGGAAAGGGATCCCAGGAGAGGAGGCCGAGGACACGGATTCTGAGGATGATGGAGGTATGGATGTTGGAGGAGTGGACGAGGATGATGATCTTGGTCACGAGTCAGACGATGAATGATTGTTTTACGGACTAGTTCTGTCATGGCGTGGAAAAGGCACCGAGCTCCTACGGCGCCACGAGAAATCACCGGGTTTCCTAGGGAATGGCATTCTAATGTGGTGTTTGGGATGTTGCGTTCAAGCGTGCTTTCAAGACAAGTCTTTGCATACACAAAAGTCGGGGGATATCTAGGATGAATTACGAAATGCTGGCTGGATGCATAGATTCTTGCGTGGCCTCGAAGAAATGTTCTCTAGAAATGACTGGTTATGAGTTGGCCAGGCCTTGATTCACCGTGATAAATCAGAAACAAAGGGTTCTTGTCCTAAGAATTCGTTTGGGATCCGGGTTCTCAAAAAAAGCAAGCTCTCTTTGTGCTAATTGCTGGAGAGATTTATCCCTGATACAGCCATATCGTGGGGATGCAATGGCACCAACCATGCTCCGTCGCAGTATGGTAAAGCGGGAAAATAGGCCCCCCTGACTCGTCTCCTTGGACGGGACTGTTCAACACACGTTTCGCGATGATGTGATATGTCATGATAGGCGGCTCAGACACCGCCTCTCCTAAACCAGGCCTCCAAGCCAGTCTTCCACGCGCAGAACTCACCTTCGACCTGCGCGGCGATCTCCAGCGTGCCGGGCTCCAGCCCGAACGTCTCGGTATCCACGTCGGCCTCGTCCATCTGGGCCTTGAAATCTGCGTGCTCATCATGGCTGGTGTGGCGCTGGAACCTCAAGCCGTCGACATCCCCCCAGACGACGTGGCGGCTCTGTCGGGGGTTGCTCTCGGTGAGTTTGATGGCGCGGACCTTGTCCATGCCCAGGGGCCGGACGTAGGCGCGGACCTTGTCGAGGGCGTCGACCATGGCCTCGGAGCGACATTTGGAGAAAAGTTTCTTTCTGGTGTGGTCGTCGAGCGTCCATTTCAGGGATTGCACCGACGCCGCGGGCGTCTTGGAGACCTGCGCCAGCAGCAGGCCGAGCGGGTCGAAGGGGGCGCGGAACTCGGCCTCGATCTCCACGCTCGCTTGGTACTGCGGCGCGTCGCGGGACAGGATCGAGGAGCCGGGCTTCTGCCACGAGTAGCTGCGGAAGGTGGTCACGGAGAGGTCGACGACGGCCGGCTCATACTCCATGTCGTCGCCGGTGGGCGATGACGCGTTGACGGTCGGAACCGGGTCTGCTTGCACTTGAGCGAGCGGTCTGAGCGTGGCCAGGACGTCGTCGGCGGTCCTGCGCACTTCATCCGCCACCTTGTCCTGCCTGGGCCCTTCGGCGTAGATGTGGAGGGACACGACGGCCCGGTTGGCCGGCACGGTGATGCTCGATTGCCCGTCGAGGTGGATCGAGATGGGCTTGGGCGCCGAGAGGTACGAGGGGATGCCGAGAACGCAGAGCACCGTGATGATGGACTGTTTGAGCCAGGACGAGGCGATCATGGTTCCAACAAACTGAGCCGTGGTGAGAAGCATGGGAAAAGGTTCAAGGTCTATTTTTGACTGGATCCCAGCGCCCGTTTTGCGAAGTCCTATAGATATGTAGGTACCTCGCATGTGTGATTCGAGCCAGGTGGTCTCTTTCCTGTTCAACGCATAGAGCTGGCGTTTCCTTACCTCAGCCTAGCCTCCATTATACTTTGTAATTCATCGACTCTGCAGGTCCCGAGACGTTATAGGTGGCTTCTTCAGATGTCCAGGCAGTCGGCGAAAAGGCCAAGGTGGTGGCACCGATGCCTCGCGAATCGTGACGCATCCTGCCACATGTGGAAAGATGTTGTTCCATGTCCCGGGCATCCGAGATTTGCTCTGTTTGCCAGGTTTGCTCTATTTGCCAGGTTTGCTCTGTTTGCCACAGATCTTTAAACAATCGTATTCGTATCATATTACCTAGGTAGGTAGGTACTCTGCGCTTTCCTTCCTTTCTATTCATAGAATCAAGTCAGCATGCCACCACGTATCTAGAGCCCTGGTCGCAGGAACTTGATATCCATATGTGCTACTGCTCTTGAAACTTTGTTGACGAGCAGTGCCGTTGATGTACCTTTTGCTTCATCTCTGCTTTGGATACGTACCCACGGAGATGCTTAGCATGCTGAACGACCGTGCCATAACGCTTGGCGAGTAAGAGAAATTGACGCCGCTGAAACTTGCTATTCTCGAAACACACACAAAGAAAAACACAAATCAAAAACAAGTTCAAAACCCCAAAATGGCAAAAACTTATCATGAAGCAGCTCAACTCTGGTTCAGTGATAAGCGAAACTCGCCCCCGAAGGGGTTGGTTTTTCTCGGCCGGTTATATGACGAATTTATAAGTTGAGTCCAGGAGTGTTTCGAATCGAGGTCCTGCTGCCTGCTAACCCGGTGTTAGTTCGACCTGACAGACCCTAGATTATTTATTGTGATCGAAGTGGGCGAAGTGGGATTCGAATCGAGGTCCTGCTGCCTGCTAGCCCGGTGCCAGTTCGACCTGACAGGACCTGGACTGAGAGTCGTCGGATTCGGTTCGGTTCGATTTCGCCCTAGTCGAGGTAGGGGGTCTTGGTGTGATAGGTAAATTGGAAAGAATAAAATATATACGACGAGTTTTCCTTTCTTTATGTGGACCAGAGCCTCTCTCTTGGCGAGTATAGGGTCCATTGGGAAGTCACGTCTGAATGTGAATGGATTGGCTGTGGGGGGATTTTGACGGTTGTACACGGTATTCCATTCACTTTCCTGTTAGGACGCTTCTCTCGGGAACATCTGGTGCTTCTCTCCGTGCACAAACCAGAAATCCAATATACGCCAGACTCCCGACGTTCAGAGCTGTTTCTTGAGACTTGTCGGGAGCCACCAGGAGACTGCTGGTTGCCCCAAGATCAAGTGGAGCGTTTTGCTTCTAGACTCATGGACCAAACGAAGTCAGGCGTCGTATCGCAGAGGGAAGAGAGGAAGCTCTTGGACAGGTTCGTCCTGATACACAACTTTCCAGTGATATTTCTATCCAGCGCTGCCCATGGTAAGATGCTGCCATGAATCCCAGTCTAATATCTAGGCCGTGTTCTATACCAAAGATGCGCTGCCACAGTGCCAGTCTAGATGGCACGGCAGTACACCGCTGTCGTACGTTGATCCGAGGTCACACTTCTTCGGTATGGCGCGCTTCGTCACTCTTCTCGGAGACCGCGGCGCCTTTAGGAGTCTCGACCACGGTGGCGGGGTGGGTGATCCCGTCTCTGCCACTAACAACAAGCTCATGCGTGTTATGGTCCATGTGAATGTCTGCAGCGTAGACCATGATGGTCTCGGTATCGCCAAAGAGCTTGGCGACTTCCTCGAGTGGGACACCCTTGGTTTCCGGCAGGAGAAAATACATGGTGATGGTGCCTAGGCCGCAGATGATGATAAAGACCTAAAGGGGAGAGGGTGAGTACTACTCGGGGATTCTCTTGTGTCTGTTTCTGGGGAATGGACGGACCAGTGGAGGTGTCGAGAAGAGGTCGAGAATGGGATCGCTACTCACCAGATAGAACTTCCAACCAATATTGGCGAACGCGGTTGCTGTGACCTGCAGATAGACGAGGTCGGTGAGTGCGACAACGGCCATCGAAAGGCAAACACCTGTTGTCATGGAGGTGGAGTGGTAAGCAAAAGGTATTGTTTTTCATTCACTCCCAGCAAAATGGCGGGATGCTCACCTTTGGCTCTCAGGTGGTTTGGGAACAATTCGCTGTAGAAGACGATGCCGGCGACATCGACTCCGCAGCTATAGACGACCTCAAACAAGAACAAGGCCGCAACGCCCATGGCCAGACCCGAGGTGTTGTCCGTGCCGGCAAAGTTGGCGACTATGGCTGCTTCGATTATGAGCCAGAAGCAGCACCCACCGACGCCAAACAGCATAAGCGGCTTGCGTCCGACGCGGTCCATGAATGTGGCCCCAATGGCATTGCCGATGATTGCAGTCGTGATCCAGCCGCACTGGAGACGGAGTTGATCCTCAGTGCCGTAGCCGAGACTCTTGTACAGGGTCGGGCCGTAGTTGTTGATGACGAGCACGCCTGTGGACTGGCCAACAAAGGCGAAACCCATGGCCAGGATGGTTCGCTTTCGGTACGATTTCTTGAAAAACATGTCCCACTGGTGATTCAAGGGACCGTCAGCAATGGACCACCCAAAAGCAGGGCAAGGATACAAGTGCTATGGTCGATGCTCACCCATGAGACCGACAGGGTTCGATCAAACTCAGCCTGCTTGCGCATTTGGTAGAACTCGCCACGCGCGAATTCTTGGTCCTCGTCGCCGGGGATGGCGTGAAGCCTCAGCACAATCTTCTCGGCTTCAGCTTCACGACCCTTCATGAGCAGATATCTAGGACTCTCTGGAATGAACGGGAGCATTGCCAGCATCACAAGAGGGAAGAAGAGTGCAATACCCAGAGGACCGCGCCACTGGGCTTGAGGTTCTTTGACGTAGAAGAAGCCCATGCCGGTATAGGCGGCCAGCGAGTAGCCGACAGCGATGTTGACGCCGTTGAGCCCGACAAAGAAACCGCGTAGAGCGGGCGGAGCAAGCTCGGCACTGTATGCAGGTGCTGGCAACATGTCAGTTATTGATCCCTCTTTTCCGTCCCATCCGCTATGGGTGGATAGGAGTGTCTGCACTTACTGACTGCGAGATAACCCCAGCTTCCCATACCGGCGAAGAACCTCGCGGCAATAAACATGGCAGAGCTCTTTGAGCCGCAGATCAGTGCGCCGCCCAGCAGGGACCAGAAGGAGCAGAAAATGACGCCGGCCTTTCTACCCCATTTGTCCATGATGTAGCTCACGATCATGATGCCAAAGAAAGCTCCTGCCTTTTTTGCCCTCCATAGTTAGCTTCAAGGTTCATTCCGGCTAAGGGTACAAAAGTGCCCTCGGGTTGTATTTTCAAACCTGAAAAACGCCAGACATGGCACCCTCGAGCGAGTCGGCATCGCCAGCCGGCAGTCCGGTGACGGGGTTCAGCAGTTTCATATACACCAAAAAGCTTGGTTCGCCCAGGGTGGTGCTAATGATGGAGGCAGGGTAGCCGAAGGCTACCTGGCCAAGAGAGACCAACCAGCAGATCCAGAAGTTGTACCAATTGAATTGTCGAGCGTGAGCCGCCATGTCGAAAGTCTGAAAGTCTGTTATTGACTTTTTCACAAGCGAAATGCAAAAATGTTGCACGAAGACAAATATTCGAGAGAAGAAACGCGAAGAATCTCTCTCCCTTCCCCAAAATGCATTGGCACACAAGGAGAGGTACATTTCTAATATCTATATGCTCTCGTAAATGACGCAGTGGGCTCTCTGCTGCCTGTATAGGATAACCGAATCCCCCGCGGCTTCATTTGGCGCCTAATACTTGGGGTGGTGGAGCGAAGCATGTTGCTCCAGGGGCCATGACGGAGATGTTTCTGAGTCAGTGATGTGTGCTACAGAGGAACATGGGGAAATAGAGGAGTCGGGGGAAAGACGGGTGGGTCATGGGGATATTGAAAGCTCCTACTAGTGTTAACGCCTTCATCCCGTGCAGTATTCATAAAAGAGTACCTTTGGCTGATGTGGAGACCTTTGGCCTTGGGGGATTTGGCTTCGTCAAGAGGAAGGATAGATAGATACCTAGGTAGGCACAGCTGGCCTTCGTATCTGATCCTTCATCAACGCCCCCCTGGAGAGGTTTATCCGCCTGTCAACCACAAATCGATAAGCACCCGATCTGGGGTATATCAACGTGGGTGAGCCGTCAGACCCACTCACTCCTCAGTTGACGTATACATGTGCCGCTCTCGGAGTGCCGGCACACTGTTATCCAAACTATGCAGGACTGAAGCAACTCCAACTGCGGGCCGCACAAGAGGCGTTGTGAAAAGGATAGTAGACCGTAAACAATCGCGCGGCTTTTTCTCTCCGAATCCCGAACTCCGTGCAAGGGCGCAGTGACAAGGGTCTCTGCCCAGAGATGCCGGGAGCTCAATTACCGCTACGAGATACAGATTCATTTGTACCGCACTCCTGTCTCCCATTGCGCTTTACTCCCCACGAATTCAGGCGCGGTGAAGCCCGCTCCCACTTGCCGAGGTCCTGATACCCTTGGAAATCGAAAATCCCCCTGCGTGTCCTTGTAGAGCTCAAGTGCCATTCGTTTTCTACAGAGCCTTTTTCTGCCATGCCCAAAATACCCTGTTTCACGCTACCTACGTGGTACACACATACGCAGGGTATCTTTCAGGCGCAGAGCTGCGGCCAACTACCCTGCAAACACTCAGCAACGCGATTTTCGGAGAAAGGGCCTAAATTTACCCCAACGGCCTCGAGGGCTATACTACATAGAGTGGTAGCCGCTACAACAAAAGAATCAGAGGGTAGAGAAGGCTTTTGGGGGGGTTGCCATCAAAGCGTCCACCGAAGCTTTTGTACCAACGGGCCGCTAGCGCGCAAGGCTGTGTGCCCCTTGCCTAAATGCCGACTTCTACCTTTGGCCTTTAACTTTATTCCGTATTACTGGCTTTGCACGGGACGAAACGGGAAAAAAATAGCGTCATGTACCCATAGGTTGAATGGCAGGTACTAACGGAACCGATATTCAATGTTAGTCTATATCGTCAGCCCGCTAACGGAAGCGGCATCAGGCGTGAGCAGACTTCGGGCTCCCGAGTTTCCGGAACATGGATGTACAGGAAGCGGCATCGATCGCGATCACCACCTGGTAACTCGCCAAAGCTGCAGAATTTCCTAGACCATGGCCAATATCTCCTAACTGCAGTAGTAACTTCAACTATCATTTTTGCGTGGGGAGGAAAATCGACAAGTAAAGAAATACTTTCCAGACGACAGTCTCAGTACTATCTTAACGTGAATTCATCATGCCAACCACCCCATGTGGAGTTCTTGGACCAATACGTAGAAGGCATTTTGAATCGTGGCATAACTAACTCGCTTGACGGCTGTGTCAAGGAATTTCGACAAAGCACGAGATTTCTCACTTTCACATGAGAGTGTTTCCGGTGCTTCAATTTTCCCAAATCATAGTCTATTGTCCAGCAGACACCTGTCTATACTACTGCAGCAAAGCCGCCTCGAATGGGAACTTCGATAGCACTTCAATACCGTCCTCGGTGATCAAGACCTGCTCCTCGAGCTTGACACCCTCCTGGCCGCCCTCCTCGCCAATGTAGCTTTCAACGCAGATCACCATTCCCGCCTCAAGCACTCCATCGTAGCCAGAGTCGGGAAAGTCTCCGCGGTGGTACAGGTAGGGATACTCCCCGGTCATACCTGTTCCATGAGCCGAGAGGAAGTATCGGTTGGCATAGTATTTCTTTGGAATCTCCCATGCCCGCTCCGCATACTCGCGGAAAGTCAGGCCGGCCCTCAGGATCTTCATATTGTAATGAACCTGCTCGTAAGCGACCTTGTAAAGCTCCCTTTGAGCTTGTGTGGGAGGATCGGGACCGGAGTGGAAGGTGCGTGAAAAGTCGGAATAGTATCCATGGCAGCCAACGACATCTGTGTCCAATGCGATGAGCTCGTTTGGGCCAATTTCATAGCTTGAGGTCTCCTGAAACCATGGATTTGTTCGTGGGCCAGCGCTAAGCAAGCGTGTCTCGCAATAGTCTCCGTTCTGCCGGATGACAGACTGATGCAGCACAGACCAGAGGGCATTTTCGGTCATTCCAGGTCGAATGGCATCTCGGAGCTCCCCAACCGCGACCTCGGTGGCCCGCAGGGAAGCTATTACACATTTCATTTCTTCCGCTGACTTGACCGCCCGCGCCATTTCAACGGGTTTTTGAGCATCGACAATCTTCAAGCCGCAGTCTCTGAGCGCCAGAGCAACGTTTGCATTCAGTCGCTCAAGCCCAACTGTTGCATCTTTGCCCACGAGGCTTTTGATCAAATCGGCCATGTTCGCCGCCCACGAGCGCTCCCGGTCTTCAATGTTCGGGCCGGCGGCCGCAAAACTGGCCGTTGTTGCGGTCCGTATTTCATCAATCGTCTCGTATCCTTCGGCCAGATGGCTGCATCCAGTGTACTCGAAAGTATTGAGCGTTCTGCAGTGAGCAGCAGGTATCTAGTCGGTGCATTCCGCATGCTGTACACCTGCATATTGCGAGTCCCTGTAGCGTACCGAATGTTGATGGGGTCTGACAGAACGACAGCGTCAATGCAGTACTTAGCCATCTGGCTCCGCACCCTTGCTAGCCGGTAAAGACGGACGGCTTTGAGATTTATACCTTCACTTTCGGGTGCGCGGTCCAAGAGTGCGATATTGGACAGATCTGTCCTCGCGGCATGCCAATCGAAAAAGTTCCCCATGGTTGGATAGATCGCGGTACGTAAGAGGCGTAGAGCAAGAGAAGATCTAAACGAGCCGCAGAGCAAGTTGAAGGTTCATCTCAAGGATACGACGCGACTTATGTCTTCTGCACAACATGCCAATCAAGGATCATTTCGGGGTAAGGCGTTTGTCTCTCTTCCGTCTGATTCAACGCAAGTCTGGAAGAAGAGTCACCTGCCTCATAGTAGAGCAGGGTGGCATTCGTGATCGGGACGATGGCGGCCGGATACTTTTCTCGAATTCCGTTAGCTTGCCTTGGAAACTGGATACCTTAACCCCCTGATTGAAGCGCTAACGGGAGCATTTTGAAGAATTGCCGTCTCTGCGCAAAATCGAATACCAGTAGCTGCCTCGCAAGCCGGCCGTGCAAGGTGGTCGACGCAGATGCCGCTGAACAGGGTACGCACGAAGCTCCCTTTGATCCGCTCAGCGTGTGGCTCAATGCCAGTCATTCTGTAGGTATAAGGAGGCACTAACTCCCCGGCGGTGAGAGTGCCCCGCGATGCGACATTCCATACTGTAGAAGCTTTGGTTTTCCCTCGAAAGCTCGCCTCATGGAGAAGTACAGCACTGACAAAGAGCCCGTTACCGTCACCGCTCCGGACTCCGATCTGGGACTCGCCGCAGGGCTCACGCACGAGGGTGAACTCCTGTCGCTGGAATCTCTGGATCCAGCTCTGGCCGCAAAGATCAGCCTGCTGAACGATGTATGTTTCCCATCCGCTACCAACAGCGACCTGTATCATGACTTGGATAGGCAATTGACGATATCGGCTTCACTGGCTATCACGCCAAGCTGTTCTGCCTCAACGGCTTTGGGTAAGTATTGCCCATGACCTTGGAAAACTCGTCCTGATGCGATTCCAGGTATGCGGCTGACTCGTTGCTGACCTTCCTCCCAAGTATCACAGCAGGCAGCGTCGTTGCGGAATACCACCCGAACTACACTCGAGCCGGTCAGCTCTCCCTGTACATCGGTCTCGTAGTCGGGGCACTTTTCTGGGGCTGTTCTGCGGACATCATAGGCCGCAAATGGGCTTTCAATATCACCCTGTTCCTCAGCTCTGTCTTTGCCATTGTGGCCGGTGCTGCGCCGAACTATGCCTCTTGGGGTGCTTTCAATGCGCTCTCAGCCTTCGCCGCTGGAGGCAACCTGGTCCTCGATACCACGGTCTTCCTGGAGTACTTGCCACATTCGAAGACTTGGGTCGTGACCCTTATGGCTGCCTGGTGGGGTGTTGGCCTGACTTTGGGAGGGCTTATTGCGTGGGGTTTCTTGCGTATGTTCCACGAATATAGCCGTGAATCGTTGCTGATTTGGTCTTTGCAGCAAATTTCAGCTGCGCTGCCACTGCAGACATCTGCACCAAATCTCAGAACATGGGTTGGCGCTATGTCTACTTCACCGCAGGCGGTGTTGTACTTCTTATGAGCCTCCTCCGAGTTACCGTGATTCGATTTCATGAGACACCAAAGTATTCCTTGTGCCGGAATGACGATCAGTACGTCGTTGCGACCCTGCGCATGATTGCACAGAAGTATAATCGACCCTTTACTCTCACCGTTGAACAGCTTCAGGGCTGTGGACGAGTGAACACTGCACACGCTTCAACCAGGTTCTCCTTCTCCGAGCTGGCTGTTCACTACCGGGGACTGTTCATGACACGAAGGTTTGGCCTCTCCACTGCGCTCGTTTGGACATCCTGGGCGTTGATCGGCCTCGCATATCCACTGTTTTATATTTTCTTACCGGAATACCTGGCGAGCCGTGGCGCAGATTTCGGCGAATCTTCAGCATATATAACTTGGAGAAATTACGCCATTACCAACTCTCTGTGCATCCCCGGCCCCATAATTGCCGGCTTCCTTTGTCAAATGAAGCGCTTCGGTCGGAAATACACAATGGTTTTCGGCGGCCTCATTTCAAGTAAGTCGAACACGTCCCCTATTGCCGTGTACTGATACCGATCTGTCGTACAGTGGCATTCCTTTTCGGGTACACTGCCGTCCGAAGTGCGGATGAAAATCTGGGAATCTCATGTGCAATCAGTGTCGCCATTAACATAGTAAGTGGCTGTGTCTGCGTATCCTATCGCACCACTATGCAGGCCCTAACACAAACCCAACTAGTATTACGGGACGTTGTACGCATATACCCCGGAGGTGCTTCCGTCCGCGCATCGCGCAACGGGAAACGGAACGGCGGTCGGTTTCAACAGAATTATGGGCATTGTGTCTGTGATCGTCGCTACGTTCGCAGACACCTCGACTTCTGTGCCAGTCTATCTGTGTGCGGCGCTGTTTGGCGTTATGGCTTTGGTGGCTGCGTTGTTTCCGTTCGAGCCTGCCAGGGGTCGAAGTGTGTGAGCGTTCAGTCTTTGGTAAGTTTGCTTGTGAACCCATTGTTCACCGGAGCCACCGTGATGCGATTATATCCCGGAGGATGCATCTTTGTAGGCCGTTTCGAAGTATTATTCATTGCAACATATCGGTATGTAGGGGATAATACGTGGTCCATTGCCTCCCAAACAAGAGCCAGTCATCCATGCCTTCTTGATGGAGGTCAAAGTCAAGGATGTCGTCCCACGTTGCGCTTGGGACTTGGTCATCATGTCGTGCTTCACTTATGACCGTGGAGTTGTAAAACTCATTGGAACCCACATCAGCCGAACGGAACGGATGGGGCTCCTGTGAACCTGAAAGGGCGGAGTAGTCGAACAAGCTCCACATGAGGCGCATGTCCTCCTCTGGCAGAGCGACTTCTCGGACCCTGCGCGGCGGCGCCATCCCGTCATACTCATCTTCGACGTAGGTCATGGTGTTCCTTGTTTCGAGCCGAGCGTGCAGCTGGTCGAGCATGTTTGCCTGTGGTGCAATTAGCGACATCAGCCAGAGCATGTTTCACATTCTTACCGTATTCTCCATGCTTGGCCACCACTCGGCCATCTTTCTCACGAAATCGCGGCACTTCTCGAATCTCTGCTTCGCTGGTTTCGCGACCTCACTGCTTGTGTGAATGGACTTGTCCAGTTGAATTGTGGCAGCAATCGCAACCAGGTAGCCTACAAACGGGTCGTGAAGGGTTAAGTTTGATTTCTCCATGTCCGCGATAAGCCTGACAATCCAGTTGGAATTGATTGTTGAGATTTTATATGAGTTTTGCAGGAAAGACCAAGGTACATGACCCTGCAGGTGCTGTGTGCTGGTATAGATGATAAACGGGTGGTTCCTGAGAAACTTAGCTTAATCGAGCAGATGAGGTTGTCCATACATGCAACATAGCGTTCCAGTGTGAAGTATATGCATAAAGAGGCGAGCCGCGTAATACTTTTGCAACTTGGGTTCTGTAAGGACACGAGTCGGTGATCCTGTCGATGTATATGTGTGCAGTTGTACCCCTAGCAGCTGTCAGTACGATATTCGGCAGTCAGGCTCAGAGACAACTTCCTCAGTTCAAACTCGAGCAAGCGTGTCTGTATTTTCGCTCGAGAAGATTCGTTTTGCCAGAAAGGCGTTACTTCAGTAAGAAGGCTTCGAAATATGTGCGTGATGACGTCCTGCCATATGTCTAGCAGTTCAATCGTGACAGCTGTTATACTCTCCGAAGCTGCAAACGATCTCTTGGTCATTGAATCGCCCAGCATAAAAGGTATGGACGTGTTGTTTGTGAATCCGGGTCGGCAAGGTCCGTATTGATATACAGGTAGTCGAAATGCAGACAAAGGACAAGGATTAGATAGGCTGCCGGTCGCGAAAATTCGATCCATCATGAACAGTGTCCATGCAATAGCAGATTCGGCAGGTGTAATCGTGCTGCTCGGCTTGCTAGCTACTGGTGTACCTAGCATGCCTTGTGTTTGAGCCAAGGTCAAACCCAAACTGACTTGAGATCGCGCTCGGTCAGTTTTTCCCGCTGTGGTTGTTAGTCTGAGTTGGGTAGAACTCTATGGTTTGAAAGCCTCACCCGCAAAGTCTGCTTGTGCGAGAAGACAAAGAGCTTGAAAGTATGCCACGTCAAAGTCGAAGAGTGAGTACTGTTGGCATAAGAAGGTCCACGCTGATTGAGAGCAGAAATCGTAGATCTCCTTCCGGAGTGCTGCATCAGTCGAGAGAGTTCTCTGACATGCTGGTAGTGTCAGGGCAACCATAGCATATAGTACGGCAGGGGGCAGGTCGTCCGGGGTTGGGAGGATTTGTTCGTCTAAGTTTGAAAGGAGTGGATATGGCTGATTATCGAAATGGCGAAAGTAGCATTCTATTGCTTCAATGGCGACATCGCCTGGTATGTGCTCGCTCGTGGATTGACTGACTCTGTCAGCTTTCAAACAAGCCTGCGATTGAGGTTCGTGTACCTGATCAGGTGAGTCAATGAAGTGGCCGCAGGTGACGGAGGTTCTGTGACATCCCTTTCTGGGTGGCCAGTGGAGGGGCGCTCAATCACGTTGGCTATACGTGTCCTTGTGTTGATTCTGCAGAACTTGAGCCAGCACTTACACCATGAGAGATTTGCACACTTACTCGATAGCGTTTGTTAAGTGTTCCAGTCTCTCTTGGATGGCCCGCAGCTGCGTGGATCCCTGGTTGCTCAATGTCAATACTAGGTGCATGCCACAAATTCGGCACAGAAGAGGGAAGTGAAGTTCGCACTGTTGGCCTTCCCAATGAGCGCCGATTACTGTAAACACAATGCCGCTTGAGACGAGCACAGAGCGAACATCGTGGTTTCTCTCCGGGACATCGCGACTTTTTGCTTCTAATGACTTGTCAATAGAGGACCATCTGCGTTACTGGCTGTCAGGGCCGAGACCTGCAATTGTCGCACGCCTGCTCAGAGCGTTTCCTTCTCGTAGAAATGCGGTCTGAAGGTGAGAGGATCTGGTCGGTCATAGTGCTAAATGAGCTTCTCGGCGCCTAATAAATACGCGAATACGTTTGGTGATTGGGTCCAGTCGTGGGATGTTGCATGGTTTCTCCTAGATACCAGTGCCTTGGAGCAGGAGATATTCGTAGATTCGGTCACGTGACATGACGGCTAGTCGCCCCACACTCTCGTGCCACATACACTTCTCCTCGGCTCATACATAGGCGAACTGCTCTCGTTGGACTGCGAGAGCGACTACGTAGGTACTAGTAGCATCACCCTACACCGGAAGGATTGATGATTCACACTGGGTCGCAGATGAAAGTACATTTTCTTGGGCGGTTCAAGTGGAGGTGAATCGACTCCGAACTTACCTCGCGCCATGCTGAGATGCGGCTCCTTGAAGCATTCTCCTTCAGGAACCGCAATACGTAAGGAGTACATGAGCCGACTTTGCTCGCTACGGCGGGGTACATTCACGGCCTTCTCACGTGCTCACTCTCCTTCGCGACGAGACCGAGGAGCGGATGCCGCCCTGTGCTCACCGGGCCTGGCTCCAAAAGGGGGATGTTTCGCTGTAGCCTTGGCAAGAGGAATTGATAAGATCCAGTCTGTACCAGACAATGCCAACTTCAGAGCTCTCATTGATCAACAAAAATGTTCAGTGGCACAGCCATCGCCACGGCATAATGCGGCATGTCAACCGCCTCGAGAATCTTCAGGTCCCCGACGATTGAACACAGCATGTAGGCTTCCACCCGTGTAAGGCTCTTCTCCGCGACCAACCATTCAATGGCACCTCTCACTGCTTTCCTCGTCGCCTCGTGCAAGTCGGCATCGATCCCCACCACCGCATACTCTTGCCCTCGCGCTTCGGTATCGGCCAGCTGAGGCCTGGTGACATAATTTGGGGACTTCACCCACGGTTTACCCTTCTCGACCGTCAGTCGGAGCCGGGCCGTCATGGGCGTCTCAATGGCCGTCCCACACACTTCGCCGTCACCCTGGGCGACATGCCCGTCGCCGCAGCTAAATAGGGCACCGGGAGCCTGCACGGGCAAGAACAAGGACGCGCCGACGGTGACGTGCTTACAATCAATATTGCCGCCGAAGTGGTGGGGCGGGATCGTGCTGTAGTCCTGGTCGTCCGGGGGAGCGACACCCATGACGCCGAGGAAAGGATTGACCGGGACTTGAATGCCCGGCCTGAAGACGACATGGCGCTTCGTCGCAATCTCCGAGAGATCCCAGATCTCGACGTGGGGGTCCGGAAATTCGTCTTGGAGCAGCCCAAAGCCCGGTAATATGCATGTCCAGCCGTAGGTTGCGGGTGTCAACTCCAGGATATCGATGCGCAAGGTGTCGCCGGGTTCGGCGCCCTCGACGGCGACGGGACCAAAGGCAGGGTCGGCCTGTGAAAAATCGACCTTTGCGCCGATTGAGCACGCATTTGCCGGGGTGATTTGGTTGTTCAGCCCATCGAGCATGGAGAATGTAAGCTCGGCACCCGACCGCACGGTTAGGACTGGCGGAATCTTCTTGGACCACTTGAAATGAATGCTGGATTGACCAATGTCTGCTGGTGCCATGATGGGCGCCGGGGGCGGGCAAAGAGGGAGGAGTCACGCCAAATTCCCGTCGCGACCACCCTTTAAATGACCACCATGCCTGCCTGTATATGTAATTGCCGGATAGAGGGGAGAGTCACAGAATGAAGTGTGATCAGGCTTCTATATCCTTTCAACGCTCGATCCAAGGTGGCGACGAGGCCGTCCGTCGCAGGCAGCAACATTAGAGTCATAGCACTACAAGCATTTTCAACGGAGCTTGTTTTGATTGGATCAATATCGGCTCCGATAGGGGTCCCAAGGACACCATTTTCCTCAGCGGAGCGGCGGGGCTGGGCATTAAGCGACCTCGACTCGAGGCCAATCACCTAAGGATCCGGGCGATGCTTGCTCGAACGAGGAAGACCGTTCCACTTACTCGGTACAGGTATCAAATTTGCCCCGCCGGTCCAGAAATATTGCAAGTATTCGAGTCGCCCCCTTCTCATCGTCGACTGTGTCGTCGACCCGTTGTCGACGGGTGGCCGCTGTTTATCTTCGCTCATAGCCGGATCGATCTTTATTCCGTCCGCATCATTACGATAATACCGACCTGGCTCTCTCAGACACTAAAATGGTAGCCCGGCTTGATCTGAGTTCAACAGTGGGCCAACTTACCCTTATGAAAACTTTACCACTGCAAGTTCAACTGCGATAAGGCCAACATGTGTCCGAGATCCGATAACAGCACGGGCACACTAGTTAGTTTTACACAATACTAGAACAATAGCCTCGGCCCTGTGGCCATGGCGAGTGACAGGCATCCTAATTCCGCTCCCCCAAGTATACGGTGCAACAGGTCTTGCAACTACTTACCCAGCTGGCTGGCATGATGACCAACCATCGCCGGTCTGTGAGCTGAGGCTTGGTGGATTGTAGTATTACCAGTCGCTGTCCCTCATTCTTGCGTTCAACCTCATGTTCAAGCGCCTCAAGGTCGCGACGGCGTGCAACAATTGCCGGCGACGAAGGATAAAATGTGATGCTCAGCAGCCTGGTGAGTTGTCCAAGCGGCCAGACCAGCCTAGGTATTGCCCGGGGAAACACCCTGTGAACTAACGAGGCCACGCCGTTCCAGTCTGTCACCCTTGTCTTGACAGAGGAGACTCGAGCTGCGTGTACGCGCGACGGGGGAATGGCCGCGAGAGCGCCTTCTCCCAGTCTCGCCATCACCAATATCACAGCCACCTCCAAGGCGGCACAGCTAGTCCGAGATCGCAATTGTCCAGCACCTCGCGCGGTCCTTCGTCTGCCATGCGGACAGCGTCCAACGGCCAAGCTAGTGGCCGCTTGCTCGAGCCGGCGATGTCGGCGGGAGAAGCTCACGCGTCGCCGGCCTTGCAACCTGAACGCACACTGGGCGTGGAGAATACTGCCCACGGCGGCAGCACGCTCCGGGAGCACGAACAGGATCCCGTGCCCATCGACGCCGACGCCATGACGGGTATGGTCGGCGACCCAGCGCGCAGCGTCGAGTTCTTCGGCACCAGCAGCGCCGGCTCGTTCCTGCGGCAGATCAACTCGGCAATCGATGCACAACTCGGACAGACTCCGGCGACGACGCCCTGGGACCTCGATGGCGTCAGTCCCGTCCGGGCGACGTCGGGCCACGGTAGCCGTGGCATGAAGCTCAAGGATCCGCAGGACTACAGCCTCCCGCAGCGGACGTTCGCGGACGACCTGTTGCGAGCGTATCACGACGAGGTCTGGGCTGTGATCCCCGTCCACGACTGGGTCGTCTTCTGGGGAACGTACAAGCGCGTCTGGCTGGGGTCGGCCTCTCCGATCCCTGAGCAGACACTGTACTGCTTGCTGAATTTGGCGTTTGCGCTCGGCAGCCAATTCTCGCAGGCGATCGACCCGGGCCAGCGTAGGGTGGTCGGGCAGTCGTTCTGGAACCGCGCTCGGAAGCTGTTTGCGCCGCATACGCACGACGGCGCATCGATCGAGCGCGTGCAGTGCATGCTCCTCATGGGGCTGTATCTACAAAGCACGTGTGAGACCTACGAGTGTTGGATGACTATCGGCTCGGCGATTCGCATGGCGCAGAGTCTGGGCCTACACCTGGCCCAGTCGACCACGCGGGTCCTGGCTTTTCGAGAGATTGAGATTTCCCGACGCGTATGGCACGGATGCGTGTACATGGACAGGTGAGTCTCTCCGTGATTCGGGGCGGAGTAAGCTGACAGAGGCCGCTCCCGCTGACCAGGGTGCTTTCCATGACCTTCGGCCGACCGAGCATGATCGCCAGATGGGTCCCGCCTACGCTTCAGGTGCCACTGCCTTCGATGATTGACGACGAGTTTCTCGACACCCAACACACACCCGCAGCAATGCGCCCCGACGGCCAGCCCGCGATTACGGCTTTCTTCGTCAAGACGCTCGAACTCTACGACATTGTGAACGACGTCCTTCTCGAGCTCTACCAGGGCGCCGCGGATGTGACGAGCAAAGAAACCCGCCATCTCGTGGCCGTGCTGCAGTTCGACGATCGTCTCCTTCAATGGCTCCGGTCGCTGCCCGAGCACCTGAAATACTCTTCCAACTCGAGAGACGAGGGCATCGTGTACGAGAGACAGCGGATTGTTCTCCAGGCCCGGTCAGCCACCCTCTTCATTTTCGATGGCCACTTTTTAACCTAAATGCGAATCTAGATACCTACAGGCCCGGATCGCCGTCCTCAGACCTGTCCTTGCAGACTACTACCTCAAGCCGGTCAGCTCGAGACTCCGCCCGCAGCTGAGAGAATGCAGCCTGTCCCAACACCTCATCAACCAGTCGGCCGCGCTCTGTTTCGAGGCCGCCCACGAGATGATCGACGTTCTCTACGCGAGATTCGACTTCGAGACCGTGACAGGGCCCGTCCCAGCCTGGTGGTTCGCCGTCCTCTGTAAGTCGCCTGGCTCCATCATCGTTGCCCCTTTCACTTGCAGAGGGGAACAGACCATTAGTTTATTGACTCGAAGCCTTGTCTCCTAGTCATCTACACGGCAGCCACCGTCCTACTGGCCGAGCGCCTCCGCCCCATCGACAACGGGACTCACCACTCTGCTAGGGGTTCTGAGAACGTCTCCTGGGACAAGGCGATTGAGCTGCTCAAGGCGTACGCGCGGGTCGGCCAGTCTGCCGAACGGTGCAACGCAGCGCTCGGCATTTTGTCCGCAAAGATCCAGGCCGCCACCCAGACCGCGGGCACCAGGGGAGCCTCCTACGAAGTGGCCGTTCATGAGGGCTCCGCCAGCGCCGTAGCCACGGCGGGCGCAGAATTGGGCCAGCCGAGGCTTGATGAGGATTTGGCCTTCCCCGTCGACTTTGGGGATATGGATTTCAACATTGACGACATGCTGTGGTTGAACACGTCGGCTGCAGAAATTATATTCTGAGCTGTTGCTGCCCATTTAACATTACTTGACGTGGCCTCGTCCCCGATGCCGGGCCGTCAGACTTCTCGGGGTGAGTAGGTTATGTACATCTACCAGAGTTGGGCGGTGGGCTCACTGCCAGGCACAACACATTTTCAGAGCCACAGCGGCCTGATGGGCTGGGTCTGGCGCCACCAGTATTCAAAGGTGGCGTTCACAATCCTGTCCTGCAGTAAGTACGCCCCGGCCTCCGTGGCAAGCTCACTATCCACCGGCTTCAAATGCCCATACGGTGCCGCTCGAACCTGGATGCTGGCGGCTCTTTCCAAGTAGACACAGAGGTACGTCGCCTCCTGTATTGACTTGCCCGTAGTCAATAGGCCGTGGTGCGCGAGCAAGATGGAATGATTGACCGGCCCCAGCGCCTCGCTGATGATGACGCCCTCCTGGTCCGCGATGGGCACGCCGGGCCAGTCCGCCAGAAAGCCACACTTGCCATAGAAAGGCGTCATGTCCATCTGCGCCACCACAAGAGGCTGCCGCGCCGCGACCAGACTCTGTACCCACAGCGAGTGGACGTGGATGATGCTCTGCACGTCCGGCCGCGCCGCATACACCCAGAGGTGAAAGCGGGTGGCGGGATTGGGCATTCCCCTGCCCGTGACCGTGTTGAGATCCCCATCGACCTCGATGAAGTCCTCGGGCCGCGCCTCCTCCCAGCCCAGTCCGAATCGAAGCGTCCAGTAGAAACCGTCGCCGCGAGCGGAGCGGGCGGTAATCTGGCCGGCCAGTCCAGCATCCTCCTGCTTGGCCGCGACAAGACGACAGGCGCAGGCCAGGGTTTCTTGCAGCGTGCGAGATGGTATCTTCAGATGCTCTTGCATTTCTTTGGTTGCCCTCGTGTCGAAGTAGCCCTTCGATCGGAGTGGTTGGCCGTTGATCTGAGGCCTGGGGGCCGGGGCCGGTGCCGGTGTCGGACTTGGAGCTATTGTGGTAGCTGTTGGAGCCATGTTATCGAGTCGATTTGTTGGGATGTATTGGAGGATTCTGGTGGCAATGGCCTAGAACGAAATGAATACACGGTGCTGAGCCTGTGGTCGATCGCTCATCTGATATGATATGTGTTGTTGCCGATAGACTCGGGCTCGGGCTCACAATATCTTTCTAGGCGACTCTAATAAGTAGGCTCCGATGTGTGCGTGATCAGCACGTTTTCCACATTCAACGAATCCATCTGGAGATGCACAAATACCTATGTACTGGCTGCGTGCGCCATCCTGGGCTCGTCCTGATCGTCCAACCAAAAGACTATCTCAACATCGTTGATGGAACACATGGATCCGTGCCTGATTCGCTCGATGGTTATGCTTCCCGCGTTCCTTGATTCCGCGGATCATTTTGCAAGTGACGTGCTCTCTTCCGGACAATGGTACCAAAGGCAGAGCACGGACGACTGTCTGTCTGATTCGCTTGCTCATTAGATAATCGTATGAACGGAGCTCCTTGCGATAAGACCTTCCTGTTTTCATGGGTTCCTGGGCCTTGCACAAGCCTGGGAAATGGGAAGGCAGGTGGAGCGTTCGTCGGGTCGCGTTCCAATTGGTCCAGGATCGGGCTTCGTCGCAATGAGCACAGAACGCTTCCTAACTGGCTGATATACGGAAATGGACGAGGGACTAGGCCGGAAGGAGATTCTCGTCGAGGGAAATACAGACGAGGTGTCGAGATCACAGAGATAAGGGACTCAATACGTCGCGACGGTGGTCATATAAGTTGCAGGTTGACGGTCTCCATGGGAGCTCCATATGTCCATGTTGAGCCGGTCCAAAGCAGCAAACAACAGTAGCAGTCACGTTCCTCACTCGTCGGTAACCATGAGCGACTCCAAGGCAGATTCCGACCAAGTTGTCATCGGTGAGAAAATGACACTGGGTGTCGAATGTCAAGCCACCTCCGAGGCAGGCACGCCCGTCAACGGGGAAGTCCTGGAGGATGATGGAGAAGTGTTCAAGGCCGACGCGGGCACGACGCCATTCCGTGCTCTTGGGCTGTAAGTCTCACCCCGACTGGCATCGCGGCGCCAGGACCCTGGAGCAATGATCATGCGCTAACACTGAGGCCATGTGTTAAAGTGTGCGGACAGTGGTTGTCCTCATCAAGCTCTGTTTTGCGACCGGCGTCCTGTCCATTCCCGCCGCCCTGGGCGTCGTAGGGTATGGTCCCGGCCTCGTCCTCCTCACCCTCTGGAGTGCCCTGAGCATGTGTAAGTGTATTCAGACCCTCAAGATCGCGTTCGATGGCTAACTTCTGTTGGTCCAGACTACTCCTATGTCATGTACCAGTTTCGGATGAGGTATCGTGGTGTCCACAACGTCGTCGATGGGGCCATGCTCATGGGCGGTCCGATTGCCCGTGAGGTCACCTCTTTTCTTTTTCTGTTGACCTGGGTGTAAGCCTCCAAGTCCCACGCCTGAAGATCGGTGCCTGACGAATGTGCAAATATACAGTTTGGCAACTGGCTCGTCGTTTATTGGCTTGTCCCAAGGTCTCAAAGTCCTCGCCAATGGCAAGGGCTGTAGCATTGTTTGGACCTTGGTGGCCGCCATTGCCACCGGGTTGCTTTCCAGTATTCGGACCCTGGGGAAATTGGCCATACTGACCTGGATCGGCTTTGCGAGCATCTTTACTGCCGTTTTCATTGTCGTGTAAGTGATTCAAACGCTCCGCGTTGGGCGATCCCTCAAGTAACTAACCATCTGTTTCCTGATCAGTATCGGCGTCACTGTTGTCGACCGACCTGCTGGTGCCCCGCCCACCGGCCCGTATGACCTAGGAGTCGTTGCCGTTGGTCATCCGGGATTTGTCGCGGGCCTGGTCGCCGCGCTCAATCTTTTCTGTGCGCATCAAGTCCCAATGGCCATATTGAGAAGAAGTTGCAACTGACCAGGACAACGCAGCTGGCTTTTGCTCGATGTCGACCTTCATGCCCGTCATCGCCGAGATGAAGGTCCCCAAAAGGTTTCCAAAGGCTCTGTTCGTCTCCCAGGGTCTCTTGGTGGCCTGCTATATGTCTTTTGGCATGGTTGTGTACATGTAAGTACACATCCCATGGACAGTTATCCTGGTCATGGCTCATAAGATCACCCAGGTACTGTGGGCAATACATTGCCAGCCCGTCGCTAGCCAGTGCAGGAGGCACCCTAGAGAAGGTTGCATATGGTGTCTCGATCCCAGGTTTTATGATGACTTCGACGCTGTGGGTGCACGTCGCTGCCAAATTCGTGAGTAATTCCCACGCCCGGATGAGACATAATGCCCGAAGTGTTGACCATTGGTACTACTCCAGCTCCTGGTCCGAATTCTGCGCAACTCAGAGCACTTGCAAGGCAACACATTCAAACACTGGGTAACCTGGCTGTAAGTCTCACCTCTGGCTACTAAACCCCTTGATCAGAGCAAGCTCTTCTATCGCATTGGATGAATGCAAACTCAGTCGTGGTAGGTCGTCGACAATTGGACTCACCGTCTTGTCCTTCCTCCTGGCTGAGGCGATTCCATTCTTCAACTACATTCTCGGGTTTATCGCGTCAACCTGTTGTTCCCCAACCGGCGTAAGTTTCTCACTCCAATCTCCCGACGAGCCCTTCCTCTGTTTAGTATGATCATTGCTAACTTCCGCTACCTGCTGTAGCTGATCATCCCCGCCAGCATGGGTCTCTACATGCACCAAGGCCGGTACTTTTCCAGCAAGAAAACCATGGTCATCTGTATGCTGCACTGCATTATAGTGGTAGGAGGGCTCTTCATGACGGTTGCTGGTACCTATACCACAATCCAGAGTATCGTGGACGCCTATGCAGCTGGTAATGTGAAGGAGGCCTTTAGCTGTTCGTAGTGTACCGGAGGCAGGGGTGATATCCCGAATCAGCAAGAGGCGCGTGGAACTCGTACAATACAGCACAGAAGAGACAAGAGGATCTAAACATGTATGCGGGAAACTGCGACCAGCTGATCTGACCGGGGACGAGGTAGGTTTGCTGCGGTGGGAAGAACGACGGCCGTGAAGAAAGAGGTGGGAATCGTTAGGAGCGGTCGTGGACGAGGCCCATTAAGAACATTGATACTCGAAAAGGAGTTTACGAGATCTCATCGACGCATTCGCGAGTCAGTAGATCCCGCCATGCGGACGGTATACACCGTGATTCAGAGGATCGATTCAAGAATATTGCTCAACGCGATCGGTGAAGGGACGCTGGCCCGTTGTCGAGCGGCAGGACCGCGGAAGCGAGATAGGGCTAGCAGAGAAGAGCAGTGAAGAGAGAGAGTGACAGAGGTCGGGTATCCTTTCCTTGACATTGACAAACATTCGCATGCTGGAAATCGCGCAAGCCAAGGGTGAGCACAGGGGGGCATCGCCCTCGTCCCCAAAACGGGGTGAGCCGGAGGTGAGTTTACTTTTTCTTGGCAAACGAGGTTTCTCCGCAAAAAAAGTTCCACGGCAGCGCAATGAAACACCAACTAGATACCTCGTACATTATATTCAATACTCCGTGCAAACCTCTTCACCAAAGGTACAACATTGCATGCTGTTCTGATTTACGCAACAATCTTCAAACGGTCTGCTTGCTTTTCATGACTTTCCAAACGTCCACTGCATAACCAGCCGCGTCCTCCTCTTTCTATCTCTGTCCAGCACGATCCAAAATGCGCGCCCGCCGTAGCAAGCGATATCGCAAGATCATGTCCGCCTACCAGAGGAGCTTCTCCTTCCACGAACCCTACCAAGTCCTGCTGGACTCCCACTTCCTCAAGACATGCCACTCGTTCCACATGCCGTTACAGAAATACCTCGAGAACACGTTACACGGCGAATGCAGACTTTTTGTGACGAGGTGTACTCTGGCAAAAATCATGGCCGACTGGGAGAAAGTGAAAAACAAGGAGGGTAATGCGAGAGGACCCCCACGGCCAGATTTCCTCCCTCCCCCGACAGAAGTCCCTTTGCGGCACTGCAAGCACAAGGACGACGAAGGTCAGGAACTAGGCGTTGTGAGCGAGGCCCGGTGTCTACTCGATTTGCTGGCCGGGCAACCACATGGCAACGAACATGCGAAAAATAAACAACATTACATCCTCGCCACTGCGGATGCCAACGAGAAGGAGTCACGAGCCAAGGAATTCATCGATGTCAAAGACAGGGCGAGGTTGATCCCGGGCGTGCCGATCGTGTATGTGAAACGGAGCGTGATGATCCTAGAGGAGATGAGCGGTGTCAGTGAGCGCACTGTCCGGACGCAGGAGAAGGAGAAGTTCGGTCAGGGATTGATCGGGCTGGGGGCGTCTCGAAAGAGGAAGAGAGGAGAAGGAGAAGAGGAGGACAGTGAGGGTGAGGATGACAATCTGCTTGCCGAGGAGAAACAAGGCCCCAAGCTCAGAGGGTTGAAGAGGGCGAAAGGGCCGAACCCGTTGAGCGTCAAGAAAAAGAAGGTCAAAGTCCCGCCATCGAACAATGCAGGACATGATGGAGCGGCTGTGGAGGGAGAGATGTCGCGGAAAAGGCCAAAGAGAAGGGGGACAAGAGGGCGGCGAGACGCGAGAAACAAATCCACATCGGACAGTCAAGGAGAAGGAGAAGTCAGGCGGGCGACTGCCACTGCTTCGGCTGGAAGCATTACCTCGGAGGCATAGCGACCAAACCAGGAACTCTGAGCTTTTGGGCTGAGTGGAATTTGTGTGTTTGTTCCCCAAGCCCCTGTACCGAGTACATATGAACGAGATACCCCCAATCCACGAACGGACGACATTAATGTCAGATGATATTCTTTTGCTTCTGTTCACTCTTCCTATGCGAAGAGCACTTTTCCCATCGCAAATGTCTCACCCAGTGTTACTCTCCTCATTTTCCTCCTCCTCTTTCCCGCTCCTTCTCTTGTTCCTCTCCCTCCTCCGTCTCCCACCCCCCTTTCTCACCCACCTACCTGCCCCCAAAGCCCTCTTTTCATTTGGCAAGAAACGCCCTCCCATAAATCACCAGCCCTGTTGCGGCCAACACGCCCAGCCCCGCTGGGAGTGGTTTCCCCGTCTTGATGGCGCGCGGGATACTGCTGCCCGCGAGCAATACGGAAGCCAGGAGCGCGAGTTCGACGCCGTAGGGCTGTTTCTTGGAAATGCGGTAGCCGCCGAGACCATACTACACACATCATGAAGTGTTAGCGAGGCTGGTGCTACGTAGTTACGCAGCTAGGTAGATAAGAGGGAGCTCTGGTGTCGCGTTTACGTACCAGGATTCCAACAGTGAGGCCCGCCGCGATGCTGGGGACGCTGCCTGTGCGCACGTAGCCCGTCACGCCGCCCACCGAGGTGAGCGTCGCAAGGATGTATGCCGGGAGTTCAGAAGCCTGTCATTGATCGATCGCCAATTGTCGATTGTTAGTTGCCCGGCTGTTGTCGAGGGAGAATTCTTGGTTTGAGGAAGGGCAGCAGAGAGGGGTTGGGGGACTATTCCGGACCATTTTGTTTAGCCAGTTACCTCGTTCACGTCCGCACGCTGAATTGTAGCTATGTCTGTCGGAGACAATAAAGACAAACTATCGCTATGCTGGGGCAAGAGGCGAGGGAAGAACAAGGTGTGTGCTGTGCCTGGTAGTTCAGTGAATGTCGATTGTCAGCTGCCGATGTTTACGCCGTCCTGCAAAGCTACTCCAACTTTTCGGAGGTCAAGACGAAGTGGTTCGACGGCGAGCTCAGCCTTGTTCCGGACTCGGGTATTACCTCACCTATCCGAGACTTGTAGAGGACTTGTTAGTTTGTGGGAGGGGCCCGTTCTTATTATGGCGACTTCGATTTCACTGCTACACCAAGTCCTTCTCTGCGGTAAGAAAACAGGAAAATAAGACCATAGTGCGACAATGGTTCAAATCTCAAAATTTTCGCCTTCTAACCATTGTTTGCACTGCCAATATAGCAGATCGTGCTTCTCCCCGCAAGCCAAACTACCTTCAGGTAATCCTTTCTCCCGCCTATGCCCAGGCATGTCAAGCAGGACCTTCACCCCCATGGTCTTCTCTTGACAGTAGGCTAGGTACCGGTAGCCAGATGGGTATGTCTGAAGCTTAGCCTCATCAAGTGTGGGCACTTTGTTGGGATTCACCGCCATCAACTTGTCCTGTTCTCTGATGTTAGTAGTCGCACACTTTTTGGGGGGGAATGGTGGTCGGAATCAACGCTGTGGCGTTTTCTTTTATCTTGCCTTTTCATACCAGTGCCGAACAAACTTCGCCTTCCACTCATTCTCGACCTTTAGCCAAAAGAAGCAAAACCGACAATCACTCTCCGCGTCGGCTTCAATGCCGTCCAGGTCGAACCGCTGGGTGATGGTCGCTTTCATCTTTGTGACTGCCCTGCTGGCGCTTGGGTCAATGTCTGTGCTAATGCCGTGGCACCGATGCATAATAAACGCCCCGGAATCCATTCCCTTCTTGGAAGCTGATATGAAGTCCAAATGATGCGTCCGACCAGTCCAGGTGGTGTAGATGAATGCGTCAGGATGGAAGATCTCGGTTAGATTCTCCCATTCGCACGCATCGCTGGGGTTCGTCAAAGACATGAGCTTTCTATATATTAACATCTGGGACAAAGATGCGTTACTTACCGGTACATCGGCCAACCTTCGGCCAGTTCCCTGAGCTTGTATCTTTCCAGGGCCAGGCTGTCTGAGCCGTTATTTCGAATAGCGTGAACCGGCCTCGAACCGACCGGCAAAGAGTGCAGATCAACCATCATTTTCTCCTAGAAGACCCGGGCTTGTCACAACAATTACCCTTTCTTATTCCAACATATATGTAAGATTCCAAGCTACCCCGTCGGAAAGCAGACAAAGTACTGTATTTAGAGGCCTCAGATGTGCGGATATGCACTTATCCGAAGCTTCAACGAACCCGGTCAGCCTAGGTGAAGAGGCTTGACGTATGGATTTCATTTGGGCCGGCCTTGCCACGTATATTTAAATTAACCCAGTAAGGAAAAGAAAAGGACCTCGCCCAGCTAGTCTAAGCAACTTGAATTCGACCCAGGCGAACTCGTCGGTGACGAACTTCCTATTTTCGACCAGACCGCTGCTCCAGAGCTTCAATCATTCTTCTATATGATTTGGCAGCTCGATCGGCGAATTCGGACGGAATCTCGGGTCTAGGATCGAATAGGTGTCGGGAGAAGACTTCGGCACTGACCAGGCCTCGATAACCCATCCTTATAACCAGGGTCTCCAGGATTTGCTCTACCGGTAGATACCCACCGAGATGTTGCTCGTAAGCAAACAATCGTGCGTTCCTTGACCAAGTCATGCGTGGCTTCTGATCCGCAGCGTAAAGCGGGTGACCGGGGACAAGAGGCCGACCCAACCTTTCGGCGTCGCCGGGTTGGACATAGAAGATCTTGTCTACGTCAAGATCCCGGACCATCTCCTCCAAGGACTCTTCGAGTGCCTTGTCTGCGTCTCCGTTCATTCCCGACGGTACAGAGGGATCGCCCCATACTCGCCCGGCAATATGGAACGTATCGAGACACAGCCCGAAGTTAGGTCTACCAACCTTTTTCACAACGTCCCACGTGCCTTGCCAGGTGTCGATGTGAGTTCCCCATGCGACGCCTTCATAGGCAAAAGAGACAACGGGGTCCTCTTTGAGGCCTAGATCAGCCATCTCAGCGAGATCGCCCACGATAACCTCGAGATCGCCAGTCGTTCCTGAGGTCAGCCAGTTCGTGGGGATTTGGATGGTCTGGGTGCCCAGGATAGCTGCCAGTTTAAGCCAGAGCTTCAATTTCTCAATCTTGGCCAAATGTTCCGCCTTGTCGAGGAGCCCTTCGTAGAACCAGAATGGCTGCAACACTCGGACTTTCAGACCAAGCACATCACACGTCGCCCGCACGGTTTTGGCGGCTTCCATTTGGCCACTCTCGGAATCGTCCAACCGCAAGGCCTTTGCCTGCTCGAGGATGTCGGCTTCCACAATTTCCACGTTTTTGAAGCCATGGCGTGCCGCAGCGGAGAGTCGTGTAGTTATAGGGTGAATGGTGGGATGACCTAGCGACACAGATGCGATAGTTGGTACGAAGTCCATCTTGTGAGACAAAAATCTAGCGTCCCGTCGAAGTCCTCAAGTGATTGATTTCCTTTGACTTTAGCATGTAAAAAAGAACAAGTCGACGGCTGGTCCATCTGAAATGGTCTTGACGGTGTTTGCGATACTCTCTGACTTTGATTATGAGAATTGCCTTGCTTATCCGCATGCCATTCACCGGCTAGCACACGGATAAAGGCGAGGAGATTTCGATTCGACGAAGCACATGAAGGTAGTCAGCATTGCTAGGTCGAAGGACGTTTGAGCAAAACACTCACTAGCTCGGAAATTGTCATTCCCGGTGTCTCTGACAGTGGAGTCGAATGGCGTTCCGAGAAAGCCAACATCAACGGTACGTACTTTTCACTCAACGGTGGTTGGCTACAGATTCGAGAAAACCATTCGAGCAGGAATTTTTTCGATAGCTTTCGGATCTTCAGCTGAGACGAGCACCTAGCTGGACTGGATACTCGGTGGTTTCTATCTCATCCGGATAGACAATCTTTACTTGTCGACGAATCTCGTCGGCGACATCCATCACCAGCGCTGACTCGTCCCACGGAATCCCCGGACATTCCAATTTGCCAGCTAGCCAGCATCTAGCTGCTTCGTCTGCCTCCCAAAACATACCGTGTCCCTGAGCAGGAATCGGGAAGCTGCGCTCCCAAGGCTGCCCATGCCCCGGTTTTGGTATGACTTTGATACTTTGAGCCCTGTGAGCCGGGCCCCACACCTGAATCTCACCCTCAAGACCATATATATGAACTGTCGGTCCCCCCCGAGCCTCAGTGTCTGGCAGAACCATTGAAGTTGACGCTATGCCATGTGCGACTTTCAACCTCGAGTTGGATGGCATACTGAAGCGCATGATGAGGCTGACCATCTGGTCTGTCCCGGAAGACTCGTGAAACTCCACCAGGCTTGAAATAGCAGACGGTGGTGACCGTAAATCGGGGTCCTGCGTATGATATAGCGTTTGGAAGAGCCAGGTCAAGGGATAGACTCCAATATCTAATAGAGCACCTCCGGCGAGCGCGAGGTTAAGATACCGATGCGACTTGTCGAGTGTCTCAACGGCTGTTCCAATGGAATTATTGACATAAACGCGCAGCATATCGCCAATGACGCGATCATTGATCAGTTGCCGTATAACAACACTGAGAGGGAGGAAGCGAGTCCACATTGCTTCCATGAGGAAAACCTCTTTTTCTTTGGCGACCTCATGCAATTTACGGGCCTGCCGAGCATTAACCGCAATCGGCTTCTCACAGAGCACCGCTTTCTTGTGGTTCAGTGCCAACATGCAGTTCTGGAAATGATGCGAGTGCGGGGTCGAGATATAGACAAGGTCGACGGCCGGGTCCTCCACGAGCTCCTTGTACGAGCCATATGTACTGCAATCGATGCTTGATGACTGGCGAGGCTGCACAACCCCGGCATAGAAGCGTTTGGCAGACTCGACAGATGAAGAAGATGCAATGCCTGTGATTACATGCACGACATCACTAGTGCCCCTGGTCACAGGGTCTAGCAGGATATCTTTGGCAAAGGTCTTCGCAATATCGCCAGTCGCTATAAGATTCATCAGCCTTTTCCGGGTTGAAACGGGATACTTTTAGAATGCATACCCATGAGACCCCAACGAACGGTACGTGCTGTAGCCTTTGCCATCTGGAACCGTCCTTTGTCTTGAGGTCTGGCTTTGAAGCAGTAGAGGAAGCGACACAATATGATACAACGTTGAAAGTACAAGACTGCTCTTCTTTATATCGAATTTGGAACGATCACTAAGACCTGATGGTGACAGACTTGGTAGTGCTCGGTTGCCGGACGTGAGTTACGGACTTGGTCTTTGCCGAGAGCCACGAAGTTCCAGGGCTCTCAAGGGTTGACAAGGAGACCTTCAGATAGTGTTTGCGGCCTCGGACATGCGCAACAGACTGCGTACGAAATACACAGCGAGCACGAGGAGAGTGGTTCACGCCGGTCCAAGCATTACATTGAAAGTATCCAACCTACTGGAATAGGACTGCTTGGACTTTTCAAAAGGTCGTCAAGTACATTTTCAGTATCTGTCACTCCTATTCATCGCTGTTATCAACGAAAATTGACTTCGCCGACGTCCAAGCCAGGAATTCAGACCACCTTTTCTGGTACCCGACGCTTGGAAGCCCCTCAAAAGACAATTCGTATGCACCATAACGCGACGCTGTGTTGAGGCTACGCTACCCGCCTCTATTGCTCGAACAGTCTTCATGGTTTTGTTGATATCCTTCACACACACCGATTCGCAAAGCCATCTAGGCGCTGATATCAGCTTTCAACATCAATGGCGATATCTGTCATAAGACTTACGTTCACCATCATCTGCTCGTTTCACAGCTTCCGCTTCGGACTCAAGCTCGCGTATAACCGGGACGGACCAAGGATTTCTTCCACGTTGGCTGTTCTGGGCTGGGGAATTTGTGTCAAGTTAGTAGGACGGACGAAATTGTTTCCCAGTTCGCTGGGTGTTCTGGCGCCCACCGAAACTTATCCACCTTGTCTGGCGATACTAAGATAGCGAAGAATGTTGTGTGCTTGTCTCGAGTCCGTCTAGGGCTGAGGAAAGTGTTTGGGTTGGCCCCTGGATCAGCTTGGTCTAGTGGCTCAAAACCGGTGGCAAGAGTATTCTTGAACTCTCGGCAATGGATCCTAGCGTAAGACCTGAATGAGGCGGTGCGGATCTGCCCTGAATCTGTATGGTGGTTAGTCTGCAGTCGTTCGTTGTGGAAAAATTGCTAGCGTACTTGTCGTGGTCGACTTGATGGCAGAAGATCCTGCCTTTGCCGAGTTTGTATCTGCGAAACCATATCTGACGAGGGTTGATCCATCATATGGCTCAATGCAGCTGAACTAGGATTTCTCTAGCACAGGCTTTCTCAGAACGAAAACCCAAGAGATTTGTTGAAGAGGTCACTGTCATGTCTGTAATTCCAGTCAGTGGAGTGATCTTGTGATCGGGAGATGATACTCACATTGGCCGGTCATCCAACGTATCTAGAAATTCGAGAAAGGGTGCAGCCGCGGGATCCATGCAGCCGTCGAATGAATGAAATCCGGAATCCGATTCTGTATCCCTATGGACAGGCTGATTTGGGTTCGGATTCGTGTTCAAGTTTGTGAACAGATGGTGCGTCTGGCGTTGACTATCAGGCTCAGGTCTTATTTGCGGTAGCTCCAGCGATGGTAAACGATTGTCTATTCCTCCAGAGAACTCCGTGATATGGCCAGACCCAGATGCGGCCTTGTCAGTCAGTTCGTCGAAACCAAGCATGCCCCCATATCGGATGAAAAGCTGTAGCGTGGGCAGTTGTTTGCTGGCTTTGCGATCCTGCGATAGCTTCTGTAAGTTTGTACGCGAAAGAAGTGGATAGGCGATTCCCTGTGCCAACCTGGAGTTGTCGGACCTGGAGTCTTCTGGCTGCCTCAAAGTTCCCTCCCATAGGCTTGTATAGATTATGCTCAAGCTTGTAAAGCTTGGTGGTAGCTGTAATATGTCCCAGTCCTGATTTTGAAAGGCGGAGGTCAGACCTTCGTGGGACAGACAGCTTAACAGCTCCTGATCCCAGCGCGCCAACTCCACTCTAGAGATCTCTGCGGCCGGATCTCTGGCGCGCAGGTTGTCATTCAATATCCGCAACAGCTTTACATGCAATGTAAGCAGACTGAGAGAATGTGTTGGTATGTTAAATGGCTGCCCAGAGTGAGCGGACGTGGCATCAGATGACCTTGGTGGGTGCCACGGCTGCCACTCTTCTACTCCGTTGTGATCGATGTTGCACCAATTCACGACATCGTTGAAATGCAGCGTTGGTTCGCACTGGAGGCAAGCAGATGTAAGCGTGTCAAGAATGAAGCAGGCAAGCCAGGATTTCGCAAAGACGTCTTGTTCAACATGATGTCCACGCTGCAGTGTCATCTCTCCCATCATCTGGGAAGCCAACCTCACCAGCCGCCAAGAAGCTCTCAAAGCCCCAGACCCGAAGCGTGTGAGCGAAAGCAGTAACGCGCACTGGATGTACCCGATTTCCAAAGGTACATCTGTGTCAAGCGGTAGCATTGAGTAAGCTTGTGCATAGAATGAGTCGCAGTGTATTTCGGCATGTTGAGTCGCACTAGCATCATCCAGTAGATGGCCGTACATGGCTGAGGCATATGCATAAACACCCCATAAGGCGGCACGGTCGCCAGACGGCGTGGATGACAAGTTTCTCTGCGACAAAAACGACGTTTTCAAGAGAACGTGGCGTTCCAGTATCGGTAGCCAAGACTGCGCCTGGCTGAGGAACAACTGTAAGAGCTGAGGGGCATAACTTGGAGGCTGAACCTCAGGTTTATGATGGGTGTCCGGGACCTGCTGATAACTCCATATATCCACTTGTGGATTGATAACCGGGTTGACAAGGTCGAGGGCTATAGATCCTCCATCGTCTTTGGGATGTCTCTTGACTATCCAACCTGGTGTTCTGTCAGGTCGAAGATATTCAGGCTCATCCTGGCTCGTTCTCGCTCCCGCTTCGTCGTTGGACTCCTCGTTGTCATCAAGTAAGTCATCGAGATGTCGAGAGATGTCACTTTGCTTCCACCGATCAAGCAGCGTGGACGCAGCTGGGTTTAGTTCCGCGCGATCAGGGCTCGAAAAGACATCTTGCTTTGACAATCGACCAAGTAAGATATCGACCACTGACTCGGCATTCTCAAGTTCCTGAAATGTCAAACCCCACAACAATTCGAGTGCGCGTACGTAACCAGAGCGGAGGCCACGGCGTTTGCTCACGGTCTCGTATGTGCAGCTCTTCTTCTGTTGTTGGCACGTCGAGCACGCGGGCTGCTGACCATTGCATCGTAGTTTGGCATATCGACATGGCGCACATGCTCGTGAGACACGCTGTCGCTTAGGTGGTCTTCCGCTGCCGTTGTCATCGGCTGCGTTTTCAGGCTCTGTTGGTTCCATGGTACTCCAGACCACAATTTTGGGACGAAGAGTGAGCCAGAGCCCCTTGGACTTTCAATTGTGACGTTCATTTCCTTTCCCGAGGCAAAATGGGACCATTCACCCCCGACCGACATCTGACGCTGCGGATAAGTCCACGGGAAATGTCATTGCCGAAATCAACATCAGTCAGTTGGTCGGATGACGCACTCCTCGCTCCCCATCACAAATGCGTGTTCCTCGAAACTTGTCTCCATTCCATGTTGTCTCCATTCCGTGCTCCGGACGGTGCCAGCCATGAAACGGAAACTGTCATTCAGAGACGATATCAACGGACAGGAAGCGTCGAAAGCGACCTGCCCCGAGTCTGATGGAGCCACGCAAAAACCAACATGGGCTTGGCCCAGCCAACGAAGATATGGTCGAGATGCGGCGATTGTATTCATTGGGCCCAGGGCCACGGGAACATCAAGCCTAGCAGTCATTGCTGCCTCTATTCAAGGCTGGAGAGTGATTGACTGCGACTCACATTTCCAAGAAGCTACAGGCTCGACAAAACAAGAATACCGCAGCGCCCATGGGGTGGAGCAGTATCGGCGGCAAAAGCTGCAAGTTGTCCAAGAAGTGTTGGAGACCAACACGAAGAACTGCGTTTTTGCTTGTGGTCCCATCATCGCCAGGGAAAGAACAGATTTTCTTATGAAATATGCGATACATCATCCTGTCGTCTATGTCACACGAGAACGGGAATTGATTCAAAATTATCTTGGTCTCATCGACGATGGGGGGTGGCAGAGGGCTTTGGATTATATGCATTTATTCTTTCGCCAGCGTAGCAACTTCGAATTTTTCAACCTGAATGAAGCCCAGGAGCCGCTGTGGCAGACAACACTGGCGCAGTTTCTCGAAAAAAGGTCTCAGGAGCCAGCAGCCTACCCTCAGATTTTGCGTAAGACTCGAGCGCATGTTTCGTTGTTGCTTCAAAACGTGTACGGTCCGCTGTCAGCAATAAATTACCAGGGCAACTCCCGAGTCTTCTCTCCTTCTGATCTCGAGTGGCGTCGGGGTTCTCACGTGCTTTGTATTGATCTCGCTGACATGAAGAGCCGTCCCGGATTTATCTACACTCTCGATACAGGATACGATGCGGTCCAACTAAGGATCTCCAACCACCGAGGCGAATGGCAGTCGCTGTTGCCACAGGATACACTGGCATGGGCTGTCGCCACACTTCGTCGTCACTTCGAAGTACCGGTCATTGTTGATGTGAACTGCGTGGGCAGCTCCAAGGACAGCGCGTCGAGATCAAACTTGAAAGCATACCTGAACCTTTTGCAGCTGGTTCTCCGACTGGCCCCGGAATATATCACCATTGATCTTCGAACACAAGACGACGCATTCAAGGAAATTGTCAAAGCTAGAGGCTTCACCAAAATCATCGGCTGTCATTACGTGGACCAGTCCCTGGAAGACATGTGGAACGACGAAACCATGATATCAATGTACCATCGAGCACGAGAGCTCGGTTGTGATGTGGTCAGTATTTCATGCTGCTGTCAGTCTCTCAACGACAACATTCGCTGTCGTCAGGTTTCAAAGATGATTGAAGATCTCGGATTACCAACGCCAGTAATCGCCTTCAATACTGGAAGCCTCGGTCGTCTTTCGCAGGTCCTCAACGATCGTATGACTCCTGTCATTGCAGGGCATCAAGATGAGGATTCAAACCGGGGATTGAACGCGGTCTATAGCCTGGCCACTTCCCGCCAGTTAAGGGTAGCCTGGCACATGCTTGTTTCCGACAGCAGGACAAAGTACTATGTTTTCGGAGCAGAAGTCAAGCAGAGTCTCTCCCCAGCGATGCACAACGCTGGCTTCTCCTGCCAAGGCCTACCTTACACATACGAAGCCTGTGAATCTGCGACCTTTGATCTCCTCGACAAGATTTCTGCCGAGGATTCTTTCGGAGGCGCCAGTATCAGCCTTCCATTCAAGTCCGAAGTACTGAGATTGGCTACGACACACAGCGCTGCAGTGAAGCTCATTGGTGCTGCAAACACGTTGCTTCCCGACCGAAAGTTCTGCGCGAGGAGAAACAGTCATCAAACCACGCTGAAGACTCTTAGTGGGAAATCCCAGCTTATCGCTGAAAACACAGACTGGATGGGTATATACGTCTGCATAGCTAAACACTGTACGCCCGCAAACCACATCACCAAGCACACCTCAGCACTTGTAATTGGAGCTGGCGGTATGGCCCGTGCTGCAATATATGCACTGGTGAGGCTTGGAGTCGGAAACATCTTCATCTTGAACAGGACAACCGCGAATGCGTGGAAGATGAAAGAGCATTTTGAGAGCATTGGTGACGGGTTGGAAAGATCGGACCGACAGTCGAGCCCGACTGTCCCTTCATTTCATGTGCTCGAGTCCCATGTCCAGCCCTGGCCTGATGGCATCAGCTTACCTAGTGTCGTCGTCGTCGCTACACCTGTAAGAGACGGCGAAAGTACGAAAGAGTACCCTCCTGAGCTGCGCCACAACTGGTTTGGTAATGCAACTGGAGGTCTGATCGCAGATGTAATTATACCCCCTTGCATATATTATGTCTGGTACTAACGTTCTGGCAGCTTTCGTGGAAACGACGAGCAACAGCCCTTGGCGAGCAACTGCGAGAAGCGAAACCTCAAGGCTGGGTCAGGATCGACTCGATTGAGATCCTCTACGAGCAAGGTGTTGCCCAGTTCGAGCTGTTCACAAATTGCAAGGCGCCAAGGCAAGCAATGCTGGACGCTTTCTTGAACCAGTATAACTCCACTTTTGGAGTATGGTCAGGGAGTTCGGGCGAAGAGACAATTAATGTCACCGTGTAAATTGGACTTCCTGGGTAAAATTGGGATAACATCGAATCCTGCGACAGCCTCGGACTTTTGAGCATTTGTTTCTCCTTTTGTGTCGTTTTAGGATGATCTCGACACGTTGCGCAAAGCCATGCAGAACGAGAATATCAGAGTACCGACTAACAGTCTCTTCAGCCTTCAAGGCGAGACTGGAATCGTCACAGGTGCTGGAACAGACCAACATCTCAGTCTATTCCTGCAATTGTTCTTTTGTGAAAAGTATTATTCGAGCCGGGAGCAATGGGCGGGCCCAGCAAAGACGTTCCATGTAACTCGATCGTCCCTGGATAGATTGAGACGCCAATGGGCCAGAAGCCGTAAGAGGATCCTTATATTTTTTTAGGATGCGTGTCAGGAATAGTGCCTCAACCCCTGGCCTATTCAGCAAAAAGGCAATCCACGATGCTCACCGTGAATGCCCGGAAGCCTCCATACGTATCTCTATTCAACACGAGCTTCCGTTTGAAGACCATCAGCGGCCCAGCACTCCACCGTCGACCACAATCTCCTCTCCCGTCATGAAGTCGCTCGCCGCGCTGGCGAGGAAGATGGCCACACCCCTCAGGTCCTCAGGCACTGACCAACGGCGCGATGACGTCCGTTGGATGACATTCTTGTTGAAATCGGGATCATTGAAGAGTGGCTCGGTCATCTTGGTCTTGACAAATCTGTAGCGCTTGTCAATTTTGCCGCAATACTGCTATCTGATCCACGGGGAAAAGATGGGGGAGGAGCGAGGGAAGACCAACCCTGGACTGATGCAGTTGACCTGAATGCCCTTCTCGGCCCACTCGTTGCTCAGCGCCCTGGTCAGCGTGCGCACGGCGGCTTTGCTGCATGCATAGACCGAAATGTTGGTCTGTACGAGCTCCGCAGCCATGGACGCGATGTGGATGATCTTGCCGGGACGGTTGAGCTGGAGAAGTCGTCGGCCAAACTCTTGCGAGATCATGTAGGCGGCCTTGAAGTTGATGTCCATCACCTAGGATAAAGAAGAAAACGCCGGCGTCAGAAGTCATACGATGATCATTTCCACCACAGACCCCCCGGCAGTGAGGAAAAGGTCATGATATGCGTACGTACGTCATCGAGATACTCCACGGGCGTGTCTTCGACTTTGGCATGTCGACTGATTCCCGCACAGTTGAGCAGGATATCAGGGTCGACACCGGCGTCCCAGACGCCTTTGAGCATTCCCGGGATGGACTTGTAGTCACGCAGGTTGCTGTCGACTTGCTGAAATCGGCGCCCGTGGCGTTCTACCTCCTGTTGCAGGTGAGCCGCTCCGGGGTCGTTGGGGATTTGAATTGACACAATATCTGCCCCGGCTTCTGCGAGAGCCAGGGTCAAGACAAGTCCAATGCCACCTGTACTTCCAGTGACGAAGGCGGTCTTGCCAGCCAGGCTGAAGAGCTGCGGGATCTGGCCGGTTGACATGTTGAATGGACTGATGGGTTGGTGAGCTTATGATTGTGACGCAGTGCTTCGTGGAGCGATAGTACGCGATTTTTCTATACAGCTTCCAAAGAAATCACAGTGTGTATCGCAGTGCCTGATAACGAAACGGAATGGGTAGTCCTGAGCAGGGACGTGTCCCCCTGTTCTGAAGATGGTTGTTGGCTCCTCGGTCTATGCAGGGACAGCAGGTCTCCGGGTAAAGTTTTTCTGGACTGGTGGTTGCAAGTGGTTGTGGGTGGTTATGGCGAGATGAGCGTCTGTATAGCATGAGCACGCTACGACCTTGTCTCGGAGATGCTTATACCCGAAGATGTTGCGTTATTGCCACGGACCCTATAACTTTTTTTCGCTCGAAAGAAGTATAATCCTCAACCGCATTCGGAAAAGCCATTACTAATGTGAGGAGAGAGCGTGGATTGTCCAGATCAGCCTGTCAGACGACCATAGCAAGGTGTTTCGACCCCGCCGAGAAACCCTGCGATACATCCACGCCCGAATTTGGAGGCACTTGTTTTCCAGATGGGCAATATCCAACGCTGATACTCTGAACAGACACACGACTTCACCAACATGGGCAACTCACCAAGGGTAGGAGTGATAGGCCTAGGGGCCATGGGTATGGGCATGGCCTCGACGCTGCTCCGGGAGGGGTTCGACACCACTGGCTTCGATGTCTCTTCGTCTGCCATGGAGAAATTCAAGCAAAACGGCGGCAAGGGGGCGAGTTCGCCTCGCGGTGTCGCCATGACCGTCGACATTCTTGTTGTAGTCGTGGCCAATTCAGACCAGACCTCTTCGGTCTTGTTCGACCCGCAGACAGGGGCAGTGCCGGCCCTGCCTCGAAACGCCGTCATTCTCCTTTGCATCACTGCCTCGCCCGACTATGTGATGGGTCTCGGAGGACGACTACGAGAAGCCGGGCGCTCTGACATCCGGGTTATAGACTGTCCCATCTCGGGCGGCGAGTTGCGCGCGTGGCAGGGATCTCTTTCGCTGCTGTGCGCAGGAGAGGATGCGGACATCGACACCTGTCGACCTGTTCTGGACGCCCTGAGTTCACGCTTACATGTCATTACGGGTGGCGTAGGCGCCGGCTCTCGACTTAAGTTGGTGCATCAAATCCTGGTGGGTGTGCATATTATCGCAGCCAACGAAGTCATGGGTCTGTGCCATCTTGCATGCATGAATCTCCAGTCCGTCCACGACCAAGTGATGGGCTCAGACAGTGCAAGTTGGCTCTTTGGACAGAGAACATCGCATGTGATTGACGGAGAGAAGGTGCCTGCATCGTCTTTGCGCATCATCGCAAAGGACCTGGTGAGTTTGATGATGTGCCGCAGTCGTGGAGTCCCAGCTAACATTCCTAATGCAAGGCTATGGTCATGAACTACGGCGACCGTTACAAGGCCACCCTGCCTCTAGCTTCGATCGCCCATCAGCTCTTCCTCCAGGTCCAGTCGGCCGGCTGGGGCGTGGAAGATGACTGTCTCGTCCTGAACGCGTACTTGCTTGGCAGAGGCGACATGGAAACGGTCAGGAAGGGCGTGGACCAGAGTCAAGCCTCACATGAATACGGCCTCGAGGCGGGGGCAATCTGCGACTTGCTTCTCGGGATCCACAGCACGATCGCTGTCGAGGTGCTTCGGTTTGCTCGAGGCTTGGGACTGGACATAGCCAATGTCAGGGAGGTCGTCAAGGACGCGGCAGGTTCCAGCGTCGTGTTTGACAAAATCTGCGGCGAAGTGATTGGAAGGGACTCGTTCAGTCTCGGCAAGCTCAACAACTCGACGACGATCCGCGAAAAATTGGTAAGTCCTTCCGTGCTCGAGTCATCCGTTCCGTGACGTTAATGCATTGTCTAGTCTCGCGCCATCCATGCTGCAGCTCGACTCCATTACCCTCTGTTTCTCAGTGCGGAGGCACTTCAGCAGTGGTACAATCCCTAGATTGCGACCAGCCCGGTCGTATAGTGGCTTCCGACAGTACTTTTAAAGACGTATTGTGGGTAGATATTTCCACACAAAATGGTACAATTTCAATCCTTCTACTTTTTTTTCATCATTATTCTGAGATTCGCTCCCTGGAAATGATTGAGGCTGTAATTCAATCAAAGTGACCCCGTTGGAAGGGCACAATCAAGTCCTAGTTTTCACCCGTGATGTATATACACGGTCTTCTCCTGCGTCCAGGCCTTGACTGCGTCCGACCCTTTTTGACGTCCAATGCCGGAAGCTTTGAAACCTCCAAATGGCAATTCGTATGCGCCATACGGCGAACTGACGTTGACTCCAACTGAGCCGGCCTCGAGTGCCTTTGCGACTCGCAACGCGCGGTTGATCTTGGTGGTGAATAGCGAGGCATATAGGCCATCTGGGGGATGTTGTGATCAGCTGCCGCATTCATTGCTTGGCTCAAGGTTGACGGTCAGTACTCACAATCTGAATCATTTGCTCGGCGTATGACATCGTCCTCGTTATCGAACTCGTGCAGGACAAGCACCGGGCCGAACACCTCCTCCCGGTTGATTTCGCTATCGTCGCCGACTCCCGTTACGACCGTGGGCTGGACGAAGTTGTCGCCAATCTCAGAGGCCAATTTCCCACCTACCAGGATTTGGCCTTCCGCCTTTCCCATCTCCAGGAACCGCGCGATGGCGGCCGTCTGTGCCGAGTCCGCTTGAGGTCCTACATCTGTCGCGGTTGCTGAAGGCGGTCCCTGGTTGAGCTTCTTGATACGGTCCACCATCATCTGCTTGAATTCAGAGGCCACGGTGCGTTCGACATAGAGACGCGTAGATGCGGTACAAGTCTGGCCGGCGTCTATTTGGGAGTTTAGAAACCGCGAACACTCTCACCTTTGCCCGCTGCACTTACTGGATGTGAATGAGTGGACAGCACATTCCACGGCGCGGTCGAGGCTCGCATCGGCAAACACGATGAGGGGCGACTTGCCACCCAGCTCCAGGGCGACGTCCTTGATATTGGACTTTGCCGCAGCTTCCATGACGGCTCTCCCGGCACGTGTCGAGCCCGTGAAGCTGATTCTTCTGCGACGGGGTCAGGAGACAAACTCCAGCTTGTCCAGAAGGGCCATGTCGCACCGAATCTGCATATGCGACGACAACAGCGCACCGGTCTCCCCGGCGCCCGAAATTACATTAACCACTCCAGGGGGGATGCCTGCTTCGTGACAAAGCTGCCCCAGAAACACACCCTGTAATTTGAGTCAACAATGCTATAATGAGCATGTGGATGATCTGAAGGAAGGCTTACGCTGAGTGGTGCTTTTTCAGATGTCTGGCCAATAAGTTAGTCGTTTTCACTACTTATAGCACGGCCAGAATGATGGCTCACCTTCAATATCATGGCATTACCTGCACCACAGGCTGGTACAATCTCATGGCAGAACTGAGGCACATCTTGTCAGTTGGAGCCGGGGTACTTGCTGTCCAAGAACCTACCAGGAGTGCGGGAAAGTTCCATGGGATGATGGCGGCGACCACGCCAAAGGGCTGGCGAATGGTCAGGTTGAGATGCTCGTTATTGTTGGTGGATGTCTGGCCGTCGGCGAGTTCGACCAGTCCGGCGAAGTAGTTGGTGATGTTGCAGGCCTCTTCGAGCTCGCCTTTAGCAGAGGATAGTGGTTTTCCCATCGCCAGTGAGTCAAGCTACGACCGGCGCAGCAAGAAGCCCGTCAGCAAAATCACGACCATCCGTCAATCTGTCGACGTACCTTTTGGATTTTTTCGCGATTCTGGTAGACTAGATCCGCAAACTTGCGTAGGATCCGTCCTCGCTGGTACGCCGGGGTCGCAGCCCAAACAGGCTGAGCTTTGGCAGCCGCTTCGACCGCCTTGTCCACGTCCTGTTGTTCGGCCACGGTGATCTCGGCGATCGTCTCATTTGTGGCCGGGTTCTACTGACGGGTTAGTTCCACCGCGAGTTTCTTTCATGGTTCCGGTGTCCAACCTTGAGAGGGAATGTCCGGCCAGACATGCCTGACACCAGGCTTCCGCCGATAAAGAGTCTGCCCTCGTACTTCGACGCCATTGTGGTATACAGCGTCTTGGATGAGAAGAAATCAGAAGACGAGTATGTGGGAAACACTCAAATGTCGAGGCGATGCGCCATGGCTTTTGACCAAATCTACCGGACAACGTGGAAATAGTCATGCTGCCTACCACTCTCAGGGCCACCTACTGCGCCTCTGTCACAGGCTCGAAGTCGACAAGTATGTTGCAAGCCTGGATGAAGATCGGCAAGAGACATTACGGACGGATTGCCGCTTTGAGCGCTCGGGCCGTTGCTGAATGCGTGCCAAAATGAAGGACAAACTCTGATCTGACCGGCCGAGGCCTACGGCAAAGGTCAGAACCGTCGACCAAATAGTCCCGGGAATTTCAATACATGCTGGTATGGGCAGCAAAGTCTCAAGGCCTTGTGGCTCTTTATGTAAGAATCACCAGACGGCGAAACTCAGGACCCGCTAAGTGCAGAAGAACAAACTGTCGCAAGCAATGGCGCCAGGCAAGCTCCTCGATGGCCAAGTGGCTCTGGTCACAGGAGCTGGTAGCGGTGAGTTTTAAGCGCAAAGCGAGGACGTCGATGAGCTTCTTTAGTGACTGTAAGTATTCAGGTTTCGGAGCAGGCATCGCCAAACTTTTCGCCCGCGAAGGCGCGAAAGTGCTGTGTGCTGACATCAACGAGGAGAATGGCACACGGTAAGTGGCAAAGACTGCCCCGTCAAGCAATGACTGAACATGCAATCCCAGCACCGTCAAAGAAATCACAGGGTCGGGAGACCTAGCACACTTTGTGAAGATGAATGTCACGGTGCCGGGTGACTGGGAACAAGCGCTTGTAACGGCAAAGGAGAAGTTCGGAGGCCTCGATATCCTGGTCAACAACGCAGGCTGGACGTACCGGATCAAGGACACATTGACCGTGACCGAGGCCGAATATGACCGTAAGACGATGTGGAACATCTTTCCGATAGAACTGACCAGCGCTCTGATAGGCATTTTCGACATCAACGTCAAATCCATCTTTCACTCGGTGGGCAAGATCATCCCACATTTCCTGGCTCAGGGGTACGGCAATATCATCAACATTGGCTCGTGCATCACAGAAAAGCCTACAGTCGGTCTCACGTGGTACGGGGCTACTAAGGGCGCCGTCGATATGATCACACGGCATTTGTCCAATGAGTACTCGCCCCAGGGTATTCGGGTCAACGGGGTGTCGCCGTCGATCAGCGAAACGCCCCTGATGCGCGAGTTCATCGGCCGCGATCCCGATTCGGCAAGCAAGGAGAGTTTGACCTCGCATGTTCCTCTAGGCCGACTATGCACGCCTCTCGACATCGCAAAGGCGACGTTGTACTTCGCGACTCCCTACTTCAACGACTTCCAAACGTAAGTTGCTTGCCCCAGACGTGACAAAGTGGGTGACTGATATCAGATAGTGGAATCATTCTCCGAGTCGATGGTGGTCACTATACATGAGAAGGCAAGCTCGAGGAGCTAAAGGCACGGGCATCGGAGCTATGTTACAAGACCACCGCTTTTCCCTAGGTAGATTTATGACCGGTCAGTTTCATACTGCACAGAGAATAGCATAGGCACTCAGAGCCAAATTCCATTGATTCAGAGACTCGGTATATCGGGTATATCGTCAGACATCTCAATGCTTTCTAAGCATCACCGCCATTCGCCTTCAGCGCCTCTCGTTCCCGAATAATTCTCTCCGTCATCCGATACACTTCATCCATTTCGATCCTTTTCCCCGTCCACATCCTCCATTGTACCGCGAACTGGGCTGCCGACACAGTGTACCCTAGAATGGTCCGCCAGCCGTGTTGCTGTGCCAGTTTGATATTTCTCGTCTGGACCGGGTGGTAACACATGTCCAACAGCAGACCCTTGGGCGAGTCGTTCCGCGATAGGAATTCGACCAAGATTTCTCGGGCGGCAATCTCTCCCGGCGTCACGGCGTCGAAGTCGGGCACCGTCGAGACAATGTAGCTCGGGGTCCGCAGGTCTTTCGCCTCGGCGGTGGACCGTACATGGCGGATTTGAGGCGAATACTGACGGCTGCCGTACTGCGTCACATCCGCCAACAGGTCTACAACCTCCTGATCATCTCGATTGACAAGGTAGATCTCAGAGCACGCCAAGTCGGCCGCGAGCGCGTACACGGCGGCTCTGCTCGCTCCGCCAGCTCCGTAAACCATAGCTGGTCTCCCCGGCGCGTGATGCGGGCTCCGAGCCAGTAAACAATCGCGGATGCCGACCCAATCGGTGTTGCTGCCGTGTAATGCTCCATTGGGGGCACGGTAGACGATGTTGCACGCCCGGAGGATCCGCACCAGATCGTCAACTTGGTCTAGCAGAGGGATGATGGTCATCTTGTGCGGCATGGTGACCAGTCCGCCGGCAAAATCAGGTCGTCGATAAATTTCCATGAGGTCTTTAGCCGTCTTCACCCGTAGGAACTCGCATGTCCAGTCCAGGCCTAAGGTCTGGGCAATGTACTCGTGGACTTTGGGGCCTGTCGAGCCGCCTCCAGGGCCACCTCCAATATAGAGCCGGTTGCGATCGGTGGGTGCGATCATCGTGTCAGCAATGGGAGATGTTGTCACCAGAGAGACCCCGGGGCGGTTCATCTGTCGCTGCGCCGCTTCTTAAGAGATAATAGGGACTCAAATTGTCCCGAAGCTCTCGCCCAATGCAGAACCACGTGCATCCCATCGCCCTTTGTGTTGCATCTCTCCAGGCGAGGCCTCAAGTGCCGACCATGGCCTGGCTGGTCTCGGTCGATGGTGCTGGAAATGACCTTTGCCGGACGATCTCTGGGCACCGCCGCTTGGAAGGGACTATGTATTTCTCCGAGTGGAGACACCGAGACACTAACCCAACCGCGCGGTCGGCCCGCCCACAATGGATGTTTCTTGAACCCGTTCAATATACCGAGTAATATGGTTGCTCTCTTGACCAACCACCCCACGGAATTCTGTTGCTCTAACCCTATTGGGAAGGTTAAACGGCTCGACCCGCATTAGGCAGGTTAGGCGAGTGACACTGCGGCCCTTATTGCCACCTAGTCTCTCCACCTTCAATAGTTGCTAGTTAGACAATAAATCAATTCAGTTGGTTCTACCTATTCGCCTCGATTCCGCGACCAGGGTCCTTCTACAGGTCTTTGGGAAATAATCGGGCACACAGCCTCGTCTAGTAACAGGGCACATTGAGGGGTCCAGGTGCTTGTAATTGTGAACCGCCGCCTCACCAAATCAACTGTCGCGGCGGCACTTCTCGATTCACGCTTCTGAGCCTGCTCTGAAAATGGACACTTTGGCCTCCCATCTCACCTACGAACCGGTGCCGTTGCGATTTGGCACGAGCGGCCGCCGGGGAAAAGTGGTTGATCTGACCCAACTCGAAATCTACACCAATGTCGTCGCCGAGATCGACTACCTCCAGGAGCTTCCACCGTCTAAGGGGGGTGTTCGGCGAGGGGACGACTTTTATCTCGCATACGATCTGAGGCCTAGCTCGACCGGGTTCGTCAAGGGTCAGCGCGGCGGCGGCATCTGCCAGGCTGTGGTTGCGGCGTTACAGGACCGGGGGATGAACCCAGTCAATCTAGGGGCGATCCCAACGCCAGCCCTCGCGTGCTATGCCTTTCAAAGATCAAAAGGGAGCATTATGGTCACCGGGAGCCACATCCCGTTCGACCGCAATGGGTACAAGCTCAATACTTCCAAGGGCGAGCTGCTGAAAGAGGACGAAAAGCCCATCAACGCCGCTGTCGAGGCCATGCGGGAGAAAATCCTTAATGGGCCCTACAGTACGTCGCTGTTCGATGACTGGGGTAACCTTCGCAATGGTACCGCGGAGCTCCCGCCATCTTATGCTTATGGTGGCGAATCCTATATCCAGCGATACCTCGACTTTTTCCAGGGAGAGACGCTTGATGGCGCTCGGATCCTAGTCTACCAGCATTCCGCTGTGGGGCGTGATCTCCTTGTTGAACTCCTACAGAAGCTCGGCGCTCAAGTGACTGCCGCCGGACGCAGCGACGTGTTCGTGCCCATCGACACCGAAGCAATCGATAAAGCGCAGATGGATAACCTCCAGAAGCTCTACGTGGCCAATGGAGGCTCCTTCGATGCCATCGTGTCGACGGATGGCGACAGCGATCGACCACTTCTCGTAGGCCCGGATAGCGGCAACACCCTGAGCTTCTTTGGCGGTGATGTTTTGGGCATGATCACCGCCGACTTCCTGGGCGCAGACTCGGTCGTCGTCCCTATTAGCACCAACGACGCCATCGACCGTGGGCGCCTCGCATCTGTGCTCCAGCCCAAAACGCAGATAGGCAGCCCCTACGTCATATCGGGGATGCAAACCGTTGCCGCCGCCGGCCAGCGACGCCGGATCTGTGGCTGGGAGGCTAACGGGGGATTCTTAACCGGCTCCGACATCCAACGCAAGGATCGAGTCCTCGTCGCCCTCCCGACTCGCGACGCGGTCCTGCCGCTGCTTTGCGCTCTTTTCGCCGCCCGTGACCGCAAGATGACCTTGTCGCAGCTCTTCTCCACGCTGCCGCAGCGCTTCAGCCGCGCGGCGGTCATTCGCGACATTCCCCGCGCCGTCAGTGCGCAGATCATCCAGCGATTTTCTGTCGGCAACCCTCAGGTGCGGGAGGTGAACTACGACGGTGCTTCGAGCACGTCGGCCGCAGCGACTGGTTCGGAGGGGAATCCGATGCCCCTGGATGATTCCCAGGCCAACCAGCTCCAGAACATCCGGAACGAATTGCAAGCTGTGTTTGGTGAGCAGGCTGGCTTCTCCACGATTGCACGACTGAACTACACTGACGGTGTTCGTATCATCTTTACCAACGGCGACGTGGCTCACTTTCGGCCTTCGGGCAACGCTGATGAGCTACGCATCTACGCCGTTGCCGATACGCAGCGGCGGGCCGACGAGATCGCGTCCCAGGCTGTGGCGGAGCCGGATGGGCTGCTGAGACAACTGGAGCGAAAGGCTTTACGGTACAACACTCGTACCTAGACAAAATATGCACCCCGAGGTATTGGGATGATGGTGATGGGCTTACCAAAGTGATCTGTACCGGAAACGCAGGCGCCCGACATTCCCGGGATAGATCATTCCGCCCTCCTTTCGAGCGCCTCGTCCTGGAGCTCTATGGCCAAGATGCTCTCTTTCTAGGGCATCACATCGTACAAACGCCAGTCGCGGCGATGGCGTGGACGGGGTCTCGCCTATAGGTGGACTGCGTGGCAACTCGAGGACGAGGGCCGGTTAAGGTGTCGACGCCCGTCCGCGGATCCTTGGTCATGGTGGTGCCGACCACTTTTAGAGGGTTTTCCGGGGAGCGGTTCTCGGCGTCCAGCCTTGTGCCATAGGGTCTGCAGGATTCAAAGCATCGGAACCGAGCCCTTTCCACGGACATGCTCGATGAGTACGTCCCGGGAGAAGGTCTTTGGGGTCCCGCGGGTGGCTGGGCAATAGTTAGCGTATCAAGGATGACATCAAGGACGACGTATGTTCTCACATGACGCCCTAGTTTACTCGATGTCGAGAAGATATCTAGTTATGCTTCTGATTGCCTCCAGATGGAGTGGTCCGAGGACGTAGGAAGCGTGATGAGGGTCAACGAGCACGAGGTAATATCGAACGAGCCTAATGTCTGGACAACTAGTCGAGCTCTTCACAGGTTGCTTTGAGCGCGGAAAGTAAGGCACTCATGCCATAGCCTACTTGGTTTCTTCAATCATCGGCCATCGGGATATGCAGACTAGGCATGTGGAATAGACCCGTCGTTCCGGCTATGTAATCTGCCGGAAGACGACACTCCAGTAAGCCACATACACATCACATCTTCTTAGGAAGTTCCAAAGTAGAGGACGTGATGACTGATTCAAGAGGCTTTATACCGAAGGCACACTTACAAACATCCCTCCTTTAACATACTGTAGTCGCAACACTGAACCATCGGCAAGCATGGGTGTCTATCACATTGGTAAGGTCTTGAGAACTTCGTCAGCACAGTGAGCGAGACTAATTGCTTCAAAGTTCTGTTCCGGTTGAAGCCCGTGTACGATAAAACACTGTTCAACTACTGGAAGGAACAGGTTCATGGCCTCGTCGGTATTGTTCCCGGTGAGTCGGCCCCATGATCTCCTCGGTTGAAAGTATCCAGCCAACGCGAGACTGTTTGTTAGGCCTCAGATACGTCGATGTTGGTGCACCGCTACCGGCCACAGCTGAGAAGGCAAAAGGCTTCGATGTGTCGTTGGTGGCGGTCCTCGACAAGGAGGAAGACGCCTTGGTCTACGCAGAACACCCTGCGCACGAGAAGTGAGTGACCTATCCATCGAGTTGCTGTTCCTCAACTGACCTGCCAGAATCATCGCCGAGTGTCGACCTAGGCTGTTTGACGAGCTGATCGTTTGCGATATGGGCTTCCAAGAGCGGTGAGGAGAGGAAGAGCATGAGGGGCGGAATCACAGTTGTGAGAGAGACGCCGAATTGCAAGGCCTTGCAATCACCACATTGAAACCCTAGAGCTTGATCAAATATCCTACACCCTGCTCGTCTTCGAATATGCTGCTCCTTTGAGTTTATCTTCGCCCAGCCATCACAGTATAAAGTCGAGCTTGTCATGGCCTGATCAGAGCCTTGTCTACACCTCTCTTGTAGGAGACGTGGCGCGGTGTGAAGTCCCAGATTTCCCTCAATCGAGTGCACCAATGACCAACGCATGAAAGCCTGAGTCAGGTTCACGGACGGCATCTAGTGGTTACCTTGCCCTTATTCAACCACGATTGTCATGATGGCCTGACAAGCGTCATTGCGGCATGTCGTCTCCGGCTTTGCTCTCACAATCATCAACTAGCAGCAACTGCCCGTCTCTCAATCAGTAAAGCCACGGACTGACACCTGGTCTGCTCATTGATGGTGTGTCAGCGGCACGACCAATAATTCGTTTGGCATTGACACAAGAATGACGTTCTGGGAATGCTGACGACCCTCAGTCCGGCTGCGGAGACAATGGTGCGTCCATCACTATCCTTCCGGTACGAGAAATTCTTGCAAGCTTCTGAAGAACATCTTGAAATAGCAAGCCGGGAGAGCGGGAAAGGACAGCCTCCACCTCGGAAAACACATCTCATGCGGCAGATGGTCATGAAAGGCCGAGAAGGCTGTACAGCGATCGACGTCTCTGAGGAGCTCTTCGAACAAGCTTGTGCCTGCACAGAAGAGGAGATGAACAAGGGCGGAAGTCGGACACGGCAATCGGGACAAGAACCCACGGGTCAGTGTATATCCAGGGGTGCATATATGCGGCTCGGGACCAGCCATGGGCCCGCAGAATGACAATCTCGACTAGACTCCGGGGATCGCTGATAGAGGGGCCCCAACCTGGCACCACAGAGTCTTTGTGTTGGTATGTATTGGCGTTCGGCTAATGACAATGCCGCCTCACTGATTTCAACATAAATTACAAGAACGACACAGAGAGCTGCCCCTTGAGAGAGAGACAGAGGCACGCAAACTCAACCATGGGGTCTCCACCATCGCCGAACCGGCGACCCAACATTCTCTTCATTCTGGCGGATGATCACGCCAGCAAAGCCATCTCCTGCTATGGCCACAACATCAACCACACGCCGAATCTGGACCGCATCGCGGCCAACGGCGTCCGGTTCAACCACTGCTACGTGACCAACTCGATCTGCACGCCGTCGCGGGCCTCGATTCTTACGGGCACGTACAACCACACCAACGATGTCCTCACCCTCTACTCCAAGATCAACAACCGACAGCCTAACGTGGCCAAACAGCTGCGCGCCTATGGAGATTACCAGACAGCCATGATCGGCAAGTGGCATCTCGGCGAAGGACCTGGCGCAGAGCCGACCGGCTTCGACTACTGGTCTGTCCTCCCTGAGCAAGGAGAATACTGGGATCCGGAGTTCATCGAGCCGCCCAAGTCCAAGGCGAGTTGGGGCCAGGGCACTCATAACGAGCCGGGATACGCCACAGATATCATCACCAACAAGACGCTCGACTTCATCAAGAATCGTGACCCGTCTCGGCCGTTCTTCGTCATGTGTCATCACAAGGCGCCACATCGGAGCTGGGAGTGCGACCACAAGCACCGCGATCTATACACAGACCCCATTCGTGTGCCCGACACTTTCACCGACGACTACAAGAACCGCGCGAGGGCGGCCAAGGTCGCAAAGAACAAGATCGCCGACGACATGACCTTCTTTGACCTCGGATTGGTGCAACCCGAGGGAGGTATCGGCACGAACCCCGCGACGGCGGATGTGGGCGAGAAGGAAGGACCTGAATACTGGTCTCGAAACGTCCGCAGGGTGCCCTTTCCCGCGACCGACGTCGAGGTCCAGAAGATGCGACCTTTGATCGACAAGGAGACGGGCGAGAAGTTTACCTTCAAGACGCGGTCCGAGCTGGCCGAGTTCAAGTTCCAGCGGTACATGCAGCGGTACCTACGCACAATCCAGAGCATCGACGACAATGTCGGCCGTCTGCTCGACTACCTTGAGACGGATCGGGAGCTGCACAAGAACACCGTCGTCATCTATAGCAGCGATCAAGGATTCTTCCTCGGTGAGCACGGCTGGTTCGACAAGCGCTTCATGTACGAGGAGAGTTTCCAGATGCCCTTCCTGATCCAGTACCCGGCCCTCATCAACGGACAACGCCAGGGCAGCGTGTGCAACCACCTCTTGAGCAATGTCGACTTTGCGCCCACGTTCCTCGACCTCGCCGGCCTCCGGACCCCGACATACATGCAGGGAATCAGCTTCGGAGCGCTGCTGCGAGCTGAGGAGGTCGTCGAGGCCGAGGGCTCTGGGAAGGAGATCCATCACGGCCAGTGGTCGCAGGACGTCGTATACCATCGCTACTGGATGCACCGCGACGCCGTGCACGAGGCCTACGCCCACTACGGCTGCCGAGACCAGCGGTACAAGCTGATCTACTGGTACAACGAAGGGTTCGACATTGAGGGGACGCGAGAAGGCGGCCAGGACAAGGAGTGGGAGCTTTTCGACACAGACCAGGATCCGCTGGAGCTTTTCAACGTCTATGCGGACCCACATTACCGCGAAATCGTGGCGCGCATGACCAGGCTGCTCGAAGAGAAGATGGAGGAAATTGGCGATCTGATTGTCCATCCCCGGGCAAAGCTCGAGTAATGTGAGCTGGACAGGCGGCTTTCCTCTGGTCAGGCACCAAGTTGTACATAGACTCCAGATAAGGGAAAAAGTTCTTATGTCGAAGAGAAAGAGCTCCTGCCAGCCAGCGTGTGTGCCGTGTACATAACTTGGAGTTGACAGCTCAACGAATCCTACCCATGACTCTACGCGATGAATCACACACCCGCAGCGTGAAAATGGTCCCTGCATGCAGCTGATGAGACGTCACTCTTGGTGGATACTCGTGCATCTTGCAGTGGTACGAGTAGAGCAGCAAAAGGTAGTCCTGCTCGATCTCAGGGGAGGGCGGCGCGCACGCTGTCTCGCTGAAAATATAGGTTGGAAAATGCCTAAGCTGGGAGATCTTTCTTAGCCACCGCGTTGATGACTTTTTGTCTTTTTATTTTTCTTCTTTCTCTTTCGAGCACACACATGGCACGCGACTTGTACACGATCTATGTAATGATCGACTCACTTGCGCAAGCTATTTGAAATCTGGATTGCGCTGAGCAAGGCTTCACTGGAAGTTCGGCCCCTTGGTCTGGCCCGTCACATAGCAAAGAAGCTTCTAGCCACGCATGCACTTGGCAATCGATTCGACGTGGGCCACATGCCCCAAGTCCTTGACCATGCCATCCTCGGCCGCGGTCATGTCCTTTGTCAAGCTGGTAATCACCTCGCCTTTCTTGCCAAAGTGGTGCTCGGTCCTCTTGGCCACCATGACGACCTTCAGTGGGGAGGTCGAGTTGTGGAAGACCAAGTCAATCTCCTCGAGCGATCGGTTCCGAGTTTCGGGGTAGAAGAAGAAGACCACGAAAAGGGCGGCGACGTTGCAGCTGGCGAAGATGAGGTACGTTTTCCAGCCGATGTTGTTGAAGGCAATAGGAGCAATCATGACGATGGTGAACACACAAACCCAGTTGGTGGCGGTGGAGATGGCGTTGGCCTGCACGCGGGTCGCCAGCGGCGTGATCTCGGCCGGGTAGATCCAGGGGATTTGGGCAAAACCGAGGGCGAAAAAGGCCTTGAACACGAAGAGGAAGACGGTCGCGACGATGCCAGCCTTGTAACCCGTGAACTTCCTCGTGACGGCCAGGACCACCATCGACACGGTCATACCGCTGAGGTTGAACATCATGACGTTGCGCCGGTCAAAGGTCTTGATGACCCAAACGGAGATCATCCCCGAGATGAACGAGTCGGTCCCCAAAGCGCCAGACAGGATACGGGACATGAACGGTGACAAGCCGATCTCATTCTGAAAGATCGAGGTCGCGTAGTACGTGATGACATTGATCCCTGTGAACTGGGACATGATCTGAATACTGACGGCGAGGATGGTCCGAGAACGAGTCTTGAGTGGTCCCTCGTGGAAGACATCTTTCCAAGTGACGTTGCGCTGGGTCTCGATCGTGGCGCGAATCGAAGCGAGTTCTTCCGCCACGACGACGTCTCCGGCTGGAGCGTCGTACAGGGCCGATAGCACTTCGGTGGCCTCCTCCCATCGATCCTGGAGCAGGAGCCAGCGGGGCGACTCGGGCAGTGATAAGATCAGGCACAACACAACCAGCGCGAACACCAGCTGGAGCGCGACGGGGAAGCGCCACGCGATCTGGCTAGGCTCGGCGTACGAGAAGCCAAAGTCGACCCAGTAGCTGGTCATCACACCAAGCGGCACCAGCGACGTCTCGAAAGCCATGATGGGTCCACGCTGGTGAGGCTTGGTGCATTCTGCCTGCCATACGGGCATGGTGGCTGTGTTGATGCCCGTACCCACTCCACAGATGATACGTCCGATGATGAGCTGGGTCATGGTGAACGACGAGGCCTGCAAGATGGCACCGACCGAGACGATACAACACCCGATGAAGATGGACTTGCGACGGCCGAGAACGTTACCGAGTCTGAACGTAGATAGGGCGCCCATCAAGCAGCCGATATTGTAGCAAGCGACCGAGACACCTGTTGCCACAAGAGTCAGCCGTGGGAATCTCGTGTAGCTCACAAGCAGCTTGCACATATGTTGGGAGGGTATACCTTGGATGGTAGAGCGATGAGACTTCTGATGCGAAGTCATGCCTTTGACGCAGGCAGCCGTGGTACACATGGACGGGAATGTCGAGGTGAACGAGTTCAGGTTGATGATACCTCCGAACACTCCCTGGTCGTAGCCAAACAACCTGCATCGTCTTGGTCAGCGGAGCTCGAGCAAGCGTGTGAATGTGCATCTGGGGTTCTTCGCCTACAAAAATTCACATCCTGCCACGAAGACAATCACCGCCGTGAGACTGGCGCCTCTCAAACCCAAGAACCTTTGCCGGCCCATTTTCGTCTTTTCCACACTTGTGTACTTTCTGCGTGTATCGGAGGGGCTGTTGCGAACACTACCCCGGATCATGCGGTGGCGGTCCGTGGAGGAGTTCGTGGGGTAGTCCAGCTTTTATAGATCGTAGAGCGCCTCCCCTTTTCATTTCAGAACGTCTATACCCATGAGACGGTGGGAGAGGGAGAGACCGGAAAGGACATCTTCCGGCGAGCGCGAGCTTTTGGTCAGCTCAGATCTCGAAACCCCCAACTGCTGTGTGTACATCGGCGGCTGGCAAACGCCAGAGACTACCTTAAGGTTGGCCCAGATTACCCTCGGGTTCCCGCCTCGAGGCATCAGAGGAGTCGTCCGGCTAAAGGCCTCCCCGGGGAAAGTTAATTTATGATAAGAATGGCAAGTCTGTAGTCCTCAGAAGATCCTCTACGACGAGACCAACATCACAACTGGAAGAGAAAAATCTTCAGAAACTATGATCACATTGACGGGTCGACTTTTGACCACTACTACATTTACCCACCCCAGCCAACCGCCATGGCGCGCAGTATATACCGACAAGAAAGAGTCAAGTTTCACTCTCTTCGGCGCTCTATATCACGTAAACAGCTCAGACTGCACACTTTGCTGGAACAGTACTTCAACGGGGTCAATACATAACCAAGCGGTGCGCTTGTCCTCTTGCAGCCGCCCGGTTGAGACTTGTCTGTGGCGCTCCCACAAGGCAACTACCTACTAGGTAGCCACCATCTATCCAGAGGCTTAGCGCCTCAGGACCTCAGTGCCTATAGATAGGCGAGTGCTGGTCGCTCTCTACTTAGACTCATGTAAGCATTTCGAGAGTATCTTTGTGCGTCCACATTGTGCCTTAAAGGGCGACTTACATCTGCGATTAGCCCTCCTGTAGGCTTGCCAAATTAATCGTGCGGTATGGTGGAGAGGAGTCTGGGCCGTCTTCCCCAGCTGGCGCAGGTAATGCGCAGACCACGACAGTCAGCGGATGGAATTCAGCCGGCCAAGGGTGTTCTCACGAGTCTAGGATGTGCAAGATCGGTTTATAACTACAGTTCGGAGGCGGGGAGTTTGAGCCACAGTCCAAATCCTCCAGATTGTTCCAAATGCTACTTCAGCGTGACAGCGTTGCAGTGCAGTCGCCGGAGAGGAAAGGTTTTGGTATACTTGCATTGATGAAGGTCTTTCGCCAGAGAGCAGCGATGGCCCATGCTAGAGTGTCTTGCTACAAGCATACTTGAGCTGGGCCAGTGATGTTAACCTACAACCACATCTATGCCGGTATGGAAGGCCCATAGACAGTCACTATCCCCAGTGGAAAAATAAGCGAAGGTGAAATTACTTACTAGCTAAGTTAGGAGGCTTCCCTTAAGTCGCTTTTGATTACATTACTAGGTCCCCCTTGGTGGCCCCTGCGGCTAAGTCCTGGCTAAAGTCACAGCCAGTGGTTTCTCATCTACAAACACAGCGCCACACCTCTGGTGGCTAATACTTTCTGCATGATAGTCGATAGCTTTATGATATCAGTAAGGTCGGTTTCCTCCAAATCAGTCAATATTGGGCTTCTCAACGCGACCTCTTGATGGTCTGCATACAACAGAGACATTCTTGACATAATGCAACAGACGCTGGCGATTGGCACCATTTCCATGGGATGGCATCCCAGCCACAGCCTGGAGAGCAAAATCTATGCCGCCAAGCAGTTTGGAATAGCTGGCATCGAGTTATTCGACCAGGACTTGAACAAGTTCGCAAAGTCCCACGTAATAAGTCGCCTCGAAGCAGCAGATGGGATCGGGCGACTATGCAAAGATGCACAACTCACTATCATAAGCTATACCTCGTTCGGCAGCTTCGAAGGCCAACCCACGCCATTATCTTCTCGGCTTGAAACCGCAAGAGAGTGGTGTGAGATCGCTCGGCGACTGGGCACTACGATAATCCAAGTCCCCAGTAACTTCGATGCGGAAGCTATAGGAGACGAGGGCGTCATCGTCGCAGAGCTTCAGGCGTTGGCCGATCTAGGCCTACGGCAGTCTCCATCCATTTCGTTTGCATACGAGGCGATTGCGTGGGGTAAACATGTCGCTGACTGGGAGGAGTCGCTTCACATGGTGCAACTAGTAGACCGCCCAAATTTTGGTCTCTGTCTGGACACCTATCATGTGGTCGCCAGACTATGGGCAGATCCCACGACTCTTTGCGGCAGAAGACCGGGCGGTGACACGGCGCTGCGTGCTTCGCTCCAAAGATTCCGAGACGCCTGCCCGACCGACAAAATCTTCTACATACAGATCAGCGACGCCGAGCAGGCCAGGCCTCCGATACAGCCCGGCCATCCAGCCTACCGTGAAGACGAGCATGTGCTGCACTCGTGGTGCTTGGATGGAAGGATCCCCCCTTTCGACACAGAACACGGTGCTTATTTACCACTGGAGGAGATTCTGTCCGCATGGCTGGTTGAAAGCAGATACACAGGGTGGGTGAGCATGGAAGTATTCCACCGAAGTATGAACGGAGAAAACTCGACCCCAGATGTCTGGGCTAAGCGTGCAAGGGAGTCTTGGGACAAGATACAAAAATTGCTGCAGGAACGGTCACAAGGGACACTTAAAATACATTAGACCCCCTTACTATTGCTTTCCACCTGTCGCCCTAGGCCGTTCCTCACAATAAGCCCTCTCTACATTCGTTGAAATAGCTTATCAGCCAGTTGGGCACCCAAGGGATCCTCCCATCAGAGGAGGAAGAGAAGCATAGAACAGAGGAGGTCCGTATAGAACATAGCGACGTAGAGCAGGATCCTACTTCTTCACCGTCGTGTCATTGTGGATCCCTTGCTCGCGGGTTTTGTCCTTCTCTTTGTATGTGCCTCTTCTATAGCCTCTGGCCATGGCTCGTCCGCCGTGGGTGTCTTTTACGACCGAGCAATCCCGGTGAGGGAGAGTGGTTAGGGTGGGAAGAGGTTCGGTGAGCGCGAGGGCGTTGAAGGAGTAGACTTGAGAACGGAGAGAGGCACACGGAAGGGACACATTCTCGTGGAGGCCAGGGGCGCTAGGAGAAGAGGCCCTTTATGGCACTGAAGGGGGAACAATTTCCAGGTCCTTAAGCAGGTGCGCGGGAGAATACCGATAGCGCGCGTACTACACTCCGAAGCCGGAGACTTTAGACGGCCAGAGACTGAGAGTCTATGTTAGCGCAAGGGCAAGTACAGCTGTTGAAGAGGGCGAGAGCAGGTTGTGGATGAAGGCAGGTGAGCAACGGGGAGTGAAGGTAAGCAAAACGTAAGAGGTGAGCGGGCGCGCGACTTTAAAAGCGGCGCTGTACCTACCTACTACGGTAAGGTAGACCCCCGTTCAGTAATTAATAGGTAGATCACGTGGAGCCTGCGTAGCTCCGTAGGTAGACAGATGGCTCTATTGTGTGCCGGTCTCGCAGTCAATCACTCTGGAATGTGCGCCAGATGCTGCTATACAAACTGACCTGACCACCGACTGGGTTGCTATGGATACCTCCGACACGCCCTTGAATCCTTCGGCGCCCTTGAAAGCAGTGAGGCAGCGTTCACGGCGCGGGTGCCGTACGTGTCGAATACGAAAGGTCAGTCCCCAGCAAGCTTAGCGCACGTCCCTATTGACGTTCACCAGGTCAAATGTGACGAGCATCGTGATGCCTGCGACAATTGTTCGCGCCTGAATCTTCAATGTGTATGGGACTCGGCCAGCGGGCCTTCTTTGCAAGGTGCTTCTCAACGCTCACGCAGACATCGAGCGTGCTCAAGATGCCGCGAGAAAAAGGCATGATGCCCCCGTTCGGCTACCTATACACGGTGACAACACTGACTCTGCTTCTACAGCTTCGATGCCGTGTCGTGGACGATAGCAGCAATTGTCAGCAATGTTTGACATCTCACACACGCTGCAATCTTCCGCCCCGCGACTCAAAGGCCGCTCCGCGAGCAATGCGAGCGGACGCGGCGGACACTGATAATATTGTCAAAGATCCACTTCCCGATCGTCGGCAGATGGCTTCCATCCTCGAGGCGTACTTTGAGGGTCCTCATAACTTCTGTTTCTCTGCAATACTGCATCGCCCTACATTTATGGCTATGCTCGAAAACGGCCTTGTCTCGCACAGCCTCCTTTTGATTGTTCTTGCCACGGGCCTGCGCTCCTTGGATCCCAGCGCCACTTCATCGGACCGCTGGGCCGACGAATGTCGCGGATTGATTCTTCCTCAGATCTTTCGACGTATGTCAACTGTAAATCTACAAACACTGCTGCTCTTGCAACGTTACGAATGGCACCGGGGTTCAGTCTTGAGCTCCTTTTTCCTGTCAGCACTGGCAATCAGACTGGCATTTGCGCTTGACCTACACTTGGAACCGACAGAACGTCCTGTACAGACAGACACGGTTCTGCCTCCATCAGTGCTGGAAACACGCCGTCGCCTCATATGGAGCTGCTTCATCATGGAATCAGTACCAGATGCGGGAACTCGGCGACTATATTCCGCCATGGATCCTTTTGCTATACAAGCTAGACTACCGTCGGATGAGTCGTGCTATCAACGCAGGAGTGGCACTGGTCCTGCCCAGCCGACCTTAGCGGAGCTCTGGTCTGATCGGAACCCGATGCCTGTCCCCGCTTCCAATACTTGCCCTAGCATATCTGCATACCTGATCAAGATGGCCGTGTTGCGGATGAAAATACTCCAATATGTAAATTCTGACGTCCATGGCAATGAACCGCTTATAGACTCTCCCCCCTGGCTAGCGGACTCGCCCTTCCACGACCTACAGCAAAAGCTCGACCACTTCTATGCGGCTCTGCCTGGCGAACTCCAACTCACGGTCAAAATGAAACACTTCACAGACCACTCTCCAATTCCGCTTTACACGCTACACATCATGTACTTTGCAGCTTCCGCGGACCTGTTCAGAATCGGGATCCAAGCGAGAACACCAGTGAGAAGGGCATTGTCCGCGCCACCTGAACATTTTATCGATTTATGTAAACGGGGCCGGGTTGAAAATGGTCTCAACATAATCAAGGTGGTGCGGCAATTTTTGGAAGATACTACGACGGAACATGATCCATTCATCGCAATTTGCAGCTGTCTAGCCATCAGAATCATCTCAGTCGAGGGACAAAATACGGTTGGAAACCCTTCGCCACTCTTACCACCTTCCGTGGCAGAAGATTTACAGCTCTGTGTGCAGTGTGCGGCGAGGACTGCTCGATGGTCCAAGCCTATACAAAAGCTGCTCTTTGCTGCAAATAAACTTGCTCGCTTGCACGGGTTTTTCCTGGACCTGCCTGATTTCGTGAGTTCAGTGTCTGGCAACCCAACACATCCTCCTTCACGGCAAGGGTCCCCTACTTTGAATCTGTACGGCACCTTTGGGGAGGTTGCAAAGAGCCGTGCAGCCGATGACTTGGAAGCCTCGAGAATGCCAACTTCTTCGGTTTCCAAACTTCAGATAACGAATTCGGCAACGAAAGAAAATAATATCCTCCCTCCTGAGGCGCAGAATGCTGATGGAAATTCCTCAAATATTCCCCATATGCCTCTGCAAACGGACTACGAGGACACCGAACAAGGCATTAGCCCTGACACGCTTCGCCTGGCAGCAGACTGGGGCAATGGTCTGTACGATATAGACTGGGCGATGGCTCAATTCGATGAATGGGCAAACATTGACTTCAACTGGGGCGAAAATCCGGTCGACACACAGGCCCCGTTTGAGGACATTGGCTTCTATTGACATGCTATCAAGCGGTGCCTGATGAATTACGCTTCTGCACTTAAACACGCCTTGATGGTGGCGCCTCGCCTTTCCTGACCTTCATCCAGGCTGTGGTTTGCGTGATGGCGTCGCCGCCGATGATACCTTCTTCGGCGTTGCCATCCCATTCTTCTCCGACATAGCGTATCGGTTGACCCCACACCACTCCGGTCTCTGCTTTATATTTCTCCCATATCTGCAGCAGCTCCTCCACAATCTCCGGTCTCGATTCGGACAGGTCCTCAATCTCACCTTTGTCTGTAGAGAGGTCATACAGTTGCCACTTGCCGTCCTCACGGCCACCGAATTTTGGTTCGATATGCACAAGCTTCCAGTTGCCTTTCCTAATGGCGGCCCGTCCGAACAGCTCCCAGCCCATGCTGCTATTTGAATCGTGGATTGTGTCAAGGGCGTCATTGCTGGACCCTGTGCTTGTCATGAAGGGAACCTGGTATGGAAATCAGCGACGTGGTTGCGATCCATCTAGCGGTGATACGTACCCAAGACTTCCCTCTCATCGGGAAGACTCTTCGACCCTTGAATTCTCCTGGTTTGCCATCCGCCGCTGGATGCTGAACACCCGCAAGGTCGAGGATTGTAGGGCAGATGTCCATCACACTGGAGAACGCACGGATGAGAGCACCGTTTTGACGCTCTTTTGCGAAACCTGGGTAGTGGACGACAAATGGAACTTTTATACCACCCTCGGTAGTGTACATCTTGAACAGTCTCGACGGCGCTGTCGAAGCCTGCGCCCACCGGGTGCCATACCAGGCGAAAGACGTTGCATTTCCGATGTTGTCCAAGGAATTGTCATAGTAGGCATTGATGACACGCATGAGATCTGCGCCCATTGTCGGCAACGCTTCATACGTCGCTCCTTCTGCACCGTTGTCGCTCTGGAAAATGATAAAGGTGTTCTCGAATTCTCCGATCTTCTTGAGGTACTCGACTATCTTGCCGACATTTTGATCGATATTGTCCACCATGCCCGCAAAACACTCCATGCTGCGAGCAGAGCATTTGCGCTCATACTCGGTCATCTCCTCCCACTCAGGATTACCAAGAGGCGTCACAACTTCATGAGGCTTGACATTCTTCGGCACCAGACCCAAATGTTTGAGTCTTTCCAGGCGTCGCAGACGGAGAGCATCCGGGCCATCGTCATACACACCTTTGTACCGATCACGGTCCTCCTTGGAGCATTGCAAAGGCCAATGAGGCGCCGAAAATGGCAAATATGCGAAGAACGGCTTCGATTTGTTCTCCTCGCTCCGTTCTTCTAGATAGTTGATGAGATTGTCGGTGTAAAAGTCCGATGAAAAGAATCCTTTCTTGTCATGGGTCAAATTTGGAGTTCTTTGTTGTCCGGTCAGCACAAAGGTTTCCTATGGCGCTCGTTCAGAGCACCGCTGCCCTTCGAGAGGTGAAGAACTCACATTTCGTAGCGTTTCCCTTGTTCTGTGTACTAACCACGGCTTAGCAATCGATTCATGCCTCAAATCGAGGAAATGCAGACTTACAAGGACCGGAATGCGGACGAAAAAATTGAGATAGTCTTTGCCAAACTGAGGCTCCCACCCATAGTGGTTGGAAGCGCCGGGCAGCAAGGAGAACGACCGGTCAAAGCCTCGCGCTGCTGGATTGTTCTCTGGACGCAAACCCAGATGCCACTTGCCGCTGATCAAGGTGTGATAACCAGCTTCCTGCAAGATCTCGGACACTGCAGCTACATCATGGCTGAAAAGCGAAGAACGTCCCATCAGATCTCAGTGGCGATAAAGCATATCATGGGACGACTCACTTCAAGAACCCTTCGTGGCCAGGAACGTTCCATCTCTCAGGATCACGCCCCTTCTGCTCACTCATGACACCCACTCCAGCTATGTGGTTGTCTGTTCCGCTCATCAACATGGCACGTGTTGGACTGCAAGCGCTTGCTGTGTAGTCTTCAAAGACGGTTTAGCATCCTCTTCCAACATATGGATGTTACTTACAGTCAGTGAAGCGGGCACCATTCTTCGCCAAAGCATCGATGTTGGGAGTCCGTATCTCGCCTCCAAAACAACCAATATCGCTGTATCCGAGGTCTAGTTTATGCCTTTCAGCATCAACTCGCGCTGCAAAACATATATGAGCACTTACCATCGGCCAGGATGACCAGAAAATTTGGGCGCTTCATGGAACCCATTTTGTCTCAGTCTCTCGCAGAAACTTGGCCGCTGTAGTAGGGTTTGAAGCAAAGGTCGAGTTCAAGGCTGTATCTCAAGGGATATATGCTATCGTGCCCTTGAGCTAGGCAGGACCTTATTCAGGTCAACGTGGCCATCAACCGGCGAATCGGCGGACGGAGTCAATGGATCCAACGGTGTTCCTGCATGTACAGCAGTCAAGTTCATAGGATGCTGTGGCCTGGGTCCAGATTGTATCCCCATCAGAAGCAAGCATACTGGCTCTTGCTGGTCTCCTGTCGCGTATGTCGCCAATAAGTCCGGCGGAAAATCTACGTCGCGTAACTCGGCTCAATCTCCGGTGGTGTCATCATTCTCCAGAATGAGGAATCTAGGTCGCGTACGTCGCAACGATCTCCGGATGGACGCCTCTCCACGACAATTATGCGATTCCCTCCACTTGAAACGTGTTAGCCATGCCACATATGGGGAGGTGGAGTAGACGAATATCTCCCAGCGACAGACCTGCCACGGAAAGTATAGAGCACTCACGTATGGGCTTAACCTCAACCCGCCGGGCTTATATACTCCTGCTTGGACCGTGTCTCTCATTTTTCTCACAAAGAGCACCGAGATATCAATCGTTACATTCTTTTGACCAGAAATTTCTCGGCCACTGATCCTCTTTACAAGCGCCATGGCGAGAGGTGCAGTGGTAAAGGCTGGGGGCTTCCGGTCTGTCCTTGCAAAGATGACTTGGCCCCTTTTCTTCTGCAGCTTTGTCACGGCAATGCTCAACATGCTGTTCGGCTTTGACACGACCAGTTTCGCAGGAGTGCAAAGCATTCCGGCCTTCGAACGTCAGTTCGGTACACCGAGCGGCACCGATGGCTCGTACGCCCTCTCGGCCTCACGAGCTTCATTTATCTCCTCCGTCGCCTTCGCCGGTAAATTCTGCGGGACTTTAACGGCCCCGTTATATATCGAGCGGATCGGACATCGATATACCATCTGGGTTCTCTGTCTCATCAGCTTTATCGGCGTCATTCTCGAATGCACAGCGCACAAGGTGTCGCAATTCGTGATTGGCAGAATCGTCGTCTACTACAGCGTTGGCTTAGCTGAGAACACGTCCACAACCTATCAGTCTGAGATTGTTCCGGGATCCCTACGTGGTGCCGTTGTGGGATCCATCCAGCTCTTCATTCAGTTTGGGCAGATCATGGCAGCCGGAGTCAACAACAACTTCTCCACCACGACAACTTCCAAGGGATGGATCATCCCCGTCTCCATCCAGGCCATTGTTCCTCTGATCCTTGTCTTCACGCCTCCTTTTCTGCCCGCGGGACCAAGATGGCTCATCTTCAAGGGGAGGAAGGACGAAGCTATCAAAACCCTCGAGCGAGTTCGACCCAAGGAAGATGTTGCCGCGGGCGCGTGCAAAGAAGAAGCGGATGCGATTCAAGAGGCCATGCAGCAAGAAACCGAAAAGGGCCCCTGGCTGGACCTTTTCCGGGGCACCAACCTCCGACGGACCGAAATTGCCACGATTGTCTTCATCTTGCAGCAGTTTACTGGCCAAGGGTTCGTGTCGCAATACTCACCCCGGTTCTACAAGACGGTCGGCCTCGGCGCCAACGCTTTCAAGTACAATATTGCCTCCTCGACCGTGGCTTGGGCCGGTGTGGCTATTGGAATGTGCCTTTTCGACACTGTCGGCCGACGCAACATGCTCATCATTGGTGCCATCGGGCAGGCTGTCTTTCTGTTCTCCATGGCTGGCATTGGCCAGATCAAGAACCCTACCGTGGCAGATGGACATGGCCTGGTCGCTTGTGTGATGTTATTCAACTTCTTCTTCTCGGGGTAAGTGGTGTGCAGCTTGTCAGGATTCGTAATCGCTAATCCGTCCGTCACGCAGCACCTGGGCACCACTGGCTTATGTGGTAAGTTCTCGGTATCCCTGGACTGGAAACCTTGTGGTCTTTACTAACGTGTGGTTCTCGCGCAGATCGCATCTGAGATCGGTACCGGTGCGCTTCGAGAAAAGACAATGGCATTCAGTAGCACCGTCAAGTACGTAGCCATTTTCTTTCTCTCGCGATGACTTGAGCGAGAGTCTTCCGCTAACCCATGTGATGTTTCTAGCGTGGTGGCCGCTTGGCTCGTGGCGTTCTGTGTCCCATACTTGCTGAACGATATCGGTGTCAACATTGGCTGGCTCTTTGGCGGTATCAGCGTCATCGCCACGTTTTATGCTTATTTCAGGGTGCCGGAGATTGCAGTGAGCCTACGACCCTTCTGGCCCCCCCTATTGATGTGACACGTATGGCTGATAGTTTTTCTTTCACCCTATAGCACCGAAGTCTCGAGGAACTCGACGAGCTCTTCCACAACCACGTCTCAGCACGCAAGTTCGCCGCCACGGAAACACATGGCGCTGGCCGCAGGATTGCCGAGCTCGAGAACGAGAGGCTATCAAAAGGAGGGGCTTCTCATACCGAAGACACCATTGATGTCGTTCCTAAGCATGAAATCGACCTTGACTAGCCGGTGCCGCTGTAACAAAGGAGAGCGGTATCCTAGTCTAGCGCGGGAATAAATAGTACTGTAGAGGTACTTGGAATAGAAACAAACAGAAGTTTAAAGGAAACGGCACAGGAGTGCGGCAGTAGTTATAAAGAAACGGCACGAGATTGCGGCAGTAGTTGTAAAGCAACTGTGCGAGATCGTGGTGCGGCTGATTGCGCATCTGTGGGTCTCGATACCACCATAGTCCTTTGCAGATTGCTCGACAGCGCTCGAGCAAGAAGCGAGGTCGATGCGACTTTCGTTATGATCCGATCTTACGAAGGCTACATTGTCCGAAACGGGATAATAGAGAACGTCACACCGCTGTGGAGAGGAAACAGGTGATACGTATAACCGAAACTCTGATGGATAACTACCTAGTAGTATCATCATATAATTGGTTCTTGGGAAAGACGCAAGCTTAACTATAAATGGGAAGGCTTACAGCAGGAATGGATACCATCAACATTGTTCTCATAGATCCCCGCGCTCATCCAAGGTGACGCCAATTTTGCAGGTCACTGTAGCAGCGATTGAGCGCAATACGTGGTGAGTTACAGTCGAAAGAAAAAAAATTGCTGGGCATGCCCATGCAAAGAACGAAATGGGGCTAGAAAAGCGGCCCTGACGGCACTCCTGGCAACAACAACCGAGGGAGAGCCCGGGACTTCAAACCTCCAGACCTGTTGAGACGCGACAAAACTGGGGACCCCGGGGCCAAAGTAGTGGGGTGGGAACCTTTGCAGACTCATGGTAGAAATGATTTGGGTCAAGAAAAAAAAATGTCCTTGAAGATGCATAAGGACCATAACTATGGGCTGGCAGACCCCTTGGAGGGTTTTTCTAGAATTGGCCAATAAGCACACGTGGTGTTTTACCGGAAACAACTGGCAGCCCATCCACTTCACATCAACGGAACAGAAGATGCGTCCGAACTGCTTACTAGTTATAAATCAGTCCTGCAAGGATTGTCTTGCGATATAAAGCCGACTTAGTACTATCTCAGGTTAGCTAATATCCGCGTCACAAAGCTCCTCGAATTGATATTGAGTCGTCAACGTCGACTCTTCAAGCTCACAACCATATTGTTATTTTTTTCCCCGCCAAAATTCCAAATACAAATTTTGGGACTATCCCCAAACGCGGGGTCATGCGATCCCCCGTCCCCACAGCTTGTCATGGGCGAAGACGACCAAAGACTCTCGGATGGATCTCACGGTAGTTAATCCACGAGCTACAGCCTAGAGTCGGTATGTGTTGCGACCAGCAGCCTGGGGGATCATTAAAGGAGGCTACTATCAGGACAAAGGGAGTTCATTTCGAAGAAGAATATCCCAATAACGCTTCGCCCCTACTTTCTATTGATAAAGAGCAATACCAGTTCATACAAGATCTGGCCTTGGAATGTTTATCGACCTCTGAGTAGCGTACTCATTCTCCTCTGCGGCTCAAGACCATTTTCCATATCAACCATGGCACGAGAAGACGTTGCGTTCCAGACCTCGGACGCGGTAACCCTTCGTGGCTGGTTCTTCAAGCCCCAGCATGCCTCATCAGAACCTCTCCCGTGCATCATCATGTCCGGCGGATGGGCAGTGCTCAAAGAAATGGGCCTGGACAAGTTTGCGCAATACTTTGTGTCCAACCTTGCAGTATCATGTCTCGTTTACGACCACCGAGGGTTTGGCGAAAGCGACACCAAAGAAGGCCAGCCTCGCTCCGAGATCCTGCCTGCGCAACAGACGAGCGATCTCTCGGATGCCATCACATACGCACAACTAAGGCCCGATGTCAACAAGGACAAGATAGGCATCTGGGGAAGCTCATACAGCGGCGCTCACTGTCTATGGGTCGGAGCAGTGGATAGAAGAGTCAAGGTGGTGCTGGTACAGGTCCCGGTGACAGATGGATGGGCGAGTTTCCACCGCTTCCATCGTGACGACGAGATTAAACAGATCAACAAAGCTTTGGAAAAAGGTAAGTCTAGTCTTTTTTTTTTGTCTTTTTTTTTTCACACTCAAATTTCGGTTTCCGAGACAACATTTCCGCAAATCGGTTCCTGCAGATCAATACTCATTTCTTTCCCTCCAGATCGTCTCGCCCGCGGCGCAGGAGAAGAACCCGGTAGAATCCCCATTATCGACGCCGACCCGCACAAACCTCAAGTGTTCCCCACCAGAGACTGCTATGATTTCTTCACCGAGTGGGACAGGAAACTGCTCGGGAAATGCAGAAACAACGTGACAGTCAAGAGTCTGGAAGCGCTCCGTGAATATTACCCTTCCGCCCACATCCATCGCATCTCGCCAACACCGCTTCTTGTCACCCTGGCCTTGGATGACAATCTGACTCCCCCCGACATGGTATTGGAGGCCTACTCGCGGGCCCGTGAGCCCAAGGAGCTGCAATTTATCCCTGGAGGGCATTTTGATGCCTATGACGGAGAAATATTTGACGCCAACGCCAGAGGTCAGCTCGAGTTTTTGAAAAAGCATTTTCTTAGAATCTAACACTCTTGCAAAAGTTAAAGAAGTTGAGATATGGTCATCTCTTGATGTTTGGAAATGCCGTTTTTGAACATTAAAATCTGCAATTTCGATGCTTCAAACACACACAGCTTCTGTTGGAAAGTTGGGAAAGGCTGAGGAAAGGTGGTGCGTGGAAATTGATAACTCACCCCCTTTCCCACCACGGTTTATATTCAGTGATCGTATTTTGATGAATCGCATTCCTCATTTCTGCTCTCCAAACTTTGTCGCAGTTGTTCATCGATATATATCGGGCCTATCAAGCTACTAGCCACTGCTGAGTGTCAGGGGTGGGTGTCTACGGAACTCTTGGTGCATGGAAATGCGGCCCATTTCGTGGGCTTTCACAGAGAGGGGTTGGCTTTAAACTAAGTTATACTGTAGCCGCTGACAGGAAGAACATTGTTGTAAACCAAGCCAATGCAACAGAAAGCAAAAACGATGGACGTTGGCGGACGGCGCTTTCCATGGCCCCTATCAAAGTCCTCCGGACAGCTCCAAGATTCTCCACATTTTCCTTCCGACGGCTCTCGTGGCGAATATGTAGGGTAAGAGGGCCAAGAGAGATTGGCATACGATTACTGTAGTCTGGTATCGAGGGTGTGTCTCGATGAGGTTGAGTAGATGCTGGGAAACAAACGTCTGCAAGGTGGGTGCAGCCATGACCGTTATGGTACGATGCTGGGGCAATTCCTTGCAGGAGAAATTTGGTGGTGCACATCACGAGTGCTTCAGGGCACTGCTTAAGACTTAAACTGAACTCGAATCAGTCCTCAAGAGCGCCCATAACATAATGCTCTTTGTCGATGGGATTCCTTCCAGTTCAATGAGACCTATTCAGCTAGAGCCCCCAGAACATGCCATGTCTTCCGCCCGCCGAGTTCTAGTCTGACTCAAGGCCCAACGGAACCAACTCAGCCAACGCCGTTCGTTATGAGCACTCTAGACTCCCAAGGAGTATTGTGCAATCCATGGACCTCCATCTCCCGAGCACGGAACCTGAAAATTAGAAATTATGATTACCACAAGGCTATTCCCGGACCCGTCGTGAACACCTGTCTATATGCATAAATATGTGTCATCAAAGTAGAAATTCAATGGCCATGCACAGCAAGGCCACGGTCGAAAGAGGCCAGCAGCTCAAGGAAGCAGCACCGTTGCTATTGGTGTTGGCCGAACTGCTGGCATTGATCGTGGGAGGGGTGTTGGTGGTGTTCAAGATGGCGGTTCCATTGCCGTTACTTGAAGCCTGACTGTTGCTTGAGCCAGTGCTGTTTGTTGTGGAGTTATGGTGCTTCGTTGACGATGTAGTTTGGTCGTAGAAATTGCGGATAATGGTGCTGGCCTGTTCAGCCAGTCCATAGGTGGAGCTCATAAGATGCGCTGAGAAAGCAATGGGCGGGACGCTGGCGTCGGCGACACGGACGTTCGAAAGCCCGTAGACTCGGAGATTTGCATCCACCACACCACCTTGCTCGAGAGGCAGCATTGCACAGCTGGACGACGGGTGGAATTCGGTAAACACCTCTCCGCGGAGCCAGTCCTCCCACTCCTCGTCGGTCTGAACATCTGAACCAGGCCACGTTTCTTCAATCATGTTGCCGGCTAACGGCTCGGTTTCACCCAGGACTCGGGCGAGCTTGACGCCCTCGCGGAGGATCTCAACATCTGGGAGCAGTCAGTCTCCGAGGCACTCGTTCGTTTTGGGCATACAAGCAACAAACATACCGGCAGGATGATTCAGATAATTGGGATTGATGACCGGATAGTCCAGCGGATCCGAGGAATTGATGGAGATCTGACCGTGACTGAATGGGTGCTGGAGATTGGCTCCGATTTGGATGGAACCGTTAGTACTCAGACCAATCACCAGCTCTATTAGTCCGATTGGACTGGTGAGAATGGTATTTGCGGTTGCGCTGTAGATCGTCTTGTAGCCGGAAATGACGCTCGTGTCAGAACTCGTGTCCGGAATGTACGAGTCAATTTCGCCCAAGATGCTGCTCTGCAGGCCACTGACTCCATTGCCAAACAGGACCGAGGAATTCACGTAGGCGGTCGCACTGTTGACGTATGACAAGAAAGCAGGGTTGGTCTGTAACAGTTAGAAAACGACCTTCGAGCTGTCCAGGATCAATCTCCCTACCGATTCGGTTCCATTGGCTTCATATATAGTGCCCGCAGTCTGCGCGTCGGTACTCCATGTTACAGTGACACTCTGTTCCAGTTAGCAAGAGTCGCTGATGATGGATGGCAACGGAACTTACTATGTGATCTTGAAGATGCTGGCCGACACCTGGAAGCTCAGACACAACGGTAACTCCGGCGGCATCCAGGACATCCTTCGGCCCGACACCGCTGTACAGCAGAACAGTTGGGCTGCCAACAGTACCAGCAGCAAGGATCACCTCCTTGTTGACGCCCACAGTCAGCTTCTCACCAGCTCCATTAAGCACATATTCGACCGCGTGTGCTGTGAGGTTGCCTCCTGAAGTATTGCTGAAGAGAATGCGGGTCACCTGAGCGTTGGCGACCACATCGTAATTGGAGCGCGGTGGCAATGGATCGAGGTATCCAGAGCGACTGTATGAACGCGTCCAGTTGGCCGGGTTGATAGCGGATGTGGCGACGTACGCGCCCCAATTCTCACCACCATAGGGGTCTTGCGTGTCATCTACACCAGCATTATTGGCAGTACTAGACCACGCGCCAACGAGAGGCATAGTACTGATGTGGTGTCAGCTCATATCCATGTGTGACATATAGAGAACGTACAAGCCAGGGTAGGACATGTGAATTGGTCCTTGACTGCCATGGCTGGCCGGGTTGTAGGTGATAGCAGCTTCTTGTTGGATTGAAGCGTCGACAGGTGGACTGAATGTCTCACTCTTCTTCATCGCGGCGAACATGGCGTCCCAAGACCAATTCTCGGCGCCGTCCATGTCCCCAAGCATATCTTGCCACGCATTTATTTCGATTTCTCCTGGCCGGTTCAGGTACATTCCATTGATGGCAGAGCTGCCTGTAACAGTCTGCGTCAGTTTCTCTTCGGCGCAGGCAAACAAAGAGGGACGAACCTCCAAGGACTTTCCCTCGAGGCCATGGGCACTGAGAGTTATTCGCATTGGGTTGAGGAGTTGTTGTAAATGCCCAATTGAGATCCGTGGGCCAGAGCGATTCGTAGTATGCATACGCAGGTGTGTCTGTCCGTCGGTTAGAAACTTGAGGGGTTTCCCAATAGCGAGAACAACCGCACCTATTCGATCCCGATACTCGTCCCCGTCACTACCAGCTTCGAGGACAAGGACCGTATGGTTCGCATCTTCTGAGAGGCGCGCACCAAGCACCAGCCCAGCCAAGCCTCCACCGACAATGACAAAGTCGTATGAGTCGGCGATGCTCGTGCCATCAATGATGTTGCGGGTACGAAGATGTGTATTCCTCGACTCATGCGCAGAGGGAGCAGCGAGCGCTATGCCGGCGGCAGCGGCCAGAACGACAGACAGAGAGCATCGCATGCTGTGTCCTGCATGTACCAATATTGTTGTGCAAGAGACGAGGACACGCGCAGGCAGAGGCCGAGATAAATGAACCAGCCATGTCAAGACTCAAGAGAGACTAAACAAACCAAGTTTAGCAGTCCCCATGGGATATACAAGTCCGTTGGGACTACGGAGCAGCCAACGCGCAATAGTAGGCCGGCAGCGCTACATGCACACTCCAGCCCACTCTTTTTAAAATTGTGTACACAACCAAACTTACCTATCACCAACCGCACACACGTGCTCCATACCCAGTTAAGTCAGGTCGGCCAGGTAGAGTGGAGCATGGCAGCGCCACGCTTGAGCAGGTTCATGCTTCGTCAAATGTGCTGATCTCGAGATGCCAGCCGTCATATCTCCCAGCGCAGACCAGCGCAGACCAGGGCATTGCACCATCCCATTTGGCAGAAGCGATGATAACAAACGGCGCTTGTCGAGGATCAGGGGCAGAAGACGTCCAGAAACCCTTGCGAGTGGTCTGGCAGGCACCTGGCACCCACTGGCCGTGTCTCAGGGTCTCACATTCGGGAAGGTTAACGGCACCCACTGCAAGAGGGGAAAGGTGGCATTGACTGAGGGACCAGGGTCAGTTCGGTGGAGTGAGAATTGCTCAGAGCGGCGCCGAGCATCATAATACCATAACAAAAACACTAACAAAAACAACAACATTGTGCGGATGTGTCTGAAGGTGGAGGAACGGACCTGCATAAAATTTCAGGGGTGGAAAAGTTAAAAGCGGTTAGGCTCCGGCCGGTGAAACTGCACCCGAATGTGTTTGAGGCGAGGCTGCGTGGCTGGGCACTTGGCTGGGCACTTGCGCTGGGTAGAACGGCAAGAACGGTTGAGAGTCCCGAGGCTGTCGATCGTTAGGGCGGCATCCATCCATTTCCCAAAACGAATAGGGCCTTGCATTGACTGATGCCGGCCACGTTGCCTTCCAATTGCTACCGAGTATAGAACATGCGCTGGAGAGAAACGAGGTCGACTTCTTATCTCACACCCGGACATCCCCAACCAACCTCGTTGAATTAGTCGGTCCTCACCGACAATCCCTCACAATGGCAAAGAAACCTGCAGCCCAGTCCCCAGCCACCAAAACATCTGCTCCTGTTGCCGCCGCCAAACCTCCGGCCGCAGCTACACAGACCAGCAAACCCTCAGGATCCTTCACGTCCAGTCCGGCACCTCCCACAAAGCCTGTACAGTCAAGCACACTGTCTCCTCGCTCGTCACCACAAGAAATCATCATCCATGTCTGGAACAAGTATCTACAAGATACCCCTTCACGGACCATGCTGTTGGACGTCTTCATGGCCTGGCTAGTCGTCGTGGGCGGCTTGCAGTTCCTCTACTGTGTGCTAGCTGGCAATTACGTACGTCGCCTAGCTTCTGGCCGCCAACGTGCGCTGACTCGTTTGCAAATATAGCCCTTTAACGCCTTCCTCTCCGGCTTCTCTGCCGCCGTCGGTCAATTTGTTCTTACCGCTTCATTGCGCATGCAGACTTCCGAAAGACCACCGGCAGGGGCATCTACGGGAGCGAAAAAGTCGACGGCCAAGACCATCGATGGTGTGACGGGAGAACTGGTGGAGAACACGAAAATCAGTTCTGAAAGAGCGTTTGCAGACTTTGTCTTTGGGAGCCTGATATTGCATGGGTTCTGTGTCAACTTTATCAACTGAAAGAGGAGCCCACTACACAACATTGGAGAGGGACGAAGACGTTGCTACTCGCCGCGGCTGTCCATATCTCCCCTGCTGTCAGCTGTAATGGCCGCCTCATCTTGAAGCGATGGCTAGTGGCTATTTTGATGTCGGGACTTCGAGAACCTCCATCCCAGCCGAAGGCCAACTATCGCGGTGCCATCCAGCCGGCTGTCCTCAGGTGTTCTTTCTGCCCCGGCGACGCATGTTGCGAGCGGCGGCCGCATGTATTGACTACTGCGCAAAAATTGCAGCTACGGACAAGACTAGAGAAGCACGTAGTGTTCCCGCGGGTAGATGTATACTACGGGAAAGGGATCCATGGAGGACTTGACTGCGGCTTGGCCCTCCTGGCACAGTCTCTAAGGACATTTTGCCATTGATGCCAACTTGATGTACGGAATATCTGCAACGAATGTCCTGGTTAGAAGAATGATAGTTGCAGGCGCTGCAACTCCATTTTGTAGTTTGACCTGCTAGGCGTGCCATTCCACATTTCATTAAACTTCCCGCCATATAAATGTCCCTGGCCTCAACTTCCATTCTTGGAGCAAAGAAGACCTCATCTCATCAGCAATCATACCCTTCCTGTTCAATCAGCTTAACAATGACCAACAACTACCTAGGTAGGTATCTTTCCCCTCTTCTTCCTGTAGGACGCCATTCGAGCAGTGAGTCCAAGGATTGAAGCAACCTGAAACGCTATTCAGGGCCAACGGCGTTTCATGTTTCCAAGATGCTCACTTTAACCACAACTGGACTGCTTGCCAACGGGAATCTTTTGCTGCTGCTGCTCTCATTCTGACTCTCCTTTGTATGCTGTCCTGTTTATTCTCCATTCCTCCCTCTATTCTTAATCCTGTTTGTTTAATTGTTTGTGTTGTTGCGTGCCAAGATGAAAACCGAGCTGGCCTCCGTATTGACGACTCTATGCTTTCTGACCGCAAGCGCGCTGGAAGCGCCCTCGGCATGGGAAGAATGGTCAACTATCCAGAAGAGCGACAGTGCTGTCGAGGCCGGTGACAGCACGCTTGGCGATAGGCTTCTCCGCGGATCAGGTCAAGCGGAACCCCATACCGCCGACGACTCTGCCGTTGCTTCTTCCAACGATGAAGAACATGCCTACAGAACGGATCATTTTCGAGGTCCATGGTCCCATGAACCGGTCTGTACCGACTACTTGGACACGCTGGGCGACCAACTGTGCGTGTACACCGACGCAACATTCGGCAACGGCCGAGGCATATCGATATTCACGACGCCCGGCATTGCGCAAGAGTTCGCCTCGCTCTTACCCTTCCAGGACCCTTCTGCCCTCTCCTCCCACGGGATCAACCCGCCGGAAGACAGCAACGCGGACGCCAACCGGCCATGGTACACGACGTCGATCCCAGGAAAGGGAATGGGCATGCTTGCCTCCCGCGCCCTGCAACGCGGCGACCTCGTCACGGCATACACGCCGTACCTGCTCGCGCACATGGAGAACGTCCTTTCGACCTCGGAGCGCGAGAGATTCTTGCGAGTGGCCGTGGACCAACTTCCCCCAGCCAGCCGGGACCAGTATCTCGGCTTGGCAAAGATCTACGGCGAGCCGAGTGTCGTGGTCCAGGACGTGGTGAAGGCCAACGCCTTTGAGATGCAGGTCGCGGGCCAGATGCATTTGGCCGTGTTTCCCGAGGCGTCGAGGATGAACCATGCGTGTGCGCCAAAGTAAGTTTCTCTCTCTCTCTCTCTCTCTCTCTCTCTCTCTCTCTCTCTCTCTCTCTCTCTCTGCAGCGACAGACCAAAAACTGATCAAAACCAGCGCACAATACTACTTATCTCCAGGATTCCTCACACACTTCGTGCACGCCGTACGCCCAATCGCCCAAGATGAAGAAATCACCATCTCCTACGCGCCGCCCCTGCGCCTTTACGCCGACCGACAATCGTACCTCCAATCGACATTCCAATTCACATGCACGTGCCCTCGCTGCACGCACTCGGCTCACCGCCCGCTCGAGGACTCGGACAAAGCGACCGAGGACATGATCGCCTTGCAGTGGGCCTTGTCGCAGTGGACGCACAACTCGACCGCGTCGGTGAAAAAGGCCGAGATGCTGGTGGGCTTGTACATCCAGGAAGGGCTGGACGCGTTCCTCGACGACGCGTATGGGCATGCCGCGCTGACGTACAACGCCGCGGGGAGCGCCAACGGCGCCAAGAAGTATGCGAAGCTGGCAGCAGGGGCGACGCGCTTAAAGTACGGGCCCGAGGCGGAGGCGGCGAGGGAGTGGGATAGGATCGGGAAGGATCCCACGATGCATTCGAGTTGGAGGAGGAGGAAGACGGGATAGCCGGGCGGTATTCGCAGGTTTTGTGTACAATGGATATTTTGTACTATATTTGGACTGGTATGTCTCTGGAAAAGGGTTTCGAGAGAACAGAGACCTGTAGTACAGACAAACCACATAGGTCCAAGGTGCGTCTGTCAATTACAAACAATAGCATTGTTCGGCTCTCTGTCTCCCCCCTGGGTTTCAGTCTTGTTGCCGTGCCACCCGCTTCGTTCCCGCCATGTGTCGTGCGACTGGGTCTTGTCAAGTGTTCCAACCCAGTTGTGAATCGGTTCTCATCCATGGATCCATGGATCCATCCTTCCATCCATCCACTCATCCACTCATCCGTTCCGTCCACCCTGCCATCCCTCGTAAAGCATATTTTTTGTCCCCATTTCCGGCCCCTCCCACCCCTCCGTAAGATGCGTTATATAATGACAGTGAGCAAAACCAACAATTCTGCACATAAGTTCAAGGGCTGGCAATGTGTCGTGAGAGAAGATTGGCGTGTTAGATGCCGTTCCATCCTTCTCGATGTCGTGCCCGGCCAGATGTCGCATTCTCCGTTTCCACGTGTGCAGTGCCGCAACGAACAAATAAATTGCCAATAAACGAACCCAGTTCGGTAAAGACAGACAACCACGACCGAATGAGATGACGAACCGCCGTTGAGAATGCTTGACTGGTAGAGACAGAATGCCGCGTGATGAGATCGTTCCAGCTGCCGGTATATCATCCCACGTGAAAAACAAGCTCAAATCAGTGATCACGACCGAGTAGGAAGTAGAAGAAGAACCACTCCATCGCTCCAACTTGCCACCTCTTGACCAGCCCAGCCTTTGCATCGTATGTACGCATATTGGAATGTCACTCTGCATGAAACAAGTGCCTGATTCCACAGTTTCAGGGCCGCCATCTGCATACCCTTGCAGAATGCAAAAGCAACTTCAGTGCACCGTGTCCATGCAGATCCGAACCAGAAAAAGCAAATATGTATGCATGAGTCCAACCTTGAGTTGCTGCCCAAGTGGTAAGAGTTGCCCCATTCCGAATGCCGTATGCCATCTCGCCGACCCTTCGGTTATGTGTTGGGAGGGATTTATGCTGTAGCCTTTGCCGATAAAATTGACAACAGTCATAACATGAACAATGATATAAACATGACGTGACAAAAGTCACAACAGATGGGGTATCAGATAGCCGCCTGCTTAAACACAAAATTCAATTAACAAGCAAATTTCATCGAACATGTTTTGAAATTCTTCATAGCAAACAAAAGCATCCAACAGTAGCACTTGGAAAGATTGTTGTTCCCTTAGAAGCAAGATTCCTGATCGACTGATCCAGTGCAGCAGGGAAGACTGTCAGGTGGCGTGTATTGCTGCTTTCGCGCGCAGCTTGGGCCTTGTTTGCTCGGATTTTACTATTTCTGCCTCGACCGGAGTTCGGCCTCAGGAATCGAGTTGAAGAAATTGGTGCACACCTAATTTCGTCATCTCCGCAGCCTAGATCTTAGCCGCGTTGGCGACAGTCACATGCTCTCGACTGTTTTCACGGTGAAGGCTAGAGTGAGCGTGGCCGTTGGAGTTTCCGTAGAAAAAGCCGTTCGGTGTCAAATTGGGATCGTCTCTCGCCAGACTGCCGGGACCCACAATTTTGTCTTCGTCAATGCCTCTGAGTTTGGAACAGGCATTGCCCAGTAAACCCGCGGCTTCATGGGTGAGCTCCCATCGTGTGCTCTCGAAGGACTCCTTCAGCATCATGAGCAATCCGAGGCATCGGTTCTTGCCTTTCACGTTTTCAAGATCGTCAGGTGCTCGGACTCCGGCGACTGTCTCGAGGTAGTGCCGCATGTCCCGCTCCTTCTGCTCATATGTTTCGAATTCTGCTTCGGTGGGGGGAGGCTTGATTGGGCCCTCCAGCGCGAAACCGTAGCACCAGACGACCAGTGCTGATATGTACAGCACCCAGGGCCGATTCAATAGGAAATCGTCGCGAGCAATGTATTGGTTGTGCTCGAATGCTTGAGGAAGGATTGGGCTAGCGTGACCATACAAGCGACCACTAATCCCATCCAGCCCATCACCATCCGGTGGGATGAGGACCTGAACGATAAATTTGAGGGCATAAAACGCTGCATCTCTTGCCGAAGCCTTTGTAGCCCAGCGTTCGATCTTCTCGCGTACCACACTGTAATCCTTTGGGGTTATTGAGCGTCCGAGGAGTCTGTTCGCGCCAGCAAAGACTTGGCAATCGACAACATCGACATGAGCGGCAATATGTGCAAGATGATGCAGCACTGTCCTTGACTCGAAGATATTTTCATCATCAACCGGGCGTAAGATTGGGTGGGGAGGGGCAACTGGGGTCCGCAATGGGGAGGACGGCGCTGGTGTGGCTTCTGCCAAAGCTTCGTCAAAATCTCGCTTCCAGTTGTCGAATGCGCGCAATAGGACCCCTTTCCACTTGTCCGGGCCTCCGAAGGAGTTTGCGGTTCGTGGTCCGAGGGAAGAGATCTGCAAATCCCTTTGAGTCATGTGCCAAGAGACGGATAGTAGACCGGCCATGATGATAGTACGGCCAAAGGAATTTGTCCGTACTCTCTGGCCATTCAGGGTTCTCTTCAGACCGTCCAGAAACATGATTGGCTTGATGCCGTTGGTCTGCAACGAGGATTGAACTCGTGCAGCCTCGGAGGGGGAGACAGCCGACCAGAGTCCTTCATCACATGGCAAGGGTAACCGCATCTCATGTGCAACCATCTTTGCAGCATGACCGAACATAGTTGCATGGATGGAATCAAGCACAAATGCTCCAAAGGCTGCACGACGCGTTGCTTCGGTAGTGATCCATCGATGCCAGGAATCTTCGGATTTTGAGGCTTCTGCTCCTGTGAATGGGACAGAGATCCTGCCATTGTCCTGCTCTCCTCGTAGACTTGGTGGGGAGTCAGATGCTGAACGACCCAGGAGGGAGCTGCCACGGCGCATGAGAGTAAGAGTAGAGTCGTGGTGAATGTGCGCTCTTTCGTGCAACGCCCGAGTCGCATACATTTTCTCGTACACTTCAATCAGTAGAAGGGTCTGGAAGACCCATAGCTTTGCGGGAGGTCTGAAGTCAACATCGCGGACAATCTCCCAGCGGAGGTGCCAAACAACAAAATTGGCAAATTCAGCTGCAGAATCGGTCAAAGTCGTGCCGTAAGCTTTATCCAATGTCGCAGCTCCAATGGCAATAACCATAAGTAACAGGAGGTTGTGGGTCCGATCAGCAGAAAAAGTAGGCTTGTGTAGGATTGGCAGCTGCGCATGTTGATGATACCAATATGATCCAATGTAGGTATGCATCATTCGCAAACTCAAGATGTGACCGTCATTGTCAAGGTCACCTTCGAACACCGAGTCCTTTCGTTTTTTCACCGCATCGTGCGGACGTTCAACAAACTGAGTCTGCATCAGATCGAGGAGCTCGTGACGTTTGGATTCAGACATGATATATTGGCTGGTGGCTGTTGAATCCAGAATGCTGGTAACACTCATAGGATGTTGCAAGCCAGCGCCTGTGGAGTAGTTATTGCCAGATGACGAAGGGCTTTGGGAGAAATACGGACCCTGAGCTTGCTGCTGATCGTGGCCACTGTAACCGGGGACGTAGTTGGGGGGCGAGAAACCATTGGAGCCAGACTGGGCATCGTTAAAGAGCCACTGCGTAAAATCATCGGCCACATTGAACGGCGTCTGAGTAAACTCGTCGCCGCCGAAGACTGGGAACCCGAAACCCGTACTGATATCTATGTTCGACATGCTAGTGCTAATCAGGGAGTATGGGTAGGTATCATTCCGCGTCAACCCATGCGAGACCGCCGCGGCAAACGCTGCGTCTGCCGTTCGCGACACGCCGGCAGACGGATAGCCTGCCGACGAGTACGCAGCAGCGGAAGTCATGTCAACAGACTGCATATAGCCGTTGTTCAAAACACTTCTGTCCATGGCACTGTCAGAGTGTGATCGTACCGGTTGGAGGGGAGGTCCAGACGTTCCGGAATATTGCCGAACCGGTGATGGCGGGACATTCTGCCCTGAGCTCCTGTCCCTTGTTTGCATCTGGGCATAAGATCCCTGGTCCCTTCTCTGATCCGCATTGTTGAGACTTTGTCTTCGGACAACCGAAGACCAAGTCTCCTGTTTCTGTGGAGGGCTCATTGGGTTACTACTAAGGCTGCCGGTGCGATGTAAAGGGGGTTCCGGTCTAGCGACGGCGGTCTGGGGCGTGGGAGGATGGAATCTTGGTTCAATGGACGCTGTCGAAGGAGAGACAATGTTGTTCGCAATGTGGGACTGCTGTGCATAGTGGTGACCATCGATAGACTGTCCCTGTGGCGGGCCGAATTGCTGACCTTCCTGAGTACTCTTGACGTTAGGGGCAGACATTGGATAGACTTGAGGTTGGCCGAGGTGGTGCTGTGACGCCATTGCAGGTACGATTTGATTACTCGAGGTGGATTGTGCGAAAGCATCCCGCTTGTGGAGTTGGGAGCCATGTGTTGTATGTCGTTCCCGATGTCGAATGCAAAGATCTTGTCGCACAAAATACCTACTGCAGTCGGGGTAATCGCAACGATAGATGGTCTTCGGAGTATCTTCGACGGAGAATTAGAGGGGTTAGAAGGACCTGGCAAGAATGACTTACGGTTTAGCTGGTGCCTATAGAGATGCTCAGCACGAGAGTAGCTTTTACCGCACCCTTCGTGTTTACACTCGAATTTCTTGTCTGGATTCGGCTTTGCAACTCTCCTCCTCTTTTTCGGCGGTGGTCCGCCGACATTTTCTGCGCCACCATCAGCGACCTTGACATCGTCGGATGAGCCGTTCTGGGCAAGGGAATCCTGCTCGTTTTGTTCGACAGGGTCTAGCTCGGCCATGGTGCGTGACGGGCAGTTGTCACAACAGGCCTGAAAGCCTGACACTGATCCAGGCGGCGATGCAGGCAAGTGATATCACGGGATATGCAGCATGATCGAAATGCCAATGATCCGCACAGCCAAGGCTCACAATGGAAGTCGACGAGAGGATTCAGACAGTGTCCTGATTCTTACCACTAGGCTGTCGCTGCGATGCAGTCTGTGGGGTGTGGAGGTATGGCTGAGTTGGCGCAGAGTGCCTGTCTTGCCCGTTGTAAACTTGCCTAGAGTGGTTGCGCCCTTTCTGAAGTGCCCGTGCTTGTGTATTTCCCCTTCGGTCTCAACCCAGGACTTCGGTAGACAGTCAAAGGAGGTCTCTGCGCAGACTAAGATGAACTAGATGGCGTTTGTGGGAGAAAGAATCGCAACAGGTTGTGGGATGCAGAAAATGGCACGAGCGAGTTTTCCTTCGAATGCAGGTACCGGGTCGCGCAGAATGAACGTGGTTCAGGTGACCTCGGGGGGTAAGGCTCGTGAGAAATGAGCGGAGGACGTATTGCTTTTGCTGCTCCTCATGGCCTGTGGCGAGGAAAAGTGGACAGCCGAGAACAAGGCCTGGGGTCTGATGCTGCGTGGGCGTCCAGACAGAGCCTGGAGTCTGGAGAGCAGTACGGAGAAGGGTCTTCGAATGCAGCGGGATCTTCGTTGCTTCTGTAAGGAGGCGGTACTGGGGCAATTGACGGGGTCTAGGTTGCAGTTATGCCTGTCGCTGGTCGTGGACGAGTAGTCCCGTCGACACTGGCATGGCGGAGTGTCTAGGCTAGATATGGATCAGGCAATGACAAGCCCCGTTGTGCAGAGCGGAGTGCAGAAGCCAGTCAGAGGCACGAGGACGGGGGATGGAGGTTGGGGGGTGATGCAGAGGACGCGGGATGCGTGTGGATGTGCGGCGTGGAGAGGAATAAATTACGATGAGATGGAGGTTTTGCCGTGAAAAGTGAGGAGGAGGGGGAATTGGGTGGTGAGTGCAGGTGAGTGGTGAGTGGTTAGTGGTTCGTGCGCACTGACAGTGACTGGCTGACGAGAGAGACAGTCAGAGGGAATTTTTGGAGGGTGGTGAGTGGTGGGTGAGTGGTGCGAGGGCGAGGGCGATGGCGCTAGGCTGCACTAGGCTGTGATGTGGGCGGGGACTGGCGGGCCATCACTCGACTACGTACTCGGAACGGGTAGAGGCTTGCGGGCAGCGGGCGGCGGCCCAGACAAGCAGTTGGGCATCTGCGGCCTCCATTGGCGGCCCCGGGGGCATCTGACGGGGGCCCTGGGCACCAAACCTGGCCTCGAATACGCCCAAGCCGTTCTTTGTGCTCTGCCTACCTAGTACCTACATGGTAGGTAAACCACTGCGTTTTCCCTTCTCGGTTCTTTATTTTCGTCCTTGAACTAAATCCTAGAACGCCTCCTGCAGATCAGCGTTCTCGACAAAGCGGCATACCCAAGTCAGAAAGAGCTTACGCCCGGTTTCTTCTCTGTCGAGGGAAGGGGGCCATTTGGGGATAAGCCTGGTCACGAAGCAGGCTTGCTCTTCCCCAAGTATTGTGTTTTCGAATTCGTTAACGTAAGATGTATCGAGTAGAAAATTATCCATCGATAGCCCTCCGTGCCAACTCCGTTGCAAAGCGAAAAGCCCGTCTCAGTCATCGTGGGCAGTCACCGAAGTCACCGCGGCCAGCATCCCACCCTGCATCAGGGATCCCTCCGCTCCCGTTCGGCGCGCTCTTTAGTGACCGAAGCAAACCTTCCTGTTCAAGGGACAGGATTCATAAAAAGCCGTCCTCTGCGACACATTGAGTGATCATCTGTCCTTCACCGTCTGCAAATTGGGGAGGCTGCCTGATGCTTGACATTCCCCACGCTTTCCGCTCCTCCCTTGACTCTCTGGCGGCCACAAGGTGTCGACGCTAACTCGCCTCTCGAGAAGTGGTCAACGAGAGAACCAACCACCTTGGGACTCTTACCAAAGTCCTCCCACTCATTCTCCGCACCTTGTTTGCTGGATTTCTCACCAGAAGGAGCCCCGGGCCGAATCACATCATCGCGCATGCCTTGTGCCACGCACCACCATCTCGTGTAACTGGCACCCTGTCGGCTTGATCCGAGCATAACGCATGGTAAAATTCTAGCAGTTTGGGAGGCTTGCTGTTCCCCAGCTTTTACGAGGCACGGTGCGTTACGCCTAGGCATTTAAGCAGCAGACTCCATGGGGGTTACTACGGGGGCTTCGCTTACTCACGGGAGACTAATGGACGATGTGGTCTTGCCAATGTTCCAGCATTGCATGGCACGCGCGCAGAAGTCGCCCAACACTAATAAATGTTGAACTCGATCAGTCAGGTATAGTAATCTCGCCACGCCATTTGTCGATCGAACGAGATATATCATCAACCCCCGTCTCGCTCTATGTACTTGGCCGACAAGTCTACTCTTCTCCCTCTCCGTCGAGCTCAATCATCCTCCACCAGCCGGCATGTGACTGTTCCGTAGATAGGCCGTCAACAGCCGAGCGCTGTCTCACGAGACCGCGGGGCACGAGTACAACCCCCAGATATTCACCCGTGTTGGATCCACTGTTCATCAGCTCTGCGGTCCAGACAAGGATCAGGCTGCGTCATCATGGAGAAGACGGCACCGGTGCCGGGTCCCATAAACAACGAGCAATCTGCAACGTGGATCAGACGAAAGGACCAGACAGATAGCATAGCCATGGTGGCAGACCACGCCAGGACAAGCTTGCTTCATGCAACCTGTCGGCTGTCGTTGCTTAGTCGGTGGGAATCACTCAACCTTTTCCAGACCCTTGCTTGAAGAGAGGTCCCAAAGAAGGCGTGGGTGGTGTCTCGGCCAGTTTCATTCCCCTCCTTTGCTCGACTTGAGTACGAGGTACTCCACTCTCTTCTCCTCCAATCATGGCATGGGGGAAATGAAGATGCTAATGCAACTTGTTTCAACCATTCACACTCTTTTCGTCCAGGTGTGCGTTGCCCAGTTCCCCAGCCGCTCCTCTATCGACGTCTGCGATAAGATCTACTTCACCTCTTGCAGATTTTCCCGTGTTCTGAGTGGGCGTCTCTCGTCGGCATCTATCAAAGATCCACGGTCCGATCTTGCACGTGTAGTCGGCAGACTTGTCAGGCTATCCGTGCCCTCGGACTAAATTTTGTCCGTTGCCCGTCCTGCACGTCGTCCAAACACCGGTGACCGAAAAGGGTATCGATATTAAAAGCACGCGACAGGAGACCCTAGGTGAGTCGGTCTGGGCAATTGATGCAGTATAGTATGCAGCCTCGAATATTGGTGTCGAGGACAGTCTTGAGACTACTTTCTCCAGCCGGCTAACCTTGCCCAAGCAACACAAGCTTGAACTTGCGAACTATCAAGCCAAAATGTCCGACGATGTCATCAATAGTCCGACCAGCCCGACTGTGAAGCCAAAATCCAAGTCCTATGAAGGATCTTGCCACTGTGGAAGAGTCAGGTTTGCAGCGAAAATGCCATTCATAGCAGAGACACCGGCATGTTGACCGATGCTAGATTCACCATGAAGCTCTCACCTCCTGTTGAGGATGGCCCAGTGACCAGCTGCAATTGTGAGTTCTCAGAATTTGCCCGACTCCAATCCAAGCCCTGCAGGCTCGGCTTCAAAAGGCGTCTCCTACCCAGCAAGAGTGAGTTGGGCTTACGCGTGCGGGCAGGCTCTATTTGTGCCATCAACGGATATCTCATGGTCTACCCCCTGGAATCCAACATCACCTGGCTCAGCGGTTTTGACGAACTGACCACTTACACCTTTGGCAAAGAGAAAATTGCCCATTCTTTCTGCTCGACCTGCGGGACCAGCATTGGCGGGAAGAGCACGGATCCAAACTTTTTCGCCGACAACCGGGCGTTGAATGTAAGTGACTTTTTGGTCGCCAAAAATCTTACTTTTTTGTTCCAACCACGTTCTGGTTTAGAGAGTAATCTAATGTTTTCTGCGAACTTTCTAGGTCCGCACATTGAAAGGCGTCGACGTCGACGCCCTTCGACTGAGAAAAGTTGACGGGCGAAATGCAGAGATCAAACTCCCATCCGATGCACCTCGCAAATTGTCCCGTTGATTTTTCCCGAAAAGGAGGATGGACGGGCTACATGGAGCTCGAACATTGCTCTGCAATATCGAAAAAGAAACAGGGGACCTGCGGAATCGGGTGGATCGTTGGAGGGAGTTTGAATTGATGTTTTCCTCGTCACACACACATACTCCCCTTGTGAACCTACAATATTTCTGAGTTGTGCTTCACTCCATATATTATGTACAGGAAAAAGTCAATGGGCTGCATCATGTCGAACCCTCGATAAAGACGAAGTTGTCAAAACAAACCCGGTGTGATGCTCGAACACGCTGAAGGCATTGGTTTCCCTTTCCCGTTGGTCTGAGCAAACATGGTTTATCTACACCAGAGCCTGTATACCAGGGAGACGTCAACAAATGACTTGAGAGGATAGCAGAAGAGGCGAACGTGCCGCTATATTGATCAGAAGAACTTGGGAAATATGATGTCTGAACAGCAGCTTCGAAAGGTCTGGAAACAGCGCTTCGCCAGCTGTTAGCTCTTCCATATTGCAGACTTTCGCTCCAGTCTATATCTGACAGCACCTTCGAGGATTTCATCTTTAAAATCATTTGATCTAAGCCGTCCTGTTTCTCCCCAGCCGGAACCCCACTACACCCTCATAATCACTATACCCATGGCTTTTTCTTTTCGAGGCAGAATTATCACACACAAGACTCCTCCCAGCGCCTGTCCGACATGCTTGCCTTATTTCACAATCCTTGCTTGAAAAGCATATACTGAACACCATTCCTGAATGCCACACGCACCGAAAATCCCCTCAACAACAGACACGGACCTTCTCTGAGCACTTTTCCGTTTCCTCCTAGAGAAGGGTCCTCTATGCTGAGGTTGGTAGCATGTACATCACCGTCCCAAGCGCCGTCAGTCCAACTCCTGCCCACCACCATCTATCGGCATTGTAGAACTCGCTGGGTTGTTGCTTGATGATGTGTGAGTCTCGGTTCAGAGGCTGGAGTACTTCTTGCTCGCCGTCTCCTCCATCCGTGCGCTTGACCCTCGATTTCCCCGTCGCGCTGGGCGCACTGGTCGGATTGAGTGTCTGCGTCGGGAGCATCTGGGGCGGGCTGTACATCAAATACATGGGCTGCATGGGGCTCCCATCAAACTGGTAGAGATTCAACTTGGGTACGTTGTGGAAGGCGTCAGTAGAGACTTGATAGGACTTGAAGAACTCGGGCTGCTCGTAGCGGATGTAGATGGCGTTGTCGTAGGAACAGGGGGCGGACGTGAGTTGGCGACCGTCAACGCCAAAGGGTGTGAGAACGATGGAGCCGTTTCCGGGCAAGGAGTAAGTGCCGTGCTGCCATTGCATTATGGAGGATGGGCACTGGGGAGTCGTTGCTAGAAGAGGTGTTGTCAGTATTTATTTGTCTTTTGCTTGCTTTTGCACCAGGAATAGAGTCGTGACATCCCCGGGCGAAGGATCTTCCAATGTAATGGATAACAGGGGGCCCAAGCATACGATTTGAGATTGCCCGATAGTATGCCTCTTCATAATACCCATCGCTCGTGAAGGAGTAGGAAATGCCCGCTAGGTCCGGTTCGATTAATTTGTCGGCGACAGGATCATAGAAGCCCTGAGAGAGGCACAGGTCAGAGATTTGAACCACAAAGAGGTACAGCGACACGCATTGAACATGGAGGCCACACTTACAGGACCAGTGACAACCTTTTTGGACTTTGTCGTCCATGTGCCCACCAGCGCTGGATCATACTGCGCTCTGACAAGGCCCGCCAGGCCAAGCGAAAGAGTAACGACAGTCTGTATCGAGGTGATCATTGTGGCATTGTTTTATAGGGATCGTGTGAGAGCGTCGAGGATATCGAGGTAGGACGAGAAGGGGTAGTCGTGTGTTCCGTCGAGAGGTACGAAAGAAAGAGAAAGATAGGACGGACGTCTGCAGTCGTTGGTTGTTGATAGAACCTGTCTGACTCCAATCTAGAATTCTCACCCTTGAGGCTGCGGTGTCTGCTCGCCTTGAAGATGTTGACGCGGAGGCTGAGGCGCATGTGCAGGGGTCTCGGGCTGCGGATTTGCACGCGGACTGGAGCTTGTTTTGAGGCTGGTGCGGCACTGCGGTTTGTCAGAACCAATGTTTCAAAAATAGTGTCTTTTCCGATGCACTTCTCTTCATGACAGCTATTCGGCCTGCAAATCACACAGCATTGAGACTTTGACCATCGTGTTGTCTTTGCTGAAGGGCTACGAAGCGCTGGTCACGAACTCAGTCTAGAAGCCCATGATGCGCTCATGCAGCAATTACTCTGGGGTCGTCGCTCGATGAACTCTTGGTCGTCGCTTCAAGCTAGACGGGCGATGACAACCATGGCTCTGATGGATCAGAAGGCAGCATTGCGAAAGAGAGTCGGAGAGGAGCTGAAGAAGCTTGACTCAAGTCAGATCGAAAGACAATGTAGGAAGTGTCGCACTGTCGATATCAACCTTTAGCTGATGGTGAAAGCGGCCATCATCACCGAGCACGTGCTGCGCTTGCCGGCTTATCAAAATGCGAAGGCAGTGGGCATATTCCTGTCGATGCCTGGCAGGGAAGCTTCGACTCGAGATATTGTTCTACATGCACTCGACAGTGGGAAGTCGGTTTTTGTACCTTACCTGCATGCAGGGGAGACCCCAAAGACAAAGGTAATGGACATGCTGCAGTTACAAGACAAGAACGATTTTCTTTCGTTAAGCCCTGATGCTTGGGGCATTCCGTCACTCTCCAAAGATTCGGTCGAAAGGAGAAGAAATGCTCTTGGTGGATATGGCATCTTAAATCACTCTTCGGGAGACCAACAAGACCCTCCAGGTCTGGATCTAGTGTTCATGCCGGCGGTAGCTTTCGATCAGTCTCACCGTCGCCTTGGCCATGGCAAAGGCTTCTATGACCGCTATCTCTCCAGATATAAAGACATTCTCAGTGGGAGCCAAAGTGGACGGCCAATGCCACTCTTGGGTAAGTGGCCAACCTCCGATATCTTTCCAGCCGCATTGCAACTAAGCCCCCTCTTGTAGTAGGGATTGCCCTTCGCCAACAAGTTCTGCCTCCAGGCGAGACGATCCCTGCAGACGAGCATGACTGGACAGTCAATCAAATAGTGGTTGCTGATGTAGAGTGATGCCTTGAATGGCATCGTTGCTCTAGCACAACTTGGTTTCCGCCCGAGCTGGTGCCTGATAGATACGGCGCTTGGTGCGCGATGATTCAAATAAGACAAAGGGATGTCCATTCTAGTCGAGAGACTGGATCAACGAGACATTATCGCCTTTCAATAGGATTTGTCCTGAAAATCATCAGCTGTCGTCCGTGCCCGTGAAGCTTAAGCTAGATCATACCAAGCTGCCTTCTCTTCTCAGGGGTATCTCTCGTAGCTAGTTGTACCTCGACCGCATCATCGATTACCAAGTTCATAAATTCATCGAAGCCCTATTCCGCGGTCAGTCGCACAACCACCCAAGTCCAATCGAGGTGCGCACCCTGATTTTTCCCTCGATACGCGTGCGCAAATTCTCGTAGAGCCAGATGGAGACTGTAGAGCGCTTTTGCAACAGGCTGAAAATAAAATGAATGGGCGCAAGAAGAGTTTTGCGGGCACCACCGCCGCCGCGTCCAGTCATTGTGGGCACAATTTGCGCCGCAAGGGTAAAATTTGCGCTGGATTTGTTCGGACGGAGAGGTCACTCATCAAGTTCTGACGCTCTCGATGTCAAGGGCTTGCAATTGTCAAGTATGCTGGTGGAAGAGCTTGCGTGATCTGGAGAAAGAAGTTTTGGCGCAGGACAGAAAATCAAAAATGCGGAGCAAGGCTGAGGCTGGGAGACGAGGCTGCCCGCAACCTAATCAGAAATTGAGGTCATTTCCCAAACATCTGATCTCTGCACGTTTACGAGGTACAACCATTGTCTCTCCTTCCACAAACACTTTGCAACGGCGCCTATCTTCTGATTCCATTACTTCTGCGTCCATCCTTTCTTCATTTTGTCACCGGATGACAACAACCACACCGTCCCCTTCGTTGCTCGGCCGAAACGCCTGTAAGCTGCCCCTCACTATCATCGCACTCATCGACCTCAACCACCATGGCGGATAAGGCAAACGCTTCGAGCGGCTATGCGCCAGTCATTTCGGCTCTGGCCACCATGCAGAGCAATGCCGGCAAAGAAGAGAAAACCAGTGCACATGAATACCTTGAAAAGTTTCAAAAATCGGTCTGTGCGGCTCCCACAGATACCTGATCACTAGAACTCATGTGGCAACAGCTGGAAGCATGGAACACAACACATGCAATATTACAAGACTCGTCCGCCCCAGCAGAAGCCAGACTATTTGCTGCGACGACTTTGAAGGGGAAAGTCTGTGCTATCAGTCCGTCTAGCAAGTCCAACGCTGACCCTCCCAGATTACCTATGACCTTCATCAGCTGCCAGCCGATGCCCTCACTCCTCTCCGAGACTCGCTCCTTTCTCTGCTTCAACTCTACATCTCGGGTCCTCGACCCGTTCGGACGCAATTATGCGTATGCCTGGCAATCCTGGCAATACAGTTGACAACGTGGAAAGACGTCTTGAGAACAGTGGGATCAGCTGTTGGCAGCAGTAGTGACGGCGGAGACTGTCTGCTCGATTTCCTGCGCATCCTACCAGAAGAAGTCACAGAAGGCCGCAAGATCAACCTTTCAGTATGTTCGACCACGCAGCATTTGATGCTCGACCTTGCCGCAACACCACCCTGGGAACCGATCACAGTCTAATCCAGCATTTTGCAATATAGGAAGAGGAACTTGCCGATCGGACCAAGGAACTCCTAGAGGACAACTCCGCTCAGGTCTTGAATCTTTTGGTCTCCTACGCACAGTCATCAAGTAAGGATCCGTCCTCGTGCGCAACTGGAACCGCTGACATCTTTTTGTTTTCTAGCTCAAGCTGCGCACAATCCCCACCTGTATTCTTGCATCGCATCATGGCTTCGAGAGATCCCCACAATCGACGTTGTGAACTCGCCTCTCCTCAATGAAATCATTGACGCTCTGCAAGACAGCGATTCCTTCGAAGCAGCTGTGGATTGCCTTTGCACCATGTTCAGGGATACCCGCGACGTTGACGAATCACAAAGCGTGATTCGAATACTTTATCCCCGAATCATCAAGTTGAGGCCCATTATTGCAGAAGCTGCTTCCACGGAAGATAACGATCTCATGAAAGGCATCACGAGACTTTTTGCAGAGGCCGGCGAGGCTTGGGTTGTACTAATTGCACGTATGCCGGAAGATTTCCGTGAGCTTGTCGAATGTGTTCTCGAATGTTGCGTACGCGACAAAGACCGAGAAGCCATTTCGGTCACATTTATTTTCTGGTACGAACTCAAGCAGTCCCTAACTCTCGAAAAATATATGCCTGCTCGAGCCGCCCTTGCGGACCTCTACTCGAAGCTCGTGGATGTCATGATCAAACACCTCGAATTCCCGACGCCAGAGAACGGTAATGAGAAGGACCTTTTCGATGGAGATCGAGAGGCAGAGGACAAATTCCGCAGTTTCCGACATAACATGGGCGACGTCCTCAAGGACTGCTGTGAAGTCATTGGAGTCACGCCGTGTCTGACGAAATCCTTCGCTCTGATACAGAGTTGGGGTCAAAAATATGCCTCGCAGGTGTCGGGCACAACCGTACCACATTGGCAGGAGCTTGAAGCGCCACTTTTCAGCCTCAGGGCAATGGGCCGAATGGTCAGCCCAGAGGAAGATACTGTACTTCCACAAGTCATTCCTCTGCTTACCACGGTACCAGATCATGAGAAGCTGAAGTTTCAAGCCATTATGGCCTTGGCTCGCTACACTGAATGGACCTCTCAACATCCGGAAACTCTAGAGGCACAGCTGAATTATGTCATCTCTGGATTCAGTCACAGCTCCCAGGAGGTTGTGCAGGCAGCAGCGCTGGCCTTCAAGTTCTTGGGGACGGACTGCAACAGCTTGCTGAGCGACCACGTCCCACAGCTTCACAACTTCTATGAAAGCGTCATTGACAAGCTCAAATCGACGAGCCAGGAAGAGGTAACTGAAGGAGTTGCGGCGGTTGTTGCGGCGCAACCAGTTGGGAAAGTTTATGAGACGATGAAGATGTTCTGTGACCCAGTCATGAGGAGGGTGGTTGCCCTTGCCGCACAGGCAAACGATGAGAATGCCGAGAAGACTGTTGCTGACTATTTAGGGCTTATGACGGTCTATTTCGAATGGGTACAGCCATATGTTTCGCCGTCTGAAGAGAACCCAGCAGTCAAATATTGCCAAGAAGTACTCCCGGCTCTTTCACAAATTGCGAAGCACTTCACACGTTCCATGCCGATACTGGAGAGGGTGTGTAAGTGCTGGAGGTCCATGGTAATATCTTATCGGACCGCCACGGCCCCATTACTGCCCACACTTGCGACCAGTATCGCTGAAGGCTTCGAAGCATCGCGACAGGGCTGTTTCCTGTGGGCAACCGACGCAGTCATTCGAGAGTTCTCGTACGGAGCGGAGTTCGTCGACGAAGCCACAAGCGACAACGTCTATCAATTCTTTGCCCAGCAAGCCACAGTCTTCTTCAGGATTCTCGCCGAACTGCAACCTGTCGAGCTTCCCGATGTTATCGAGGACTTTTTCCGCCTGGCCTCTGATGCTGTTCGGTTCTATCCTCAGAAGACACTTACTTCGAATCTTGCTCTCCCGATGGTCAATGCATCGTTAACGGCCCTGACGCTGCAATCGTTGGAGCCAGTCCAAGCCACATTGCACTTTTTGAGAGACTTCCTTGATTTTGGGTTTGAGCAGCCGCCAATCTCCAATTTCAACGGGCCTAACGGTGAACCAACAGCCGGAAACCCACCAGAGGTTCAAGCAGCAGTGAGACAAGTATTGCATTCTACTGGACAGGAACTTGTGCACCGCGTCTTGACTGGCATGATGTTTAGCTTCCCCGAGGATTGCTTTCCAGATGCCTCTGGTATTCTCCTGTCTTTGTTCAACCTGGCACCTCAAGCGGCGGCCCAATGGGTTCAAGGAACTTTACAGGCTCTGCCTGCGGGCACGCTGAAACCGGCCGAAGCGAACAAGCTGATGAAAGGCATTAGCGACAAGCTGCAGCAGAACGAGGCACGAAAGGTGCGTGTGTTGCTTCAAGACTTTACGAATTCATACCGGCGCCGGAATGTGGCGCCGCGTGAAGGATTGGGCAGGTTGGAAGCGGCAAGGTTCAAGTTCAGCGGCTGACCGACAGGACGGGACCCTTTTCGATGAGAGATCTACTGCGTCAGCCTGTGCAGAACAACGGATTGAATTGATGTCATTTTTCGAGCATCTTTGGGCGTAATTCCTGTCGAGGCGGCTTTGACTGGCGGGAAGGAATCACATCTACAACTGATACCAGATTTCTTTGCTCTTGATACGAAAACAATGCAATTCGATACAACATGAGTCAACCTGAACCAAGCGTACATCTCTAGACAGTACTCCTGACTTGGCCAAGTGAGGACACCATTTGGCAAGGGATTTTCACGACTCGCAGGGACGAGCTGAAGACGAGTACAAACGCGAGCACGGATGAGGAAAGGAAAGCCTCGAATAGCATGGGCGCCAGGAGGGTCGACACGGATACAGCGCAAGTCCTAGCCTATCTATCTAGCTGCATGCTTGACCCGCTAGGTATAGTAGACAGCTAGTGTTTTCTTTCCCCCGCCTCTTTCTGGCGAAAAGCTGTTAGACTAGCTACATAGGTACATAGATTCGGCGGGGGAAGAAGATGAAGAAGAAGAAGGGGTGGACACGAACGGGAGAGGAAAAGGAGAGAGGAGGAAGATCACGATCGCTCGGCAGTGATGACAACACAGAGGAGGGAAGGGAAGAGTAGGAGCAGAGCCGAGCTAAAAAGAAAGCAAGGAAGAGAACCATGATAGTGGATAGCGAAAAGGAGAGATAGAGAGACACACACAGAGAGCGAGGCCTCAAGCTGGGAACTAACATTTGATCTCAATTCCCCTTACTCGCAATTCAGATCCACAAGATATTTGATAGGTGATGTCCCTTTTGTATTGACTCCTTTGTACTCCGTGCTCGCCCGTATTTTCGCCACTGGATGGTACTCTTGACGTTTTGTCCAGTTGCCCACCAAAATAAGGAGATGTGCCATGTCACATCGCTCACGGTTTTCCCAAGGGGAGAAAAGTATTTCTCAAATCCGTGCATTTTTCAACTTTCCTCTTTTGGGGGTGGAGGGCGTTCTGGCCATCCATCCTCACCGTTACATTTTTCTCCGGTAAGACACATTCGAACCGGACGCGGAAAGTGAGAAGCAGAGTGTGCCTCACTCCTTCTTGGTCTTCCTCACCACGCCAATGACAACCGAAATATCGTCCAACTTGCCCCCCTCGGCGGCTATGCCCTCGTCAAACGCCCTCTCCATGTAGGGGGACTCGGCGTTGGGATCCATGGCGATCTCCCTTGCGGCATTCATCAGCCGTCGCGCGACGTAGATGATGCCGTCCTTCTTGGCCTCGAGATCCTCTTGCTCCTGCTCCTGCTCCTCCCTGTGGTTGTTCGCCGCTTGCGAAGAGTGGTCGCCGTTCCAACGGGCCATGCTCTCGCAGATGTTGTCGCAGATCTCGTGTTCCCACAGGTTGTCGGTGACGCCGTCGCTCAGGACGGCGACCACGTCGCCGACCTGGACGTTGTCGATGATGTCGCAGACGGCGTTCTGGAGCGGTGTGTCGGGAGAGTTGGTGCCCAGTTGGCGGGGACAGTCGAACCAGTGCCATTGTTCTTTGGAGCGGTAGAAGATGCGCTCACTCCCAGAACCGTCTTTGCTTTCCGTCTCGGAGGACGACGGGGCTGAAGGGCGGATGAGGAGAATTTTGCAGTCGCCTAGGGTTGTGGCGAAGATTACTGGCGTGGGTTCGGTCTGCGATCCAGAGGGCGGCTTGTAGTAGAGGAGCGCCGAGGAGGCCGTTGTCGTTCCAAGAATGTCGTTTTTTGTCGACTCCTTCGTATCCTTCGTTTCCTTGCTTTCCTGGGGTGTTGAGGAGGAAGATTCGTCACCATCTTCTTGCTTGCGGTCCCCGTCTTCAGCCTCCGAGTAGCCTTCGTCTTCGCGATTATCCCTGTTCAACTGTCCCTTGGTGGCTTTCTTGGTCGCGACGTACGCATCCTGCAGATTCTGGACCGGGTCGACCTTGCCCAGTTCCACCGAGTTCTTCCCGTCCGGCCCTGCGAGGGATTTCTCGACCTCGACATCCCAAAAGTGCGCGATCAATCGACTCCAGAGAGCCGCGTGACCCCTCTCCTTCTGCGCCCACGCACCCACGCCATCATTGACGGCGACGAAGTTCCGAGCCGCGGAGATGATGATCGCGTCGTCGCCGTTTGTGATGCCACGGACGAGTTCTCCGTTCACGGTCGGACGGCGGGCGCCGCGCGGGATGGAGGAAGGGTTGTGGGTCGTGAGAGGGTCTGAGAAGGAGCCCGAGGGCAGAGAGACGAAAGGAGGTGGGAAAGGGCGCGAGGGTCGTTTGGCGAAGATCGAGTAACCGGTCTCGAGGTAGAAGGGATAGGAGAGCGTGGGATGAGCGGAAGAGGACGAGGACGAGGCCGAATCGGCGGAGGCCTTGGTCGCTGAAGGTGTGGTGGCACGACCTTCAGATATGAGATAGCGGCGGAAGTGGGTGGCCGAGGTCGCAATGCCTCTCGAGCAGGAATACTTGGGTCGCCATAATCTGCCTTGCCGTTGAGGTTGAGATCGAGGTACCCGTACCAACAGAAGGAAGCAGCGGCTATCGAATAGTCGTGCTACAGCATGCCTTGATGGTCGGGCCACCTGAGCGAGCATGGAAAGGGCCAGAGCGCTCTCATAATAAGAGCCGCATGAGTCTGGAGGGTTGGCGGAAGAAGGGCCCAGTAACACTATAGAGGGAATGCGTCAACCAGGAAGGAGTCAAGGTGGTCACGGTGTTTATCAGATGGTAGAAAGATACTCCGTGTGCCTATCAAGCGATAATACGCAGTTACGCATTGAGTGGGAACAACGGAGGGTGGGGGGGAGAAGCGGTGGAGGAGCCACGAGCTTAGCGATCGGCGACTTTGCGGTTGAAGACCCGATCCATTACGCACTGGCAGGCAGGACGAGGAATCAGATGAGTTATTGACTCCACATCTGTCATCAATATCAGGCACCGCTTTCCTCCCGCCTCTCTATTGAGTAATAGGACTTGGGCCGGGTTTTCGGTCAGCGATCCACGAATACCATATATAGTATAGTAAGTATAGACAGTCTGGGGACTTTATTTTATAGATCTAGTGGATTTTTGGATCTATCCGTTCTCCAATAGATAAGCTGGAAGTCGTTCTCTTTTAGTGCGACCTTGATGACGACGGACCGGAAACAATTTTGTCAAATATGTGTACACATTATCATGATACCTGTCGACCGATTAAAGGAGTATCTCTGCCAGGTATTAGAGAGCGGTACCACCGCGACGGCGAAAAGATATAGGTGCCAAGGTGAATACTCCTTGTTCTAACTCAACAATTAACTAGGTGAGGTACTTATATCAAGGAACTCGCGTTGGCTCCGGAATCTGGTGCCGAGAAAAACCTACGGCCTTTGATTGTTCGAAGTGAGCCAGACTTCTATACCGCCTTAGCGGCCGAATATCGCCGTGTTGCACCAGAATCCGATGTAGCGTCTTATGTGGGCTGAACCGCGACTACAAGACGTATCTGAACAGCGGGCTGCGGTCGCCCATCTCGTCGAGTTCTCCCTGGGTGTACTTTTCCCTGAGCTCGTGCTCTGGCGTTTGGCAGCGACGGCGGTTGACGCGGATATAGAGCCACTCGAGACACAACGCGGCCACGATGCCCGCGGCAGCGAAGGCGAAGCTGCACCCGAAGCCTGTCGGGTACCGGGGCTTCTCGGAGTCGATAAAGATGTAGGAGCCGATGATGCCGCCGATGTTGCCCATACAGGTCATGTAGGCGATGCCCATAGCCCGCTTGGTGTGACCCGCCAGGTTGTTCAGTGTCCAGGTACTCATGGTTGGGTTCATCGGGTACTGGCCGGCGCAGGCCAAGATGACGGCAAAGTACATGACCGCGACGTTGTGGCCGACGTCGGGGGCCTTGGCGAAGAGGATGGCGTTGGCGATGACAATCACGGTCAAACAGCCGACGATGAAGGGCAATCTCCACTTGATCTTGTCGGCCACCAAAGAGAGCGAGTACGACGAGATGGCCCCGACCACGTACGGGGGAACTGTGAGCAGTTGAGCGTGGGTCGACGAAAACCCCATGTTCTTGATGATCTGAGGCATGGTGAATTTGAGCGAGTAGTTGCTCACGGCGTTGCCCCAGAATACCAGAGCCATGATGTAGAGTTGCCAGTCGAGCAGCACAGACTTCAGGATTTTTCGGTCCTTTCCGCGGCTGCGTGCCGCCACGGCGACCGCTGCCTTGCGCCGTTGCGGATCGGCCATCTGTCGCAGGTTCAGGTACCGGATCTCATCAGGCTTGAGCCAGCGTCCCGACAGCTCCGGGGTGTCTGGCATCAACAAGAAACTCATAATAGCCACGCCGACCGAGGCGATACCCTCAAGGATGAAGATCCATCGCCACCCTGCGAGCCCCGCGATGCCGTCCATCTGCGCGATTGCCGCCGCCAATAGGCCTGAAAACGCTCCCGATAGCGAACTGGCCGTGTAGAAGATGGCGATGCGGCTCTGGGTTTCGTTGGGAAGGTACCACGTCGAAATGATGTACAAGGCACCGGGGAAGAATCCGGCCTCTGTTCAACAGTCAGCACAGATGAACGCATGTGACTTTAGTGGTCTGAAGGACGGCTTACCAGCAACACCCAGTAGAAATCGAATCACAAACAAGCCCGGGAAATTCTGTACCACTCCAGCCAGGGTCATGACTATGCCCCAGGCCGTGATCAGGAGGCCCATGTAAACCGAAGGTCTCTTGAACTTGGCCAATAGATAGTTACTGGGGACCTCTGTTCAGAAGTTAGAGAAACGCGTTGTCTTCAGTCGATCCTAAGGCGATCTCACCAAGAAGGATATACGGTACAAAGAAGATGGCGAGGCAGGAGTTGTATTGGACGTTGTCCAATTTGAGATCGCTCACCAGACCCTCGATTTTAGCGTTTCCTATTGTCATAAGTGATCAGCCGCTTAATCAACTGCTAAGCTCAGAGGTTCAACTCACCAATATTTGCACGGTCAATGTAGGCGCAGAGGTAGAACAGGGCCAGAAGCGGGGCGACACGTAGGTCGACCTTCAAGAGAGCCTTGCGTTGCTGCCGCGGGGTGAAGTTCTCAAGGAACTCCATGTCCTCGCGTGACAGGCCGTTGGTTTCGCCTTGCACTTCGAGGTGTACTTGGGCTTCCTTTTCGATCATGGTGGCGTCCCTCTGAGAGTAGTCCTTGGATACCTCCGCCATATTGTACAGGCGGGACGAAAGAAGGGTGAGCTGGTGTGACAGTATAGGAGAAGTCCTTAAAAGCAAGTGAACCGGAGTGGACAAGTTGATTCCGCCCTTGGGAATATCAGACCTTTTTTATATTGCCACAAGCTCCCGGTAAATGCTCTGGACTTGTGCCAGTGCCGATACGCGCCTCTTCGATTTCAGGCTTTCTACTCCATGGGGACCCCATGAGGTTGCCGCAAGGGAAAAAAGGCGGAGATGTTGTCAAGGTGGCCTGGCCATTCGGTGTGGGATTTGCACGAACGCAGGTATTGGCACTGTAAGGGCAGTTTTCGTCCTCGACTTTCAAGGTTCCGGCGAGTTTCAGGCCGGAGAAAAGTGGAACCATTACCCGGGCTAAACGCATCTGATTGGCCAAGCCGGCAGCCCTTATCCCCGTTCTGACAATCGCCCGGCCCGAGACACTCCAGAGTCCAGATGAGCCATAGTTGACAAGGTTGGGTAAAGGGTAGCTAGTGGCCCGCGGGACATAATGTGCTAATGAAAAAGGAAAGGGGGCTTCTCTGTAAAGTGACTTTGTCGCCCGCCGATTCTCGGATCCTCGGGTCAAGTCAGAGGCGTAGAGCAGCGGGAGGCATGGTGGTAGCGCTGCAATCAAACAGAACAGAACCACAGCAACCCCAAAGGTCTAAGGCTTCTACTACCTGATTAATCGAGGAAGAGATGGGAGCTACAAGGGGAATCGACTGAGGCCAGATCCCGAGGGGCGTTTGAGGAAGGTGTCCACCACGTGTCCGGGCCTTCATGGACAACCACGTCCGACGGACTGATGAACCACGGGGACTGGCAAGTGATATACAATAGCCAGGTGATGTACTATGTCCTTATTGACGGATCAAAACATGTACGACTCGTATTAAGAGGGAGTTATCAACAGTGACTTTGTTATATTGGGGAATGCTCGAAAACCCATCGGTGTATGATTCTTGTACACAGAGTCTAGTCTAGTTTCAAAAAGAGGACTACAACCTACAATCTAGCACTTTCCTGGCCCAGAGTCTGCGAAGCCAGCCGTAACTCCTTCTTGGCCTGTTCCCGCAGGACATTCTTCAAGACCTTTTGGTTGATGTTTCTCGGCAGGGCGGACACGAACTTAACGCCGCCGTGCAACATCTTGTAGCCGGCCAGCCGCTCAGCTGCGAATGCCTTAACACTTTCGACGGTAAGAGAAGCACCCTTTTTGGGAACGATGTATGCGCGGGGGAACTCTGACGTCTCCGCAGATTCCTGTACGCCTATCACCGCAGCCTCGGCCACGCCCGGATGGTTGACCAGCACGGCCTCGATTTCTGCGGGGCTGACCTGGAACCCACGGACTTTGATGAGTTCCTTCTTCCGGTCCACGATGTACCATAGCATGGAGATCGGGTCGCGGTAGGCGATGTCCCCCGTGTGGAAGAAACCATCGGCGTCAAAATCTTTTCGGAGTTTCTCTCGACCGTAGCCGTTGAAAATGCTTGGCCCGCGAATGCACAGTTCCCCGCGCATGTTGGATTCAGTGATTTCGTTACCATTGTCGTCGACCAGCTTAACGTCGTGGTTTGGGAGTGGGCGGCCCACCGCCCCCGTGAGGTCCTGGTCCGGGTAAAAGAAACACATCCCCATGCAGCTCGTCTCGGTCATACCCCAGGCCAGGTTGAAGATACAGTCGGCCGGCAAATACGCCTTGAGGGCCATTTGCAGACTCTTGTCCAACGGCGCCGAGCCGCTGTAAATATTTTTGACGCAGTCCAGTGAGTATTTCTCCAACAGGCCAGACTGAAGGATTGTTACCACCATGGCCGGCACGACGTTGAGTTCCGTGATGTTAAATTTCGAAATGTTTGCCATCCAAGGCTCCAGTTCGAATCGCCGCATCAAGTACGTCGGATACCCGCCCCGGAAAGCGCTGGTGTTGACCTTGGCCACCTGCGAGACGTGGAACATGGCGTTGCAGATCAACCTCCGCACTTCATATGGCCGTTTGCGGTGCTCCATCACCACCGTGTGTTGCGAGGTGCAGTTCAGGTGTGTCAAGTCCACAGCTTTGGGCAGACCCGTGGTGCCGCTGCTGAAAAGCCTCACCACGGGTTCCGTTGCTGCCCTCCGTTCATTGTCGAAGCGCTCCCAATCAACTTCTCCACAGTTTTGAAGGACTTCCCAGGAGCGAATGCCAGCTGGAAGTGATTCTGTACTAGGACCGAAACCAAAGATATTGGCAGTAGGAATACCAGATCTCGCGGCTGCTCTCTGGACGTTGGGAAGCAAGGCCGGCTCCACAATCCAATATCGAATGTTGGCAATACGGGTGTAGTATTCCAATTCCGAGACCGTGTACGAGGGATTGGTGCCCGCGTAGATTCCTCCGGCAGCCACAACACCCAGGCATGCGATCGGGTAGTAGATATCGTTGAAAGCATGTATGCAGACACAATCACCATGTTGAAGGCCTGTTTTTTTCAGCCCAGCTGCGATTCGCTGGATCATCGATCTGGCTTGTCGACATGATATAGTCCGAGAAGTGTTGGCCGCATCGATCAATATCGGCCTGTCGATGTCGTAGATGACTTCATCGAACATCCAAGAGAGGAGATCTGTATAGGGCAGCTTAACGCGCTCCGTGGCTAACAGAGGCATTCCGAACGTTCGACTGCCTGGTTCGTCGTTGGTGTTTTCGTGTGGACTGGGATAGGAGGTACAACGACAACGCTTGGGGCCTCATATAAAATTTGAAATGTGATCGAAGCCACTCCAGACTTAGAGGACCCCGGAAACAACTTGTGTCAACGAATGTGCTCCCCGAGTTGAAGATATGTGGCCAGATAGGGGGCCCGGAGCATGTCGGACCGGCTGAGTCCGGCGACCGGGATATGTTCCCCAGGGCGGATCCTTGCTCTGGGTGAAAAGTATTTGGCTACATCGTGCTGCAAAGCGCTTTGGGCAAGGACAATGGATGAAAAAACCGAGTCCCGACGAAGAAGTCGCCTCGAGAAGATCGAGGCCGCAAAGCAAAAGCGTGGTGAGCCAGCCATCTACTCATACACCAACCGCGAAGTCCTCCTCTACAATATCAGCCTTGGCTCGACTGTGTCCGAACTCTCCCTGGTTTACGAGGGCCATCCGAAGTTTCATGTGCTTCCGACTTTCGGAGTGGTAGTGGCAGCGGCCGCCAAGTTGCCATTCAGAGCGGAGGAGTTTCTCCCTAATTTCAATCCGCACAAGGTCTTGGCCGGAGAGCACTATTTGGAAATCCTACAATACCCTGTGCCAACTGAAGGTTCTCTCGTGGCGACCAGTCGGCTTGTCGAGGTGCTGGATAAGGGCAAGGACGCCATCATCAGACATGAAACCCACATTGTTGACGGCGTGACCGGGAAGCCAGTCTTTTACAGCGAAAAAACGTCCTTCTGCGTTGGCTGTGGCGGCTTCGGCGGACGGCGGAAATCTGGCGCCCACCGTCCAGCCACCGACAGCAACCTCGTCCCTAGTCGTCAGCCCGACAAAGTGCAGCACGAACAGACGTCGCAAGAACAGTCAATCCTATATCGGCTGTTCGGTGATCGGAGTCCCCTGCACATAGACCCTGAGACGGCAATTGCGTCGGGGTATCCCGTACCAATCTTGCACGGCCTCTTGCTGTTTGGCATCGCCGGCAAGCATATATTGAGATCGTATGGCTACTTTCGAGCCATCAAAGTCCGTTTTTCTGGCCCGGCTCTCCCTGGCGAAACCTTGGTCACAGAGATGTGGCGACAAGGCAGCAAGGTCCTCTTCCAGGTGCGGGTAAAAGAGACTGGGAAGCTGTGCATATCAAACGCAGCCGCAGAGTTGGTGTCACAGGATTCGTGTAAGATAGACTCGAGGCTGTGATTTGTATGTTGGTCTGAGGGATAGAATAGAATGCTGAGTGCCGATGTAGGAAGACATGGTGTCTCCGCCTACGCCAGCAAGTGCGCCCCGGCAGTTGATACCGGATAAGGATCAAAGATAAGGCATCTGGGGTTCAAATCCGTCCATGAATCCGAACAGAGATCCTTCCAAAATATCGTCTATTGTCACTACCTCATTTTGAGCGTAGCCTATAGAACTCGGGAAATCTAGGGATGACTGAGTCCCCCCTGGTTGATGTTCTGCAGGAGTGAAGAGCTGGGAGTGCGGCAGGTCCCCCTCAGGATCTGCGGCCGTTAGCAATCTTTCAGTCTGAAACCATTCGGCACGGCTGATTCACGAGATATATACCGCTGGAAGAGGAGAACTCACTCGTTGGAAAGTGCAGAGGGTGGTCGTGAAGAAGCTGACGCATCTTCTTTGTGGGCCATGTGATACATGGACTTGATACAGCCAGTTCATCGAGCATTCCCAAAAGCTCCACAAGCAGCGTCCTGCTATTCAATTCGTCCGTGTAGCCAAGAATTATATCGTTGAAATTGTCGCTTCCCAGGCCAGCATTGATGCTATGAATTGTGCATGCTACGTAACAGGCGTAGCTGGCCAGGTACGGAGCTCCTCGAAGAGTGTAGGTACACCGGTACGCTCTCAGAATACTGGTAATATTTTTAGCGGCAGTGGTACATCTATCCCACGACCAAGTTCGAGTGGATGTGTCAAGATGATGGTCGGTCGCAAAAGGTCGATGGAGGAGGACACACATAGAGTGATATGTTGTGTTGAGAACCATAATCGTCGGTGCAACAGCCTGTGGTGAGGGATTGGATTGCTCTAACCAAGGCTGAAAGGCGAGAAAGGCTGGTAGTTGCGTGTACCAAGATCGGAGGCTTCGATCAAGGTGATGTAATCTGGATTGCCTTTTGGAGGCTGCTGTAGCACCCGGAAGATAGCAGGATTGGATGATCGAGGCCGTCAGCTTGCACAACTGACACAGATTCACAAACGTCGAAACAGAATGGAGAGGCGTAGACAGCTTCTTAGTCCCAAGTCGACTTCCGTTCTGGGTGTGAGGATCAAGATACGGGGTGAAGAGCTCGCGCTCCTCCATAAAGTCCAGGAGCTCGCAAGACACATTCGCGTCCTCGGGGTGGATCATGAACGGCCTTCCCAGATAAAGACTTTGGATCTTGTCGTAGATGAAGGCCGACCAGAACAGCCTCCGCCTTAGTTCGATGTCTTCTACGGTGAGACCATCGACATTACAGTCGAGATGAATCCCTAAGTCATACACCATTCGAATGGCTAACCCCGTAAACAACCAGCTCTTAGAGATCTCGCCCCGAGCTAAAAGTGCCGACCCCAGGAGGAGCAGACCTGCCACGTGTGGAGTAGTAGACTGAGGGAAGGGAGATTCTGCGGTCAACAGGCCTTCACACCTCCTGAAAAACCGGCCACCTGCCGTTCGAGGGTCGGAGGGATCATCCCGCACCTCGTCGCGGTCTGAATATTTGCTCGCAGCGGCGAAAATGGCGTTGGACAGAAATTTTGAGGCATACGGTCCTCCCGTCACCAGATCCCGCGTAAATTTCGGGCGATAGATGGGCAGGAAGGCGTGATGTGGGCGATTCCAATAGAGTTCGAGTAGATGTGTAGCCAGATCGATCGGGACGCCATCAATATCTGGAAGGTTGCCAATGGAATGTTCGAGCTGGCGCTGGAGGGCTGCACTGGCAAAGAGCTGGTTCCGCACCGCCTCCAACGAACGATCTTTTGGTGGCTGGGGCCTGGCGACAGCGTTGTACAGCGTGGAAGTTGGGCCGAAGGTGTTCACTTCACCTGCTTCGTCAATGGAAAGGAATTGAGAGGCCTCGAGGGCTGGTTCGTTGAAGGACTCCTCCTCCTCCTCCTCGTCCTGTTCTGCGCTGGTAGATCTCTCGATCTCCCTTCGCCGCTTCGCTCGAGGTAAAGATCTGTTCAAATATGTTGCCTCATCCTGCTGTCCTTGCGCCACATGTGACAGCTTTGCGGGTTCATCGAGATCAATGCTTTGGAACAAAGATTCTCGCTCCTCCACACTGGAAGTCTTGAGGCGCAGGAGCACTCTTTCGAGAGTTTCCTTCTCATCCCTAAGCGAATCGATGAGTGCTCTTGATGGTCTTGGCTTGGAAGGCTCGTCAGTATAGACACATTCTCGACAATGCGATTCGCAAGAGCTGCATGTCGGTCTGGCCATGTTACACTTCGTCTTGCCAGCTCGGCAAGCCAGACAAGCGCGGGGGCGGGATGGGCGACCTCGGCGTAGGACTCTGTTGTTGGATCCATGTGGGGAATACGATGTCAGATCCATGTATGGCAGTGCCTCATCAATGGCAACAAGGGCAGGAGAAAGATAGGAATCATCAGATGGGATTGAGGAGAGCCTTGGGGTGTGTAATTGTGTAATTGTGGGATGGCTGAATACCTACCTAGGTAGCCAAGATCACAGAGCGCTGTTAAACAAAGTCGTAGGCCCTTGCCGCCTGGAGTCTGGGGGCTAAGTTGGAGAAACACAGGCGGTAACCCGCCTGGAGATGCGGAGAAGCGCCCATTTAGCAGTCGTCAGCCTCGGAAGCCCGCCGTGCCCTCCTGCTGGTAACTGAGGATATTAACAAATTTCGCGCATCTCCTGCACTTGTTTTCCTTTTTTCGTCTGCATCGGCCTGATTGATACAGATGGCGCTAATCTAGAAACAGAGTTGATCTTCCTACATTACCTACATACGAAGTGCCGCCGCCAAGTTCTATCACCTTACTTAGCTCCTTGTTTTATAATATCGCGAGGTCAAAGTGCCCAGAGCCTTGACGCGAGAAGGGTCATCGACCTTCCCCACCGTGATGGAGATAGACGACCTTCATAATTGGCTGTTGAACTAAACCTCTAACTACCTAAATTTACTTAAATCTCTTACCCAGTTCTACCTTCTAGGCACTGCATGGTCAACCAGTGCCAAGAGCAATACCAAGAAGAAAGGCGCCAAACGGACGGAAGGGGAGATTGGGGCTAATTAATACCCTGTTCGACTTTCGCGTTCCTTCCTGTCCCCTCGTCCTACTTACCATCGAGCTTCCAGCCTTGGATCCTTTAATATGGTGATGAAAGCCCTCTGTCGGTGCGCAAGAACTGCGGCCTTCCGTGATTGAACCAGCAACGCCTCAAATAAACGACATTCCTTGCTGGACGATGAGTGTGGCGTGTGGACGCGAGAACTGAGGTAAACCCACACCATCCTTGCAAACGATGGGTATCAAGCTTTTAGGTACCTAGGTAGGTACAGCACAGTGGGAGTATTCATACCTCTTGTGGAATAACCCAATCAAGAGGTGGAGAAAATCAAATGAGGTGGCTTAACCGGCAAACTGGAAAAGCCGCTAGAATACTTCAAAAGTGGATTGTCTCGCGTGCGAAGATACTTCCGTGGTGCTTTTCCTATTATATTGCTCCTGCTCTTCTACAACTTCTCTCGAATCTTTCCTGTGACAATGTTATTTGGTCTCCTACGTCTAAAGACCATCCACTCTTTTTACTGGCGTTTGTCACTGTCCATTCATTTTTTGATTTCAGTGTTCTCAGGATGAAGATTGCCGTCTGGGGTACCGCCGTTGCGGCTACTATTGGCGTTTGCCATAGCCAAACATGGGACGATTCGCATGACCTTGACGACGCCGTGACGACCACCATCACAAATACTCATTATGTCTGCCCATGCGCTACTGGCTTCGCTACGGCTCCTTGGAACTCCTACCCAACTTCATATACATCAGGCGAAGCTGAGCTTCAATGGCAAAATACGGCACCACCTCAGGGTCCTCATGCAGCATATCCTACAAGCATTCGGTCAGTCTGGATCGATTGGTCACCTAACGGTTCGCTCGTTGCCTGGGTGTCCGGTTATTCAAGGACTAAGACACTCTCAAAGTCCCATTCTTCGACCTCCACACCAACTCACTCCCATAGTTCTTTCTCTTGGCCTTCAAGCAGTCCTGGGAGACACTTCTCTACATACTCTGTGCCATCGTCGACAAGTACAAGCTCTTCAAGTACAAGCTCTCCAACCACAAGCTCTCCAACCACCAGCTCTCCAACCACCAGCTCTCCAACCACAAGCTCTTCAACCACAAGCTCTTCGGCCACAAGCTCTTCGACCACAAGCTCTTCAACCACAAGCTCTTCAACCGAATCCACAACTACAACCGAAACGTTATCCTCTACGACAACCACTACTACCACGACTACTACTACAACTGCTACTACAACGACCACCCCCACCACGACTACTACAACAGTAAGCTCAGAAAGAATAAAACTTATGATAAATCCGTGCTAATATTACTTCAGACAACGACCTCCAGCTCCACAACAAGTCCTCCACCCTCATGCGTGAGCGCCGCCTTTGCTTGCAATCCTAGCAGCGACACCTGCTGCTCAGGTACCTGCAACAGCAATAACTATCTCGGCTCCAACATCTGCTGTAATGCATCTAATGCAAGCTGCAGCCTCTTAAACCCCGCCGCCTGCTGTAGTGGTACATGTGTTAGCAATGATGGGACCCTGGAAAATGGACACTGTTTATAAATCTAGGCCAGAACTCTTGTGAATTATGGTGCATTTGTGGTAGTATTTGGACATCTGAAGATCCATCATTGGATCATTACATGCTTTTGTTAAAGCTGTGGTTAACGCTGGAGGTCCCTAATTAGAGCTGAAAGATTGGATTCGTCCTGGGATGAAGAGTCGGTTGAGAAATAGATTATCCACTTGGCATTGTCGACGAATCCACATATCTTAGGTCAATGTTAAGCAGAGAAAACGAACATTCTAACTCCTGTTCTCCATTCGAGAAAGTCATTAGTGAATGAGGGATAATATGTGCCACCTCTAATGTTGCAAATATATTATTTTCATCTCTCATTGGAATTCCCTCATCGTCTTGTGCCCGCTGAGTACCATCTTCGAAACTACAGCTATGGCTCGGCGTCTTTCCCGTGCTTTTGAGCAATTATTAAGATCGTCGGTTGCACTCAATTCCACTGAATTTCCAAAGGACAATACGCAATGTTCACAATTGGATGAAGACGCCTGCATCGTGGCATGTGGAACTCTGAAATTCCAAACTACCCAAGCTGTGTACCGAGAATCTCTCCAGCGCGAGCATCAAGAGAAGAGATACGTTTTCCTCCTGAGCATTATGGTCGTCGCCTTCAGGACATGCACAATCGGTTGCACTGTATATGCTGAGCGTGAAATCGATCGGTGTGTGTCACTTTGCAGTCCCCTGGTTGCGGAGTTTGCTATAGCTGTTATCTCGTGTCTCCTCACAGGGGCCAAGCGCAGTTCACCATGTGCGAATTTGGGTCTCGAGCTGCAGTCGTTCTCCTCTCAAAAGCATACTGACTTATCTCAACCCTGATATGCTGGCGTCAGCAGATAGGAAAAGAGAAGCTCACGGAATCCGAAACGCACTCCGGCTCCGACCACTGATCATTACCGTGACTGGCCCAGATTGGGTCGTATATACTTTCACTCCCCTCATATCTGGGGAAACACTTTTGTTGTGCTGGTAGACATCTTCCCACAGTTTCTCCCATTCCCAGTCATGGAGAAAACAGTTGCAGAGCCGGTCTTCGCTGATATGAAGGACAACGACAGCGAGCGAGTTGAGGAGCACGGAGACATACTTACAGGCGAACTCAGGCTCAACCATGGAGGTCGAGGTGCTACTCACCGAGGCCTACGCAACTACCAGGTCAACATGATTGGCTTCTGCGGTGGTATAGGCGTCGGTCTCTTTGTCGGCACTGGAGCAGCTTATGCGAAAGCCGGGCCGGCAGGTCTCTTCCTCGCATACGCTATCGTTGGTTCGGTACTGTGGTGCACAATTCAGAGTATTGCAGAAATCGCAGCACTGTTCCCGGTGGCTGGAAGCTTTCCTCATTGGGCTACAAGATTCATCGACCCAGCCGTTGGTTTCTCTCTTGCACTGTCCTACGGCTATTGTCGAATGATTTCAATTGCCTCCGAGGTCTCAGCAGCGGCTATTGTTGTCTCGTACTGGACCGACATCACCCCTGCCGTGGTCATCTCTGTCGGACTGGCTCTAATTCTTGCAGTCAATCTGATGCCCGTCCGCTGGTACGGTGAGACCGAAGTCTTCGGTGGTGCCGTCAAGGTCACTTGTTTTATTGGACTCATCTTCACCGCGATCGTTATTACTGCCGGCGGCACCGGGAAACCTGCAATTGGATTTCGATACTGGAATAACCCTGGCCCATGGACCGACTATGCTGGTATTACTGGACCTACTGGTCACTTCCTCGGCTTCTTGTCTGCCTTTGTTAATGCAGCATTCAGCTTCATCGGTGTCGAAACCTTCATCGTCGCCTCCGCTGAGTCTGTCAACCCTCACAGAGCCATCCCGAGATCTGCTCGCAACGTCAGCATCCGCATTGCCTTCTTCTATATTACTGGGGCTTTCCTAATCGGTCTCATTGTCGACCCAAGGAACCCCGCTCTTATCTCGGGCAGTGGCAATGCCAACAGTTCTCCATGGGTCATCGCCATCAAAGAGGCTGGCATTACTGCTTTGCCGTCCATCGTCAATGCCTGTATTCTGATCTCTGCTTGGTCTGCTGGCAACTCATATTGTTGGGTCGGGAGTCGAATGCTCGTGGCTATGACTACCGATCGACAGCTTCCTCAGATTTTCGGCCGAGTGAACGCTAGGGGAGTGCCCTATTTAGCTGTGGTTGTTGCATGGCTATTTGGACCTCTTGCTTATCTCAGTATGTCACCGTGATCCAATGCGTGATTCCGCTAACGACGGCAGGTCTTGGTAGTGGTGGCGCATCTGTGGCGTTTGGATGGTTCCAGAACCTTTCCACTCTTGCTGGTCTCATTACCTGGGCAGTGATGTGTTTCACCTACATCCGCTTTTACGCCGCGGTCAAGGCTCAAGGCCTTGATAGGTCAACCTTCCCAATGAAGTCCATGTTCCAGCCCTTCCTCGCATGGTGGGGATTCATCGGTGCTTCGGTTATTGCACTCATCACCGGATTCCCAGTATTCCTGAAAGGCCATTGGAATACCTCAGACTTCATTGCATCGTACATTGGCATTCCGATATTCTTCGTGCCTCTGTTTGCCTGGAAGTTCAGCAACAAAACAAAGGTCGGTACCGTTGAAACACCTTATGTGGCATGCGCTGATAAAGTATAGTGGGTTCGAGCATCTGAGGTTGATCTTTGGGTTGGACGTCTAGTGGAAGGCGAGATCGTCGATTCGCCTCGGCCTACGAGTCGCTTTGGCCGGCTCGTTGAAAGGATTATCTAGAGTCCGTGCTTCTGTCTTGACGGGCGTTTCTGGAATTCGTCTGTTGACAGGTCAGAGATGCATGCGTGAAAGATGTATGCCTGTACATTCTTGCTTGCATATAGCATTAAATAAATTACGTGATGTCCAGCAATTTGATAACTACCCGTTCAACCCTGCAACAGTGAATGCTCTGCGGTCAATGCGACTGACATGTCAGGTGCTCAACTCGAGCGCTATGGTCGTTCACCGGGCGTAGAAGTAGGCATAAGTCACACGATCAGCCTTGATTCGCCCCAGGTGAGGTCACGCAATGCTGATCAACGGAGCTGCAACTCTACGCCGTGGAAGTGGGATGGCACCGGATTCCGGAATACTTTTTCATTCCGTACCTGGGGCAGTAAGCGTCTGCTTTCTCCGGACAGGAATCGTACTATACAAAGACCATCAAAGCTTACAATGACAGTCGGACGTTGTAGACGAATTCGCAAAGACATCTTCAACCATGAAGCCATCCGGACAGATCGTTATCGTCGGCGCTGGGGTTTTCGGCTTGACGACAGCTCTGCAACTGGCGAGGAAAGGACACGAACACATAGTTGTTCTGGACCGCCATACTCCACCTGCAAGTGCTATACCTGTGTAAAGTGTTGATACTAACGATGGACAGGTACCCGATGGATCAAGTTGCGACATCTCTCGCGTCGTCCGCTTCGATTATGCGGACAATGACTATGTGAGGATTGCACACGAAGCGTATCTGAAATGGTCGCGGGAGCCTCGATATAAAGGCATCTTCTATCCAGCAACCTACATCCTGGCTATGGACAAGACCAAGTCAGGAGGAGCTTGGCTGAACGATGTCAAGACCGCCTTGGCTCGAGAGCAGTTGCCGATCGAGGCTCTTGAAACTGCAGCGAAGGCCAAAAAGCTCAATCCAACCTTGAGTGGCGACCTAGCCGACAATTTCACGGGCTATCAGAATCGTCAGGCAGGGTGGGTTGACGCAAGCAAGGCGGTGACTCAGCTACGTGATGACTGCATTGAAGCCGGGGTCTCTTTCATCTGCGGCGCAGCTGGGACTGTGAGAGGATTTAACACTGATCCGCAGGGACGTGTTCGCAGCATTCGTTCCTTGGCCAACACCACAGTCAGTGGCGATTTCTTCATCCTCGCTGCTGGAGCGTGGACTGCATCTTTGGTGCCAATGTACAACTCGACGCTTTCAACGGCACAAGTTTTAGGCTATGTGCACCTCAGCGATGAGGAGATACACGCGCTCAAGGATTTGCCCATATATACTAGCTTCTCGACAGGATGGTTCAACTTCCCTCCACATGAAGATACAAGGACACTCAAAATGGCTGTCCACGGCTGGGGATACACCAGAAAGCCGAGTGCCGAAGAGATCAGTGGTGACCACGTCAATCACTCTGCGCCAGTCACTCGTCCGCAGAGAAGCAGACCTAATTTCGTCCCCAAGGATGGTGAAGAGCGACTACGACAAGGGTTAAAGGAGATTCTGCCTGAATTTGCAGACCGACCATTCGAAAAATTGGCCATGTGCTGGTACACAGATACGCCAACAGGGGATTTCATTATGGATCTGCATCCGGATTATTCCAACGTCTTCGTTGCAACTGGAGGCAGCGGACAGTGAGTCGTTGCACTTCGTATGAGACTTGACACGGCTGACCCAAAAACAGCGCATTCAAGTTCTTACCTGTTCTTGGACAGTATATAGTGAAGGCTATGAAGAAACAACTGCCACCTGAGCTGGCGCAGAAGTGGCGGTTTCGTACTGAGTACAAGCAGGAAAGTGGCTTCAAAGGAGATGGAAGTCGAGCAGGTCCGGCACGGCGAGAGCTTCGATCTGAGGAGCGAGCGAGGCTTTGATCAACCAGACATGTGTATGCAAGACAATAGAGGAGCGTGCTGCAGCGCGTGTATGGTAGAACTTCAGGGCCGTCCGTGACCCGGATGGTCCACCACCACTGAAAGTTGGAAAAGCGTCCTTGTCTCTCTTCAGCAAGGTGTATGTGATACACATCGTGGGCGCTTCTATACCCGAGTTGGAAAGCGACAAGTGCCCTGGTGAAAAAATAGTTGTCACGTGTTGCTCCAAGTACCGCCCGGAATTCCGCCCAAATTCCATGCCCAACCCCCAAATCATAAATCATCCGAGAAGCTCGGAAATCAAAGACTTCTCCGTCTTCCTTGAATCCCCTTCCGGCACCGACAACGTTTTCGGAGCGACCACCCTCCCAATGCAGGCTGGGCCGAGCACACGGACACCCAAGGATCGCCAGGCTTGTGAACCATGCCGGTCAGTTACCCTTGTATGCCGCTGGAACGGCGACTGAGCAACGCTAGGCGGAAGAAGATCAAGTGCAATGGGGAGCGGCCGGTCTGCTCGCATTGCCTGCAGTCTGAGCAGCAGTGCTTGTACCTTCCCAGGGAAGCACCCAGGACTGTCATTGGCAGCAGGTACATTGACATCTCGCTCCCACGGTTCGTGCAAATGGTAACATTCCCCAGGAAATCCTCCAAGGATAGGGTCCATCGTTTAGAAGAACAGATAGGAGACCTGTACAGGATCGTCCAGTACGGAGCGTTTCCCGTAAATGAGGGCCTTGTCCCCAACTAACAACTCAAGCAGGACGCTGTCGGATAGGTCTCCACCGCAGGGATCAGTCCAGATAAGCCCTGGCATTGGTACTTCGGCTGCAAGTCACGAAGAAAGCAGTCCCTGTGAAGACCTATCAATGGGGCATGGCCACACGTTCTCACCATCAAGGTCGGTCGCCACCATCCTGACTGGACTTTGCTAAGACCTCCGAGTCCAGAGCCGCCGAGTCATGTGCTTGAACATTTCGTGAACGTTTACGTCGAGAAGGTCCATGTTCAACCACTACCGTTGTTCGATTCAGAAAGGCTCCTCGACCACTTGTCTGCAAGTCCTCGTTATCTGCTATGGAGCTTCATGGCGGTCGTCCTGCATTTTGAGACGCATCCTTTCTACAGCGACAACGAAGCACAAGCCGTCTCCTTCTATACCCGTTCTGCAAGTGACTCCAGCACCAAGTTTGCGGCGGATGGAATAGCTAGAACGGAAGTGCTGCAGGCGACCTGCCTGTTAGCAATGAGAAACATCCTCTGTACGTACATGGTCGACACTGAAGACGGAATTGCCACTGACCAGCAGCATTCAGCGGGCCAATTGGACAAAGCTTGGATGATGATTGGCTCTGCAGGACGACTGTTTCTACTTCGCAAGCAGACTATAGCTGAAGTTGATCGTTTGCTTGAGGAAGACCTGTCGCGCTGCTTTTGGAGCATCTATCTTCTTGAACGCACCTTCAGCAGCAACGCTGTCCAGCTCTCCGACACGAATAGTCCCAGGCGACCTCCAAGCGCGTGCCTGCCACCAACTATTGCTTCAACCGGCAATGGGACCCATTCTCCTGATTTTCTGGATGACAACAATCCTGTCAGAGACCTCGGCATCAACTACTACTACCTCGATCTGGCAGGAGTCTGGGGCAAACTTCTCATCCATTTGCAAGAGCTCCGGAACGGCAAGGTCGAAGAGTCTTGGACCTCCGAGTCGACGTATGCAAGGCTCCAGGTTGCACTATACGAACGCGACACTCGGCTCTGCACGAAACATCTGCTCCGCCACACAAATTTCGGTTCCCGCACCAAAGAGGAGCTCTCCGCCCACCGACAGTACTGGCACCCTTGGCTTGCCATGCAATTGTTCTCTCACGCAATTCCCGCCATACTCAACCACCCCTTCATTCATCTGAGTGCGTTGCGAGACGGTCCTGGCGGTGCAGCACGATCACGCTTCTTTCTACAGCAGACGGTCGACACAGCTTTGCTCCACTCTGCGTGGGTTGCGCGCTTGCTGCAGATGTGCGACGAGCTTGGTTTCGAGATCCACAGTCCCCTCATTGGCGATGTCGTTGCATCCACAGCCACGGTGGCCTGGTTGTTCCAGTTTACAGGAGATGCCAAAACAAGGACCACGGCGATGGAAAATTTCAAGACGTTCCAGACCGTGCTGTCTCGCTTGTCGGTCTCATGGCCGAACCTATCTACCAAGGTGAGTCTACACATCCCCCGGTTTGAAGCGCGGCGCGGCCCTGAAACTAAGGGTGAAGGTCGAACTCCTTCGCGCCCTGCAAACGATAAGCGATGAGAAAGCCCGCGAAAGCACGGAATCATCGAGATCCATTTCTTTCCCACCAATGATCCTCTGGGACATTCTGGCTCCGCTGCCTGGACAGGACACCATGGGAGCGGTGACACAGACTCGAGATACGACACAGCGCGAGCATACAGTGGACACCAGGCTACGTGTGCGAACGCAGTATACGCATCCTCTGACAGAAAACCGCGCAGCAGCAGCAGCAGCACCTGCTGTTGTCGCCGACAGCTTTGCCGAAGATGTCGCCGTGCCTGGCACACAGATTGTTGAACTTGCAGAGCTGTCGATCAACGACCTGCTCACGCAGTTCCCGGAACAGGATTTTTTCTATCCTGGCTACAATCAGAGCACCATGTGAGAGACATACATTATGGCGAACTAGCCATTGGTGAGGACAAAAAATTCGTACTCTCTGTAGATCCGTCAAGAGAGGCACAAGAGAAGCCCGATTGTTTTTATATGGCGAAATGATTTCCTAAAGCACAAATCCATCTTGAGAGACTTACCTCAGGCCCTGATAGAATTCCTGCAAGTGGTCAGTGGGGGCGAGCCAGAGCGCCACAACCTCATGTAGTCTCAGGGCGTGTGCCCGTCGGAATCCGGAGTTCTGAAGGTCTCCGATCAATATTTTAGCAAGACGTATAGTTCGCGTGCCCAAACCATATATTATTTTGATTACCACTCTAGTAAAAAAGGTGGCAACACCGACACCCAAGGTCCAAACTTTGATGAACCTGAGAGATGGCAGTTCCAGCTGTGCTTGTGGTCGGCGGGGGGGCTTTTGGTACGTCGACCGCATATCACTTGTCTATGCGAGGCTACACTAGAGTCAAAGTGCTGGATAGGTTTGCGGCCCCGTCCAAAGATGCTGCCGCCACAGATTTGAACAAGATCATTCGCTATGACTATCCAAACCCTCTGTACACGAAGCTGGGCCTGGAAGCCATGGCGGTGTGGAACAGCCCAAATCACCTGTTGTCGGGCATGTTTCGCCATACTGGTTGGCTCATGGGAGCACATGGGATGACGCAGGACTTTCTCCGGTCCGCGTATGAGTCGAGCCAAAAGGCTGGCTTGGATGGGGTTCGATACATGGACGTGAGCGAGATCAAGCAAAGGTGGCCCCAGTTTACGGGTGATTTCAACGGCTGGACGAATCTGTGGAGCCCGGAAGCAGGATGGGCATATGGCAATCGCCTTCCTCCAAGTGTTTTGTCTAACTCTTGCTAGGTTCCCTCTGGTCAAGCACTCCTTCGACTGGCAAATGCGGTTCAAGCAAATGGCGTCGAGTACGTTTCCGGCGACCGCGGATGGGTGCAACGATTGCTGTACGATGATGGCGGCGCGTGCATTGGCGCTCTGACCAAGAATGGCGAAACACATCTGGCGGATATTGTCGTGCTATGTACTGGTGCTAATACTGCAGCCCTGATTGAGGCAAAAGACGAAATCATTGCTCGGTCGCATTGCGTTGGTATCATTCAACTCACGCCGCAAGAAGCAGAAAAGTACAGGAGCTTGCCAATAGTCGATGACTTCGAACAAGGTACGATTCTGAGACACAGTTCTTCGCCCCCTCCTTATTGACATTCAGCAGGAATTTTGTTCCCACCTGACGAAAACAATCTGCTGAAGCTCTGCAGCTGCCGCTTCATCACCAACTACTGCAACTCGAGGATTGCAGGAGCGTCACTGGGTCATTCACACGAAGACTTCCCCGAGGATGGCGTCCCGAGGCAGATCGAGGAGGAGATGCGCGAGTTCGTGCGTGACCAGATTCCCGAGCTTGCTGATCGTGAATGGGTGTCGACAAGAATGTGCTGGGATGGAGATACCAAGGACATCAACTTCCGAATCTGTCCATCGCCGACGAATGCAAATCTATTCATTGCCACCGCAGGGTCAGGTCATGGATTCAAATTCATGCCCATCATCGGCAAGTATGTGGCCGACATGATCGAAGGTAAATTGGACGCCGAATACGCGGAGTTGTGGAAGTGGCGGTTTGGGGCAGCACCTGTGAAGACGGGAAAAGAGCCTCATCCATGGCCAGCTCGTGATCTTGGTGAGCTCGACGGTTGGAAAGGGAGGAATCGACGGTCCATCACTCAGGACAGAAGAGCTCGATTATAGAAGCTAAGCTGGTCTGAATGTCTTTATGGGAATTGAGATTTCTCCCGGTCAAGATGAAACTCGAAATCGAGCTGACATGGTCGCATCGGCCCTGTGGATAGTATCAATCTAAGCGTAGCGGCTTGCTTTCGACTCGGGTTGCCGACGTCTGGGATATCACCTGGCGTACCTAGTAGTAATGCAAGGAAGCATAAGGTTCCCTCTCGGCTGGCGGGTGATCGACCAGAGTCTCGCTGTTAGGCCCTGGCAGTCACAACACACCTAGCCAGCACCTATATCTACCACTGTTAGACACTTCCGAGGTACACCTTTACCATCCACCACGGGACACCCAGGGACACCTTCAACTGTACAACTGATTGCAGCACAAAGGAATACTCTGAAAGACTGGAAATATCAGGCTATGCTTCGGCTTACGATAGAATGCTTTGTCAAATTCTCGAAAAATCCTACGAAAAATCGACCAAAACATGGACCATCAGCCTCAGGGCATGTACCGAGTCGTATGATCTACACTTCTGTAACCCCTTTTCTGAGGAAGACGAAGAAGAGTTGACTTGGTTCTTCGAAGAATATACCAAGTTTCCTCTCCTCGGCTCTGCCAGAGCTGCCAGACTGGTTGAAAAGCTAGAAGACTACGGAAAATCGCTTTTTCGGCAAACAATAGGTGCCATCCCGCACAGCAACATTGCGAGGAAGTATCAAGAGTTGAGAGATAAACAAAATCTGAGTGATATAAGTATTGAAATCGTGGGCTCGCCGGCCTTTCATTGTTTGCATTGGGAGGTTATCAGAGACCATGATTCAAGCTCCAATAGCAAGCCCCTGGCTCTCGATATTGATATTGCCCGCCGGCCGTCTATACGTGTGCAGCTGGAGCCGCATCCCGAGAAACCATCAAAAGAAGGCGAAGCGTGTTTTTACAACCTACCATCAAGACAGCTTCGTGTTCTTGCTGTGGTTGCGCGTCCATCTGGCACACAAGATGCTGGGCTGCGGGTGATTTCAAAGCCGCTTTTGAGAGCGATCTCTTCTCCCGAATCAGGCGATTCACTGATTGGCCAGTTGGATGTTGTTCGGCCGGGAACGTTTGAGGAGTTCCAACAGAGGCTTGGAGAAGCCAAAAAGAAGGGATTACAGTTTGACGTGGTACATTTTGACATGCATGGATCTCTTAGGCCTGACACCAAGGAGTGAGTGTCCAAATTGATTTACTTAACTGGAACTGACTTCTGGTTTCAAGAGCAGTACTTTCATTTCAGGCTAAAAATGGCCATGGGGGCAACGATGTGCCCGGAAGTGTTATCGCTTCGGCACTGGGGCCTTACAACATTCCAGTAGTGATCCTTAACGCGTGCAGCTCTGGGCGGGAGACGGGACAAGGGAACAGCAGCATTGGCAGCGTCTTCGCAAGTTCGGGTGTGCCATTCGTTGTTGCTATGCGTTACGATGTCCCCATCCTAACGGCAGTAACAATAACAGATTGTCTGTATCAGCATATTGTTCGAAAAAAATCTCTGTCTGGCTTATTGCCCGCGGTCAGAGCGTCATTATTCCACGGGAACCCGCTCAAAGACATTCACAGTCCCAAATCGTCGTCTCTCGACTGGCTTATTCCAGTTACCTATATAGGACAGTCTCCGTGGCTTAGTGTGGTACCGCAAGAACATGAATCCAGCGAGCAATCTAAGAATGCACTAAGGAAGGCATTTTCTGGACATGCTGGCAGTGCCAGTGATGCACTCTTTGTCGGACGGGAAGATGATATTTTGAAAATTGAAACTATTCTCAATGACGAAGAGAGCCCGAAGTCTGTGAACTTATATGGCCTACGGGGGATTGGCAAAAGCGCACTGGTTGCTCATCTCGCCGCCTGGTGGTCTGTTACTGGTTTTGTCACGAAAGTTCTCTGGTTCGCTGGATCACATCAATATCTGCCTGCGCAAAGAATTCTCGAAATGGCTGCACATCAACTTGGGTTTCAAGGGACAGCTGGGGAAATTTCCCTCCAAAATCAAGAATTCACGCAGTTCCTTGGGCGATCGATGACCTCAGAACAATGTCTTGTAATCTTCAAGGATATGGCTATTCCTCGGAAGACAAGAGAACAGGCTGAGTCGCAAGCAGAAGCACAGCAGTTGCATACGGTTCTCACCATGCTCGATAATAACGCCAAGTTCATTTTGATCGAACAACGTGAACCTGATTGGCCTCTGCCATCAACATCTTATCAGCTACTCGGGCTGAGTGATTTGGAAGTACTTCAGCTTGCCTCCCTCCTGGTCGGACGCCACCATTCGAAAATGTGGGACCCTGACGAGGCAAAGTCATTGATTAAAATGTGCTCTGGGGTTCCTGCGGCTGTGAAATTCACGACGACGAGATTTGCAACCAAAAAATCTTTGAAAGATAAACTGGTGGTTTTTGAGCCGTGGAGGCACACAGAAGAATTGCCTGAGTTGCAAAATGCTAGTAGCACTTTCTTTGCAGAGGCAGAGTTTGAGTGGGAGTCTGTTACAGAGTCCCAAAAGAGATTTCTGTCGTTCTTTCACCTATTGGCAACAGGAATCAATCGACAAACGCTGAAGGAATTGGCGCAAAGAGAGTCACTGGAGTCTCAACCAGCAAATCCTGAATGTGAGGCATTTGAGGATCTATTGAGTATGCTCGCTTCTGCTGGCTTTCTCACCGCTGAAACATTATCTGGTTCAGCTTCACAGACGGGCGCAAGTCAGTTTTTAAGACTACACCCATTGCTTACGCCGATGATGAGGTACAAACTTGCTCTGACAGCCTCTGATTCGGCAGCGGTGGAGTCCATATTTGTTGAAATTTTCTGCGCCAGAGCACGAAAATACACCGAATCTTTGCGGAGGGTGAAGGACCGTCAGCGCCTCGAGAATTTCAAATCTCTACAGCAAGATGCTGATAATTTACACACAGCCATGAATCTTGCACTCCGTCACCGAAAGGTCCCCGAAGCGTTTGCGATATATGATTTACTCAACTTGTATCATCAAGAAGGAAAGACACCAAGTGACGGGGCCTCGATTTGTGAATCGTTTCTCGGTCAGCTCTCTGCGGTAGGGATCCAGCCGCCAAGTCCAGTACATGTGTCAATTTTGCTTGATCGAGGACGCATGTTATGCTCGTCTCACAACATCAATCAAGCTTTCGACGAAGCCAAAGCGTGCTACAAGGAAGCCACCGAAATGTTGGGCAAAGTGGATTCCGATGGAACATTTCGACTGCTAAGTCTTCAAATATCGGACTCCTTTGGCGGTGTCGCCTTTCAAGAACAGCGATACGACGAAGCTATACAACATTACAGCAATGGTCTCGAGCAGACTAGGGAACAAGAGAACCCAAGCCCAGGATATCAAGCAATGCAGACCAGATTCTTGCTCTGTCTAGGTTTTTGTAACATTTGCCTTGGAAGGGAATACTATGATGTCGGATTGGACTATCTTCGACAGGCCAGAGAAGGTGCTGTTGTCCGCAATGATGCCCAATCTGTAGCGGACATTGATGCACTAATGTACCTTCTCAGTGAAGGAGATCAGGCAACGCGCGAAAAGAGGTTCAAACATGCGAGGGCACACTTTCTCAGGGGTAATGACCTATCCCGCTTTCTGGGCACGTTGAGCTTTCCTGCAACGGTCACTGCAACCGAGACAGAACGTGGTGTTACGCTGTACAACACATCAGTGCTTACTCATGGTCTTAGGAAAGCCCAATGGACTGAAAATAAAAAGGCAGAGCTGGAGACATTAATTCTACTGGCAAGCAACGAAATCAACCTGGACAACCGAGAGGAAGCCAAGAGTCTGTGTGAGCGTGTGCTGCAGCTTTGCGAGTCTGCAACTTTAGAGAACGCCCCTTTTCGAGTACACGCCATGCGTATGCTAGGATGTGTCGCTTTGGAGACTGACCATTTTGATGAAGCCCTGGAATACTTCGAAGAAGGTATTGGCATTCTTTCCAAGCTACCAGAGATCAGCGGGCTCCAACGTCAAGCGGACGTGCTCAGAAAGTTCCGCGGCTTTGCTAAGTCACGGTTCAATCCCCTGACGGCCATTTAAACAGGGTGTCTCTGTGTGGACTTACGACAGGCTGTTTTCGCTTGCCAAAGGCTGCATTTGAGGACTGCGATGAAGCCACCATTGCGTTCGGCAAAAGACTTCCCCCAAAGGAACCGCTGCGTTTTGCTACACTTGTATGTCTTGCTGCACGAAGTGGAGATATAGAATCCCGATATTGACGATGTCGCTGGGTCTTTGCAATAACAAACGCTAGAGCCCATTACGCGGATTCACTCTCACAAAGTGGCACAAGGAGACTTGCCGAGGCCCGACTGCAATCCTCAGGACCCAGGTCGAGGCATTGGTAACGGACGGGGTCAGCTCAGCCTGCGCGATGTGTTGCTAGCGAAGTCGAATGCGCCATAGAGGGGCCAGGTGCATGGGAGGGCTAAAAACGGGTCCCTCGAAAGTGCAGAGAAGTCCGCGAAGATCGAGGATTAGAAAGCAAATCAAGGCACACTCGAAGAGATGAGGCAGATTTTGATGGAGCCGGAAGGGATAGTCGAGCGGAGCCCGAAGCAGTCAGGGAGAATTTCGGCCACCAGGCGAACTTGGAAGGGCCTGGGAAGAGATTCGCCGATTCGAGGCCCGACGCGCCAGGGGGAGGATCCAGGCGACATTGTAGGGAAGTATGAAAAGAGGTGAGAAGGGGGAAAAAGCGTGGAAGAGAGAGGGAGAGAGAGATGTGGGTGGTGAGAAGGGATACATAGTTCTTATAGCCGTCAAAAGCGGCGGTCCGCTTAGTCAGTGATCATGCCTGAAGTGTTAGGTCTGCCAGACCGAAGGCGGGTTTCCGGCAACGACTTACTGTCTTAGTCTCCGCACTCGGCATGCCGTCCCATGGCGATGACTCGTGCGCCCATAGCGACCGCGACGGCCACTCCAGCGCCGCCGAATGCTCCGGTAGCGGGATATACTATTACAGTCTCGCCCGGCTCGAGTCCGATGTCCCTGAAGCCGCCGTACGGCACCAGCAACTGACTCAGATAAGCCAAATCCGCGGCGCTGTACCAGAGCTGCTTACAGAGGCGATCCTCGTTGAGCGGGATCAAGTTCTCAAGCGGGAAGTGCGCGTCCTCGGCAAACGTGCCGTTGCGCCATACGTCTTTGCTTAGCTTGCGGCTTCCAGCGGTGCCGCCGTCGTGGATTGCGCACATAAAGAGGGCATCTGGACCATCGCGTGCACGGATGACGCAGTCGACCCAGACAAGCTGGCCAGGTCCGAGAGCCGTGGCATCGTTGTCTCCATTCTAGTCAGAGTTACGCGTGCTGCATTGCACTCCGCGAACCCTTGTCGATAATTGATTAGCGCGTTCGTAATGTCAATGCACCGCGCGCAAACAGAAGGCAGCCACGATGGAATGGCATTACAATACGCGCAAAAATACGCACCAAAATACCGCTCCTGCAATGCAATGCGGTTCAATAATACTACGTAGGATGTTTTGGCCTTCCCAAAAAGGCGTACGGTCACCAAGTCGAGGATCTTATGCGAGCAGGCGTTTGTTCTGTCCTGCGTTCAAGACCGCATTCCGGGCGACTTTCACGGAACAAAATATCAAGGCAGGTTTCCGAAGGGCAGGTCTTGCTCCATTCGATCCTAACGGTGTAATTTCTAAGCTCGATGTCAAGCTACATACTTCAACACCCCCAGGATCCTCGGCAGGACTACCTTCGATATGGGAGTCGAAGACCCCACAAAACGCGACTGAAGCGACGTTGCGGACAGAGCTCATCAAAAATCGTATCGCACGCCATTGGAACAGCTCACCGACTTCGACTTATACTGGGATTGATCAGATTGCGAAGGGTGCACAGTAGGTAATCCACCGACGCGGCGAGATCTCCTCAGTTCGAAAGGTAAATGAGGCATTTAGTAAACCTCTGATGGCTAAAAAGACCCGAACTAGACAAGGAGGATCACTCTCTCTCTTAGACGCACAGGATATCATTGATGAGAAAGACGTGGTTGCGCAAACAGAAAAGGAAACGCGCGAAAATAGTGGCCGGTGGACGAGGACGGAGACGAGAGAAAGGCGATGTGAACGGTGCGGGAATCCTGGACACAATACACAAACCTGTCAGGGGGATCATGATACCATTTCCGAAGAAGAATCCGAGTATTTCAACGTGTTTATAAGCGCTGCGGCTGAGGTATCGAAGAATTCTTTTGAGAGGGTAAGAAAAGGGGCGACTCGGTTGTGGGGACGACTCGGTTGTGAACTACGTTAGCTACATAGCGTACTAAACACCCGTCTGTATTTGTCAGATCTGCGACCCAAGTGTCTCCAAAATGGAGAGGCACTTATTCGACATGGCTGTTTGGCACGATATGAGATATGACCTTCCCATCTGCTCCCAAGCCGAGGTACTTGTGGGCCAAAGCTCGGAGAAGAGATCTCGCCGAAACTTTGGCAACTTTTATGCGCGTCAAGCACGAAAGGACTGGAAACCTTTCATTTATAAAATTCAAGCTCTTACTTGGTGTTGATCTTCTCGGTATTGGTCCTTAAGCAATTATCCCGCCTGTCTCCAGAAGTAGCCAGTTCCTGTTCACTGGAAATCTATTGAAATTCTACACAAAATGCCTCGCACAAAACCAGCACCATCCTACGTGTTGGGCGTCGGAATGACCAAGTTCATGAAGCCACGGGGCAAGGTCGATTACCCAGAGCTTGGTTTTGAGGCTGGAATCAAGGCCATGCTGGACGCACACATCAACTATGACGACGTCGACCAGGGAGTTGCTTGTTATGTATATGGCGACTCTACTTGCGGACAACGTGTGTTCTATCAGTTCGGCATGACACAAATTCCCATTTACAATGTCAACAGCTATTGCTCGACTGGCAGCTCTGGCCTTACCCTAGCTCGACAGGCAATCTCATCTGGTTCTGCGGACTGTGTGCTTGTAATTGGATTCGAGAAGATGTTTCCAGGAAGCATAAATTCCCAGTTTCAGGATCGCGAAGATCCATTACATTTGAGCTACTCATTGATGGAACAAACCCGCGGAAGAACAAAAGCACCCAGTACGGCACAGATATTTGGCAACGCAGGTCGAGAGTACATGGAGAAATATGGTGCTCGAGCAGAGGATTTTGGCGAGATCGCTCGAGTCAACCGTAAGCACGCCAAAGCCAACCCATACTCGCAGTTCCGGGAAGAATGCAGCCTAGAACAGATCATGGGATCGGGAAACATCCATGAACCGTTGACAAAACTACAATGTTGCCCTACCTCGGATGGCGCGGCAGCAGCAGTGATTGTTTCACAGGCATTTCTGGACGAACACCCTCACCTAAAGTCCCAGGCCGTTCTCATTGCAGGTCAAAAACTTGCAACAGATCCACCTGGGCTGTTCAGCAAATCTGCCATGGATCTTGTAGGCTACCACATGTCGGCGTATGCTGCAGAAAAGGCTTTGGAAGAAGCAGGCATCACTGCCAACGACGTGAGCGCTATTGAGCTCCACGACTGCTTCAGCACCAATGAAATGGTTGTGATCGACGCCATAGGTCTATGCCCAAAGGGAAAGGCACATGAATTGGTCAGGAATGGCGATATTACATACGGTGGCAAGTACGTTGTTAATCCTTCTGGCGGGTTAATCTCAAAGGGTCACCCCCTGGGTATGTTGAATTTTATCGGAGGTCGTAAGATCCAAGTTGACTAACCACGAACTCCAGGTGCTACCGGTCTTGCCCAGTGTACTGAATTGGTCTGGCAGCTTCGAGGCTGGGCGAATACTCGCCTAGTACCAGAGGCAAAGTACTGCTTGCAACACAACATTGGCTTAGGAGGTGCGGCTGTAGTCACAGTGTATCAGCGCGCCGATGGAAAAAAGAACTCTGCCATCTCCGATGCAGAAGTAATGAAGGTGACTGGACTTGGGTATAATCCCGCCACCGCCGCAAAAGGATTCACCAGGGACCAAGTCCAGAGAGTTGTAAGCCAGAAGTTTCAATCACAGTGGGCTCAACAGGACGTGGAAAACAAAGTTCAAGCCAGATTTTGATCACCGAGGGTTCTACTCTGGAACTTCGTGCACGCATAGAGGGTAGTCAAGACAATTATTTCAATGTGGAATTTACGCGTTGTTAATGGTGCCTGATTAAATGGTAACTGGATATTTCTCCAGTTTGCCTTTTCTGAGGCTTCAAATCGTTGGGCCAACTCCCATTCGAGAATTGAAAATGAGCATTTGGCAACTATCACTTTTCTTGCCCTTTTTCACTGAGACTTCTGGCTTTCATGTTGGTACGCGTGATATCGCAATCGGGCTTGTTGGCACGCGAGTATCTGACAACAATATGACAGCACAATTCACGTAGGCTAAGGGTCCTGTTCAACACTATCTGTACTGTTCAGAGTCATTACCCAGACGTCCGTCCTCGCTCGAGACTTGCTTTCCGCGGCGGGTACATAATCCAGAGTACCACATGATACGCTATCGTCGACACTTGTCCAGCCAAAAGCTCGACTTTTTCGGCCTCGCTCTAGGACGAACAGTGGTGATGACTGGAATGTGTATCGGTCGCAGATTTCCAGTCATACTCCCGTGTGTTTGGTAATTGGTCAAAGTTAAGACCCAAATCCTTGATAGACAGCCAGTGACAGGAGGAGGATGGCGAGGCATATCACAAAAGTTCAGAATGACGAAATGCTATCCGAGCTGGTGGAAAGTGTGTTCCCAATGGACTTCGTGGGTGGGTTTGAAGTTTCCTCCTCATGATCGGTATCTCAGGGTTGGATACATGGCTGGTGGTGCATACCTCTTGGAGCAGGTCGTCAATACACATTTCGCTGAGGAGGCTCTAGACATCTTCGCCGTGTGCAGCATTCTCGAAAAGCTGTGTGACATCACTTCCACCTATCTCTAGAAGCTTTTCTCGGTCGTCACTACTAATCATTAGTGTTAGAAATCTTGAGGCGGATGGGTCTTCATCTCTTACGGATGATGTTCAATGAAATCCGTCACATTATGTACGTACTTTGTCGTGGACGATAAAGTTAATGGTCTGTTAGGAATAGCCTATAATGAATAGGCAGAGTGCAATGATTCAGTGGTGTGTCAGATATAGAATATTCCTTGACTATCCGTCATAATTAAGACTCAAAGCATGAGAGAAGGAGAAGTCTCTCATACGGTTTACTGGCAGGAGACAAGCTATCTATATTTTCTAGCTCGTCGGAGGTCTATTGTCTTATGTGTCACCGTAGGGACTTAGGTCCATTCGTGACAATTCCTTCCTCGTTATCGGTTATCTGGGCGGTGGTATGAAGGTCGGTTCGTAACACTCTCAAATACTCTGACCGAGGAGAAACGCCGGGTAGGAAAGATGAGTAAGTAAATCGCCAATATACAAAGCTCACATTCTCCCCCGAATCTGCTTTCTTGCATCGTTATCTAAATCTTTCAATTTTCGGCGCAATATCTTCCCTGCCACACTCCTGGGGATCACATCGATGAACTCAACACCACCATCGAGCCATTTGTGTCGTGATTTTTCTTTTGCCACATAGTTTACAATGTCTTGTTTCAAACTCTGGTCTCCTTTCTTCGCTTTCCATGAGGCGGATAGAACAAGAAAAGCTTTGGGTAACTCTCCCGCCCTCTCATCAGGGATCGATATGACAGCAGCATCAGCCACGGCTGGATGGGTCAGCAGGAAGGCTTCAAGCTCAGCAGGCGCAACTTGGTGACCCTGAATGCGTTAGTGATCGATCAGTATAGCAGGGGCCGACATGATTACCTTAACCTTGATAAGCTCTTTGATTCGATCTACCACCCATATGTGCTCGAAGCCTTGCTGTGAGACTCGTATCTCTACCTCATCTCCAGTGCGCATGAATCGCCCTTCGGGTAGTTCTACAAAGGTTTCTCTCGTCGCTGACTCATTCGCCAGATACCCCAGAGCCACACTCGGAGACTTGAGAAACAATTCTCCCGCAGTATTGTGTTTAGTAATCTCGTTACCATTGATATCAATGACCTTGGCTTCGAATCCGGGTAGTAGACAGCCTGCAGACCCAAGCCATACGTCGGATGGAGGTGTTGACGAGGCACAGGTGGCAATCTCAGTTAACCCGTATGCCTGTCGAATCTTCCACATGGGGTATTGCACGGCGATCTTCTCCGCCGTCTCCCTACCTAGAGGGGCGGCTCCTGTGTAGATGGAGGTCACACTCGACAAATCCACTCCATCCAGCATCGGCTTGCTTTGAAGCATAGCGATGATAACGGGAGGGACAATATAAAGTGTTTTGATCTTGTATTTCTGGATAGTCTGAAGATAGATAGGCAGACTGAACTTGGGCAAGATTATAACTTGATCTCCTCTATATGTCGACGCATGACATATAACAATCAAGCTGTAAATATGAGACTGAGGGAGCAATCCTAGTGCTATGTCGTGGAATTCAGGTCCCAAAGGGTCGCGGCTGGGTTTCTCGTATGTCGCAATCTGGATGATGTTCGCAATCACATTTCTATGAGAAATAACGACCCCCTTCTGTTCACAGTTAAAAGACGTCTGATTGCGAAAGAGGAGCCTTACAGGAGAGCCAGATGTTCCACTCGAGAAGCACAAATACGCACACTGGCGTGATCCTTGTCCGCTCTTCCAGCGGATACTGTCCAGTTGTGGCTGCTTTATCCCTTCCTTGATCAGCGTAGCAACTGATCTCATGCCTTCGGGGATTCGTGAATCCTGTGGAGACTCGCAAAGAAAGACTTTGTCTCTGCTGACCTTGGTACCACTGATTGCTTCCAGGGCCACAGGAAGCAGTGGCATCACGGTGAAAAGGACTGTTGCTCGACATGCTTGGAGTTGGTGTCGCAACTCACTCGCACTCAAAGCTGCACTGGCTGGCGACGAGACGCCGTTGAGTCTGTGAACGGCCCAGGAAGTCGTCATGACTTCCACCTATTCAATATCAGCCGAGATTCATCTCATGTAGAATCACACGACGGACAGCATTGTGGGCAAATATGGCCGCAACCTTGTCATACTCCGATCCTGAATTGACTTTCCAACCGGTCACGCTCGATAATCCACGGGCCAGGTTGTAGACATCATCCCTTTGTTGACTCGCCGTGATTGACCTTCCGGTCAACGCACAAGTATACGCATCGAGCGAGTGAGAATATGCGCTTCGGCCGTATCGCTCGTCGAATAGAAATTCGCAAACTGGGACATTTTCGGGAATCGCTGGAAGCGGAGGGATCCAAGCAGACGGGTAGAAAACCATCGTGTCCCAAGAATCTGTTATGTAAAGAGGAGATTCTGCGCCGGTCTCAATGTGAAATCTGTAAACTGTCGTCCTGCCACACTAGCTTCACACTCGTTCGACAAAAGAGCTGAAAAGGTCAAGATATTTTGCGCAATGCCGTGACAAAGCTTGCCTTAGTCTAAGTCTGAGTACGTCTAGGGCTTGAGGACTGAATTCTCGTCGTCTTCATGTCCGTCTTTCTTGCGTGATATTGTTAGACCCGGGCGCACAGTCAAGTTGTAATATGAGTAGGAGGCCATTCCGAAACTTCAGCTGCCTAATTTAAATTAAACCAGCCTCGCCACATTAGTAGAGGAAACCCTAAACGAGCACAAAACAGTGTGAAGATGTGGGGTGTGGCGCTCCTTCCGTCACAAAACTGTGATGGCCTCGAAGTGATGTTGACAACTCATCTAAGCCTCGGCGAATATGGCCTCTCCAACAACTCCATTTTGGGGCTCTCTAGGTCAGTATTCCCGCCCAAGGTGGTTCCAACCTTGTCTACCCGGGATTATTCATCTGGCAAGTCATGTCTCACCCCAACTGAAATTACCTCGGCTACCCCAGTCTGCAATAGAGATCTCTAGGTACTCTGACAAGTTGGTGACATACTGCATCGGCCACAGTGGGTTCTCGACTCCCTCGAGATGTTGAAAAAAAAAGAGCACCTCAAACGTCTTGGGCTTCAATCACTCCGAGCCGAGCACGGTATCATAGGGATAAGGATTTTCGCACACATTGGATTTGATGTGCCCCGAGACGGTAAGTGCCGGAGTTGGTCACAGAGATTTTAGGTTCTGATCACCTCAATTTTGTGTCAAATGTGAATTGGCATAGCGAATTCTTGCCCAGGAAATAACTTAATCTCTTGGCTCGAAGCTTCGTGTAACTGGGTGCCGGGGTCTTGCATTTTGAATCATGATCGGAAGAAATTCGGCTGAAGATAACACGGAACTTAGCTAGAAATTGGATAAGGCCGCGAATTGGCGTGTACATTATGCCGACCTTAACAATGGGAGCCTACCGTGTTATGCTGTCCGAAATGGAGAGCAGCTAAGAGTGTCAGGCTTGGTTAGAGCAGATTACGCATCAGATGAGGAATATGGATTATGCTCAACAGTCCAAACTGTTAGGTGGACCAATTGGGCTGTTGAAATCATTCACCACCAGGTGTGCTGCGGGAATCTCGAACGAGAGTGTCAATATCTTCGGTGGCCGTGACACGACACAGTCCGGCATGGGCAGGGTTATCGCGCACTTCCACCGTATTCGCAAGAGCGATGCTATTCCAGGTGGCGCCCAAGAAGTTCTCGCTGATCTCGGTATCCGGCAAGCGATGAAGATGATGCCAAATGCGATGCTCTGATATCTGTCTGTACATAGTAGCATGAAACCTTGTCATAGAATATTGTTGGTGCTTCATGGCCGGCTTCACGGCAAGCATTCAAGATCGGGAAGCACTGCAAAGGTGCTAGTATCCTAAGCAGGCATCATGGTGTTGTCTGCTTAAGTGAACCTGAAATTTCCTCCAGATGTTTCTTTTACTGTCACCTCGAAACTCCGTCAGCACCACGTAAGGTAGATCTACCCTTCCATCACCCTGCCTATCCTTCAGCTGCGCAACTTTCCCTCAAATACACCTGAACGACAGAGTTGCCGAAGCTGCGGTGGACGAGGTTTTGAAAGCTAGACATTTTTTCGACGATTATCAGAAGGAGACTCCAGCCATGCTTGATTCTGACATCAGGACCGACTTAAGACATGCCTGTAGACCTGGATTCACAGTTTCTGCCTCCGCCTTGGGTATGGACCCCCCATGGCTTTTCTCCACCGATCGTCAATCTTCTGTTTATCAGCGGCGGAGCGAGTCTCCCAGGCTCGGCGACGTGTTTCCTCCTCCTGCTGCCATCGTTTCCACTCCCTGCCTACCCACTGAGCCACCTGTAATGCCGTTTGACCGGGACTCTCCATCGGCACCAGGTGCCCGACGTCTGGAATTGTAACACTTTCCACGCGACCTTCTACTACACCGCCACTACCACCAACACCAGCTCCAGTACGTCGCATTTTTGCGTTTTGGGCGTCAGCTTTGCTCATGGCGGAATCCTTACCGAACACGTAGAAAGTACTAGGACGCAGTTCTTGGAGTCTCAAGAATACCTGCGCCGGCTCTGCACGATAAAACGGATAGACAGAGGGCAAGTCCGGGTTGAGATCAGCATGTGTCCGGTAATTGACAGGCTTTCCCTGATGACCGTAACCTTCATAATTGGACCGGTTGAACGTCTGGACCTCCTGGTGAAAAGGGGTGGTGAGAGTGACCTGAAAGGACTGTTCGCTTTCGGGCTCGGAATGGTGCAGGAGAGTCGGTGTTTCGCGGAGGCCGTACTGAATCCAGCGATCCAAAACACGGGTATCCCAAGCCTTGTAAAAGCTGCTGTTTCGGAACTCTTGAGCGGCCATCTCTCTGGACGGCCAGAGATCACGTCGAAATGTTGATAGACGTGCAGGATCAAGACCCTGGCCAGGTGCAACGCTGGGGTATAGCTGGATGGCAGGATCGATTAGGACAAGAGTAGTGAATAATCGGGGGTGCATATAAGCCAAATTGGTTCTGCAGGCAGGTTAGAAATACCGGTAATGACTTCGAGACAGTCTTCATGCTTACAACTGTGCAGCCCCTAGAGAATGACCGACTCCCACAATTGGACGAGGCATATCATCCCTCTTAACATTGATCAAATGCAACAAGTCCCTAGAATGATCGTACCAGCCAGGATCGTTTCCTAGCAAGTGCTCATTCAAGATGCCGCTCTCGCCTTGATGTGCCACATCGGCGATCCAGATGCCTCTGATAGTAAAGCCGTGTGTCTTTGATTGTGCGTAGAGGTCCTCCCAAAGAGGCTCGTATAATTCTTTTGGAAAGCCATTTGCGTGTGCGCCAATGACAGTTACATCTCCTTCCTTCGGATTGGGGTTGCTTATGGGTACATACTGCTTCACAGCTAGCTGCAATTCTGTGTTCTGAGATCCTGATGTGGCTTGTGGATACTCACGAATGTGTTGACAAAGTATGCGATGCTCTATAATGCGAAAGGGAGACATCGTAGGTTGACACGTTACCCATATCACCACTAGTAATTTGAGCAGCACTGAACACTCGAATCTCTTTCTGCTATTGGGTGTATATCCCAGGCACCATCTGGGAGTCAAGACTTTTTTCCAGCACGTTCACCGTCCATTTATGACGCGCTACAATGCTGCTGGGTTGAAGGTGTGGAAGACGGATAAATAGGCAAGTGGCACAAGAGAACTACTCGGCCGAACCTCGGTTCTCGACAGTTGCTACGGCCGTCTACTGATATTTGGAGACTCATCAAGCCCCAAGGACTTTTCTGCGGGCCCGCATTGCTTTGTCGCTCCACTGCATGCGGAGGTCCAGGTTTTGGTCGCAATTGAGGCAGAACATGTGCAAGAGAATTCAATACGCTCGTCTGCATGTGGAACGTCGCTAAAGACACGTGTAACAACTGGCATCCCGAAGTGCTATCTAAATTCTACCTGAGGCTTGTTCCTATACTTCATCTTGGCTTCTACGTTCCCGCAGTGGTCCCGAGTAGCTTCGTCGACCAAGCCTTGGTTCGTACCACTAGAATTCCATCATTGAGCCTGAATTCCTCAAACGGATGATCCCATCAAGTGAGCAGATATGCATGCCACCCCTTGTTTAAATCCCATACTACCGCGGACTAGCGATACAAAAGATCAGCAGATGCGCGGAAGCGTGGTTGGCTTGGGGCTGACGACACGGACTAAGTTAGACCGGTGGACCAATTGATCATGGAGCAAATCGGGCTTGTCTCGGAGTTGGGGAACCTCACAGTTATCACAGCTAGGCCGGAATCCTTCGTAACAGAAGCTGAGGATGTTCCAGATTGCTCCCCTCTATGCAAGCCATATCATAAGCATAAACAAGTTGGAGATCCAACGTCTTCTACATTTCGAAGTTAGATCTTGTTCCACCCGTTGTATGATTCCTTCTAAAGACTTTGCACATGGCGGTAATCATAGAAGCTTTGGGGCGGCTTTCGAGTGTTTTTCTCAAACGTATTCTCAGCGCGGACCAGCACCTTGACCTCATCCGAAAGGACGCTGCTAGTGTAGACGTATCAAAGCTGCGAGGATAGCTTGAAAGTACCTATCTTCTTGTTTGCGCTCACTACATCCCTGCATGTCCTCAACTGGAGGCCTTGGATCCCTATCTTAGGCTGGCAAATGGTGCAAGACGCATGGCTCAAGGCGTGGACTCGTTGAGATCCGAAATCAAGGCACATGGAATTCCCAGATGTCGTCACCAGAGACAACCTGTCGCTGCTTATTGTGTACTAAGTCGGATCGCCTGCCGATTGAGCCTGTCAGGGCTCTCCAATGCAGACAGGCCTATAGAGTTTGCCACTCATACGATCGAGAGGGTTTGGGGGGTTTCCATAATATCTGTAGCTCATTCTCCTGCTCTTGTTGATCTATAGATCGAATTCATAGGGTCACGAAGTCACCTACCTACTGGTAAATTGTTATGCGTATTCGAAAAACAGAGCACAGCACCGCCGCGTTGTCTTCAGCCCTAAATGATTTTCTGTGCTCTTCCATCCTCCAGAATGAACAGTCCCACGCAATCACCTTCGAACAATGAGATACTCGACTAGGAGGTGCTCAGCTGTGAAAGCGAGATCGAACAGACGGATTTCCAGACCATGTCACGTAGAAGTTCTACTATTGACGACCCTCTGCTGGACCACTGGATTTGTCTCGACGAAGACGAGCCCTCAGCTTCGTTACGTCTAGTTGATTCTTTCGGAATATTTCTGCACGAAAACGAATTCCAAGAAGTGTTGGATGCTAATTCTTCCAACGCCGAAGAAGTCAATATGGATTCGACGCAAGTCATACGTTCATTTTGTGCCACAGCAAATGAGAAGCAATTTCTCAATATGGTGGCCTGTAACATAGGAGGCAAATTGGTCCCCCAGGAATGGGGACAAGGACAGCCTGCAGTCTCTCCTATACCTTTTGTTGCTGAAACAGCTACCATGAATCCTTCACAAATCATGAAATCAGCTTGCACCTCCGCAAACAAGCGGATTCTCCCCAATCCTGAGGCCTCTGCCACAACAGACGACGAGAACAGTCAGCAACCGATCCGAAGGTCGCCTATTGCGACTCCCATAACTAATAACGTCGATACTAAACTTGGTAAACGAGGCCAAGAACGGAGACCTCTGCCTGCCGTCCAGAAAAAGGCAAAACTCTCGCGATTATGGGTGACTGATGACATCTTTCGGCTTGATAAGAAATCTTTTACTGATGCTATTGCGATTCTACAAGACGATGGCGAGGATGAAGAGCGATTCATGGAGCCATGTCTGGCCCATTCGTGAAGCACCATATGGTAAAGAAGAAAGCAGAACTAGTTATAGATGAACGGGTTCGGAGCTATGCTTGAAATTGTAACTTTTACTAGTAGTCAACAATAAGGCTTGCATCCCATGCCGGATATGTTTCTGTACAGCATTTTCATGGGTACTGTTCTCGTCTGTTCTTTCGCCTCCAGCTTGTAATGATGACGATAAATATGTCTCGATTACGTTTGCTTAATTTTGAGAGGGAAACATGCTGAATGTCGATATATCCCGAGTAGGGAACCTTCAACCGACGCTACGAACGCAAAACAGGATCGCGGGTAACGGTAACCGGAGTGGTTTGTGTTATACATGGGCAGGGAGCATGAGGATCAATCGCGGGTGACCGCTCCATGGGGTAATTCAGGCCATTTCTGGCAGCGCCAATAAAGAGCGGTTGTGTTCAATAGCCACTGTCATCATCCGTGGCACGCAGAACAAAAGCAGGCGTATAAATAATGGCCTGACACAACGGAGTTGGAGTGTGACAGTAGTCCGGATATTTTATCAAGCTAACATGACTTCAGCCACTGATCTGCTTGTCGAATCTGCAGGCTCGCCATCTTCCGTTGAAAAGATTGAGCTTCAGCCGCTACAGTCGAAGGAAGTCCTCGTTCGGTTGGTTGCAACGGGTGTATGTCATTCTAATGTTGCGGTGCAATCGGGCAAGCTGCCGGGAAGATTCCCTTCGGTGCTGGGTCATGAAGGAGCTGGAATCATCGAAGAAGTCGGCGACGCCGTCAAGAGGGTCAAAGTCGGAGGCCACGTTCTGCTTTCTTTCATGTACTGCAAACAATGTCGAAGTTGTCAGCGAAACCAGGTCTATGCCTGCCGCAATTTTTCGCCTCTGAACTGGAGTGGTTCTCGACCTGACGGTACCCCATTGCTCTCACAAAATGGAACGGAACGGATGTGCATGGCTGCTTCTTTGGCCAGTTGTCCTTCATGAACCCTGCAATCGTGTAAGAGACTTCTTGTGTCGAGATCGACAAGCCATATCCCCCGGAGATCCTCGTCCCACTAGGATGTGGAATACGGAGAGTAGTAGGTATCGCAATATCTACACACCTTTTCGAACATGACATGCTCAGGACTTTGTCATTACCCCAAAAGAACTCGAACATCCCGAATACAACCAAAATATCATCCAATATTGTTCGAATACTCGAACCGGTGCCAAAAATCTCATTTAGTGACGAAATCACCACTCCCGGCAGTTTGTAGAGCGGGCATAATACGCCTTCATCCTCAGTCCCCATTATAGTTGCTTCTTGACCGCAGCCGCGGACCCCATATCATAAATGCAAGTGGTATAGGCGTCATCACGGCACCAAGGCAACCAGGCAATGTGCCAGCCTATTGAATTCCGAGGTTATTAAACATTTTTCTCGTGAAAAGAGGAAAGCTGGCTCCGACCACTGATCGGAGTATGGTATTTGCAGCGAAGACCGAAGCGGCACTGCACCAAAGGTTCAGCTCCTTTCAATCTCGCTTTCTGACAGACGTACTTACAAGTGAAGGTAAGAGTCGATCAGGTAGTTGAAACATTGCAGGAATATACAGAGGACTCCGAATCCAATGAAGAGTCCAGCTGCTGCTGGAGCCATCCAATGGATTGATTCACTCCAACCAGTCCAACCGAACGTGGAAAGAAAACATCAGCTGATAACCTGGGACACAAAGGCACTTTGTCCTCACCAGAAGACTCCAACAGTGAACACCACACATCCAATAGGGACGGGCATCAGCCGTCATTCGGGGACAGTATTCCCGTGATTAGCCTTCAGTTTCCGAAAATAGCGTGGTTCATCGAGCAGAATATATAGTCCCGCCCAGTATTTCCCCAATGATGAGAGCAATGAATGGCAGCCCACCAGGACCTGGTCTCATGCCGCGTACGCTTTGAAAGACAAGAGTATACGCTCCGACCAAAGCGTAAATGAGGCCGTAGATAAAAGAAATTTAGAATGTCACCAACAGGACAATCGGCTCAGTGATCAACATTCTGATAGGCCGACTAAAGTTGTTCATCATCAACTCATGCAAGTCAAGTTCTACCTCGTCCTGCTTAGCATGTATTCCCCAATTTCGCATTTGTGCTCGAAGATTTGTAGCTTTTGCCATCGGAATTGCCGGTGCGTAGGATTCCTCGACGAAAAGGACAAGAAGGCTAAAACCGAAAAACGCCATAATGACGGAAATAAACATGGTCCAACGCTAGTGGAGATCGCTAGTGACGACGAGGCCGCCGGTAAAAGGACTTGCAAGAGGCCCAACAAAGACCATCATGGCAAATACGGCAATCGCCAATCCGCGATGCTCGCTGCTGAACATGTCGGAGAAGCTTGCTGGCACAACTGTCAAGGGCTTGCTGCAAAGAACCCAGCTCGGAATCGGCACAGCATTATCGTCTGAACGTCCTTGCCTGTTGCAACTCCGATGGTAAAACACGCTGTAGCCAAAAGTTCCTATTATGAGGGGTATGCGACGTCCTCTCAACTCAGACACGGGAGCCCAGAGTGTTGGTGCTGAAGCAAAGTCTAGAATGTACAATGAAATCTCAAGTCCACCGACTTCCTCCCTGATGAGGAAATGATGAGTCATGGGAGCAATAGCTGTTGAAAGGATGGCGGACGCGAAAAATGCCACAAAAGTGATGTTGGCAAGGATGACGGCGGAAACGAACATGTATCCAAGTCAGCTTCCGAATCGCAACGATATCAGCAACCTACTTCTTTCTGAAAGGCCAGTTGTGAGCTTGTAAGGGATCACTATAGCCCTCGAATTCAACGTAGTATTCCTCTGGGTCAGGAAGTCGAGCTGGCCAAGAACGTCCAGCCCCCATAGGAAGCGAATGGTCTCGGGGTTCTGCTGGCCTCGTGGACCCAACAGTAGATTTGTGCTGTAATCTCGGTTGATCGGAAAGGATCAAACGCATGGACAATCATAGGCGTCTGCAGCACCCCCCAAAAGGGAAGGTGTGGCGCGCTAGTCAGGTGACTCCTGACATGAAACGTGGATTGCCTCAATCTGTCTCACGGCCAGGATGCTGAAAACCAAGAGTGTCGTCATAGAGGAGACTAATATCACGTCCGACAACGTCCAGACCATGTGCCTGTTGCCGCGACTCCAAATGATGACATGTTCAGTCGCTGGCAGAGTGCAGGTCCCATGCTCCTGATACTGGACTCTGTTTTATTGGGTGTTATCCTAGCTCACTTTGGAAGCTTGGGTGATGACAATTCCTGGAGCACTCTACGACTACTGCGCATGGAGCGTACTCGCACCGGCAAGAAAGTACTACCCCTGCAGACGTATAGGTAGGAAAGGGAGTGATCTCAGTGTTAGGCACGGTGCGAGACCATCAATTGGTTTCCAGAACTATCTAGAGTTTATTCTTGCGTTCAGCATCAGCAAGAATGGGCTTGAGTCCAGTTTCGATGTCTTCCGGAGACTCTAACCCTTGGCCTTGGAAATCCGTGATTTTCGACCACCTTTCCGCCACTTGTTCCGGGTCTAGCCCGTGTGTCTTAGACCATTTCTGTCCGCCCGCCCTTTGCCACCTAGTCCGTCCTTGCCAGCCGCTACCAACTTCAAAAAGGAGTCCTGTCGAAGGAGAAGGTGTCTTGTCCGAGCACAGCAGCAGCACGAGGGGAACCACGTAGTCTGTTTTCAATGCTTGAGCAACTTCTTCCGTGAATATTGAGCGACTCATCTGGGTGCCAGCATTCGGTGCGATTGTGTTAACGTGAACATTGTATTTCCTACCCTCGCGCGCAAGCGCACGCGACAGCCCAAGAATACCTGCTTTCTACTACAAGTCAGATGATTTCTCTGGGGATGGAAGAGATACGCACGGCCGAAGCATAATTTGTCTGCCCAAAATTACCGTATATTCCGCTTGTACTGGTGGTGTTGATGATACGTCCGTACTTTTGTTTTAGCATATGAGGCCAGGCGGCGTGGGTTACCTTGTAAGTGCCTTGAAGGTGAACATTAAGCACATGGTCCCATTGCTGCTCCGTCATATTCGCAAAAGCTTTGTCTCTCAATATTCCAGCATTGTTTATAACAATATCCACACGGCCAAAGGCAGAGAGCGCGGTCTCGATGATAGCTGCCCCATCTTCGACGGAGGTCCTGTTTGGGACAGCTTTGCTGCCAATAGCTCGAATCTCATTCACAACAGTATCTGGCTCGCGAACGTCGTTGACAACAACAAAAGCACCAAGTCTGGCTAGACCAAGACAATAGGCTCTTCCTAGACTGCCAGTTGGAGTAAGTCAAAGACCGCACAAAGACAGTCAGGACATGTCTTACCCTGCACCGCCACCGGTCACAACTGCGACTTTGCCGTCGAACCTGATAGCCTCGCCTGGATCATTGCTCTTCAGTTTCGATGCGTCCTCAAGTTTCTTAATCATATCGACTGGGCCGGTCGGATACTCCGCCTGGGTAAAGTCGGCAATCTTGTCCCACTTGTTGAGAAGGGCGCCAGGAGTGAGGGTGTCGCCTGCCTGTAGAAGTAGTCCTGAGGAACGTTCCCAGCGTAACTTGGCCATATAGCCTCCACCTACATCGAAAACGGAGCCGTTCTCGGAGGTGGTGGAATGCGCCAAAACTGCAACCAAAGGAATAACGGACTGTGCTATTTCCGCGGACTGGGTGTTCCAGGACAGATGACCCCCAGTTGTTGGGGCAGCGATTAACGGATCAATGATATTGCTTAGAATGTTGTATTTCGCCCCTTCCCCAGCCAATGTCTGGCCAAAGCCGACCAGTGCAGAGCCCATAGCAGCAGAGTGGCTTTGCCCAGGGCTTCCATAAAGTCCAGCTGTGGAGGTAGAAAAGATTACTCGACCGTATTTCTGCTTCCTGAAGTATGGCCAGGCTGCGCGTGTACATTTGAATGCACCTTTTAGCAGAGTGGCATTGGCTTGGTCCCAATCGACGTCGTGAATGTGCTCAAACTCGATGTCCCGTGGTAGACTGGCGTTATTGATCAGGACGTCAATGCGGCCAAAAGCATCAATGGCACTTTGTACTATTTTCTCTCCATCTGTTACAACGTCGTGGTTGACAACGGCTCTTCCACCGGTTCTTTGGATGTCTTGCACCACTTGGTCTGCAGCCTAAAGAATGGTCAGACACCTGTGGCAAATAACTCCCGGGATTTCACTTGCTTCTTTATAAGAATCGCTAACAATCACATTTGCTCCTCTCGAGGCAAAAAAGCGAGCATAAGCTTGGCCCAACTCATTGCCTGCTGCTGTCACAACCACAGTTTGGTTGTCAAATCGAAATCGTTGATTCATATTTCAGACGAACAAGCAAATATCTCGTCACGAGAAACTCATGCGCACCACCTAGCAATAAAGTTGCCCACACTGCTAGATCCAAACAACATCGCAATGCCAGAGATATGAATGTTAAAACACTTTTGTCTCTATCGTCGAAACGTTGGATGAACCGAGGCTCACAAGGCTGGCTCAGGAGATTGAAGGCTCTAAGCATCGTACGAGAAGTACAGCCCCAATTTGGAGACCAACGAGTACGAGAAGTTCAGCCCCAGTTTGGAGACCAACGAGAACGAGAAATATCAAGTCGGAGGCTCTTTGTGGGTCATTCCGGCTACTGAGCGCTGCTCTAGAAAGCGGCACGCTCAGGGTGAGTTGCACGTGAGCTCCGAGCACTTTTTACTCGTCTTGAGGGGCCAAGGACGGAGTTAAGGCTCGGAATCGGAGCAGACTCGGCTTATTGGACATTTCTTATGGGTTGGGTACAGTATAGGGCCGAGTTCGAAACAAACCAGGAGTTACAGCCGGGCAACTATAGCCGAGGCCCAATGGGGACCCTGAGCCCGAATTGGCTTCTGCGAATGGGCATCAGTCAGCACTCCGTGTGGCTCCCCCGGTGCTCGGGCGCGCTCCCCCGTACTCTGCCGTGGCTCCTGCAGCGCTCTCCCGTGCTCGGCCGGGCATCCGTCACGTGCCCGACTAAAGCGGCCGCGCTCCCTTTCCTGAACGAAAATGGTAATGGACGAAGCACAGTTCGGGGCATATATAATATATATATATATATACACAATATGTACACCGACTTGGCTGTTTGCTTTTTGGATATGGTACATTGTTATGGCACATGTTGGTGAGTGGTGAGTGACTGAGACGACCCTCTCTTATATAGAGCTTTCCCGTTACCAGAACGAAACTTGGATGGACCGATTGGAGCAGCCTACGTCGACGCGGAAAACCACAAGGGAGCCAACCACTGGCCATGGCAGAAGGTTTGAAAGTGACATGAGGTGAGAGCGTTGTAGTTGATTTCGATCCAGAGTAGTTGTGGGTGAGCATGTAAAGCCGACCACTTCGGCGCTGTGCTCTCATACCACCGCTCTCTCCTCATCGTGCCGCGAGACAAAGCGCTCTGCCCGCCCAATAAGCTCCTCATAGACCGTCCAAGCAAGCGCGGAGCTCATGGCCTTCCTCCCCATCCTCAGAGCGAGTCCGTCGAAGAAACTCTTGATCCCATCCTCCTTGAGCATCAACCGCGCCGCTTTCCACGTATTCCCGTACTTTTGCGGCATCAATTGCAACCTGGTCTTTACAGCGTCAAACGGATTGGTAATGCTCGTTGCCAGGCCGGCTGCAATCACGCCGCTTGAAGCGTTGATCGACGCCGAAGCTGACGTCGAAGGGCGCGTTTGTCCTTGGCTCGTGGTCATGGTATGTAGCGAGAAAACCTTGCTCAGATGCGTCTTGCTTGCTTCATAGAAGAGCACGTAGAGACCCGCATACGGCGCGTCCCGGATGGCTGTAGCGCCGAAGCCGGAGAAGAAACCCTTGATGCCTTCCTGAGCAAAGATCGATCTCGTGGCAGAGGCAAGGGACTTGTATGAATACATGTCTGATTCGAAGCGCACTTTGATCACCGTCACCGGCATCATGATGAGTCCCGCAAACACTCTCGCGGTCGCGCCCGTTATGAGATTTTGTATGTTTGAGAGCTTTGGCAGCACCGAGCTGCTCTTTCTAGGGATAGGCGCTCCATCTCCTCCATTTGCCCGCGCCGTGTTGTTGGCGAGGATCTGGCGTAGAGAACTGAGCGAGGTGAAATACAAGGCTGATCCGAAGCCCGTCCGCAGCGCCGAAGGCACAGTCCCCCGCCAGAGGCTGGCCACGGGATGCGGACCAGAGAGGATCGACCGAAGTACCGTGAGGAGCGACGAGGAGTGGGATTGCTGGACTCTAGTCTTTAGCAGGTCCGCTGGCTGCAGCAGGACGGCGCTCGACACGCCAGAGGTCAAGCCGGCAAGGAAATGAAAAGTGGGATGTGCCTTTTTGGAGCTCTGGACCTTGTGGGCACCGCCATTGGACATGTTCCAAAGGATCCGAAAGCCTTTCGCTCACAGAGGGATTAAAGATTGGGAAATGCAACGGCTGCTGTCCCGGAATGACTGTGCATGGTGATGATGTTGTAGTCGGTAGGAAGCACTCTCGGCACCGGAACAGTAACAGCAACAGAATCTTCAAATCGATGAGACTGGTAGCTCAGCGAGATGCATGAATAAGCATCCTACAAAAGAATGTGCTTGTTACGAGTACGAGCGGCGGAAAAGAAAGGAGCAGTTGCATCTGCAGGCGAAAAGCTGCTTTGCATGAAGTCATTGCCCAACCGAGAAATTCACGCGCCTCTCTAAACCTCAATTAGCGTGACAATGCGGCCAGCCATACACATTCCTATCTAGGTACCTAATTGTACATACGAGCATCGCCTTGTCTATACCACCAAGCGGAAAAGGGACTATGAGTCGCTCTGGACACCTGTGGCGTAGAACTCTGGCAACCCTTCAAATGCATCCCACAACAATTGTTCGCTTAAACAGCCCTGCTTCCTAACGGCTCCATCCTTCGGAGTGCCACGACAAAGCCAAATAGCCACTGGCAGACCTTCTCTTGCGTTGAAGCCCTGTTTCGATGTAACACTTTCAGAGTCTTGATGGTCGCCAATGGCTCCTTTGGTCACTTGCCCGAGAGGACACAATCGCCCAGAGAAATCCGGCAATGCCTTATGCGGCAGCCTTTGAAATTGCCAGTGCACAAGGTAGAGGATATCATTGTACTGTCCTGATTCGTTCTCGAATGCCATCGCGTCAAGGCAAGCCGCACTAGAACAAACAGCTTGTGACAATGATTGCAAATGTCGGAACTCTCTGCAAGTAGCGGTCCTATTTCGTCCAGCGGCGGGTTTAGACTTTCTTAACGGGGAGTCTGGTCATGCTGAGGAGCCCAGGCATCCATGCGCGCCTTGTTGCCAGCCTTAGTGCTAAAATGCAGGCTCTGTGTGACCATGTTTTAACACTTCAGATCTGAGAGGTCGAGACCGTCTCCACGGAAATCAAGACCAGTGCTCATCTGAACGCATCAACCATCCTGGTAGAAAGATACCGGTGCAGCCGGGGGATTGGTGGCTTTTTGTTTCGCAATGAAACCCTGCTGCTGGAGTCATGTGCCTGGGATCTCCAAATAGCATGTAGGGTTGAGTAAGTCCGAGCAAGGAAGTGGGTGTTCCGAGCAGTCAGAGATGGAAATTTGAATTTGGATGTCGACCCGGGTCGTCATTGCTCATGATTGTTGGGCCTGCCTTTCGTAACCCTCAGTCTTCATATCCTTCAACCCTAGATCCTCCATCTCCTCGTCCGTCCGCTCGTACTCCTCGACTCTGACTTGTGGATCCTTGCCCGGGTCCGCATTCAACTGCACGAATGAGTTCGCCAACGGGTCCTCAAGGGTGATAGAATAGGGGAATTTGGCTGCGATAGCCGCGTCGAGCTTGGCAAAAAAGTTGTCCCACCTTGACCGTGTGTCTGCTGTCATTGAGTCTCCTCCCGCAAGATCTTCATCTCCCACATCAAATATTTGACTGTGAAGCTGGTCACGCACTTGGGTGAGCAGTCCCTCGACCGTAGTGAAACGCCCTCCAAGGGTGCCGGGTTGGACTTCCAAACCAAGGTCTTGACTTTTCAAAGCGCAGGACTCCGACTTCAGAATATCTCTGGACATGTCCTCAATCGTCTTAACGTCCAGCGTGATGCGCTTTCCTTTATCCGGTATTGCACCGCCAGTTTTGACATCACTCGTCCTAAAGCCACAGTGTTCACAGACAGTCGCCATGATGATGACCTCCTTGAAATGGGGAATATTGGTCTTTTTCATGTTGACTGTGCAGGGCTTTCCACAGGCAGGGCACTCGGCGTGTAGCTCGTAAACTTCATTGTCAACAATATCGACGCCTTCCATTCCGCCGCCCTCTTCTGCTGCATCATCATCGACCACCAGGCCCAGCTGTACATTCTGCTCGTGGCTTCGGAGGTAGTCCGTCCGGGAATATTTAGGGCCCTTGTCGTCTGGGGACGGTTCGATAAACGAGTTACCCGAGATATCGTCGAGCGACACAGTGAATGGGAAACTGTTGCCTTGTAACATATTCTCCAGCTTTTGAATGACTCTTTCAAGAGAATTATACAAATCAGGATTCACCTCCTTCCTAGCTGGTTGGTCACTCTCCAAGTCTGTTTTGATTTTGGTGATCATGCCCTCAAGATTGGTGAATTGGCCTGGAGCAGGTGGCGTCTCGAGGCCGAGATCTTCGATGCGGAAAATGCCTGTATCACCGCGAACAATCTGTCTCTCGAAGTCTGCCATTTTGTCCAATCTGAAAGTGAATTTTGCTCCCTTCTCTTGGATCTGTCCTGCGCTTTTGACCGTGTTGTTCTTCCAACCGCAGTGATCGCAGGAAAAGGATTCGAGAAGGATCTCCTTGAAATGCGGAATTTTAATAGGGAGGATCCTGGTTATACCCTGAAAGAGTGAGCACGTTTCTTCAAGATCTAATGCGGGTGGACGTACCTCGTCGCGACAGTTCATACATAAACTTTCGATCTCATAGACTCCGGTCTCATTGGGGTCGGCATGAACGACCGTTGGAGCTTCGGAATCAGCCATGTTCTCAACGAAAAAGAGTCGGTTCGATATGCGTGTAAGTAAGTGTCAATCCCAAACACTCAAAGATGTTATCCGCAACTCGTTGTCGTCTTAAGGTCAGGCGGAAAAAGACGCATCTCGAATCAGAATCTTTTCGAGGGACCCAGAACGATCGACGTCTGCCAAGAAAAATGGTGGGGCACTAATGCAAGGCCAGATTCTGTGCAGCCGAGGGTCCCAGAGCCTCGCCCAGCCTCGTCACCAGCCTTGCAGGCTCCTGCGCGGGTTTTGCAAGGAAGCCAGTCCATCATTTATTTCTTCATCAAGTCCATCAAGTTCAGGCTCGGGGTACTTTTGGCCTGCATGCTTCTGTTAAGGAGTGCTTGCAATCCTTCACGGTCTTTTCGTGCTTTTGCCCGTTTCTTGCTGCTTGACTTGACGGGCTTTTCCAGCAGAGGATCGGCTGGTTCGGTGGCCACCTCCTCAGAGCGTGCAGTAGGGACGGCACGGGGCTGCTGATTCCCTCTTATGTGACTCGAGTCCATTGTGGCGACGTCTTTGCTGACACGGTAGCACATCGAACATCGCCGAGATCGTACTTTGTGCCGAGAATTTCTCTTCTGTGAATGGCCTTTTGTGCTGGTCTTGACCTTCCTGTTTGTGAACCTTGTAGATACCGTCCATTCTGGTAGCATCAGGTTGCCACACGTCAAGCATGTATCTCTTGACCTGAGGCTATTACGAGCTGATGCTCCGTGATCAAGTTCTATGCTTTCGCGCAACAGCTGTCGGGACGTAGATGGCGCAAAGGTGAATATCGTACGCGCCGAATGCTGCAAGTATCTTGCTCGGGCTGCTTGAGCTTCGTTCATCGTTCAAAAGGGGTACGAGTTATGCGAGGCATGAAGTTTTCGCCTGCCTTGCCACCGACACAAGACCATTCGGCCCAGGATCATGCCAGCATGGTTTTTGGGCGGAAAAAAGTCACGAGTATATGCGTAGTAGCGCCAGTCTGTGACACGTGCACTTGCTATGTCACAGCGAGAATGGGAAATCATGAAAAGAAGGGTGATTTGTTCAAGGGGCGAGAGGGCGATGATGTCCGCGGGTATCTGATGCCAAGACCAGGCCACTGATCCCCCGGCACACAAATTCGGCCCCGCGCAAGTCCAGTCGGTTGTTGCTCCTCGAACGCCTGAGAGATCGGGGAAGAGACCCGCAGTTACATCCAGTCTCGTACTATGATGACGGGCGAGGACAAAGACATTGCTGGGTGCTTCCAACGACGGTTAATCTGGATGAACGACCTCTTACTTTGATACCGGGCTGTCTGACACCACACGTCCAACCGGGCATCCCTCGTCGCAGATGAGTCCTCCTCAGAGGTACTCGTTCGTCAATGCGCGTCCCCAGACCAAGGCCGAGAAGCGGCAGACTCGAACTGCGATCCGCTCGCACATCGGTCGATGGACACAGGAGAACCAGCAGAAGATTGAGAGCACTAAGAGTGCAGCGGGCCCGAGTGCGAGTGCCAGTGAGAGAAGCTCACCGGAATTATCGCGGACAGATTCGCTCTCTCCTGTCGAGTCGGCTCAGTCACAATCGCAGCGTCATTCACGTATAAAAGTGGCAAGGGCGGGTGATACCGACAGTTCAAGCAGCGCAAGTAATGTCGATCAAGACAGCACAAGCGACGATGTCGAAGATGATGCCGGACTTATCGTGGCGACCCCGTCCCATCTTCGGCACGGGCTCTCTCCCGCTTCGGGCGGCGCTTCTCATCGTCCCCTCATTCAAGTATTGGGATCCGGGGTGCTGGACCCCTTTCAAACCTATCCCTCGACCTTCCCTTCATCGTTGATCTCACAATGTCATGAATATTGTAAGCTCGTTGGTTTCTTTCTTGTCGCATTGGCCCATGGAGGGGCTGAACGCACAGTAGCTGACCAGTGCCTTGCTCGGTGCCATAGCATTGCAGGTCGTCTGGCCCGGTTTGACCCCCCGGCCTCTAAGCGGTTCAGAATCGGCCGCTATCCAAGGCTGGTTTCCGATGGCGCTCAACGATACTGTTGCGCTGCATTCACTTTTGTTCGGGGCGCTCAGCCATAAGAGACTGAACCTCTTGAAAGGCTCGGCCCAACCAGATGATCCTGCCGTGGCTCGGCTGGAAATGGATATGCGGCGCTGTGAGGCTGAGTCCATCTCCCTCATCAACAAAGCGCTTCGTGATCCAAACAATCCTATAACAGACGCAGTAATAGTTTCTGTCCTTGCGATGGCTACAAACGCCTGGGACTTGACCCTCGAGCGCTTCCAGACCGAACCTGCAACGCAGCCGGTATTTGATCCTTTATTGAAAAGTCTTCAGTGGCTGGACGTCTATGGACTCCTCGCCGCCCATCCCATCCATGCGGCTGGCCTCGTTCAGCTGATCGCATTGAGGGGTGGCTTAAAAAAGATTCAGACCACTGGCCTGGCTGCTATCATATCATAGTAAGCTGATCTTTGCCTGGATAAATGGTCTTTGACTGCCGTAGCTGACCGGCTGATTCTCAACACTAGCTCGGGCATTATTCAAGCGAGCAGGACATTAACTCAACCCGTTTTTCCTTTTTTGCCGCTGGTTGACGACGGTGATCGAACCGCAACGCTCTGGGGGATGCTGGGCAAATGCCCAAATGAGCTTCGGGACGAGTTTACCTATAGTAGTCTGTTTGAGCTGGGGCTCACGGCTGACCTTGCTGTGGTGTGGGTTGCCATGCAGCGATACGAACAGGGCGTTGAAATGTTTGTCGACGGTGCCCTTCCCGACCTGGATCTGGCGCGTTTGTGCGACCGGCGCAACCTCATCCAACATACTCTTTTGTCTCTTCCCTCTTACACAGACTCACCATCAGCTGCTCGATCGCAACCCATCTACGAACCGACCCGCCTTGCCCTCCTGATATACTCCCTCACTGTGATCTTCCCTCTCCCGCCGCAGACCGCCCCAATAGCCATCCTAGCTCGACAACTCAAATCCGCACTTCGAGAGTCCGACATGCGCTCTAGTTGGTCATCATCACATCAAGCTCAGCGGCTTCTGGTGTGGATTCTGGTCATTGGGGGTGCCGCCGCCAGAGACGTCCCGGAAGATCGGCTGTGGTTCATTGCTGCGCTGGGAAGACTGTCTGCACATCTCGGGATCAAGAAGTTTGAAGATCTTAAGAAAACCGTTTTAAAGCGCGTTCTGTGGCTGGACCGGGCATGCGACGACGCAGGGAAAAAGCTGTGGACGGAGATTTTGGAACTTGGTGGTTGAGGACAGTAAAAAGGGACAAACAGCCACCCGTCCTGATGAAGAAACTGTCACCGAGATAACCTGGGGCCTTGAGGCCTTGCCAGTAAACATCTGAAATTTCGCGATGGATGAAGTTAGAATAGCCTGGTGCATTACCTTGTGCACTGCCTGAAACTGGAAGAGTTCGTGTGCTAAGAACAAAGTGTCACTTACTCTTTTCAGGAAATGCCGCCGGTCTTCTGATATAAAACGCGGCCATCACTGATCGGGACGAATGATATAGGTTCTTTTGCTGTGGTCCCATGCACCCCACGAACCGCACCAGCAGCACAGATGAACTGCATGATGATGATATACATCGAAAGGGGCGACCACCGTATACGGTTGTAACCTAATTGGGTTCGGCCGGTGACCGGGTTCCTTCCAGATTGAGATGAGCGTCGAGATGGCGTGCGTCCCCGGAGAAGCGGTGCGAATAAAAGATCATGGCTTACTCTATTTTCGCCTCATCATCGGACAGCAAGTCCGTTCCATCCTGTCCCACACCCTCCAAGGCCGGAACCATGTGAACCATGTGGTGAGCCAGAGCTATTGTTGTTTAGCTAAGGAAGACAGCCTTGCTGACAGAACATCCGAACATGCTTTTCGTGACCCCGGATCTCAGTTGCCCCATGGTCCCTCCCTATCCGGCAGGTAAACACGGCCGAACATGTGCTATCTCGGGCCTTGAGTCGAGTCTCATGTTTTCTACATCGGGCATATACCATCGACACATCGATCACACTTGGACACAGAGATTCCAATCCTGCCCCATTCCCGACATGGATATTACCTGCTTCCAGCTATTAGCCGCACCAGTAAAATGCAGAATTGCGCCACCATGTCAACATAAACCATCACGATGGATATGTATATTTGGGCCTTGAGCGAGGCCAGGCCACCACCAATGGTGGCGATATAAAGCCCGAGCAGCCCAACTTCTTCGTGTCTACACCAACATCAAGTCTGTCGCCACCCGAACCCCGGATCTAACGCTCCCGCCACACTTACTTCGGTCTTGATGTAAAACGTACAATGTATTTCTCAGATGAATTGTCCGCGCAAATTCAGGCTCAAGGCCTTCTTGGCGTGGTCCCTGCCGTCGAGGACCTCAGCAGCTTAGAGCAATGCAGTGGCTGTGGCCATGACTTGCACATCGTGGCGGAACTAGCTTGGAGCCATGGCGAGAACTGCATGCAAGTTGTCCCTGCTTCGCAGAGCCAAGACCAAGCGTTTGATGCTCCTGAGACGGTGTGCAAGTCCATCCTTGCCCCTTAGCCTTGTCGTTGGGTCATGTACTAACCCCTGCTCTAGTGTCCACAAGCATGTACCTGGTCTAGTTGGGAGGAGATTCCTTTAGACACCGTCTTTCCACTAAGTGCTGCCCTTCAAGAATCGTCCCCAGCATCTGACAAGAGGGGCGGCTCAAGGTCGGCGGTCCCTTGTGCTCAAAACCCAAGCGATAAAGCGACTGAGGAGCTGCAGGCTCAGGCAAAATTGGTAAGCTCAGAAGCAAGTACGAAGCCCATGGGAATCCTCATAGTTGACCATGCACAATTTTTGCTCCAGGAGCGCCGCCGGGCTCAAAATCGCGCATCACAGCAGGCATTCCGCGCGCGCAAAGAAAGCCACATAAGAGCGCTTGAGAAACGGCTCGAGGTATTGAAGGCCGCACACGAATCAATTCTCACAGATTTTACACGCAGACAGGCCGAGATCGATCAGTTAAAGACGAGAATTGCAGAGCTCGGTGTTGAATTAAATCTTCTCTCATGTACACACAGACATTGTGAAGACGGACCACACTCGGCCGTTAAATCAGAATTTGATATTGACTATCGATTCTGAGATAGCCGTGTGGTCTGATGAATTTGAGGAACCGCTGAGAAGTGCGTCATCATTGACGTCGAGATGACGAGGATGAACAGCTCTCGAACATTTCACTTGAGGCCTTTACGATGCAGGGCGGCGCCGAGGCAAGAACTAAATTTCTGTCTCTCAGTACCATTTGCTAGCCGATCTGGCTGAAATATCGAATATTCCTATAACTCAACCACCAATAGTCCAGCCTGTTATTCATTTCACGAACCGGATGAAGCGATGGACCAAGGACGAGAATTTCCGCAAGCAAGAGTGCCATGGAGTTCCTAAAAGAGGAGAAACGTCGCGAGGCCAGTCGCCGGGGTTAGGAGATAGTGGACACCCTCTCGCCCAAAGCCGACTTGGTACTTTTTGAGCAGCATGCCCGCTGTATAACAGGAACAGAAGATCAACGTGTATAAATCCTGCCAATGGATCATACGACACGAGCACAAAGGAGCAATTCCAGCCTCATTCTTCAAGACTGCCAATGCTCGATTAGCCACGATGACTGCAACGACCCATTCGGAATACAACAAGGAAACCGAAGCCTTGGACGTCGCGAGAGCATTCCCTGAACGCATTCGAGGCAAAACAATCCTTGTGACTGGGGTGAACCGCAAGGGCATTGGCTTCACAACCGCCCAAGCCTTTGCGTCCCAGTCTCCCGCTCATCTTATCATCGCCGGACGTAATCTGTCCAAGCTTCAAGAGTGTCTCGATGAGCTCAAGCAACAATGGCCGGGCGTCGACTATCGCCTGTTGATAGTGGACCTTTCCAGTCAGAAGGCTGTTCGAACTGCAGCCAAGGAGGTCCTCTCGTGGAACGATGTGCCATCAATCGATATTGTGGTGAACAACGCCGCCGTCGCTGCCATACCGGAGCGCACGATCACTGAAGACGGGATCGAGCTCATCTTTGCCACAAACCATATCGGACACTTCTTGTTCACTTGTCTCATCATGCCAAAGCTCATTGAAGCAGCAAAGTCCAATATGAAGGGAGCAACACGGATAGTCAATGTGAGCTCCGGTGCAGCCGAATGCAACGGCATCCGATGGCACGACATCAATTTCAACAAAAAGTCCACAGATCTTCCCGAGGAAGAACGCCCTAACGACAAGATCCTCAAGATGTGGGGAATTCACAACTGGCCAGAAATGTCGTACATTCCGTTGGAGGCATATATTCAGAGTAAAGCAGCCAATGTACTGTTTGGCATCGGACTTACAAAAAGGTTGTACGAGACCCACGGCATACTGAGTGCTGGCGTCCATCCTGGAGTGATTGCAACGGAGCTGTCGAGGCATTCATCAGAAGAACAGAAGGATGCCATCGCCGCGAGGGCTCGAAAGGGGGAGTTTAAGTACAAATCACTGGGTGCAGGGGCAGCAACGAGCCTGGTTGCCGCCGTAGATCCTCAACTAGGCCCTGGCGAGATTAGAGACGGCAAAGAGGGATGGGGAGCATATCTGAAGGACTGTCAAATCTCGCCCGATGGGCATCCTCGAGCAACATCGAGCGAGGAGGCGGACAAGCTATGGAAGCTGTCAGAAGACCTGGTGGGGGAAACGTTTTCCTGGTGATGGCGACACGGTTGATAGTATGATGTGTTCAGCAATGCCCAGTGCTGGTTCCCTAATGAATCAACGAGCTCCCATTTGCTGTCGATCCTTGGCTCGTGGAATGATACTTATATATGAAAGACAGCGCTATGGGCCAAGGAGCGTCGAGGATGAGATCTCCAGCCTGTAAAAGCGGCAGAATTTGCCAAGCCAAAATGGCCACGGCGGCTCCAAACATTTTGTTCCTCGCTCGTTTCCCTCCATCTGTGGTCCTTTCTGCCGTCCAGGTAAATGCACAAGACACCCCTATTCACGTCTCGATTTAATCCAAGGCTCTGGAAATTCTCGTCACGGATCCGGCATTACAATAGGAGCGCAGACATTTCCCCTTGTGCGAGCTTTCCCCACAGGTTTCGCCCTTGTAGCTCGAGGGGTCGGCCATTGAATCGCCCCTCGCAAAATGTGGTAGCCATTCGCCACGCTTCTTCATCGTCCAAAATCGCTGGATCGAGAGGGAAAATGTCGGAAGTTGAAGGGCAGAAGGAAAGAGGCGTGCGGATCGCCGTCGAGGGTTGCGTGAGTGGTGCGGAACTGGAGTTTTGTGACCGTTCTCTAATCTTGTGATTTAGGGTCATGGGACACTCCATGCCATCTACGCTTCAGTGGAAGAGGCTTGTCGCGTCAAAGGCTGGGACGGCGTGGATTTGTTGATAATCGGAGGAGATTTTCAGGTCAGTACATTTGTGCGCGCATCATCAAAAAGCTAATGGACAGCAGGCAGTACGAAACCAACATGACCTCAATGTCACAGCCATGCCCGTAAAGTACAGACGCATGGCAGACTTCCATGAATACTACAGCGGTGTCCGAACTGCCCCATACCTCACCGTCTTCATTGGCGGGAACCATGAAGCGAGCAATCACCTCTTTGAACTTTATTATGGTGGATGGGTTGCCCCGAACATCTACTACCTCGGTGCTGCCAATGTGATTCGACTGGGCCCTCTCCGGATAGCTGGGCTGACCGGGATTTGGAAAGGATACGACTACCGGAAACCCCATTTCGAGCGTCTTCCATACAACCAAGAGGACATCAGTAGCATCTATCATGTTCGGGAGATCGATGTCAGAAAACTGTTGTCTCTCCGGTCGCAGGTCGATATCGGCCTCTCGCATGATTGGCCACAAGGTGTCGAATATTCGGGAGACTATAAATGGCTTTTCCGGAAACGAAAGGACTTCGAGACTGATTCAGCTGCTGGGAAGTTGGGGAGCGTAGCTGCAAGACAGTGCTTGGACCGGTTGCGGCCGCCGTATTGGTTCTCTGCACATCTTCACACCAAATTTGCTGCTGTCTTCTCTCATGACAAGAGTGACACTTCCCAACAGGCAAGCTCCAGATCCATTCTGACCGCTAGTAATGTCACACCACGGCCAGAAGACCGCCAGCAAGTGTCAGCATGGCAACAATTTCGTGGCTCCGCTCAACAAGAAGATGCTGAAGAAAGAGACAGGATTTTAAGGGAGCGGGAAACGGAACGGCTGCAGGAAGAAAAGACCGGCAACCCTTCCGGTCCACAATACTCATTCGATGAGACTTTTAACAAGGTCGGCACGGGGAACGGCCTCGAGCGTATGGTGGTATCCTCGACTCGGAGCCAGGTCAACTCGGAGGAGCCGGACCCTATCCCACAACTTGACGGCTGCATCTGCTCAAGACCGGCCAAGAGGCAACGCCTAGAAAGTGGGCTACCGGACTCGGTCCACGATGTAACAGACAGCGAAGTTCGACCTGACACGTCTGGAGCTCAGTTTGACGGTGCCACTGCTAGCTTGCTTGCACCCCCAAGACCCGCGGTGGCCAACCCAGACGCTATCGATCTTGACATGAGCGACGATGATGAGTCTACCGCAGTACCTAGTGAGAATGCTGCTACGCCGGGAAGCAAACCTCTTCAAATCTTTGCTGCAACCAAAGCCACCAACAATGACAGCATCAAGAGATTGGATCTGCCTCAGAGTCTGTCTGAAGAGAGCGAGGACGGTGGTGTCAAGCTGAACCCGCATGCCTCATCCTTCACCCCAATGCCCGGTATTTCTCCCCTGCGACGCGAAGTAAGTCGCTCCGAAGTTTCGCTTGAGCCTTCTGGGATGTCATCTGAGTCGGAGCTGAACCCACGAGCACAACTATTCGACCCGCAGCCACCTGCCAGCCGAAGCATTGGAGGCATGCCAGAACAGTCACATGCTGAACCAGTACCACCCGCGCAGTCGCAGGCCGTGCAAAGAAACGACGATGTGCCCCAGGAAATAAGAGATCAACTCGCGGCTCTATCGCAGAATTTCGTCAAGAAGGAACCAGTCGAGGTCTCTCCATCACTGCCATTCCCGGAGGATATCACCAATAAAACAACCTACTTCCTAGCCCTTGGCAAATGCGAAATGTACCAGGAATTCCTCCAGCTTCTCGAAATTCAATCCATGACTTCTCCGGAGGAAGAGATCCAGCGTCCCCTCAAACTTTGCTACGACCCGGAGTGGCTTGCCATCCAACGAGTTTTTGCCCCGGAGCTTCAACTCGGCGGGAACCCGAAAGACAGAGTTCCTCCACATCGGGGGGAGACGTACTACACTGACCGAATTGTCGAAGAGCTGGAATGGGTCGCCGAGCATGTGGTCAAGCCCGGTAAACTGCAAGTTCCAGAGAACTTCAGCGTGACTGCGCCAGTCTACGACCCGAGTCTACGGGTTGCGCCTGACGAGATGCCGCGCGAGGTGAGCAATCCGCAGACGAGCGCGTACTGCGAGCTGATCGGGATTGAAAACAAATTCGACATCAGTGAGCAAGAGAGAGATGCCAAGATGCAGCAGGGGCCGAGACCCGAGAGTGCCGAGTTTCAGGCGTATCGTGACCGACCGCGTCAACATGGACAAGGTGGTGGTGGCGGTGGTAAAGGTCGTGGTAACCATCGCGGCGGCGGCGGGAGAGGAGGTGGCCGAGGAGGTGGCCGAGGAGGCGGCAGAGCACGAGGGAGAGGACGGCGGGGTTAGAAAGGGGATTGTGACGACGGTTTGGTTGCTGACAGCGAGGATACTTGTTCTTCGCCCGAACAGCAAGCAAATACAAAATCAGGCATTGCAGAGCATTTGCACACTGTCCCCCCTGTGTACGGGTTTCGTGTACAATAGCCAGATAGATTGATTGAGATTTCGTCAAAAATTGATACCCCCAAGCAAAGAAGAGAAAGCGGAGCCGGATTCATCTGTGTACACAAGTACCAGGCACGGGTCGAGGTGTAGCAAGTACTAAGTGTCACAGAGCAAATGCCCTGCTCCTCCTCATCGAAGGTTCATATACCTGGAGACAGACATTGTTGTCCTCTGGAATTGCTCATTGATTCACCCAGGATGAGGACTGTGAAATGTCGGTATCTTTCAAGCAATTGATTCATTTATTCTATAGTTACCAAACACTGTTCACACAACAGCAGCAGCAGTGGCAAGAGCAGCAGCGTACTTCCCACCCTTCACACCAGGCCCGGCGGCGGCCTTGTCCGCCCTGTCCAGCCTGCGCAGAAATTGCTTCTTCCACGTCTCAAACTCACGCGTTCGGTCGGCGCTCAGCAGGTCCAGAGCGTCTTGCATCATGGTCGCTAGGCCGGGCAGGAGGACGCCGTCGGGATCGTCCTCGAGGTCGAGGTCGTCTTGATGCATGGCGCTTCGGCCGTTGCTTCCACGCGCTGCGGCATCCGCGGCGAGGACGAGATTGCGTCTCCGTCGTCCCGATAGGATTGGATCCTCTTCTTCTTCTTCCTGGTCGTCGTCTCCGTTTTCGCCGTCTTCATCGCCACCTCGGTCGAATCGACCTGCACGACTCCCCTTTCCAGCGCCATCGACACTCGGATCAAAATCAAAGACTTTCTCCGGCACGCTGGCCCACCAGTCCTGGCCGCGACAGTAACCCTCGCGGTTGATCCGGCGGATCCACTCCTCCACGCCTTTCGTCCCTGGCTGATACTCCAGGACTGCGACAGCCCTGGCGCACGTAGACTTATATACACCAGTTGTCATGGTTGCGGTCTGCATGCGCGTCAAGGCCATTAGATAGAGGGCGGTCAGGAGACCTGTCACGGTTTCGGTCTCTTGGGAGGACTTTTCGTCGTTGCCCGGTGCGTCTTCGTCCGGAGGCGGCCACAGACCGCTGAGTTTCAGCACGATGCAGACGCCGGTGTAGACGTGCGGGGCAAGCAGGGGCGTTGAGAAGGTCTTGCACAGTTTGCGGATGAAGGGCATCGTGTAGTCTGGTGCTTCGCCGTCATTCTTTCCGTTGTCGCTCTCGGTAGCCTTCCTCCTCGCGCTGCTCGCTTTGATTTTTCCAAGGAACTCATTTCGTCCCGCTGCTGTAGATTTCGTGGGTGTCACTGGCTCGCTCTCAGCGGTCATCCGCTTCAATGCCCCGTCTGCCGTCCTCTTCCTCCCTCCTCCCGGCGTCGATTTGGGCGTTGTGCCATCCTCATCCAACACCCTCTCCAAGAACGCCACCAACTTCTTATACACGGCCGGCTTACAGGGTGCCCCTCCCGTCTTGACCGCGGGCAACCGACACTTCACTCTGAGCCTGTTGCACGCGATCTCGCAACACGCATAGGCACGGGCGATCTCTTCCTCGGGTTTCAGGTGCGAGGCCCGCTGGCGGGATTGCGCGAGGAGGGATTCGCAGAGATGGACTAGGGCAGCCGGGGAATTGGCGGCGTGGCTTGGGAGGAGGCCGTTGAGGGATTGTTGGATGGCGGGGGAGGAGGGCATTCTTTTTCTCTTTTCTTGTTGAAGAGAGCAGAGGGAGAGGGAGAGTAAAAAAATAAGGCGCAGTGGAAGGGGGGAAAGTGGTTACATGGTCTGCGTTGGGCTTTTCCATTGACAAGCGCAGACGTCACTTTGAACATTTCGAGACGCGTCAAGGGCGTTTGGGGCGCGTCCCGAGCAGTTGGCTGTTGGGGAGCGGAAATATACCGCTACAATGGCACAAACCCAGTTCGAGGGTCAAAGCACAGCTCACCATCTTCCTGTTATTCTGTTCCACGTCATGAAGCATGCCTCCGTCAGACCAGCTCCTTCAAGGCGCTCACAAATGGCGTGAACAGATCCGAATAGACTGCACCTTTGGCCCGAGATCTGGCTCTTTGACGAGTCTCGGATTGCATTGAATGTTGGTAATGACCATGAACGGCACTATTTGACCTCATCTGTCTGTTCAACTCCTTTCTCGCATTGTGCTTTAGACAACTTCACAGAGCACGGACCGTGTGACCCCTCCCCTACCCAACCTATCCTGCTCTTCACGGTGCTCTGAAGACTGCTCCGAACTGATCCCCAGTCACTGCAGGAAGCCCTCGAGCCGCAACCTCTGCAGGCACGTCGTCGGAGCCCGGGTAGACCAGACCTGCCCAGAACGGTTGCTGGCATGCGGTATCACTACATAACATAGTCAGTCGTTGGAATGAGTTCGTCTCTTTCAGATAACAGAACCACTGAGGCCACAACATGGAGCGCAAACTGATGACGTGTCAAATGGTTCCCACCTACCGATAAAGATCGACCTTAACGCCCTGATCAGGCCCAACCGAAGCCCAGCCACCGTGTGATGTGATGATGGCGCATTCGTTGTAGGATGATGGGTCGATTGGTGTCCAGAAACACGTGCCTTTCCATTGCGGATATTGGCAGATGTAGATCTAGCGCCGACGAGTCAGTGATATTCCGGAGTCTTCTCGAGACCTCAGGTATCGCCCATAAAATGAGCGTGAGGTCGGCAGGTCTGGAGGCAAGGGAAAGCAAGGCAAGAGAGAGAACTCACGCCGTTGGTGGCTCGATCACCCAGTTTAGCGGCAGCGTTGGTAGCATTGAACTGAATCCCATTCTCAGCAGCAGGACTGCCCTCAGCAGAAAGCGTTGCAGTGACAAAGCCAACAGAGCCCAGCAAACCGAGCAGGAAGGCAGAAACCCCGGAGGAGCGGGAATTCATCTTTGTGGGGACGAATGACTTGAATGAGCACCTCTGACTTTATTTGACGGAGTTGAGATGGGCTCTCTGACGTCCAAGGTCGTGGAGTCGTTGTCGGTAATGGAAAAGGGCCACGGGTCGAGCTTGTGAGAAAGAGACAATGGAAAGTGAAAGTGAAAGAGAAGAGAAACACTTCGACTTGAATAGTTTTTCTGCACGCGTCACCGCAACACACGATGAGAACAAAGAAGCCGGCGAGGTGAATCACTGACAATGAAAGCAAGACAATCACGGCGCAGGCTGCATGATCTGTATATGCGCCTGCCGCTATCCGACCATTGCCCACTATGTTGTCCACCAGCCCGTGCGCATCTTTCTTCTCCCAAGAGTTGCACAAAGCACCGAGAGAGTCATAACGAGGCACCCTTCACTGAGTAAGTGACTGTCTGCCTCGCTAAATGGCTGTACATCAACGGCCCCCTCCTCCCTCCTACGGCATGTAGACACTCATCTCCAGCCCATTCGTGTACGGCAGGGTCAAATTCCTGAACCCACTGCCAGGGTCGCGCATGTACTCCAGCATGTCCTTGTACTTGTCGGCGGATCCGATGGTGTTGTCAGCGATGACCACGGCGCCGCGCCGCATTTTGGGCACGCACAGTTTGAGGACGGGCAAGGCCATAGGAGTCCAGACTGTCGGTGCGGTTGGTCAACAAACACACCAGTACCGACGAGTGCGATGACAGAAAGAAGGCAAGGGAATTCTGCTTAGAGACTTACTGTCCAACAAAAGCAGGTCGATCTCGGGTAAATCCTTCTTGAGGGTCTCGCGAATGTCGCCCTCGCGCAGCTCAATGCAGCCCGTGATATCCTCCCCTACCTCCTTCCAGTGCTGACGGGCCTTGTCGGCCTTTGCTTTCTCGTACTCGGTCGCGATGACCACTCCTTTTCCTCCCGCGGCATCATTCTTGACATTCGCCGACACGGCGAGCGCGAGGTAGATGGTGCTAACCCCGAAGCTGGTGCCGGCCTCGACGACGTTTTTGGCATTGATGGCCCCGCAAAGCTGGTACACGAACTCGGCCTTGTCGCGGTCCAGCGCGATGAACTTGTCCCTCATGTAGTTGTCGAACCCCTGCGTCTCGACTTCTGCGGGTTGGATCGCGTCTTCCTGCGTGCGAGACGCCGCGTGCAGTCGATCCAGGAGAGCCAATACGTGCGGCGGAGCTCGTACCGGCGAGGGAGACTGCGCCGAAGAAGCCATGGTGTGGTTTACCCTTGCAAAGAAAACAACAGGAAAAGAAAAAGGAGCCCCGATCGCTGAGGTATGGAACCCCCAGGCTCAAACACAACGCTTTTCAAAACGAGGAGTTGCGTGAAATGCCAATGCTGGATCGTCCTCAATTTTTGGGCTTCTGTTCAAATACCGAGTACTTCTTTGGTCCCCAAGCACCGAGTTCGGAGGACGACAAGGGTGACTCACCAGCTACATGCGGATATTAGGCAATGGTTTAGGTAAAAGATAGGTATGCATTCAATAATTTGCTCAGACGCTCTTGACTCATTCTCTAGAGAAAACGCGGCTTTGTTTCCGGGGTCAGTGGGAGACGGAGTAGAGGAGGACTCAACTTCACAGCCTTGTGTGGGGTGCATGCTCTGGGGTTCTCACCCGCAAGACCAGTTCAGTTCAGCCTTGCCACCCAGCAGGGGGTCAGCACTGCCTCATGCTCAAGGACGAATATAGTATCCTCTCACTCACTGGGCGATATAGAGACTCCTCTTCTTTCGTAGGCTCTCGTAATTGATCCAAATCTTTCCTTTCGCCGTTGCCGGCACAGTGAATGGGAAATACAAGCGTTGAAAGTCCCCACATCACTGCTCATTCACATTCAGACGTCCCAAGAGCATGCACCCACCGGGTCTGGTCCAAAAAAAGAATATTCCTTGTATATATTTTATTCTTTCGAATTTGACCATCACACCAAGACCCCCTTACCACGACAAGGGCGAAAAACACCGAGTTCGATCCACACCTTGAGCACACCTAATCTAGGTCCTGTCTGGTCAAACTAGCAATAACGGGTTAGCAGGCAGCAGGACCTCGATTCGAACCTCCTCATCCTCCTCCTCCTCCTGGACTCAACTTATATATCTGTAGTATAACCGGCCGAGAAAAACCAACCCGCAAGGGCGAGTTTCGCTTATCATGAACCAGAGTTGAGCTGCTTCATGAATAAGTTTTTGCCCTGCGCCAGTCTGTTCAGATGGCGCCGGCTGGTAGTCATTGCCTTTTGGGTGTAAGCATACAAGATACTCGTTGCAATGGATTGTCAGTAAACATCCACGTCAACAGTTACCGCAACTCTCGACATAAACCTTTCAGACTGTCTGCGATTTTCTCCCAAGTCATTCTCCATCATCTCCCTTGAAACCATTGCGCAAGGACTCCTCGGTGTAAAAGTGCAGCTTGACGTCACTGGGGTAATTTGCACTCTCGAAACATGAAGTCCATTCGGCCAACGACAGTGTGTCTGGAGAGTCAAGCGATACTTTCACGTAGAATGAGGGGCTGTAAAGGCTCTGCGTCGAGGTGGTCGGGCGCTTGGTCGCACTAGTCGAGCTCGAGCTCGAGCTCGGTAAAGCTCGAAGCTTGATGCTCGGATGGTCAAGGTTGGGGTACCTTTTGTGGTATGGCGACGTGATCCTTCTCCACTCGTCTCTGTCATTCCTATTGTATTCATCGAGTCGATCCCTCAGCATGTTGATGGTCAAACTGGACCTTGAAGTCTTCAATTCACCTAGGACTTCAATCACAGCTCTCAGGAACGAACGGCCGTATGCGTATGCAACACTTTGGCGGTCTGAGGCTGCCAGAATCTCGTTGGTGCCCTTCATGCCACCCAATACAGCATTTCCTGCAAAGCAACAATTCAGGATGATGAGTGTATCGCACGGGGCGCTGTGGAGTAATGGCTGTATGTTCGACCAGTTCACGCCTTCCGTGTATCTCGAGCTCTGACGACTGATGAACCCGGTTAGACTCCGTTATTTTGGGACAGAGCATTGCAGACTTACGGTATCCACACTGACGGACCATATCCACTTTGTCCTCCCGGGATGTCGAGCGGGTTGAAGCCGTGCCCGGCGTAAACGACAATAACCAGCTCATCCTTCTTCCCATGCTCTTCTATCAGTTCGTCAATCTTCTTCGCAAGCGTGTTTTGGGCGTTCTTCTCTGGGATCTTGAAGATATCGTAGACAAGAAAGTTAAAGTGTGCCATGAAGCATTCTTGAGCCTTTTGAGCTCTTCTTGAAGTTGAAGATCAGGTTCCACTGTTTCAAACATGATCGGCAGCACCGAAACCTTAGAGTAGCGTCCATTGTGTGTCAGATCGTCATTGATTCGCTTGGTGTTGTTCAAGCTCTTGACAAGTTCCTCGATTTGGCGGGGGACCAGAGAGCCTGCGCCTTCCGATTGAGATCGTCTGCCGGGACGAGTGAACTCGACACGAACACTTCGCACTGTCTCTGGAGCTTGACTTCCAAGCTGTTTCCATGCGGCGGGATTGTCCGCAACACGTGGAGAGATCGAGAGGTCGTAGGTTACTCGATCGCCGGATTGAGATTGAGCCTGTCCACGCGTCTGGCGCGCATCCAGGCCGTCATGCAACCAGCGATGGATGATAGAGAGCTGCTCGGGATCGGTGGTCGGGCTCTGCATGAGCACTTCCATTCGCACATCAAGATCATCGTGTCTTGATCTCGGCGAAGGTGGCCTTGTCGAGGACTCGGATGAGGCCTTTTCTCGCGTGCGTTCATAAAAGTCTTCTAGATCAGCAAAGCCTGACGAGTCAGAGTTGTCTTCGTAGTGAGCGCTCATCTTGTCAGTCAGAAGCTATAACACTCTCTGTGAAAGCAGCCCGGCACTGAATGTGTCCTATGATAGAAAGAACAACGGGCAGATTTCTTCAGCCTCAAATACTCGCTGTCAGGAGGCCCTGCTCTTTTTGAATAATTGCTACAAGGCATCAACGTCAATCGACGAGGTTCCCATCAGGCAGCATGAGACCTGAAGCGGGGTGCTTGATTGAGGTGTTTTCGCCAGAATCGTGACAACCAACCACCGCTTGCCTCTCAGGTTACACAGCATGCTCTGTGGCAAAGCTGAGGAGTCGGCAAGCGAAGGGGCGGTGCGTTGGCATCTGATTGGCACATGGTGCATGATCCCTTGAGCCGCACAAGCCACAAGTCCGGGGTTTGTCCCAATGATCGGCTGGCATGTCCAAAACCGAGACGTGAAGCCTGCTTGTGTCAGCGCCTCAGCAGCTGAAAAGCCAACCAGGAATTTCTCTTGCTAGCCTTGTCGTCGAGAAGTGTGAGTTGGCTTGGACCCAATTCGCCCGAGGTTTGTCTGCCTGCGTCATCTGGTTGGTAGTCGTTGCCTTCTTGGAGACCAAGGATGGAAACTGCTCGTTGCCTAACTGCCTGATGGAATGTCAGTCGTACATCCACGTCAAGAAAAAGCCATGGTCCGGTCACTGAGATCTTTCCATCACCTGGAAGAAGAAAAACTCCAAATCTCTTCACCATGGCATTCAGCTCGACGCCCTTTGGCTTCCCTTTCAGTAAAAATGCCAGCACGAGTATTCGTGGTTCAATTTCGGAGGCTACACGCCGCCCAAGCATAGCCACCCCGTCTCGTTCGAGCGCCGAGTTCGGCCATAGCGAGTTGGGCTCCCCGAATCAGCAACTTCCGCTGTACTCTGATACATTCCGGGTTATCGTCATAGGTTCACTGAACTTTGACCACATCTGGGTTGTACCCCGTCTCCCGCAACCATCTGAGACCTTGATGATTGCCAAGCATAAGACTGCCCCTGGGGGCAAGGGAGCCATCCAAGCAATAGCGTGTGCAAGACTCTCACACGCTCGCAGTGCGAGCCCCGGTGGTGCAGGACGTTTTCCCCGGAGATCCGAATCCTATCACGCTCCGAGTGCCAGAAGACCTAGTAGCCAGGACCTTAAGAATGTTAGCATTAAAGTCAGCATGATCGGTGCCGTTGGAGAAGACCAAGCGGGACACCGGATAGTGCAAGCTCTTTACGCAGACAGGGTTGACACTGAACATATCCTTCAGTGCCGAGACGAGGAGACCGGGAGAGCGAGCATTGCCCTAGGAAAGAACGGCGAGAACAATGTGCTGGTCTGTCCTGGTGCCAATTACAGGCTGACTCCGAACCAAATTCGGGCGGATCTTCGCGAAGGTTCACCGCATCTCCTCATTCTGCAAATGGAAATCCCTGTTCAGACCGTTGAACACCTCATCAGGAAGGCTGCAGAGGAGAAGATCCCGGTTTTGCTCAATGCAGCCCCAGTAATGGACAGCTTCCCGCGAGATATTCTTGGATCTGTGGAACACCTCATCGTCAACAAGCTCGAAGCCGAAGACCTACTGAACCAACGCTCGACCGCGAGCAACGTGTCAGGGCAACGGTTCGAACAAGAGGGAGATCGAGAAGTGGAAATAGCGAGGGGAAGAGAACTGTGCAAATCCTTGCTGGGGTTCGGCATGAAGTACGCTGTTGTCACAATTGGAGGCCATGGAGGGGTGGCTGGTTCCAGATCAGAAGACGGTAAAACACACATCTCCGATTACAAGGCTGCAGATGTCGAAAAGGTCGTCGACACAACAGGCTGTGGCGGCGTCTTCATCGGGGCGTATGCGGTTCAGTACATCCGGCAGAAGTTCTCGGTGGGAGGAGGGTTTGACATCGCTCGAGCTGTGGCTTGGGCGGCCAAAGCAGCTGCCATGAAGGCCAAGTCTTTCGGCTCTCTCGAGGGGATACCATGGGAAGATGAGCTTGATGCAGCCTAAGTGGAGGCAACTGAGACAGTCGTTCTCTGAGGTTGTGATGCGCGGATAGTCCTTGCCATTTGAGACGGTTGTACTATGCAAGATATGCTTGGAAGCGATGGGCAATCGATGGCCACTGGGAATCATGGTGATTTCCATGTTGAGATCTTGGTGTACAACGCTGTGTCACAACTCGATCGGCGTCCGAGGAATTCTGGGCGCACGATCAGAAACCTAATGGTCCACGGGAAAATGTCAAACAAGACGATAACCGAGTGGCCAAGGAACCTAGCCTTCGTGCTAAAGCAGGATGTGCTTGTTTGGAGCTTTCTTTGGACAGACTGGAAAATCAGTTATCCAGGGGTCGCAATGACCAAGTTGGTGGCAGTGGTGTTTCATGAAAGTGTCTCTCTGAATGTTAAGGAGGAAGAGTCTGCCACTCGTGCCACTCAGCTATCGGATACCTACCTACCAGGTAGGTAGCGAGGTAGGTACCTAGGTACCTAGGTAAGTACCTACGGAGTACTGTGTAAAGGGCTCTATCAGGCTAGTAACAAAGTGGCCTAGTGCCTCGGCCCAGTTGCCCCCTGGTGACACAATACAGATGCCACTGCAATTGATCTCACGAGAAGCATTGATCAACGCGATTTCTTCTCATCGGCAGTCTTCGTACATTGCTCCAAGACATCCCAGAATGCATGAGTATGCAACTTTCGAGGAATCCTTACGCCTCTAACAACGCCATCTGGTCCCACCTCTACTTTCTCCACGATGGTCCTGCCCACTTGTCCTCTGACCGAATCCAATGGGCTATGTGCTCCGTCTGTTACAACTTTGACATTGTACCGATCGCCGTCTTCCTCGTATATGCCACTAGAATAGCCAAACAAGGCAGCAACCGCGAGTGGATCATGTAACGGAGGGCCTTCATACACATCGAACCACTCGACATAACTTTGTGCGAAGAAGGTAAGAATCTCGTGAAGAAAAAGGCGCAGCTGGCTTGGTTTCTCGGATCCCAGGAACCGTTCTCGGACCTCCTTGGTCGAGAGGCATTGATGCGTCAGATCGAGTGTGACGAGGGTTGTCTTCGCTGATACCACTGGGTTCGAGAAGACTGCTTGGGCCGCTTCGGGATCGCAATAGATATTGAATTCTGCCCAAGGAGTCTCGTTGCCAAACCCTTCCCCTTGACCTAGGGTTTTGCCGAACTCTTTCGAAACCTGAGGGCAAAAGTCGCCTCCGACCGCACCACCCATGATGCTCAAACTAGCAAAGCACCCGATTAGAAGCAAGGTCCTTTCATTTCCAGGACTGGAGGCCCGGCGACAGGTCCAAAGGCATGCTCGACTTACCCAGCAAGGTGGTGGGCGACCTCCGGATAGGCTGAAAAGAGCAGAGCTGCATTCGTGCAAGGCCCTGTCGCCACATACCACGCTGTTTGAGGTGGCTGGGCCATGATGGCGTCGCGAGTGGCGACCAGGAAATTTACATCCTTGACGATATTTGTGGTTGGCTGGGGAAGAAGACTCGTACCACCCAAACCCGTGGGACCTGGGATCGGTCAGCACCTGAGCATACGGTCCCTCGCAGGGGCGTGTGCACCATGAATGTCGGGTGTGTCGACTTCGTCTCGGCAGAAGGGCTTCAGCGATCCAGGATAGACCTTGACATCTGTCCTTCCCACAGCATTCAGGACAGCGCTTGAGTTGTTCGTCGTGTGGACCTGAGGAGCATTGCCGTGGGTTGAGCTAACACCAAGGAATTTCAACTGCGGATGATGTGCCGCAATGAGGATGGCAAAGACGTCCTACAGTCTCTCAGTTGGTCGTGTTCTTCTGTGATGGAGGGAAGGATCGTACATCGTGCCCTGAGCAAGGTCAGCAGCCACCATACTTTGCCATACAGACGAGCACGGATTGGGCTTACCTGTGTCAACATCCAACCAGACTGGGATTCTCTTGTCCATGTCGTCCGTCATGATGTCGCTTTCAACCGAGGTCTCTTTTGTTGAGCCTCCTCCGTCCCTGGACAGATCAAAACAACCTGGACTCTAGAATATGTCTGTGCTCGCTTAATTTCCCTGCCAAGTCCAGAAGTCTGTGGCCCTTTCAACACTTTATGTTCCAGATGGTCTGATTCATTGCTAACCCCTGGTATTTCAGCAGAGTCCAGCAGTTCTCACTGGCCACAGAAGTGGACATTGCCGCGTGCAGTACTCCGAAGCGGGTCCTTAATACAATGCTAGTGCGCCATCAGATCCTTCTGTGTCATCTCGCCAGTCAGAGTTTGCCGTACACCAATACACGGCCGATCTCCTATCTCGGGTGCAGTAAGCTAGCGCAAGCTATCACTGCCGTTCAGGTCGGGCGCCGATAACAGTGGCACATTGCTTACCAGATTTCACACCCATGTGGCCCTTTAGCTTATCGCGGGGTGAGACCTTCTTAAGCTGGTCAAGTCTGACAGTTTGCAGTCTAGGCCCGACGTCTATCAATGTCTTGGAGATAAGGATGGAGAACGCGTGGCGAGACCTCCTCGTCGCCTGCATTGATATGTCTCATGAAGACCTCGAGCACTCGAAACGTCTCGTAGCAAACCTCTTCAGCATAATCACAAAAACAAAAACAGTATGGCGACCAACGAACCGAACAGCAACCCAGCAGCGGTGGCCGATGATGTCCTCAATCTGGAGAGCTTCGGCTACAAGCAGGAGCTCAAGAGAGATTTCTCGCTCTTCGGCATGGTCGGCTTCGCCTTTTCCGTCTTGACATGCTGGACCGCCCTGGGAGGTTCTTTAGTGGCTGCCATTGAAGCAGGAGGCCCGCCGGTCATCATCTACAGCTGGATCGGGGTTTCTTTCTTCTCCCTCTTTGTGGCCTACTCGTTCGCCGAAATCTGCAGCGCCTTCCCCGTGGCTGGAGGTCAGTACTCGTGGGTTGCCATCTTGACGCCGCCAAAATGGGCACGGCTTACCTCTTACCTGTGTGGCTGGTTCATTGTCATTGGCTTCTTGTCTGCAGGGGCTGCGAATGGCTTCATCGGCGCCAGCTTCGTGCTCGGGATGGCCCAGCTTGCCCATCCAGACTTTGTCATTGAGAGGTGGCACACATGCCTGGTTTGCTATCTTGTCCTGATCCTCGCCGCCGCAGTCAATGTCTGGGGTCGCCATCTATTGAACAAGATGGGCAAAGTCATGATCACCTTTAATCTGCTCTCCTTTGTGGTCGTTATCATTGTCATTTTGGCCAAAGACAAGCATAAGGCGAGCGCTTCCTTCGTCTTCAGTGACTTCAACAACAACACCGGATTTGGCAACTCGTACGCAAGCTTGTTGGGAATCCTACAGGCAGCGTTTGGAATGACAGGTTACGATGCAACGGCACACATGACGGAGGAGATGCGCAATGCCAGGCATGATGCTCCAAAGGCAATCATCTGGTCGGTCTGGATTGGTGCATTCACTGGGTTCGCCTTCCTAATTGCGTCCTTCTTCTGCATCCGCAACCTGGATGCTATCGAGACGACCTCGACAGGTGTGCCTCTGATAGCCATATTCTACGAAGCTACTGGCAGCGTGGGCGGCGCAATTGGCCTGACCACCCTCATCACCATCATCGCTTTGGTCAGTTTGTGCTTTCTCATGGCTCAGAGCTCGAGGGTTGTCTTCTCTTTTGCACGCGACCATGGACTGCCCTTTTCTGGCATCATCAGCAAGGTTCATCCTACGCTGCATGTTCCTATCTACAGCATTTTGACCGTCCTTGTCGTCAACATGGCTTTGATGGCCATCTACTTCGGGTCGGTGACGGGCTTCAATACCGTGCTGGGCATTTCCACGGAAGGCTTCTATTTGTCTTATATCATGCCACTCCTGGTCCGCATTTGGGGCCGTCTGCAAGGCAGAGAGGGAATCGACAGCGCCTACTCTCTGGGTCGGTTCGGCATGTGGTTCAACATCATCGGCATCGCCTACTTGGTGTTCGCGGCTATCGTGTTCAACTTCCCCTCCGTCAGCCCCGTCAACGGCGACAACATGAACTACACTTCGGCTGCCGTCGGCGTCTGCGGTCTGATTGCTGCCATTACGTGGGTGACGACGGGACGCACGAATTTCACAGGTCCTCAGCGAGGTGGCATTTTGGAAGGACGACTCCCAAGGCTCGACGACGATGTCCACCACGTCAAGCCTACTCCGAAGTCCAAGGGGCTCGAGAATTGAAAAAAGGTGTGACTAAGGTCAGCGCTCACTTGTACAATTACTCTCGTGTACAAGCACTTGTCCGGAATGGACTGGCGTATTTTCTTTTTGTTTATGGGATCTGGCGGGTGGATCGTTCACCTCCTTTGCATACCGACATCAAGGGGGCCCTTGTTCGGAATGAACTGACGACGATATGAATACAGCAGGATTTGGTTTTATTATGATACCCTCACCTTGTACTATTATGATTGAGCGATATGGTACGGGCACTTGACCGGTGATGGTCTGGGGTACAGCACTTTTCCTTTAATTGATATTTACAGACTGTCGTTTGCGTTTCGCGTTTGCATCGTCGCTTCGCGATGAGGGACAAACGCTGCTAGCAGAGAACAGTAGCTACCTATCTACCTAGGTACCTACCACTTAGTAGTGCATACTGAATCTATACACTCATTTGCACGTAATCAGCCCGCCTCTCTTATGTTCTCCTTCTCTATATGTATCTCTCTCTATCTCTTTCGCCATAAGGATCCAAGCAGTTTGAAAACCCCCGCCGTGTCCTCACGCTTTCAGATCCTTGCCCGCGACCAATCTTCCACCCACCCACACCTTGCGGATCGATCTGTCGTCACCCATAAAGACCCACTTCTTCAACAAGGCCATATCGTCGTGCTCGAAGCCGTTGGAGTTGATGTTGTCGTCCTCCAACCCGACATCGACGAGGAGCGCATCGAAGGCCTTGCCCGGTGCAAAGTTGCCGACTTTGTGGTCGAGGGCACACACCTCGGCGCCGCCCATGGTAGCCAGGTATACCAGCTCGGAAAACTCGAGCTTCCAGCTGGGGTCGCCCGTGTGGATGGTCAGGTGGCGCGAGACGTTGCTGGCCTGGCGCATGGCGTTGAGGATCGAAATCGAGTAGCCCGCCGAGCAGTCGGTGCCCAGGCCGACCTTGATTCCGCGGTCGAGCAGGGTGCGCACCCGGCACCACCCGTCGGTGAGGCAGGTGTTGCTGTTGGCGTTGTGGGCGACGCCGACCCTTTTCGCAGCCATGACGGTCATGTCCCGCTCCGTCAGGTGGATGCAGTGCGCCAGGATCGTCCGGGGTCCGAAGAGTCCGTAGTGGTCGTACATGTCGGCGTAGCTTTCGAATCCCTCGTGCAGGGCGTGCATGTTTTCCACCTCCAGCGGCGTCTCGCACATGTGTGCCTGCACGCGTATCGGGTCGCTCTCGCGGTACAGATCGCCCAGTCCTCCCATCAGCGCCGGTGGCACGTACGATCCTGCACGGGGCTGGATGCACGACATCACGAGCTCACCCGTCGGGTCGATTTTGCGGATATGCTTGACGACTTTGGCCTCGTCGGCGACGCTCTGCTCGGCGCTCTTCTCCCAGTTGCCGTGGGTGCTGCCCACGAGGATGCACAGCTTGCCGATGACCGCCCGCTGGCCGAATTCCAGACACGTGTCGGCCAGCACGTTGGTCGCGTCCGGGTGGATGCTGGAGTTGTACGCGACCGTCGTGCTGCCGTTCTCGAGCTCCTTCGCCACCATCTCGCGGTACACGCGGTGCGCTTTCGACGTGTCCGCGTACGATGCTTCCATCGGGTCCGTCCAGTTCTCGCACCACTCCTTCAAGTCACCCTCCATGCCCAGAGCCATGTTCGGGTACTGCGGCGCGTGCATGTGCGTGTCGATGAGGCCTGGAAATAGGAACTGCAACGGCTTTAGAGTGATGGTCTCGGCATTGGCGAAGCCATGGTGTTTCGCACATGCGTCGGCGGCGGAGGCGACACTCGTGTCCAGGAATTGAATCGTGCCCTTGTCGTCGATGCCCAGACTTGCCTTCGGGAAAATCTCGACTTCCTTGAGGGATTTGCTGTGGATGATGCGTCCGTAGAAGACTTTGTGTCCGCTCTTCTTCTTCGGCTCTGATACCTCCACAGCTTTTGCATCGGATGCTGTGTACGGCGGAGGGGAAGCCGAGTCGGTCGTGTTGTCGGTCCTTGCGCGGCCACGGAACATAGAGAGGGAGAGACACCGCATCTTGCCAATAGTCTCACCACTATCACAAATGGTCCTGTTATAGATGGGAAGGGCGGAAGAAATACCGAGTACCTCGCTGTCCAACTATGCTTGAAGCTTTAGTTGATCAGGCTACGCCAGCCTCCTCTGGTCAAGAACTGCTCGCCAGAGGATACGGAGTACTTAACTTCTAGATAGAGCGACACGTCAGCACTAAGCGAGTGTTCTCGTACAGGAAGGTCATTTAGGACTTGTTCAGAGTGCATGCACTATGACCTTTCGCCGGATATGTAATGGAGCAGGGCACCGCTCATCTCCGACGCAACGGAGTACAGCCTCTTGAAACATATGACATCTTGTATCTTGTCCTGCTATTGCTGATGACCGGTTCTAGACCGCGCCGGAAGAGGGTGTCAGAGAAAATGTATTATCACCCGTGAGAGCTTGACCTAAAGCTGCATATCATTCATATCTGAGATCAGTGCTGCAAGACTCTGTACAGAGAATCCACTCCATCATCGTAGCCGCTATCACTCGAGCGCGGAGACAATGAAGGCGACGACAGTGAGTCTCAAAGAGCTCGCAGAAGGGACTGTACCCTTTGGCACACTCGAGGAGGCATTCGGCGAATCCTCTCTGGGCATTCTCGTTGTCAAGGATCTGCCAACAAGATATACCGTCCTGCGCGAGAAGCTGCTGTCGTATGCGTCATACCTGGCGCAACTTCCGGAGCAGGACCTGGAAGCACTGACCGACGCGGCATCCCATTACGAAATCGGATGGAGCCATGGCAAAGAAGCCCTCAAGGACGGACGGTACGACACGATGAAGGGATCCTACTATGTGGACTGTCAGTCTTTCTTCCTGGAAAACCCCGTCGTGCCCGAACCCGGCAAACCGGCCACCAGGGGAGCGGGGACAAACCTGTGGCCGTCTGAATCTGCCATGCCTGGCTTTCGAGCCACCTTCGAAGAACTGTGCACCCTGCTGATCGACACCGGGGTGCTCGTTGCGCGAGCCATCGACCTATACGCCAGCAAGCACATCCCACATTACCAGCCGGGGTATCTCGAACATGTCGTCAAGACCAGCCACACGCCCAAAGCTCGGTTGCTGCACTATTTCCCGCCGCCCACGGACGCGCAAAGCCCGCCTTCGTCCCCGTCGGGGCATTCTTCCAGCGCATCAGACTCCGAAGAGGACTCCTGGTGCGCCACCCACCTTGACGACGGCTGTTTGACCGCTCTCACCTCAGCCTTGTACATGGACGAGTCCAGCGCCTTGCCACCACTGACGGCGACGGCTGACGGCTTCCCGTCGTCTCTACCCATACTGCGCGCATCCCCGGACCCCAAGGCGGGACTCTACATCCGCTCTCGCGGGGACAAGGTCGTGAAAGTCGACATCCCCGCCGATTGCATTGCTTTCCAGACCGGCGAGGCGTTGCAAATGATCACGGACGGCAGGTTTAAAGCCGTGCCGCATTTCGTCCGCGGGCCCAGCGCTAGCGGGTCGAGCAAAGCAGTGGCAAGGAACACGCTGGCGCTCTTCATGCAGCCGGACCTGGATGAGGTTATCGACAAGGAGAAAGGGACGACGTATGGTGAATTTGTGGACATCATCGTGAAGAGGCATTCATGACAGCACCATGCTAGTAAAAAAATTCCAACCCGTTCTCAGGTTGACGTCTCCTGCCAGCCACAGGACATGAAAGGGCGATAAGATATGCAAGTCCAGCATAGAGCGTAGGTGAGCACAGACACACTACGACGAATCATGTCATACGACAGTCATTGGTTGGCAGACGACGAACCCCTTTTCTAACTAAAACTGCTGAAAGAAGTAATTGATATGAGCAACAAAGGGCTCATATAGTGAGACTCTCTGGTCTGCATCTCTATTGGTAGGGCCAAGCAATTGAACAACCACAAACGAGCATCTTAGCGACTTAAGATTCACTGACTATAATATCAAAAGGGGGTTTTATACTCTGTAATTAGTCCATGACTTTAGATCTCGCGGCATTTCGATGGGATACTTTATTGCTCTTCCACGATCACAAAATTTCTTTGTCGTTGTTTGTTGGCTATACATAGATCACCTTTCTATCTTGGCGCACATAAAGCCTCGACGGAAGTAGGTACCGAGTACGGGGCTCAACCTCATGGGTTGGGAAACACTTCGTGAACGACTATCGTCATATTGACATTATACTTTGTCATGCTGCCTCTACGCAATGATATATGCGTGGAATTCGAGTGCCACGTTCATAATATTCATGCCAACTTGGGTTGACTTCCTCCCATGATACCTCAGTCGTTTGTGACTTCCCCCCTTCGCTTCCTGGCCATGAGGGCTCAGGTATAGATACAGGCAGTATGTCTCTCCCCAATCCTTGCAAGTGGGTCGTTCACCTGGTTCAATTTTGGTTCGACATCTCATCAAGAGCTTAGTACTCCCTCAGGTTTCGAAGCCTCGGTTTGACGGACTGGGCGGCGCACCCCAGGATGCACGAGGCACATGACGACGAGATCCTGCGCTCGCATACAAGCCTTCCGTGATGTTTGATCCACCAGATACAGGCTCATAGACCTGAATGCCTCCAATGAGCCAGTAAGCCTCTTTGAAAGCTTGCGGATTGTTTGCGACGTAGTCCTGGCACGTTGAGGCCAACGCGGCACATTCAGAATTCGCCCAGTCGCCATCGGCCCAGTCTCCGCACAGAGCAGTGTTGATGACAATCATCAGGTTGGAAAAGTATTCGGACATCAGGCTGCCGTCTGCCGGCATGAAATGAGCGTCGGGAGTCCTCCAGGTCTCAGGGTCTGGACTTCCACTGAAAGCGTCGGAAGGTATCTCATCACGCCCAAAGTTCCAGATCGATATCCACTGCGACCCATACTCGGTTGCCAGGACGCCTCCACCATTATCGTTGAATGCCGTTCCGAAGGAATTGTTCGAGCCTGACGCCGCACATCCGGGATCTCCAGAGATTTCAGCACTGCAATCAAGGCTCGTGAATGTACCTAGCATCTGCATTTGAGTGGCATTCGCAACGCTGGGATCCGAGAAGTTGGTGACGGTCAGGTTGGCTTTCGTGTGAAGGACCATCTTGTTGATGGGTTGAAGCGAAATGCCTTCCATAATGTCGATCTCCCCATCATCTGGCCACTGTGGCCCAACCAGCCAGTATGCTGGCCATGATCCACAGATACCTCCGGGCATATGCCTGATGTCGGCGATATGCAAGGATTGGTTGAACAAATCTTTGGACTGAATGCGCGTGGACTGCCTCCCGTCCGGAGCAGGGTTGGATGAGTCGACCCCGAGATAGATCAAGTTCTGGAAGACGTCGTTTGATGCGAAACCCGCCAGCCCAGTACTATTAGCTCCCGCCATATCCTGGTATTTCACGAAGCCATGGGTCGGATCTGGATCTGAGAAGAAGTCGAACTGATCGAAGAAGTCTGGACCAGAGTAGTTTTTAGAAATTTGATATTGCAAAGCCTGAGACCCTCCAACGAAGAGTCCCACAAGTCCAGGTGCAAGAGGCCACATTGCGTTCGAAACTTTAGTATAAGGATTTTCGGCAGATTCTGCGGCTGCGATAGGTTGTATATGTGAGTTGAAAGTGGCCGAAACTGATCTCGACAATGTTTGTCTTTGAACGTGTAGAAAGAACGGAAACATCGGAAGAGCCGCAGACATATAAAGCCTGCAAAGGCAAACAAAGGGCCTTCCTTGTCACAGGGCAGTCCAAAGAAACAGGAGATATGGTAATGTGATCTATAGTGATATGAAGGAGGTGCCTTTGTCCAGGTGCCTTGTCGAAACCTTTATATCACATCAGGGATCATCTGAACAAAGCCTCTGTTGTCCAAAGCGAACGAAATGGTTCTTTTGACCTAATACTGGAATTGACGCGGTTTGCACAGTGAATTTTGTTCTCTCAAGGCAACGCAACTGTTTCTCTTTTTGCCATCCATAACGGACTGTCCAGTACTAATTTTGGTATTCAAGGTCGGCGTCCAGGTGCGATCTTCGATGTAGAGAAGCTCATGGCGCCATTTTTCGACTCTGGCGTAAAGAGAAATCATGTCATGCGTACGACAGTCGACACTCTTCCGCTGTTCGCGCGGCCTCGAGGGTGATATCTTATGCCGCAACGCCGTTTGACAACGAACGGGAGACGGTTGTGAAGAACGGATGTAGAGAACACGACGCCTTATTGAACGCTTTCCTAGCGCGTCAGCCTCAAGGTACGGCGCAGTCATCTATTGTGGGGTGAAAGGAAAATTGACGGGCCTGAGGAATTCTGCATGTGTGAGTTGGACCATGAACTTCCTCGCCGTCAACTTACAGAGTTAGGCCAGAGTCTAAGTCTGTGACATAAGTCTGTGATCTCTTTCTCGCCACCCCCTGCCTGATCGCACTGGTTTTTTCCACGATACTCATCCTTCTTCCTACTTACGCTGAGCTTCAAATTTCATGGGGGTAGTGGGGAAGCCGGCGAAGGCGATAACCCCGCCCGATTCGACTCGAAATTGTGTTCCTGAACATTGAGAGTCCGCATATTTCTTTTGGCATTCCAATAGCGACTGTGCCAGCGCGAGGAGTGTGGTCTTCAAAGGGTTCTAGATGGAAACCCAAGGTGAGCCGAAGAGCAAGTTTGGTGCTGACCCAAAAACCAGCGCAGTTGAAGCGGTGAGGAGCTCAGGAAGCGATCAAGTGGCAGATGTTAGGGGAACCCTGTAGCTGTATCCTTGAGCATCAAATTGCTTGTGGTATGAACCTGCATCCGTGCGACGGAAGATGCGCCCGCCACAGTCGGATATGGCCTGAGAAATGGCTACTACCAACACGGCGACGTGCCTGTCTTTCCCAAATTCGCCTTCTATCCGCGCTGATAGTCTGTCATGGCTCCGCCTTGCGGCTTGCGGTTAACGTCAGGCGGCTCCAGATCGTATGTATACATGTTCTCCGGATCGAATTTCTCTTTCCCGGCACCGTACGACATATTTGCTGCTCTTTGCTCTGGAGGTAATGACGACCCGGACGATGGTGGTGGGAGGTTGAACTCAAATTTGGCCGCTGCTTCTTCCACCCAGACTTCCATTTGAAGCTCTCCTGCCTCAACACGACGGACTGGATGCGTTCGGGCAGACAGAGAGGGCGACTCTTTATCATTTCTTTGAAGTCCTGGGGTCGAAGACGGTGGACGTGGCTGTGGTTCTGCAGCAATCCACTTCCGCTCCTCCTTTTCAATCCGGCCCACGGGACGGTCAGCCCTATCTTTGACTTCAATAGCCAACGTGAAACTGCATTCAGGAGCGTCAGGGCCCTCGGGAAGAGGCCTGAGTCGGGCTGCCGAAGTACTAATCCGGGACAAGGTGGCGCGAAAATTGGCTTCCAGATCAGCCAGGTTGACTTGGTTATTCAGTAGATCGCCGTCATCGGATGGGGTGGACTCGAACGGGATGTCAACGTCCCCGTTAACAATGGAAGGGAAAGATCGAAGATCAAATGTCCAACGTTCGAGAACATGGTTGCCATCGCATTCGTAGATGCATAGCAAAACCTTTTCTACCGTGTTCTTGTCGAGTTGGTCGCGGATTGCGGAGACAGCATCATTGACCCATGCACAAACTGCGGGATGACGGTTCTGACGGACGGGATAGTTATACGCCCTAGCGGAGAGAAATGAGACTGGGGGGTAAAGGCGGCGTAGATAGAGGACATGGTGAGTTGCAACGGTGAGGAAAGAGGTGACAGTGTCCAGGAGGGCCCGCCGCGTGGACACAAAGTTGGAGGCTGTATTTGGATTTGGCGGAGGCGCGGCCATGGTGATGATGGGCCAGCTTGTAATACCCCAGGATTTTTCGAGAGTACAAGCCGTGGTACTGAGGTGTACAGAGGTAGAGAGGAGGAAGCTGTATGAGGAGCGAGCAACTGGGAGGAGCGACAAGCTAGAATAGAATCTGCTTTCACCTTCAAGCCCTTATCGACATTACTTCCCATTTAGCATTGATAGCAACTCCCTCCGCTGGTACAGAAGAGCTACCTCGTCCTCCACGGCGTGTCTGGTTCCATACTATCCATGTCATCAGGCAGAGAGGCTGCAGCGGAAAACGTGGAAAACTTGCCAAGCCAGTCACGTGGTGTGAACTTTCCATCTTCCGCTTTCCTTCCTTTAATCTCAACTTCCTGCCTAGGGCAAGCTAGGTAGGTATTCTTCTAGCGAGAGCTATTCTCTCATGCCTTTTCGCTATTTAAATGGGCGAGTTGGTGTATCGAACCTGATTGCGGCCCTCACGGCATTTCCGCGGATCAAGGGGATTTCGTCTTCGGGATTGAGAGCGTTGGGCATTGTATTTTGCCGGTCGAATCGAACGGCCCCATGGGAGATTTCAGTTGGTATTGGAACCTTGCTTATAGCCCCCCAGACTTGAGACCGGGCCAAATAAGTTGCCCTGGAAAGGAAGTTCTAAGGATTCATCCCAGCTTATCGACGGAATGACTGCCACGCCTGCTGTTCATACACAAGTATTCCCTTACAGAAGTGTTCCAAGTACAAAGAGGACGGGGACGAAGGACGTCTGAACCAACAGCCTTGTGCCGGTTTCGTCCGGTGCCGGAGATGCCTCGGACCGCCGGTGCCTTGTGGGACCTGGAGCTTCAGCTTCCGCCTTCAGCTCCAGGTTTGGTGACGTACATTGTGCATGGCGCGCGCGCCAAAGAACCAGGACGGAGTCACGGAGTTCCTCGTATGAGCCCCAAGGTCTTGTGTCTTTGTCAAGATGCATCCGAGATTCCCGGTCCAAGGATCCATCGATTGGGCACGCCATCAGCATCTCGACATTGAGGAAGAGAGGAAGGAAAGGGAGGGGAGGAGGGGAGGCGGGAAGCCTCTCAGTGTCTAGGTCAACCAAAGAAGTTTATCCATTGCCACGTTCCTAGTGTGTTCGTACATCTCATTTTGTCTTTTTTATATGTCCATTTGCACTCCCATTTGCACTTCCATTGGCGGTTCTGTGGGCTGTTCCGTTTGCACTCCCGTTGAGAGCAATTGCAGCACCACTTGCCTTCCTCGTCTTGTTCGCCCTCGGCGGATCTGACACTCGCACGATTTCTGGCAGTGTGAAAATGCTGGGCCAGACCATCTGAAAATGCTCCTGATCTCCGTTCAAAATGTGTCGCAGGTGTATGCCCCACACAATGTAGCAATAAGCGCCAATCCCGGTCATGAGATGCCACCAGCCATGTCCCTCGAGGAGGAAACCCCATGGCATGCCGATGCTCCGCCGCCAACGGATCAGGGTGGAACAGTACTGGTTATCCAGATTCCAGATGTAGAAGCCGCCAAGGAAGATGCTCACCCCAAACGCCACGAGGCACCACATGGTCCTCAGTATTTCCAGGTCTCTCTTGTTCTCATACTCTTGTTGTCCTCTCGAGATGTCAACCGGCAAGCCTGCCCTTTCTCGCTCCAGACGGTGTTTTTCCTCCGACTTCCTCAGGGAAGGCCGCAGACTCGTTTCCATACTGTAGACGCTGCGGACGACGATGAAAACGGTCAACAGGGCGTAGACAATCTGGTGGAAAGCCGGATCTTGAAGATAGTGGTAGTACGCAGTAATGAAGGCGCAGAATAACGATAAGAAGACGCCGAGGTAGATTTGTGTCTTTTTAGTTTGCGAGTAAGAAAGAGACGCGAAGGCCATGAGACAGGTCGTGTAGATCATGTTGAGTTCGTCGACCAGTTGCCACGGATCTGGAGACGGAATCTGTGTCAGGTCCAGTGATCGAGAAGCGAACATATTTGCCCGTTACATAGCAAGGACTCACATTTCAAGGTGGTGTGGAACATGAAGCTTCCGAATCCCACAAGGAAGTACCCAAAATATGCCACTTCAAATACAGTATCGTGACCATGTTTTCTGCAGCTCCGAACGCCCTTGTATGCCAGGTAAATGAACATCAGATTGGTCAGAGTGTTGATGATCTCGGCAGAGTAGTAGGTCGCATAGTAGTCCTGCTCATGTCAGTCTCGATAAGTCGGTGTCTCCTGCTTGAGGATGGCTTTCGTCATACTTCTTCACACCACTGTAGAGTGCTTGTGACGGGCTGCCAGTACCCCGGCTGGCCTGGCGGGGGATATGGAATGGAAGGAAGCCATGCGGGCATTCTGGCAACGGGTGATGCTGTACAGCTTCTCGGGTGTCTCGAGGTTTCGGATCAAGGCGAGAGCATGGCGACCAAAAGGTCTTTCCCAAGGTTTAAGAGAGAGACAGACTGCTGCCAGAGTACTCGGTACTAATGCGGTGGCTACGGATGCGGATGGAAGAGGTGGGTTTCGACAGTTGAGCAAAGCGAGGGCTTACAGCGCACAAAAATGTTCGCAGTGGAGCAGCGGCGGTAAACTTGTTTATCTCACGGGCAGGCAAATGACACCGCAATGACGTTGCCTGACCCAATGCGGTAGGGTTAGGGGTGGCCAAGGGGGAAGCCTCAGGCAGATCATTTGCTGCCCTGACACGTGAAGAAGTGCCTGGAAGACTAAGCTCTCAACGGCTCAAGAGCCTTGAGCCCCCGAGGGATCAAACCCCCGCCACCTAAACTTCGGAAGGCCGAAGCCTAAAAGACACCAAGCAGCCCCTCGGCAGTTGCCCCTCGTACCCCTGTAGCGCGGGCGTCTGTACTCGGTGTATCTTGGGCGCGGATACTGTAATCCTCTAAGTTAGTTGAACTGAGGCTCAAAATTGCACTTCACCTTCAACTTACCTAGGACTACACGTTCGCTCGAGATGGCCATCCCCAACGCTGCATTGCAAAAGGTCCGCTCCTATCCCCTGATGGGTCGTCGTTCCCGGCTCACAGCTTGCAGTTGCTCCAAGAAGTCGAGACTCAAGCGGTACTTTCCCAGCAAAAAATCACGCAAACGCAGGCAGAACTCAGTGCCAAACGGCGAGATGCCCGACTCAATCAATTGACGTCCAATGAGCTGAAATCTCTGTCTCAAGACACTAATGTCTATGAAGGTGTCGGGAAAATGTACGCAATTCTTTCCCGAAGGCCTGCGGGTGTCTGACAACCCTGTCTCACAGGTTCATCGCTGTCCCTTCAACCACCCTCAATAAGCGCCTGGCATCTGAGGCGGCGGCTCTGAGCAAAGATATTACGGAATTGGAGAAGAAATTGCACTACCAAGAGACGACATACAAAAATAGTCGACAACATATTGAAAAGATCTTGCAGACGGGCGGTCGGTCGTGATGGCCCTCAGTCCAGTTAAAACCTCCCCAACAGTGTGCTTCCAACGAAGGCCAAGTTGCCCACAAGCCAAAGTCATCTGTTTTATGGAAAGTCCATTTCAGATCGGGCGGCTCCACCAGCGTCTTCCTGTGTGGCATTTGCATTTCCTCAGGAGACCAGAGTTTGGACTCAAATCAATATGCCGCTCAGGTGCCGTAAGGATCGGAAAGCATGGAGACATCGCGGGAGGAATTCTGGCGCCAGAAACACGACCTAAGACCACTCCTTGATGAAGATGGCAATTCTCGCGCTGATTGCCGAAATCTGGTTATCTTGTCTCCAAAGGCAGGAAGTTGTCATGAATGCATGCATCTTTTCCATGATCTCTAGCACTGAACCAGCCTTGCCAGCTTACAAGCACTTCGCTGACCCTACAGAGGAGAAAGATCGCCCGCCAGACGAGAGATGCCCACCATAACCAGGTAACACGCCCGCCACACCGCTTGAGCTTGCCTCAGCCGTAGTAGCAGGTAACGCTGATCGTTGCGGGGGGGTTAAATCCGAATTTACGGAGTGTCACCGGACCGTTGGGTGCTCTTGGGGCCTCACAGCGCGAGCAAAAGTCATCTTTTACATCAAAACTAAACAAATCGAATGACGCATGCTTGACCAGGTGCACATTCAGGCGTCCATATGGCGAGACGGGTAGGCCCACAAACCACAGCGGATCGTTACCGACAAATTCGCTAGGGCCCGAGGGGTTGAAACTGGCACGAACTTTGGATGCATTCTATATATTTAATATAGCTATTGGCCCCTGTTCCCGATCGCCAGACATGGCCAGGAGAATCCCTCAAACAATTCTCAGACTATTGCATACAAGAGGCCCTCCTGTACCACCCCGTGATTTGTTTCAGACAGAAGTGCCATGGTTTTACAAGCCTGAAATTTCGTTTGACAAGCGATCATTGGGCCGAGCGGGTTCTGGATTGACTCAGCTCTGGCCAGCATACCATACATGACAGTCGACCTTTTTAGTCCATCCGGCCCCCAAGCTTGGGCTTTGTGGGTTGCGATCCAGGCTCAAATTGGCGGCGCTGGCTTGCAGCACGAAAAGGATAAAAGGCAAGTAGCCTCCCCACTACAGAGCTGAATGACCGTGACCGATTTTTCTTCTTTACTTTTCCTCCAAACTCACCGGGACGAAGATCGACATCCTTGTCACCAGCTTATAAGCTTGTTTCGCCGTTCGGACGTGAGCCTTTCAACTGCACCGTTTTGACCGTTACCTCCCCAGAGATCCATCGCCATCGGGCGTTTTTACCCCACCGCCACTCTTCCGACGATCTGATCCGTGCCCTTTTGTGCCAGGGTTGAAAGTGCGCTAGTTGGAGGGGCACGGCCACAATCCCAAGCACCATGGCCTACTCCCGACGCTCGTCAGGCTCTGACCGGGAATATGTGTTGATGCCAGTGCACAGTGTTGCAGGTAGCGAATATGGAGGACGAGGCCGCCGTGTCTACGATCCACCTATTGAGGTCAACAATTTCCTCGAGGTGCCACAAACCCGCCCTCGTGCTTCCAGCCAAGGCGGAGGTGTGGCACCTACAATTGTCAATATAGGTGCAGGTGCCCTCTCCGAGCGCGGTGATCGTGATCGTGATCACAGTCGAAGCCGCAGCCGTCACCGCGACTACCGTCACCACCGTTATCGCGACGGATCTTCCAGTTCCAGCTACTCTAGCGACCGTTCCAGATCACGACACCGCCGTCACTCCAGCCATAAACCACCCAAGAAACAAACAATCGAGGAAGACGATCTACCCTACAAACTCCGAAAAGAGCTCGACTTCGCCCGCATGTCACACCGAGATGAAGAGGAGAAGCGGATCCTAGACCGGATAAAGAAAGACCGCGAAGAAGAGAGGAGACGATGGAAGCTGGAGGAAGAGGAAGATGCCCAGCGAAAGAAGAAGGAGCGAGAGGCCATCCTCTATGAAGCCAAGCTCGAGGAGGAACGGAAACAGAAGGAGCGGGAGGAGTTGAGGAAGAAGATTCTCCGGGACGAGGAGGAACGTCAGCAGAAAGAGAAGGAGAAGAAGAAGGCTGAGGAGGATGAGTTTGAGCGCAAGGTCAAGGAGAAGTTCATGAATGCTGGTATGCGCAGACCCTATCGTTACTATTACGATTACTATTAGTCGTCTCTGAGTGGCCTCGTCGCATAGATCTCTAAATGAGAACTTGCGAGTGGTGGTTCCAGGACGAACGTCCATCCCCTTCGGAGAGGGATTGATTCTGGGTTGATGTGGTGATAATGGGGTGTTGAATCTTGGACTGAGCAAGAGGCTAACTCTGTGTCACTCTTTTTTGGGGAAAATCTACAGGCTACAGTCCAGAGTACATTGACGAAGTGCTCCACAAGAAGAAAGCCGAGCGTGCAACACTGGCTATCGACCTGCACCGTCCGACCTACATTAAAGTCAACCGCAAGTACCTCCTTCCGGACACGCTCGACCATTATGGGTTGCCTTGGGAATGGGATCCGGTATGTACCACTCCTTTTCTTTTTCGCTGGTTACACAAGCTTTGCCTTTTGTCCCTCGCTGCTGTTATCCGCCTTTGTGCTCTGCCGTCAGAAGAGCAAATACAAAGCATGACCTGTAACCCCCCGGTTTGATGCGTGTGTGGTTGGCTAACTTCTTCCCCCTGCCTTCGGGCATGGTGTTGACATTACGCAGCGCGACGAAGAGTTCATCATCATCAAAAAATACATTGATCACTCGTTGCAGGACGAGCTGTTTGAGCACACGCGCAAGATCAAGGAGAGGAAGCTCATTACGGGCCCGTTTATCAAGGAGACCAAGACGATCACGACGCTCACGCCCAACGACCACGGATATGTGAAGAAAGGTGACCGAATGTACGTGGTAAGGGAAAAGAGCAAGAGCCGCAGTCCAGCGGGCAAGAGGACGAGCTGGATGTTTACTTGAGAGGTCCAAGGGGGTGAGGGGCAGGGCAGCAGGGCAGCAGGGCAGCAGGACAGCAGCAAGAGAAGGACGGAGCGAGTGTGAGATAGATGGGGTCATCGGGGGACGTGTGCGGTCTGCGGTTTGCGATTTACCGATTGTGGTGGTTTGGATGCTTGTGACTGCGGCCGCTGGGAATGCTTGCTATGATGATGACGAGAAGATGAACTCAGGGTTGGATTGGGCGCCTGGATTTACGCCATATGGCTAACGGCGGACGAAAGTAATGAGATAAATGAATTGCAATTGTATGTTCCAGGTTTGTCGGTGGAATTTGGGAGTGCTCGGGTTCAATTAGGGAGCCAACCAGGGCGATTTTATGCACCTCTCCCCACGAGATTTACGATCCCATTCTATACCAGGCTTCTTTTTTGTGGAAATGCAGGAAATACAACCCACCAAGAGGAGTACCAGCAGCGCCAGCGCCAGCACCAGCACACCAGCAATCATCTCCCGTAGGACATGCACATGACCATGGTCCACGAGCGAGAGTTTGACATTTTCCACAATGTCGTACAAGCATACCGGGAACAGTGAGGAAGAGCAGAGTTGAGGCCTGGAGCTGCGAGAGCTGTGGGAGCGCGCAGCGATAGCGATAGCGATAGCTACATAGTAACCACGTAATAATTTGAATGCGGCTCTTTTCTCCCCGCAGATGACTCTAAACGCGGCAAAAAAGGGAAACGAAGATGGGCGACCGTTGGGGCCGGATCGCTTGGACTGCCTTTGCCTGCCCCCTCACTTCCTCCCAGACTTCTCGCCACCTACTGCTGCTGCACTCTGCTGCTGCTCGCAAGTAGTTTGGGGCATGGTGGGGGGTTCTGCAAACGGGTGTGTGGCCAACGGTCAAACTGCTTCCCAAAAATAAAGGACGAGGGGGCGCTCAGAACCAATAGGTGCGGAGCAGTTCCCTTTTCCCTGGTCGGGCTTCTGGGTAGGAGGGAATTCGTTTCCGGGAATGTATGGATGGATGGATGGGTGGATGAGTGTTTGGCTAGAAGGAGAGGGGGCGCAGGGTTTGGCGTTGATTGTCAAAGTCCTGGTGGTTTGTATACTCTTTGGTCTCATAGGTACCTAGTACTTGTAGTGACACACAACCCGACCGATAAGGGGATCATTTGGACCGGGTGGTAGATTCCAGCGATGTAATATATGTACCGAGTACATACATAGGTACCTACCTAGGTTGATGGGGCAGTCGTGGTGGAGGTCATGGCAATCAGATTCTAAAGCGAGTACGAGTAAGTGGGTAAGTGAGCGAGACACCTACCTGTAGTACGGAGTATATACTTGGATCCAAACCTTCTACAGGCCCCGGTATGGAGCAAGAAGGGATACGGTGGCAAAATACTGGGTACTTAGTTGTACGTGGGTGAGCACCCCATAGTAAAGTCCTCGGTACAATTCAGGCGAACGCAAGGACAGCCGTGTCGTGGCTTGTACACCCTCTCACATGGCAAAGGGTCAGACACAAGGGCCAAATAACCCGCAAAGAGGCAAGCTGATGCGGCCCTGATGGGCGGGACGAGGGGGAGGGAGGCAAAAGAGGATCGAGCCGGAGTAGTCTGCTAATTGTGGTGGTGGCTGAGAGAAAGGGAACAGCGAGAGATGGAGGGGTATTATGACTTTGTCGCTCCAACACCGACACCCAACCCAAGAAGATCAAGAAGTGCTAACGGGAAGTGTGGGAATAATGAATGGGTCGACGAGGTAGGCCGTGCAGGAGCTGAATCAGAAAAATACGGGATGGACTGGGGTGACTGGTCCAGGCTGGAGCTGCTCGCTGTCTCCTCTTGCAGGTGGTACGTACCTTTGTGGATCTTGACGAGGACATGGGCATGGGCATGATTGGGGCACAGAGCGCGAGAGGTGGATATGAATACGGAGCTGGGCCTGGAGCTGGACCTCGACCATCTCCGTCTGATTAGGTATTGGTGTCTCCTGGGCCTTTGGTCTGTCTCCCGCTCGCTGTTTTCTTTGCCTGTCTCTCAGCTTTCACTCTAGGCAGGCGTCAGGACTGGCTCCATAGAATACACAGACACTCGTGCCTCATCTGTACCGTTCGTGGGAAGATCGAGTTGCTCTCACAGATTGACTGCATGCGTAGATCTTGGCTAGTACCTCAATAGTCAGAGTCGACGAAATAAATCCATATCATGTATGCTATCTTCAACTCACCCTCTCCCAATACTCTCTTGCTTGCAATGAAAGGGGAGACCGTGACACCTCATTCGCCACAACAGCAGCGCTCGGAGATCGGGAGCCCTTGTGACTTGTAGAGTGTACACAGCCGTGCATTCGAGAGCGGAGTGAGGAGGGACGCCAGTCGTACATGGCTCGAAGCAGAAGAAGCTTGGTAGAGCCCAATACCCCACCTGAGTGGCGATTTTCGCACTGCTGGGACATGAAATCGAGCTCAGATTACCTTGCTGGGTAGCCAAATGTCCTCATCTGGAGAGGTACATGACCTTGTGCATGCAACTCGGCGTAGAGGGGGGGCGCCAGCGGCGCCCAGGGAGGACCTGTGTAGCTCAGGAGCAAAAAAGGCGCCATGGGAGGCGAATAGGGTAGGGTGTCGAGAGCCTTTCAAGGGTTCAACATGCATGCATGCGAGCTAGGGAGGAGCTTCCAAGACGGCATGGGATAGGGCAGACTGGTTGACCAAGACCAGTAGATCTGTGGGAGAGGGAGGGGACAAAATGGGGGCAGATGGGAATTAAGGCCAGAGACGGCTGTGGCAAATTGCGAAGAGAGGGACTTGAAGAAAGAGGGGATCGGTACAAGCCCGTCCGCAGGGGGAAAAGAGAGAGAGAGAGAGGAATACAAGGTTCCCCGACTGGCAGGTACCCGACGGTTTCACGGCTTTGCTCTCCGTCTGACTAAACTCCTTGAACCACCACCATGAGTCCCTCTGCCTCTAAGAAATGAGGCTTGTGTACACAGACAACTGCGGGGCTGGCGGTGCTGGGAGAGAAAGAGGTATGTCAAGAATTGTATGTCCAATAGTGGATTGATTGTTGTCTCGTCACTCATAATTGTCTGATTATTTCTTGCCATCTGGGTTTGGGTATCTGCTGTAAAAATCAAGAAAAGACAAAACAGGACAGGCAAGGCTATCAATGTCGGTCCCTCTCAGTAAATGGCCGTCCTGTTCAACGCTAGCAGCCCGAGTCAAGCGTTTTAAATGCGATGGAGATAGATCGGACCATGTGATCATCGTATTCCATTCATACATCTTCAATATGCTCTGATCTCTTCTCTCACCTTCCTCTTCTTGTGCCAGGCTTCTCAGATAGAATGGCCTTGTGTCATGGCAGGATGATGCGCCAAATCCGGCCTGCTGAGTTCGGGGCTCATCGCATATCGCTCGCTCTTGGGACTTTGGCTGTACTTGGAGCTGGCTCCACCGGGACTTTGCGCGGTGCGGGTCAGGGGCTGGTCCTGTGGAAAAGGACTGGAAATGGCCAGGTGCATCTTGGGCGTCTCAGCCATGTTGGCACGCTCCTTGTTCTTGTGGGAGTAATATGAGGGCAACGAATCTCGTTTGCCAAGGAAGAACGACCGATAATGACTTTTCCGACTCGGCGGTTTCGGAGTAGAGGCTTCCACGTCTGCTTTGTGTGACGCGACCGCCCCATGGGACCGGACTTGTCGAGCCGTGAGGTGTGCTTTGGTATCTCTGAAGATATAGCTCTGCGACGTTGTTAGCATGGCATGCCTCTGTGACTCGTTTGGCGCCGGTCCACCTACTGCAAAGAGGTTGATAAAGCCCATCACAAACACAATGATTCCTGCGGCAATCACAAGCCGCCAGAATGGCAGACCTAGACTTTCCTGGCTGGTTGCGTGCTTGTTGAGATTCCCCAGAAGACTGTTCCCCAGCCAGATCATGGCAAGCCCGAGCATGACAAAACTCGATCGGGTGCTAAAAAGAGGCCAATTCTTGGAGATCCAGGACTTGAAAAGAGAGAGTTCGGTGAGGATGAGGAAGCCTGGAAACTCTTAGCACCACATCCCAATCACCACATCTCAATGTTGGCACTCACTACTCATGACGACTCGGAGAACATGTTCGCAGGCGTCGAAAAAGAAAAGCTTTGACACGATGAAGGTCTTGACCAGCATGACCGAACTTGCCGCTATGACGGCCAAGAGGGCAATTATGTTCATCACTCGGATGATGTTGAGCACGACGTAGCCGGCGCCGGCCAGGGTCTTGCCGAAGAAGCGCATGTTGCAGAATGGATATTGATTAGGGCGACGGGATTCCTTGGTGTAGATTTGGGACGAGATGATGATGATTATTCCTAGGACTTGATATGATGAAAGAGTTGGGTAGAAGATATTTGTAGGCTCAATTAACTGGCTCAAACGCTTGAATGAATAGCACAATAGGATGGCAGCAGGCTATTGAGCAGCCAGGGCATCAATAGAAGTGAATGTACATAGAAAATGGAGGAGTGGTCACCAACAATGGAGGAGGGAGCGGCAGAAATCAATGATTCTTCAACGGTCACTTTTTACCTTCGGCCCATTGATCTTGAGGAGAGACAGAGTCTCAGAGTTGCCATCTTCATAAGCGCGAGCGCGAGATGAAGCTGTAGTACATGGACTGGATAACTGACGGGAAGGACGTGTCCATTGGTCAGATGGGGGATGCCGTCTGAGAAGTCCTCGAACTCAGTTTCAGAAAGAAGACGCTCCCACTTGTGGCGATATCCCAAGAGAACGACTTGACTGATGCCCAATTCGGTCCAAAATCATGCATCTGCTGCAGATTCCAAGTCTTCCTCAGGCTGGAGAGAGGGGCGCAGAAAGAGTGGCTGTGGTTGAACGACGGTGACGGGTTGGCAGAACCTGAAACGCGCTTGAAGGGCCGTTTCCTTTTTTTGCGACCCTTGACGCCGGGGCGCTTTTCAGGTATGCCACAGCCTTGCGTAGCATTTTTGAGGAGCAGTCTGTCGCCGATCAGACGGATCCTCCATTGTTGACAAAAATGATGAACTTCAGCGCGAGTCAAGAGATTGTTCGCGTAAGCGAAGAAGCTGAAAGCGAGGAAGACAAAGGAAGCTCGGGAGGTGGCTTTGTCGGGCCAAGCCTGAGTCGGTGACTCGGTGCGCGATTTCTTTTCGCCGAAACCGTGCGGCTCTCAGCGAGGCTCATCTCATACCTCAGGCCTTCACCAAGTTGTTTTTCTGTTTCTCTTCCTCTTTCCTTTCCTCCTCGCCGGCTTAGCAACAAGGCACTACCTCATTCTCTCAGATTCCCGCCCAATCCGCCGATCCGAGACTTAACCACTTTCCAACCCATCACAGCCATGACTCGCGGGAATCAGAGGGAGAAGGCTCGCGAGAAGAACCTGAAGGACCAGGCTGGACAGGTCCGACCCGACACTTTTCCATACTTTCAAGCAGAGCTGGAGAGTTATTCGGACCGGGGCTAACGTATGCCCGGCTACAGAAAAAGAAGAACACGCAATCCGGCACCGAGTTTCAGCGAACGAAAGAAGCGCAGGCAGCCATCATGCGGGAGAAACAAGCAAAAGGTGGGCTCATAGCGACACTGCAGTCCGGGTACGAATGGGACGGCCAACTGACAAGGTGCCACAGCGGAAGCCAAAAAGTCCGACACGGGGTCAGGCAATTCAAAGAAATGACACGGGTTGAAGTCGGGTGGAAGAGCTGCTTTGGTCCACGACTCGACAAGGCTGCAAGAGCTCTTTGACACGCTCATCACAACCTTGAAGGTCTTAGCGAGGAGTTTGTGTGAGGCGCATTGGGCGCGAGAGGTTTGGAATCTGGAGTTGCCTGTGCAGCTGGGCAGCGCTCCTACGTTTTGTCCAGCGTCAATCGTTAAATTAAGCGAAGAAAGACTTGATATATCTACTGTGCTGTGGCTCATGTATCTCGCTGCATGCTGGCGTACACTGATCCGAAAGCGTAATTCAGGGAACGACTATCGACAGCCCTCTCCCTTGCGGTCTGCTGGTGGATGCGCCAGCAGTATATCATGTTATTTTCTCAAACAATTGACACGTCATGCCGTCTGCCATCTGCTTGTGTCTGATTGTGCACTGTTCCATGCTCCGCAAGGCTTTTGTGTGCCTAGATCTGTCGTATAGAACCGTTAGTCACCAGCGGCCTCTGCAAGGCTGCGTGCGGTATGGTATCACAGCCTCGTTGGATCTCGGAATATCATCTTTCCGTCTCCGTGGTTGACCCTCGAATGAAGTTTCATGACAACCTTGCATCTACGTGCCCACCAGACGGTCAGTCAATAGGACACGACGAAGACTCACAACCTCTGTTTCGTATCCAGTCTCTCCTGATGTGACGCTCGACTATTTGTTCGTAGAGTCATGACGCTGTGGAGCAGGTAAGTGCATTCCATCACCTCTCCCGATCAGACACAGTCATTCATTCATCCCATTCCATTCCTCCCTCGTAAAGGGTGGCTTCCGTCGCTTCACACCATCCGGAAGGGGGTTAAAAAAAAGGGCAAAATGAATAACATTTCCATCCGAGTTAAAAAGCATAAAGCCATTCTGGCCCCTCCTCTTCACATTCATCCTCCCCCGAGCGATCAACTACTACAGCGCCCTAAAGACGGCATACCGCACCAGGGCACCGCCTCGCCCTCTCCCGAAGCGGACCAGCCGCGGGCTGAACGCGCTGTTCGCATCGATATGCGTCTTTTTGTACCTGTCGTGGCCCTTGAAGGGTGATGTTAGGGACCACAATGTGTTTGTGGTCACGCAGTCGCGGCTGTCGGTGCCCACGGACGTGCTCTTTGAGAGACTGGCGCTGGTGCGGGAGAATGGGATTCTCACTGCAGCCGACGAGGCTTTGAGGGCGAAATTGACTTCTCCAGCGTACGTTTCTCTCTCTCTCTCTCTCTCTTCCCTCCTGTTCTGCGTGTAGCAATGAACAACAACCCACGGCTCCCGAACCCTCAAATTTCCATTAAGAGACCAAAAAAAGGGAGCCCTTGACCTGAGCCCGATGAATCTAACCACAATAACACTTGTGCATTGACAGCCTCCGCCAACTCTACCTCCGCTTCGGGCCTTCGACACTCAGAGACTGTCCCTTCTGCCACCCAGACGACCCCATGTCGTACTTACTCTACCACCTTCCCACCAACTGTGTGCTACCCCATCTCTTCCACATCTTCTCCCTAGGTCTCGCGACCTCGGAGGCCGTCGCGGGCTACGAAGCCTCGACGTGGCGACGCGCCGCGATCCCCGCGGCCCTGGTCCTCGCGGCCACAGACATGTTCCTCACATCGACGTATACGCCGGCCGTGGCGATCAGCACGACCGCCCCGGGGGGCATATTCTGGCTCGCGTGCACGGCGCGGTATTTGAGCCTGTGCATATTCGACATGTGCGCGGCGCTGTGCATCTACGTCTCCGCGACGGGGCGGTTCTCCTACCTCTTCTTCCCTCTGAGCACCGCCGCCGCCCACAACGACCCGGAACTCTCGCGCCGCCGCACCGACGAGCTGCTCACGCAGGCGAACCTGGCGCTCCAACTCGCCGCCACGAATCTGCGCGCGTACTCGATCGCGCGCAACGCCGTGGTGCGGAACCGGACCCTCAAGGATCGCGACGACGCGTACTGGCGCGCCGTGGTCGCCGTCGAAAGCACAGGTGCACCCGCTGGTGCGGACGGAGATGTCGACGACGACACGCTGTACGAGGACGAAGAGGTGCAGGCCGCCATCGCAAGGGCCTATGGCACCGGAGCCATCAATATCGCCACTGTCAAAAGGGAGGCGGAGGCGTTTGTCAGGCACGCGACCAGGGGCTTGGATGCTCCTACAACTCAGAATCCGACTCCGAATAGATAGAGTGGGCGTTGTCCGATTGACTAGAAACTGAGGGGGAAACTTAGAAATCAATAGACGTCGTGATTCATTGACTCGTGTAAACTGTCCGCCGTCGTCATCATCACCATCATCAGCACTCATACCTACCTAGGTACTTAGGTATGTGTGTACAAGACTAGCCTCTTGGTTAATCAATCCTCAGGCTCATCCTTGATGACAATAGCGTCCTCGTCACTCTTTTCCTTCTTGATAAAGGTTTCCTTCTCGAGCACTCTCCTTCCATGCCTGCCCATCACCTCCGTGGCAAACACCACCGTCTCCACCCCGGCAGGGACCCTTTCCTCCTCTCCCTCAGGCAGGGCATCAACGTCAATTTCCATACCTAACAAAGACTTGAGAATCACTTCCGCGCCGGCTTTACTCATGACCATGTTCTTCTCCTTGCACCGCTCGTCGCAGATACATTCCGTACAGCCTTCGAGGCAGTGACACGCCGCGACCCGTGCAACGGCGCGTTCGAGCAGGATGTCGATGAATTCAAATGCCTTGGCCGCGATTCCGGAACCCGCGGGCCCGCCCTTTGCGTCGTAAAAGGTCAGTCTGGCAGGTCTTTTCCGCTGAGTTTCCTTCTTTGCGAATTCCTTCAGCGCGTTCTTGCACTCTGTCCGCACGTCGCCGGGCATGCTGACTACAAACTGTGGCATCAGAGACATCAACGCGTGCTCGGCCGCGTGGATCCCCGCCGCGAGGTTCAATCGTTTATCCTTGAGGATTTGCAGCGCGTATTTCGGGACATCCAACCACAGGCCCTTGGAGTGAATGATAATTGGTGGGTTGTCGACGGCCACTGCGTCGAGAATACGACCCTTCTGGTCGACTTTGAAAAAACCAAACACCACGGCGTGCACTTTGATGCGGCCGAAATATGCTTTGGTGAGTGAGTTGGCTGATACCCGACGGACCTGCTCGGTTTCGATTGGATCCACGTCGGTGTAATCTCTTTGCTGCGTGGTCCAGTCCACCTTGACGAGTTGAACTCGGGCAATCTTGCGCTCGGGTGAGAATTCTTTCACCATATATGTCCGCCCTTGGTGCAGGAATATTCCTCCATCGTACAAGGTGAAAAACGCTCGCGAGGCCTCGACTTCTTCAAGGACCACATTCCGACCATGTGTAATGTCAACCACGGCAAAGTGATTGTCTTCGGTATCTCTGATGGGGACACATCTGGAGGGCAATGGTCGGAATCTCTCGTTGCAGTGATAGAATCCCATTGAATCATACGACAACCGTTCTGTGCATATCTCGGGCAACATCTTGCCCAGAAACTTTTCGTCTTCGTCTGCCTTGATAGGCATTTCGAAAGCAGCGCACTGGATATGCCCTTCCACCACAAGTTCGTTCTGCAGATCCACTTGGAGTTCACAATTAGGCTTCGTGAAGATCTCGTCGGGATTCTGCATGTAGTGTTGGTCCACAGCAAAACAATCACCGACAAGAACAGAAAGCGAGTCTCTGTTCCGTCGACCTGCGCGACCACTCTGTTGTCTCAGATTAGCAATCGTATATGGGAAACCCATCGTAACAACAGCATCAAGGGATCCGATGTCCACACCCAGCTCCAGAGCCGTAGTCGCAATGATCCCCATGAGCTTGCCACCAAACATCTCTGACTCTATTCGCCGACGATCTTGAGCTGAGTATCCCCCACGATAACCCATGACCAGAGCAGCACACTCTGGTCTCTCGAGATTCGTGAATTCGGCCTTGACAGCCGCAAGCAGGACTTCGCATTGCTTCCGCACGCGACAAAATGCAATCGTTCGAACCCCCCGTAGAATGAGATGGCAGATTAGCCTTGCTGTCTCTGCAAAAGCGTCACCACGGCCTGACGTGGGATCGCCTGGGTCTTTGTATGGTGTATTCCAACAAATAAACTCCTTTCTGCCGGATGGAGAACCATCGAAATCTGTCAACTTGACTTTATCTACCCCGAATATTGTCTTCATATGCTCTTCTGGATTGGCCACTGTTGCAGAACATGAAATGAACTTGACCTTGCGGTTTCCCACCGCAGCACATATTCGCCGTAACCGGCGCATGATGAAGGCCACGTGAGCACCAAACAAGCCATTATACACATGCAGCTCGTCCACGACCACGTATTTCAGGTTTCGGAGAAATCCTCGCCATCCACTCTCCTGGGGTAGAATGGTAATGTGTAACATGTCCGGATTCGTAAAAATAATCCGGCCCTCATCTCGAATTTGGTTGCGTTCCCGCATGGGTGTGTCGCCGTCAAATGTCTCAACCACCGTGTCCTCCAAGCCTGGAAGGTACTTCAAGAGCTCTTTCATACTTCTGCGCTGATCTTGAGCGAGGGCCTTCGTGGGGAAAATATACAGCCCACGACTTTCCGGATCTTTTTCGAGTTCGTGTAGCATTGGTACCTGGTAGATCAGCGATTTGCCCGAGCTAGTCGACGTAGACACGATTACATGATGGCCGTCATGCAGATTATTGATGGCTTCGGCTTGATGCGAGTACAGTTGAGTTATACCTCTGCTGTTGTACAGCGCATTCACCAGGTTTTGGGATAATTGAAAATTTAGGTCTCCATATATGGCTGGCTGAGGATCGAATACACGATGTCCATCTGGAACGATCTGACCGGTATACCACTCGAGCTCGCTAATCTCTTTGACTATCTCCGATATTGACTTTCGCTCCTTTGGGATCGCTTTCTGCAGACGTTCATCTGGGCCAGGTGTTGTAGGACGACTAGAAGAAGGGCAGGGCATGTATTGCTGTTTTAGGTCGTTTATCTTTTCAACCGGGTCTGCATGCTCTTCGGCACATTGATTAAGGAACGCATTGATGGCAGATGTGAACTTGGCATTGCGCTTTTCGATGAGTTTAAGCATCGAATTCTGACTGAAGACGGGTATTTTGAGATCTTCCTTCCGTAACTTCTGAGTGGCTTTTGTGGGTTGTCCCGTCTTGGGGTCGATTACCTGTCTTTTCAGGTCGCCATCCACAAACTCGAACAGAAGAAGCTCCTTGGATGGCTCCGACCTGTCTCTTGGAGCGCTCTCATCCTCCTCCAAAGACCGAAAATGATCGGCTCGGCCTCCCTTGACACCATCTTCCTCGCCCATGAGTGTGACCATGAGGTGTTCTTCGTCGACATACGCAAAGTTGATGGCCCGGGGCAACAGGGCCTTGACTTGCGCCACATCGTCCTCGATCAACGGCTTCTTGATATGCCCTTCCACCGCGCTCTTGATGTTGTCCCATGTGGTCGCGAAATGCTTTCGAGTGCAGCAAAAAGTGTATACGATATTCAGGGCGCGGTGCAGTTGGGAGAGATATTTGAAATGATCCGGCCAAGGTATTTCCGATTCCACCAGACTTGACGACGAACTTGTTCGGCTGAGGGGGGGTTTCGACGTGGCTTTCGTTCTTCTAGGTTTGGGACCTCCATCATGAGCCTTCGTGGGGACTTTCGTTGTGGCTGCGATAGAGGAAACGAGGCCAGAATCAGTTGGTTGTTCTTCGCCTTTGGAAGAGCGTTTCCGTTTGCGATTGACTGGTATTCGAGAGACGCTGGCAGCCTGCAACTTGGCCATAGAGTATGGGGGAATTGGTCGGATCAGACACTGTGGGCTCAGGTCTTGTGAACGTCTTCTGCACTCTGGTGACAATGAAAAGGAGCCACACTTACAAAGTGTGCAGGTCTGGGCCAATCATGACGTATACACATCTGCCGCGTTGGTGGTGTTGCATTTTAATTGACACGCGGAGTCAGGTGACAGATTTGCCCGTCGCCGTTTGTTTCTTCAAATGTGTATCAGGTTTGGAGGACGAGGTACATACATGGAATGCCTTCGGTCTACTATTAAACGAGCTTGTGACTTTCAATCACAACGTACCTAGGTATGTGAGCGGGAAGGTGTGCTAATAACCCATCTATCCGTGAGATTGACACATACATTCAAGGGTCATCTTGGACTGTCACGGTCCGCCGGTAATCCCGAGGCCAACGATCCCCATGTCCGTACACACATTCGCCTTTATCCTTTGAACCCAGTTCCAGTCGACCAAGTCACAATCTCCAGGCCAATACCCCACAGCAATGCTCCAAGGCAACCTGTATCCGGGTGAAGAAAGCAAAACATGAAGCCAAGCCCTAATCTTAGCCAACGTGGCCAAAGGTCCAAGGCAATGCATTTCGGAATAAAAGAGGCCAAGAAAGAGCCTGTACAACATGGATCATGTTCAGTGCGGACCTCCCTCAGTAAAGCTCGTGTGCGTGTCACTGTGAACAAGTAACAATGAACCATGTCATGGGTTCGCAGTGGAATCCCCTCGCGTCTGTTAGCAAGTTTGTATCTTTGTTATCCGCAGCACCTGTTTCGCGGCCATTGGTGTTCCTTGAACGCGGCGCCCCCTGATTTCTGATGATGCCAGAAATTGTCCGCAGCGCCTCGCATCTGTTAGGCAAGTTTGCAACTTTGTTGTCCGCAGCACCTGTTTCGCGGCTATTGGCAGTCCTTGAACGCGGTGCCCCCCAATGTGTAAGGGTGCCAGGAATTGTCCGCAGCGCCCCCTAGTGTCGTCAAGCCGCGCACTGCTCATGCTGACTCGACACTGGCAGAATTATGCAGTCTCCCACAAAACTCCACCAAAAAGAGTTATGCGCGTCCAAGTTAAACAGAGCTCTGATTTCGCGCTTCTCCCCTGGGAATACCAAGAGCATGAATGCGAGCTAAGGCAGCGGCAACGGGTGATGTTTGACTTTGCATACCCTGGGCAGGGGCGGCAGCACCAGCCGGTCGATGAAGCTGCCTTGCATCCACATTCCTACCAGCTACAGGGCTGGCATACGCAGCACCGCCTTCATATTGTCCAAGGGAGGGATCGTATCGCAGATTATTCGGCTGGAGAGGTGGTTGAGCTACTCGACGGCGCTCACGCATCACACCGGCATGTGCATCCAAGCCAATCGGATCTGGCATGGCCGCTTGTGCTCGAGCAAAGTTGAATTCAAAGTTTTGGCGAGTCCCCAGAAGGCGGCCCTCATTGATACCATTAAGGCGGTTGCTACCTGGCCAATCGTGATCACCAAAAGCTCCTGCGGCAGGCGCCGGCCTATGGTGAGCAGGAGGAAGAAGAACAGGCGGGTTGACCACAGGATTGAAAGCTGCTGGTAGTTGGTTGTGCACCGGCGCGTAGCGATCTGCCGGTGCAGGCTGCTGCAGCTGTGCCTCTAAATGAGGTTGATGTCGAGCCAGATTCAGGCGCGCACGTCTATAGAGGTCAGCCAATTCCTGAATGTGCTCCCTTGGGTTTGGGGGTGGCTGCCCCGCGCCGCCTATGCGATGGACGGCTGCCAGGATTTCCTCGAGCTCGGGATCCGGGCGCAGAGCTTGGAGACGATCGACACGGGCTTGCAGGTCGCGAAGGTGTGCCTGACGATTGTTCAGACGCGCAGCGCGATTGTTCAAACCGCGCAGAAACACGTCGGCGGCGGGATGCATCAGTAAGGCTGATGGGCGTTCCTTGGGTTTTCCCGTGTCAACGCGAAGCTTGCTTTCATCAAGCTCTGCATCCATGGCTTTGGCCTTGGTGATGGCGCCTTGTTCCGCCTCGTTTGCTTCATTTTCGTGTCGGTTGATGCCTTCTCCGTCATACAAGATACACTTGCTCCCGAAATGGGAGTAGGCATTGCCGCGGAGATGCGTTATGTCTGCATTGCACACATAACACATGAGGCATTGGCATAGTGCACATGTCATTTTGTTGCATCCAAAATCCTTGACGATTGGGGCTTTGCATGTCAAGTTGGGGCATGTTCGAATAATGGCTTCCGACCGGGCCTCTTCCACCGAATGTAGCGCCGATAACGTCTTGTCGCGATTATTCTCCTCACAAGTCTTTGGAATATGGCTTTCCTTCTTACATTTTCTGCAAGTTGCGCGAGCGCACTCTGGATTCTGGCAATGGAAGATGGGTTGTTTTACCACATCCTCACAAATCGCCTTGTATTCACAACAAGGACACTGCTCGAGACCTTCAATGTTGGCGGCCTTGATTTCTGCTTGTTGCTTGTTGAGTTGTAGGCGGTCAAAGGTGGTGATCGGGACAGCCCTTCCTACGTCCTCATGAGAAAGCTCCGCGGTGCAGCCACCAGCGTCCATACAGTACATCTCATACTTGAGCATTCCAACTTGATTGTCGGCTAGGCCTTCCACACAGGTGAAGCAGAAAAAATGCGGAATATCTGCCATGCAAGGGACGATGCGGTTGAGAGGAGTTTCCGTGTCGAAGCAGCACTGGCATTCCATGATGGCGCCGGTCCTGATGTGTTCCGCCAAATTTAAAGCTTCAGCTTCCTCCTTAGCCTTCTTGACTTCCTCCTTTATCGCCTGGCGAGCGCAGAATTGCTTAGCTGCCTGCAGTTCGTTGACTCTGTTGGCGTACTCTGCGGGAATGCGGCGGTCGTCTGCTGACAGCATGTATTGTCTTTCCAGCGCAGTCGTTGCTGAAGGGCGACGCGTGTAGGGTCTGGGCTCAACCGAGTAATACCGGTCCTCTTCTCCCTGGATGGTGACATACGAGTCAAAGATGGACTTTTTCTCCTCCACCACTTTGATGATGTGATCAGTAGGGACATTGACGAAATGCTTCCCAAGCAGAATGATAGCGTCTTTTGTGTACACTTTGTCCTTTGGAAGATTTCTGTTCCAGGTGATGTTGATGCCAGTGCCGTCGTCCGCAGCTCCTTTTCCCAAGGCCATCGAGTTGGCAGGAGGCTGCTTGGGATATGACTGCATCTCCAGAATCTCAGTAATGATCTGTTCAGCAAGGGGTGGGACGCCAGTGGTGATGATTTCCTGGTAATCTTCGTCGAAATATCGAGGCTGTGGAGGAGCATCTTGGATCTTCTTTTCGACATATGCGTGTTCAATGTCTGGAAAGACATCGATAACTCTGGCAAGACACTCCTTTTCGAACGCCGTTTTCCCCTCGTCTTCTGATCCATCGTCACTCGAATCGGAATCGGAGCCATGGATAATATATGGAGTTCGGATTGCTTGCCGCAGCTTGTGCGCCTTTCTCTCCAGCTTGCGAAGCTGTTTTGCGTCCCAGTCATCACACAGCTCCTGATGTCCTTCCACGGTCCCAAGAACTACGGGAAAGCGCTCGTAACCTGGCCCTCGATACATTTTGATATCGAGCCGGCCGTCGACGTAGTACGGTGGTTGTTCTGCTGCTTTTGTCTTCTCAGGAGTTCCGTAACGCCGCGTGGGATTGTTTGGCCTTGGAACAGCAGTTGCTCGTTCAGGAGCAATACCATCACGACGGAATATGTGATGCAACAATTGCGAACTAGACCCAGCTTCTTTGCCGCCCGTGCTAACCTGAGCGCGAGGGGAGCGTGAATTTGCTCGGCGCTTCCCACGTTCGCCCGGTGGTATTTGTGGTGAGCTGGCTATGGAACTACCAGGAGTCCTTGTTCGCTTGAGGGCTCGGGGAGGACGAACATGACGGGATTCCAGGGCAAACTCGGTATCGGAGACTTCGGCGTCACTAGCTGAGGAAGTTGACAAAGCTCTTCTGAGTGGGAGTCGACGCAAAGACTGACGGGAAGGTGTGTATTGTGGAGATAGATCAGTATCAGATCCATCGTCAGAGACCTCGATAATGGCATCTTTGTTCTGGTTTGCCATATCAGAGTTGCGAGGGGGAGATTGGTATGTCATAGTGCGAGCTAAATTCCGACGGTCTGTGGGAATGGCATCCAGTCTAAAAAGTAGACGGTTAGTTTCCAGGAGTATGAAGATATGTTCAATCTTTGCAAGAGAGGGACTGGTTGACTGTAGAGGCTCTGCGGCTCTTGAAGGGCCCAAGATCGCTTGCAAGAGCACAGGGCAGTTGAGCGGAGAAGACTTGCGAAGGGTGGGAAGGTTGGACAGAGGTGCTTACCGAGGGGTCATAGGCTGGTAATAGGACATTTTGACGGCGACTCATGAGGTTGGGGATAAATCAAGGCCGGATGATGCAGGGAGATTTTTGGATGTCCGTGCGTATGGAGTTGATCGAGGTTCACGGGTCGTCCTGGTAGAAGTAGCCTTCTCTCGTGTCCTGCGATCTGCTGCCCTGGCCCAATTTGAATTTCAGACAGTGGCCTACAACGCAGTCCTCTGGGGTGAAGGTACAGAGAAAGACGTGAAAGAATCGCCGCTGCCCTGACCACTTCAAGTGATTGAGGCTACGGGGAGGCGCGCATTGATGACGTGTGGGAGAGAGGGAAGTGGGATGGTACAATTGAATGTGAAAGATCGGAGGCCAAGAGAAGAGGAAGAGCAAAAAGAAGAGGTGCGGCAGGAACAAAGGATTTGGGAAGGAGAAACCCTAACACGAAGAGCCTTTGCATGTTGACATGGTTCCTGTGAAGATTGGACATGGTCGAGTGATGGGAGGTGAGGTTGAACTGGGCGGTGCGCGGTTCGAGGCTCACGCAACAGGTGGTGGCAGAATTGGATTGGACCAACTGCCGCGAACTCGAATCCACTGGTCAGAAGGCGTCAAGTGCATCAAGTGCATCAAGCGAACGAGGTTCCAGATACGAGCCACTCCTGCCTACCTAGCTCGCTAGGTAGGTAACAATACTGAACGACGACGCAGGCCCTTCAAGATAAGTCTAAACTTGCTCCGAGGTCTAGCGACTCTTTATAACAACCACCCTCTCTTCCTCATCCGCGCCCTCAACCTTCATCCTGAACTGCTCCACCATGTGTACCGAGTACAGAGTAGTGCCAGCGAAGAGCCGAGATTAGCGGCGGTCCCTGTTTGACGCCTTTTCGACTTTCGACCACTTTCCCTGTTGGGTGCCTTGGGTGCCTGTCCTCTAGTCCGGAAGAACCCTCCCCCTGTTGTGAATCAAGTACGAATCCTCTCGGGTTGTGAATTCTTCTCCTCTTCCAAACTGCAACCCTTCTCAAGCAGGGGTTCTACGATTACCGCCACTCTAGCAGTCCACCACGACGATAACCCAGAGTCCTGTTATTACCACTAGCGTCATGCGCCAGCTGGGCCAGCTGAGCCAGCGGGAGCTTCCGGCGGAGGAAATGTTAGTCACAAAATGATCAACGAAGAGCATAACAAGTGTGGGAATAAGGGGGGTTTGCATTTGGTGAGGGGGGTTTTCCCACAGAATCTGTTTGACCTGGCGATTTCTGGCAACGACTTCAGTACCACCTGGCATCAAGACCTCCAGACAATGATGCAGGGCGATCATGAGCTCTCGCAAGATAACGTCCTGCCAGCACAGCACCATGGTTCAGCAATGCTCCTTAGATTCATACCTAGACCCTTATAGAAACAGCAACTTAAAAAGAGAAAGCAATGTGAACAGTGTCTGCATCGAAAAAAGAAGCCTCGCCAATCCAGATGCCGCAGGCTTGGTGGGTGGGTTTGAAGCAAGGGAGAAGGCCAGAAGGTGCAGACGCCCTCACTACCAGGCTGGTGATGAGGCCCGGTTTGCATGGTTTGCATGGTTTGGTGCCGCAGCCGGTCGTAACGGGCCCTTTTCGGTCAAGTCCAGGAAGCGCAGTTTGCCCATCGCTCAACTTGCAACTAGACCCCCTCCATGAAAACACCTCTTAAGGCATCTGCAACACTCCAGGTAGATACTCTCTACGGTCCCAGCAACCGAATGACTCTCCAATCGTGGTACTTGTTGCCTTTCCAGAAGGTTTGACACCATTGCCACTCACCGTAGGTTGATGCGCCTTGTGACAGGACAGCATGAAAACCTTTAACCCCCGATTCTTCAGGCATCCACCATCACTTACTCGTTATTTGCTCATTAGCACAGACTTCGTTAGTCCTTAGAAACCATGGCTTCAACTGTAGTGCACTCAACTGCGACTAGCTCAGCCTCAAAACCTCCCGCTGTCGACCCTTCTTCTCAACCATCAGCTCAATCTCCAGATATGAAACTTGTGTCTGCCACGCCTCTCGAATATGTCCAGACGGCATATCTCAATGCCGAAGAATGGCAAGGACCGCTTACCATGGAGCAATACCTAGATCGCGAAGTCGTCCTCCAGTCAGTCGATTTGACAAGAGACGGCCGTATCACCGGATGGATTTTGACGTCCGACTCTATACCCCCAAACCCCGATGGTTCGCGACCTATACTTGCTTGTTGTGAGAGTCTCCTGGTTGAAGGATATGTCGCTAAAGATGGCGAGGTTAAAAAGACCCAGGCACATGGTATTGCCTCGGTTTATACTCGTCCTGAATACCGCGGGAAAGGGTACGCTGGCAGAATGATGGCAGAGCTAGGGAAACGATTGGAGTCGTGGCAGACATCAACTGGTGCTCCCAATCCATTCTCGGTCCTCTACTCGGATATTGGCCAGAAGTTCTATGCCAAGTTCGGCTGGAAAGTATTCCCCAGCAACCACATTCATCTTACTCCCATGGATCAAGCCGCGTACAATGCAGCCGCTTCCAAGTTCCCAGATGTTGAGGACCTGACGATGGAAGATGTCAAGCATATCCCGACTGCTCAATACCTTGAACATCGCCTGCATACGATATCCAGAGCGACACCGGGTGTCAACCACGTTGCAATTCGCCCTGATGTCGAGCATTTTGAGTGGCACTTCGCTCGAGAGGAGTTGCACACAAAGGTCTTGAACAAGGGTTTCCCAAAATTCAAGGGCGCAATTCATCGAGACACCGGTTTAGCTCTGCTCTGGTGTCGTGTCTACGCAGCCAAGGAATCAGAGTGGCAATTACATATCCTCCATACCGTTATCCCACCCTCGGTGGAGAGTTCAGTAGATGCCCAACATGCAATGTCGGCACTTCTCTTGAGAGCACAGTTAGAAGCACATCGATGGGAGATGGCTGCAGGTGTGGAGGTCTGGGACCCCTCGGAATTGGTAGTTGCCTCTTCTCAGGGGCTGAGGACGGAAGAGCAGGGCAGGGTGGAGATCATTACCCGCGACAAAGAGCATTTGTGCAGTCTCAGATGGACTGCGGGACCGGATGATGAAATCGTTTGGCTCGCCAAGGAGAAATATGCCTGGTGCTGAAGGAGGGTGCTTTGAGGACACGCAGCCTCGCCACACCTTTGTGGATGGTTAGAGCGGCTGCGGAGACTTCGGAGGTGAGTCCAAGCATTGTCGCTGCTTGTTACAGTCGCAACTGGCATCGATGATGGCACCCACAAACGGGGGCTTCAAAAGCTATATGTAGCGAATCACACAGCCACAGATCATTCACCTTTTGACTTATCCTTCCTTCTCCACCTGCATTTTCATTTCCAGCGCCAACAGTGCTTCTGAGTATTCTCCCCAAGCCATCAAGGGCGACTGACCCTGGACTTCTCGCCGCGTGCTGTTTGACAACAGTCGATTCAACGAGATCAGAGGCATACCCGCGAGCTGAGCAAACCTTTGGGAAACGCCACGAGCACAGTTACCGCGGCTCACAAGCAGCAGCGGCAGCTCGAGCGCTGGCATAGACGAATATGCGGGGATACGGCTCTTGCCTCAGGAGTTGGCCACTGGTTCAGCACGCCATAACCACCTGGTGCCGCAGCATATGCCGTAGAAGCAGATGTTGCTTCTTTTCGATGCCGCGTGAAAGAGCCTCTAGAGATGTCGTCTTGCTGCAACCGTGCAAGGCCCACTTGATCCAGCGAGCCAGCTATACCTTGTAGCTTCCGAGGAGGATCCCCCTTCTCCGCCATCACGTTGCCGCCCTTCCAATACATGCCAGGGTCGAGCGAGACATGATTAACAAGCATATCCCCGTGCAAAATCCTTCGAGGGCGACTCTGATTCTGGAAAGGGCACATTCGGTCCTGTTGATTGCTTTGAATTTGTAAGCGGCGGTTGGTGTCTAGGTATGTAGGTAAATTTATTTACCTAGCACCACCCCGCCTGAGCGAACCCAGCTGGGCATTGACTGGCTGTGGCGACGGCGATATATCATACACCCTTCGAACGTCCATGATACGCATGCGCATGTCCAAAGACGCCCGGGGTCCCTGTTAATCTACGGCCCGAATACCCTTTACACGCCCATGGGACAGATTCAGGACAAAGCGACCCCACCAGCTCTGCTTCTGTGGTCCTATGCTGACAAACTCCATACCGAAAGACCCTCTCACCCACCTCTCACCTACGTCTAACAATGACTTCTCACCAATTCTGACTGTACCCACCGTTATGTATATTCGGGAACTTTCGCGGTTCAATGAAAAAGAACGGGGATTTTGTAAGCGTTTTCTGAGCTCACGAGGATGGAGCGCGACCGGCGGTACAGTCCGCATCTAGACGGAGCAGGACTCGGTAGTTGGGGTGGTACAGTATCCACCGTCCGGGTAAGGCTATAGCGTGCTGCGTGCTATAGCCTTGCGGCATGGGATTTTAGCGGAGAAAAAAGTTCCCTTTTCCAGATATTGCACGACGACTGAATCAATCCAAACTTTGGAACGATATCTTGTGCGCAAAGGGCCATTGGGGTCGTTAGTCCCCCTGGAATATTGAACACCTGGCGGTACTCTTCCGTGCTGTAGACCGAGGAGGATGGAGAACCTGAGCATTGGACCCTCAGCCGTTGAACAAGAAGCCCGGTGGCCTGATAGAACCAGAAGATGGTGTTTAATCTCCTCATCGACCAATATCCACGTAGGGAAATTTGATGTTTCGGTGCCGTTAGCCGGCTTAGCACATTTGCTGGCCAACCTTGTTTCCATCAATTCGCCTCGCTCGCTCGTGAGATCCCCGCAGACGAGGGGCCGTGGAGAATGGATTCCAGTACCGAGGTCTACCTCCAAAATGGTCTCACCAACACACCAAGTCCCCTTGCTGACTGGCTCGGCGAGAGTAAATAGACGGTAGAGGTGCCGCTCGAGCGCAGTTTTGATCGTCGCAAAGAAATATATACCCTGTTCTGTTCTTCCAGATCCCGCATTTGGCGATAGAAACTTCCCAGGGCACATCGATATAAAGTGGCTGTTCAGTCCTCACTCACGACATCAGGCCCGGCTTTGGTTTGCTTGCACAGATCGCTTTGTTGTCTTTCTTTCTGCGATTCGGAGAAAAAAATGGCGCCATCCAAAGACGGTGAAGGTTTCTCATCTAATGCCACCGGCGAGGTTTTCAACGAGCTTGGATGGATGGTCCAGAATGCCCGAGGATACAGGATCCACGAAGAACCATACGACACACCTCGCAAGATAAGGGTCATCCACATCGGCGCAGGCGCTTCGGGCATCACGCTGTCCAAGTTTATTGAAGATCGGTGCGAGAATGTCGAGTTGCAGATATACGAGAAGAACAAGGACGTCGGAGGAACGTGGTTGGAGAATAGGTATTTGCCTCGAAACCCTGCAACCCGGAGTGATGTTTCTTTGTTTCTCTTTTTTGTTTCGGGAGTGAAAAAAAGGTATTTGCTAATGAGGAAACTTCGTCCACAGATATCCCGGCTGTGCTTGTGATATCCCTTCCGCATCGTATCAGTTCACCTGGGAAAGGAACCCTTATTGGTCCCAGTATTACTCCGAGTCGCCCGAGATATGGCAGTATTTCAAGAACGTGGTCGACAAGCACGGATTGATCAAATACGTCAAGCTCCAGCATACCGTGACCGGAGCGTATTGGCAACCTGAGCAAGGCGTCTGGGAAGTGCACGTGCGACGGCCCGATGGGACCGGGTTCGTGGATACCTGCAACGTCCTCGTTAATGGTGGTGGGATCTTGAAGTACGTCTGTTGCTTTCTCCACCAGTCTTTTGACTGTGTCTCGGTTGAATGCTGATCTGGGTGGCGTGTACAGCAACTGGAAATGGCCAGATATTAAGGGACTCCATTCGTTCAAGGGCATTCTCGTGCACAGCGCCAATTACGACCCCGAAATAGACCTAAACGGCAAGCGTGTTGCAGTCATCGGGATTGGGAGTAGTGGCATCCAGATCATCTCGAAGATTGCGTCGCAGGTGAAGCAACTATACGCTTGGGTAAGGTCGCCGACGTGGATCACCGCTGGGTTTGCTCAGAAATTTGCTGGACCAGATGGAGGAAATTTTCACTGTATGCGCCATATGTCTTGCTCTGGTCAGTGGCCTTCTAATGCCGAGGACAGATACTCCCGAACAACAAAAGTTTTTTGCTGAGAACCCAGAATTGTTCCTGAAATATTCGAAAATGATCGAGTCCGAGCTGAATGTCAGGTTCAAGTTCATTCTGAACGGAACCAAGGAGGCTGAGGGCGCCAGAGAGGTAAGATCACGCGTATCGAGAGAGCTGCGCAGAACACTGAATTGAGTTACCAGTTTGCTCGAAATGAAATGATGCAAAAGCTTGGTACGACGAAGCCAGAGCTCCTAGAGGCGATCATTCCCAAGAACTTTGGTGTGGGATGCAGGAGGCCGACTGTGAGTTTATTCTGGAGCATGTATGATCGCCAGCTGATTCGGATTTCTCCAGCCTGGAAACGGCTTCCTTGAAGCGTTGAACCAGGACAATGTCCAAGTCTTCACCTCGCCAATGAAAGAAATCAACTCCGATGGTTTCGTCGATAGCGAGGGTAAGCAACATAATGTGGACATTATCATCTGTGCCACAGGGTAAGCTCACAGTGTCTTTAGCTTTTCGGCCGGTGACGCTTTGTTGGCTAACCTGGTGCATGGCAGGTTCAACACAAGCTGGATCCCTAGATTTCCCGTTGAAGCGAATGGGCACAGCATTGCAAAGATGTGGGCCAAGGAGCCCACATCGTACCTTTCCCTCGGAGTTCCTCACAGTATGAATCCCCTCGATATACCTGCCCGTGATGACCACTAAATCGTATAAAGTGCCGAACTACTTCATGATGGGTGGACCTTACGGCCCGCTTGGACACGGATCTTTCTTACCTATCATTGAGACACTCGCAGGCAATATCATCCAATGTATCAAAAAGATGCAGAAGGACCGTGTAAAGAGTCTAACGCCCAAACCTGAGATCGCCGAGCAGTTCAGAGAGCACGCACAACTGTTCCTGAAGAGGACAGCTTGGACCTCGGTGGGTGTACCTCTAGTACTTATCTCGAAGTAAGACACTGATGTTTCTCGTATTACAGGGATGTAGTTCGTGGTTCAAGCAAGGGAGGATCGATGGTCCGCTACCCATGTTCCCTGCTTCTCGACTGGTGTATATGGACCTTCTGGCGACTCCTAGATTTGAGGACTACCAGATCGAATATATGAACAAACTGAACATGTTTGAGTTCCTAGGCAATGGCTTTGCTACTCGAGAGTTTGATGGCCGCGACCTGTCGTATTACTTGGGGCTGTTGGACGGTGAAGATCACCAAATCGACCTCGAAGGAGCAATTCATGACGATCTCGCGGCGCTGAATCTGATACAATAGCTGGGGTGAAGGTTGGGGTTGAGGTATTTGTGCACCGATAACAAGAAGCAGCAGATAGAAACAACGAGCAAGAACCTGAAGGACTTGAACGCGCCTCGGCGCGAACGTGTCACGCGTGTATGAAATTACTGAACCCTATGCTCTACCGTACTAATGATATACGGTGGGTCATATAACCAGGCCCGCGTCTTTGATCTCCCCGTCTTTTACTTCGTTGGGTCTCACTCTCCACCTGTTCAGCCTCATACCTCGCCTCGCGTATGCACACCGGACAAATCTAACAAATGAACCCGATGGAGACTCCAGGCCCGGATCACAGATGATGCAGGAATGTGCTTGATTGGCCGTGTCTTGCCATGTCTAACCAAGTCCGCAGGCAAGTCCCTACAGCGGGTTGCCTTGTGCCGCATCTCCACATGAGTTTGCCTTGTCATTAGTTCTTTTTTCCTTGCATACCAAGTCGAGCGAACGATGGCCGTCGCTCCTTTGCCTGATTCAAGCCAGCGCAATGTCAACCTTGCCGTATCTGTGCGCCCGACTTTTTGCTTGTCACGCAGCGGCTGCAGATCGCTCAGCCTTTGATCCCGTCTCCCCCTTCTTGCGCCCGGCAAGTGCTCGTGGCCTTCTTGCAACAACGGAACCGAAGGACACATGCCGTGTGAATTTGAGCTGATTCGATGCCGACTACCTGGCGCCTTCGACGGTCGGTTGTTGCGAACCAATATTGGGCGCAGGAGATATGTTGCTTCTGCGCCTTGCTGCAGTACATGGAAGACAGCCTGACTGCGACCTGGTCTCCCCTCCTCTTCTCAATTCAACCCGCCATGCCTAGTCAGTAATACATAGGCGCTTGCCTGATAAAAGAGGAGCACCATCGCTACTCTGTCGATTACTTCCTCTGCACCGTGTTGCCTGCGGTAGGTGCTTGACAATTGCTAACTATCTGTTTCTGCTCGGTCTGATCTCAGTGTTTTGATATGTCTTCCACTGGGCTGAAAAGAGTCTCACTGGGTGAGACTGCCGCGTTAGGGAGTCTGTATGATGCACGCACCGACTCCTTTTTAGCGCTTTCATTGATGAACGGCTCGCTTCCAGAGCCCGCCGTCACCAGAGAGGCATGTCCTTTTTCACGATCGAGCGTTGTCGAGACTCATGACCTCAAATACAAATTCAACGCTTTCGGAGTGGAGCCTCATCTGGGAGCCAGCTTGCTCTCTGGACTAATCGTCCCTTCAGGCTCTGCAGCCTCTCTTCTGGATCGACATGAGAGCAACTTCAACGTCCAAATGTCCCTGCAACATGTCGTCACCACATTCAGGGACAAAGTCAACTTTACAAGCCCTGAACTCCAGCAGTATATTTCCCGAGAGAATATACAGCTAAGCCATGCTACACATGTTGTCTCGGAGATCACATGGGGTAATCGGAGCATCCTCACAGCAAACTATCAGAGATCCGCTGGTGAAGATGAGGGTGCTGTCAGAAGGCTATTACGGGAGGAGTATGGCAAAGTTGAACAAAACATCTCCGACCATGAAACCTTGGCTGCGGACTTGCATCGATTCCGTGACTTAAGCAAGTCGCTTCGGGTCCATCTCCACACAGACTTGTCGGAAAGCAACCCGATACAGATCGATCTGAAGGGCGCCTGTCAGTTCCTGCGAAATATGCCAAATCATCTGTTGGATGTGAATGAAGGTCGGGGACAGCCTGTCATCTACATGCTCCTCCCGGTCCAATGGCTCTCGCTGATTCTGTCCTTCGAGCTCACGGCCGAAAACATGATCGTCCAGCCTAGCGAGGACCACTTACAAGACTATATGAAAATGTTTGAAGGGATCAGAGGTGCTCAGAGACGACTCGAAGATTACTGGAACTATCTTTCTCTTCGGCGGGCTCTCGTGCCGGAGGAACATGTCCGCGAGGTCTCCGAGTCTTTGGATCGTGCGAGGAAAGCAGAAGATGTGCTAAGGGTGCAATACGGCAATGCTCTACGCCAGCTTCGAAATGGTCGGACTGGTCTGAAACAGCTGGCCCAAGAGCTTGACAAATTTGCGAATGACCAATATTCCCCCGTTCAGCTTAGTGCTGTGGCAGACATTTATGCTCGAAAGCTGGCTTTCATTGACCAAGCGACAACCCATGGAGCAAATTACTTCTCAAACGATGGTGCAATGCCCACGCCGCGCGGTGATGTGTACACTCTTTACTTCAGCGGCACTGTCATGGACGATAATGCGACATGGGGTCCCAATTCGCGTCTGCTCTTCAACTTACTCCAGGAACGGAACGCCCAAAAGTCGGTTCGCATTGTAGACTGTGACCGGAGCGGCCGACCTATCAAGAAGTCTAACATCACATTCCATCGTGATGGCAACCTGGTCACTAACGACTTCAAGAAACTCCAAGATTTCCTGGGGGACAAATGTCTAATGCATTTCGAAGATACCCATCTCGATACTTGGGGGGTGAAGAAACCCATAGATCGGAAGCCTGTCAGACTGCCCTGTCCAGGGAGAAATTGTGAGCCACGAGCACAGCATCAGTGGATCTGTTCTCGATGCTACTCTACCATCGACTATGGCAAAAGAGATCACTATTTGTATTGCGACTGTGGACGTACCAAGTACCGCTACTGGAGTTTCAGGTGCAATGCACAGTGCCATGGACCAAACTTCGAGCGACGTGAAGACCGTCAACTGTTGCAATTGCTTGATGCTATGGATCCCTTTGAAGAGGTCAATATCTTGATCCTTGGCGAGACAGGTGTCGGCAAGAGCACATGGATTAATGCCTTCGTAAACTATCTCACCCACAGCACTTTGCAAGAAGCGATGGATGCCACTCAAATAGAGCACGTCATTGCATGTTCGTTTGCGACCCAGACAATCGACGAGCACGACCCTCATAAGAGACTTATTCAGAGGAAGATTCAAATCGGTGTGGGAGACGAGTTTGAACACGACGCATCTGACGGCCATTCAGCCACCCAAAAGGCTGTAACGTACCCTATCTTCGTTGATTCGGTGATGGTGCGCTTGATTGACACCCCCGGTATCGGTGACACCAGAGGTCTGGATCAGGACAAAGCCAACATGGCCGACGTTCTGTCAGTCCTGAGCAACTACAAGGAGCTGCATGGCATTCTGATACTGCTCAAGCCAAACAATTCTCGATTAAACGTGATGTTCGAATTTTGCATCAAGGAATTGCTAACCCATTTGCATCGCAATGCTGCGCGCAACATGGTGTTTGGTTTTACCAATACTCGCGGTTCGAATTACCACCCTGGTGACACCTTTATACCACTTGAGGCGGTGTTGAAGCAGTTTAGAGATGTCAACCTTGGGTTGTTTCACGATACGGTCTATTGCTTCGATTCGGAGAGCTTTCGCTACCTAGCGGCTCATAAGCAACAGGTCAACCTGGGCAGCTACGATGACTATTTTCGAAGTTGGGAGCAGTCTGCTACCGAATCTCGGCGATTGCTCGATTACATCCGGCAGCTAGAGCCTCATCAAACGGAGAACACTCTCAGTCTGAACGAGGCTCGACGCCTGATCCTTCAGTTGACCAAACCCATGGCTGAGATAGCGCAAAAGATCAATGATACCATCGAACTGAACCAACGAGACAATGAGCTCTTACGAAACAGCAAATTGAGCAAGGACGAAATGCTGAAGAAGCTAGACGTGCAGCAAAATTCGGTGGTCTTCAGCCCAGTCACTCGCCCAAAGACGGTCTGCACCAATGCGAGATGCATCGAGAAAGTTGACACTCCCGGCCCAAATGGAGAGGATACTATACACAAAAGGCCGTGTCACAACCCTTGCTGTTTGACCAATGTTCCGGTTGAGAAAGTGGGAACTCCAGAATTGGTGAGGTGCGCGGCGTTCGCGGGCTCGCAGCATTGCAAAGGTTGCAGGCATCATTGGACAGAGCACAAGCATATTCTGTACGAACACAGAGAGACCAAGAAGACCATCAAAGACCCGAAAGTGGAGATGCTGTTGCAAGACAATGCCAAGGTCACCACTGTAATCGAGGCTGCAATCAGGGCGAAAGAGGCGACAATCGCAGAATTCAGACACGAACATAGAGAAATTCAAAGGGCGGCAGTTCAGTTCAGCCTTTGGCTCAAGCACCATTCCATCACGCCGTACAACGACGCTACATTGGAGTACCTGGACCATCTTATCAAAGAGGAGAAGTCCAAGGTTGCGATTGGGGGCAAGAGGCAACGCCTTGATGCCTTCGAACAGTATCGTCGCGAATATAAGGAGCTTGTCAACCTCTTCGAATCAAACCTTGATCAGGGCAGAAACGAAGAGCTTTTGGATGCGACGGGCGTCGACAAGCTCGTGAAACAATTGTATTCTCTGAAGCATTACGGCGCGGACCTCCGCAAGCTACGGGATACCGTGGTAATTGCTCATAATGCCTCGATTCGTGAGAGACCATACCGTGTCAACGTGAGAAGAGGGGTTGGGATATCCGTGATCGGAAGATCGACTTTTCAGACCTCGATCAGAACCCGCGCTGCATCAAACGCCAATGATAAATTGCCTTCTATAAGCCGAAAGCCTGTGCCTTCGGCTTTGGCAATGACTGACGAGAAGCAAGCCGTCGGAACAGAAAACGAAGCGAACTCTCTGGCTGGTAAAAGGCATGTAAGTCTGCCCGAGGGAAACAGCTCGGCTCCTCCGCCATCCTATTTCGAAGCCGCTGTGGCTCCTCGGAACTTGCATGAGAGAACAAAGAGCAAACGCAGAATGGCTCGGTCGTTGAGCGGCAGGCTCACTGACAAGGTGTCGTCGATTTTTAGATGAGAATCAAAAGTTCGGGACAGCCACCTGATGAAATGAGGGCTCACAGGCACCACCCGGCACTAACCTCACAAATGTTGTAGTGAGCGATGTGAGTTTTGCGGTGACCATTTGGAGGATGAGCGTAATGACTTTCGGAACACCTCTGATGCTCTTGGGAAGGACTGCGTTCTTCAGGCGTTTACCAGTTCTTCGGAGTTGACTGGATCTTTGGCTTGCAATAATGACTACCTAAGTAGGTCAAAATCACAGGATATCCCTCCCCCTAAGACGGGAATGATCTCTTTTGCTTTGCAAGTCTCAGCAAGCCTTTACAATGAATGTTTTGATGCACAGCGGGCAGACCTCAACAGGAGCAATTGTCCACTTGCTGGATGTAGTCAATAATGGAAAGATATGCTTGTATACCAAGCACTGACGCTCAATGATTAAGACATGTGATTTTCCACGACTCGCCTTTGCTACTGCAAGACACGCAATATTGGCGGAGGGAGTAGTAGCTGCTCATGAAAAACCTATGCCGTGAAACCCCTTCCCTACAAATACATGTTACCGTCGTCTATCCTCAGTACTCAGTACGACATGAATATGACCTCGGTGCGGTCCTAACCCCTTCCCACGCTCGTCATGTATTAAGCGCCTGTCATGAAACTCATGTAACCATCATCGCATCCTGAATAACCCATCATCACCAGGCCAAAACCACAGCATCATCACCCCTTTCGAGCAGATTGTGCCATCTTAGATGAGGTTGAACTCGGGCGCGGTCTTCGCGTTCTCACGCGCGTCGCGCAAAGCCGCCAGAGGACGGGGTTTGGGGAGGGACGCCAGCGCCGATGAAGGGGTCTGCGTCTTTTGCGGCATGTAGTAGACGATGAGGAATGGCGCGAGAGCGGTGGCCGTGGAGGCGAAGAAAGTGCCGATGGTGAAGTGAGACATTTTTGTTGGGATGGGATCGATTGATTGATTTGTTTAGTTGGTTTGTTATGCTGATTCTAACAAGCGGATGGATTGGAAAAGAGTGTGATTTCGAGTTAAATGTCTAGCGCTGAGCGAACGAAGGACGCAATCGAAGTCTATAAGGAATGCGAAAAGCTGGGAAGGAGTAAGGACTGTGCAAAACACAAGTTAATATAGGCAGTGGCGGGTAAAAAGGAGAGAAAGAAAACAAAAACCGCGCAGGCAAGGAAAATTTGGCTGCACCCGAAGAAAGTCTGGAAGCCCAAAGGGGGCCACCTAGGGGCGGTGCGTTGCGGTCTCGCGGTCTAGTCAGGGGCTGGACAAGATCCTTCCCGCGACCTCCAAGCCTTATTACCCCGTAGAGTAAAGGAGAGCGAGCGGAATTATATTTAGGCGCAGCCTTGTCGCGAGAAACAGACTCGCCGCTCCAGACGAGGCTGCGGCGGTTGAATCAGCGACCTCGGGAAGACATCGGCTGTGACATCACCCACTGGCGAGAGCTCCCGCCGGCTGCCACTGATAAAAACACTGAAGAGAAACGCACGCATTGCAAAGGGCAGTCTTTTTTTGGGATGCTCCATCGTAGATATTAATCTTCATTGACTGTGTCCACAGCTATGGCCCTACAGAATCCAATTCTAAACATGCTCCCAAGGATCAGATGGACTTGTGCCTCCTGTCTCCAGCAGCAACTGAAAGTCCAGCAGCGCCAAATCTCTACCTCCAGCCTGCGCAGCGCTTTTCGACCCACGAGCTCTAGGGCTCTGGTGCAACGCCACCCAACACAGGGTTTGCGAACATTTACTACCACTGCACAGATGCGCGATGAACAGCAGCAGGCAGTGCCACTAGGTGACTTCTACACCGAACTCCTTTCGACACCGATCCAAAAGCATCCAGCCACATACTCAGACCTGCCCACCTTCGTGCAACCAGGCGACGAGTCCAAGATGGAAAGAGCAAGGAAGGTGTTTGGATCAATACGAGGGTCAGGATATGAGCGGCGGACGTCGAGCACGCCGGACTCCACGTGGCGCACAATCAACGGCGTGGCCGTCCCTCCCAAACCTGCCGAGCCCGACAATTGCTGCATGAGTGGCTGCGTGCACTGCGTCTGGGACGATTATCGAGATGATGTGGAGGAATGGGCGGCCAGGGTTCACGAAGCGCAGTCGAAAGCGCCGAGGCGTGGTCGACGAGGTGCTCCCAAGATTGAAATGGCGAGACCCGAAGTGAGCGAAGCTTCGGGAAGTATGGACGACGATGGCGGCGGGAGTGAAAGTCTTTGGACGACCCCCTCAGCAGAGGCTAATGAGGAGGATATCTTATTCCAGGGTATTCCAGTCGGCATTCGGGAGTTTATGGCCACAGAAAAGAGGATTAGAGATCGCAGACGTGCTCGGAAAGAGAAGGGTCAGCAACTGGAGGACGATGATTTTGTGTGATAAAAAGTCACTTCAAGATATTTTTACCGGCTACACATGCGGATGTGGAACCTCGGTCCGACATGATAAACGCCAGGGCTGCGATGAAGCATTGCCTCGTGGCCTGTTCAGATTCTGGGAGGCATGATCTCTCTGCTACAGCAACAACGCATCCAATTGAGAGGCGTCAATCAGAACTTCCGTCATGAACCCCACAGCGACGGAGAATACTGCAGGCAATGCTTAGGGGGCGGGAGCTTTGAGCATATTGGTGTGCGAAAGTTATTCTCCATCCAAAGACTCGAAGAACGAAAGACGAAATAAGAAACAAGAGATAAGAGGGTTATTTTCAAATATTACACCTCTCGATGTGGGACAGTCTCCGTTTCGCTCTAGATGCAACCAGACGGGATACGATCATAGGAGAATCTGAAACTCACCGGAAGCCTCGCCGAGCCCGGATCCACGCCTCTTTCCAGTTTCAGAAGTTGGCACCACAACAGCCAAAACTGCGAGGCTCGCTTCAGCGATCTGTCCACGCCTCTTGCCATTGAAGGATGTTCGTTTACACTTGTCTGGCCCTCGAAATTGTTGGGTGCTGTCTGAGTTTTGCAGTTGTGAGAGCACTAACACCAAAAGTGGCATTGAATGCCCACCGAGGCGCGAATGATCGACAATGGTAAAACACGGGGATAATGCCATGTGCTTTTGTTACGACTTTGCTACGACTTCGTTACGACTTTGTTTTGAAGGCCATGGGAATCGTTGCGACGCGACGCGTTTTCCTTTGTTTTGAGTAAGAAACCTACCTAGGTACCTAAAGGTTGCGAACAGAAGCGACGATGCATTTCCAACACTGTTGTCGGGCAGAGGTGTGAGAATCTATCTAAATAGTCGATTAGACTGTTGTTCGCTGAAGCGTTCGTGAAGTTCATAAACGAAACATAGGTACAGAAAGATCATGCAAGAGGTGAATGAGATGTCCGGGGGTTTTGGGAAGCAATATTTTGCAATGGAGTTCTGGCTTGCGGATGTCTCATGCTCAGGCTCGTGCCCATCATAATCATCTGGTTCGCGTGGCCGTGTCGAAGGCGGCTCAGTGGCAAATAACCATTCGGCCAGGAGAAACCTAACCTTATTGTCGCGCACAGGCCAACGCGTAGGCTCGACACTGAGCGAAGGAACTGAGAATCTTGTCGAGAGAGAGTTGGTGGGTTTTCCCTACTATTGAATCCTTCGATGCCCCAAAGGAAAGTCGCTAACGATTCAATAATGCTCCCAGATGCCCCGACTGGCAATCTCCCCGACGTTGCCGTCCAGATCGCCAAAGTACACGCTCTTCCCGCCCCGGGGCCAATCGACTCTTCCGAGGATCTCCACGTGCTTGTCCTCGAACCACTTCTCCCAGGCCTGGACGTCGTCCGGCGAGGCCACCGCGAGGCAGAAGTGTTGGTTCAGACGGCCCGGGATATCCACCCGTCGCGAGGATGGATGTGATTGACCACCAGCGGCGGCCTCTGGTGCGGCGAGGAGCAAGTTGAGGATGTTCTGCGAGGGCCCGTGGCCGGGAATCGTGCCCCGGTTGTCCGGCATGGGGCTGTCCGAGGCAGTGGCTCCGAGTTGGAACAGGAGCAGTGTCGTCTGGGATAGGGCGAAGCCGGACATTCGTGGCTAGATGATCCCGTGAGCAAAAGCGTCTGGAAAGCAAGGAGCTGTTGGGTGGTCTTGTTGGTCGGTAGGTTTGTCGATCAAGAGACATTTCCATATAGCAAATGCAGGTCAGACTGGTGGGAGAGACTTTACCGTGTTCATGAACGGCTCAACGTCAAGCAGATTCCTGTAGAATTCGGTTGCAGCGCCGACGTCCTTGACCATCAGACATGTCTCGAGGATATGCGAAATCTTCGGCGGCTTTGGAGACGTCGAGGCGACCGACTTGTTTGTCAGGTCTTGTGCCATGTTTCTCTTTGATGTGCTAATTCCTCTGACAATATTACCCTGTCTAGCTGAGAAGACAGGTTGGGCTTGCAATCTTCTCACGACACAAAGGGATGCCCGCCTCATATAGTCGATTGCTCATCGCACGCTGGTTGAGGCTTGTCGCATACATTTTTGCTCTGAAGTCAAGTGGCCGTGTAGTTTCCATGTCGTAATATGACGATGCGTCACTGTCTAGAATTCCCACGGCTGACTGGCATAGCCGAGACAGAACCCCATAAGGGTGTGTAAGCAGCGGAGGTCTAGATTTCTTGGACCTTTGCGGGGATGGTGGAGCATTGAGTTGGCTGGCTGGCTCGGACCAGCGCGTGCGGCAGCAAGATAGATAGACGTTGTGAGAGGCCCCAGTCAGGAGTACACAGGTGAGCTTCCCAATCCAGCTGTTGCAATTTCTCCAAGAAGGAGTTGATAAGGACCTTGTACAACGTAAGTCAGCCTCGTGGACGCCTGCAGGCCCAAGGAAGCCATTCATTGGCGAATCAGGCGCTCGGCGAAGTGCAGCCGGTATGCGACCTCTCCCTGACAGCGCCCGGGGGGAGTATTGAAGGACACAGAATGGAGGCACCGACAAAGACAGCCACTCTTGGGCGCTTCCTTTGAAGCTGAGCGGCAAGGAGCCCTGTGATGGTCATTGTGAGGATTGGGTATAAGACGCCTTAAGACTTCTTTATCGCCCCAGACCATGAGCCCACAACCATTCGAACTCTAAACCCCCGAAACCTACAAAGCTAGTCTGAGCACGAGCTTAGACCATCTGTCAAGATGCGTGACCCCTCGAGGAACACGATTATCAGTCTACGAAGCCACATTCGCAAGCCCTCTTCATCAACTAAGAGCAATGTGTCGGAGAAAAGAGCTTCGTTCGGCTCTCTTGATTATCGGTCGACCACCCTCGAGCCGAACCACATCATTGTCGAGGACAAAGAGATGGACGACGAGAGATGGAGCCGGTTGGCATTTGCGCTGGGCATGCCTTACGGCGAAACGCAGCGCCCCAGTCCAGAAGCGACCAAATTCGCTCAACAAGTCAGAAGTCGGCGAACTGTGAGCGGCAAAGAGATGACCGACCTCCTCCTACCGCTGCTGGTCTCGGTGGCCAAAAACTACAGGATCATGAAATGCCGGACTAACACCCTTTTCCACCGAGACGGTGTCCCGGACGAAGTGCCCGACTTCGAGGTCGAGGACGGGTGGAAGATGCAGCTGCCAACCCCCAGACCGACTATCACCCTGGGCTATTCTAGCAAAGCATTTTCCTCACATCAGCTGGAGTTGCAGCACGGCATCATATCGAACAGTCGGAACGAGCCCTGTAATCTCGACAAGCTCTCCCAACCCGTGCCAGATGTCTACTGGCCATTTTTTGTTGTCGAGGTGCAGGACGAATCAATGCTTGCTGCTCGAAATGCATCCGCTGGGTCGGCAGCGACGTGCAACAACGCACTGATGATCTTCGCCGGGGCTGCAGAGGAGGCGCAGAGGTATCACAGCGACATGAATTTCCTGTGGCGCCTAAGCAAAGCTGCACAATCTTTCTCCCTCTCCATCAATGGCAAAACAGCTTGTCTCAATACACACAATTCAGAAGGCTGCTTGCCTCACGCTGTGGCGACTATTCGAACATATCGGCTCGACAACGACAAGGATGTTGAGTCCATGGCGGCTCGGATCAGCAGTATCTTGGTATGGGCAGAAAACTGCAGGCTGCAGTCCATCAGCGATCTGCTGAGCGCGTTTGACAAGCGTGTGAAGCTCTGCAGAGAGCACATGACCCGGGACAGCTCTCCATATGATCCACCCCAGCTCGCCAGCGTCAACGGGCCTCCTAGGAGTCGCACAAGCATCATCAGAAGTGTCATAGCGGAGAGTCTGCCACGATGGGCGCGGGCATTTTAGTGAGAAGAGGGACGATTGCATTTCCTCCGGAGCAACGACGCGTCTAATTGAATTGGGCATGGCGGAGAAAACTGGATAGCGTTTAGCAAGTACAATGACTTTGTGCAAATCTGATTGATCTCATGTACAAATTCGTACTCGAGTTGCCTTGTCGTGGATTGGTGTGACCGGCAACTGTTCCTGGCGCCAGCTGAGCGCCAGGTGATGACGGCTTTCGGGCGGCAGGAACTTCCCGGCGGCTCTGAAAGTCTCCTTGTAGCGTTGTCAGGAGGGAAATAAGGACACCACGAGTAGCGCGAGAGAAGAGCATCCCCGGGTCTTTCTCAGCGAGGCCAGAGATGGAAGCCGGGGAGGGGGTGGAGAGGACAAGGTTGGGTCTGCAATCAGCACATGGGGCAAGACAGGACTCCAGCAGACTTTCTAAGCGATTGGCTGATGGATATAAACGGTGCATATATATATTCCGTACACGAAGCACACCTGGGCACTAAACCTGCTCCGGGCCACTGCCGGACCGTGTTGTTTTCTCACCGACTCGCCTGATGGTAGTGAGCCCGTCAGTTTAGAAGGATGTGCAGGGCATGACGACGACTTCGAACTTGCTATTTCCTGCCTAACGCGGCTTCTTTCTTCTGCTACCTGCAGATGGATGTCTTGCTTGTGGTGTGATCACAAAATTCAGGCCCCATTGGCGTCGAATCATTGGAGACTCCCTAAGCGCCAGAGGAGGCGGCGCCGCCTTGACCCCCTTTCGACCTTGTCTGGCGCGAACAAACTACCAGCGTTACGCGCCGGCCATGTTTCAGCCTGGTTACACGCGAACTTGTGTCAACCAGACGCAGCTCACATGGCTCAGGCTGGCTTCATGATGCTGGTGAGCAGCAACAATCACCTGGCTCTTCCGGCTAGCTCTGCATCTCCTATTCGGTAAGGCCTGACCTTCACGAAGCCACCGGCGCATCTCGAGGCCGACCGTCTGATGTTCTATACCCCGTTCGACTCTCCGCATCTGGTCTTATTGGGATTTCCATCTCCGGGCAAGTCTTCACACCAATAAAATCGAAGATTAAAGCCGAATCGGCACACGCGCCCACAGACGCAGGGATGAGCTGCCAGCCTCCCTTTCCTCATTACTATCACCTTTTAGGGAAGAAGTAGAGGTGTGCTGGTTTCATCTTTGCTGCAGTCTGGACAAATGATCTCTATCACCTGGGCGCTTGAGAGTCTTCCACTGTCGTGTATTCACAGTCAGTCAATGGCTGGCGAGAAGGCCACTGTTAAAGTCTGTCCTCTTCCCCGCTGCTGCGTCAAGTCTTCTGCTTTCGCCACTTGCGATATGAACTCGATAGTGAAGTTTCTCTGGTCCTTTTGATATTCATTGAAGATATTGTTCACATCCTGCCACCTAGAAGCTCTACTCCCCCGTCTTTCTTGTTCCCAAAACCTATCGCCAGCATGTCAGCCACCAGTGGTCTGAGTGCCCCTTCCCCAGAAGATGATCTTCCACCTTCTTCCTACGACGGAAGCCACCTCCCATGGAAGACATTTCGTCAACAGGTCCTTGCACAACATCGCATCAGAGTGCTGGAATCTGCGCCCAAAGAAAAGCTGCCTACAGAGCTCCTGGGGACGATCGAATCTGAGCTAGTCAACGCCGTCAAATATGAACCGCAGAAGGAGCAATTCCGCGATCAGGTCATCAACGGTCGAGGATTTGGACCCTCGCCGCTCTTCCCTCCCAATCTGCTACCACCTATCGATGACGAACCCCGCCTGGCTCGCTGCATGGTCCCCGCTTTCAGCAGAGAGGCCCTTCCCGAGCGTGCTATCAATCAGATAGGGCCGCTCTACGAACTGAGCGTCCCCCGCAGTGGCCTAGGGTGTGGATTTGCTGCCTCAGCCCTCACAGGTGAGGAGCTAGCTGTCCTGCCTTCGTGGCTGGTGACGACAGGGACTATTGTCCACTTTGACACAGGGTATATCTCGCCTGGAGCTGCACTCTATTGCCCCTTTCTGGTCTTTGAACGCACATGGGGCAACAAAGAGAATCGCCTCGAAGCTGCCAACAATCAATGTGCTATCGGCGGTGCATGGTGTGTCAGGGCTCTTCAGATGCTGTATGCCAAAGCCTGGAAAGGAGAGATGATGCCAGAATTACCCATCGCCTTCTCATGTTCGATCGACAACACATTTGCAGTTCTGAACATGCACTGGATTGATCACGGCCAAGTATATTGCATGTCACCACTTTGCAAGTTTGATCTCAGCAAAGACGACCACTTCAGCAGTTTCCTCGTCTGGATTGATTCCATCGGTAAATGGGGTGTCTCTCATTTGCTTCCTGTCGTCAAATCCGCTCTGGAGCGTTTGCGTGCAAAAGAAGACACACCACCACCAACCCCGCGGGCAGCCAGGCTGACTCTCGACACAGCATGTCCGAATGACTTGCTGATCAGATCCCTGAAGCAGACCTTTGAAAACATTCCCTGGCGCTTCGAGGATGATGAGTTCACACCCGTCAGCAGTAGCACTGCCAGCTGGGGCAGCCCAATGGTCACTGACCTAACATTTGCAAACCTCAACTATCCATCTGTCCCCGCCGCTAGACCACACGGAGGCACGCCAACTTCTGCTGTCCAGAGAAAACAATTCATCGCAAACTGGTCGCAATATCCAAGCCCTCCACCAGCATACACACAGAATAGTGAGCTGGTGTGGCAGAAACGCCTCAACCACGCCATGGATGAGATCCACGACCTGCAACGTCAAATCCAAGTCCTGAGGAACGATTTCAGTACATCCACCACATCCTGTCAGAGCGAGCTGTCTGACGTAAAGTCAACGATGACCTCTGTCCTTCGAAAGGAAAACCTTACTCTGCGGAACAGATCGCTTTCTCTCGGCGTGCAGGAGACTTGGTCGATGCAAAACTTTCCACGGAGTCCCCTCGTCAACGAAGTTCTTCCAGAATTCGTGGTCGACAAGACTTCGATACCTCCACGAAATAGGACCTTTCACCCTCCACCGTCCCCAAAGCTCCTCCCCCAAAGTCTCCAATCTCACGGGCCTCCCTCGCCTGGCCTCCCATCCCCCGGTATGCCCTCACCCACCTTCTCGATCTACAGTGAGACCACCAACATCGTCACCATCCCGCCTGCCCCGCCCCGGTCGGCGTCTTTGTTCAAATTTGCAACTCTTATGGTATCAGGACATATGGCCAGCATGTTCATCCCCAACATACTATTGCGGGTCTTCGTCTTGGGTTGCATCACCGACGTGTGCATCCTGGCCTTTGCCAGCCCTCACCTGCCCAGCTCTGCGGAGTATCTTCTGTCATTCTTGAGATCGCGTTGATGGTTGTATGTGCATTTGTACATCATGAACTGCTCGCAATGCTTTCCTTTTCTTTCTTTCCTTTGTACTTTCAGCGGAGGTGTTTTGGCGGTAGCCCCGGGCAGGATAGGCGTATCATGCATTATATTTCATATTTAGGAGGACTCCTCAGGGACTAAAAGCGGATACTGGAGGAATTACCCAGAAATTGTTTGGAGCGTCTCAATTGATGCCACCAAAATGGAAGTCCCGCGGACTGGGTTTCGGCCCTCTAGGTCAAGTAGGCACAGGGATATCTCTCGATTAGGAGAGCACAGGATTCTACACAATGTACAATAGCGACCGTGGCTGATTGGTAGCAGCCGTGAAGGACTTCCTTGAGTAATGAAAGAAAAATTTCTCGACATGAAGCCTTATTTAACTGCCTCTCCTTTCTCTCGAGATCATGGGGTAGGCGGTGGAGTAAATCACTCGAGGGCCCTTGTTGGAGTCAGGACTGGCGCATAGATACCTAAAGGGCGGGTTTTCGCTCATGGTCCAGCGCGTACATGGGGATTAGCAGGCCTAGGGATGGTACAGACCTAATAATGGCGCCAATTGCATGCATTGTCCTGATCAGCAACAACCTATCCTAGTTCTTCCTTAGTTGTCTTGGGGCCCAAGGGTCGCTCGGTCTCCGAGCGAACTAATAGCTGTTGTAGCTATTTCCGAGTATTTGGAGCAGAATTTCTCCACTCACATTTGCTCATGTCCACTCCTTTCCTGTAGGACTTTTCTCATGCTGCAGGCTCGTCCCCGTCCTCATTGCCATTGCCATTGCCATTGCCCTTGCTCTCTCCAGCCTGATTCTCGTCCGCCATGGTCTCAAAATCCCACTCGATCTCGTCCAGCAACGCGCGGAATGCGGTACTATTCTGCAGCATTTCCCGGCAGCGGGCCCAGCACTCGTCCAAGTCGCCGTGGGCCCCGGTGTCCAGACTGAGGACCTCGCCCGGGAAGACATGGCCAGCGAGGCCAGCGAGGAATCGGGGTCCATCGCACAAGATCAACAGGCGGTGCTGCTGCTGGCCGGGGTCGCAGAAGGCCGGCAATTCGCGCGGCTCGCCCTCGATGACGAGGCACGGCCGGACGTTGCCGCTGCTGTCGTAGTTGTTGCTGCTGCTGTTGCTGCCGTCGTCGCCGGTGAGCAGCTGTAGCGCCTCTATTTGCCCCTCCGGCGGCGCGGCGGACTGGCGCGTGAGACCCATGAAGTAGAAGCCGTATTCGTGTGCGATTTGCTGGCCGATCTCGTGCGCAAAGGACCCGGGGAGACCTGTGTGGGACGAAATAGTTAGATTATATCAAGTATGAGCCGTAGATCGATCTATACACCCCCGAGTGCAGGGGTATACAACCCAGCCTTGCTGTGGAAGGAAATAGATCGCTGCAGGGCTACAGATGGAGTCAGGAACCTACCAACGATGAAGATGAGCAAAGGATATCTGCTTTCTGAACCTGATTCGGCCATTTTTGTTTGCTCTCTTGTTTGAGGAAGAAGGGCTTCCGATTCGGTTTGCTTTGATTTGGTTGATTTTGGTGGACTATTACACAATGCTGGCTGCGTATGCGTGCGCAAATCCCTTTGTATTTGATGAGCAGAGAGGTCTAGACAAAGAGTAGATCGAGAGCGACCAGGAGGAAATGATTTCAAGAACGGAAAACGTTTGCTGGGATGAATGGACCTACTGGATGAATGAATCTATGAATGAGAACAATCACCTTGCTGGGGCGGCTGGGGCGCGTTCACGAGAGGGCGCCGCCGCAGCAAAAAGAGCGGTTTGAATATGGTGGATCGTTCTTCATCTACAGGCGTATACGCCTCCCTGTATACCGCTGCCCCGACGACGGCGACGGCGACGACGACGACTTCACACGAGTGGACGGGGAGGACTGGTTGGGATAAAGGGTCGAAATCGACAGCCTTGCCATGCATGCCTATTGTGAGGCTACCCTTTGTGAAACTGCAGATATTCCATTCAAGGATCACAAGGACTGCATGTTTATACGTCTGGGCTGAGCCTAAGTCATCCCCAACACCTAACCGTTATCAGTCGCACATCAAATAGATGTGCTTCTATATCGAGAGGATTCGCCTCCTCATCAGTATTCTTTGTCCCTCCCTCCGCTAAACATGATGTCAGTGGTAACCATTGTCGAATGCAATATCCAGCAAAGCATGAGGACAAGATCAAGGAGACAGGACGTCGCAAGGGACACAAAGACCATTTATGTTAAAGACCTAACCCACGCCCGGCCCTGGGTTTCCCAGCCATCAATGAAGAAAATGGACGAGCAGCAAAGGTCATGCAGCACACTTACATAACTGTGGCAGCCTCGACGGGATACGTGGCGAAGCATTCGACCTCCCAGTGGCGCATAACATGGATTGCACACCCTGGACGACGGATTGAGCGAGAAGTTGCCCACGGCAGCCTGCCAGCCTGTCATTGAAGGCAAGGCTGTATAAATGGCCATCAATTCAGCCGGACCAGGCGGCAAAAGTAACTATTTGGCGGAGCACTAGCTAAAGGAGGACAGAAAAAGGCTGAAGCATTATGCGGAACAAACATTGAGGATTCTGATTAGGGGTGAGTCTATAGTACCTTTTCGCTAACAAGCGATTGCGGGAAGACAGTGAGTATATCGTTGACATGGACGATCCTGTCAAAAGATACACGAGAACATACCGAGAGCGATTTACCAGGCGAGAACGTCATTGAAATAGTATCTTGCATGATTGGCAGATAGATACACTCACAACTTGCATATTCGTTATGCCTTGGGCCACGTTGGGTTATCGGAAGAGACAGAACGAGCATGGAGCGTCGAAGAAGGACGTGGCAGAAACGACATACGTTGGTCGTCCAGGCACTCATGCTGCGGTTTCCCTCCGGAAGGAATAGGATCAACAGGATCACAGGGCCTTAGATTCCGAACGTACAGTGTTATAGCAATACTCTATGCTCTGAGGCTCTCGCTTACAGACCACGAAGCGCGAGAAATTCGGGCGGAAATGACTTCTTTCCATGTACGAAACGCGGATAATGACACGATGAACAGGGTCAGAAGCTTCCTCGCCCGTGGCCAACTCCTTCCAATGCAGTCAGCAAAGGCCTACCGTCCAAATCCTCATTTAGATAGCTATTTCCGGTAGGCTCAGACTCACAAGGGCTGGCACAGGGATATAGCGGTGGCAAGGTCGGCTCAACGAATACTATGTGCGTACTGGGGACCCGCATAGCCAGGCTGCATTGACACCACGGGCGTATGACAGGGAGGATAACCACTCTAGATCCCTATGAAGAAATCAAGTCTCTCGCCCGTAGCTCTGTTGGAATTCAGGTACTATATACCTCGATCGTACGCCATGGCTTGCGTGCCCATGGGGCTCGGAAGTCGCGGGCGAGCATTCCGAGCACAAGCGGCTCGGGTCAATCTACTCGGTACGGAGTCGAACAAAGCGGTAATGGGCCCGTCGATTGGCACTTGCCCCTCGAGCCAACTCTGGAGTAAATGGGTATAGTCTGACACGATAACAGCAAGGAAGCCGCCATGTTAGAGTAGCTCATAGTCAAGAATAAACATAGGGATGTCACTGTGTCTAAGAGCAGATAGAACACCCCTTGTAAGTGATGACAGTCTCATAACCAATGATTAATCACTTCCACATTACTACTGTAGTTCCCACCCTCTCCTTCGTCACACATGTACCACTTTTTCCGGAGGTCTGCCCGCCCCCTAACGGTCGGTGCAATATGCGGATATCAATAGGATGGCCGCTGGGGCCATCGAGGCTCCATCACGTGACGAGGCTGCGTTGTTCAGGGGGAGGACTCCATTTCCATCTATTTTCCTCCCTCTGCGAGCCAAACTTCAAATGCCATGTTAGTATCCATCACAGAGTCGAAGCCCAGCATCTTCCTCTGGTAGTTGACATCGGCCCAACCCCACCGGGACGGCTTTTCCCAGTCCACTTGGCCGAGTTCTCTATCCCGAGCTTCTTGTTCTGGACCGTCATGCATGTGAACTGTGCAACCTTCAGCGTCAAGCTCTACACAACCAACCCCGGAGCCAAGATCGGTCAAGATCCTGACATACCGGTGTGAACTTACACATGTGTCGATTAGCCACAGCCCCTTTCACCTGGACCGTGGTTCGCTTCTTCCGGAGCGACTCAAAAAGTCGGAGAATAGAGTTTATGAACGGTCCTTTTTCCTGGTCTGGGATTCTATCGCTGGCTTGGAGGCGCCCCAGCAGAAGCCCCAGCACTAAGCCGTCCTCTACGGCCATTGCAGCTCCCTGTGCCTGGTACGGGAGGCTTGGATGGGAAGCATCTCCAATGATCACGACGTTGTCTTTGACCCAAGTTCGGAGCTCTGTGCGGTTTCACAAGTGTCAGGAACCTTGACAGAGTAGACAAGGGCTCGGAGTGGAATGTCTGCAATACGTGCCTTCGTGATGACACAACTTCCACTTCAAGACACTGTTATGGCAGGATATGATCTTGGAAAGCCTGGGTCAACATCAGTACAAATCAGATGGTTGAACGCAGGGAGCCACCAACACTGGATCCCAGCCTTGAAATGTCATGCGCATCTCATCAATATCGCCAGCTCCTGTTCTGGATCCGGCGGGCAGATTATCAGGGCGACTGCTCCCGTCAGCAAATGGATTCAACGTGCCAGACTTCACACTAACATGAGAACAAGGTTGAAAGCGGTGCCATTCTTGACCGGATAAAAAACGCAGTGCCGGTCCGGTCCTATCCAGTTGTACGTGCACCGTGAGTTCATGAGTTCGTCCACTCGAGGGTCCTGAAGTGCTTCAAGTTGGGCTCTAGAAAACGTTCCGCGGTATGCGAGGTCTCCGGTAGGCACTGGTGGGGACGGTTGTCCCAGGACTATGTCTCGGGTAGCAGACCAGAGACCTTTGAGGAGCAATTGTTAACATCTATGTCACAATTCCTGGTGTGATCACTTACCATCTGCCCCAACTATCACGTCGGCCTCGATAATTTCACCTGTTTGAAGAACCACATGTGGATTCTCGGTAGATACTTTGATCTCGACCGCTTCAGCATTTAGTCGAAGCTTACCCCCCAAGCGCAGCACCTCATCCAGAAGGACGCTATGATAATCTGCCCGGTGGATCACACTGCATGCAAGTCAGTACTGTTTCCTCGCCCGTTAAGTCGAGTTGAACTCACAACCATGGCCCTTTGAAGTCCTTCATCATCTTCTCGCCGCCTATCCTGCTGCAGAGGATCTTGCCATCTTTGTAGCGCTTAAGGTGGTTTGCGTTCACTTGAATAGCTCCGGCGTCGCGGATCTTTTGCTCGAGGCCAAAATGCCGAAGGACACTTGCTGCATTTGGTGGAATCTGGATGCCAGCTCCGACCTGGATGAGAGGTTGTATTAGAGGTGTAGGAAGGGTAGAGTACTGTCGATCGACGTACAGGCGATATTTCGGGTGCCTTTTCCAGAATTGTCACTTCACATCCCCCACGCAGACACGATATGGCGGCAGCCAAGCCTCCTATCACTTTATCAGCGACGTGTCAAGGTCGGCACGATGGTCTTACCAATGCCGGCTCCCACCACCACAACCTTGAACGGCTGCTGAGTCTGCCTGGAGAGTCAGCTTATTCCAGGGTTATGATGGCTCGGAGACCACGCACGGTGAAGGAGTCTCCAGCCATTCTTTGGGAGATATATACTAAGTTTCAGAGGGCAATGGTAGTAGGTGCAGATAGTAGAGAGTCAAAGTGAGGTTGTCTCTCTCTAAAGCAACGAGGCATGGCGGTGATATACTTCTCCCATGAGGCCCACTTGGGGCAATGGACTAAAGGACCAAGCTTCGTGCCCGCGTCAATCATTGGAATTCCTCCGCTCTCCACCATGGATAGCTGGGGTGTGGATAGTGAGCCGAAGTGGTCCTTGGCAGGTGGTGGTTGGTGTGGGGACCGTCATACGGCCACCAGCTTGTCTTCGGAACACTATCATCAGCTTCCGACCTCCTGTGCCCTTTCTCGGTATGCGCCAACATGCCATAGCATCATTTGCATTTGGCAAGAGCGGCGTCACTGTGGCAGTTGCGACTGGATGCCAACTTGGTGGCAAGCATCATCATCGGGACAGGCTCCATGCATCCCGGCTTCGGCCTCAAATTTCTATTTCCGCGCCTGTCACCCTCTTGTTCTTGTTCCATTAGTGGCTGAGTATATATCTTTCAGATATGGGATACTTATCAATTCCTCGTTTGTGACATGCCGAACACGCCTGCACTTGGATAGAGGTCCTTGAGTGCTCGGGGAGCATCCAATATCATAAAGGCTATTGTGGAGCTCTGACACAGTGAACTTTGGTTTCCGCAGCGAGGTCTGGATGGATACAAGAGCTGACTCGTGCCACAAGATGTTTCAACTCCAGTATTCATCATAGATGCCGAGCCTGCCGGTGCCACCAGCGTTTTGTTGCTCGGTCGATATGGCATCCCTTCGATTGTCACACCTCGTCATCGAGGTGCAGCGGATACGCCGAGGCCGCGGATCTTCAACCAGCGTGCGATGGAGGTGCTGCGCGCGCGAATTGAAGTATTCTGAAGTCAACCATTAACAACATGTGGTCTCGAAAGGGGCCACTTGGGAGATCCATAACGTGCCTACCAGTCCGAGAGAGCTCCTTGCCAATCAATCTCATGAAGTCTTTCCGTTCCTTGAATTCGGGCCCCTTTTCTGCCGAAATGAACTTCCTCGCTAGCCGTGCCAAAGTACCTGTTCAACGGCCACTGGTTCTTCCCTCCATCCCGTTCGGCTTTGAACAAGAGCGGCAAAACCATTCTAAGTTGAAGAATGGTAGTCGCATGGACACCTGGGGGTAGGACGGCGTTCGTGCATTAAAGCCGGATGCCGGGGCACCCCAACAACCCCTCGATCCGCGAGAACTTGTCGGGATTGAATATTGCGGACTTCCAACTTTGATCCTTCAGGTCCATGATGTGGTGTAGGCCGGCACATGCCGCCTACTTGTTCTATTGCAGGTCATGTTGGGACATGATTCAGTTCGCCATCATTATAAAAGCCTGTCTTCGTTGGCAAGCTGTAACCCGTATTCATCACGGACCATTCCCACCATAGCCCATCGAGACATGGCCGTGTGGCTAGCCTACCCATCAGTGGCCGGGCTGATATTACTCTGCTCTGCTGTTGTGTTCATTATATACCAGAGACTCAGACCAGGGCTACGATCCATCCCCGGACCTTTTGTGGCATCTTTCACGGATCTCTGGCGCTTGCTAGCCGTATACAATGGCAGGTTCGAGGTCGTCTCGCAGGGCCTGCATGACAAGTATGGCGACTTGGTTCGAATAGGTCCCAGATGTGTCAGTGTGGGAGATCCACGGGAAATCAGGCAGATCTATGGCATATCGAGGTTATTCCAGAAGGTGAGAGGGCGGTCCCCAAAGATCGAGACTTGGTTTTTTGGTTTCTCGGTCCAGCGGAATAACAGAAAGAGCTCAACAGTCAGAGTTTTACAGAGTGGCGCAACCTCTTGTTAATGGCAAACGCGTCGCCACAATCTTCATGATGACCGACGAGGACCAGCACAAGACGGCAAAGCGACCGATTGCCCATGCATACGCCATGACAAGCTTGCTGGACTACGAGCCGTTCGTGGACAGCACTTCGCGGACGCTGGTCGAGCGACTGGCGGCCCTATACGCCGATACGGACAAGGTCTGCGACTTTGGCGAATGGCTCCAGTGGTACGCATTCGATGTTATTGGCGAAATGACCTTCAGCAGCAGGTTCGGCTTCCTTGAACAGGGTCGCGACGTTGGCAACATCATCAAGACGTTGAACAAATCTGGAGCTTACACTGCCATCGTCGGGCAGATGCCTTGGTTAGATTACCTGCTGGCCAAAAACCGGGTATGGGGAGGCGCCTTCTCGAAGGACAGGCAGGGAGTCTCCAACTTTGTCTTGCAATTATTGAAGCCCCGGATTGAGGAGGCAGATAGGGTTCGGCGTGGCGAAAGCGGCGGCAGCGATGGCGAGAAGGTCCAGTCTCAGGCTCCGCAGGATTTCAAGGACCGGACCGACTTCACGGCCAAGTTCATCTCGGCCTTTGTCAAGTATCATGGCTTGATACCACAATCACAGTTGCTAGGCTGGTCACTCAGCAACATCAACGCGGGATCAGACACAACTGCAATCACTCTACGCGCCATCTTCTGTGAGTTGATTGACATATGGAAATCCTTGCGGATTGCTGATATCAGAAACCTCTGTCCCCTCCAGACTTTCTGCTCCTCAACCCTCCCGCCATGTCTCAACTGATGGCAGAGCTGGAGTCGGCCAACCTGTCGCCGCTTCCGCAATGGCGCGAGACAAGCAACCTTCCTTACCTGGGTGCCGTCATCAAGGAAGCCTTGCGACTGCACACGCCGGTGGGCCTGATGCTCGAGCGGGTGGTCCCCAACGGCGGAGCCACTATCTGCGGCCACTTCTTCCCCGCAGGCACCATCGTCGGCTGCAACCCAGCCGTCATTCACAGGGACAAGCGCGTCTACGGCCGGCGATACGCGGTCGACGAGTATCGTCCGGAGCGTTGGCTGGAGGCCGACGAGGAAGAAAAGGCAGAGATGGAGAGGTGCTTCATGGCCTTTGGCAGCGGGAAGAGGACCTGCATCGGGAAGAACATCAGTCTGCTCGAAGTGTATAAGCTGGTGCCGCTTCTGTTGAAGCGCTTCAAGGTGAGTGTTTTGTCTAGTAGTTGCCCTCTTTTTTTTCCTGCCAGCCGAATCCTCGGGGCTCGGCGAGCATTTGCTGACCGAACATCGTTATTGAGTTCCGACTTGTGGATCCCGACAAGTTGACAATCTGGAACGCATTCTTCGTCCATCAGAAGGGCCTGGAGGTTTATATTGAGACAGCCTAATGTTATTTATGGCGAAACAAGAGCTGCGATAGATACGAGGTACACTGTGGTCGGTGGTATGGCGGCGCTGACTAGCAACAAAAACCATGAATAACGATACCACAGCCATCTGGCCGCGCTGTGTGGGCCAGGGTATATCAATTTCTTCTCGCTCATCCTCGTGCCGCCGGCCTCGGCGGTCCCCAGACATACATGGTATGCGGCCCATTCTCCTGGACCGTGACCTCGGTCTCGCAGTTGACCAGGTCTCCATCTGCATAATGCTCCAGCTCGAAGCCGGACTCGTCGTACCAATAGTCAAAGATCTGACTGCCCAGGACGTGCCTGCCGACCCCCCACGACAGCTTATAGCCCTTGGACTCGAGGTAATTGTGGCCCAGCTGCTGGATGTCGTAGTCGTGCACCTCGAAGGCGCTGTGGGCGACATCGGGCTTCTCGTCGGGACTCCGCGTCGGCTTGATGTAGAACGAGTGGTGGTCCGTGTACTCGAGGCCGCGGTCGATGTGGAAGAAGGAGACGGCCTCGTTGCCGCCGATGGTCACTTTGTCGCTGAACGCCAGCGCCAGGTGGCCCGTGTACCAGTCCACCATGTCCTGGTACATGCCCGGCGGGTAGCTGACGCCGTAGTGGCCCCATTTGTGCACGGGCGCCGGCCGCCCCCTCTGGAACCGCTGGAACTTGCCCACCCGCCGCTTCTCGTCCTCGTAGTTGACCACCAGCTTCTGCAGGTTCTTGTCCTCCGCGGGTCTTTCGCTGGGTTTCTCCTCGCGGATCCCGTGAACCAGGTGCACCAGGTGTCCGACCGGGTCCTTCAGCGTGACGATGCTCCCTCCCCCAGGCGCGTCTAACTTGCTGATCGCCGACGCGCCCGGGATGGTTTTGGTTGCCCGTTCGAGCTCCGCCTCCGACTCGACCAGGTACGCGGCGCCGCCGAATCGGGGCCCCTTCTCGTCGTCGGCGCGCCGTGCCACGTAGCAGTACGGGTCCGGTCCGTAGCCCTTGAAGAAGATGACCTCGTCGCCGCGCTGCTCCGCGATCTCAAATCCAAAGTCGAGCAGGAACTTGGACGCCTTGTGCACGTCGCGGTGGTAGTACGTCACGAAGGCCGTCCTGACCAGCCGGATGCGTTGGTCGTCCGAGGTGATCGGCATTGTTTATCGTTGTTGCTGTTGCTGCTGCTGGGACTTTTCTGGTGGACAAATTTCTCGATATTCTTTCTCACAGAATCCAGCTCTCTGGAGGTGGTTCTTCCAGAAGAGCCTCTAACGGGAATTCTCCTTCAAAGATATAACAACTTCACAACCACCCCGTCTTACAACTTAGAGACCATCAATAAGTTGCGTAATTTGTCAGCCTTGTCAAGTCCCCTCGAGGACGTTGCAGGAGAGTATAGCTGTCTAAAAAGAGAGGGGGCGTTGAACGCGGAAGCCATCTCACTACTGTAAGACGGAAGCAATACCGCGGCCGTTCCTCGTATTGCAGTATGATATTATAGTAAAGTGGGCTACTAGGCTTCCGACCCTGACCACCACCGGCCGGAACAGCCACGGCATATCCGGCCCAGTGTTTGCTCCATTGAGTCTATCCAGCCTTTTTCTGGTGAGCTTTGCTGACTTGCCTAGGTAGGTATGTACCCCACGGGGGAGTTGCGTCGCAAGTAGGTGGTGCGTGTATTCCGGCGCCAATGGGTAAAAGACGGCAATTGACGTTGCCGCGTAAATGCCGGGATCATCTTTCGGGGTTGGGTAAAGACGATGCTATTGAAGCCACGTGAAGCTACACAACTCCAACCTCAGTGGCGAGTCGATACACGGTCATCCCATTTCGAGGACCAAGGATCAAGGCTTCAATTCTTTTTCTTTCCAGTCAACTAGCTCCAGGTGCCAGGTCCGTCCATACAGCCAGTCTATAGCAGGATTCGACTCCTGAGGGATTCGATTCAAGGGTGTTCACTGGAATCGATTCCTATTCGACTCCTACGCTTGTCCCGAAGAACCAGCGCCACATCCGACGACAAGCAGCATCAAACAGCCCACTTCACTTCTCTTATGTAACTCACCACTCAACCGCCCCCAACCTCGTTCATAACTCCTCCATCCAGCTTCAACACCTCTCCATTCACATAACCACATTTTGTCAGGAAAATAACCCCCATGGCCATCTCCTCGTCGGTGCCCGACCGTCCGGCAGGTACCTCATGGCCCTTATCCTTGACCTTTTCGTCAGGCATATGAGCCTTATTCCGCTCATCCGACTCTTTCATAGTCATTTCCGAGGGGAAGTACCCCGGGGCGATACTGTTAACTCGAACACCGGTCTTTGCAAATTCCTTGGACATCATCCGTGACAAGTGTGCTGTGGCTGCTTTTGCCGCATTATATGCGAAATGGCTTTGAGAGTGTCTCATCAAGCCAGACATGCTAGAGATGACAATGACGCTTGCATCGAGCTTGCGAGGTGCACGTTGGAGAAGAGGCAGAAAAACGACCACCGAGAAAAACACGCTAATGACGTTGGTGTTATAGGTCGCTTTCCACTCCTCGACTTGTTCTTGCCACAGGTTCTCTTTCATCTGCTTGGCGTCGCTGGTGTCGGGGTATCCCTTAGGGCCAGAGACGCCCGCAGCCGCAATTACAAGAGAGAGGTATTCTTCCTTGGATTCCAGCTCGTCGTTTAGCTTCTCTAGCGATTCTTTGTCCGTCACGTCGCAGGGTCCAATGGGAATGATCTGGCCATTTAGGGATGTGTTGGATGACTGTGGGTTGTGTGTGCGTGCGGCATTCTCGAGAACTTCCTGCCTCCTTCCGGTGATATAAACTTTGGCACCTATGGCAAGATCTGGTCAGCGAGCTGGACCATACTGTAATCTTTCGTTGTGGTCACCTACCGTTTGCTGCTAGAGCCTGGGCGGCCATGAGACCGATGCCAGTTCCTGGTCAGGCCTGGTCAGTCTCCGTATAACAATCTTCAAATCATGACTTCAGCCTTTCCTCACCTCCACCTGTAATCAGACAGACATGGCCCTCAAGCGAGAAGAGATTGGAGATATGTAATTGGTCTGTTGAAGCCATCTCGAAATGCAAAACACGTTGCAAGCGGAAATCTGGGATCTGTGGCACAAGTATAGGAGTATGTGATCAAATTCAGCTACAAGAATTCTGGAAATGATATTCAGGAACTTGATTCTGGGGATCAAAGTTGAGAAATTGCACAGACAAAGACTGATGGCGAGGGCGTCGGGGCCTCTGAATCTCCATGACGGGTTGTGACGTCACTCGACCCCTGCCAAGCCATAGCCCATTCGACAGTCACCTCCAAGTGCCCTTCGCCCCCTATCGCCCTTTCAGCCTCGCCAAATGCCCCTCGCCGGGTTGCGAGCAGTACTCGGTACTGTTGGAACACACCTTGATAGGCGATATCTGAATGTCGGGACGTTCTGCAAATCCGCAGAGCAGGTAGTCTCTACGCTCGACAAAAAATACAGTATGTTTAGAGCAGACGATAGAACCAACTGCGTCAAATTCGAGATGACATTTTCTCCCGCTCTTGTTAGATGTCTTGTGGAAGGGTATAGCTCGGATCTCATGAAGTACCTTACTGCCAAAGATCTCGTAGATCTGCATATCAGCCTTGTACATGCCGCCACTCAGATGGTCGTGTCCTCGCGGGTCCGCTCGAGTATCGATGTTCGGTGTCTGTGGAGGACAGCAATTTCGCATTCAAAGTTTGCCTTTCCTCCGCCTGTTCTGTGTCTGGAATTCATTCATCATCCTCCTACCCTCCGCTTCAAAACCCTCCGCCTCAAAAGGTGGGCCAAATTCCCACACACCAGCCTCGATTGCTTCTCGCAGTGGAACCTGTTCCCACATGGTAAACAGCTTCTTCTGAGTACGCAAGGCACGTGGCCCGTTCATCAATAGCCTGCCAACCCATTCTTCCACAGCTCTGTCCAACTGATCAGCTGGAACGACTCTGTTAACCAGGCCCCAAGATTCCGCTTCCTGCGCTGAGATCGTATCACCCAGGAAGAGAAGCCTCCGGGCCCTCGCGGCGCCAATCTGCGCAGGCAGCATTGCCGCTTCGATGGTGCTGGGCACGCCTCGCTGGACCTCAGGCATTCCGAAGCGGGCGTCCGAAGTAGCAATGCGCAAGTCGGCTGAAGCCATCACGACCATCCCACCACCCAAGGCATGCCCATTGACACGAGCAACCACGGGCATGGGCAAATCCCGAAGGGCTTTGCATGCCAGATGGAGCTTGTTGATGAATGTCCGTCCTGCTTCAGCGTTGGGAAAGTCCTTCATCTCTGAGATGTCGGCGCCACCGATAAACGCCTGCTGGCCAACAGAACAGGGTCCTCCAGTCACAATTACGCAACGCAGGTCTGACCTTTGAGCAAGCGGAGGGACTGAAGAGAGAAAGGCATCGAGGACAGTCGTATTCAGGCTATTGAGCTTCTTCGGATTTGAGACGGTCACTGTTGCGATCGTGCCGTTTGAACGCTGAGAGAACGAGATTGCAACTGGCAGCACCTCGCCATCAGTTGAGCCTGGCATTTTGTCCTACAGAATGAGGGCAAGATGGTTCAAAACAGCTTCAGGGACTCAGCCCAGAGACAGAGCTCAGGTAAATGCAAGAGACTGCTGCACCGCAAAAGGCGTGTTCTGTACATAGCAACCTTGAGTAGGTAGGGAGATAGAGGAGCGGACATACATCGGAGAAACCATGCCAAGTATAGGTGGAGCTCATTCTACGTCCTCGGCTCTATGAGGAGGCGATGGGGAAAACCAAAGGAGAATCTCGTCCGAACAAATAGTAATACTGCATGAAGACGCCTACTTCATCTGTCCCGCTGGCAGGACCTGTTGCTTTGGTTCAGTATCCTGCCCCCCTGCTATCTGCTTCTGGAAATGTCTGTTCCCCAAAAAACGTCCCGTCTGCCTCCAAAACTGTCATGTTATTGGGGCTCAACTTTTAGTCTTCGTCCCCTTTTGCTCCTCTCTCCCGTGATAGTCCTCATTTCTCTATTTCAGCTCAGAGGCATTTTCTAGTCGTAGATATTTCTCCTTCACATTTGAGGTTTGGAAAGACATGGCCATTACCCTAGGATCTTTCTCAGGATCGCCCTGAAACACCGACGGATATAGAGCGTAATGCCATCATGCGAAGGGTAGGCCCGGGAGGGTTGGAACCAGCAAATTTTGATGTCATGTGGCCAAAATCCAACAGTCGTTGACCTGAAATCAGAAGAGTACGTTGCCTTCGGCCAATATGTCGACCGAAGTGCCTCGGACAACTTGGGCCAAGTTTCGTTCTCTGTTCGAGGGCCACCCCGGACCGTCGCTCACTTTTCGCAGCTTCTGGGAGCCAAATGACGGATTTGGTCATCGATGGAATTTCCTGAGTGGAAATCTGATGTATCAAACATCATAGCATCTTGGTCGATCAGGCTGCTAGGGCCAAGGCAGCCATAGCCCGGACACCAGCCTCGGTCTTGTGACCTCCGATGAAGCCACTTGCATGAACAAAGACTGCGCCGTTTTCAACAGCGTCACCTAGGAGAGCATCTAGCTCCTCGTCTCTCACGCCACGCCACGGTTCTGGTAAGCTTTTTCGATTTTCAAAGCTTGAGAAGTCTTTGCTGACAGCCTGGATTCTCCATTTGGACCCGGGCTCCTCTTTTTCGGGATATATCACGTAGAGAATCTTTTGGTCTGCAGGCAGTTTGTCTTCATCTTCGATATTGTACAGATGCTCCTTCCAAGGTATACCGGCGCGTGGCAAGACAATCAGTTGACCAGAAGGATGTTCTTGGCTGCGCGACTGAAATGCCTCTTTGACAATGGCCCGTGCAGGAAGCCAGGCAGTGGCAGCGCCATGGAGTTTGCGCAAGAAAGCGGTACCCATGAGGGTTGAAGCCTGAGTGAATCTGTAGTCCTCCTCAGCCTGAGGCTGATCTTCAGTAGACCGTGAGGGCGCACCCAGTGTCAAAGGGTCTTCATGGTTCAAGTCATTGACCAAACTTGCAAGTGTTATTCCACTGTCCTTGAACTTCTGCTCGATGCCTGCCTGTTCCAGCTGCGAACCATCATACTTTGAAATTCCGTTGTCATTAGCATCGACCGCCTCAATGAAGTCGTCGTACAGTTTACGGTAAAGCAGGTCCACGTCGGGGTGGTCGATTGGGAGTTTGATATGTTGAGCAATAATGGCTTTGCCAAAATGCATGTAGACTAGCCCAGCAGAGGAGAGTTTTGTCTTGTGGTCGGGGAAGGCAGTTGCGAAGGAACGTTGATGGTGGTCATAGCGATTCTTGGAGGCGTCATACTCACCACCGACATCGACGACAGTGTGACAGGTCTCTAAGAGCGTGGGATCTCGAGTGCGTACAAGGGCAGCAGAGGCATACTCGGGAAGAAGACGCAGCATGTAGACTGCAAGGGCTTCATCCGCATGGAAGTGACCATTGTGGGTGCCAATGATGAGGGGATCGGGCTTGATTCGCTTCGTCGCTGTTTCGGCAGCCATCCTGATCATCCTGCGTAGCATACACAATTCAGGAGTGGGTAGAGGGAGAGGTTCACGTCAGTTTTCTTTAGAAGCTGCCAAATGCTTGAACAACATTTTTTGTTCGATCGCAGTCAAAAATCTGGGGGAACGGTGATCCGGATTATTGTTCCACCGAGGTCCGTGTCAAATTATCCGAACAGGTTGCGATGGCGATGGCGCTTGCTTCGCTGCAAGGCGACGATCTGGCCTTAACTCGTAGGTGTCCCATTTACTCTGCTACCAACGGCGCTTCAATGAACGCTGCTCTGCTCGCATACCATTGTCTCAGGAAGCCCATGTATCAAGTTCTCTTCTCTCATCACATGGATGGTCTGAGGCGGGGATCAACGGAGCCCGACCCTAACTGTGTTGGGTGTTACCGCCACAGCCACTCTGCCCGGAATCCAGATCGCAGTGGGGGTCCATTAGTTAATAGAATACACCAACTACGAGGACAACTACCACTGTGAATCTTGCGGTGAGGGAGAACTGCTCGAACGACGGTCTGGCTTGTAGCAATAAAATCTCAAGACTGCAGAGCTATTTGGCCCTTTCAAGATACAAACAAGCAGGGTGAAAAAGAACTTGACCAAAGATCCACCAGAGCCTGTTTCCAGCTGTCCACTGTCCACTGTCCTCTGTTCTCCCTTGCCCTAGCACCTGACGTGGCTCGCTCAACTCACAGTCTTCTTCGAATCTTGCTTGGGTGCGGTGCGTCCTTGCCTGGCCCTGCTTCCCTGCAATCAATCCCGCGTTGGTGCACGCGACATCCTCTTTCCACCTCTACTTCTTTTACTCGCCCTACATTCTCTTCACAGTAAATCTCTCAAACCCACCTGCGCTCCCTAGCCATCACCAAGACCAAAACAAAATCTGGTCTTTGTCGCCATCGGAATGACATGTGAAAGTTCGGACATCGACTCAACCACGAATCCCTCAAAACCTGTCTAGCAGAACGAGTAACGCCCCCAAAGGCACCATAGCAACCCACCGACCGATCAACAATCATTAGACGCAGTCTATGCTACTGAAAGCGCCGCCGCGTCAATACCTGCACGTCGACTCCTGGTTCTGAACGCCAAACCCCTCGTCGCATCTCATCCCCGCCAGCCGACCGAATGTTCTTCCGCGCCCTTTCCGCCCTTCTCTTCCTCACGCTCATTATCGTATTAATACCTCTCACTTTTGACGTTGGCGGACGCGACGCCGGTCTCGCCTTCTCCCTCTCTATCGCATCCTTCTACTTCTGCCTGTCATTGCTTCGAATCTCGACACCGGATGGACCAGGTTTTAGGAGGACCATAGTAAACATCCTGCGGGCACTACAATTGCTCGTGCTGCCAATCTTGTGCATCTGGGCTCTCGGAAGATTCTCAGTCGATGCAGACAATAGCTCGGGCTGGGTCGAGAGAACGTTCCGTACAAGCAAGGATTTTCTCAAACCTAGCCCATCGCTTTGGCTGGCTGTTTTTGGAAGAGAAGGCCTGTTGGAGAATGTGACCCTCGGCGGATGGGATGTCATATTGCGGTGGTCGTCGCCCATTTTTCAGCTTCTCGAGGGCTTCTGCAGTCTGTTGGTCATACAAGCCATCGGGCAGTTCTCTCGATGGCTGGTCAACAGAAGTGAATGGAGCGATGCATGGCTTCTTGCCCTGCTTGCTGCCTCGGCGGGCGTCGTGTCAAGTTCAGTCTATTTCCTCTGGCGAGTTCTGCAGTTCCCGGACATCTCAAACCTCGACTCGACTCTCATTGGCATTGCCATTGCATCGGCTATCTTTCTTTGCGCCTATGGAGTGGTCTCTGGTCGCGGCACAGCAACTGAATCATCTCTCCTTTTCGCTTACATTGTCTTGTGCATATATCAAATCTTCACAGACTACAAGCCCAACGTTCCCCATTCAGAAGCTGGTATGGCAAGCTCGGCACCAGATTTTCCACCATTTCCACCGATCATCATGTCCTCTTACACGGCCCTCATGGCCGCACTGTCGTCTCTTCCAGGTGCCCTCGTCAACGCACTGGACTTCGTCGCAGCGGCTTTCAAAGCTGTCACACCATCGGTGCTAATCTCTCTTGGTTATCGACTCTTTGTCTTTTATTCCTCCACTCGCATCATTCCAGCGATCAACGAAAGTGGTGCCACCGGTTTAAGTATGGAGCCGTCTCTCGAAGATTCCAACGCGGCGAACCAATTCCTCGCTTTTCTATCCTGGTTTTCACCCAGCATTCTCATCGCGGTCTACACGAGCCTTCTCATGCAGCACTTTGCCACAACCATGGGTGGCTATGCACCCGGTCTTACGGAAACCATTGGTGCTTGGTGGAGTGGCAACGGCCAACCAGTGACAAACGGCAATCTATGGAAATGGGTCAATTTGGTAGGAACCATGTCCCTCTACGCTATCGAGTTGTGGTTGGGCAAAGAAGACGACATGAATGGTGATCACTGGAAGGTTGACTGAACAAGGGAAGAGGAGATTTCGATCAAAATTGCAAAATTCCTCGCCGGAACCAGTATGCGAAGATGGCTGCGAAGTTCCGAGGACCGCTGTGACAGTCTTACTTAAAGGCGAATCTAGCAAGAAGCCGGTGCATCTGCAAGATATTCAGGAGCCAGGCTGCAGCTGCGACAACCGGTTCACCCGCGTCACTACCAAATGCAAGCGAATGGACATGTCGATAGCAGACCGCAAATGCCAGATGCTTTGGCCAGGTCGTTGGGCTTCTGAGGGAAAGGGACAAGAGAGGAAAAGGGGGAAAGGCTTGTTTGCAAAACGATATGAAGTTGCCGTGGAGAGGGTCTTCCAACTAGGAGCTTTTGAGATTGCGGATCACACAGTGCGCTTCAGCACTTTCAAAGCAGGATGGGCTTTCAGCGCATGGAGGAAGCATTAGAGGGTCTTGAGGGAGGAAGGGGATTTGCAAGGTCAAACAGAAGCTGGAGAAAGAATAAGGTCCAAGGAAATTTTGTCAAAGGAGATTCTGGCCGAAGGACAGGGGGATATCTCCCGCTCTGGGCTGAGTGAGATGCCTCATGTTGGAATGGGAGACAGAACGCAGAATGGGCGATTGGATGATGGTTGGACGATTGAGAATAGTGATAGCGATTCATTCCCCTGGCGTAATCTACCCTACAAACCGTATCAATAAAGCCATGAGACCCGATCTTGTCGAGACAGTGGCCAGTCAAGTCGCGGGATACAGACCACCAGCCCACGTTTCGCCATCCGGTACTTCTATATATCTAAATAGAGTATCCTACGCTCGTCATCACACCAACCCGTGATAGATGAATATAAGAAGCATCTCGAGAGAGAGGGAGGAATTGTCGAAAGTCAAATTCTGATCTAGTATTTCTCAAATGAGAACTAGGCTGAGAATGAGACTGAGATTGAGAATGAAAATATTGCTCAAGGCCAACCTACACCCTTGCCTGCCCATTATTGCTTCAACATCACGACCCGGACAAAAGGACCCAGGAGAGGAAGGAGATGGAGAGGGGGGAGGGAGAAGTTTTGCACTGACCTGGCCCAATCGCACTTCGAATGTCCTAGTTTTTCAAGGATACATACATGCACGCTTGTGCAAGGAAGAGAAAGAAAAAGAGACAGGCGTTCAAGATTCGTGGAATTTGACTAAAAAGCTCCATAAAAAGGAATACACGAGGAATTGTGCTAGGAACTCGTATCCTCCCGTCCTTACATGTCGATACCTAAGAACGTAGTCTTTCAGTATCCTGATAGTGTTGTTTTGGTTGTGGTTTGTGGTTTGTGGTTTTCTTTTTTTGCTTGCTTTCAAAAGATGCCTTTCGGGGAATTTTCTCTCAGCCGCCCAGCCTCCATGGCCAATTACAAAAGAGGAAGATACCGTACATAGACTTGGAAATGGGTGACTGGCCGTCGGGATCCGCAGTCAAAGTAAGCCGTACACGTACACAAAGGAGCAAAGAATCCCGGTGATGTCAGGTTCCGTAAGGACTGTCGAGGACTTTATGTTGGCGTTGTGCTTCGCCTTGTTGACTGCCACACCAGAATCAAGTGGTTGTTTTCTCGTACTCAGTGTACCAAGCGATGATGAGAGCTGTAATCTGATCCTGGCGGGTTGATTAATCGATCGGCAGAGTGAGTGGCGCCGATACCTTCTGGTCCATCCACACAGCCCGTATTGACATTGGTATGGTTAACATCTGTTGCTTTCCACAAAGCCTTCTCGCCGTGTCGCGCTGATTATTCACCTCCGAGGCAGCGCAACAAAGTGTTTGTGCTCAACCACGTTCATCACACCATTTTCACGCGAAAATATGATGCGCCCCTGCAGGTCATCTCCGGATAGGAATTCCTGCCTTCTGGACCGGTGGACTGACACTTCCCTCCAACATGTTCCCGGTGCCCTGTTGCTCAGAGGATTGATTACCATCATGTTCATCCATGCTCGCACTTCGTGCCAGAAAACTACTCTCCTTAACCGGGCTCCTGCTTGCCGCCGCGCCGGGCAAACCGCCGCCGGGGATTCCGTTGATACTGCCCCGATGAATGCCGCCTGGTCCTCCACCGCCAACTGGGGGCAGTTGTGTTGGGCCCGAGCTGTCTGGAGAAGTGGCAAGGGAGCCGGGGGTTCCTGGGGCAATAGAGTCGGAGCGTGAAAGAGTATGATTGAGCGGAGACATGTGCGGGATCTCCTCGGCCTTGGGGTGTTCGGTACCGATTGTGGTGACGCCCGTGTCTGAGGCCTTGCCAGCTTTGGAAAGTGCGTAGTCACCAGAGTCGAAGTACTTGCGTTCCTGCAGATAGGTCTAGTCAGAATCTTGTTGTTTCGTTTAAGGGAAAGGAGCCCCCGGCCACAGGATGGGTTACCTTCAACTTGTTCTGCAAAAGGTCTTTTTTGTTTGGGAGTTTGCCATAGAGTCTGAACAAACGTTGCTCGTCTGCCGACAGTTTCTAACAGAAGATGTACTTGGTCAGTCCTCGTCGTCTCTTAGGATTTGGATCGAGTGCGCTGTGCCCTACGCTAATGTCAATCTTGTTTTTCTGATGTGGATTCATGTTTGCGAGCCCTTCTTGCAGGTATTGATCCTCAAATTCTGGCTTGCGGAGGACGTTGACAGCGGATTAATTGTATCTGGTGGAAGGGAGCAACCCCTGCCGAAGCAAGTGCCAACAGGAAGGTGCAATCGATCAGACCTTGTGGTATCTTTGTCGAGAAGGACTCTGTAGGAGGTCGGATTTGAGAGGAGGTATTCGAGAAAGGGGTTCTGGGAAGGTCTCAGAGACGGATAGTGTCGCTCGTAGGGGTCTCGTGAGGTTTTGTGACCAGGTCAGAGGGATGATGCCGGAGGGGTACAGGGAGGGGTCCGAGCGCCTTTGTTGTCGTTTCAGAGGAGGATAATGGCGAGCAATGTTATGGACCAGGTGACGGATTATGCTGCCGTAGACTCGTATGAGCAAGAAAGTCGGGAGGAAAAAGGGTGCAACAAAGTGTCACAGGTTTGCCAATGGAGGAGGACTGCGGTTGGGTTTGGGTTGGTGAGCAGAGGAGAGGGTAACTGGTAAGTCTGTATGGGTGTGTGAAGGTGGGGTTCTGTGGGAAAGGTTGCTGTGGACAAGGTTTCCAGGTAGAGCAGAGGATTCGTCTGGGGAACAGCGGAAACGAGAACCAGCGCGAGACGGTCTCGGTGGGTTGGTTTTGGTCTGGCAGTTGGAGATTTCTTGAAGCTGACGCTGGGAAATGGAGGTGCAGGAGGGAGGAGAGTGTCAAGGTGTCAAGGTGTCCAGGGTGCGGAACAGTGAGTGACTCTGGTGAGAAGGAATGATGAAATGCCGCCGCCAATCATGTTGTCTTGGCAGCATCGGTTCATTCAGGGCTATGACTAAGCTGGACTAGCGTGACTAGTTGCTGTGCCAAGAGCTCGGGTGCTTACCTAGTACGTTTCCCCGAGAAAACCCCACTGCTTCCTGAAATCCCAGTGGTGCCTCCAATACCCGCACGTGACGGATAACGACCAGTTCATGGGTTTTTCCCTTTGCACAATCAACTCCCAACTTGAAGATGGCTTTAACGTTGCCTAGTTGTACGCTATATGTGACACGGTAAAGTCATGTCCCAGAACAACTTCACCTTTGTCGTTGAGCATCTCGACCCAGAACTCGGTCCCTGGTCCGCGCTGGAATACAAGACCATTGCCCAAGAATCACAACAAGCTGGATGCCATTTTATCCTGTCTTCTCTGCCTCAGTCTCTGCTCGAATCACAGGATCTGAAAGACTTGGTAAGGCTGGGCGCAGAGTCTAGGTCCGACAGCATCGAGGCCTATTTCTCCCACAAAAAGGATAAGATTTGCCTGCTCGATCCGGCTGCCAAGCAGGAACTGCATCCTACCGATGCTGCGGGGTTTGATGTCTTTCTGTTTGGTGGCATATTAGGTACACCGAAATTGTACCTTCCATTGGCAACTCTTTATTGCTGATCACCATATATAGGAGATGATCCCCCGCGAGGTAGCTTGCCACTTGTTGCCTTTCTGTGCATGGGTATCTAACAACCACAGACCGCACCAGCGAGTTGCGAAAAAAGGGCTTTTCCGGCCGCCGCCTAGGCCCCGTACAAATGACTACAGATACAGCTGTCAGAGTAACGCGAATGGTTATCAATGATCAAAGTACGAGGGCGGTAAAGAAAATGCGCGTCATGGGGCCTTTCGTGTTGACAATTTACACCAGTTCCCCTCGATAAGATCCCTTATGTCGACTTTCCGGAGCTAAAATTGGATGAGCATGAGTCCACAGAGATGCCTTTCCGATACGTCACCGACAATTCCGGCAAGCCAATCATGCCTCAGGTCAGCCTTGAGCACATGGCCATTAGGACTGTGGCTAACGATTCGCAGGGGATGGTTGATCTCATCAAAGCCGACGCGGACAAAGCCTTCGATAATCTGGAGTTCGCGGACGAAGTGGATGGCCTTGACCAGCTGGAAGTTACCAAGCCTTGAGATAGCGTACGAGCATGACACGCTGAACAGGGCTTGAGAGTATTGCTGCTCTTATCCTCGACAAGAGATCCAATACTTTGGCGACTTCTCCCATCAACGAGTCGCCGAGACCCCGACGCTTCGACAAAGCCAGACGCCTTTTCGCACGTGAAACTTAGATACTTCACTCCTGATGTTCAGTAGCGCATGAAGGACTGGGTTCGACATTGTGTCCATTCCAGGCGAACCCAGGGCAAGTCCTGATCCCGAGACCAATTTGCCAGCATCCCATCTTGCGCCAAAGAGCCAAGCAGGCCCAGGTGGTGATATCGCCGTGTTTTCCGTTGGGGGGCAAGGCGGAACTCAACTACACTTCAAATCGCTGTGAGATCCGGCTTCATATCACAATCTGTCTGCTGCTCTATGCACGGATTCAGACATCAGGTCATTGCGCGGCATGATGGTGAATCCTTGGTTATCTGTCGTTTCGGTCGAAGCCGTGGGCGCCCAATGTCGTGTCCGAGAGGTACGCTTTTGCTGCCACTGCACGGTGAATGCCACGATCCGGTCGCGACAGCGAGCGCACGAACAACCTTGATCGGCCCCGAACGTACATAGTCTCAACAGCCAAAGTCGAATATCTTGCTAAGAACAGAGTCCTGGAGCGATGCTATGTGGACGTAGCGTTTCTCGAAAAGCACAGCGACGTCTTGATATTGTCTGTAGCCAAGCCTTCGAGCCAAAATTCCGAATCGAGCAGAAAACCATTGAATGTCCACACGCTCAGCAGTATAGGGGACCCAAAAGTTAGGCTCCTTTCGAAGCACATGGGTCAGGGACAGCTGTTCCACATAGGCTCCTATGCCATAGGTCCACAGGAGATCCAATGCATCCGGATGGGATTGGTCAATCTCTTCGCTCTCAAATCCAAGCTTATGCATGCATCTGAGTAGCATAATGTGCCAGACCTGGATCGTGGAAACCCATGTACCATGCAGGAGTGATGCTTCTAGACCAAAAGCCATGACTAGGTGCAGGGCTAGACAAAGACACATACCAACAGATGCATGGTGCACCGTCGTAGGCGCCGAAGTCCGCGAGCAAGGTTCGACAGCATTCGTCGGCTCTGTTAAGACATACCAATAGTCCAAGATTCGAGCTCTGACGGCTTGTCGCCGAAGAAAAGACCAGCGGAACAGCTTGTTGATGTGTTCTGGATCGTCATTAACCATCCGCCTTTTGAGATTTTCCACCTCCACCAGCTCACGCAATTCCGCGAAAATGCAGCGAAAGTCGCTCGTTCTCGGCGAGGCTGAGGGGGACGGAAGACCAAGACCCAACTCGGCTGATCTCTTGCGACCTGTTACTAGGTCGGGCGTGGTCTCACAATGAGATGTATCCTCGCGCCACCACTGCCCAGGGTCCCAGTCTACATAGTCGAGAACGCTGCACGTGCCCGTAGCAGCAGCCGCTCGTACAACAAGGTAGATAAGAATCTCTTTTCTGATCCAGGAGAGCCCGTCGAGCCCTCCCACGCACTGAATCATTTGCTTGAGTCCTTGCAAGTGGTGAAAGAGCGCATCAAGGTTTGATCGGTACACCGCTGAGCAGCACAACAACAAGATCGTCTGCACGGCGACCTCGACATCGTCACCTGTAATGGGTCCCGAAGATATAACTCGCTGCAGCACACGAATTCCCTGAGTTTCATGGTCAAGTGCGCAACTGTAATATAGTTCCTTGTTGTTGGGATGCAGACGAGCGAGGACTGACCAGCAGTATGCTAGGAGGGCATGCATCACGGCTTCATGGCACACGTACGACCTGTAAACTTTCTTTTGCGCAGGCACCAGAATTCTGGCCCCATTGGATGTTCCAACTTCGTCTGCCCAGATCGTCCGCAGAGACCTTGGTTGGATAGTTAGTATTAAATTATGCCTTAGAGCAGACAGAGGAACAGGCGTTGCAGAAAAGGGGTCGCTGTTTCCTCCTTGGAGAAGCATTGACAACGAGCCAACCTTCCTAATGCTCGAACCCTGAGTAGCTCTTGTTGGGCGTACACGTTGTTGCCGCTGGGGCCGTCTCTTGACGATCTTTCGCTCGAGGGGTCCTTCGGCGTCGCGTTCAAGTGTTTCTTCTGTCTGGCAAGTTCCTGATGGCATTTCTTTCTGTGGTTCAAGGGCATTCCACCTTAGCACTCTGTGGTGTTTACCGACATGCCAGGCCGGATTGAACTTACCGGCCCGTAACCTGACAACGATGAACTTTGTCCATGCAGAAGCTGCGAGCCATAATTTTGCCATTCAAAAAACAGTGAGGCCTGCTCCAACCGCTTCTGGGCCGAATACTGCTGGGCTCGGACAGCAATGATGTTCTTGTCTCTGAAGTCGGACGTCGACTTGAAGTTTGTGGGTGTCTTTGCATCGAGCCAGAAGACGTTGGGGGAGGCAGCTGAGGGCTTGTTGGGGCGCATTGTATGTCAGATCTTGCGGATTTGCTAACATCTGAACGCTTGCCGCCGACACCATGGAGGTACTTCAGATGCAGGGAGAGGCAACAGGTTTTCACCCAGCGTTGAGAAGTCGGCGACGTCGATACAGCAACTCTAAATCCGCGATTGAGTACAGGAGTAAAGGCTCAAATAGAGTTGACAAAGTTGAAAGGCATGGAGGCGGGAAACGTTTCGAGAGGCCCCCTAAATGAAGATTGACAAGTGTTCAAGTCCTCCACAAGTCTAGTTGACGCTGCTGGTCGTGCTTGCGCTACTGGAGCGGTTAAGTGTCTGAAATGCCGAAATCCCGCGTTGCATACCACGATTCCTAGGAGAGTCAAGCACAATAACTAGGTAGTCAGCGTGCAGGTAACTCTTCTCAGCTCGAAAGCGTCCTCACGGCACCCGCCAGTTGAGCCATACCTAGTAGGCTTCAACACGGCCCGGCACATCGCGTGAAAGGTTAGTAAGCCAGGAAGCCGAGACGGAAACCGCGATTGCATCGCAATGGCCAGCAGAACCAGTACTTAATTAGTGGAGGTATTCGCACAAGTATCAAACTTCCTTTTCGACATCACACCACGTGGTCACTCTGTAGTTCAATTGGCCGTTATGTAAGCCTAAAGCGGCTAGAGTGTCAAGAAATATCCGGGGGAAAATAGTAATCCCTTGGATGGCGCTGCTCAGATACATAATATCTGGCCGTACTGCAATCACGGTCAGCTTGGAAGTCCCTCGTGATGGGGGCCGGAGGTATGAACGGGGACGGCGTAAGGCGGTATCGGCCGGTATGTGACGGTCTGGGGACCCGGTATGTGGTCTCGAAGTTTCTTACCCCGGGCATCTTGCCCATCTGGATGAAGAGATGCAAATTCATTGAAGTCAACATTTGGCTCCCTGGTAGCAATTGATCAGAACAGGTGAGGTGCCTCTGACAGAGAAAGGCTGCAAATGGAATTGCATCATAGAATTCAACCCTCCACCGTACCGACCACTGTTTGTATACGTTGAAGTGCATGACGCCTTTCCGCAGTTGCGGGGGCCTTCCCTCGCCGCAGGCAGCGCAAAAACTGGTGAAGCGAACTTTTTTTGCCCGAGAGCCTCCCGCGCCTTGTTGGGCTGGACGGGTCCTGAAGAAAAGATGTGACTCTCACCTCGACCTGCAACAGATTCCCTTTCATCGTCCCCTGACTAGGCAGGCCTTCCCATTTCAAAAGCTTCTCTAAATTCTCGGTTGTGCAGCCGCCAAAATGGTGGAAAAGGTCTACGTCACGTACAATGAGGTTCGTATCAATGCTGCGCAGGCTAAACAGCATGCGACCGCTTTTCAAAGCCAGCATTCTCTCAGATATCGACTCACGCAAGTCATCAGGTCCATAAATTATGCCAGACATCGGCCGAGAAGATTCTGAATGACTTCCAGCCCAATCTCATGATCGCCATTGGAGGTGGTGGATATGTGCCAGCGAGAATCCTGAGGTGGGCTAAGACCTGCGAGATCGAACGACAAGGTGAGCATCAACTGACAAAGTGAGCGTCTAGATCATTCCTCAAGCGACCCGGTGCTCCTAACATCCCCATCCAGGCCATTGGCCTCTCGCTCTACGAACAACTTTCCGGCTCAGACCCTGTCGAGGAGCCTGGCACAAAAGTCACGCGGACACAATGGCTGGATCTATCCTCACTTGAGATGAAGAATCTGATTGGCAAGAGTGTCCTGATCGTTGACGAGGTTGATGACACGCGCACCACTCTCGAATACGCAGTCAAGGAGTTGGAAAAGGACGTGGAGCTGGCCAGACAACAACAAGGAAGAACCGAAAAGACAAAATTCTCCATCTTCGTATTGCATAACAAGGACAAGGAGAAGAAAGGACACCTTCCGGAAGACATGCTCAAAGAGAACCGGTATCTGGCCGCCGTCACTGTTCCCGATGTATGGATCTGCTATCCCTGGGAGGCGACTGATATCGACGAGCATGACCAACTCGCCCAAACCCATGGCGTCAAATAAGTTGAGCTCTTCTGGCGTGACCGCTGGGCTTCTGGTTTACAGTAGAGGGCAGGATATGATCCGCAAGAGTTGTACTAGAGTGGAAACCTATCGGACGACCGCAATGGTGTCACATCCTCAATCCCAACGAATTTTCCTCGCATCCAAACTTTTCCTTGCCTCGTCAAGTTGCCCCATAAGTTCGGTGTAGGCTTCCTTTGTATCGTTGAATCGTAGGACGCCCAGTCCTAGTCGTCCCAGCAGATATGCGCCCAGACTCACGAGGGCCCAGAGGGGAAGGACTGGAATGATTTCCACCTGGATTTTTGGTGGCAGGATGGAAGGCACCGGCGAATCCTCGGTCAGGAGAGGAAGTGCGAGTAAAAGGTATGCCTACAACAAGAATTAAGAAGTGCTCTCCCGAACAGATACTGGGAAGGGGCCAGAGGGCACGTACCGAAGAGATCAATAGTGCAAAGGAGATCGTTTGCGCTGCGCGTCCCATGGTTGCAAATAGAACACTTTCGTAGGGGTAGATAGCCTGAGGTATTCTCCGGGAGAGGCTGAATAGCTGTAACTTTGATTTTTCACGCGTATAATGCTCTCGGCTCGATGAAGGGTTGGATATTGTCGATATTAGCTATTCGTGCTCTTCAAAAGGACAGTCAGGAACGAAGTTGCATTGTGGCGTGTCCTGGCACATGCCCTCCCGTAATGTCTTGGCGCTCAGCCTCGCTGTTCAACGAGATAGAGTCTTGCACTGGATGTATTTCACTTTGCACTTACATCTCAGCCTTTGTTCCTAAAAGCGTCTTGCGAGACAGTCATTTGACTGTGCGGCTCTTCCTAATATGCGGAAGCTAGCAAACCATTAGCCAGGCTCTTTGAAGCCAGACAGGATAGGTTTGGTTTCCATCTGCACCAGCAAGGCCATCAGCCAACGATAGATGAGAACGAAGGCAGCAGTTTGTTGATTGGGGCCAATGCAGCAATGGCGCTGTCATCGCTTCATGAAGCCTGCTTTTGGCTTGCAGATGCGATGGAGCAATATTGGTCCGGTGACGAGGCTTTGAATCGCAAACATTCGGCCGTGATATCAGGACTGAGATCCTCGTTTTCTGAGCCAACCGAGGGGAATCGTGCTGTCCTGGCTCTTATGCCTTCTCTCGTCAGTCATGTCAATGAGATAATCCAGAATGGACAACCGGATGGATTCAAGACTGCTATCCTTAGCACTCTTGCAGATTCGACGCGAGAAGTACCTTTTTGGCGACCTCTATTTGGTCTCGAGGCCAGACCAGATGGCGCGACGAACGAAAATGAGATGAGGGGGATATTCCCCCCCGACTGTGTTGTTGAAGTCGCAAGGAGGGTTGTCTCCGAAATTGCCCAAGCAGGAACTAGCGAACTGTCAAGGTCTGCGCTCAGAATTATCGCCAATTGTTGCGCAGACAATAATGTCAATCGCTTCATTATTGTTGAGCGTGGTGGCATTGAAACGATGCTAGGAATGGTCACACAGGGACTAGAATGCGATCTTGTGATTCCCACCCTCTACAATGTCTGCGTCGATTACGATGAACCCGCGAGAGATGCGACGGGCCAGCCATGGGTCTCCCTTCAAGAGAAGAGAGCAAAAGAAGACGATGAAGCAGACTCAAACACGGCTGTCAACGCCGCGGAGCAGAGACTGGGCACATATTGGTTGCCGCACGAGGGACTGACGTCCTTTGAGATTTTGCTCAAGGCCAAAGATTCTGGACAGGTCTCAATGGAGAGATTGGCCGACCTGATTGAAATGGCCAGCCGAGCAGCACTCTGTGGGACGCACAATTTCGTTCACCAGGCCAATGGACATGCGGCGGGAGACGTGATCGAAATCGACACTACCGCAGACATTGTTCACTCGTTATTGACGCATGGCTTCGAGCTTGCGAAAGAGGACACGGACTGCCGAGCCTCGATTTGCCAAGCCGTTCTCAACCTCCTCTCACAAGCGGATACTCACCACATCGTTGCGAGGGACTCCAGCATGATCTGGAACCTGATCCACTTACCTCATGCAATGCATGGTCTGGACTATGAGGATGATGATACTGATGAAGATGAGCAAGCCCTCGCTCCCTACCGCGAACCGATCCTCAAGATGGTCTACAGTATATCGGCCGCAGAAACGTATGAACAGGTTTCCGAGTCCCAATCACCCCTCATTCGCAACTGCATAGGAGCTCTCGAAGTTGACAGGCCGCGGGTCTTCTTAGCCAGCATTTGTGTGCTGCTAGCCAACAGCGTCGTTTCCAAAGAACGCGCCGAACAACTCATTCGGTCCGCCCCAAACATGGCCAACTTCTTGTCTGAATTGATCACCAAGACCACCGACTCAGGGGTCCTTCTTCCCGCCCTTAGCCTCGCCACGCGACTGTCACTCTGTCCCGAGGGGCAAGATGCGTTTCATCAAACCAATATGGCGTCGGCAGTATCAGTACTCCTTGCCTCCCCCAAGAGCGAAATCGATTCCCTCGGACTTGAAATCCAACGCGACGCCGTCGTGCTTGTGAGACTGATCATCAAGGGACGTCTGGAATACCTTCCTGACTTAGCATGCAACAGAGAAGATTCGTCGTCCCATGCTAACATCATGGTTCTAATATTGTCTATATTCGACAAGACAAGCCACCCGGACACGAAGACCGAAATAGGAAGACTGTCAATTGAAGTGCTCCGCACGCTGCTTTCGTCCAGACAACAGTTGACCAATGCAACCGAAAAAGACCGACCAGATCGTCTGAATCACAAAACCGCCGAGTCACTCTTCCAATCCATCTTCCCCCTTCCTCAGCCAACAACACCCTCGCCACCATCAACCATAGCAACGACGCCAAATCCTTCAAGAGCTACAATCGCAGATACAATATCCTGGATACTGACGCAGTCTATAACCCAGAGCCAGTCCCAGTCCCAGTCCAGCGACTCACCCTCATCGCCACAGTCATCCTCACTCTCCCACCAAGCCGAAGCCGAAGCTTGGTTCGGGTTCGGCCTCCTCTCCACATTCCCGTCGACACACAGCTCGATCAGAGCCGCCCTCGCGCGGGATGACTTTCGGTTGTTGAAACGGCTTCGCGAGATCGCTCTGCTGCAGAACACCCACTCTTCACGCCCGGGCGCTCAATCACTGGATCCGAGGTATGAGAACATCAAGGTCCTCGTCGCGAGGATGGGTCAGCAGCAGCAACCTGCGACCCAGCAGCTCCCACTCCAATCGTTGACCCTAGACACCAAGGCCCCGAGGCCAAGTACAGCGGCGGAGGAAGAGCTAGAAGCAAACAGACAGGTTCAAGCTGGTCTGGAAGCCGCAGCTGCGGAGATGGGTCTCGACTGGGTATTCATTTGACGACCTCAAGACGTCCTTCAATCTACCTGGCCGTGGAGCATGAGTTCCATTGTATGAAGGTGCCCTTAGAAGCATGATCTATCTGGGCTGTCTTTACGGTTTGAGATACCGCTCAACTTAGCGCCCACTCTACAGGAGAATACATTAGACCATCGACACAACAATATCATTTTCAACCCTACTTTGATGTTTATTCAATCATTTCTTCTCCAAGAAGGCAACAGGGGCGAGTGTTGTCTAATTCTTTTCTTTTTGCTTCCGCCCTGACTCGCGTTCCCATCTCCCTTCCTCCCAGCGGACGGTACGGGTGTACCGCTCACTCTATCCGAGAGTCTCAATCATAAGGGCCACGACGAGGCAAGAAGAACGTTTCTTGAGGTGGAAGGATACTATTGATTATGACACTATATACCTCATATAACAGTTGGTGGCGAGCGCAGACAGGTGGTGCATGCATGCAGTGTAGATTTGGTGACTAGATGAATGGACGCCACCAGATGCAAAACGCGATGCTAAATCCCATTCAAAATATTTTGCTCAGACTTCCTTCCTTCCTTCCTTCCGTGCCTCATTCCATTCTTTAGATTCTTTGGATACCGTTCCCTTCGCATCGATTTCCAGATGGACACTCTCTCGCACGAGTATCCATGGCATCAGACAAATTTGACCAGGCGACGAACAAACATTACGGACATAAGAATGAGAGTAATATGCACTGTGAAACCCCAAAAAATGGGGGCGGGAGCAAATTCGTAAACGGTCGTGATTGTGGTTCCGAGAAAACAGGTTCCTAAGCCGCCCCTCGATCTTTGGCTGGGCTGGCCATTCAAAGGCCATAACCCGCTGGCTGAACTCCAAGCCACTGTCCAGAGCCGATGAATGCTTGATGGCCCATTTGCGCAGCGGCTTGTTGCAGTAAAGCTGGTGGCGTCGCGACCTGAACGTGGCCCTGGGTCTGGACTGGGTTCAGGTGGTGCTCCGGCATCAAGCCCTGGACGACGGCAGTGCTGGGTTGCTGGTGCATGATCAAGTTCTGGGCTTGGGCTTGAGGTTGTGCTTGGAGCCGGACAGGCACATGGACCTGCTCGTCGGCCTGATGATACGCCTGCGATAGCTCCGTCCGCGCATATAGAGGTCGCACCAGTAAGGAACCCTCGGCTGCTCTTCGCTCTCGGGCTTTCTGGCAGTGCTTGCCCTGGTGTCTTGGAAGGAGTCAGCAGACACTCCACAGGGACGTGAAATTTGTCCAGGGTTGGAGCGCGTAAAAAGGTAGACGTTATCATCAAGGCGGGAAAAAAAACCGGCGAATATAAGATTCCCGATTAAAAAATAATGCCAAAGATCGTGGTATCATACTCACCGATCTCTTAAATCCGCCCGATTGAAGAACTTGTCACAGTCGCCACACCTGTAGTCTGCGTAGTGCTATCCAAATCCACGAATTAGTCCTGTAGTCCAATGTCAAGTGCGACGCGGTGTAAAGTTGCGCAAGTTGGGTTGGTTCGCATACCGACTTGATGTGCCTGTTCAAGCAGCCCGAAAACGAATATGTCTTGTCGCAGCCTTCTTCAGGGCACTTTTTCTTCTGGCGGTTCTCGTCGTGGCACTTGAGGTGCCTCCGGTAATTTGCTGCCTTGAGGAAGACTTTGGTGCATGTTTGGCACACGTATGGGCCGGCGTCGTGCATTTTCATGTGCATGGCGAGATTTCCTGCCTCCGCAAAGGTCTGTTGACACCTCGAGCAACTGTATTGATGGCCGTGCTCCCGTATGTGTTCCCGCAGGAGGCATGGTTTGTCAAAGACCTTGCTGCACACAGGGCAAATGGCAGGGCCTCTGTCTCTTTTCTTCTTTGCTTTCTGCCGCTCTGGTGAAATCGGTTCGGTCTCTCCGTCAGGCTGATGGTCTGATTGTACAGGAAACCCTGGTGGGAGACGGTGAGTTAGGAAGTCGCCCATAGTATATTTAGACAAAACCAAATGCCAGTGGCACTCATGCAAGGGTCTGAGCATTCAAGCAACTGAAACTCACCTGGCATGATCGTAGAGAAGCTGTTTCTTCCTGTCTCGTCCCATGGTGCTGAAGGGCTCGTCGCGGAAGAGTAGCTGGCTGAAGTACCCATGGGAGACCAAGACTCAAATGTCGACGCAGTGTGAGCGATGTCATGCTGTGTTATTGCGTTCTGGAAGATTATCCCTTCCACAGACTCATAGCTCACTTGCCACGGCTGGGAAAACGCGCATCCGGCGCCGCAGTTGCAGGCGCAGAAATCCCCAACCCCATTGCTGTCTATGCCGAACGCGGCTTCCACATACCGTTCTTGGCCTGGAACAGAGAGATCAGAATGAGCGGTCGATGGCTCTGAGTTGTCATTGTGGGAGCCAGCGCAGGGCGGATCGAAGTATGTCGGAATGTTGCCCGACAGCTCAGGTGACACGAATGCCGGATCAAACAAAGGGAACTCGCGATTGACAAAAGGTGCATCGAGCATATCCATTGCGAATACACAAAGCCCGTCCAAAGAGCCGTGTGGAAAGAGATCCTAGCTTTGACACATCCGCGGGGATCACAGACGTTTTTAGACTGATTCGACCTGATGGCCATCAAGTGACTGCTAAGTCCATGGCACCTGTCTCCATTATCCTATTCTGCATTCCAGAGGGCAGACAGCATCACATTGAACTCGGCATTGCTCCACGAGCATATGCTGCGGCCTGAACAGCCGCTCAGGCTTTCTCTGAGATTTCGGGGTCGAATGCAACTTTCTATCTAGCGCAACGGCAACAATGACACGATAGGATGGCCAGTGCAAAAGAGGATCTAGTCCTGAGGGGCAAATGCAGAGCCATGCCCTTCCGGCTCCAATGGGGAAGAGACAACCCTTGCGAGGGCGACCCTGTCGGAACCTGGGAGCGGCGTAAACTCTTTCGCCCACATTCCCTCGAAGGCCGACGGTGGAGCACTAGCTGCTTAGACTTTGGAGGAAACAATGGTTCGCCATTCAGCGGCGAGCACTTGGAGACACCATTGCGTGGACCCGGGCTCTCCCATTCGCAGGAATATCGTATCGAGGGAGCTTGGGAAGTGACCCATCTCAACAAAGACTTTTCTGATCGACGTGATGGGGACTCCGCGCAACTAGCGTATGCTTCTAGTGAGGTGTGTCAGGAGGTCAGTCCTTCTTCTGACCTGCGACCATTGCGGCCAGCCCGTCAACTTGCTCACTCAGTCTCTGGACCAGAGCGATTAATTCTGTGCTGTCAGCTGTGCCCAAGGCAGACTTCGTGGCGGACGCAGCCATATCAGGTGTGACCGTTGGGGATGTCTCATTAAGCGCTCGTCGCGCAGTTGGTGACTTGACAAAATCCCGGGCCCCCTCGAGACTCAGCCGGCCTGCACTTAGTGGACGGCTAGTAAAGTGGGGAGCTCGAGACAGGGTGGGATGGGAGCGAGAGATCATAGTCCGAGAGTTCTCGTATGCCCAGATCAGCGCCACAAAGGGAACATGGGTGGCTTTGAGGACAAAGATCCGAATTCGACGAACTTCCTCCGAGGGTAGGACAAGGCGAAGTGGCCGCAGCACGATCAGTGGGAAGAGGTTGAGTGGAGGCATGAAATAAGTTAGCCGACGGGAAGTGCTGGACTCAAGGACATAGATCGAATATTGAAAGAGATACTCCTCTCTCGCATGGGCCATGACCTGCCATAGTGACCAATTAGCGTGGGCGCTTCTTTAGTCAAAGTTCTGTAGGCGCTTAAATGGCCTGAAGCATGGCCTCGGTTGCGACAAAGCCACCCTACCCTCTCTTAACGTACCTCTGTCAGTGAATTGGATACCAGCGACACCAGCGACGTGATGAGAAGAATGTTGGTCAAACAGACGAAAATCAGCCTGCGAGGATTGAAGTCAGCCTTGTGTTCCGTCCAGCTCCACGGTCATCTTCGTTCATTCCCAACGAGAACGCCACGACGACAACAGAGCTCACGCCGAGGCTCGAGTTTATGGAGCGAATCAAGAGCTGTGGCAACTGGTGGGAAGAAAGTGTTGCATACATCAGAGTATATCCAAACAATGGCGAGATCTGTCGACCAAGTCAGTCGGTGGTCTCATCGGTGAGTCAATTGGACATTTACGTACCTTAACAGCCATGTCAAATCCGAGGTAGCTTGATCTGTTCCACTGGTCACTGATGTTTTTGTGGAATCGAGAGAGCTGTCTCCATACCCAAAAAACACCTTGATCAAGAGCCATGACATTTCGTTGAGGCTCATCCGGTCCCTAGCCAGCATGGTGAAAGTAGTCAAAAATCCAAGGTACAGCACGACAATCACGGGCAAAAATTTGCAAAAAGCTTTTGTCTGGGGTACCATTAGTTTGAGCTCTGCCGCAAATGAGCGGAAACATACCATCTCTTTCAGCACTGGAATCTTCACAGCCTACCGTCAGTTCGTCTCCGACCACGGACCTGCATGACTTACCAGGCTTCCAAAGTATGGGTTCAGGCTCATAACCGAGAATATCCTGACCATGTGAGCATATCTCGCATGACAATCTATTTCTCAATGATGCTCACCTAGGCACAAGAAACAATGCCACCATGGACAAGATGTCGAATGCAACATCAATGATATAGTCACTGTCTTTGATGAGACCAATAATCCCTAGGCGAATTGTCAGCTTCACCAGCTTCAGGCATCGGGGATATCTCAGGGAAAAAACATACGTGTAATAACAAAAGCCGCACTGACGCCGATAATGGCAATATCCCACAAACTCCAAAAGTCCGTCTGATAAAACATGAGTCCCGCATCTTTGATCTCGCCGAACTCATCATAGGCAAAAGCGGCGATCCAGATATACAAGACTGTTTCTGTTGCCGTAATGTGGCTTGGATCCCTCTCCACCAGAACAGCATAATACAGCGCCAGAAATGAGAGGAAGAAGCTGACTTGAAACGCCTTTTGGTACTTGGGCACCCTCAAACGGGTAAAAGGATCGGCCACACGCTTGTTGTACACTCGGGGTTTCTTGACGGCGTGCACCGAAAGATTCTCCCAAAAGATAACGTCGCCATTCCAAATGTCCTCGACGATCTTCTGCACGGAGTTCTGCGAGAGGAACTTCTTCGCGTCGGCAATGGCAGCGATTTCCAGGGCGTTCATACCGGCCATGGACTCATCCAGGTTGGCCCGTTGCGATGCATCATCCTCGTCACCTGGGAATGTGCTTGATGTGCCAGCACCAGGCATGTGGTCGAAGGAGTTACGTTTAGGAGGCCGCAGAACCGCGCCGTGTTCGGCGAACCGGGCGTGCATGAGCGGTGAGGTTTCGTCTGCGTGATCTTCCTCCTCGGGGCGACGACTACTCCTCCCACCATTGGCGTGAGCAGCAGAATCTGAGGGGGATTGCCCTGTGTTGTCGTTCGGATCCTGGGGCAGTTCGTAGAGAAGGTAATCAATCAGTTCCTTCTCGGACAAGAACGTAAGAAACTGCCACGCCACAAGCTCACAGGCGAGGGCTCTGGACTCGTTCAACCCGCTATCCGCGTCCGCGTCGGCATTGTCGAAGAGATACCTCGCCGCCAGCAACGCCGCCACGATCGCGGGATGGTGACAGTCTCCGCTTAGATACCCAATCAGAGGTTTCAAGGGATGTCCTGCACTGGTGGTGCGAAGCTGTTCGTAGGTGTAGGCGGCGTCGATGGCCTTTGCAATGTACGAAGACAATTTGAATACGACGTCGGAGAAGCTCTCTCTCGAGTCGATGATGGGTACGTCGTCATTGTCCCAAGGCTGCTGGAATTTGCTGGAACGGGGAGTTTGAGGTTCGAGGGTCGCCATGGAGGCGTCGACGTAGCTTTTGAGGTTGAACCGAAGACCACGAGGGCGCATGGGGGTAGTCCTGGTCTTAGCCGATAGATTTAATTTGAGTCATAGCAGGAAATAGGACAAAAATAACAGGCAGCTTGTGGGTTGTGATATTGGGTTCGAAGATCGTCATGCGTGTTTCAGTCTGTGAGGTACCATTACTTGGGCGAGTTTGATACACGCAGAAAATGACTGCATGCTCCTCCATAACGACTCTCGGGCGGAGCAAATGCACCAAGCATGAAAGTTCCATTGACGTCAATTGGCCATTCCTCTCACCAGTCTCTTAAGACTCCCATGGATATTGCTACAGTTCAAGAAATGGCTATCCAGCGAGCCAGCACCCCAGCCAGTCTTCAGTAGTGTTCATATCTCTTGCCGCGAGTCAATTGACTCCGTGACCGGTAAGTTGTCGCCTTATTTGTCGGGAAAATGACAACGCGGAACTCCCTAGCCTTTTGATGAAGGCTCTCACCCTTCAAGCCTCCTCGCAACGGAGATCAACGACCTCGATCATGAAGAGAATAACAACTTCTTACTCCCAGTAGGGGCCCAGTCTCGATATAACCCAAACTCTTTTCCATCCTTTCTACCTCTGTTGCTGTATTTTCGGACCCACTCCCTTCTACTTAAGCCTTCAAAAATGCCTCTTCCCACACCCTATCCGCCCAACACCACGCACACTGTGCCCGCCCGGTCATCCGTGGCTGTTCCTCTATCTCCATCCCAAAAGCTGACCGTGACAAACACCCATGGCACCCAAGTGATTGACTTCTGGGCATTTGAAGTCCCTTCTTCGGACTCTGCCACGACAAAAGAGTTGACAACATATCTATCCATGTCCCACACTCGCGCCTCGCTACTATCCCTCAGCCCCGTCGCCCCGTGCACACTCTCCACAAACCGGCGCACTTCAATCCTGAAATTTCTGAGTGACAGCTCGGGCTGTATCCACGACACTTTGATCCCGGCGTGCGACATCCACCGGTACCACCAGCTGGGCATACCGCAGGAGGAATACCACGCCAATTGCTCGGACAACTTATGAATGGCCCTCGCTCGCGATATCCCGGGCTACGTGCTTCCGGCGCCGTTCAACACTCCCACCTCAACCGTTCCGGACCCGCTCAATCTGTTCATGAACATCCCGGTAACTAACCTTGCGGAGTCGTTGCATGAGAGCAACACGTCTGCAGGCGGGGGTTTAAGTTTCAAGCCAACGGTGTGCGAGAAGGGCGGCCAAGTCGTGTTCGAAGCGCTGGTCAGTTGCGTTGTCGTCATGAGCTGTTGTCCCCAGGATTTGGTGCCCGAGGTCAACGGCGGGATCATACACGACTGTCATTTCGTTGTCGAAGGCTAGGCTTAGTTATGTAGCCCGGGGCTCCCCAGTCCTTCAGGAGAGGCATGGAGTCACACGGAAGGGGAGCAAAGAGAGGCCGGCGGGGTATGGTGTAGAAGAATCTGCTGGGCACAAACAGAGAGACCAGATTCCCGTGGACAGCCCCATATGGGTAGTATAGAAGGTCATGAACGAATGAACGGCTCTTCTATTCTCGGCTAAGCCAGAAAGACTTTTAACTTCTCGCTTGAAAGCAACATCATGTCTCATATCAAATTGACCCTCTTGCCTCCCATGCATCAATCACCGATAATGCTGTTCTCCGACTCAAATTATTCGTCGAATTGCTCGTCGCATTGCTCAGCTGCAAATTCCCAATCTCACACCAATTGTTGATTGGCAGACAACTCAGATACTTGCACCATGAACACGTGTCGCGGTACTTGTAAAAGTTGTTCAAGAGCACGACGAATGCCACCAGAACGCCGATCAATGCTCCCAACCGAAACAGCCACCATGCCCACCACAAGGGCTTTCGTCCCTTGAAGAATCCGACGGGTTGTTTGGCAAAGGCGGCCACATTAGCTGGCGCGGCTGTCGTGGCTGGTCCGGCTCTGGGAGCAATGGGAGAGGACGAGGAATGAGCCAGCATTGGATCCTTGGGGTTGATGCTCACGTCTGCATCTGAGCCAACGTTTCTGTAGGGGCTGGTATTGAGGCTGGTAGATTCGCCGATGCGTTGGCGAAGGATGTTGGGAGAATGGAGAAGGCAGATTCCGGCCGCAAGACCCATCAGGAAGCCTCCGATGTGAGAGAAGTTGTCCAGACCAGGCAACAGTCCCAGAACGAAGGAGATGATGATATCTACCATGATCCACATCAAGTCTTTGACAGGATGGCGTCGTTCGTTCCAGCCATAAATCAGGTCCAGAAGAACCAAAGCGAGAATCCCGAACAGACAACCCGATGCTCCAGTTGATGCAATAGCTGTTGCTGCAAAATTCCCGCCCAAGACAAAACCAAAGATGCCGGAGCTGAAGTACACAATGGCAAATCGAATGCTACCAATCGCTTTTTCCATTTCACGACCCATGGTGAGTTGCAATAGCAAGTTGAATGCAATATGAATTAGCCCCGCATGCAAGAACATTGGGATGATGAATCGAAACCATTGATTCGGATGCTCGTCACTAAAACCAGAGAAACCGCACAGGGCTTTGAGATCGCAGTGGTTGCTTGGTGAGTTCGGATCGGATGTAGTAGTATTAGGACATGGCCAAGTAGGAGGATCGGGGCTGTCTTGAACTCCGGGAGTCGTCCGCATACAAGGTACAAATCGAGCACCCATATTAATTTGCACATATGTCGAGGGACCGATCATGGGATTAAACTGCGGTTTGATCATAATGGGGGATCCTGTAATGATCGCTGCCTTCCATCAGCATGCAGTGCAGAGATATGGGTTAGTTGCACTTACAATTCTTGATTATTTCAACAACAAAAACTGTGATCTGTATCAAAGACAAGGTGTAGACAACCCATGGTATCTTCCCCTTGAAAAAGTTCGCAAAAGATCCCTCTATCTTCCTCCTCCCTTTTGAATCTGGCAATAACGGCGGCGAATTTGATTCGGGAGAGGGAGGATACTGTGTGGACTGATTCCGCCAGTCAGGTGCATCTTGAGTCGTATTAATTCTTGATTGATGCTTCAGCGGTATCGAGTCTGAATGTACAGACTGTCTTGTAGGGTCGTGGGGTTCATAGTAAGTAGACATGGGTCTGGTGTTGTACGCTTGCGAGAGGCGTGACTGATCGAGGCTGGAGGAGCTGTGTTTGGGATTATAAGCGAAGGCGATGTGTGAGACCGGTCTTTCATTTTGCGGTCGGGTAGACTGTGACGACTGAGCCATGTGGGACTCCTGGTAGTAATCGTCGGCAGCCATGTTGGGTGTAGGGAGAAGAGAGCGACAGTACTGAATTGCTCCACGGCAGGATACGTAAGGAGTGCAAACGAGTGTTGAATGTTCACTGCGTCAGAAACTCGAAGGTGCAAGGGGCTTAGGTGAAGCCCTAGAGGCGAGATTGCTGCTAGATCCAACCGGCCATCATCCCTGAGGAAGTCTTGATTGATCGAAGAGAGGGAGCTCGAGTTCGGCGATGCGATCAATGTAGTAATGACAATTGGGCCAGCACTTTCATCGGGACGTCGACCACCCGCAAAGCTCGACAGCTGCCGAAACAGCAGATCGATGAGATCGTGGAGTGAATGAGAGACGGTTCCTGGTATGGCAGCGAGGAGAAATTCCTGAGGCGGAAATTTGGGCTCGAAAGGGATGAGATGAGTGCAATTAATCGGCCAACAGACTGCGGTTCAGGCGTTCAAAGGAGTGCTGGTGTTTTCAAAGAAAGTGGGAGAACAGACGACAAGAGGGTGAGTGAGTGAGTGAGTGAATGAATGGAGAACGCAGTTGAGGATTCTTGGGATGGTGCAGCGCCTCAAGGGACTACGCAGCCATGAACGCACATCCAACGTGGCTCCGGAAAGGGTTTCGGCCACACGAGTACCACACGCGGAGTCCTCGCCAATTGTTTAGGCGGAGGATGGCTGTGGATGGCTTAGGCATGGGCTTGGGATTAGGCGTGTCTCAAGATTCAGGAACAAGCCTAGTCGCTGGAGCCCACAGCCTAGTGTAACCCGCACCAGGCCCAATGCAGACCATCACGCGGCCATCCATGCTTTGTGAGTGGCTGCTGCCCGACAAAAGTTCTCCTCCCACAATCGGATCTACCCTGATGACCCTTGGTATTCTGATCCTTCAAAAATAGACTCCATCCCCCTGCTTGGCCTTACGTTTTAGGTATCGAGTACAGCGACGAGTACGCAGAGTGTTGGCCTTCGAGGTTTCGCACCCGCGCCCTACGAGTACCTGAAGCCCAAAGCGAGCACGATCTCATTGTTCAGCTTGGTGTTTCCCAGAATACAGATCACATGACAAGTAATACGAGCCCAGCAAGATCATGAACGTGATGGGTGCGTACTCAGGGCAAAGAATCGACTGCAACAGTAGTATGCGTGAAGATTTGGTGGGACGTTATATTAGTCTATTAACATCTGTTTGTAATAATATATCCTTTCCTGTTCGTGGGGCTCATAACGCCTGCAAAGGCTGGATGCGAGGCAATCTTGAAAACAAAGGCTGCCAGAATACATGAGATTCGACAACCCCAAGTCAGAAGACATGGTGACACTCAGACACCCAAATAGTAGGTGCGGCTGATTGCCAACACATTGTTCGGGACCTCCTCTTGTGATGTTGCCCGTTGACCACGCATCCTGCTATTCGCTGGTATTCAATTCGAGAAATACGCCCGCTTACTTCACTCGGCTTCCTGCTAGCCGTTGACGGTACCAAAATTATCGTCGTCGTGAGTCGGAGTTCAAATAATTCCAAAGCGGTATGTGGCGAATGTAGCGAAGGGGTTGCGGTCTGCTGTGGCCTAATATGAAGAGTACCGTTCATTCGAGAACTTGACGATGATGAAAAGCACCTCGAACCGTGGTTTCCTTGACCGCAGCTGGAACTGAAATGACGCAGCTCCATTTAAGCTGGAGGGGGATCCGCGTGTTGATCTCCATTGAGATCGGGTCCATTGCTCGAGGATCATCATGGGTCGAAGAATGAGCGTATCCGGCGGCGGAATGACTCGAGTTGTCAATCGCGTTTTCCTCCAGATCATGCAGTCATCTTGCAAATGGGTTCACCCTCTTATCCCAAAAGGCCAGCTTCTGTTGGGGCAGCAAGTGATGTCGCTGGGTCAAACGTCGTCGTCATGAGCATAATTGTGGAGCAGTGGAAAAGGATCCAGTGACGTAGTATATCAGGCGGCAGAGAAGATTGACAATGAATGGTTGAAAGCCCCAGAAAAGCGCGTAGGATAGGGCAGCAAAAGCGACAAGGACGACCGAGTTGAGTACGAGTTTCTCGCCCGGGGTCATAACATAGAGTCCGAAGGTGACTTCGTACTGGTAATATCGTAATCGCAGGTAATTCGATAGCTTCGATGGCATGGAGACAAGGGGTTTTCGGAAGGAGTCGTGGTGGGAGGAGGAGGAGGAGCTCGAGGTGGCTAGGAGCTGGATGGCAGCCATGGCCATTGGGGAGGAGAAGTAGTTGGCCGAATTGGGAGGAGCTGAGTCGATGAAGAGAGGGAAGGGCTCGAGGGAGTGGTGGAAGTCGGAAGTCATGGTGATATAAGAGGAGGGCGCCAGAGGGAATGTGGGAGGCAGGTAGGTAGGGGAAATAGAAGCGGTGGTGGCTTTGTACGAAGCAGCTCGCGTGTCGCAAGGGCTTTTTTACTCGTAATGGCGCAGACTTCGGGCCTGATGGGACCTGGTCTCGTAGGTAGAGAGGATTGCCCGATGAGGAAATGGTAAAAGCCGAAGACCAGGCGTTTGATTTGCTGCAGGAGAAAGTGAAATTATGGGACGAGAAGGCTATTGACTAGATCGATGCGCAGACCCCAGGATTGCAGTGAGGAATGTGGATTTTCGTGACTTTAACGAGGCTGGAAAGGGAGAAGTGATCAATGAAAGTGGTCACGGTGGGTGCAGCGGAGGGCGAGCGGATGGAGTTTGATGACCGATCGAGTGTCTCCAGGTACTGGGTACTCGTACTCTGTACCAGTCCAGGGCACAATCAATAGAGGCCTGTGAGAAGTGTGAAGCAGCCAAAGGAAGTCAGAAGTGTTCTGAGCAGAAAGAGTTATAGGTGAAGCTCTCATGTGCGCATTTATGGAGGTTGATCACGATACCACCCTCTTGGGCCCTCGAATGCTCATGCGCCTGCGCCAAAAAGAATACGAGGGAAAAAACATGGGCGAAATGGAGCGAAATGGGGCAAACAGGGCAAATAGGCAAAGGCCCGGCATCACTCGGATTTGCGGGAGACGCTGGATGACCAACAATTGGTTCAGCCCGCAATGGGCCAATGGCCCGTGACCAAGCGCACCAAGTTGCACCAAGCGACTCCTCGCAACCAAAATATTCATCCGGCAAATGCGGCTCAAGGTTCCCGGAGGGAGTCAAGGGTTGGTCACGACTCACCGCCCACAACTGCGCCGTTTCGCTCTTCTGCCCACACAACCACACTACCTTTTTCATCCACTTGTATGTACGATGATGTGATATTTCTCTCGTCGTCTTTCTGGTATCTTCCTGCCCTCAGATGATGTCGACGTCTCCAGTGTAAACTTAGCGCTTCCAGCCTGCTGACTACGCACCCAACAAGCTGTCATCGCAGTTTGGCCCCCCGACGAGTCATTCGACCAAAAGTTCCCTTCATCATGACTTCTTCTGACAACGCTTTGGTCCTTCCGCTTCTTCCGGGCTCGCCGCCCAGCAGCCCCTCTTACTCCTCCTTTACAACGATCGCTCTCGCGTCCCTCGATCTTCATGATCATCGCCCATCTCGTTCTCTAAGAGATCCCTGGTCAGGCCATGATTCCAGGAAAGAAGAAACCGGAGCACAAAAGTGAAAAGAAAATATTCCCTGCTTGAGCATAATATTCAAGCAAGAGGTGTCGCCTTGGGTTGCCCCTCCTGGGCCCATCTACCTAATTATTCAAGATCATATTTGGTGGGTATTATAACCTCTACAGTCGTTTCGTCATGGAGTCCAAACCATTATCCTGAAACCGGCTCAAGGCCCAACCCCATTAAATATTTTCCTGAATGCGTTTTGTCATGCCCCCAGTGGGGGCAGGTTCAAATCAAATTCTTCTTGATCATGGGCAACTCTGCCCACGATGCAATACAGTTCATTTGATGCAATCAACCCAGGAGTGCGATCTGGAAGCCGGTGCGTCTCCAGATGTGCTAGGAACGCCTGTAGTCCCGTGAAGGTGGGTGTCAAGTTGACAGTGGTCGCTTTCTTCTCGCCAAAGACGCCCAGCTTAGCCAACTGCGACGGCACTCCGTCCTCAGTCCAGCCTTTGGCCGCTCCCTCCACACAACAGAAAAAACAAGCAAACGCATCGCCGTTGTTCATGGCATCGCCGATCGTCAGCTTCTTGGGCATATGGCACTTGGCCAGGAGATTCCACCGGTATTTGATGCCCCCTTCAGAATATCGTACTTTGGTATCGTACGTCTTCTCGGTCTTGACCGAGCCACGTCCGCCGCTCGGCAGCGCCCTGGACACTGATGCCGGTCCTTCGAAATTGCATTTGGTGCACCGCCAGAAATACTCTTGACCTTTGGGCCCCCTTCGGTGCTCAAGCGAGAATCCCTTTTTCCGGACCCCCAAGTTGTTGCCTTACTGCACCCTTGCAGAATCCAGCAAGATTCGACTCACTCGGTAAGTTGAGCTGCGATCGGGCTATCTGAAGTTCTGGTGAGGCTGCAGGAACCGGTGCGATCCGCATCGTAGATTCGAGCGATGCACTCTCAGACGCTGATTTCACTGTAATGCTGTCCGACGTGCTGTCCATGAACTGGCCCCTTAGCGAAGTTGGGCTGTTGAGCGTAGCCGTCTGCTCATTGTCGGCGAGATCGAGCGCTTTCGGTTTCACGTAGCGAGGCAGGCTAGTGAATTGCGTTTCCAGTGATGTGGGTGCAGGTTTGTGTATCGCATCGGCAATACCCGGTGGCAGCCCCTTGCGTATCGCGAAAGACCCCATTCTTGATCCATTCGAACCGGTAGACCGAATCGACAGCGGCCGTGGGACTGGAGGAACCGGTGGTACCTAGAGAGAGTAACACAATTAGCTCTCGCTGCCGCCAATCTGATGCCCCGACTTACCCTTTGTTGAAAAAGGGGATCCATGACAGCAGGAACCGTTTCGGGCCCGGCATTGCTGATCTGAGGCCTCGAGATAGGCGAGTCGTTGTACGAGTGCCCTTGGAGTATCTGCCGGGCCTGATACCCATGCCACATTGACTGTTGCACCTGCTCTTGTAAATGGGGAGGCAGTTGATGCAAAAAGCTTTGGTAGTGTTGATCTGGTACTGAAGCTGCCGGGGGACGGCTCCGAGAGTCTAGCGTGGCAACGTATTCTAATGTGCTATAATCAGGATTCAAGGGAACTGCCGGTCGCTGATTCGATGACATGTTCTGTTTCGTCGCTTCTTGATCTTGTGTTTTATGTGCCTCGCGACGCTCGCTATGGTCAAGCTCGTGGACTTGAGCTGGGAGGACGGGCACCGAGACCTGGATCTCATTTGCTATCCCAGGACTGCGTTCCAGGCAAGTGTTCTGTGGCACCTGTTTATGCGGGCTTAGTACCGGCGACTGGTAAAAATTAGACTCTTTCGGAAACCTTTGCCCCTTTTCATCACTTGTGTAAACTGGCCTCGTTAAGTTCGGCCTGTATAGTGGTGGGTCGGCACCTGTTGACGGAATGCTGTCCTCCAGTTGCCTGGACACAACAAATCCACTGGAAGGAGGCTCAACAGCGCCTTGGCTTGTCTGCCTCTGCATAAGAAAAGGGAGGGCTGGCACATTGTTTTCACCTGGAGTACGGCTCTTGGGCGGCTCGCTCAAGTAAGATACTGTTGAATTCATCGAGGTCCTTCGTTGCGGCGCCAATCCGCCAGATGGTTTGCGCTCGTGTCCAACGGCTGTCCTTGAGCTGTATGTGGTATAGGATGTGGCCGATTGATTGTCAGATGGTCTTCCCCCGAGCGAGGAATGCGTACTGCGGCTGCTTGAATAGGCTAGCGATCCAGGCAACTGGACTTTGTCCGATTCATCGATGTATGGACGGGATATTTGTTTCATTGCCGCTGTGGCCGTCGACATACGCTGGTAAAGCTGGCCTAAGCAAACAGTTGCATTGACTCGACAGTCGTCTGAGGTTTCCTTCAACATGTGAAGGTCCAATGTCGCTTCGTCCATGAAGACCTCCCGCAGATGCGAGATGACTGCTTGCTGCAGATTGATGAGGATGTCTTTCATCTGTTCCCGGGCGGTGGCGTCCCCTCGGGCGTAGGTTTCGCCAAAGCGACGAACGTCGTGGTCGTACAAGCTCTGCACGGCAGAACATCCTAATGACAGAGAGTCCTCGAAGTCCTTTGTCAACTGCTCTGGCAGTATGAAATCCTCTGAAGTATTTTGTTTATTTTTGAGCCGCTGCACCAACTTTGAAGCATCGCGATAGGCTCCAATGACTGTATTTCAAGTGAGTTAGTGAGTGATTTCGAAGACAACAGTCTTGATTGAACGCAGCAATCCGGGTTTCGGACTTCGGACATGTCCATGATGCAGTCCCTACCAGGTCATAAAGTAGGACCACATCATTGACGGTGTTGCACAAGCTCAGCTCAGAATAGCGTCCACGGTGTAGCGTGATCGAGGAAGCAACAATGATGAGGCTCCGCGCGCGGTCCCAGCAGTCCGGAACATTGACCGATTTAGGTAAGACCTCCGTCATATAGAAGGGTTTGTGAGGCGTTTGCAAAATATTCTTCCGAAGCAGCAACAGCATGGACAGGCAGAGAAGGAGTGAGGTAAGGGGCATGAGCTCACCGGCCTGAACACATGCCTCGACCGACATAACATCCATGGCTGTTGTGCAGTCGCAACCCTCTGGGTGTCAGTGTTGATGGTTTGGATGGGAAAATAGTGATCCTGTATCAACTCATTGAGACGGGTTTGGGGCCTCTGGCGTTGAATAAGACATCAAGCAGAAGACAGAACGAAAGCGAATGTGAGGGCCAAAATATCAGTAGAAAAAGAAGTTGAAAGTCTGGGAAATAATTCGCTTCTTGAAGGCTGAGGCTGAGTCCAGGCTATTGGCAGGCGGAAGATGCTCCTCGAAAGTCCCAAAAGGCATTTTGTGCTTTTCCGGCCTGTGACCCTGCAAGCCGGCTGCCTGCAGCGATACTGGCTCGTATGGACTTGTGCACAGTTCGATCAGACCCATGCAAGCGAGCCCCGTGTTGGTTGGGTCTCAGCTGTAGGCGTTGTGGATGGTGGGCTGTACCACGTATAAAGCTCTTATTCAGGGACAGACAGCCAGACAGATAGAAGCGGACAACCTAGTGGCGGGCCAGAACGAGATAAGGACTAAAGGCACCAGATGAGTCGATGGGCATTGATGCGCCGTTTGACCGCCCACGAAATAGTTTCGTGGTCCATCCTCGGGGAGGCATTCGCCGCCAGAGACGGTGGACACTGGACAGCTGGCGAGGCTTGCAGGACGAGGAGTCCATGCCCCATCATCCATGGGTATGGGGATCGGTTGAACGACGACCAAAGATGGCGTCTTTTGCACACCAGGGACGTGACGCGCCCAGAGACATGGCGTTCAACAGCGCCATCTGAACACGAAGATAGCAAGCCATCAATTGGCCCAAGGATTCCTTGGTTGATCTTGGCCTGCAGCTGCGAAGCCTTGAGGACTTGGATTTGCACTCCCAATGGCGCGAAGGGGCTCTGGGATGCTCGTGCGCAGTTGGAGCTGAAGTGTTCAAGCCTTCAAGGGGAAGAAAACACCCGTTGTTTAGACTCTGAAGAGTCTAGGGCCAGCAAGCGGGTGGAAGTCCAAGAAAAGGCGTCAAAGGCGTCGAGGGACTCGAGCGTGTCACGGACTCACGGGTGTCTAGACCTGCGCCTCCGTCTGGCCCTTTTCGATTCGTCTCAATTTTCCGGCTTCATCTCATCATCTCATCATCCATCACCCTCATCATCAGACCACATCTTCCTGCTGTCCCTGCGGTCCCTGCGGTCCCTGCGCTAGTCCGGGAAATTGCCAATTCGTCAATACCTAGCAAGAATTCAATCATTATTTCTCCGACGATCTGTCAATCCACGTGCGGGAAATCCAGATCCTAGCTAAGCATTGTGGCCCTGTCGATAGATTCTGGGACGACGTCCGGGACAAGCATCACTACGGTGAGATCCCTCGATGAAGTCCGGCGACCCCGAGCAACAAGCAATCCTCTAACACGACTATATTGCAAACCTTCCAACCCTGTCAATCCTTTTGAGTCAAATACCTTGTCGGCATCGAATCGGCACGAATGGGAACTTGACAAGCGAGAAGAGAAACAGGGGGAACTTGGCAACATGCACGCGATGGATTCCTCGCGCACATGGAGTCCCCGCTATTATTGGGCAGTGGGATAAAGACAACCCCAGATCCATGCAAACACTTTCCGCTCCCTTACAATTGAGCCTTGCCGGAGAGTAGGCGCTGGATAGCCTCATTGGTCAGTAGTGCGTACCCTGATCCTTCTTTCTCAATCCAAAACATCCGGTCTTTATTACCCTCTGGAATCAAGAAGCCTGTCAAGCAACAATAAGCAGCGTGACATTGGAAAGCGTGTACGAGTAGTTGAGGAGGCAAACTCACCATCCTTTCGGAGACCTGTCTTCAACTTCTTCATGATCGTCGAAACTCGTTCGCTGCCGCTGTCACCACTCATGCCGCCCGAGTCTTGTGGCGCACCATCGTTGATCAGGATTCGGACGAATCGCGGCACCGCATATGCCGGCAGGGCGCTTTCTGAAGTGCGTAGCCAGTGTTCCAGTTGCGACATGACTTCCTGGTAAGCTTGATCGGACTGCCCCGGGGACACTCCCTGCAAAGTGATTGCAGCGCACCCCAACTGCCCATCGTATCCATATACATTCATTGGGATGGCATAGACGTTGACGGAAGCAATCCGAGGATGTCTACTGAGCCAGGCCTCGACTTCGGTCGTGGAAATATTGTGACCCTTTGCGCGGTAGGTATCTGCAAGTCACGGTCAGTATGTACAGCATTATGGCAGCTGACAAGGATGTCTCATCGACACTAACGTACCTCCAAGCCGATCACGAAACTGGATGAATCCATCTTCGTCCTGTAAGAGATGGCGGTCTCAGCATGCATACTCTGCAGTGGGATCTTGAACTTACCATCACCAATGCATCCCCAATCCGAGTGTACTCGTCCCCTTTTTCAAACACATCTCGCAAGATCTTTTTCTGGGTGGCGGCTTCACCGCCCTCTCCAACATAGTCGTGTCGTCTTTGAATGGGAGGAACGATCTTGCTTATGGCCTCACCGACCTCTCCGGGCTTTGTCTTGATACAGAACCCTGTCTTGGGGTCTCTCACGATTTCCCCGGTCTCGAAATCAGCCCGGATAAGCTGAAACGCTCCCTGGCCAAACCATTTACTCCGCATTATGGGCCCGTATCGGGCAACCTTTCCCACCCCGAGATCATTCTTATTCGAGTTCATCAGCGAGATCGTTGCCTCGCTTGCAGAGTAGTACTCTACAATCCAATCGATGCCAAACCTTTCTCTTACTGCTCGCCATACAGTGGGAGCTAGCCCGAGACCAAATGCAAGATCAACCCCGTGGTCCTTTTCGTTTGGAAATCGAGGGTCAGGGGGAGACTGGACTAGATAGCGGAACATCTCGCCGATATAGAGGATGGCGTTCGCCTGTGAACGTCGAACATCTGCCCAGAACTCCCGACGCGAAAAACGCCGCGCAAGAATGACAGTCCCGGAGGACGCCAACGCGCCAGGTAGAGCAGCGAAGGATGCGGTTCCGTGAAACATAGGCAAGCATATGTACCATCTTCTATGGCTTCCCTGCATGCCTGGCCATCTGTATGGACATCCGGTCAGACGATTGTATCCAAGCGGCCAGATCAGAGCTTTGGGCATCCCTGTTGTTCCGGAGGTGAAGAGATATTGCGCGGCGTCCGTGGGACCAACTTTCGGCCTCTTGTGTTTGGGATAATCCGCCATTTCCGGTGTTACAGGGGGCAGCTCGTCGTGCTTCAGCAGCACATTTCCTTGAAGCTCGGCTTGGATTGGAAGGTACGAGCTATAATCGTACAAAACAATCCTCGGTGTTGATGAACCTGGAAGAGCCTCGTCTTGCACCAACGCTCTCGTCAAGATACCATACAGCTCGTAAGTCGTGATGCAGAACTCGGCCTCGCTGACTTTGAGACAATGCTTGATGTGGGACCCAGTAATGGATGTGTTCACAGGCGCGGCAACAGCACCGAGCTTGTAGAGAGCCCACCAAGCAAATATGAACTCGGGCGAGTTGTTGACGAACATCCCCACCACGGTCCGATTTTTGATACCGAGCCTCTCGAACGCTTCGGCAAGTCGACCAATCTCTTCACGAAACTGGCGATACGTCCAGGTTCGGCCCTCGAAGACGAATGCCTCCTTGTCGGTATGGTGATTCTCGGCATATGTCGAATGTATGGTGTGGTAGAAGGACCAGTCGTCCTCTCCGTATTCCGTGTACAAGTTCTCGACGAAGTTCTGCAGTTGCTTGGCTCCTCGAAGCTGGGCAAGGTCGCTACGGATTGAGTACTTGGCGTCGAGATACATGCTAATCCCCGAGGCCGCCGCCGCAGCGGCGCCCGCAGCTAGCAGCGCCATTGCTTGATGTATGGCTGTGATAAGACTGTGATGAAGCCTTTCAAGGTCGCCGCGAAGAGAGGCCCCTGCAAACAAAATGCATTTGCAGGATGTCCATATTGGGACGAGCCTCGGGTGTAGTGATTGCGTGGAGACAAGGAATCACCAGAATCGACTCAATAGCCGGGTTAGTGCGGCTTTGGTAACCGCGTCTCCATCAAGAAAGCATGATTCCGTCCACTCACCATCGTGCTCCTCTAACATACCTAGGTTTGCAGCCTCATCGGTTGGCGACGTGGAGAAAACATGCGGGGATCGACAGAACTGCAAACTGGGGAAGAATATTACTATCTCGCTATGAAAGAAATCTGCGTCTCGCGCACTTTAAATTCTTCCGTATTACCCCCAATGGCTTTTACTGTGACACTTTTCCGCCTGTCACGCAACTTTCTCACAGACGCGTCGAAGCGTCTCCATGGATTTTGTGTGGGATATTCATGACCACACAACCTTTTCCGCCATTAATACCCCTCCTCCGACCACGTCAACGTCCATCATGGACGAAAGCACGATCTACAACGACTCGAAGCACAATCTGTTGAGTTTCACAGGCCAATCCTCGACCGGGGTGTCACCGTTGGAACAGGAAGTCTTGGACGAGTATGAGAGGTTATCGAGGAACATGAAGGAGGTGAGTTACCAAGTTCGTCGTCACATCGTCCCTTCCTATCCCTTCCGTTCCGGAACCTCCGGGGGTGAATACCCTCTGTCCATGTTAAAAAACCAGGGAGGGCAAAAAAGGGTGTTCCTATCATGCGGAAGGGGACGAGTATGATCAAGACACATTTCAGGCCGGAGGAACCCAGCTGCCTCTTCTTCCTCAAAAAGTGCCCAGATAGTCTAACCATGCGCAGCTCTCATCCACGCTCGCCGACCTCTCCAGCGGCCCCATCACGCTCGAAATCGCCGAGGGTCTGCGGTTGCTGGAACGCAAAGTCGCAAGCGTCTACACGCTGATGAAGGCCAGTGTGTACAGCATCGTGCTGCAACAGGGACAGGAGGTCGAGGCGGGAACCTCGACAGACCAAGGGGGAGAGACTGGCGAATAAGTGTTACCGCAGAGCTTGCGGGTGGTTGTGTGATTTGTATTGATACTCCCAGGGGACAGGATTGGATGGGGAGAACGAGGACGGATACTCGGTACAATGGACGAGCTTATTATGATACGAATTAATGACGCACAACGAGGATTTTGTCAAAGCAGGTCTACATTTTGAAAGGGGTGCCATACATCGGTCGAAATTTTGTCCACACTGCAGGTGCTTTTTGTACAGAATAGAAGACAGTTTCAAGCAGAAGACCGTCTGGACCGTCGATGCTTTGTCCGGGATGCTAATATACAAAAATCCCTTTCTATGTTTGTCCTGCATAATACACTTTGCGAACATCCACCAATTTCTTCCCCCTAGCCCTCGCGATATCCTCTGGATGCTTCTGGCTCAACAAAGCCTGCACGGTAGCTTTGACCGTGTTCATAGGATTTCTCGATCGTGTCACACGGGCTGCCAGGTCGGCGATGCCTGCACACCTGCAAATCTCCCAGATATATTGTTGACAACGGAGTCCGAAGCCTGTCAAACGGTCCAGTTAGTCCTTGTTCATCTCGCCCACGAAGAGGGGTAAAGGTGAACGTACCGGGTGGTCTTGCGTATAATTCCAGCTCGGTGGCGCTGACCTTGGCTTTCAGATCACCATAGATGGTTCGATTTTCGTACCGCAGAATGGGTGTCATATTCCGAATGGCACGATACTGGCTCTGAGCTATAGCTGCGGAGCCTGCCTGCGATTTCCCTTCCCCTATGCCGATAAGACCCTGGCCATTGCCGGCGATGCTCAAACAATAAATCTTTGAAATCTTGCCCAGCCTTGTCTGATTCACAACGCGGTGGTGCATAATGGTCTTGACCCGGAGCTGCGCTAGCTGTTTCTCGCTGTACCCGGTCATCTGCATCAACTGCAAGAGTTCAGGCGACACGAGATTCTCCTTTCTTCCGGTTCCCTCCTCATCCCGTTTGGATTTCTTTTTCTGTGCTTTGGTGGGCTCTGAAATTCTCGGCAAGTCTGGGGCAAGCGCCGTTGGAGGATTCCTCTCCGCGTCTTCACGTCCGACTGTCATGCGGAGGTTCTTGTCGAACTTGTCCCACAGCTCCTGGTCATAGTCGTTTTCATGTTTCGGTTCAGGTATCTCGTTGATAAACTTGACAAAGTCATCTTCCAGCTCTTCATCTGTCTTTAACCTAGACTTGTCGTCGATATTGGTCATCGGCGCCCGCACCGGCTTATCTACCACCGGATCAATCTTGGTCAATTCGTCGTAGTATTTCAGCTTCCAGGAATCTGTCCGCATGCCGGTCTGCTTTTGCATTTGGTCGACATTGATAAGTTTCTGAGCTGCCTCAATTGCTGCAAGCTGCTCCGGAGAGTATCGCTCAGGGATCGTGCCATTTTGTACCGAGGGAAACTCTTTGGCTCGTGCACGGAGATCAACCTGGCCAAGCTCTGCTTTCACGCTGGGGAATCGGGGCTTTCGCTTTTGGTGGACAGGGGAGGAATGAAACTGGCGGCGAGGCAAGGACTTTGGGCGAGAGGGTCGTGAAAAGAGGCAAAAGAGGCACTCAGAAGACCGAGCGACACTCATGGTGTCAATGCAGCTCGAGGCTGCGAGACAGAGTCGATGTGCTGTGTGGAAGGTGAATGGTGAATGGCGAATGGTGAATGGCGAATGGTGCAAGATGCATCGCAAGCAAAACAAAATTGCCCGGCGTCTCAATCGACCTGCGGCCACGCTAGTCTCCTTCGGTCATTTCGAGCGGGACTCACATTCTTCCTGCTCAGAAAGCACTTTTGTTTGCAAAAATCTCATTCAGTCCCTCTATTCCGATCGAAGACGTCCAGCGGCTGCACATTCCTGCGATACATTGCGCGTCCAGTTCGTAACGACTTGTTGGCCATTTCAGGTTCAAGCAGTGAGTGCCAGTGGTCTGATAGCAAGGCTGGGGTTTTGATACTGTCGGATCCGTCTCAAGAATGGAGCGATGTGATTCTCGATTCTCAAAACATCAGGACTGCTCAATCTACTGTTAAACCCACGGGATCTCGTATTTTTCACTTGATCGGACTCAGTGACTCCCGTGGAGCAAGATGGAGGATCCTCCCAGGTTCATCATCGGGCACCATGACCCAAAGAGGCCCCTACCAGTCTCGATGGACATCATACAAGATGCTCATGCGGCAAATGTGAGGGCACAGTCTCTTTTTCATCTGGCTCGTGTCGACTGACTTGGACAAGTATGATATGGTTACGAGCCCCATTACGACTCCCCATTTCCATTCCCGGGTCTTGACCCTCCTGTCCTCATCCCTTGCCCTCCATTCAGAAGAAGACATCACAAAGACGAAAAGCGCTTCGCCCGTTCTTATTCCGCCACTGACTCCAGCGGATACTCCTTTGACGCCTGACGAGTCCATCAGTCAGACCATCGGCATCACAAGTTCCTGGATCGACCTTGGTTCTCCAGATCCGATCATTGCAGATATATCTCGACAAGTCCTCCAACTGGAGGTGGCTTACGCTGCCTTTTGCGGACTCACATATGTGCTGATCTCAGGTCCTCTTCTTCGGGGTCACGGCGTGTCTGACAGCGGGATTGCCCAATATGCGAGAGCAATCTCGGATGCCCTGAGCCAAGGCCCCTATATGCAGCTATACGTATGGTTGCCTATGATCGACCACTCCGAGGAACAAACTGATCAAATTGGCAACCTAGCTCCCTTTGCCCGTCGACAGTTTCTGGAGCAGGACGAGGCTGAAGACGAAAGATTGGATGTTTTTGGATCTTGGGAGGCATGGAACATGATTAGATCGATATGTAAATATCCCTCGAGATTATGTGTAGGTAAGCATAATACATCTCTTCGCAGCATCCGTTTGTCCCTGGTCTGCACGATCACTTGACGCTGACTGTCTCCAGCATTGTCTATACCAAAGCTGCTACCGCCAGTGCCCATCCAGTCAAGATGGTATTCCGAACCCGTCCGGCTCCTCACGCTCGACAAGCAAGTGTTCGCTAAGAACGCCAAGGGCTATCCCGTGCTGAGTCGTGCTCATCAAGCCTTCGTTCTGAGATTTTCTCGGCTCCGTACGGCGCCATGGTTCCTTCTGTGTGATGTAGGGACCATTCCTAGCAACACCACCAACGGCACAGCTGGGACCAATGCTTTCCCTACGCTCGCCGAAGCAGCACAGACTGCCGACCTCAAAGACGCGACCCCTCACCTCTCGTACATGCGCAACCTGCAGACCAAACAGCCACTGCAGACGGTCATCGATCGCTTTGGGGCCGGCTACCAAGATTACCTACAGGCGCCATTGCAACCACTCTCTGTCAACCTCGAAAGCATCACTTACGAAGTCTTCGAGAAGGATCCGATCAAGTATGCATGGTATGAGCGCGCCATCGCCCGGGCCCTGCACGACTGGGTTGAACAAGGCAAACCAACCTCCAACCCAGACGGACGAGTCGTTGTTGCCGTGGTAGGAGCAGGGCGTGGACCGCTGGTCACCCGCGCTCTCAAGGCAAGCCAAGATGTCGGCGTGGAGATTGACATGTGGGCGTTGGAAAAGAACCCAAATGCCTTTGTCCTTCTTCAACGCCACAACAAAACCACCTGGAATGGCCGCGTAAATTTGGTGAAATCGGACATGAGGACGTGGACAGGACCTATTCGTGCTGCAAATGCGCCACAGCCGGCTCGAATATACAACACCTTGGCCGACAGCGAGGACGATGATGATGATGATGACGACGACAATAACACCGAGGGCGCCAACATGAAGAAAGGCCAGACCGCAGAGCAAGAATCAACCACCCCACAGCCGACTTTCACCGGCTCACCCAGCCTCGACAGTACCTACCTCCTTGCCACTACGCCCCAGATCACCACACCCACACCATACAAGATCGACATCCTCATCAGCGAACTCCTGGGCTCCTTTGCCGACAACGAGCTCTCCCCCGAATGCTTGGACGGCGTCCAGCACCTCTTGAACCCGGTACACGGAATCTCCATCCCGGCATCGTACACGGCACACATCACCCCGATCGCGGCGCCGAAATTACACGCAGACATCCTGCATGGGATGAGCAGTAACCCCAACGCCAGCGAGACGCCATACGTGGTCATGTTCAACGCGATCGATTACTTGAGCACGAAGCCAGCTGCTGCTGCAGCAGAAGCCGAGACGCGCCGAGTGTCCACAGGGGCCGGGACGCCTGGCGACATGGCAAGTCCTGCTTCACCACCGGAGACCACAGCGACGCCATATTCCAAAGCGCACACGCGGCAATCTCAATATTCCGTGGCCCCGCCACCATCGCCGCCAGCGGCACCAGTCCCCGTCATCCAGCAGACATGGGCGTTCCAGCATCCCAACCCGGCCTTACCCAGCCTGACCCCATCCACCATCGGCACGACGACCACCGAACCGTCCCTCACCAACAGCCACAACGCGCGCTCGTGCCAGTTGACCTTCCCGATCCCGCACCGGGGCACATGCCACGGCCTGGCGGGTTATTTTGAGACTGTGCTCTACAAGGGCGTCGAGTTGTCCACGAATCCGGACACGATGGACCAAAAGAGCGAAGGCATGATCAGCTGGTTTCCAATATTCTTCCCGTTGAAGGTGAGTGAGTGAGTTGAAGGAGAAGAAGTCCCCACCAGAAAATTATGCTCCCCCGAAATCATATATACGCGATATAAGAACTTCTCATACTAACCACAAAACCTCAATCCACCCCATTGTGGGGGTGGCGAGGGGGGGAATATCTAATAGACACCAATCTTCCTCCCCGATAACAGCGAAGTCAGCCTGACAATGTGGCGCAAGACCGACGACCGCAAAGTCTGGTACGAGTGGCTCGTCGACGTCTACATTCGTCTCCCCCCGTCCCCGTCTTCCTTCCACACTCCATCCCTGGCTGGTGGTCATCACATCGCGCACCCGCCACCAAGGCCATCTCAGAACAAGATCCCCGACGTCAGCGGCGGCGGCGGCGGCGACAAATGGAAGAGGAAAACCGTCCCAGGAGCGCCACCAACTCTAGCGATACCCCCGCCAACAGACACGATGCACAGCAGTGCGGAGCGAGGCACGACGCGGGTCCACGGCGCACTACTCGGAGGGCGCAGGATCCGCATCGGAGGGAGCGAGCTGCACTCCTCGGAGAAGGAGGCCTGTCTGATGTAGAAGAAGATGAAACGGCATAGACTTTGTTCCTTTTATGTAGGAGTGGAAAAACGCTTGAGGAATCCTCCCATTTTCATTCCCCCTTTTCCCGGCCCCTTTTCCCAGTCCCGATTCCCAGTCCCATATAGCACCCGCCCCAGTTCACACTTGGGCGTAGAATCTGAAGGCTCCCTCTCTATTGTTCAGGCTTCTTGTAACGCCGCACTGGGCCAAGATCTCAGTCTCGGAGGGCCATTCTGGATTATTTCCTGTACCATAGCCACCTCAATTCCATTGACATCTCCCTTTCGATGGAGAGCACGATTTCTCTGGGTATCAGCAACAGCATCACGAGCCTCGCCTCATGTTGTCCTCTGTCCATCGAACAGACCGTTCACGTCGCCATTGCCCTTTGGAGGAACCATTGGCTTCGGATCGACCTTTGCCTCCTGAAGGGCGTCGTGAAGCTTCAGACTCTCCACTCCACCCAGCAGCTTCTTCAAATCACCGGCCCCGCTCCCATTTCGGTCTCCTGTAGTCACTCCGGAGCTAGGTGTACTTGTACCACTGATCTTCGCCACATCCTCAGTCAAACCTCTCCTGATGGCAAGCACATTATCCACAATGACCGCATCTATCCCCTGCTTCACTTGTCTCCTCACCATCGCACTGTCATTGTTCAGTGTCCCATAACTCACGCATACGAGTCCGCTTTCCTTCACCACCTTGACCAATCTAGGAGCAGCGACTAGAGGTTCTGCAGCGCTGACCACTCCAAGCAGATTCCAGCGACTTGCAAAGCGAATAGCTTCTTGCAACGAAGTGGCGCGGATATCACCCGCGGGACTCGTGCCAGAATCTGTCAGGAACAAGACGGGGATGCTGGGCTGCTTGAACGACAGCAGAAGACAGATGTCAGGATTGAAGCTCGAGAAGATGACGTTCCTGCCCTTGCCCAGTTCATAGACTTTGGTAAGAACCGTGTCAACGAATGAGTTCAATTCCACGGCATACGTGTCCATCTCTTCATCCTCACTTTCGTACAGCATGGGGTATTTCATCTCAATATTGAAGCCGACATCCTGTGGGATCTTCTTGAACATCTCCTCGAGAGTGGCAAAGGGCGCTTGGATATGGTTGCCGCGAGTGTTGCCCTTAAACCCTTTCTTCTTGAAGTCGCGGGTATGTTTCATCCGCTCGTCCATCTCGAGAGACTCGTTGCTAGTTGCTCCGCTCACAGACATAGATCTTAGTCTAGATGCTCGTACATCTCGCTCGACGTTCTTCAAACTAGCTGCTTTCGGCTTCTCAAATGGTACGGGTGAAGCGGGTCTGGAATGGCGGGGCGTTCGCATGTCGTTGACATGGAGAAATTGTTCCAGGGTCAGAGTATGCACGGGGGCGTCGATACCCGTTTCGCTGACGAGGAAATCATGATAGATTACAGGCACGTGGTCTTTCGTGAGTTGCACGTCAAACTCGACGTAAGATGCGCCCAGGTTTGCCGCGGCGATGAAGGATTGAATGGTGTTCTCGCCTAGCTGTAGAGATCGTCTACCGGCGGCGAAATTTTTGCCCAGGCCACGATGACCAATGACCATGGTCGACGCCATACTCCTCCAGTATGTCTGGTTTTCCGTCACCGACATGTTGGGATGTTTGAAAGGTGTAATGACGAGAAAGTTGAAAGTGACGGACCCAATAACCTCGAGATCGCTCGCCGCAACAATTGGGACCGTCACATCACCTTGTAGGGACATCCTTTTTGTTCCAACGCTCGACTTGATGCTTGAAAGCAAGGCAACCCCACGCCCAACGACGCGTTCTTGAGAGCCGGCATAAGTTGGAATCAGGTCAAAGTATAGTTTGACTTTGGACGGATCGGCTGCGTGAAAGACAATTGGTTCTGTTGAAATGTTGTCCTGAACGGGTAGGTCAATGACCTCAGACTCACCCTCGGCGGCTTTGGCTGAAACGACGATGGAAAGGGCGGTATCGAGTTGTGTCGAGTGAGCGCTTGACAGTGGGATCCGATCAAGACTCACCGCACGAATACTTTTGCGAGTATCCATAGTACCGAGACTGACCAAGATCATACTCTTGTCTGTCAGGTATCGATGGCCAAAGGTCTTGACAGCCTCGGTAGTCTTGATCGTTTGCCCATTCCCATTTGACCCCAGTCCGTTGGAATTTCGCTCAGTCATCGATGACAGCAGTGGGGGGGACGTCGAGGCTACAGAAACATCGGGTTCGGCGTCCAGCTTAGGCATGACGCTGTCGAGCCTCTGTGCTATGTCGACGTGCCCTCTCAAAGCTGCGTGCTCCTTTGCATTCCAGCCCGACGAATCCAGGCGCTCAAGATCAGCTCCATGGTCGATGAGCAGCTCTACAATGGGGAGATGGCCGTCGACACAAGCAATGAACAAGGGTGTCCACCCGTAAGTCTTTTCAGGTAGCTCAATATTAGCCTTCTGCTCATCTGTACCCTCGAGGAGTAGTCTAGCGCATTCCACATGGCCGAATCTAGCAGCCACATGAAGTGCCGTATCACCCTGCTCATCCTGGTAGTTGATATCGACACCTGATTGAATGAGAAGCCGGACGATTTCGACGAAATTTGCTTTGGTGGCCAAAGCCAAAACGATTGACGATTGAGCTGATCTCCGTTTGACAGAGGAGCCCATGCTATTCTCAGCGTCGAGTAAGGCTTTAGTTGTCAGGGGGTGACCGCCGATGGCGCTGAGATGTAAGGGCGCCCAGCCGTCATCGTCCTGCCATCGGGGACCATCAATACCTTCCCCAACATCGAACAATTTCCACGTCTTGAGGTGCTCAATGATGATCTCACACATGACCCTAATGCCGTACTCTGCCGCAAAGTGCAAAGGCGTCCTTCCCGCACTATCTCTCGCCATCAATGCAGGCCGTTGTGAAGGCTTCAGGTTGTCGAGTAGAAATTGGAGGAATAGAACAGCCTCGTCCTCTCGTGTCACATTTTGCACCCGTTGATCTTCCTGCAAGATCGAGCGCTTCAGGGCGGGGGACGGATGCGCAGCAGGTGTGATGTAGTTGAGGAGGTCGGCTTCAGCATCAGCCTGGGGCTCTGTGGCAGGCTCCTGACTCGCAAGTGACTGTTTGCGACCGATGGAAACTATAAGACGATGGATGCAATTGCGGCGATTGATATCGTCTTGAGAATCCAAAAACACGATCTCGCGCAGCAGGCACGCTGCACAAGCCCGACTTCGGGATGAGATTGCCCTCTGGAGGAGATTGTTCAACAGCAGCTGCACCGCCGTCTCCGACTTTTCAGTTCCTGGTTTCGTGATGCCCGAGATCCATTCTTCCAGGCCTTTCGCGTCGTCTTGGCGGATCTTAGTTTCAACTTTGGCCAACTGCTCAACAGAGATATTCAACGAAGGCCGAGAAGTTGTACGTTTCAATGACCCCGAGGAGATGGAAGCAATGTCGTCAGCGGTGCTCGGAGCGGCGGCGGCAACCTCACTCAACACCGAGATCCAATCATTGATTTTGTTCAAGGAGGAGAAGAGCTGGGTATTTGTCGCAAAGGCCAACGGGTCCACCTTGAGCTCGAGGTATTTCTTCTGCGCATGAGCCGCGGGTATCCTCTTGTCCAACTTCTTTGTGATCTTGACAAAGCCTCTTCTGTTGACTTCTCCGTACCATTGTAGCTTTCTCAGATCGCCACGCAGTTCCAAAAGCGCCGCAAGGAGGTCTTCGCGTTCATCCGCGTCGAGCTGCGTCGCGGCTTGAGGAGATATTCCGTACCTGTCTTCAAGGAGTTTTAGACGCCGTGAAAAGTCCTGGAACTTCTTATTGTAAAAGTGATCCACGTCCTCGAGATTGCGGTCCAAAGTATAGAAGAATCCTAGAAGAAGACATGAGTTTCACGAAGGTTGATCTTCATTTCAACCCAATCCTACCAGCCAGATCGGGAATTTCTCCATCTTGCTTCTGTGCTCCTGCGGCAGCGGCCTTGATGAGCTTCTTGAGGACTTTGTAGTTTATATAGGAGGATGCCCATTCGGGGACTTGGTTTCGAGGGAGGTTTCGACCAAACTTCATGACGTCTGAGACCTTCCCGACTAATCGCTCAATGTGGTCTAGAATTTCACAGCGGCCTCGGCGTGAGGAACAGGGGAGCAAAGCTAGGAAGGAGGAAAGATAGGAGCCATTGAAAGCACAGTAGAGAGCGACTACAGTCAGATGTTGGTTCTGATTCGCACGCGGAGGACAGGAATGAAGGGATGGAACCGTGAGCACCTGGCCATGCTCGTTGGATGAGAGCAAGGGAGGAACGAGGAACCTGTGCAGCGTAACACGTGGAGGGGCAGGAGGGTAAAAATTTGAGTGAAAATCGAGTCCAAATCCCGGGACTTGCTGTGTCCTGCCGCTTGCCGCTTGCCGCTTCGACTGCGGAGGAATGAATCGAGCTTTGCCCTTGACTGACGGCGGAGCACGGCTCGACGGGTGAGGTTTGTGCGACGCTGCTGAGCTGATGGCAGTAGTAGTACCGAGTAGTGAAAAATGATGGCACAGGAGGCGTGATAGAGCTCCGAAAATTCATTGGTCTCCGCAGTTGATTTTTCGACTCCCAGTCCGATTGGCGCATCCTGACCGCCTTCCCCTGGCCGTTTGACCGCCAGACGCGACACTATGACGAAGAAGCCTAGTGAGCCCCAGCTGTAGCGAGGCTTGCCATGTGCATTCGAAACACTGGGGGAGTTTAGAGGCTCTCTGCTTGTTCGATCATAGTATAGAGTCAGAGAGACCAAAAGAGTGAGCGAGCGCCAGCAAAACTCCCTTCCCTCGCCTGCAGTGGTCTGTTCTGCTGTATATCTGTACATGCGCAATTTTTAGGAATATCTCACAACGCCGCATATGCTTGGAGACCCTAGAACTCACAGCCTTCTGCCATCATCATCAAAAAGGACGAGTGAGCCGCTTGACCTTCGTGTCTCATGACATATTTTATCCCTTCCCGTGCGTCCCCTAACGCCCCATGCAGCATCAGAAATTCATCACCACGAAACGGGCAACAAGCTTTTCCCAAAAAGAAAACAAGTCCTTCACCGCCCGCTGTGTGTGGTTCCGCTGTCTTGCATCATGATCGCATCGTCGTCGTCGTGATGCAGTGTCACACTGTTGAATTCCAGGAAAGGATCCGCAATCTCGCCTCCTGGAGTCGCCAGGGATGAATCTAGCGGCACGCCCTTGAGCCGACTTGCGGGCCCTCCGATGTCGACGCTACCGCTATCCTTTACCGTCCTGAAGTTAACTGTGTCGAAGGCCTTGCCTTGGTGAGGGATCATAGGCGGCTTCATATGGCGGAGAAGAGCCCAAGTTATCGACCGGAAAAAAGGATGGTTTTTGACGTCTGACGCGCCTGCCCGAGAACCCAAACGTTTGACCTCGTCTTTGATCAAAAGCTTTCGAATGAGCGACTTGCAGAGGCTGAGAAGGTCAGCAAAAGGCCCCGAGTCTCGTTCAGATAATAATACTACTCACTTGCTGACTTGTGTGGCGTGTGAATGGTCCGGGAACGGGACTTCGTCCCTAAGAATGTTTGCAAAAGTCGCGTTTCGGTTTTTACCTTTGAATGGGGTCGTTCCAAACAGCATCTCATAGATCAGGATACCCAAAGTCCACCAGTCAACCGCACTGGTATGTCCATTGCCTTTGATCACTTCGGGAGCAATATACTCCTCCGTGCCGACAAAGGAATTCGTACGGAAGTCGGCGATGCAGGACTTGGTATCAACCAGAGGGTACCCAGTGGGGTTCGATGCATTGCGAGTGCCCAAGATCATGGTCGGCGCACCACCGGAATCCGACTGTTTGGACAAATCAAAGTCTGACAACATGATATGTCCTGACTGATGAAGGAGGATATCTAGGACAAAGTCAGCAGCAGAGAGCATCACGGGGCTCGAAAGCACTCACTTTCTGGCTTCAAATCACGGTAGATGAAGCCCATCAAGTGCAGATATTCCAGCGCGGCTGTGACTTCTGCAGCATAGAACCGGGCATCTTCTTCGCCGACACATTTGTTCGGACGCGTTTGTAGTGCCCTGAAAAACTCACCTCCGCTGCAATACTCCATACACAGGTAAAGATGATCCTCGGACTGAAAAGAATGATATAGGGTAACAATGAAAGGATGATTGCTCGTGGCCAAGATCTCTTGTTCGGCCAATGCTCTCTTGATCTTGTTGCGCTTTATCATTTCCTTTTTGCTGAGAACTGGGAGAAGTCAGGTCCGTCGTTTGCGGAACTATAGATTTGGCGAGACCAACCTTTCATGGCATATAACCGATTCGATTTCTTTTCACGCACGAGGTACACCTTGCCAACATCACCCTTGCCGATCAATTTGATCTTGTCGAAACTGTGCGGGCCCACTTCCACATTACGGACTTTGATCGAATTGGAGCTGTAGGTCCTTCGAAAAGCGACGGATTGGCGGATTTGTCCGGGCAGAGGGATTTTACCAGGTTTAGGCGGGAGGCTCTGAGTGCTTGCATCCTCTTGAGGGATCATGCCCAATTTGGGTGATGAGCCATTGATCACCGCTAGAGGCTCTTTTCCCAGTTCTGCTGTCGATGGACGCTCCGGAGTCGACTTGTTCCCGCTGAAAAGGCCTTGTGCATTTGGGGCAGACGCCACTCTTCTCAATTTCCGAGCCAGTTCTTCCTTGCCAGCCGTGACCGCCTTTTCTTCCACCGCCGTACCGTTCACATGAACTTTCGGTGTATCCGGAGGGGAAGGGGGAACACTGCCCTCATTGTGGTGGCGCAGGGCAGGAGGTCCTTGATGGACAAAGTAGGGGTTGGCATGAGCTGTGGGAGAGGCGATAGCATCATCGAGGGGGTGTCCTTCACTGGCAATAGTGGTCGATCTATTTCTGTTCAAGCCGGGCAGGAATCTGGACTGCTTGACGGGTTTGGAGTCGGTCTTGGGAGTGGGCACACCATCTGAGCCTATCGAAGTCTGACTACCACCACTGTTAATACGGAAGAAGTTTTTCAGCTTTGTCGTTGTCGGAGTGTGAGCACCAGAGCCGGGTTCGCCGTTCAGATGCTTCTTGGAGGAGAAGGACAGGGAGGAAAAATTGCGTTTCTCGGTGGCGGCGGCCATGATGCTGCAGGGTGCCAATTCAATGGATCCACAGAATCAGAGTATCAAAGGAGTCGACCCCTCTGTGCTAGGGAGAGCGAAGTGAAGTGGGAGGAGAGAGGTTTCGTGCAGTTCAGACAGAGGAATGGGGCGAACAGAGAGCGGAGTTGGGGCGCTCTCTGATGAGGTGAAGTTCGGATAGGATGTTTTTGGTGGTGGTACGGGGGACGGACAAGGGACGAACGAGGGAGGATCGGCTGCGGGCAGGGGCTGGTGGGCTATCGGTGGTGCGCCATGTCAGGGTTCTGTCCTCCAGATGAAGATGGACGATGCTTGCCCAAGGACACGAAGATGTTGGTTTACCGGCCACTGCAGTAAAACGATTCAAGTCCCCAGTCGGAAAGGGGGGGTTGAGCTGCGGTATTACTTCCTTTGTGGAAAAGGGAAGTAAGAACTGAAAGATAAAATGGGGGAATGGGGGGTTGAATTGATATGGGTCTAGTCGGTTGCACTTTTGTTTGAAGTGTGGAAGGTACCGCAGGCGCAGGCGGGAGGTAGGAGAAAGGGCTTCTTGGGCGTAGTGGGCGTAGTGGGCGTAGTGGTGGTTTGTCTGGCACTCGAAGCTCCCGAGCTCCCTACCTAGGAGGCGGCGAGGCGGTAGCACGGTAGGACGGTATGAGTATCTCGCCCACAGTGGATGGTGGGATTTGGGGTCGCATTCGTAGTCGCAGTCACGCCCGCTCTCGCTACTCTCTCGCTCGGTACAAACGGGCTCTGCCTCTTCTCTTTCTCAAACCTTGACTATCTTGTACCTTATGGCCAAACCTTATGTCTCCAATTCTCCAGGCGAAGGGGACAATAAATCCAATCAAAGGCTCCAAACACTCGTGATATACGGAGCACCTACCTAGGCACAAGCACGGTAGTAGTGAAGGCCTGGTGCCCTGGGGTCTGTCTCTCTGTCTCAGGGCTGAAGGGCTAGACACAACCTCTTGCGACTGTATGGACACATGATGGAATCCCTCGTCCAGCATCTCCATTCCATCTCCACGAGGTTCCATCGCCCTGCCGTGTTTCGCTTGGTCTGGCCTGGCCTTGGATCATAATGTCTCGAATCGGAAGTCTTCATCCACCTTCATCGTCACCGTGCATATGCATATCAACTCCTGCTCCTGCCTCTCCCACGGTTGATTTCTCAGCACGAGAATTTTCCACGTTGCCACCAAAAACCACCACCACTACCACCAATTGGCTAATCCCAGTTGCCCATGATGCTATCGCAAGTCTCTTGTCTGAGCTGGAACGTCGGATCTTCCAATTCCACCAACCACGCTGGCTATGCAGCAACATCCATTCCCTCAGGAATCAGGGAGTCGACAGGTTAAAAGTGACATGTTATTCAGCCTTATTCGTATGTGCAGATATCCTGCTGGTATTTCCTAGCCACTGTCTGTATCTTCTCACTGTTTTGCCTTCCAATGTTGCGCCATACTTGAATACACGTGAATGTCGTTCACTTGTTCCCAGGTCGCTTGTCACCCGATTGACCCCAGGGCACCATTCCACAATGTTCCCATTATCATAACCAGGTCGAGCCCAATGACAACTTTGGTCTTCTCTTTTGTCTTGCAATATTCGGTGACACGATACAACCAACCGTTGTTAGGTCCCAAGCAATGTCACCCAATTGACATGTCCAATTCCAGCGTTATCATACACTCCTGAAGAGAAATAGCCGTGGTATTCAATCCGACTCCTGCCACCCAATTTGCAGGGTCCCTTTCACTCTCTGTCTCGTGTTCTCACATTTCCTCCTTTTTAGCCATTCGGCCCAGAAACCCATCTTCGCTCTCCATGGCGATGCCACGAGCCCCTCGAGGGTAGGACTCATAAAACCCCTCCGAAGTTGGGATCGCACCTGGTGTCAGATATGGAGTGGCGGTTTTGCTAGCCGCGGAGAGCAGCGACTTCGCCGAGAGTTTGTGGCCATCGTTGGCGCCGTCCAACGAGTGTGGAAGGCGGCCCATAGCGTGAACATTTTGGATAGAGACGGACGAAAAGCCTTTGTTGTTCAGAGCCTCAGATCCTGTCACTCGGCCGTTTCTCAAATGCTCGGTCGAGACCCACCCGCTTCTGTCTTCTCCTCGCAACCAAATCGATGGTGAAGATGCCGAAGATTGCTTAAGGATAGGCAGGCTTGGTTCCGAACCAGTGGATGGCTCAACCGTTGATCTGTACCCTTTGCGAACAAATCCAGGAAGGAAGTTCTGGGTGCTGGACGCTGTCAGTTTCGATTTCCAAGGCACCAGAGACACCTTGAAGGAGCACGTACCTGTTTGCATCCTTTGCCATACACTGATGATCGGTGCTGTTCCCATTTGACGCTTGAGGGCTGTGGCTCAAGAATTCGCCTCTGGTGTTCTCTTTCGTTTGACTTTCGTTGCTATGAGACAAGAGTTAGCGCAATCATTCTCTCAGTCCGGCTGCCGAAGAACCAACCTTTCAAATTCAAGAGCCTTGAACTCAAGGGTGTCAACGATGCTGGAAACATCCCCACAAGGTCGTCCTTCCACGAATTTCCACATCTCCTTCGTCACGGTGGGCTTCTTTGTCCAGTAGCGCTTTTCGAAATCGTCCATCTCGAATGATGGTGGACGCTGTAAGCCACGGCCCCGAACCTCGGTAATAGTACCATCAGGCATTCGCACCTTGCTGGTGACCCCCGAAGGAAGTCGCATGGCGTCGAGTTGGAGCTCATAGCAATGTTCCACGGTCGGCGGAGCACGACCGGGTTTTGTTGGCAGCCACTCCTCACTCTCTGAGCAGATTTCATGCATCTCATGGGCCTCTTGCATTCCACGTGGATTTTCCTGAGGACTGATTGACTGGGAGCTTGGTCCTGGAGTAACAATGAGCGCATTCTCACTGGAGCCCAATGGAGAAATGCTGGATTCGCGGGCGAGTCTTTCCAACATCTGACTCTGTTGGCGTCGGATCTCAGGTGGTGGTGAACCGATACGGAGGCCCCATTCATCGACCTCGATTGACTCATTTTTTGATCCAGCTCCACCGTCGGCATCCTTCTTTGGACTTGGTGATTCCTTGGGAGGTGGCACAATTGGAATGGGACGACGAGTACTCCTTACATCAAACTTGGGCCTCTCAACCTCGAACTGCATGGTCTGGGGTCCCGATCCAGTGCCCATGCTATTGGCTAATGTCTCGGGAGAAGGATGAGTCGTCAGCGGAACGTATGTAGCAGCTCTCACATTGAGAGTGCTGCTTGGCTGATAAGTGGAGGTTTTCGCAAGCCCTTTCGGGTCAAGCCCCAGCTTCTGTGACCAGTAGGTCATCAGGCGTTTGGCTTCTGCCCGCAACTGGACAATTGCAAGGCGGTGATCGGTAACGTGTGGATCGTGCTCCGTCATAGCGCGGTGACGGTCAATGGCTTTGAGTTGCCGGTCAAACTCCTCAAAGTTTGCAGTGCTTTCAGAAAGCATTTCTCGAGCATGTGCGTCTTCTCGAGGTTGAGGGTCGGTAGGAGTGGTGGTGATACCACACGAAGGTGGGAGCCCTAGTATCTGGGAGCTGGGGACATAAGGCATTGGAAAGGCTAAGCCGAATGGATTGCTGAAGCCAGCCAGGGGCACTGCACCGCCCGGGTACATTTGAGGATTCTGCACAAAGTACCCATCTCCTGGAACCGCTGCATAGTAAGGCGCTGATGTCACAGCTTGCAGATAATTTGGCTGGTGGGGAGCACCGTCATAAGCAAAGACATTGTTTGGAGGCAGAATATTGAAGTCGGCGGCTGTTGTGGTCTCGCAAGCATCCGCAACTCCTCCGTGGCCGGGCACATAAGAGTGTGGCTGTAGCTGGGGTTGAGGGATGTTGTTGTCCGTTACAGCTTCTTTCGCCTGGGTCTGAGCAGTAGCACTCGGCTTGTCGACCTCACTAACTTCATCAGGTGTGTTGTTCTTGCGATCTGCTTCTGTGCCTTGGTTGGCTTGCGCTAGGGAGAAGACAGGGGGACGTGAACGCTGTTCCATCGGGACGATCCGGCCTCCAGCAGTGACTCGTTGGTGGGTAGGAGAAGAATGTTTCTTGAGAAATCGAGCAAAGCCTTCGTCTTGCTGCGCACGGCTTTCAGAAGGTGGGACGGTGGGCTGTCGCTCGGGTGCGTTGACCATGCGATTACCTCGATAGATGATGACCTCTTCCTGAGAGCTGCTAGACTCCTGGGACCAGCCACGAGGCCGGTCACTCGAAGCCCGTCGGGTGGACATCACGCAGGCGCCTAGTGGAGGGACGACTCCAGCTGGACAGAAGTTAGCATTGTCTAGACTTGCGCTGGGTGAGGCACATGGGCACTCACCCCGAGCTGCGTCGTATGTGAATTTGGAAAGATCAAAATGAGCTGGCCTGGATTGAGGCGCCAGTTCAAGCAAACGTGATACAGTGTATCTGCGCTGTCGACGGGCTGGACTATTTGTTTTTTGGTTAGTCATATTGACTCTATGTCGTGTTCAAGCACAAGTGAGAGCGCAGTTCAATAGCCAAGGAGAGACCAAAAGCAATCACCGCCGCAAGAGATTGAGACAACAGCAGAGCCGTCAAGGGAGAAGGGAAACATGGACAGGCAAAAGTGAGGGTGATATGTGCCGGATAACTTGGAGTCCGCAGCATGACCAGGAGCGCACAGGCAGCCGCTTCCTCTTTGGCCCAAATGAAAGATCAAAACGCAGCGTGAAGGAAGGCGCGAAGCAAACAAGGGATATACTCACCAGGCAAGTTTGACCTTTCAGCCAGTCAGGCGTGGAGGGTGTCTAAGATGGAGAGATGATGTCGCGTTCGGCTGACAGTCTTGCACAGTGGTTAGAGATGCAGAAGAAGAAAAGCAGACATTGAGAGCAAGATTGGAAAAGGGCTCAGAAAGGTTTTGAAAAAGAGAAAAATTCACACAAGGAAAGTAGTGAATTTCAGGCACGAGTCTTCACTGGTGTGCTTCGTTCGCAATCAGCCATTTGTTTACATTGTTTCAGTGTGATATTAGGGGTGTGGCAGAACCAAGTCCGAAAAGTACTCCAGCACCGGCAATCCTTAATCATAAGTCATCATACATGGTTGTGTGGTGCAACTGGGGGCGTGAAGGGATTGATAGGCAGGTCATCTTCTTCGTAGCTTGGTCGTCGCGGTCGGATATCAGCTGGGCTGAGGACGCGCCCTTGTGCCTCTTCAGCCTTTGCTTGATCCCTGAGTTCCCAGCTTCCAACGCGTTCATGGCCTCTTACGGGTGCCGGATAGGCTGGATCTTCGCTCGTCACAATAACTGCACCAGCACCGCCCTTCGAAAGGGTAAGATCCTGGTCACTGGCAAGCTTCTTCCCACCTTTGAATCCTCCCAACTCGGACCTGCGTTTGTTGTGGACGCGATGTAATCTCACACCACCAAGCAACATCATCAGGCCAAACAAAAGAGCGGCCACTGCCAGTGTGACAACGGCCCCAATGACACCGGCAACGACTGGGGACAAGCCATGGCGGCTAGGAGAGAACCCAGTGGTTGGGTTGAGATTCCCATCGGTTCCTGTGAACGCCGGGCAGAACACACTGAAGCTATTGCAGGTTGTGCACCAGTCCTCCACATTGAAAATCATAAACTTCTCCAGGCCCGCAATAAAGTCTACTAGAGTGATGCTGTCCTGGCTGGGGCTCAGCCCAAAGAGAGGATATTCCACCAGCGACGAATCGGGCCCTGTCCCATTCTGGTAGAGGAATCTGACAAAGATGTCCGACGTTTCTGGATAGGTGTCGACGTCTTCAGCCCGCAGAGTGTAGAGCTCGAAAATAAAGCTGGCACCTGGCTCAGGGACATTGTAAAATGCTGCATTCTGAGGCGAGACCAACTGGGCTAGAGCTGCGAATGCGACCATGGGCTCGAAGCTCCCGAAGAAGAGTGTCATCTTGTCTGAAGCGCCTTGAGTGTTGATGGTCGTGTAGAAGGCTTGAAGGATCCGTGTGGCCAGTGTACGACCGCCTATTGCTCGGATATGGTCACCAGGAGTAGATCCTGAAGCCTCAACATCGGCATTCAGTGCAAAGACCCAGTCATCAGACAAGATCTTTGCTCCGGTCAGGTCTTCGGCCGACAAGAGCTGTGCCGCACTTGTGTTGTGTATCGACGCGTAGTTGAGGTAATCATAGATGTAATACGCATCATAGTAGCCGACAGACGCGTCTGAAAAGACTCCGTTCAAGAAGTCTGGCTGCAGGCTTGCATAAAACTGCGCGGTACTGTTCTCAATGCTCTCGAAAGTTTCAGTCCCGTAGTAGTCATTGGTTGAGGCTACATATGCTGGGCAATTGCTCATCCCACCGACCCAGATCGAGTTGAGATCATTGCTTGAAACAGAGTTGATATTCGGATACTGATAGCCGTTTAGTGGAGCCACCAGATTCGATCCATTTTGAATAGTACTTTGACCAGCAATGTACGTGTAGTTGGACGACGTCTGCAACGGCGGATACAACCCTTGAAGGAATGCTTGAGCTGAAGCAAAGACATATTGATCATCGGTCGACACAATGGTCAATTGGTCGTATTCGAGCTGGTATGATGCGATGCCCGAGATTGTCGTTGGCTCGGCCGCGCCATCGACTGGCACCAGATATCTCTGGCGAATTGTGTCGCCGGCCTCGAAAAGTTGCTGAGCACCTAGAGGTGTCAAAGTGGGCGAGATGGGAAGCACAAACGGGGTTCTATCGCCATATCTGTTCCATGTCAGCGCACAGTCTCATATCCTCTAGCGTAGGTAATATGTCTTACCTGGTATAGATGAAAGTGCTTAAGATCTGCTCGTTGAGAGTAGTCTGGGCGGTAGCGGTCCAGCGCAAGGCGAGGAGATACAAACTGAAGGCATTGAGGGTGAACCTTGCACCCATCTTTGCTAAAGGATCTAATCCAACATGCAACAATCGCGATGAGGATTGGTGACCAGCACTCACCGAGAAGCTGAGAAGCAGAAAACAGTCAGAAACAGCTGCGGGGTGCCGCCAGCATTAATGAGGTGATTGAGCATGAGGCTGCAGGACGGAGAGCTCCAATCCCACGACCAACTCATGACAACATTGGCCCTGGGGAGCTCGTGAAAGCAAGCTCCAACAAGGCAGGCTTACTCATTACAGGGTAGAGTCTCATGATCACAGCCGACTTCTCGTAGCTCACATGGAACTGGGAGGGATAGCCGGGACGAGAGCTTCGATAGCAGCTGTTCCGGAAGTGGGGTTGTTGGCGGGATTGCAGATTTCATTCGCTGAGCGTAAGCTGGAGAGCTGCGGCAGGCCAACAAGCCTGATACCTAGTAGCTCCGCTTGCTGGCCATGCCGCTTGGGCGCCGCTTGCCTAGCGATGGTTGCGGGTCATCAGCGATCTCTGCAAGGCCCCGAATAGGGTGGAGGGGCAGAGAGGGCATCTAACAGGTAATTGGATTGGACTCCTGTCTGGGCAGTAATGGTCAAGAGAGAAGGAGGATGTTCGCAGCGCACCTTGGACAGAGTACACAGGGGTTTCTCTGCTTGTACTTCGTAGGTACAGCTGGACACAGGTTGACATCGATGAGTGTCCCAAGTTCACTGTCCCCGTACAAGTGGGAGGAGAAAAGAGACTGAAATGCCGATAACGATAACGGAAGCTCTCGGCGGCCCCCAGATTCTTACCTGGCGACCTGGCAGTACCAGACGGGCAGGCACCTAGAGGAAATCCTGGAGGCTGGGAACGTGGCATTCATTACCTGGAGGTTACCACCTAGTGAGCCAACTAGGCGCTATCGTTGCTCGACCGGTAGGAAAAGGCACCCTCCTCGACCTTAAGCCGTCCCTAAAGGATGTCGGGTTACAACTTACAACCCCTCATTGGACCCACCGAGCCACCACCTCCGTCACTGTCCGATCTGCCGCCCACGCCGCCCACACTCACTGGGCACCACCGCACAAGTTGCAGTTCCAATAATGATTTTGAACTTCATGCCAAAACTTTTCCTGTTATCAGCACGTGATGTCGATTTCTCGCACCCATGCGTCCAACTCCCTAGAGGCAGGGTGGCCCAAAGAGGCCTCACATAAACAATGGCACGACCCTCTTCAGCCGAGCAACCTATGCAGACTTCCAAAGGAGAATCTATACCCCGCCATGATGCAGGTGAGTGTTCTTTCTTGCCTAATGGTGCGTCTGGACCCAATGTGACTGTCCCTCAGATCGACCTAGAAACCCTGCAGCCTCTCGGTCTCCCCTGGCAACTCCAGATGTCGACGGCAATCCGCGAAGCCCCAAGCGGCGACGACTTTCCACAGATGAAGAGCAGCAGATAATCAAAAATGAGGTCGATCGGGGTGTTCCTGGAGGATCTCCTGTGTCTGCAAAATCTACAACCACACGGGGGGTTCAAGATGGAGAACCTGACACAAACCTTCCGCAGCCACGACTTCCTTCCTCGGATGGGGCTCAGGAGACCGTCAAGTCTGTCGTCAAGATAGAAGGCTCTGAGATGCAGGCTGGAACTTTAAAACCCGCGACAACAACCGGTGTCCAAAATGGAAACAACGCGACAAGACCTCCACAGCAACAGTCTCCTGCAGCAAATACCCGCCTGGATAACTTGCCCGTCCTCGACAAGCAGTCGTCACAACTCCTGACCTTTTTGTCTCGGCTGACGCCGGCCGAAGCAATGGGTCTCTCGAGCACGCCGAGTGCCCCAAGCACCAAAGAATATGCTGCGTTGCGCGCTTCATTTGATCGGACCCGGAGGCTCCTCAGTCCCGGATGGCCATTCCTGTCGCCACATGAACTGGCACTGCGTGAGAGTCATCACATCGAGATCATCCGCAAGGCTAATCAGGCAATCTTCATGTCCAGCATTTTCACAGGGGAGATAGGTCTTCGGGACATGGACCGTAGCTTTCTTGCAGTGTTCGTGCCCGAAAATGGAAAATTGTTGAAAGCGCAGGCTTCTATGTACCTCGAATTGAAGACCCAGGGCTTCATTACAGCCTGGAGAACAGGCGCTGCTCCGCCCAACGTTGTTATGGCCGACCTCTTCGGACCTGACCTGGACAAGGCTCTATTGGCAAGAAGGCCCGGGACCACCGGTCTGGCTCCCACAGAGCAGGAGTTCCTCATCAGGCTTTCATCCCGTCGCGAAATTCTGCAAAACCACGTTAAGAACAACACTCTCGATCAGCTCCCTTTGAAGTACAAATGGGAGGATTTTAGCCGAGAAGTGTCCTCCTACCTAATCAAGCACATCGAAAACTCATCCAATCCTGGTGATGGTCTATCCAACGAAGCCACCGACCCAACAAGGAGCCTCCATCGGGGTCAGATGGAAGGGCAATTCTCCATCCACGGCCCGCCCCTACCAGTTTCATCGGCCGACTCCATTCTTTCGTCGAGATCTCCGGCCAGGCTTGCTACCGAGCTGCCAGATGAGGGCGACTTTGTTGCGCAAGCGGCGAGGGCTGCAGAGATTGCACTTCGAAGTACCTTGGGCTTATCATATTCGGACAAGATCCCCGAGGGACCCCCGTCGACAACTCCAACAGTACAACACAACACATCCACCACCCGTCCACAGGCACAACCTTCCGAAACCCGCGACCCAAACTTGGATACCACCTCATCTAAATCACCTGCAATCGACCAAAAGCCGTCTTCCGAGGAAATCCCTCATGCGTCTCAGACTGCTCCCACGTCAGTCCTCTACGAACGAGCCCGGCTGGCCGCCACAAAGGTCTCATTTGCTTTTGAGAGGAAGTCGCTGGGCCCAAGTCCGAGGCGTGCGTGGACTACGGAGGAAGAGAATGCTCTCATGACTGGACTGGACCAAGTCAAAGGGCCTCATTGGAGTCAAATTCTAGCCATGTATGGGCCTGGAGGCACGATTAGCGAAGCCCTGAAAGACCGAAATCAGGTGCAGCTCAAGGACAAGGCGCGGAATCTGAAGTTGTTCTTCCTGAAAGCCGGCATCGAGGTACCCTATTATCTCAAATACGTGACGGGTGAATTGAAGACGCGTGCCCCAAACCAAGCCCTGCGGCAAGAAGCCAAGGAGCGGGACAAGCTTCTGGTAGAAGGGGATGACGCTGGGTTAGATGAGTTGACAGCCGAAATTGAGGGCGAGGAACAGCTTGGGGAGGACGTATTTGACTCTATGTTCAGTCAGGAGTCATCTCTCACCAACGAAGCCGAGCAAAGCACCCCCGCAGACGAATCCAAGAAGCCTTTTGAACCAAGCATGGCGGATGTCGAGGCTATCATAGCCAAAGCAAGTGCACAGACGTCGCAGTCCATTGGGTCGAGATAGTTATGAATCAGAATCTAAAATGGGGGAGAGAAAACTTCTATTGAGAATATTAGCACGATTATCTACCCAAATTAACTATTTCCAGTCAGCTTGATGTATCAGGCGTACTCGATATCTTTGCTCGTGACTGTGTAAAAGAAGGACAGTGATGCCTTCCCTTCTTCCCACGACACAATTGTCGCAAGGCTGAGGCGCCAACAAGGTCAAACCTCGGCCCAACTTCGACCGATAATAATGCATCGGGAATCTGCCCTTCCAACGCCTGCGAAGAGTCTGGGCCTTTGATCTTGCATGCAAGCGAACATCAGCATAAACCCCCCATTACGACGTGCGTTTGTGTCCCAGTCCGTAAACACCATACGAGTACAGCAACATTACGTTCTCCGGTCCTTATTTATTTCAAGTCTCAGATGATAAAACAGCCATGTCATCCCCAGGCGAAGCACCAGCAGGCGATACCGCCTCACGCGAAATTGACGTCGACGCCGAAATGGAAGATGCCACAACCCAAGATGCGCCAGCCAGACAGGAGGAGAATGTTGACCATGATATGACAACGCAGACGGAGACACAACAGCCTGGCGCGACAGCGACAACGGCGTCGGGCCTACCGCATCACAATCGCAAGGATGTGACGTTGCGCGAGTTTCTGAGCAAAATGGATGATTATGCGCCAATCGTACGTTCAAATGAACATCTACTTTCCCCCTTCCCAGTCCTTCGATCTACAGTCCACCTCCTCTCTGGCTCGTTGCTGACTTTTGCTTCTCCCTTTCTGTTCCCATCTAGATCCCCGACGCGGTAACAGCTCACTACCTCACACTCTCGGGCCTGCCACCCCCGTCCCCATCCGACCCAACAGGAGCCAGCACCAACACCACCCCTCTCCCGCTTGCTCGGCTCCTCGCTCTCGCGACCCAGAAATTTGTCGCCGACATCGCCGCCGACGCCTACCAATACTCGCGCATCCGCAGTTCGAATAACGCTCTAAGCGGCTCGGGTCCGGGCATGGGCATTGGCGGGGGTGGAGCGTCGTCGTTTGGTGCAGCTGGCGCCGCAGGCGGATCTGGAGGGGCCGGCGCCGGGGCTGGAGGCGCTGGTGGGAAGAATCAGCAGAATACCACGTTGGGGGTGCAGAGGAGCGGCTATGGCGGTGGAGGGCAAGGCGGAAGCGCTCAGGGCAAGACCGTCTTGACAATGGAGGACTTGGGCATGGCAGTACAGGAGTATGGCATCAACGTCAAAAGAGGCGAGTTCTACAGATAATGAATGCGAGCGGCAAAGGCTCGCACCGGGGATTTGGGTATCTTTTCATAGGCGGTTTGTGGGCGTGCATAGCGTTTGGGAGTCAAAACTCAAGGTCCTGGAAGTGACATGCAGTTCCACCAAGACCGGCTGGTCAATGATTGAATTGATTTGCAGAACCCAAGGGTATATTCATCCGAGCTTCTCATCATGGCGCCGACATGAGCGCGCATGATCGACCAAGCAAGATCACAGATTTCAATGAACCAAAAGTGTACCGAGGACCTCGTACACGCTGTACGCTTCCCAGACGACTCTCCTCCATAACAGATGTTTCTAATTGATCCGCTTGCAGGGGGAATCGTGTCCATCTGGCATCTTTCCCGTTTTCTGCTCCCTGGCTTTGAGAGAACATGTGGGAGAATATCTTCGGCGGCCGGTCATGTCGTAGTCGTCGACTTTGTAGGGCTCAATGCAGGAAAATTTCTTCTGTCTTCGACTCATTTACTTGTTCTTGCTCATCTTATAAGTAAAACGTTTTCTCGTTCTAGCTTCCCAGTTAGCCACCGATTCTCCCACCATTCTCTTTTCCTCGTCGCTGAAGCTCAGGGTGTTGTCTTTCTCCATTCGCTGTCAGGGAACTTACGGCACAAATTCGCCCAGCTTCCTCCCCACCATTTCCTCGGTGATGTACACATCTTGATATATCTTGCCGTTGTGCACGGCGAACTTGAGGCCGACGAAATTCGGCAGGATCGTGGCGGACCGTGCTTGGGTTTTTATGGTTGGGGGTGTTTTGCCATGGACGACGGTGGGAAGCTCGGGGAAGACGAGGTTTGGTCCTGTACACACATATGTTTAAGCAACGGGGTTCAGGTTGTAGACATTCACCTAGACAGTGGATGGGTGGTTTTCCTCTTACCTTTCCAAACGGACCGCTTAAGGAGCTGCAACGTTGCGCGCATCGTTACCGCAAAAGCATGGCCAAATCGCCTTGACTGGAATCGGTTACACCGAGAATCAAATCAAATGAAAAAGGGTTCTTGAATGATCAATCTAGACGAGGAGAATAAATTTGCGAGCACAGACCCAATGGACAAAGTCAAACGGGTGATGGAGGCTCGTGGCTCTCTTTGGCTTTCAAGGTTCCCGAGAGAACGCTGCCAAATCCCCATAAAAATCTCTCTCCACATGCGCATCCTAATCTGGATCTCGGACTCGCGATTCGGATTCAGTGGTCGAGCCCTCTTGGTCAGGAGTTAATTTTGCGACTCTTGGGGTCGCCTTACCCTGCTTTCCTCCCTTTTCGCTATTTTATGAACCAATTTTGTGCTCCTTTATTTCTCCAAGTAGGACATTGTCATGACCGTACAATAGCGAGACGCATCCCCTCTAACTTTTGCCACGAACACCGATTCCGCAACATCTACTCTTTGAAACAACCCTTCTGAACTCGTCGGCAGCCCGCGAACCTACATTGCAGCTCCTACTTGGCTAGTACATCTACTTCATCATGGCGCAAAGCGCGGTGGGATCATATTCGAATCCTCTCAAGAAATTCAAGTATGATGCGCATATCCTCAGCAGATATCAGTGGCGCGGTGCTTGGGGCTGACAAGATCTCTACAGGCTTGTATTCTTGGGTGAACAGAGTGGTATGTGCCAATATCTCGGAAAGACCAGCTAGCTAGAGAATGTCATGCTCACACAATATTGCCATGAAACAGTTGGCAAGACTTCACTAATAACCCGGTTCATGTACGACTCCTTCGACACGACGTACCAGGCTACCATCGGCATCGACTTCCTCTCCAAAACCATGTACCTCGAAGATCGCACCGTCCGCCTACAGCTCTGGGACACGGCCGGGCAAGAGCGTTTTCGCTCCCTGATCCCCTCCTACATACGTGACTCGTCCGTCGCCGTCGTGGTCTACGACATCTCCTCTCGCAAAACCTTCGAGCAAACACGGAAATGGATTGACGATGTGAGAGGCGAGAGAGGAAACGATGTGATTGTGGTCCTTGTCGGGAACAAGACAGATCTGGGCGATTCGAAGAGGGAGGTCACCACGCAACAAGGAGAAGAGGAGGCCAAGAGAGCCGGCGCCATCTTTATGGAGACCAGTGCCAAGTTGGGCCACAACGTCAAGGCGCTCTTTAGGAGAATAGCGCAGGCCCTGCCAGGGATGGAAGGGGAAGGGGAACAGCAGCCGAATCCCCAGAGTAAGTACATTCCCAAAAAGTCTTGTTCGGAAGGGAGACAAGGCACTGACGGCCCGCGCGCTTGCCACAGTGATCGATGTGTCAATCAACAACCAGAAACCAGCCGAGGATGGATGCGCTTGTTGATCGCCGATTGGGATTCTGAATTCGAATCCAAGCTACAGCTCCTTCTACCGGCGGGATTCGCGGGCTCAAAATGTTGGATTACCATGTGAGAGAGCCCAGATCGAGTCATGGCCCGTAACAGAGCTTGCCATGGTGTTTTTTTGGGAAGCTTGAAAGAGGACGATGAGATGCCAGTGGGACATTGCATGGGAGGCATGCATTGGTGTCCTGTATATGTGGGCCATGTGTATAGTGCGATTGCCTCCGTGGATCAAGATCTATGGATGGTGTCGCACGGACTCCGAGTGTGTGTGACAGATACCGAAATGAGGGCTTTTCAGCATAGCATGGCGTTTTTGGCTGTTTTTACTTCCCACAACATGAGAAGGAAGAGCAGAGCCCAGGGAACTCGACACTCTTGATCGAGTTAGCTGGCTTATGCTTGCTTGTGCATTGGAAGGGAAGGGAGACGGTATTGTGTAAAAAGGGCATAGGACATTCCGTCGTTCAATCGTTAATCATCAACCCGTCATAGTCGTCCAGTGTTCTCGTACCTATGTAAGGCGGGACTTATTCCTCTTTGGAACCACGATGCAATCTTGGGTGCTCAGATCCTCCAGCCCTCTGGTATATCTTCCTCCGCATACGAAAGAGGCGTACCTGCGTGGAAAGAGGGCGTTTGTCCTTGACAATGGGGCCCAATCATCCCCACTACCGACCCTATATACCGCTCTTCTCGCTCGGTTCCGAGATTTCACACTACTACTCCTCCTCCTCCTCTTCTTTCTCATCTCGTCTCCTTAGTTTCGGGCCATGCCATCTGTGGATAAAGCACCTACGGCCCCTCAAATGGAGCAAATGATATCGTCCCACCACGCATTCATCACCACCGAGCACAGAACAACCTTTTCCGTTCGTGGGCGAGGCTGTGGGCGACTTCCATACCCATGGACATCAACGGTAGAAAGGCTAACCGTATACGGCAGGTATCGCTAGCGCGGCCCCAGGGCCACCAGAGGGCTCCTTCAGCATCTCGGCCTCGGGTGAACTTGCTACTGAATAGACCCATCGTGGAGCGTTGACACTGGAATTGGGGGTACTTCTGTCTGAACGGCGGATATGCTGCGCTGTGTCGGCCCCGGCAGAGGCTGGTTGTTGTGATGGCGCCTAGATATCCCTATCGCTGGGGGGCTGTGATGAAGAAGACCTTTCCCGCGGGAAGGAGTTCATATGAGGTACAGCGCTACGGACGTACAGCGGTATGTATATATAGGACTCAACGAGTGCTTTAGGGTGTTGTGAGCCTGTTGTATGGGATATATAAGAATCAAAGTGAAGCCAGCTAGCCATCCATCTACAGACCACAGTTCTTTCGATCCTCCCATCCGATTACCCTCAGCCAAGTTCATTCACTCCAAAACCTTGACGTTTCTGCCTTTTCAAATGAAGCTCTCTCCTTACAGTTCGGCGCTTGTCCTCCTCGTCTCCTACTATGGGAGACTGACTTCCTGTCAAACTCCGCCGGGCTTCTCCCCCAGTACCAACAAGGCCCTGTACGTCTCCTTCGACAATGTGGAAATCACGCCAGGAAAGCGTTATCCCCTTGATGGTGGGTCTTACCCGCTCCCCCGACGGTGACGTTTGTGCTGTGATAGCTGATCCTCTTATTGTTGGGAATCAGACACGGCGGTCTCTCCCAGCATCGCTTTCCCCGGCTGTGGTCCTCCGCAAGACACCCATCTTGTCCTGATGGTCGATCTGGATGCCCCTGATGGTGCCGCGAACAACCGCAGCCTGGCCCCTCTCCTGCACTGGCTGCAGCAATCCATCCCAGCGAGGCTTCCGGCCATCTCGAGCAACTACTCTGTCGCCGCTGCCGCCCCCATCGCACCATACGCTATGCCTCAACCACCTCCAGGATCCGGGCTGCATCGATATGTCATTCTTGCGTTCGACCAACCCCAGAAGACATTCAGTGTGCCGGCCAATTTTTCACAATTCAACAACGAGAATCGTTTCAACTTTGATGTGGCCGAGTTTGCGGAAGAGGCGAAGTTGACTGTTGCAGGAGCGACTTGGTTCGTGACACAGAATACCACACAAGCTTAGGCTGAAAAGGAGTCTCGACAGCCGCCTCGTGGGGTTGGTAGTTTGTTCTTCAATTTGACCTGCGTTGCAAGCTCGATTTGGCGCATATTCGCACAGGCTCTGGGCGTTGATGAGTTCACGTTTGCCTTGTCAAGATAGTCTTAATAAGATCACATACCTGGCCATTCACAAAAATCCTCCATGACTGTTGGGATCGAAATCAGTCACAGGTGCCGCACATATTGCGGAACTCGCGGATCCTTTCAATGGCTGCCAGGCTTAGACCCGCCAGAGGAGTCTTCCCAAGCCACTGAATGAGGAGATTGTCGGCTCGTGCTCGCTGAGCAGACACCGGACTATGCATGGCAACCAGAGTTAGTGGGAGGTACATACGCAGCCAAGCGCAGCGAATCTGGTGTCTGGCCAGGCAGGTAGCAGCCTGCAAGATCGTACTGCAATGAGACTTCAATAATTCACCGACCACACCACCAAAATTCGTGTTAGAAGTTAAAAGGACAAGCATCCTCAGAGAGCTCAGAGTCGCCAGGGTTATCGCTGCGATAGCATCGTGGTACTCCATTTCAGTATCCTTCATCCATGGGACAGTGCCGACCATAGTCAAAATATCGGCTTCCTGAGCTTTGCAGATTGTCACGACTTTTGACATAAACCCATCTTCAACCTGCTGCATCACGAAAGCCGTTTTGTGGAATTTGCTTGCATAGAGCTTGCTCAGATCAACGAGCAGATTAGCGAGTGGGTCGATTTGTGAGATATGTTCTGATGTCTGTCCCAAGGTAGAGCCGTCGGATAGAGCGTAACCAGCAATCAATCTGAAGGCCTAGGCAGATGGTGAGCACCAATGGTATTCGGATTTGTCAAACACTCACAATCTGGTATTGGATGTGCAACTCAATACCGTCCAGGATGGCATTGTAATTTTCTTGCTCCCTTGCAGTTTCCAGCAATTTCCGCGCGGCATTGAGATGCTCCTCGTAAGCATGGCTCGTGGTTGTGGACACGGCCTCAAAAAAAGACATGATGATGGAAGTACCGAGCATAGACAGCATTGACAAGTCTGCCTTCTGTGCTAGGGTTTTTGCATGCAGAGCAAGAGCACGTCCATAGTCGGAACGAGCCTTGGCCGCCGCTGACCAGTTTTGCTCTGCCTGGGCACAGAACGCTAATGCGGTCGCTCTTAAAGCAAGACTGAATGCCGGTCTGCCATTCTGCTCGGGTACATCGTTGAGTGCAGACAACCATGATCTTGTGGTCATACCTGTACCGAAGGAGGTACACGATGAGACAAAATGACCGACAAAGGCTTCTGAGTCGATCAATTCCGATGAAACGTGTTTGGTCAGACACTTTTCGGCGTCCAACCGACTTGCTTTGGCAGCATATTGATCGCTGATAAGTTGGGTTTGGTTGACAAAGATTGGTCCTCTATGCGGTCCTGGGCATGACTGGTTTGCTCGAAGACACTGCTGGCATTCCGGTAGAGTAAAATCGCACTTTCGGCGCTTTTGGCGGCATGTCTGACATGCGCGGTTGCGTGGAGGCATGGGCAGTGTTGGACGACGAGGACGGCTGGTAGTTGAAAGGCTTGGAGAGTGGTGTTTGCGCCATCAGCACAGTCTGCCACTTGATCTGAAAGTGTCTGGTACTTATTTGGTCCTGGCCAAATTCCCAATGTCAGATTTCTGTTCAAGTCACGCAGTCAGCAGTCATCGAAGGATATAAGTGACTAGCATTGTTTTGGCCTGGCCGTTGCTCGCGTGCGCTAGCGCCAATATATAGAGCAAAATGGGGAAGCCTGGTTGCTATATACACATATACCCATTACCGCCTCTCCTGCTCTGATGCATGTAAAGACGAATATCCCCCTATCTTTCCTTTATCTTTCGCCATAAGCCTTAAGGGACACCAACTTGAATGTGAATCAGGGTCTTGGCACTGATTACGCAGGAATAGAGCCGAAAGGAGAGGGCTGGTACTTCGGAATAGACTGCTCTAGAGAGAAGTAGATCCATAGAACGATATTGCGTATCTATGGATAAGGATGGAATAATGGCTGGGACATTGGTTTTCATCTCGCGTCGCCTAGTTTGAACAGGACAGATAGCCCACGTCACTTCAAAGTGCTGTTTGGTCAATCGGTATCTGTTTTCCGGAAAAGAAGCTCCTGGTCGTGTAGAATAGTACGAGACAGATAGGGCGAGGTGGCTTATATCCATCGGTTGTAGACGTTTTACCGTAAGTCAGTGAGAGGGTGGGTGCATTTCCACTCAATGAAGGCCAGGATTCACGGTCAATGTCGATCTGACCTCCTCCCGCGCCATGATGAGAAGTTTTTCATTGATACATTTGATAGATTCTAGTTGTTATACCTCCAGGGAATGCAGTAGTCCGTACTACCTCTTATCAATCAGGTGTCATTCAATGTACCCGTCGAGCCAAATGTCTCAAATGATGACTCGCAGTGAACGTTTGTTGCGTCAGCCTCGCGGCAGGCATGAAAAAAATTGGGCCGGAAAGAAACAGTTCCAGGTGCCCGAGCCGGGGTTAGGGGACCAATTTCGGGCCCGCGAGCGTCTCCAAGGCGATTCGTTCGGGGAGGACGAAGCTGCTCCAGGGGCCATTCGCCTAGGACATCATCCCCGGCAGCCTGAACACCTGGCACCCACCGAGCCACCTGGCACCCGCTTGATGATGCCCTGAACGAGCAGCTTCCGGGCTTAAGGTTCGGGCCCTAGCCTTGTCGGGCAAGTCCATGACACGTGCCTCGAAAACCGACAGGAATCTCGACATGAAATTCCCTCAAGCACCCGAAAATCGCCATCAACTTCATGTGCATCAGCATCACGACTCCATCATTCGCTCCTTTGCATCTTTGGTTGGTGAAGGGCAGCTCCTGAAGCTCCTAACTATCCCTGCGAGCGACATTGACTAACTGGATTTGTCTGTCATCCACCTGACTCGACTTGGGGCCAGGCTGGCGATTCGTTACCTCTCGACTGCCTCCATCCTGCTCCGCCAGGCACGACTTTTACGAGTACGAATTGAGGCCTGACCAGGCGAACTGGATATTTCTACCATCTCCTACAACACCTGCTTCCTTCCCTACCATCCTCGATTGACACGAGACCATCTTTAGACACTCCACTCCGAGTGTCTCGACACCCTCTTCCATCATTCCACATTCTCAGTCCAGCGCGTTCATTGACGGCTTTCGAGTCGTCAAATGAACCTGCCTAATTCGCCTCCATTCCTCTTCCAGACGTTGCTCTTCGATAGGAAGAGAGCCTCCATCTCCTAAATGCCTTTCAAGCCCTTCGCACATCTCGCCCGTGTCAGTGTTGCCAAGGGAATCGCCCATACTTATGCTCCGTCTGTTGTCGCTGCTGGTCAGTCACTCGGACAATTCCAGAATTATCCAGCCACCAAGTTTGCAAAGACCGCACAACTCCAAAATGCCTTCTCAAGCCCATCAGGTTCTGGCGCAGGTGCGAAGGCGGGTCATACCTCTCAATCAGGCGGCGGTGATGCTGGGCTAGCCCAGTACTACGCAGCCTGGCAACATGCGCAACAGACTGGCGATGACTCGGACTGGAAGAAGCATGAGTTCGCGCGAAGAATAGGCTGGAAAAATCAAGAGAAAGTTGTACCTACTTCAAAACACCACCGTGCCGAATCTTACCGAGCTGTCGACCTCCTTCGGCCCTCTGCACGCCTGACTGTCTCGCGCGTTAACAGCGAACGAGCCACTCCTAAGGTTCAAGAGGCTGAGGAAACTCTTGCGGAAGCCGAAGCTCTTGCAAAGGTTGACGAAGAAATCGCGAAGGAGATCGCGTCTCGCCAAAGAGAAAACACTGCTACTTACGATGAAGCGGTCGGCAGTCCCGTTGCCAGCACACGAGTTCCGACTCCCTCCATCCAAGAGACTGGCGCGACCGAACTTGAGTCCTCCACCAGCCTCGAGCACACATCGCCACCTACCGATATCACCTCGCTTGCATCGGAGGAGTCTGCTCTGTCCGACCAGATCGTCCAGCTTGGTTTCCAGCACCGATATAGCGAAATTCCCGCTCTATTCGAAACAATCATCAAGGATGGTCATGTGCCAACGGTGGAGGCTTATAATCATATCTTGGTCTCCGCCATTAACCTGGGTCAAGGCTACCAGCCCTGGCCCAGAGCTCTCGAGGTGTACGGGGACATGACGAAGAGAGCCGTCGAACTCAATGGAACATCATATGTGATCCTTCTCCGCTTCTTGGCTGCTAGGAGTCTCGAGGCATACCAGGTGCAAAAGAATCTTGGTGATCGAGCGGCTCGATACGGTAGTGAGGGTTCTTTGGTCTTCCCTTCTGCTACCAGACAACATCAGCTCTACGCTGCTGACACTTCACTTGCCTTTGCTACCAAGCTGTACAACATTGCTCGGGCTACTCTCGAAGATTTCCGACTCTCGGCAACAGTATACAATTCGCTAGTAAAGGCCTGTGCCCAATCGGGTATGGTCGAGCATATGAATTCGCTTTTGGCCGATATGAATGCGCAAAACATTCCTTTGGCGCCACAGCTGTACACGACTGTTATCGATGCGCAAGCTTCCGTCCAAGACATCCACGCCGCACAAGGTCTTTACGAGGAGTACCGTGATCTCGCCATCAGCAGAGCCGCCAATGACCCCCTTGACTTGAAGGTGTACGCTTCCTTGATCAAGGCTTATTATGCTTGCGGGCTTGCCGAGACTGGTCTACGTTTCTATGAGAAGATCCTTCAATCCTTCGGCGGCTCGGCGAACGAGCAAGCTTTGTCAGATAGCTTGACAAGCTCCTTCGTGCTGGACGGGCTTGTTCGACATCACATTGAAAACCAGGCCTACTCTACAGCGATTTCAAGCCTTGATGACTTCACCCTGTTGCCAGCCGTACGAGATGAGGCACTGTCAAGGATATCCACTGCTGCAGCTGATGCAGGAAATGCTGACGAAGCTGTCCGATCCTTTGATGCGATCAATCCAACGAGCTTGAAGGCCGAGCCTGTCATGGCACTCACTGCTTTGCATATTCGAAGCGGCGAAATCAACAAAGCCAAGTCGACCTGGAACAATGCTCGCTCCCTGTCGATTGTTCCAAGTACCGACTTCGCGGCCATGTACGGCTTGGCGTTGATCAATTCTGGTTCTATTGAAGAAGGAGTAGCTGAAGCCCGATCGATGTTCCAACGCATCCGTTCCTCAGCCACTACTGAAACAAGTCGTCAACTCGCTGTGGCGGAAATTGACGAGGCAATCATTCTTTTTGGTGAAGCCCTTTCGAAGCAGCAGGCTGTGGTCTCTGCAACAGCAAGCATCACCTTGTTGCGGAGTATGATCGAAAACGGAGGTCTTGTGTCTCCAGTTGCCCAGCATGCGATTGCAAGCTTAGGACCAGAATGTGTCCATCAGCTTAATGCTCAGGACATCGCCTTGGCTCTCCATGTTCAGGCTCAAATGCTGATGTATCACGAAGCTGTGGATGCCGCTCATCCGGCCAGGTTTTCCCATCTATTGGAGACGGTGCTCAACCGTGGCATTCTTATGGATCCGTCTACAGTGCACGTGGTTAGTGAAAGCCTACCCAAAATTGGCGCCACTCGACCCGATCTGCTGCAACGTTGGCATGAGCTCCTCCAGCCTGCTCCCCCCACTCCAGTGGCATTGCCGCAATCGCCTTTGTCACCACATCCGGCGCTTCTCGATGCATCGGCCAACGACACTTATGATCCTTACGCGCATACCACCGATTTCCGTGCCTCCAAGGCGATATCCGAACTGGTTGAGAGTACCACGGGGCGCATTGAGAATCATCTCAATGACGGCCTTTCCCGGCTGAGAAATGTGCGTCGAGCGGGCAGAAATCTACATTACTCCGCTTACGCTAAGTTGATCACCGCCGCGGGGAAAGCTAAACAATCGAACTTGATTCAGGAGATTCTGAGTATGGCCCACGTCGATGTCCCAATGTCGTTGCAAATCCCATCTGTTCGTGCGGGTTGGATTGCGATCTTGGACTCCATGATTGCGGCTTGCTTGACTGTTGGAGATCGCCAACAAGCAAGCAAGTTCCATCAAGACCTGCTGGATATGGGAGCGGCACCTTCTGCAAATACCTTTGGCATCTACATCACTACGCTTGAGGGTACATTCGATGAAGCGACCGAGGCTGTCAAGATTTTCCAACGTGCTTTGTCCGAAGGAATCGTTCCAAGCGTTTTCCTCTACAACGCCGTCATTGGCAAGCTTGGTAAAGCTCGACGGATTGACGACTGCCTCCGTTACTTCGGCGACATGGAGGGTCGCGGCATCCGCCCTTCCTCTGTTACATATGGTACACTAGTGAACGCTCTTTGCCGAACAAGCGAGGAACGCTTTGCAGTGGACATGTTTGACGAGATGGAAGCAGCACCCAATTATCGTCCTCGACCTGCTCCGTACAATTCTATTATCCAATATTTCCTCAATACGAAGCGTGATCGCAGCAAGGTCCTGCAGTACTACGAGCGGATGAAGTCCAAGAACATCAAACCCACCTCTCACACCTACAAACTGCTTATTGAATCGTACGCGTCTTTGGAACCTGTTAACCTCGCAGCAGCTGAATCTATCCTCTCTGAAATGAAACAAAGCGGTGTTCAGCCCGAGGCGGTTCACTATGGGTCATTGATCCATGCTAAGGGGTGTGTTATGCACGACATGCCAGCTGCAAGAGCCGTTTTCGATTCCGTTTTGCAAGATGGGAACATTCGTCCGACCGACACACTTTATCAGAACTTGCTCGAATCAATGGTTGCCAATCACGAAGTTGAGAAAACTCCCGAGATTTTGGCCGATATGAGCCGACGTGGGGTCTCCATGACTCCGTACATTGCGAATACGCTCATTCATGGGTGGGCTGGAGTTGGCGAGGTTGCAAAAGCCAAAGCGATTTACGAGCAACTTGGTATGGATAAGCGTGAGCCCAGCACCTACGAGGCCATGACACGGGCCTTCTTGTCCGCAGAGGATCGTGCTGGTGCCAACGCGGTGGCGCAAGAAATGCTGAAGAAAGGGTATCCCGCAGCTGTCGCTGACAAAGTGCTTGCACTGGTGGGTGGCATTACGGCCTAAAATTCTCGCGTCAAAATTACCGGTCGAGAGTGGCGATGAACGCTTGCCTCGACCGCTTCTTCCTTTTGTTGATTGATAATGATACCCAAGGAAACGAGCCACGACCACACGGTGGTTCTATGCATATCGGCGTTTGGGTTTCGTCTGTCCTCTTAGCGACAGCGTTGTACAGGGTGTTGTGTGGCTGGCGCAGATGAAACTTGTTCAGCGGGCTCTGCTTACCTTCTGGCAGAGGCGCTGGGAGGAGCTTCTTGGGACGGGGTTTCGGCGGAAAAATTGGGCTGACCATGTACAACAGAACACCAAGAATAATCTCTACTCGCTACTTTTGATAGATGATCTAGACAGTCGAGGTTTTGTCTAGATCAGATGTGTAGTCCTCCAGACTGGAGTTGACATCCATGCTGACTACCGGCAAGAGCTGGTAAGAGGAGGGCTGGCGAAGAATCCAACTCTCTATATTGAAACCTCCACTAAGATCCGTCTGTGTTCATTTGGTATCATGTTTTCGAGGCTGTGCAATGCTGGTTCTGCGTCGTCCAGCGTCGGAGTTGGGATCTCCATCCGTTATGGGCTCAGTCTCTCGATCTTCCACTTCGCCTCACCGCCCTGTCCAACGTCTCCTTCTATCCGTGTGTACAGGAACCGGTCGTGTAGTCTACTCTCCCGGCCTTGCCAGAACTCGATCGCCTCAGGAATGATCCTCAGTCCACCCCAGAACGGCGGCACGGGGATCTGTTCTTGCCCCTCGAACCGGGCCTCGACGTCTCTGACACGAGCTTCGAGGGCAGCTCGGCCGTCGTCTTCCTCTTCCTCCTCCGCTGACACCCCTCCAGTTCCAGCATCACCGTCCACTTTCTGCTGCAGCGTGGCTGGTGCCGCCGTTGTCGATGATGACGACGACGACGATCGAGGCTCTAGGACACTCGTCTGCTGGCTCGCCCACGCTCCGATCCTCGACCCTCGGGCCCTCGTGTCGAAATAAAGCTGACTTTCCTCGGCACTGAGCCTCTCCACCACCCCCTCGACTCTCACCTGCCTCTCCACGGGCTTCCACCAGAAGCAGAGACTCGCGTGCTTGTTCGTGGCGATGTCCTTGGACTTGCGCGACGTGCCGAAATTCGAGTAGATGACGAAGCCGCGCGAGTCGAGCTCCTTCAGATAGACGGTGCGGCTGGACACGCGGCCGCTCGGCAGCGAGGCCGTTGACAAAGTCACGGTTTCGGGCACGGCGGCCTGTAGTAAAGGGTCGGTGAACCAGGTGTGGAATTGGATGAATGGGTCTGGGGAAAGGTCTGAGCGGCGGAGCTTGGAGTGGCTGAACTGTGCGGCCCGAGGTGGCTGCTGGTCATGTTGTTGCCCCTCCTGGGAAGGGTCTTGGGGAGGGTGACCTGGTGCGACTGAAGGGGTGAAGGGCGTTAGAAGAGGTTAGCTGTTCGCGAGTATCTCTCGTGTCATGCATCTCGTCTTCATGCAGATCTTCAGGGTGGGTGAGAATAGGACACCCTTCCTCTATCTTGAACCCAACACCTTTTGGCCTTCCCAATCTCTCAGTGGGCTGGGGGGAGGGTAGGACTTACAGATCAGTTTGCCATTGGCAGTCATGGCGGTACTGGAGAGCTTTGCTTGATGGAGCATTGGGAAAAGCAAGGCTTGGAGGATAGGAAGACGGGCCCTGAGAGTTCGTGATATCATGTAGAAGAGTACCCTAAGAATGCAATGAGGTACGAGAGACTATGGACCTTGTTGGATGCAGTCATGCATAGGGCGTCGACTGAGTTGAATGACAGACTTGTGGCGTCATTTGATTCTGATGTCAAAGACGCACGTGAGCTGTCAAGGCTGCCAAGGCTGTTCTCACGTGCTAGGCACCATGACGACGAGCCCCCCGCTTCGAGCGTACGAGCACGTGATGAGGTGCCGTTGTCACCACCATGAATCATGAATCCTTCCCTTGTGTCCCTTCTTCCTCTTTCCCCACCTTTTGCCCAGATCACGCACCCAACCTCACAAGCCAACACCACACACATACACAAACACCGGTGATAGGGCTATCAAATCAATCCTCCTGTTTCAGCTTTGCATTTCAGCCCGATCTCCCAAAGCCCTCGAACAAGACACATTGCAGCCTATTCTCCCCGACCGTGCCACCATACCCCGACATCTAACAACTGTGTGTTTGGGCATTGACCAGCTGTTCAGTGGTGGCGCAGCCCTGTCCCAATCCTTCCAATCCTTCCCAGATCCCGGCCCAAGCTGGCCCTTTTGCCCACCCAGTCAGGCACCTGCATCCGCCGAGGCTGTCTCGCCCTTCCCGGGTCCTTTGGTTTCCGCTGTCGCTGAGCCTGACCTGTGTCAACGCGACTAGCGTCTTATCGCCCTATATCTCAGCCCCGTCTCTTCCTTCCATCTTTTCTTCCATATGCCGCCCACACTCGAGAAAATCGATACCAGCGCTCCCCCATCTGCGAACAAACCCAAGACCGCTATGGTATGTTATGACCAAGCTGTATTACTGTGTTTCCGGCTCGAGCCTTCTGCCTTCCGGGTTGCCCAGATCTCGAAAAACACGTCAGGACTGACTATGGCACGCCTTACAGACTCCCGTCACCCACAAGCAAATGTCCGAGGAAGAAGTCCAGGCGTACCAAGACGTCTTTGCTCTGTTTGTAAGTAAAGTCTTCTTTATTCGAAGCAGGTGCATTCAAGCTCATTTTTCTGCTAGGACAAAGATGGAAGTGGTAAGACACATCCAGCCTTGCTATTTACGCTTTTTTCCGCAAAGGAAATTCAGCCTCGTTGGGGAATCGTGTATTCGGAAACCTGGAGTCCAATATCTGCGCTACGATCGGCAATCATCCTGTTTTGAAATTGGGACTCACGATGCCGTCTGACGCTGACATTGCACTGGTATAGGAACCATTACCGCGCAAGAACTCGGTGAAATCATGAAGTCTCTTGGCCAGAACCCGTCCGATTCAGAGTTGCAGGATATGGTAAGACGTCGCATATCCCTGGTTTCCCGGTTCGCTATTGGATCTGCTCAGTCTACTAATGCGTCCACTTCAGATCAATGAAGTCGACGTCGATCGTTCCGGCAGCATAGATTTTGACGGCAAGTATTCTCCATCCGCCACCGACTATATTCTGTTTACCTCTCTGCCCAATATCGCACCCGGATATTTCTGACAACAACTATAGAATTCCTCAAAATGATGTCCACGACTGTGAAGGCGCAAGACTTTGCCCATGAGACCCGCGCCGCATTCAACGTCTTCGACAAGGACGGTTCTGGTACCATCTCTGCCGAAGAACTACGTCAGGTGATGAAGTCCCTCGGGGAAAACCTCACCGATGCCGAGATCGACGAGATGATTCGCGAGGCTGACAAGGACAACAATGGAACGATAGATTGTACGTGTCCCTAATCCACCACTGTTCCCCTTTCGCTGCCCCTTTTCCGAATTATTCAAGTTGTCCTGCCGGCTTCCAGAAATGAAAGGATAAAACGCGGATGGAGGGCTATGGTACTGGAGTGGAATTGATCCTCTCATTCAAGTGGCTTTTGAGCTGCTGGCTTGCAGGATCTCGAGATGACCGAGCTTACGAAGGCGTTTGATCAACGATTGAGTGCTAACACCTCAACTTCGCCACAGACGAGGAATTCGTGCAACTTCTCTCTCCCAAACCATAGATGTGGTAAAGGCATAAACAACAAGTCTTTCGCCTCAACATTGCACCAGCCATCCGCGCTACTATCCGGCATAATCCACGTGGCAACGATGACATTGCACGCATGACCGTCCAAACCGACACCCGTTTCACGACAACAAAAACTAGCAACCACTGCACGATCATACCCCTTGAACTTCAACGCAGCCACAGCGAAGTTTCGAATACGCTTTTTCACGCAGCGCTTCCCCCGTCCACTTTTTATTGTCGAAGCTGGAGAGCAACAGATTGGTCACGCAGGTTGGCGTGAAGGAAACCCCTTACAGTACGGTTCTAGATGAAGCTGGCTTGCTAGCTTTACTACGATCATAATGGGGAACATGGGGCTTTGTGTGAGAAAGACACTTCCTGAGAACGACCACCTAATCGGCTAGCTATGACGGAACATGGAAACAGTGTTTGATGAGACTGTGTTACATTGCATCCTGCACAAGCATGATCTTCACCTCCCCAAAGTCATCGCAGCTCTCTGCTCTGAAGGGTGATCAAAGTCCTGACACGACAGACGTGCTTTCTATCGCCTGATAAATCCCTCGCCCACCCCCTTTTCTATTCTTTCCCTTTCCTTTCTCTTAAAGATCCTCCTGCCCGGGGTCATTTCTTCACCCTAAGTTCTTCCTTTTCCTCCCGTCCTATTCTCTGCCCTGCCCTGCCGTAGGATGATGTGTACCGGCCCCCGCCAAGCTAATCCGGCTCACCCCATCCACGCCTGAGCACAGGTTTAGCAGAGGACAGACAGACAGAGACCCCCCATGACGACCACGCTCTGGTGTTTGAGCGAGGGGGTAGACTTTCAGCAGCTCAAAAACGGCCCGTGTGCCTCAATCTATCGGACCGAGGTACATAGGCAGATGGATTATCTACCTACGGGGAAGCGAGGAGTCCGGAGAAAAGAAAGAAAAAGCGGTCTTTAAAGCCTTTGTGGTGAGGGAATGACTGGAACTGATCGAAATCACTCAACGCAGGGTGTACAACAACAATACGACGTGGCACGGAGCAAAATCAATTTGTGAGAAAAGCAATTGAGTTTTTGTATTCAAGGCTCAGCGAACCCGTGTTGTTTTGATGACATCCCACCGATGCAAACACCCTCTTTACCCACCGCCAAGTCCAAGCCCCGTGCAAAAGTTCCTGGACACATTTGGTTGCGGGTCAAGGCCTAGTCTACATCCACTGCGAAGCTGGAGCACGATCTTACATGTCCCAGGCCGAGCATCATGTTGCTGCAGGGCACATTCTGCGCCTTTTGAAAGTTGCAGCGGCAAACCTTTGTGTAATGAAACCCCCGAAGTAATACAGTAATAATCAGATTTCAAGTCCCTGCTCGGTAGTTGCAGCGTTCGGTACACAGCCAGCGCTGGCGAAAGTGAAGCAGAAAAATGAGGCGACGATTAACCCCTCTCTAACGGAGAGCCGCCTCTTGTCCCACGGGCCGGTTAGTGATCGCCTCGCAAAAGACGCCGTAACAGAAAACATTCCTTCAGTGAGCCTTCGATGCCTGTCTGGACCGTGGTCCGCCTCTGCTTCGATAACCTTTGCTGCTAAAAGAACCTGACGAGCTAGGAGGGCCGCTTCCATACCGTTGCTTACCACCAAGATGTGGCGCCAACGATCCTCGCGCCGGCAACTCCTTTTTGATGGCCTTCGACGGGCCAGGGAACTTGATTAGCGCGAATTGGGGGCCTGCGGAACGGTGCCGCTCGAACCAGTTGTTGACCATGAAAGGTGCTACCGACGTAATCTCAGGGAAAGGAGCCACTGTCTTTGATGGGGGGAAAGGCGACATTGGCAGCATCGGCGTCTCCAATGGGAACTTGATGGCCGGTAGTGAGCCTAGTTCTCTGTCCTCAAAAAGATCGTCCTCACTCTCGACATCCTTAGTTGTGACCGACGTGTCGTTGGACAGCGTTGTTGGCCCGGCTTCGACAGGAAGGGAAACTGAGGCAGCAGGAACAAGTACATGTTGAACGTCAAGAGGCTCTCTAGTCGACGACGCAACTGCAAGAACTGTTCCAACAGGCTGAGCAGTCTCCCGTGCGGGGGAACTCTTCTTGCCCAGTAAGCCATTAAATCGTTCCTGCCACGAAGGATTCTGAACGATCGGAGTGGAGACTGATCGGAGCGTTGCCGCAGGGGGTGGTGGCATTGACACTCTTGCTGCCCAAGTCAGTTGCGTAGCCGGAGCAGGATCGGGCTGGACGTGTACAGGGCTCGGTGGTGTGGGTGGCATAGCTGGTGGTAATTTGACCACAGGCTTTTGTGGGAAATGCACAACTGGTCTGGTGAAGTCTCCGTCGAAAGCAGGGTGAAGGCTTGCATATTCCTCGGCAGGAGGCGGCGATGGTGTTCTCGGCGGTTCAGGGTGGCTGTAGGTGACTGCACGTCGATCATGAAGAGGATGTTGCGCTCCGATGGGTTGAGGGAAGAATCGCGAGCCACGACCAGCAGGTCCATTCATAATTCGTGGGCCCATATCCGTACTAGGTAACGACCCTACCGCACCAAAGACGTTGGAAGCAGGCACGGACGACTGCGAGACGCCAGATATTGATCGCTGTGCTTGATCACCAACCTGGACCTGTTTCCAAGTCTCATTAAAGGTGTAAGCAGGGCCCTGCCGGATACCAGTCCGTAATTCCTCCTCACGTCTGGCTGCCATCTCCCGCTGTATTCTCTCACTTTCTGCACGTTCTTGCTGACTTGCAAGTGCATGAAAGTTGTTCCAACCATCCACACCGTTTGGCCTCTGCCCGTGGGGCAAACCATTCATGCCAGGATGGATTTGTTGAGGCTGAGGGGGAGCGATAGGCGCAGGTTTCGTCGTGGGAAACAGCGAGTCGGCCTCGCTATCAGCTGCGAGCGGGCCCTGATCGGGAGAGGTCACTGACTGATACGAATACGATCTGTTATCTGCAAGGATGTGATTGACATGCTGAATCTGCGGCGAGCGGCCGGAGTGAGGCGTTCGACCATTCATCCAACCTGCGGCTGTGGAAGATGTCCTTGACAGATCTTGCGGCGAATATCCTGCTAGGCTTTGATCAAAGGTACCATTGCCGAGAGCCTTGTTGTTGGGCAGGCCCCAAAGGTTGGCCGTTTGGGCAGCGCGATGATCATGGCGTACATCTCCCCATCCGCTTCTTGCATCGTTGCCAACTGTGCTTGGTTTGGGCAACTTGGGACTCGGCTCAGAAACAGAAGCTGGCTCTGGAACACTCGTTCGTCGCGCATCCGGCACGGTTCTCACACCATTTATGGTGGGAGAAGGGACCTGTAATGTTTCCTGTTTGCCTTGATCAGCTGTGCTGGCTTCGACCTTTTCTCGAACAGGTAATCTCTGCGACTCCGTTGGCCGTTGTAACGACGTAGCCATCTTTTTGACGGAATCCAAGGGATGCACTTTCATCATGCCGTACTGTTGTGGCTCGCCAGAAGCAAGCGGCTGAGGTGGCTTGGGTGGGGAGTGAGTAGTGGTCGTGGTCATCATCGTGCTCACAGTCGCAGAAGGGGGGTGCGCAGATACTGGAGACTGCTCCATGTCCTTCTTTGCTTCAATTTCTGGGGCTACTTTTTCTTTTGCCGCCTCCTCCGACTTTTTAGCAAGCTTTGGGTCGGGTCCAAGTGACGCCAGCTTCTGACGAATACGCTCTTGTTTCTCGGCCTCCGCTCGTTGCTCTTCTTCTAATTTGCGCTTTCTGGCCAGTTCAATCTTCTCTTTCATCAAAGCTCTTTGTTGAAGGCGTTGGGCTTCAATGTCCGCATCTGTTGCAGAGGTAGGGTTGACAGACATGTAATCACCCGCCCCGCGAACCTGGTACGTCGGCGTCTGAGTTGCGGAAAGCGGGCCATCTCTTGAAGTTGGCCGGACTGCTGAATCAAGGTCGTGTCTCTGAGAGTCAACGCTCGGAGTAGGCAACTCTCCCGACTTTATGGACATGCGTCGACCAAATTGCCCGCTGCCTCCAGAAATAGTAGACGACGCTCTACGTCGTGCTTGATCAGTGCTGGTTCGATGGGTCTGGAAGGCTGGTGAAGGTTCGGCAGGAGCATGTGCATCGTTTTGGCTTGGTCTTTGCAACACCGCAGGAGCCCGGAAACCTTGATCATTCCTTGACATCCGTCGTCGGGGTTCCGACACAGCTTCATAACGTCCAGAACCCGGTACGTACAATTCTCGTTGTTGACCTGGTAATGAATCTCGCCATGAGCGGTTAAAGTCATCCGCCGAGATCTCCTTGGCCGGCGACGGCGCCGTCAGTGAAGATGGACTTTGCGCATATGGGTGGCTAGGCAGAAATCGGCCTGACGGCAGTATTGGCTGAGGATTGATCGCAACTGGAGAGATCTTGTCGACCGGTGGCAATGGAGCCCAAGGGGATTTTGCGGGGGTTGGTGCTGGAGTCGCCTTCGTAAGGATCGATGGTCTGTCGGTCGGGGTCTTAGCCTGAAGAGTCGCGGCCTTCTGCGCCTGTTGCCGTTCGGCATTTGCGCCCAGTTTGAGTACGGTCGCATTAGGACCGACTGAACTAGCGAATTGGGGTGCCGGGGCCTTCGAGGTACTGACAAGCTTAGACTTATCTCCAGCTTCAGAAGGGGACGCGGGTTTTTGTGCGGTTTGAGCAGTGACGTCGGCATGAGTTAGTGTGCTCTTGGTGCCGTCGTTCCATTCAATGGTTTCTGGAGCCCAGTCATCTTCGTCGTCATCAATGTCTGCCCACTTCGCTTCTTTCCCTTCACTGTCTGCTTGAATTCGCGAGGTCAAATGGATTCCATATTGCTGCTTAAGCTCTTCATCGGTCAAGTGCTTGGTGGAAGGTTGTGGGGTAACTGTGACATGGTCAATACCGGCTGATCGGAAAGCTTGCGGCTAGGGTCATACCTCTGTTTTTGTTCCATACCTGCATAGGATCTGGGCTGGCGCTTTGATAGGATTTTGTCTTAGACTGTAAGGAGCTCGTGGTTTTGGCGACTAATCGTGGACGACCTGTCTGGGCGAGGGACGAGGTTGAGGAATGGGGAGTAGGGGCTGAATGGCACGTTAGTTACATCGATTGGGCACCACGGCGCACGTACTTTTCTCGTTGACTTTTGCAGCGGCGCTCGCAGCGATGGTCTTAGGCACCGAATACTTTGCGAAGGTGACAGGTTTGGCAGCGAATTTCTTCAAAGGTTTGTACTCTGTGGCTTTGTCACCAGCGACACTCCCCTCGGCGCGGCTGGTATCTGTGTCTGATCGAGCAGAACCATCCTCGAGTTCTTCCATTTTGAGATTTGACACTGTGTGGATTCCATTCTCTTTTGGCGCAACCTCTGTTTCCACCACAACATTATCCCTGCCAATATCGTCCCCAGACACTTTGATATCAGGTGTAGAGGTGGTCGCAGGTGCGTCGGAAGGCGAGAGATCGCCCACCGACTGAGATTGGTTTACCACATCTTGTGCTCTCTGCTCTGCCATAACAAGCTCGGATCTAGAAAAGGCGCAACAATGGTCAGGGTGTCTGCTTGGTATTGATTCGGTGGCGTGAGAGTACCTGTTACTGCGCGTAGTCTGCCACGGTTGCCAGCCTGTCGGTTTTGCCCGATAACGCACGACGGCGCTTGGAGGTCGCGGAGGATTCTCGGTACGGATCTCGAATCGAAGAGGTGAAGGAAGTAATACAACACCTCAAAAGGGGGTATAAAGGTGTGGAAGAAGAAAGAAATGGTGGTGGTTGAGTCAGTTGAGATAGGAGGAGGCTGCGCCTGAGAAGTCGATCGGGCCCATCTGTCGGGTTGCGGCAACCTCGCCTTGGCGCTCGCCCTGCGGGCAGCCGCATTTCACCCATCTACATCCTACTACTAGGTAACTCTTTTTTACTCCGTAGTCTGAAGCCAATTCACGTTCAGTCACATATACACAAGTTACTACCGCATGATATATCAGTGAGCACACAGTGGCAACTTGGATTAAAGTCTTTGGAAAGGGGACGAAGCCAGAGACCATAATCCTCGTCCTCTATCTTTCGTCGTTTGTCAGTCGGACGCGAACGGAGTATCCGTACCATCGAGCTCAGCGGTCGGGTGAGATTCTCAGATGGAGCTACTTGTGCCAGATGGAATCCGGGAGAAGCGACCTATGTAGGAAGAGAAGCCTGGGAGCAAATGGGTCTTGATAATGCGCGCCTTTTCGAACAATTCAACAAGTTTATTTGGGCGTTATGTACAATGTCGATGACCAATAACCTCCCTCCAATGCAACTTGATCAGTGGGCATTGTTCTTGTGGTGTCCTAAGCAAGTGAGTCAGTCACCAGTAGCTTCAATGCGCTGCGCTCGGAGCACGTACTCAAATGGAAATAGTACTCCATGCTGTAACCCATTGCCATGATTCCGAAAATGACGTGCCAGATGGCTGTTACCGCAATGTTAGCCATTAAACGACCTCTTTTCGTGCCATGTACTGCGCGTGAGATACGTACGAGCTGCTGATGGATTCTTGCCAAAATATTTCGCTTGATACCACCCCAGCGGTCCACTGGGTGCTCGCGCTGGTGCAGACCCTTTTGGTAGCTTTTCGTAAAATTTGGCTATTCTCGCCATGCGAACAGCATTTTTGGCAGCTCCGATACCCTGCAATTGTCTGTCAGGTCTTGTTCGCGCACAGTGTTTTATCCGCCTTGGAGTCAATCCTCTCAGATCTCGGGCACATGTGGTGCAACCCCATCACTCCATGCGCAGGGCATGCTCGGTACGGAGGGCTCAAGCGGTCGACCACGGGCTTACCTCAGGGTTGGCAACCTAATTGATCCGAGTCAGAGAGAGCAGAACAACGAGAACAGGGTGAGGTTTTACCTTCGGGGGAACCAGGGTTGACACGGCTCGGCGGATGACGAACGACATTTCGAGCTATCCGGGACATAGGTCAGTATAATGAGAGCCAGATGCCCACAGACAGCTTACATGAGTCTCAAAAGCCTCCGACAAAGTTGTAGAAGGGTGCTGAAGCTGTTGAATGAGTTGATCCTGAGAGACTAGGAGCTCCTTCATCAGGATCATTGCCAATCGATGCGCAGCCAAGCCGCCATTTTTGGAAGCTTAGCCGAGCCAGCTACAAGATCAGCTGATTGGCCGGTTCCAAGGGCAAGAGACTACCTCATACCTCGTACAGTATCCCCAAACACACCCTAAAACTTGGAAGGCACTTTTGTATTGCTTCAGACAATCCTCCCAGCACAAATACCCCGAGCTATTTTCGAGGGGTTTACGTGATAGCTCCCGCCGGACACCTCCTCGTCGTGTGATGACATCTCCGTCCAAGCATCAAATGTGTTCAATCACCTCAAGCCATCTCTACGCCGTTCACGGTGACCACATCTGATGCTGTTCTCCGTAGCAGTCCACCTCTCTCCTCCTTTCCATCCCTATATCTGGACGGCTTGAGTGGTCAGAATACCCCGTCTGAGTCTCAATGTCCCGGACACGTGCTAGTCGACTCGTGCCATGCAGCTTGGTCACTTCCCCGCGCAAACTACTCTGGTGATACGTCCCTGTTGCGCCAGGAATACCATTGACCCGTGTCTGACTTGGAAGGCTTGTCTTGCGCGTAGGAACAGGTGGCGGAATCAATCTTGCGGGAGACGCTAGTGCCTCGCCATGGGCTGCGCCGCTTCGCTGGGAAGGAACCGCACTCGAGATGTGACCTGTTCCAGTCCTTGGAGGGAACAGTCTGGGAAAGAAATGTTGGAGGGGCGTCCGCACCATGGGGAGATTGGCACAGATGACGCCGAGGCCGGCCTCGATTGTGGTCCAAATCGTTGACACCAGAGACCCGGCGGTAATGTCGTCGCCATAAGCCGAAGAGTACAAGGTCGTCAATCGCGAAATCGAAGCAGCGCACACAATGACGCCCAGCCCGAATATGCAAGTCAAGGCCAATTTCTGCCGCATTGGCAACTTGAGCGTGAATATTACGGGCGGCACCATCAACACAATGAGGAGATCTGTGAAAATGTTGTAGATGGCGTTGCTGTACCACAAGGCATAGATGTCGACACAACTCCCATCGCTTCTCCATCGCTCCCATGCCCGCGAGATTGGATTGCACTGGAGAATCGTTGCGAGGGTGAAGGAGATGCAAGCACCAACCACAAAGGCGACCAAACTCCAGCATGTTCGAACAAACCAAAGGCGATCGGTGAAAATGCGGAGATATAGGAAGAGTATCGACAGCTTGGTACAATTGATGGTAAGCTTGTAGAATATTTGCAGCAGAAAGAAATACTACCACGGCAGTGTTAGTGTCGTTGGTTGGGCTCTCCAGAGTCTAGCCTACCTTTAAGGCTTGCGCAGCTTGATGTCTGCTGATGAGGTCAAACGGCCGGCCATATCCATAATTCACTGCAGCAATGGAAGCACTGCACTGGAGGACAAGGAATGTCTGCAAAATGGTGAGACCAGGCCAAATATGTCGGGGACAAACTAACTCACCAAAGATAACAGGGTCGTCATATCGTCTAGACCGAGTCTTCCCAGCAGCCTAATGCGCCAATAGATCCGGTTTGCCACGAGGACCAAGGCCAAAATGGGTGCAATGATTGATGGGATGACCAAATGGGCTCCACGGCCACCTAGGCCAAGGGCCTCAAGGTGACAATGTGTGCACGGGTTTGCAGACATGTTGCTGCGTCGGGTATCGTGATATTGAGCCGGCTTCACTTTTTGAACAATGGCAGTCGAGGCAGATGAGGCTTGAGCTGTCGTTATAAATGCTGTTTTCTTGGTAAGTTGGCCAGTCGCCTGGGCATTTCCGGGAGAGACACGGCAGAGCCGTCACGGAACTGAGTAGAGAACGGCTAGGGAAGGTATACGATCAAGCAGCAATCAAAATTCGAGATAATGAAGTCCCGTCGCACCAGTGAAGTTGGGCCGGTGCACGTATGAAGGCCAGGTCGACTTGCCGCACCCACCCATGAGCTCAAACACTCGACTCGGATCCTTTATAGCTGGCTGTAAGTCTCCAGCCAATATTCCCAGCCAGTTTGAGATGCTTCTAGGACCTGTGGACTGTAAGATGCATGCGAAGCGGTTGCTCTACGCAGATAATGCCATGTGCTGCCATGCGAAAGTCGAAGTGTGGGATTGGCGGTTACCTGCCTCGAAAGTATTTTAAACTCTATGAATCCATCCAATCCATGACAGGTAAGATGTTTGTATAATGTTTGTCGGGAAGATGGATTAGAAATGGTATCTCCCTGTTCATGCCTTGGGGTCCGGTAAGCTCTTTCATGCTCGAGGTTTGCTTTGATGTTGCCTCGCAATTAGTCCTTGTGTCCATTCTTACGTAGTTTTGCGGAGGCTGGAGCCTTTGAGGGCAACTGGGCTTCAACAGGGATATATATGCACATCGACGGATACTGGGAATTGGGTGGTAAGGACTCGAGAATGAAATGTGTACTATGCAGATTCCCGACTGGCGTCGTACACGCGCACAGCCCGAGGTTGTCGCTTTCAATCCGGACCAGGCTGCGTTGAAAAGGGCCGAGCGTTGCCAGAAGATACAGGGGAGAGTAAAGCACACAGGAAGTCAAAAGGGCCCATCCCGTTCTATGCCATGCAGGTCCAGGTTGTTTCCAAGATTATTGACACCGGTTGGTCATCTCGGCTGGGCGTTGAGGCCGGAATCTCGACGTCACTTTTGAAACAATTCCAATCGCCAAAGCTGCAAAGCTGCAAAGCTGCAAAGACGCTCGCTCGGTTATCATGTCGTATCCTGAATCCGTCCACCAGGCACTCGATCCTTTACAAGTCAGAAGCAATGGTGCAGAATGGTAACCAGGTTCCCCCCTTCTCTTTGTACTTGAGGCGTCCCTGTCACATGCAACACGATGCCCGTTTGATCAAGACCCTGAAATGACTGAGGTTCCCCTCGCTTTATTTAATAAGCGAACTGCCGACCTCGATGCTGCGATAGAATCACAGATGTTGAGCTGTCAGGCGACATTCTGAGCGGTGAAGAGGTGATGAATATGGCTCCCCATGGCTCCTGTTTGTAACGTATGACATTTGAAATTTCTCGAGTTCCTGTCCGACCTTATACATATCTGTTTATTTCGACATCAAAGTCTTTGCGACCGCTATCGAGAAATACTGCTATACAGACTGCGAAGCATGATGCTCAAACTTGGTGTCGGCTCTTTCAACGGGTTCTTTTCTCGGATTCTATCATTTCAAGTTCTGATCACTATGGCCATGCCATTCAACATTGACAATTCCAGCGACAGCCGCTCGGACAGTTGTGTTTGGGAGTTCAGCCCGACTGTGAGTTCCCGCCGCTTTCAAGTTCCCCTAAACTGTTGAATATGGGAAGCATGCTTGGTCATCAGGATTTACCCGCTTGTTTACAGGCTAATGTCTGTTGGCAGATTTGTGGCGAGGATGTGAGTTATGAAGAGCTTGTCTATCCAAGAACCACCGAGTGCCTGCCTCTCGCAACTGGGATGAAGAATGTGTGGACGAATGAGTGCTCAAGCTGGTTCGGTGAGCACTACCGGGTCACTGCTATCTTTCTATCACTGCCACGGACTAATACAGGGGATTTGTGCAGGAGCATGCACCATGTGGATACAGCCTGACTGCACTGGTGAATGGTCGATGAGGATTGATGATCCAGCCAACACTCATCTGGGAACCTGCTTTTCGGAGTATTACTACATCATGGCAGTCTCCTGTGAGCCGGCATGAGAGGATCGCACAGCTCTGTGTCTGGTAGAAGATGTTCTAGAGGGCAACACGGTCCAACGACCCCTGGACGGCGATCAGGAGTTCCATACGTTTCGACCGCGATCACGGGTAGGACGGTACAAGTACATGGGGGGAGATGCCAACATGTTTCACAGAGAACATAGAGAGATCCCGATATCGCATTGGACTAGATAGATGGGCAATTGCACTCGGCTTCTTGGAAAGACTCTTCCACGAAGGACACTGTTCTCCAATCTATTACACTGGCAAAGAGTCGTACGAGTTCAGCTCTTCTTTTCTTGTCAAGCGTTAATTGGCAGCCCTAGTGGAACGCACGGACCACCCACCTCCCCAAGAACGTCTCCCCTTGCAGCCACGTTCTTCATTCTCCAAGCTTTCCTTCATTCTTCTGGCATTATTAGCTAGGCTGTTGCTAGGTATGCAATGAGGCGGCTTCACAAGGTATTTTTCTGTCGATGCCTTTCAGAGATTGAAGACAAAGCATTGGCAAGCTCTCGCGGGCCCCACCGCGGCCATCAGTCTGGCGATTCCTTTAAAGCCACGAAGCTCCCATTGTCCTCAGAAAAGCGCGTGCAGGTGGCTAGATCAGGATATAAGTGCTGGAAAATGACGTGCTAAGGACTGTAGTCCTTTGGTTCTCAAGATTCCGATACGGGCAATGCGCCACCCCTAGTGCAAACCAATCTGCCATGTCTGCTCTCCAACAGCTTGATAGTCCTCCTGCTGTCCCTGATCAGCAAGAGCCTGAACCCCGTTCGCTCAAGCGCTCCCGTTCCAGTGTACTAACGAGACAATAGAGAAAATACATGTATATATTATCTTCGCTGACTCTCTACCTTGCTCCAGGATGGTCGAACGGACAGGATGAGCGGCCAGAGGACAACCTTCATACCTGTGCCAGATTCACCAAGGCAGGGATCTGGTGATGCGTATTCAACAGACAGCTGGGGAATTTTGACAGTCAGGGGCCTCGGTGACCCCGGGTCGGCAGTTTGTCCACATGTCACTCGAAATGAAAACGGTGAAAACTGAGAGACGAACGGGAACTGGATATATCTTTGCAAGGCGACGCTCGACAATGGCGCTTTCTAGCAAAACCACCATATCTGAGCCCACGCAAAACAGCAGTTCGCACATCTGCGAGAAAGAAAGAAAAAGGAGATGCTGGACTCAAGGGTTTGGAAGGCAGTTGCGCTCTCGCCAAGGGCTCTTCATTCACCATCCGAGGCCTCGAGATTTCCTTCACGCGGACCAAGGCAGTGCGGCTTTTTCGATTGTCTGGAGGTGGATTCACTGCCTTTCTTGAACAAGTGAATACTATTGTTGATTGTATTCATGGTCACCTGGGCAGTGCGAGGCTACGCGCCCCTTTAAATGTCCCCATTCTTCCGCCATACCATCTTGTCCGACACTCCTTCCCATCTCGAACACTCGCCTTCCCAAGATCCATCCAGGTTACCTTGGTATCCATCAGACCATCGCTCAAGACAACCCGTTCAGGTTCCTACAATAACAAACTCAAACCACAAGTCCTTGAAAAAACTAAAATGGACGCCTTCCATCCCTTCTCCACCATGCCACCCTCAACCGCAATGGTAACCAATTAAACCCCCGAACCACAGAAAAGGCGCGTCTAACATTGTATAGGAACCAGCACAAGGTCCTCGCCTTTCCCAGGACTTGTTGCTGCCCGTGGAATATATAAATATGAATGTCTCCCATCCTGGAGCTGCCTCCCCCCATATTCATGTTAACGAGCAAAACTTGGTATACCCAACAAGATCACCGGCCCTTAATATACATGCAAGGACGTTCGTGCCTGGTGCACGCGACCGTGGAATCGAAGCCACAATGAATGTCCATGCCGACTTTGTCCCAAGCGCGCGAAATGACAACGCCTGCACACATCCTAAGACCGGCTCTACCTCCAACACTCTCGACGCAAATAGCATGCCCTCAACTCCAGAACCACGCAAACATCCGGTATCAGGACCACTGAACGCAGGTGCTGGGGTCTACTTTCCAGGTACTTGCAGATGGAACCCATACGTCTTCGAAGTCCAGTGCGACTTCGACGCTGAAGCACTCTATCACCAACGTAGAGTGGAAGAGATGGCAGCAGACGGAGCACATGCATCACAGTTGCATGTCCAGGGTTTCCATTTTCCTACCTCTTCGAATCGATTTGACCACATCCCCCCCGTCTTCACAGCCTTCCGGAATTTCGAGAGGTTTCCACTCATAAAAGCCAAATATGAAGAGGGTACTCGCGAGGCACGTGAGTCGTCGAGACGATCCTTCGTCCAGTACATGCACGATGGAGACAAAGAAATCGAGGAGGAGGAGGAGGAGGAGGAGGAGGAGGAGGAGGGCGACACCTGGAGGATCACAGATCCCCAGTCCGATTATCAGTGGCTCCGCCTCGCGGATCTACAGGGCTTAAAGTGTATCCACCACTTTAACGTTTTTGGTCGACCGGTCCTCACGAAGTCGGATACAGCTCCGGCGACCACAATCGCCATCTTGAAGTCGACCCCAAAGCACCTCAATGTCACCACTCCCGATGGGCTGTGGAAGAGCACTGTCATGAATTGTGCTCAGCAGCTGCTGGATCCTGTCCTCTACTACGGCAAGAAGGAGATTCTGGAATCTCTTCGTGGATCCGAACTGGAGAACGCTTGCATAGGAAAATGCCTGAAAACCTACAGTCGGCATGGCTGGTGGGTCCATGACTACTATGGACCTGAAGAACACCATGTCATAGCCGATTCCCTCAATCCATCGTGGTATCCCGACCCTACACAGTTCATGGTGATCAACGGCATCACGGAGGGCTTCGGCCATCGGGTCGACATCATCACTGCTGCCACGCATGAAAAGGAGAAGGAGGATGCAGCCCGCAAGACTGCGTTCAATGCCAGGCTCGCACAAGGCCGGAAACCGTCTAAGCTTGGTCTCTCTTGCTTTACGCATGAAGATGTCGAAGAGGTACCGAGCTTGACTTCTCGCCCCAGGGCTACATCATCCTCCCTAAGTCACTCAGCTTACCCCACGGTCAGCCAACCTACCACAATCGCGAAGCCAGTGCAGGAACCCGCTGGCCCATCAAGCGAGATTGTCGTTCCTGATCGATATACAACAGGAGGCTCGCTATCTCGTGAAGAGTGGAAGCGGCGTCTTGCTGCGACAGAAGACCGGCATGTAGCAGCTCGTTGGGCGGATGACGAAGATGAGGACGAAGAGGAATGGCAAGAGGAGTGTGTGGGTGCACCTGGACCCTCCTCTTCTGCCGAGGCCATGATTGAGGACGAAAATCCACAGAGAGGCAGCAATAAGCCATCTGTGGATGAAGAAGTTGAGAGCACGGAAACCTCTCATGCCAACGATGATCGTCGCGTGTCCTCCTCAACGGCAGCTACAACCGTCGAGCACTCCCGCGCTTCGAGTGTTAGCCTCAGTGAGACCCCGGACACATCTCTCCCAGTGTCTGACAATGAAGATGGCGGGTCAAAAGCCGTCACTGACGACGAGAGTGCCAGCATCTGTGATGGAGCAGAGAGTGCCGTTGGTGCGGAAGGGGTTGAGGAGGCTGAAGAAGAGCTTCCAGCCTCAAGCGTCCACACGCACGCCAGCAGTCTTCACACTCGCCTCGACGCTATCGAAGACGCGATGCAAACGGCTGCCACGCCATCAGCATCACTTGTGCCTGTCACTCCCGTGATTCCTCCAAGGGATCCTCGACGCATTTCTAGCTTTGCCAACTCGATTTCTCTGTCACGGACTTCGACCTTGGTGGAAACTCCAGAATCTGCCGCGCCTATATTTGTCGACAATCCCAGAATTCCTGCACCGACTCCTCGCTATCGCGGCCTCAATGCCAGGAGGGATCCTCCGGTTGACGCCCTCACGCCAACTGATCCTTTGCCAAGTGGACCTCGACTAACGGTTCATCGATTCCCGAATGGTGCTATCACCATGACGCTCCCTGGCCAACAACTCGGACTTGTTCGAAGTCCCGCGGTGCGCTTTGATCAGCTGCCTGCAGATTTTGGCAATGCATCTTTTCGACGTGCTGCTGTACCCCCAACTAGGATTCTGAACAGATCGACCCCTAGGACTGAACACGTCTCTCCAGGTGTTGGAGAAGTTGCACACGCTGCAGAGGACGCCTCTCTCAGTGGTGCAGCCATGCATCGATCTCAGGCGTCGCCTTCAATGGCAATTATCCTATATCGCAGGCCTGTGCCACTCAATAACGCCATGGTCCGATACCTCCAGGCTTGGAATCGCCTCCTTGCCAATGCCACATCGAACGGTGAATATTTCTGGCAATGCGTTCTTCGAAGGGTTTGCATCGAAAACTATTTGGACGCGCTTGCACTAGAGAGATGCGCGGCTATCTACGAGGTCGATGGCAGCGAGGTTGACGAAGACCATGCGATCTCAGGTGGTGCCATATTTACTTTCGTCGACGACGGTGGTGCTATTGAAGAGGAGATCATTGGCAACAGAGTACAACCCGACGTGGCACAATCTCACAACGCCGAGTTCAACGTTGGTGTGATCGGTGATATCTCTCCAGAGAGCACCGCGCAAGAAGAGCATGTGTCTAGCTCAGCGCCAGTGCCGCCTCCACAGCCATCGCCGGCTTCCATTGGCCCTTCAACAACCTTCCGCCCTCGACGCGAACGCCGCCGTTCCCGATTTGCCCTTTCCCCGATTCGAGAAGCATCATCGAATGCCACGGCCGACCCTAGTCTTCCAGTGCAGGAGACTCTTCACAACACCCCGTCCCCTACCTCTCCGTTGCCGTCCTCAAACCCATGCGCTCTCACGAACGAAGTGTCGCGCTTCTCATGGACATCATCCGAAGCCTCTCCAGAGGCGGAAAGCCATGAGGGAAACTACCAAGGAGGGGATGACAGTGATGCCCAGGAATACGCAAGAAAGAAACAAGACGAGGTACTTCAGCCTGTGCCCTGCCTGCCATTTTTTCAGCGCACACGCATGGATTGTCGACATGCCAGCTTGGCCGCTACGCATAGGAGAAGACTTCAAAAGCGCCGACCACCAACCCAAAAGACGCAGGCGACCTCATCATCCACCGCCATCAACGCAAGCGTCACCAGCGCGCTAAAGGGTGCGTCGGCAAAGACAAAGGGTCTTTGGAAGAAAGGCTGGCAGAAGACGAAGGCATTGTTTACGACGAAGAATTGAACGTGCTCTCGATAGCAGCCGCTCTATTCTCCCACAAGGCAATCGATCAAACTAATAATTGCCAACGGGACCTTCAATATGAACGAAACAACACGGAACACAAAGCGATTCATGTACCACTATGTTATTACCAACACCACAACCACAACGTTTCACGACGATACGATATGATACCCCTGTCTCGAGACCTCGACGACAGCCGTTGCCACGACCTTTTTCAAAAGCGATTACGGAATCACGGAATGATGGATAGTTTGAGGGGGGGAAAGAAGTGCAGATTCTCCAAGTGCTGGGTTCTGCCATGTCTTGTAAAGCGATTTGGGATTGGTTTCTGTACACAACGCTAGGGCGATTCTTGTATGAATATTTTGGTCAACAAAGGCTTCAAAGTCCTGGAAGAACGTGTATGAATAGGAAGGCTCTTAGTATGGAAGAAGGCCTTGATGCAGTCCCGACTTTATTGGAGTGCATGATGGAGCAAGATGGAAATGTTTTTGGTAACGGCGTGGACATGATACCCCAGCGCAATGAGCATTGGCATTCTGTATAGATAGCACCAAAATGCAAACTCCAAACTTGAAGATCACATTCCATTAGAACCAACATCTGAAAGAGCTGCTCAGGCGACTTGGGACATGTCTCAGAGGTAGATCTGATAGTGTCGATGCAACGCGCAGTTCAACACCCTCAGGCGATCGACATCTTGGAGCAACCGGAAAGCCAGCCAATGCGGCAACTGGTCCCACGAGGGTCTTGAAGAGTGACGCAGGATTCCGTGCTTCTGGGTATGCACATCATGATTAGGAATGCAAGCGCTGATCGGCCACTTACCACGTTTGCGAGCCGAAGTCTGCGAAGGTTGTCTTGAAACCTTCTACCTCGTAGCTTCGCAGAACATCCGAAACCGCGGAAAGTCAGTCTGCATTGGGATGGGATATTCTGGCTGTTGAGGCGTGTTTATTCTCTTTTCGGGATTGATGTACAACCTTGGTATTGCTTAGGTTTGCTGCAAAGTCTGAAGTACCTGCATTTCAGTTAACTCTAGGCATCTGCACCGTGACATCAGCCTGCAGCATGCGGTTGCATTAGGGTTGGAGGCGTATATCCAATGAAGTCTTGAAGGTCTGCCCGACAAAAAAGATCATCCCCCCGGAGTTCAGAGAAGGTTCGTGTCGGCTGGGACGTTGACGCCATGGGCTCGGTCCTGGAGGGAGGGAAAGGTTTATAGTGGAAGAAAGGAAGCATTCACTGGCTGTAGGTATGGTGTACATACTCGCACTCGTAGGTGTACACGAGTAGGAGGACGAATCTTTTTGGGTAGGAGGATGGTTCTGAGCTCGAAAACTGCTAACAAAGCGAAAGCCACAAACCCCAGCTTGGAGAGATGACTGGTCAGCGATGCTGCATGGAGCCAACTGCCGGGACTGGCACCATCTTTGTTCAACGTTGTGTGGGTTTGATAAGTTCAGGCCTGGCGGGAGTGGCTGCAACGCCATGTAATTTCCCCTCCACCAAGGAATCCACTGCATCACAAACACCATCGAATCTTGACTTCAGACCATCCTCAAACGAACTGCCCAGTCTGCCGCAAGTCGGGCAAGGTTTCGGAATCTCGGTTGGAGGTGCAAGCCAGACGTGATGCTTGCCACTGTACTGGCTGGAGGCGCAGAAGAGGAGAGACGGAAGGGTTGAGGTGCCCAAGTAGGTACAGCATGCAGAAGAGACAAGACAGACAATGCTTTCCGCCTCATAGCAGTCGACCTTGTTCAAAACAATTGTGCCTGCTCGAGACTCTGAGGAAGTGCGAAGATTGCTCTTGTTTCAAAGATAGAAGCGCACCCAGGGAGGGAGCAGGAGCAGCAGTCGAGATGAAGCGAGTCCCGCGAAATTGCACAGTGAGAGGAACAGGGCAAGTGCTTGGATTAGCCGGGAGCCACAAGGGCCTTGTAGAGCTTAAGGCATGGGCTGGCGCCATAGGCTGGGCCCCGGCCAGCAGGCTTTACCTGCACCGGCTAGCAGCTCTGGTGGCCCCGGCTTGTCGTCCTCGGTGTGCCGATCAACGACAACGCTTTGGTGTCAGCGATCGCCCCGGCCACGCTGCACAACCCAACCGTTGTCCGTTAGCCGGTCGCAGTTGCACCAGTTGCAGGTGCCCATGTGTGTGTTTACGCTGTGGCAGGGACGCTCGTCTGCCGGGCTTTGCAGAAGCCATGGGCCCCAGCAGCCCTCGAACCCCCAATCACGGCTACGAGCTGCCATCTCCTTCCGATCTCTTACCTCTTCCACCCTCTCTCCATCTGCGTCTTCTCACCTTGCTTTTGTTTTGCCTCCAATCCCGCTCCAAGCGTCTCTCTTTATCCGGAGCTTTTTCGACAGTCCTCTGACCAACAGTCGCTCGTTTCGCTGTCCTTCTCTTCTGCCGCCCATTCGACACGTTTGAGATATACACCTTCCAGTTTCACCTCTTTGTCCCTTTTCCAACGCTCCACTCGTGACTCGAATCTGTCACGGCCTGCCCAAGCTCGACAGCCTCGCTTCCAGCTTCCACCATCCTCGCCGAGCCCTGAGTCTTGTCGCCTGGCAGAGGGGAGCCCATTGGGACGACAGCCAGAGCGGTTGTGGGAAGAATGAGGAGTTCAGCATGAGCTGGAGTCTGAAAGAGGTGGTTACATTTTGGATATTCGCATTGGGAAGCTTCCGTTGACCAATCCACTCACCTACGGTCGACGGACGATCTCCCCAAAGAGCATGAAGAAACCTCGTTCCTTGGGCGCATTGGCCCTTTTTGCCCCCGGGGTGTTTGCGCAGAGCTGCATATCACTGGCTGGTTCGACGACTTGCCCTGCTTTCAACGCTTCTTCAATATCGACAGATTCTACTTTAGTTGCCCTATAGTGAGTGACACTTGATGTTCTTCAGCCCACGGATGAGAAGCCCTAACGCGATTACAGTCCCTTCCTTGCTTTCGTGACGTCGACCGAGAGCTTCGACACTCAATTAAGTCAATATGTGGATGAGCAATATGTACAGACAAAATATGTCAATATCTTTGGTTGTGACAACGTCAATTTAGGAAACACCTCCAGCTATTATGCCCGGTACACGACCAGCTTCCTCTGCAATGGAATTGTCCAAAATTCAAGGACACCCTGCGGTCTATCCGCCGCCGATTCCCAACCTCTGTGCGCCGATTCTTGTGCCGATTTGGCGCTGAGCGAGGAACAAATTGTCTCGAGCAACCTATGCACGGGTCGCAACAGCGACTATGCAGATGAACTTCGAGCCGACTTCACCAACTGTGCTTTGCCTGCAAATTCTATTAGTGGCAGTTGCATCACAGGAGAGTCAAACGAACCTGACGACTGTGGGTTCGGTGACAATCTCCCCGGCCTGTGCAGCTTCTGTCGCTCAAGCACCCTCAATGGGACAGACTCGTGCTGCTTGACCTCCAACGCGACTGGTCGATGCCAGGATGTGACGCTTCCTGTCTTCTCCACAATTTCCAATCTCTTCTCCTCTACTACCAGTGCGACGTCTTCACCAACCTCGAGCCCAACGGCTGCCGCTAGCCACGGAGGCGGTGGTTTGAGTGGCGGAGCGATCGCCGGAATCGTTGTCGGATCCGTGCTGGGATTTCTCCTCCTGCTTGCCGTGATCATCTTATGCTTCATGTGTCTTCGCCGCAGACGTAACGATAGCAAAGCAGGCAGTGTTCTCAACCAACCTTCGCCTCAAAGGAAGGGTGTTGTGTCTGCGTCCTACAACCAACCCATGTCGCAGCAGGGGTATGAGGTCTTACCTGGCGGCCGGGTCGCCCGTATGTCTGCACTGCAGGATGATCAACCAGGCGTTGGACCTACAGTTGGACCACGGAATTATACATCACATACAGACCCGTATGGCGACAGCCCAGAATCGCGCGAAAAGGCGCTGGGTGCGGTTGGCGCCTTGAAAGCTAATGGCTCACCGGGCAGCGACTCACAACATGGATCGTCTCCGGGTGACTTCTCCTCCCCGGAAGGAGTTGCAAGTGGGCAATCAGAGCAATTGCCGTTCTTCAAGGACTATTACTCTAACGACGATATACATCCTGGAGATAAGGTCTCTGTGCTATGGGCATATCAACCTCGAGCGGGAGATGAGTTTGAATTGGAACGTGGTGATATGTTGAAAGTGGTCGGCATCTGGGATGACGGCTGGGCGACGGGAGTGCGTATCAACGAGCGGGCAGAAGACTACGACGGCAAGCATAAGGTGCAACGAGACAGTGGTGTCTCGAACGGATCTGCAGCTCGCGAAGAATCCCCTACTCCATCAGGCGAGATCAAGGCCTTTCCTCTTGTCTGTGTTTGCTTACCGGAAGCTTGGAAGAAGACGGTAGAAGGCGACACGTCTACAGAAAGCGGCTCAGGCGGTGCTCCACCGATATGAGAAAATCGGCCCACTGTCCAATCATGCTGATTTTACGACGACATGCAGTTAGCAAGGGGCGTTTTCGGGATGGAGGCTCACGGTCCGACGAGAACTACAGTACTCAATAATCCACTAATATAACACACCAAAAGCACAATTCATGGAGTCGGCGTCAACTTGGATCGCAGAACAAGGCCCTGTCAGCAGCACTTTTGCCCGGTACCGAGTTGGATCTTTGTTGGCTATGCGTTGTCGTTGTTGTTGTTACCTTCTATGCCTTCAGTTGATACCCATTGTGTATAGCCCTCTACCAGCTTGGAGTACATTATGCTCTGTGCTCGATATTCAGTGCTCAATGTTGACGTCGCATGGTTATGAGCAAGCGCGTTGGTCTAGTGAAAAGCTTTCTGGCGCAGTTGTGATTCCATATTCGGTGTGCTTGGTGAACAGGGCGAGGTGGACCGCATTGGCAAGGCTCGGAACCAAAGCATAGAAAGGAGAGGAGACAGTATCAGAGCGAGCCTTTGCAGCGAGATCAACAAAAGTCCAGCCGAGCCCCGAAGAATAGAGGGGCGAATAGAGGAGAATTCTACATTAGTCCCCTGGCGGTATCGTGTCAGAGGTGAGAGCCATGAATACAAAACAGAGAGAGCATTTTAAAAACCAAAGACCTCCCGCTCCCTTTATGTCAATTTATTCATTGTATCTTTGTCCTCCAATCGTGTGCCATTAACCGTTCTATCGTTAGCAGTGCGTTCGTGTCTGCTTGCCCGTACGCCCGCCTGCAGCTATATGGATAGAGGCCTTCTGTTCTGTTGATCCGTTTCGTGGTATGCTGGACACTGTGAAATCCCTCCCCACAACGCCCTGTCCGTCCCATATTATTATTACCTCAATCGCCCCAGTCGATGATCCTCTAGCCGATAACGCCTGGTAGAGAGAGGGGGGCAGAAAACCCTCAGCCGGTTTTCAGACCGAGATCGTATCAATCCCTAGAAGTCCAGAACGCCATTCCCCGTCCCCGCCTCTTTGAAACGCCTCTCTTATTATTATTAACTTGTGATCCAACCTCCCCATTGCATATTTCCCCTTCTGAGAAAGATGATGATGACGAGGAGGATCATGTCGCAGCGACGATCCCACCGTCTTGACAGATCGTGCCCGGCGCGACGGGGCCCATGTCGATGAGTCCGCCCTGGTCACACAGGTAGAAGGCCCTGTCGCCGTTGCAGGAGAGTGCGCCGTTGGGGGTGCACGGCCCGTCGTTCTCGCGGATGATTTGGCCGTTGACGCACGTCATCCCCAGAGCCACGGAGCCCATGTACACGTACGTCGTGGTGGAACTGTCGGTGCTGATGCATTGCGAGAAGCTCAAGGCGTCGTTGCAGGTGAATGTTCCGGGGACGCAGGGGAGGGGGAGGGAGGTGGGAGATACGGTGGGAGAGATGGTGGTGGTGGTGGTGGTGATGCTGGTGATAGAGGTGGTGGTGATACTGGTAGTAGAGGTGGTGGAGGTGGTAGTGGTGCTGTCGTCGTCGTCGAAGCGTATCAAAGTCGTAAACGTGGTTGGTCGTGTAACGCTCGTTCTTGTGAACGTAGAAAAAGTGCCTGTCCTTCTGATAAACGATGAGGTCGGGCGGGTCGTCGTTGTGGTCGCAAAGATGTTCGTGATTTCATATGTCGTCGAAGTCGTAGTCGGTGTCATCGTGGTCAATAATGTCGTGGAAGTCGTGGTCGTCATCAAAGAAGTCGTGGAAGTCGTCGAGTCAGCAAGATTAAATACAACAATGTCTGTAAGGTTAGCAAAAATGGCCCCGGTCCCTGAGAGAGCAAGGGCGGCAGTGGTCGAGCCGTTCGTCAATGGAAAGGGAGGGAGGGAGGTTGTGGTTGTCGTGCTCAGAACGGTGGATGTAGTTGTGGAAGCAATATTGAATACCGCACCTCCTGTGACGTTAGCAGCACTAAGGTCCCCTGTTCCCGTAGCAAAAGTGGCGGAAGAAGTTGTGCCGTTGAGAAAAGGGAAAGGTGGGAGCGAGGTTGAGGTCGTGTTCACAGCGGTGGCAGTCGTCGTGGTGAAGAATAGGTCCGCTGCGGGATCCACGGTTGTACTTCCAACAGCAGATGTTGAGGATGCAGGATCAGAGGTTGTCGTGGTAGTCGAGTAAGGCACACTCTGACTCGTGAACGCTGATGCGGGTATAGCACCAATAAACCCCGGCCCTGGATCGGGGACGATGGCATCCTGGCCATAGACAACATCGGTACCGGGATCTGGAAACACCACTTCTTGCCGCTCGATGGTCTGACAGCCGTTGCCAACGTTGCACACGAATATGTTCGGTAGTTGATCCATCGGAGAAGCCTGGCGTCTGTAAGGAGAGCCTCGTCGATGCCGCACGCTCGGTCCGCCCACGATTTGGACTCTCGCACAATTTTGATACATCTCGCGATCTCCGACGATATTGAACCAGGACCAGGAAAGGAGCGCCGAATCCGAGGAAGGCGCAAAGGTCGGAATCGTGAAGTTGTAGTTGTGCGTCAAGGGACATCCGCCAATCATGGACTTGATGACTTTGAACGTAGCTCCGTTGTCGTAAGAGAGCGATAGTTGACAAGAGCCTCCGTCGTGTTCGACCGTCCCATTTATCCACATCTCGTAGGTGCCGCCGGCTAAGTAGGTTGCTTTGGTCACATACCCATCTGTGTCATTCTGGTAGTTCTTGCATGGAAAGTTAGAACCGTCCGGAAACAATGGGGACGTCATATCATAGTCTTTTTCGTCAGTGGGGACATCAGGATCAAGGGGGCTTCGCAGGGGGTATGGCCAGCTCATCTGCATATGGGCTTGAGTGCAGAGAGGCAGCCATAAAATGGAGGAGAGGGCAAGGGAGGTGTGTAGAAAGCGAGACATGGGGGGGGGGGGGGCTTTGTCAGAGAACTGGCAAAGCGGGGGGTCAATAAGGTAGGAAGGGTGGGTTAGAAGACTTAGGCGAAGAGCCCGTGTCGATGCAAGGGGGATGGTTAACAGGATGAGCACACGTATAGGATCGTCGCTTGTAGCAAAGGGAGGTGAAGGGTGGTGGTCTGAAGGGAAGCGATCAAGCTTGATCAAGGGACAGATAATTCTGCGAGCGACATAACGCTCTGCTTATGTATATTCCGAACCTGTCCACATATGCCTCCATATAGCCGCCCCAAGTAACGCACTCCCAGCTTCGATTTCTTGAGATGGCGGACAAAGCTCGATGACATGCTGCTCTGGATACAGCTTGCAAGCGCGACAGGCTAGGGCGAAAATAGAGGAGGCTCAAGCGCGGCCTGGAAAGTCACCCTCAAGAATGTTGTCGATCCCCTGCCCCAGCATGACATTCTTCTGGCCCAGGAAAGGCCAAAGGAGTTCTCCCCTAGGCTCCAGGTTCCATCTAGTGGGTTTTGTAGGGGGAGATCTCGAAAATCCCCCGCAGCCGTTGTCATGGCGACGTTGTCGCCAATCGCACAGCCACAAAAAGCCTATCGACGATCGGCTCGAGCCTCGTCCAAACTCAAGAAACCCGGGGCATGCGAGCAATTTGTACTTTAGGTTTTGTGATTATAGGCGCCAATCTGGGCTATTTCCTCGAAGGGATGTCGATCTGAATGCGTATTGTCAATAATCGCCCGACCAGGGAAACAAAGTTGTCCAGAGTGCGCGTATATGTTGTGATGCCGATCGCTGCATGCAGCTCATATTTTGTTATTCAGTTCGACTTGCACCCTCCAAGTACCGTTCATCTAGGAAAGATGTTTGTCTATTTTCTCGGTACCTTTGGTGCTGCGGTTCCAGTGGTGAACCTCGCGGGTTTTGTGGTGAAGCTTCACATCGCAGTCGACCTGAACCTCTGATGATGAGATGGTGCGCCTTGTTGATCTCAACCGCGAAGAACAGTACTGGATTGACATACACAGTGCTCCAATGCAGAGGGTTCCACACTGTTGCCCTCACGACTCCACTCGTCGCGCCGAATTCGCTATATATTCCAAGCATCTCATCTCAGCGCAAATTCGAATCTTCCGGATGAAGAAGGCAGATGCTCCAATTCGGCATGCATTGTCGTCCAGATCGGTTTGCCTTTTCCCACTCGACCCATTTTACGCGCATCTCCTTCCGTTCTTGATGGTCGATGGTGTGGTCCGTCCAGGTCGCCTCCCGTCCGACGCTCAGGAGTGGACCAAGCCAGCGATAGACGGCAATAATGAGCCAGACTTGTCGTCTGCCAGAGGCATCAGGCGAAAGACTTTCGCGAGCTTGAAACATGAACTGTGTTTTACAACCTCGAGTGAAGCAGGTGCCCTTACACTTCGCACCAGCCCGGCTGTCTCCGAACTCTCGCTTTGACTCATTGATGCAAGGTGGGCCTTTGACTCCTGGTGGGAGGCGTTGGGTATTAATGCATGCTCTGCAGAATTTGCTCAGGATGTAGGGATCCCCGAGCTTCAAATGAGGGCAAAGTCGGAAATCGATCCCTTGCAGAGCACTGGATACATCCTTGGCCTGGAACACTTCTTTGTACATGCCACTACCGCCGCTTGTTCTCGTGTTATACAGAGGAGATGGCGATTGAAGCAGGGCCACTTTTGAAATCAAGAGAGACTCGGCCTTCGGATTCTCCAGGTCCATTACCGAGGTGCCTTTCTCCGGTCGGTCGGCGACAGACCTATTGCGAATAGAGTTCCTGCACCTCGAACAGGGCTCTAGTGTTTCAACTCGAAATGGTGCTTCCACCCCCGCCTTGATGCTGCGGATCGTCTTCTGGTAACCAAGGTGACGATGCGGACATAACCAGACCTGTCTACAATCTCGCAAGGTAGGTTCCTGTTTGATCTCTGACGTAGGAAAGGTAGACCGAAGATGAAGGGTCTGACACTTGCCGCACACCAGCTTATCCAGTTGAGTGGGGTCCTGATCTCGTTCAGTCATGCAGAGAAAATCAAACAGCTCCTTTCCTTTCAAGACAAATGATGGTGTGGTGTAAAGGTGGAAGAACCTCGAGCAAGTATGACGGAGGGCGACCTCGCTACTGGGGCTCAAATATGGCTGGAGGAACATCAAAAGCTCTGTGGGCAGTGATAAGAAGCCCGACTCGACATTGTTAAAAACTGTCCGCTCGGACCATCTAGTTCCTACCGACGGTGTCTGTTGGCGAGGCGCTCGCTCGATGATTATGGTTTCCGGGGTAAAAGCCAGTTTGGAAACGAGCTGCTCGTCGGAAGGTGTTAGGGACAACGCCTTGCTGGGCCATGGTTGCAATGCATCGTGATTTTCATCCAAGATATCAACCGGACCAGGTGCCGACTTGGTTCGCGAAAGCTTTCTGCGAAAACGGGAAATGACTGGCATTGTGACGATGTGTCGTGCGCCGAGATATCGGCAGTCAGAAATGCGGAGTCGTTCGTATCTTCCAACGCGGACAACCACGACAAGCACACAGGTGATCAAGCAAGTTTTAGACAGCCATCACAGATCGTGGAAGCAGCCGGCCGGGTTTGATCTAAAGGATAAATGCCAGATGAAAGAGGGGAGACATTAATCGTTGCTGACTCTCTGCCACGGCTAGAGATGTTCTGGACATTTCAGGAGGATGAGGAGGAGGAGTAGTTCCCCAGTTGGCCTTTGGGCCGATAAAGGCGAGAGGGTCCTTGATTTGGTGGCGGAGAGCATTGGAACTCACTGGCACTTACTCCCCTCGCTCGGTAGTACTGTTTGGCGCAGGACAAATCAGAAAAGCTCTTTGCCACTGGGATGGGGAAGCTCTCGCTACCACCAATTGTTCCACCCAAGCTTGTCTCGTTTATTGATCCCTGCAGCGGGCGAGACCCTTTGAGATGGCTTCGATGGATTTTAGCAGTGTGCCGCTTTGCAATAAGATGCTCTTCAGTCATTGGCGGTGGTTCAAGGAGAAGGAGTCCTGCCGTTTGTCCCGATCGAGACGGTTCACGATGGATCTGAAGCGACGCGGGAGTGAAAATCCATCTCGAAAGTCGCGTGTACGAGGCGCTGCTGTGCTTTCACGACACCAAAAAAGTCATGACGTCGTGACCAGAGATTGGCTGGCCGGTGGCCACCACTTGCAAGGGGAAATATCTACTCGGTATTATGGTTTTTTCCCATTCCTTCATGGCCAGGCTCATGCGCATAGACTCAAGAGATACATCGCATGTTTAGCCTTTCATATCCTCACCGATCGCTTCAAAAACGTATTCAGTATAGACTACTGGTTCTCACAGACTGTATTGCCTCGAGCGTTTACTCCCATGCCCTCTATGGTTTGCCACTAAGATCACGGCCATCACAGCTGCATACGATGCCCAAACGAAAGAGATCGGCCAATAATGCCACTTTGGCGGCTTCTGCCATACCGACTCCTGCATCAACTCGACGGACTAGTTCCCGAACAGCCTCCGCCGCCATCCCCGCCACGATTGACACCAACCCAGATACAAATGACACGATCAGGGATGGGCCGAATGCTCTGCGTGCTTCGCCAGACGCAGAGAAGCCGGAAGTGGACACGGCGAAAAGCAAGAAAGCAAAGATTAAGGTAGAGGCTGTGGGTGACGATGCTGCGACGCTTCCTGCAAAAGCTGCCTCTAAAGGAAGGGACGGGCTAGACAGAGAAGATCCTGAAGCTGATGGAGACGAGGAAGCCAACCCCGAAGAACTGAAGGAAGCCTTGTCCCGGCCGCCTCCAGTTAACAGCTCCTATCTCCCACTGCCCTGGAAGGGCCGCTTAGGTTATGCCTGTCTCAATACCTACCTCCGCGCTGCAAACCCACCAGTCTTCTCATCACGAACGTGCCGCATCGCTTCGATACTCGAGCACCGCCATCCACTGAAGGACCCCAACCTCCCAGAACATGCCACCAAAAATCGTCCAGATAAGGATCAGCCGGCCGACATAGCTCGGGGCCAGGGGTATGTCGAAGCACTGGGTCTCGCCAATGCGCGGGATATTGTCAAGATGTTGCGCTGGAACGACCGATACGGCATCAAGTTTCTCCGGCTGTCGTCTGAGATGTTTCCATTTGCCAGCCATGATGTGTACGGGTACAAGCTTGCGCCCTTCGCCTCAGAAGTGCTTGCAGAAGCGGGTCGTGTGGCTGCAGAACTCGGGCATCGCCTGACAACGCATCCGGGGCAATTCACGCAACTGGGCTCACCACGAAAGGAGGTTATACAAGCCTCACTCCGCGATCTGGACTACCACTGCGAGATGCTCGACCTTTTGAGGTTGCCGCCACAGCTGAACCGAGACGCCGTTATGATCTTGCACATGGGTGGCGTCTTTGGCGATAAGGCTGCCACTATCGCTCGATTCAAAGAGAACTATGTCAAGCTGCCACAAGGGGTCAAGGACCGTCTAGTTCTTGAGAATGACGATGTCAGTTACAGCGTCCATGATCTGCTGCCTGTGTGTGAAGAGCTCAATATTCCACTTGTTCTCGATTTCCATCACCACAATATTGTCTTTGATGCAGACAAGGTCCGTGAAGGTACACAGGACATCATGGACCTCTATGGCAGGATCACAGCCACATGGACAAGAAAGGGCATCACGCAGAAAATGCACTACTCAGAGCCCGTGCCGTCGGCGATTACTGCCCGACAGCGGCGGAAGCATAATCCGCGACCTGCAACACTGCCACCCTGTCCGCCAGACATGGATCTAATGATCGAAGCCAAGGACAAAGAACAAGCCGTGTTCGAACTCATGCGTACATTCAAATTGCCTGGGTTCGACAGCTTCAATGACATCATACCGTATGCACGGAATGACGAGAACAAGCCATGGAAACCTCCGAAGAAGAAGAAAACTCCCAGAAAGAAGCGGGCGAAAAAGGACGACGAGGGAGAATTGGTCGAAAATGAAAACGAGGACGACGACGGTGATGATGACGGGGAAGCTCAACCGCCGCCTCTGGTCCCAGAACCCGAGATCAGCATGGGTGGTCCTGATGGGCGAGTGTACTGGCCTCCGGGCATGGAAGAATGGTTGCGTCCAAAGAAACGAGAGGTCAAGCCTCGAGATCCGGCAAAGGCAAAGACGACAGCCGAGCGAGCGGCACTGAGACGGGCGGAGAAAGCTGCATGGCAGGCTGCAAGGGAAGCGTCCGCAGAGGCAGGGACGCCCGTGTCCGCGGCCAAGTCAACTCTGTCTGAGGCGCCCGCCGACATGGATGCAACTACGCCTCATGGAGCAAAGCCCAACAAACCTGCAAAATCAAAGAGCGTGTATGAGGTGGCGAAGACGAAGAAGCAGCAGAAACCGGTCCGGGCGCCTCGGTCGGGTGCCGCCGGTGTGAAGAAGAAGAAAAGTACTGTGTTGACGCCGAGTACGAGCGATCAAGACTCTTCTCTCGACGGCGAAGAGCAGGAGGAGGAGCAAGAGCAAGACCTCGAGATGCCGGACCTTACTGATGCGGAGGAGGAGGTCAGTCTGCCTGTCAAAGTCGACCGGCGAGCACCAACACGGACTTTGAGCGGAAGGAAGGCGAAGAGGAAGACTGTAAATTATGCGGAGGGTGACGACGACGACGATTGATCGTTTCTGGGGGGTTTTCTGGCGATGATCCTCGTATGTTCTGTGAGATGAGGTGATTTTATGGCGGGGCCAGTCAGATTCAGGCTGTAGTTGACAATATATGGTCCGAATATTTGTTCGGTTGGTGGCATATCCAGGATGGATTTCTGCTGGAGATAGTTCCAGGAATATCCATCAGTTGTGTCTATCATCATCTCGACAAAAGAGCACGGTAAAGACGACCAGGTTCGGGGTATCCAAGCCCGAAGCGCAGTAGCAGGAGGTTTCTCTTCGTATCCGAGTGATAATACATAACGGCAGTAACAATACCTAGGTAGGTACCTAGGTACGCAGCAAGGGCAGTACTGAGGCCTAGAGGAGAGTTGGGGGGAGTGGGGGAGTATCAGCGTGGGGGAAAGGGTCGGCCATGGTTCTCCAATGGTGGTGGCAATTTTTGCCCTTAGACTCGCAGCCCTTTCCGTCCTCCTCTATTTCTTCCCCATTGTAAACGCGGGAGGGACAGAAGGGAGAGGTTGAACAGGAACGGGAGATGGATGGCAGCAGAGAGATCCCGAGTACCTCGTACAGAAGAAACACACTCCTCTGCTGTGTTGTTTGTCTCGTCGGCCACGCTCGGTGGATTGGCCGGCTTGGGGCGCCGAAGAGAGCAGGACCTCAATGAGGGGATGATTCGCCGGAGCATTTCCTTGCTACGCCTCCGGACTCCATAGTACAGCTCGTAATGTGCGTTCCATGCACCCTCCCGAACCTCGAGAATCCAATGAGAAAGCTGTTCCTCGCGGATAGGTAGGTACCTTGTAGGCATACTCGAGTGGTAATGTCATGGTCTTGCCGATAACGTCACGATTGTGGAATAGCTTGCCAGGTTGTTGGGAAAACTGCTCGTCTCTGTTGCTGCGTTGCATCATTGATTCATAGCCTATTTACCCACGTTCCAATGACAATTGTGCCCCGCGCGTATTTTCCCTTGTTTGCGTCTGGATAAATTCAGAACTTTTTGGGGTCAGGGAAAAAAAGTAAGAGAGAGAAAAAGAGAGAGGAAATCCTTTTACCCCTCTGTCCATCCCTTTCTTGCTTGCTCCGTGTTCCATCTTCCCTACTGCGCGCGCAATCCTTCTGACACTCTCAAAGTACTTACCTTCTCGAGTTGAACTCCTCACCAAACACCCCTCTGCAACCATGGGCTATCCCGATACCTTTGAAGGGTTTATGATCCAGGACCAGAAGAAATGGACCGAGTTTCATAAACAAGAGGTAGCTAGACCTTACCTGGCCCACCAACCCGCCAGGAATCAAGCTGACTCGCGCCGCAGTTCAAACCCAAGAAGTTTGGCGACCACGACATTGATATCAAGATCGAGTGCTGTGGCGTCTGCGGCTCGGACGTCCATACCATCAACGGCGGTTGGGGCGAAGCACCGCTGCCCATCTGTGTGGGCCATGAGGTCGTTGGTCACGCAGTCAAAGTCGGAGATGCCGTAAAGACAGTAAAGGTTGGAGACCGTGTGGGCGTCGGGGCTCAAATCTGGGCATGCCTCAAATGTCCCCAGTGCAAGAGTGACAATGAGAACTATTGCCCACACATGGTCGACACGTATGGTGCCCCTTACCCCAAAGAGGTCGATCCAGACGAAACCATCTCCCAGGGAGGGTACTCGTCTCACATCCGCGCCCACGAATACTTCGTCTTTCCCATTCCCGATGCTATTCCCTCACACCTCGCGGCTCCCATGCTCTGTGCGGGATTGACGACTTGGAGTCCACTCGTGAGGGCGGGAGTCGGGCCGGGCAAGAAGGTGGCAATTGTCGGCTTGGGGGGCTTGGGCCACTTTGGAGTCATGTGGGCGAACGCGCTGGGCGCTGAGGTTACCGTCATCTCGCACTCCCCGAGCAAAAAGGATGATGCTCTCAAGCTGGGCGCAAAGGAGTTTGTGACCAACACCGAGAAGGGGTGGGCAGACAAATACGCCTTTGCCTTTGACTTCGTGCTCAATACCGCCGACATGACCCACACTTTCGACGTGAGCGAATATTTGTCGCTTTGCAAGGTCAATGCCACATTCCATCAAGTTGGTCTGCCGGACGAGCCCCTTCCACCGCTGAAAGCGCAGATGTTTATGAGCAACGGCAGCTCCATCGGTGCAAGCCATATCGGCAACAGACCAGAGGCCCTGGCCATGTTGAAGCTAGCAGCCGAAAAGAAGCTTTTCCCCATGGTTGAGACCGTGCCTATCTCGGAGAAAGGTTGCGCAGATGCGGTGTCCCGCGTCGCAAACAACAAGATTCGATATCGATTCACCTTGACGGATTACGATAAGGCATTTGGAGCTCGTGATTGAGGAAACTGGCGGCACAGGAAAAGGGGACCGCAACAGCGGCTGGGAAGCTAGCTGGGAAGCTAGCTGGGAACTTCGCGTCCGGACACTAACAGGAATACATCGAGAAGTGCCGACGCGCGGTCTTGCTGCTATGCTGTCAGTCGCCAGCCCATGTCCGAGTTGAAGGAAAAGCAACCTTGACACAGATATCTCTGTCAAAAAGCAGGATTGCTGCACGGTATGCTCATTCCGTTGCGCTCTGACCAACCAAGCTCGGGAAGGAGCTTGGTCGAGCAAAGCAATGAGCTCCCGTGTCATTTAGATAGCGTGCATGGGTATCTGAGACCTGAAAGACAATCAGTTTCTCGCGTATTCGCGCCACCAGCACCAGATCCATTCCTCATGACCTCCGCTATTCCGTTGGTGCCGTTGGAGAAGGGGATGAGCAGCATGCTCTCTGTAGAAATCTTGTCGAGCAGGTCTGTGACTCGCTATGAGCCTATGAACCCCGTTAATGAGCGCAGATTCAAGGAGGCGGTAAGTCAACTGAGTGGTTGAGTCAGTGTGTCAATGTGTCAGTCACTCAGGCAGCGCCGAAGGCTCTTGCTCCAGACCCTGCCAGCGCTCGGACATTTCAGGGCAACCCACAGGGTGTCCCCTTCTTCTTGGTGGCTAGCAGCAGTGCCTCTTTGGCAGGTGGATGTACGTTATTAGCTGTAACCGCTTCTCCGGACCAACCCCTCGACAAGAAAGTGTTGCCACTCCCCCAATATCCCCAGGAAAAGACCCTATTAAATGTTCTCCCTCCTCTTTGTCAGGTCTGGAAGCGCCGAGGTGGTACGCCTGGAAGGGCTCCTTCGAGATGGAAGATCCCGGAAAAGGCAAAGGTTCGGACAAACTGAGGGCGCAGGAAGCGAAAAAAGCAGTCTTGGTCGGCGTCGATCTGATGGTTCGCTTCGCTTCTAGTGAACGGGAATCCAGCCATCTGCAGCTCCTGCCCACTGCATCCAAGAAGCAGGACATTTTGTGGCGGCTGATCATCCCAGGTGAGAGGCTCCAAACAGGCGCCCGGTCCACCTTACGACCTTAGGGCATCAATGGGTAAATGCCATGCGCGAGATCAGAGCTTTTAACGGCTGGGGGGGCTCACGGGCACACTGGTCCCGCTGGCTCAGGGCTGCGGGTGGAGATGGCTTTGGTGAGCACCTAATAGGAGCAGGAAAATATTATTAACTGACAGCCTGCATGCCAGCTCCCCGTCGTCTCCGTTTGTGCAAGCTGCCAACCACTGTCAACCACTGTCAACCACTGCCAACCCACCCATTGCCATCCCGCACCTTTCCACCCATCGGGACCCTATCGGTGGCATCCGTTGCAATCTGGGTGCAGTCCTGCGACTTACCTGTGATGACATTATAAACTTTGTGCATACCCGCGATCTCCTGTCGTCTCGATCAAGTTGTGACCAAAGCACCCTGGCAGCATCAATCCATCTATTTCAAACTCCCCAGTCTGCTGTTGGATTGAAGAGTCATGACAATATAATATCGAGCAGCTGGTGAGAAGGTGGCCGTGAGTGCCTGCGGACACCAGCTGTTGTCCTTGCTTTCCCCGGCAATTCGGACCGTGGCCCTCGTATCCGTTGATCATTGTTCCTTCATTCCTGCGCCTTTCAAAAAGTCTGCTTCCATTATTTGGTCCCAGGCTCGGCACCCGTCCTCATTGCGCCGGTTTCCTAATATGTGTGGTGGAGAACACCAGGGATCTACCCGTGAGCTCTACATGAGCAGGAAACAAATCTGCTGCGGCGCCTGTCGGAATGATCCTCTGATATCATCATGGAGAGCGGTCTGAAAAAGCTATGGACCCGACGGAAGAGTAAAGGGACCGATGGGAGACAAGATGGAATCGGAATTCTGAGGAAGAGCCAGAGCACTGAGCAGGCGCTCCGATCGGTCGCTACAAGCTCCCCGTCAAACCACACCCGGATTGCCTCGACAGACGCTCAATACAAGTCGAGTGGCAGCAACAGAGTCCCGTCAGCACTGGCTGGAGCTGCCGCCCGACCCTCAACCTCTTGGTCACGACCTGGCACAGATGGAAGCGGCAGTTTAATGAATGCGGTCAATCTCGCGGCTGATGCCGTTGCCAGAGCAGACCAAGAATATCACTACCCTGCAGACAGATACCCGAAAGAACAGGTCCGACCCAAAACCCCTCGCTATGTGGACATTTTTTCCCTCTCGAGCTCCAACAGCCCAAACCCGAGACCTGGTTACAACGAGGACGTGGCTGAACGGAACCTGGATTTGGCTCGAGTCGCTCTCGAAGGTACCCACCAGTATGTGCCTTCCAAATTCCAAGAAGAAGTCGCTGCCAGGAATGCATTTCCTAGTCTCCCTGGAAGCGGTAGTGTTGATAGCTCTCCGTCGGTCCGTCAAAATGGGTTTCATGGCAGCCAATCGACTGGTCCGACTAGAGGGATATCTAGCCCTGTGAGCAGCTACCCGCAGTCGCCTCAAAAGTTTGGGGAGCGCCCTTTTTCCAGGCGTACTCAAAATGTGAATAGTTCGATTGGGTCACATTCTCGACAACAGAGTAATCGATCTTGGGATTCTCAGGGGCAGTTACACGAATTGCCGGCTTCAAGACATAGTATCGAGGACCCACGTCAGACGCAAACACTTGCTAGCCCAACGACAACACTGGCGAGCAGTTCTCACGAACCTATTAGCAGCCACCCAGGGGGAGGTCCGGCAGACTTCCATCCTCCTGTGTTTCCGAATGGCGCTCTCAGCAATTATCAACTCTCAGCCTCGGAAGTGACACAAGTAAAGCCCAATGAATCATACCAAATGCACCGGCCGGGAGTTGTGACATCTCCCGACCACTCGACGGATTCCCAAGCCTACACTCATTCAGTGCGGTCGCCCTCAAACTTAAGCAACGCGTCTTCTGTGAAGCGAACAATCACGCTGCCGAATCGAACAATCATGGATTTGACCGGTAACGATTCAGAGGTTTTCTCTGAAGGGTATCCTCCGTCAAACTACAGCTCTTCTCCTATCCTGGAACATGCCAAGGTCGATACGGCGCGGAAAGTCCAAGGAGCAGCCATATCTGGGCCGACCACTGAAGATGCGAAGACTGATATAAGTCCGGCCCAAATAAAAACCCATTCGCCCATTGGGATCGAACAAGCAGCCGCTGTTCCCACTCCACCATCCCACCAACCACAGTTGGAGCCTCCTTCAGAACTGCCCAGGTCAGAAGATCCTCCTCGTCCTCATTTTGCCATCAGTTTCTCACCCATTACCACTATCGCATCCGCATCGCCTCGAGCAAGTGTTGTTTTGGAAGCGCCGATTACCTCTGACCAAACAGGGCAAACTCAGATCAGCCCTGGATTGGCCGAACTGCAAGACCAACAGAACGACACCAGGGATGCGTTACGCGCCAAGCAGGTTGTGCAGCAAGATGAACACAGTCTTAATCATCCTTCGGGATTCAATGTCAATGAGGTTGAGGAACAAGCATTGCAGTCCGGCAAAGAAATCGGCGACGGAGCTATCCCTGTAGGCCAGACTGGAAAGGCCGTCGAACCTGTAGTACAAGAATCGCCGGCAACGGCACCGTTCGAACCTGACCATGACCTCGATACATCACCGCCACGTCGTCCATACATTCACATGGCTTCAGACGGTCTAAGTTCGACTGGGCTGGGTGATCCGGTTCGTCCTTCCAGCGTGAGCACTAGGGAATTTGCAAGCACTCCTGGCAGATCAATGCTGACAAGTGTTCCCGAAGAAGTAGAAGTCAAGAGCAATGGTCACGCAAAGCCGCCAGGAGAGCTTGTGACGGAGACAATGCCGAAAGGCAGTAGCCTGTATATTGACAGCGAAATTCCCCAGGAGCGACTTCACAACGCTTTCGGGTACCAGTCGACGTTTGACGAGAGAGAATATGCGCAAAAGCAAGCCGAGGCTCGCGCAGCTCTCATTCGACTTCAGCATAGTTTGAATGAGGCTTTTCTCACCCAGCCAACCCCTGCGCCGGACTCGGCATCGACTAGATCTAGCCCCTCCAAACATGCCTATTCCTTCAGCGATGGGAAACCAGCTGCGCCGTCTTCCATCTTCTCACAGGTCAGACACTCACTCACCCCGACAGATGCGATGGGCGAGGCTGACAGACGGCTTGAGGGTGGTAGATTGGAGACCTCTTATCATCATTTGACGACGGTGCCGCACGAGAAGGAGGGTGGAAAAGCTCGGAGAAAGAGATCAACCCGTAGTGCCGCCAAATCCGAGGCGCTTCACAGGAAAGGAAAGCAAAGAGTGGAATCCGAACTCAACGGGCCTGGTCCGTCCATCATCAATGATTTAGAGAGTCCAAAGCGGCCTCTACACCTGCCACCTCCTCTCCACCTCAATGGCCATCCTATCCATCACCTTTTGCAACACCAGCCGCCTAGCCCAGGCGAGATTTCTCTGTCAAATTTCCCAATACCCGTGTCCTCTCCTCGCCAGTCAGTCATTCGACCACCAGTGACTGAGGACGCTGAGACGCAACAGGCGCCGACTCCGACCCAGCAGCACGCATATCCACACCAGGATCCCACTAGTGCTGCTGAAATGAAAGAACGGATCTTGCGGCGCCAGGCCAGTCAACGAAGTCAGGCAAGCGGCAACTCGGCGTTTAGTATTCCATATCATATGATCCCCGATCGGTCGAGTAGCAGACGAGACCGGTCGGTAATGGAGACGGACGAATGAAGCCGCAGGGTATTTTCTGCTCTGTCGATAATGGCACCAGCGCAAGATTTGGTCGCGGCTCTGGGAATATCCAGGGGTGGATCTTGGTCCCCTTTTGATCTTTGTCTTTTGTTCGTAAGCGACTTACAGCAGGATGGATTCAAGAAAAAAGTTGTTTCTTGTTTAGCCATGTATCAACGACCCGTGACGACACTTGAGATATCAACCTGACTACTGACTTGTATCCAAATCCTTGAAATCTATATAATACATTCTATATATATACATATTCCCCTTCTTTGGGACAGGACGTCCCGTTCAGGCTTGCCTTCCGTGTAAGAACAAGAAACCCTTTCGACCAAAAGGACCCTCATGGCTATGGACATTCCGACTCGGTGGTTCTTGGCCACCTTTGGTGCTCCTCGCCGCTCGTCATTGTTTGTTAGCGGATTACCACACAATATTGTCAATATCACATTACATGTCCGAACGACATCAATGTGAACTAAACCTCGTCGAACCTAGATCCCTCTGCTCCTCTCTCTCTCCTTTCTTACTGGTAGGCGCTATCTGCTTGCTGTTAAAACCATGTTTCCAACGACAAGCAAAACGCATTTGTCAAGTGACACAGCCGGGATCCCGAGAGAGTTCTGGGGGTCGAGAAGCGAGGGATCATGTACGTATGGTACTGTTAGGTATGTAGCTATGTACGCAAAATAGAGTACATAAGTCAAAATATTTCCTTTCTTTGCCTGCCTCCCCCGCCTTCTTTTTGTCTATCGCATGGTTCATGGCTCATGGGGGCCTTACGGTACAGAAGCATTATCCGCCGGATTTTCTTAATTTCATCCCAAGCAAATGCGTACCCGTACCGTACGTAGTACACATTATATTCCGTACATGGTGTATACGGGACTCTTTTCATAGGCCCCAAACCCTCATCCATCCGTCCTGGGATTTGATCCACCCCCTCTCTTGTGTGCGACCGCCTTCGACGCCCCTACTGCTCTCGACGACTTCCTCCTCGCCCGGAAGACGGAGCCATTCGTCCACGCAGTCGGGGATTTCTTCCTTGACGTGGCTTACCACGACGAGGGCTTGCGAGGGCGTGAGACCCGGGAACAACAACGGGACATTCTTTCCTTCTTGTGCGTCTGATGGGCTTAGTGCTTCTGTGTTTCGCGGTGTCTTGTGCTCTCCGAATTCAAGCCACGACATGGCCTTGTCCCTTGTGTCCGCGGACAGACCTGAGAAGGCTTCGTCGAGGATGATAATATCCGGCTGCTTGATGAGAGCGCGAAGTAAGAGGAGAAGTCGCTGTGCGGAAAACGGCAAGATACCGAACGCGTGGCTTTGCTTGTCGCTCGCCCAGCTGAGATCGGACGATCCGGAGTCATTAGTCCCAGAGGCAGAGGCATCGATGGTATAATCTTGTCGTAGCTCTGGCTCCCACCAGCTGAGAAATCGATTCACCATGTCACTGCGTTCCGCGCTGAGGTTCGGTTTCCCCGCGTAGGTCTCCGCCCATGCACTCTCCAGCACTCTCCTGACCGTCAGGTGTTTTGGGAAGAACTGGTGGATTTCAGGGGACGAATGCCCTATTCGACTCTGGATTTCCCACAGACTCAGCCCCGGAATCTCCCGCTCGGGATCGGGGAGTCTCGAGCGACCAAAGAACTTTATCGGCAGGGAGTAGGACTGCGGGTGGTCGGAAGTCAGGAGCGACAGAAGTGTGGTTTTTCCGGAGCCGTTGGGCCCAAGGAGCGCGAGACGCGTGCCTTGGTAGATTGTCATGTTTAGACCCGGAGTGCTATGACCAGGTTGTGGGGGAGGGTGGCCGAGGACGGTTTTGGAGCCGTATTGAACGACAATGGACGCGAGTTCGATGAGTGGATCGCCGAGTTGCCTGTCCCTGTCGCCGAGTAAGGATGGCGAGGACTCCCCTTGCTCTTGGGAGGCTACTGTGGATTCTGAGGCAGGTGTCGAGGGTGACGTGGGAGCAGCGGCGGAGGCACGTCTAAGTAGCTTGCTGAGATCTTGTCGGTCATTCTTCTCTGTCTCAAGTCCGTCCCTGAGAGAGTTGTCATCTTCCTCGAGGGCTTCCAGCGCAGGAGTGGACTCTTCAAGTGTTTCTGGATGTCTTGATATACCTTTCTCACTCAAAACATCGCCCGAGACGCCAGCCAGCGGAAGGCCATATCCCCTTGTGATTTGGTCGACCACTTTTTGGTCTGCAGGGGAGATATTCGAGGCGGAAACCACATTCACCCACCTGCGCATATCGGACAATACTTTTGACTTCTCACCCATCAATGCCACGGTATGGTTATGGCCAAGCACAACCAGATGGGTTATCCAATCTGGTATCGGATCTTGGGGGCGTAGTCCGAGCATGAGAAGTGGGCTCGACTGATATGCCAGCTTCTTCAACATCGGCGACAAATTCACCAGCGTCGGAGGATCAAGACCCATGAAGGGCTCGTCGAGCAAGAGAAGTAGCGGTCTGCCGAGCAATGCCTTGGCAATCCTGGCCCGTCTTGTCTGGCCATTGCTGAGGTTGCTCACCGGCATGTTTGTCAACTTCTCCAACCGTAAGTCGGAGAGAACCTTGTCAAGGAGGCGGCTGTCCACGCCGCCGTCTGGTGCTCTCTGTCCAGGATTGAGTTCTGTGTCGCCTTTGAGATATTGCAGGACCGTCCAATCTGTTTCCTCGCGTCGACTCTCGTAGCGAGCACTCAGGTATGCGCCTCTTACTCCTCCGGATCCGCCAGCCGGTTGCCCTTTCGTGCTGTTGAAGCCCACATACTGGATCGCGCGGGAAGGGACACGAAGACGGTGGTCCTTCCGGTCGTCGATGTAGCTGGAGGCTAAGTAAGGGTAGGACCTCGCATTGGGCGGCAAACAAATGTGGGAACCCCTCAGGATCTCGAGAAACGTTGCGCCGTCAGATGCGCTGATGACAGCCCAGTGTTCATCTTTCCTTTCGCCTGAGTGGCCCTTGCCGTAGACCGTTGCAGGCAGCTCAAACGTCAGGTGTGGGAACAGGGCTGGATTGGAAGAAGAGTCATGGCGATCGGCGGACGGATGTTCCTTGTAGAAGGTCCCATTTCGAATTTGAATGAGATTGAGGTGGCCACGTTTCAGAGATTGCCGGAAGAGGCAGACGTATGACCTTCGCATGTCCGTCGCATGGTTCTGTTATGGTTGTTTGGGAGAGCTGCATCCTTGAGATTATGACTGGTAAAATCGGAGTCACTAAGGTGTGAGTTGCTGCATCTCCAATTTTCGGGTGCAAGTTCGGGCGCAATGCGACAGCCTCGGACCAATTTCAAGGCTGCGAGGCTTCGACCGACCCAACCGCCTCAAGCTACGCCGCAGATTAATCAGAACAGAGGAAGCAGTGGATTCCAAGGTCATCATTTCTAGGCCAGCTCTATACCAGCTCTCTGGATATCTGTTACATGCACGCATGAGCCCTCCTTGGCGCCATCGCTATGCTGGAATTCATGAAATTCGGTCCCAAGCAACAAGCCACCAGCCATTCCAAGCTCGTCGATCCATACTGGCACTGCTGGGCCAATGGTTCAGTCGTCTCCAATCCTAAAGGACCCTAAAGGAAATATTCATTCCGTCCACCTCTTGATGGTGGGACATGTCGTAGCTCATCCTTGACAGCGCTGAAAAGCTTGAATGTTGGCTTCATGTCTTCGCCAATGTCGCATACCGATGCCAGATTTCCGCATCTGTAGCAGTAATTCGGGGCGCTCCATACTGTCACCACGTCCTGACTCTTGAAGTGATATTTATAGCCTTCGTTGACTAGTTGATGTGCTCTTGCAATGAGGTTGAGTCCGTTGACGTGGCAGAATTCCTGACTGACTCGGTCTCCAAACAGCCAACCTGCTCCTCGAGGCGATACTGCCCAGGTTTCGACGTCTTCGGGGTCTGACCATACGAGATCGCAGAACGCGCCTTCGTGAGGAATTTCTTGTGCTCGTGCGACGACTCGGACTTGATCAAGGGTTCTGATCTCTGGGGAAAGACCGCCGTGGACGCAGAGGACTTTGCCATCTACTATGGCTCCCAGTGTCATGAAGTCGAAGACTTGACAGCAAGCCTTCCATACGGACGTGTTTCCGTATTTCTGCACACATTCTTCATAGAAGCCGTACACTTGTGTGATTTGGCGAGATTCATGATTTCCTCGAACCAGGGTGATTTTGTCGGGGTATTTCGCTTTGAGGCATAGTAGAAGTGTAAGGGTTTCAAGGGAGAAGTATCCACGATCGACGTAGTCTCCAAGGAAGATGAAATTTGCGTTTTGTTTGCGTGAGATGACGTTTCCTGACTCTGATCTCTCGTCTTCGATCTCTGAGTGCTGTGATGAGGGTATTTCTTCGGCATCGCTGATCTCACTGTCTTTCTCGCTTGGTGTTTCAGGATGTTCTGAGCCTCCGAGTTTCAGTTTCTTCTTCAACTTCGGGTCTGTGATGGTGGAAGGTGGTTCAATGTCTGCGGAAGTGATGATGTTTGCCGGGGTGACGGGTGTTTCGGGGGCCGATTCATTGGGCATGCCTCCTGCGACTCGGAAGAGTTCGAGTAAATCGTAGAATTGACCATGGATATCGCCACAGATTGTGACTGGGGTAGACACGGGCTGGATATTGGATTCTGAAGATTCGGTCAGTTCTACCTCGGAGACTGTAGCACCAGATGACAAACCTTCCATCATGTACTCCTTGACGATCTCGCAGAGCTGCTTCATGTGGTATTCGGAGAGGTACTTGCAGTTTTTTGCTGCTTCGAGCCATTCGTCGGGTCCTGCCGATCGCTTGAGGCGTGCTGGCCCTGGGACAGGGACCTTGACTGCGCCCATGGCGCTGGTGAGAAAGAGGTGAGTTGGCTTGGATCTGCCCGTCTGTACGTGGATTCGGTACCCAACTGGCTGGTTGGGGCTTTTGGAAGAAATCCGGGGGCACGGGGAGTCCGGAGAGTCTTGACAAGGTCGACGTAGTTGAATACCTTCGGCTTGGGCAGGCCGAAGAGGGCGCGACGGTCGTTCTCGTTGACTTGGCGAGAACGACGGCGGTGGGAGGGGGGAGGAGAGGGGAAAGGTGCTGAAGAGGGCGAACCCTCAAGAGAGTCTTCTTCGAAGACAGGGAATTCTTCTGGAACGTCCGCCGTCTCTATGACGACGTTGGCGGCGTCCAATTGCGGCCTGTGGTGGTGGAGGAGGGAGAGGAGGGAGTCGTTGGCGACGTGGTCGCCGCGGAAGACATCGCGGGCACGTGAGCAATGGTCTTCGGCGAAAAGAAAATCCGTGCCGAAAACGGGAAGGGAGCCCGATATTTATGGAAAGCGAACGCCCCCATCCTATCGCTCTGTATTCACTATTCACAGTGTCACTTATTCACTGGCGGTCACATGGACTCTATTCTAACATTGTTCTTCAGTGAATAAGGCGGCTACGGTGACTCACTTCGCAGTGTCATACGTCCAGACAAGAGTCTCTCATTGTTTTCTCACTTTCGGCTCAGAGTTTTACGACAATGTCAGGCCATTCTAAGAGTCGCGCAGCAGCAGGTGTCCTGCCTGTGAATGCTGCGACTAGGAAAAATGCATCCGCCCAGTCTGCGTCGAAATCGGGCCCAAGAACACCAGCACCAAGGCTGAGGCTGATCGTCCGACGCTTGCCCCCTGGACTCACAGAGGCCGAGTTCTGGACCAGTCTGGGCGACGACTGGAAAGTCGGCAATGGCAAAGTTGAGTGGGCGGCTTACAAAGACGGGAAGGTCTCTAAAGAGTATTGCGCTCTGCTCCAAGAAACAGTCTGATCTCTAACTGACCGAACGTAGTCCTGCGAAACCGTCGAGACCAGCCAGAGCTTATCTCAAAGTCAAGGAACAGTCACTGTTGGATTTGTTGTCTAAAGCAGTGAAGGAATCATCGTTTCAGGATGCTAAAAACACTAGCAAGGATCCTTGTCTCCTGGGACCACCATCTCTCGAGTTTGCACCATACAACAAGATTCCCGTTCCTCGCGTTCGACATGATGGTAGACAAGGAACCATCGACCAAGATCAAGAGTTCATCGATTTCCTGCAAAGCCTGACTGAGCCGATCAACAAACCAGCGTCGAATGGAGCCGAAGCTGCCGACGTCAAAGCCGACACGATTACTATCACTCCACTGGTCCAATATATCAAAGAGAAGAAGGCCAACAAGGCCAAAGAAGCTGCCCAAGCCAAAGCAGCCAAGCGCGAAAGCAAGGAGGCGAAGCCCACTAAGAGTGAGCGCACGCCGACAGTTATCATCAAGGGCAAAAATACCCCCAACGCCACGGAGAAGGAAAAGGAGCGAGTAGCGAAAGCAACACAGGACGCTGTGAAGGCTGCCAATAAATCCGCGGCCGCCATGCAAGGAAAGCAGACAGCATCAGCCAAAAACGAGAGCAAACAGACTTCGGTAAAGGAGACTCGCCCACAGTCTCCAGCAGCCACCGCAGCAGCCGGAACATCAACACCAGCCCCCACATCAGCGAAACGAGAGCGAAATCGAGAGCGGGACAGTGGAAGGGCTGCTGCCCGCATGCTGCAGCGGGATCTGGGGCTGTTAGCCAGAGAAAATACCTCGCAACGCTCTCCAAAGACTCCATCCTCGAGTACAGCTCCGGCAAATGACACGGTGACTTCACCGTCAACAGCAAAAGCGTCGACACCTGCCACTGCTTCCAAGTCCTCCGAACTATCGACAGAACAATCTAAATCGTCGACCGCAGCTACGACCACCACTCCTGCGGCCCCTCCAACCGGTCCACGTGCTTCCCGGGCTCCAAATGCGACGCCCACGAAGTCGGAACCACCCAGCACACCATCAACGGCTTCGGCTCGACCACAATCCGGTCAACGTCAGTCCAAAACCTCGTCTTCTCAACAGCCCACTGCGGGGGCGAAGTCTGCATTTCTCAAGCACGCAAACCAGTCTCAGGGTATCACGGAGGAACTTCTGCAACAAGTCTTCAAGGAGTTTGGAGCGATTACCCGTTGTGAGATTGACAAGAAAAAGGGGTTAGGTTACGTCGACTTTCAAGAGCCCGAGGCGTTGAAGAAAGCCATGGCGGCGAGCCCAGTCAAGGTTGCGCAGGGCCAAGTCGTGGTGCTGGAGAACAAGTCCCATCATGGCCAACATGGCAAGCGCGGCGGTGGCGGCGGCGGTCAAAACCAAGCACCATCTGGGCAGGCAAAAGCAGGGGCTGCATCATCCCCTGCTGCGGCTCCCGCGGCTGCAAACTCGCCCAAGCCAGCTGCTGCAGCGAAGACTGCCACCACTTCACAGACGCCCGCCGCTGCTGAAGCTCCGGCCGCTGTGACCGGCACAGCTTCATCGTCTGCCTCTGCGCCAACCACACCAACTTCAGCAACCCCACCCACTGCACCGCGGGGAAACGCTAGAGGCGGTGGTGGAAGCGGTGGTCGCACGGGTGCCCGTGGGAATAACAGTGGGGGAAGGAAAGAAGGAGCCCGTGGTGGCGGAGGGTCAGGTCAAGGTCAAGGCCAAGGTCAGGGTCAAGGTCAAGGCAGTGGGAGACAAGGGTATCGTGGTGGAAGAGGAACCTTTGGAGGTGGTAAACGTGGCGCAGGAGGCCAAGGAAACGCAAATACCACAGCTGGCGCTGGCGCTGGCGCTGCTGCTGCCACAGGGGCCACCGGCGCAACGGGAGGCGCAGGAGCTGCAGAGGCTACTACTCCCAGCGTTCAATCGACACCAGCGGGCAAGGAAGATGGGAAGAAAGATTGAGTACGATGTGACGACAACGACAGGCTGAGCTTTGGAGTGCGACTCGATTTGGGCAACTCGGTGACTAGCTCAGTTTTTTTCCTAACCTGCGCTCTGGAAAGCGGCCGTGGGAGGCGTCGGGCGAGAATCGACAGTCAGAGATCCATACCAAGCTTCCTTGAGCACACGGTAGAACACACAGTGGAAGGGATACTTTGACACAGGCCGAACCAGATAGTCATTATTATTATGGCACATATCTCCCGACCTGGTGGCCCTTCGTCGATTCGAATTGTCGATTCTGCTGGTAACCCGACCACTGTGATCTCTTTCTCGCTTTGAAGCACAACGGCAACCTTTTGGAGTTCTCGAGGCAAATGCTCGCATCGTGCAAAGGCTGATATGGGAACCCTGACTCGTTGTTCTCAACCTCTCTCCCTTCAGGGGTAATAGTCAAAGAGGCAGATCCTCTCTGGACACCTAGGCAAGTTCATACGCAACAGCGATGCTTCCGCACGAGGAGACACTAGTTCTCAGCGCATGCGAATGATTCATCGTCTCTTCCTCGTCGGCGGAGCAGGCTCAAATGCATCATCGTCGTCATCATCGTCGTCGATCTGCTCGTAACTCTGACTTCTACTCGCCGCCGCTGTGCTCCTTCCATTGCCTAGGATATTGTTCTGCGACGTGGTGAAACTCAGGGTTGATTGCTTCTGCCTCGAAGCTGCTGCAGCGCCGCGGGCTGGGGGCTTTTTCGTCGCTGATGCGAAGGAGGTAGGCTTCGTCCTGGCTCCGCCGGCCCGGGTGCTGGCTGCTGGTGTTGTGTTGCGCCCTCCTCGCTTAGTTGTTGCGGAGGCGGCGGTGGTGGTCTTGCGCTTTTCAGGAACGAACATGGCTTGGGAGTCGTCTTCGAAGTCGTCATCATCTTCCATCATGACGATGTCGCCGTCCTCTTCTTCTTCCTCGTCTTCATCGTCTGAAATGGCGCGTTTTCGTGCGCGCGAGGTAGCAGTCGTCTTTGCGGCGCCAGGTTTCTTCGCAGTCGTTGTCGTCGTCCTGCGACTGGTGGACGCCGTCGCCGAGGAACCGGCTCTGCCACCCCTTCCTCTCCCTCTGCCTCTTGCTGCTGTTGCCCTCGAAGCAGGCGTTCCGTCGTCTCCGTCTCCGTCTTCGTCCTCTTCCCCGTTTCTACTTTCTAAATCCTCCGAATCACGAAGTAACGCTCCCGGGGTTTCCTCCCATGGCCCGTCGAGATCGCTATTCCAATCAGCCGGCTTGGGTTTAAACCTTGCTTTGTTCTTGGACGCCTTGAGCAAGCCCTTGGCAAACATTTCTTCCATCTTTGCACGCTGCTCTTGGATCTGGGTGGCCAGGTCTTCTTCATTGTCGTCGGCGTCGTCATTGACGTCGGTCTGCAGTCTCACGAGGTGTTTGATTTGATCTGCGAGGGATTCGTTCACGAACATTTCCATTGCGTGCTTGTCGTCCTTTTCCACGTACTGGTTCACGGCGTCCCCAAAATAGTTTTGTGGGAGGATGGTGAGGGATTGGGCTTGGAGAAACTCGCGGACGAGTTTGTCAACCCTGATGGTCTCTAGAGTTTGAAGTTTGGCCATGATCTCCTTGTCTGCCTGCGCATCTCGAGCCGCGCGGGCCGCCGCGTTCTTCTTCTTGACATGGAATTGCACCACGTCGTTGGTGTTGGCGACCTTGTCAATGAATCTGTTCGAGAAGCGTTGCGGATTCTCGATGTCGAACTTGCCGATGCCGTCCGCGGAAGTTGTTTCAACGCGCAGTCTGATCAAAGGCAACGGGCATTCTTCCTGTTCTTCGTCCGGGTATTGTCTTTCTTCTTGCGCCTCCAACCATTCTTCCCTAGCCTGCTCAATCAGCCCGTCAACAATCTTGATCATGTGCCGGGTCAGGTCCGCACGATGGTCGTCTTTTGATTTGGCGATTTTGACGGCGTCCTTGTCCGCGGCGAGGGCAATGTCTTTGTAGACGAATGGACGGACAGTCTTTAGCCGGATTGGCTCGCATTTCATTTCTCGACCAGTGATGCTAAGAATTGCGACCTTCTTAGGAACGGCTTCGCCCGGGATCAAAGAGGTGGCGACAGAGGAGCCCGGTTGCATGACCTTGAAGTTCATTTCCGGATTCAGCCTGGGTTCAATGTCACACTCGTGTTCATGACCCCAGATCACCAGATCCAGAAAATCTGGTAGAAAGTTCTCGGGCAGATATGAAGTCTCTGTATGTGCATGATGATTTTGGTGGACACATATCAGATTGTACCAATCGTTCACCTGCTTGCCTGGCCGGTGGAATTTGACCTTGCCGTCTCTGAATGTTCGATGCAGGCGCTCGTCTCGTACATTAGAGAGGCCATACAGGGCTAATTTTGTGCGGCCCTTTTGTATCAAAACTGGTTTGACCACAATGTTGTCACTCTGAGGTGTCTTCCCGTAGTAGTTGACCAGTCCGGAAACAGCAAGCAGGTCTAGGGCAGAGTAATGGCCTTCTCCGGTTGGGTCATCATGATTACCGTGGATGGAGAAGACCGGGATCCCGACGTTGATATTGGCGTCTTCGTAGTTGACATGGTCGAAGGTGGTGTCGAAATGTTCTGACTCGTCGGACAGCATCTCGAGCTCACAAGGCTTGTCGCCCAGGCAGTTGAGTCTCAGGGACCGCATGACATTGTACATGGACTTTCGTGAGGGCTTGTTCTCGTGGAAGAGGTCACCGGCGAGGAGGACCATGTCAACATCGCGATCTTTGGCCAGGCACATGATTTCATGGAACGTCTTCCACGAATCATCCCCTCGGATCGGGTCTCGTTCGTGGGCTCCGACATGGTTGTCAGTGGCAACAAGGATGGTTATTGTGTCTGCCATGGCACCTGTTTATCAAAGAAGTGGAGAGAACATAGGAGGTATTCCTGTCAAGAAGGATGCTGTGAAGGATAGGTAGATAATATTTCGCGTGTCTCAATGAGGCGAGTGGCACCCAGGTGGCTGTGGGCGGGTTGCTGCCTGTTTGGCGGAGATGGAAGGGTTGGGCAAATCACAAACAGCGCTGTACGGACAGACGGCGAGACATCTTAGGACCGAGCCTTGAAGAGAATGCACCTTGGGTATGATTTGATTGCCATTCCCTACAGAGCAGGACATTGAGGGTGAAGTAGGGGAAGTTGGTGATGGAGCAGGATTGTGACTTGCAAGACGCGACGATGAATGTGCGTCGCCACACGCGCCTGCAGCCGAAACCAAGACCAAGACCAGAACCCCTCGGCGCTCACCACTTAATCAACCACAGCAAATTGCTATTTGACTGTTTGAGAATTGTGCTCTTGTTCTTTGACGGCCGATACAAAAGACACGTCTGGAATTACGGAGTTCTTTATCTTAGCTGCTTGGTTGGCGACCGACGGCGATCGATGCATAACCGAGCCCGACGCGACTAATATTTAACATTTCACATGCCGCAGAAATTTGCGCCGAACAAGCAGCTTCATCTTATGCTCTGACGCTTCCTGGTTACAAAGTCCTGGAGGAGTAACGTGGTGACGCCCTCATGGAGTGACACCTGCTCCTTAAAACCCCTGCCCGCGCTGGCCCCTCCCGCTCAGCGCTGGGGTTGCTGTCGGCCGGAAACGCGTCGGCGTCGGCGGATGCGGCAGCCCAGCTAGCAACCTTTTCCCTTTAAAAGGCGTCATCCCCGTCCCAACGTCCCTCAACGCCGCCAACCATCTACCGTCACTCTCCGCGCTTACCCTTCACACGTGTCTCCTCTGGCCGTTCTTTCCTCGGTGCTCTAGCCTTTATATGCGAGGACAGCATCGCTCGCTGTAATTCCATAAAGATGCCGAAAGGTCCAAAGTCCATCGCGGTGCTGTGCGCCGAACTGGGCATGGACGGTGTTGCCGAATCCAACCTCCGCAAAGATGCTCAATCCTATCTCAAAGCTCATGTCGAAGACCTTCCCAACGCACCCGATTCCGCGATTGAACCCGTCGCCTGGACTTTCCTCGAGTCCGGTGGCGGTAGCCGACACTTCTCGTGGGACGCTGCTCTTGTAAGATCACTTTTATTCAAAAGACATTGGTTTCTGTCTAAGCTAATAAACACATTCAGAACTATCAATGGGAAGCTAGCGAGCATCGTTCAACTATCCTTCACTATGTGACTGAGATCATGAAAATGCAACGATGGTATATCATCGACCGTCTCCACAAGCGAACCAACGGTGCCGTGAACTGTCCTGGCTGCTTGCTGCATTCTCCCAAACAAGGAACTCCAGAAACCGTGGATGGTGTCGCAACTGTTAGCCACGTCCCCGTTGATGACACTGACTCATCCAATGGTATGTTTCCCCTTCAGCAGACCCGACAGAATACTAGGACAAACAAGCTGACGACCGCACCTATTCAACCTGCCAGAATCCGATATGGGAAGTATCCATGACGACTCAGGCAGAGACGACGGTCTCTCGGCCAGCGAAAGCAGAAAGCGACACCGTGCAAGCCGTGACCGCTATTCCGGGGCCGAAAAGAAGAGGCGTAAATCGTCTGGCCCACAAGAAGAGGCCGGCGGCACAGTCGGCACCTTGAGAGAGGAAACGCAACTCCGAACGACATCCATCTACAACGTCGTCCCGAATCCTCGACCCTCAACAAACTCAAACGCCCATGCGGGCTTCACACCGGTCAATCCGACAGTCGTCGTTGAAATCCAGCGCGCCGCGTCCAAGCCCGAAGCCCAAGCCCAGCCCTCCTCCACACAGCTGGCTTCTTCTTCTTCTCAAACGCTTACCCTCAAGGACTTCAACCTCTCGATGCGCTACCGCGGCAAGCAGTGGCACTTCAATAGCATCGCGCACAAAGCCAGAGTCCTCGAACAAATCCTGTTGCAGGAGGAGAAGGACGTCGAATCCTACCCGATCGTGGCGTTCTCCAAGGGGGCGAAGAAGGTAACGCTCGGCGGCGACCTCGGCAACGATCCAGATCCCGACGGCGACGAGAGGGCCTTGAAGGATTACTTCCGCTTTTATTCGCATTTCATGAACGACAGATTTCCGGGTAATGAGAAGTTGTTGCTGGAAAATGGAGTGAGGCCCTCGGCGTAGGATGCGGCGGAAAACAGAACTCGTCTAATCTGGGCCACAGTGTTAAATTGATGTAAGCAGGGAATACAAAAACTGGTGGTCGGCAAAATTGTCACAGGCGTTAGCGCAGGTGTCTTGAGGCTCTCTGGTATGCGAGGGGAAGACGGGTAGCTGTTGCGACACGGTCGGGTTTCCAGATGGAGGGATTGTCCTGTCTAACTACCTAGTATGTCTGTGTACGGTCTTATTCGAGATACTGCTCCAGCTATCATATGATGGAAATCGACCACTTTTCTCGAGTTCTTGGTTCGACGGCGCCTCGGTCTAGCCATCGGGAATTCAGCCGTGCTGTTCCTCCCTCGTACGTTATCTGCTCTCAATCTCCCGTGCCTTGCTGGAAAACCAGCAACACTATCAATGTGGGGTGCCGAATTTCATGAACCTGTACGGTGACACCACCGTAGGGGTGGCCGGATAGCCAATGTACATACCCCGAGCAATTTTGACCGCGCGGGGGCTGCACAAGCGATTCTTGAGCTCCCGTTGAATCCACCATCCCGCAACGTGTTAACTGTCCTTCCGTACCAGCGGCCCTGGTTCCAATATCCATTACGCAATGCTTGCGGTTGTGACAAAAGCGGGAAATCGGTCAAAGCTCGAGGGACATCCTGGTTTGCGTATCCTCCGTCACGGCGTTCGAAACTCTAAATGGAGTTACACGGCAGCATATTGTATGGCCTTTTGCCTGTACGTGCGTGGATCAATAATTTGCCTCCACGGCCGAGTACTCCTTGCCTTCGACTTCCAGGGAGAACCTCAAAAGGCCTGACGGAGTGCTCTCGATCTGCAAGTCATACGACAGACGAGTATACGCCGCCCCGATGGACGAAACCTTCGCTTAAACAGCTTTTTGGGGACTTCGTTAAGATCTGTGGTCAGTTCACAGTTGCGTTTGACTGTGGCAGAAGGCGTTAGTCAAAATAGTTCCTAACCTTGGAAGAGGCTTTCTCGAGGGCAGGGCTTGAGGAGTCGACCAGCGTCTCACCTTCACTAGTGGGATGATCTGGCGCATCGGAGACTGTACACTCATAAAGCTGATTCTTGACGATCAAATCATGTCCGGAAGGATGATGACCAGGAAAGTAACGGTGCAACCCGAGCTTTGTCTTCTTCCCACGCTCCAGTTCATCGTTCTGTACTCATGAATCAATTCCTCGCTCTTATCGTTGTTCGTTGTGAGCATTCTCGTAAAACTAACCATGAAGATGAACCAAGACATGACTTTGCATAAGGTGACTTCATCCCATTTACCCTTGTATGTTGGAAAGCCCTTGTCTCTTATGGGATCGTACTTGGAGGACATGCATGTGCCGTAGTGCTTTGAAGCCTTGGTCGAAACCACAGAAGGGGCGGCTGCCATCGGTAATTTGCTCATAACAGCTCCCCTGAGGACCGATCAACCATTGCGAAATGCATAACATCAGCTGAGCATTCACCTGATGATTGCGGACCACCTGTGGATGACCATCGTCAGCTGATTAGGGCTTCTCGATTCTATGATTGCAAACTTACGCTTCCCTCGGCTGGATGACCATGATATTTGGGTTCGACTTCTTGATGATTTCCTTCAAATACCCGCTGGCTCCGAAGCCACAAATAAGAAATATTGCCTGTAAGCCTCAGCAAAGTTGACTATCACCGCTTGTCACCGTGGATGCGCAAACCTTGAGGCCGTCCGGGTTGCTCGGAGTGGCCTGCAGACGCTGGAGCTTTACGTTCTGGACCTGCTCAGTAATTAGGCGATCGACTTCGCGGACGATCGGATCAAAGAGTCTGAAGATAGTTGCACTATAAAGAGATCAGCATCGCGGTTGTATGAGTCGTTCAAGTCGAACTCACCCAGAACGCGCCATGGAATTCTTGACTAGACCGTGCCGAGGGTTGTCCTTGAGGTTGGCCATGGGAAAGCTGATGAACTTGTCTCGGTCGTTCTTGCCTTCAAATGAGACCTTGATGGCAACGTCAAACTCCTTCAAAGCAGCGCGGTATCCATCAGTCTCTTTGAGTTTGATGTAGGCTTCGTCGCCGACTGCTTTCCTGATTTCCTCCTCCAGAAGCTTGTTGATCATGGTACTCCCCGCAATGCCTCCTGCAGGCACAGAGTCAGGCAAATATCTGAGGGCTTCTTATGAGGCCAGCATACCTGAGGGCTTCGTCAAAGCCTTGACCTCGAATGGTTTCAGGCTGAGGATCTCATAAGAGATCAAATCCACAGTACCTCCTCCTGCATCACAAATCAGGATAGCATCATCTAACTGCAGCAATGGTGAGTCAAAATTGCTCGTATAGCGACGACCTATCATACCTGCAATCCTTGTCTCTTCATCGACGCCAACGTATACAGAGCGCCAGCTTCTGGCTCGGTAATCAACTCGACCGGTGAAATACCAGCCATCGTGGCAGCCTGTAGCCCCATTAGCCTACGTTCCATTACCAGGTGAAGGCCATCAGCCTACCTTCAAAGTCATATCCTTAGCTTTGTCAGACCATACACCTGGGACCGTAAGAACGTACTGCTTGGTGAAAGAGTTCAAAAATTCTGGATTTAGAGTATTCGACTCGATCTCCTCTATAGCATGCTGAAACATGACCCGCATATAGTCGCTTGCAACCTCCGTCACATCTTTGGGGAGCTTTGCTTTCTCGACCTCGATATTTTCGGGGATGAAGAAGGGTCTGTCTTGGTCCGGGTCAAAGAGCAGCTTCATGCGCTCAATTCTCTCGCCTGACGATCGTTCGAGTTCGTAGCCTCATTTGAAGCTCGTTTTCGAGCCAGCTTCGTATTGAATCGTGGTCGGTGCTTTAGGAGCTAGTCGATCTCCTCCTGGGAATGAATCGATGATGTGGATCTTCTCAGGGTCATTGGAAAAAGCATATCCGATTCTGGGCCATGGGGTCTAGAATTAGCCTACAAGGCCACGAAAACAACAACGATGTACATGATCAGGACTAACTTACCCGCTGTATGTGGTCCCGAAGTCTAGCCCAATGATCAAGCGATCGCCACTGACCTCTCCTCGTAGAGAGAGATTACCAAAATCGCTGAAAGTCTTGTTGAGTGAAGACTCGGAATACGGTGGTGGATCCATCTCGCTGCAGGAATTGTCCAAGGGTGAGACGTCCATCCGGAGTGCAGAGCGAACATGATATTATAATACAGATTCTCAGCCTGATGCGAGCTCTCGGCTGACCACCATGCACGAAGTGCGTTCCCTGGCTGCCCTAAGGAGACCCGTCGAATCTGAAGGTGTTAGAGGTAGCATCGCCATTTGGCGGTGCTGCAATTCATGCACAACCTCCACGTTCCACGATTCACAAAACTGATTTGACAGCGAAACGGTGAGCCCAGAATATTCAACACATGCATGGGGAGCAACTTGCATTAGACTATCTTGTAACGAACAGCCACCAAAATGAGGCAACAAACAAGGCGTACTAGCGCGGTTCAGCCTAACGTGAAGGAAAATGAGTTTTTGACATTCTCCCTACGTAGACTCTTGGGAACTCCTCAAGACTCAGTCGATGAGCGTACTGCAGAAGGTCAGCATCGTGATGATCCTGTAGATGAGCCTTCGCTCGGTGGTAATGGTGTTTTCTTTGTATTCTTCTGCGGAGTACGAGGTAGTAGGTACTTCCTCCTTTTTTTTTGGGGAACCTACATCAGGCTGAAAACTGTGGAAGGTGGAGCATGGGATCCAACCGGACAGAGCCACCGGGCCTGGCCGGAATATGTCCTCGCAGACAGAAGGCCGCGGACATTCGAGGTCTCCGGGATGCCTGAGGGGTACTCGCGCCTTCGTTGGACCGCCTTGGACACTCCTCGTATCAGCTGCTGGAGTTCTCCAGATGATCGCTGATAGCAACGGGTGTGGGGCGTGCCTTTCGAGGCTCAGGGATTGATAAATTGCCATTGCCTGCCATGGATGGCGTGACTCTGTCTTTCGTGGCCTTGGTCTATTCTCCCGGTTTTTCATCTCTGATCGGATCGGGTCTGTGAACTTCGGCCAATAGTAACAGCAGGCAAATATCTGTCCATCAAATCAACATGACACTAATAATGCATATGCAATGGCGGGCATAGTACCACAAGGTTCTCGGGAACCACATATGGATCTCCAACATTCAGGACAAGAGAGACCAGATACAGGGGCCAACCTGTTCCAAGTGGTGAGCGGAACCAAGAGAGAAGAGTTCCAGCAGCCCACACATCAACTCATCGTAAGAACACCCACTGTCAGCTCTTTCCGCCTCTCAGACTAGGGACCAGCATAACTTGTCTCGGTGCTGATTTCATTCAAGTCCCAGCCAGTCGCATATGCTCGTGAACAACCCTCTGAATCCACGAAAGATTACCAGGGGCTATATCAGGATGAAAAGAGGAAGCTGGGCGCACTGCAGGCTAGGCTGCAAGAAAAAGAGATAGAACTGCAAAACGCAGAGCGAGCAAACAAGGAGTTGGTGTTGCAATTGACAGAGAGCCAAACTGCGCTTGCAGACATGAAGAAAATGATGGTTCTCGCAGGGCGCAAAGAGCCCAAGCCAATGGACGATGACATTATCAACAAGTTCATCACCCTCAAAAGTGACATATTGCAGCTGGTGAGAGCTCACTGTTCCGCCCCTGTAACACTTGATGGCCCCATGCAAGAAGATGTTGCACCTGAGCTGTCCGAGTTGATCGTGCGGCACCATGTTGCTCATCACATTTATGTATTTTCTTTGACAACTCAAACTTGCTCTTCGGGTGCGATGATGAACGGAGGGACAACACGCTGAAGAAGCTGGAAAGAAATCTCCTGAGAACACAACAGAGTAGGTCAACGGCTTGGCCACCACATTGACCATGAATCTTCGTGTGGGCTGATTTTCAGATAGCCGACGGGCTGGTTGAGTGGCGAAACAGGTCGATCAGCATGATCAAATCCCTGTCCAACTCCTCGAAATACAGATATTCCGCCCACAGTGCGACTGAAATCTGGCAAAGGATCGAGCGTTTCTGCCACCACGAAAAGGCAAACACAACCGCCAGGCAACAAGCAAGGCATGACCTCGAGAGCATTTGCCACGCAGCCTATGACGCTGCACTTTCCTTTCGCGAGACCAAGATCGAGTACCAATGGGAGCAAGACATGGACCTTCTCCCTTCTCGAGCAACCAATTTGGCTTCCCACGAGATCGTTGGATCTGTCGGACCAACCCCAAGTCAGGCCCACGAAATCGAGCGAATCGTGTTTGGAGGAGTGATCAGAGGCGACAGAAAAACAGGGCGGTTGAGCGACGGCAAGACTCGCCTCAGTCGAACCCTGGTGGTCATTGATCATCCATCCAGCACGGAGAAGGTGTAGATAGCCTTCATAGTCTCTATACGAGTGTGATCTCTTCATCCTCAAGCCAATCATCTGGGGTAAGACGGCCTGTTGCTCATCGACACCTCGGGAAGTGCTCAGTGACATTCAGCAGAAAGATCAGCCAAAGTTCATGTACCTACCTAGGTAGTTTTTGGGATGGAGCTTGAAGCGTAGAGCAATCCGGAATGCTTGAGGCGGCGCCACTTGGAGGTCTAAAGCGGCTAGCCGGTTTCCGCCGCAAGATTGAATCATGCGTTGGATTAATCCGTGACAAACACGCCCTCGACGCCTCCTTTCTGTTTGATCTCTCTACGATAGACAAAAGATTCTCTCAAGCCCTACCTGCGCAAGACTTTCAGACTGATCCAACTGTTGGCTCAGTCTTGACGACTACTCCAACTCTCTCTTAGATCTTTTTATGCAACCTGCGCCTTCTGAAGCCTCCCATAACGCGACTTCAGTAGAACAAACTCAGCAATTCCCCTCACCTTCTACGCAGCATGGACTTCCAGACTTTGAATATGAGGCCTCTGGCGGCTTGCTCTCCACGAGTAGTCCCAGAGAGCCCACTTCCGACCAGGAAGGACCCTCTGATAATGTCTCTGTCCGCTCCGGTGGTACCCAGCGTGGACGGTCCTCCAACACCAGATGGATAAGCAGTCGGGACAGCTCTTCTCAAGGCTCTCCTGGTAGTCGCATCGACGAATATGAAAGGGCGCACACACAGTACCGGAAACCATCCGATGGCATAATCTTCCAGGTTATCCCATCCGCGAGAGACAAGAATTCGAGGGTCTCAATTGAAAACTTCCCGAACGGTACGAGGTCATTGACACATTGGCAAGCAGGTTACTAATAAGCGTCAGAGGTTCTCACCCACATCCTGTCTCACTTGCCTCCAGAGACTTTATCCTCGATGAGCCTTGTATCTCAGCGGTTTCACAAATTGGTCACCACACCACATGCATGGCGCATTGCGTTTGCCAGATACTTCCCCAGTGCAGAGGCGTTGGATGCTGGGCCAAGCAAGGCCGCACAAGAGTCGGTATCAGATGTTGATAGAGCGCAGCGCAGGTCATTCACGCGGTTGTCAGCCCTTTCATCATGGAGAAGCGAGTATATCCTCCGAACACGATTGCTGCGCTCCCTGGGCCGTGGCCGGCCTGCAGTCGAAGCAATCTCTCGCTCAGGCGCATCCCGACATGCCAGTAGTGCGGCTGCAGCTGCAGTCACTACCTACGCATCCGGCCTGTATTATCCGATCAGCCACCTGCACGCTACATTTGGGGTGGGCTTGAACAAGAAGCAGCCGTTGTTCATGCATGGAGCAGTGGAGCAAGGAGCTGTCACTGTAAGCGATCCAGCCAGTGGTAAACCTGGCTCTTGGGGGCTGACGGATTTTGATGCTTTCAAACATTTCGCTGATCAGTTCCCTGGCGAGTTGCCCTATGGCCTAGGTCCTGGGAATATGGTTGGGATGGCCAATGTCATGGATCTTAGTCAACCTTACGGGAAGGTATATGGAGAGGCTTGCCCTGGAGGACGTGTCTTCTACACGTCGACTAGCGAGCAACGTGGACGGTTCGTGTCCATCTCCTCAACGGCTAATCATGCGCTCGGCATCCCTGAGACAACCATGATCGGCTGTGCCGTCTGCTCCGTCTGGATCGCTAAGTCCGAGTCGGTTCTCAAGGCTACCAATGGCATATTCGGCTTCCTTGCAGGCTTCTCAAACGGAGTTCTAGCAGCCTATGCTCTAGGTGTCAACCCAGTCCATGATCGCCGGTTTGACAAAGGAGAACTTACAGCCAAATGGGTTCTCTGCCCAGGTGTCCCAATCATTGCAATCTGTGTTGATGAGAGGGTCTCTACTCGGAGATTATCTGCCCGTCGAATCTGGGCTACTGTCCTGAATGCTCTCGGAGAGGTGTTCTACCTCACAGACGCTCCTACCAGGCCAGATTTTGTCGGCAAAGCTTCGCCCGAAGAGCTTGATCGTCTGGCCTGGAGAACTGGGAGAAGTGTACAGTGGTCATTGGTGGAGGCTACACGACGAGCGGCGAAACCAGATCCCTTTGGCACTGCCAAGGTTGACGGGAGTTACAGCCCACGCATTTCGAGCGACGAATGCGGCTTGAGCGCAGACCAGATCGTTGCTGAAACCAAAGAGGTTGAAGAATTCCTGCTTTACAAACCAAAGCATTTTCAGAATATCTGCAATGGGTGGGATATGCAACGAAGGCTGGTCAGTGATTTCGCTGGCGATGATGGGGCCAATGCAGGGGAGTCGGTCTTCGTCGTTGAATGCGGCTTGTATGAGACCAGCGGGGCTTCGGTACGCCGTTTTACGAGGTGTATAACCAAGATCGCCGTCGATTCAGAGCTGGACAGCTGGCCAACCATTCAGTCGACCATCAAGCAGGGCTCGATCTTTGGGACGTCGAGTCCAACCCAACGATCTCCATATTCCTCTCCGGTGCCGAGAAGTATCCCAAGGTCGCGCACATCCAGTCAAGATGACATTATGGGCTCGAGATCCAGAGAGGTTTGGCACATTTCGAACTTCTCATTTGCTGAACATCGAAACATTCACATCTCCGCCTTGGCTTCTGACGAGTCAGAGTTCGCCACCCTGAACGTCAGTGAGGATCCTCTGCTCGGAATGTCTGGCGGATCCAATACTTCTTCCCCGCTTGCCTCTCCTCTAGGTCATACTGGGACGTTGAGCTCAAGCTCGGAGATACCTGGACATCGTGCACGACTGTTCGGAATTGGTACAATGTCTGGTATAGTCATGCTCTGGGACATGCGCGCTAGCCTCTCTCCCAGTCCTGAGGTCGTCAACACCGTCTCGCCGGTCAGGATCATATACACTAAATCTCCTCAGATTGCATCCCTTGCCCTCACTTCGCTGTACGTGGTGCACGGTGGCAACGAAGGTCTAGTTCAAGCATGGGATCCCCTGGCATCCACAACTGAACCGGTAAGGACGCTCAATTCTCGATTTTCGGACCGGGCAAGGCGACGCATCGCTCAAGCTGAAGCTTCTGTTCAAGGCGTTGGAAACAATTACTATGCTGCAGGTGCTATCGTCCTGGACCCGGATCCAACAGTCTTGCGGGGAATGGTCTCCCTGGGGTCTTATGTTCGATACTGGTCTTACAGCTCCACTGCCGCCGATGCGTACAAGACGCGCAAGAGGGGTCAGCTTCGTCGCCGGTCAGAGCGTGGCAGTAATTCTACGCCGGCCAGCCAGAAGGTCAGTGCTACAGGACGGGGATTAATCAAGGATTACATCAGCAACGAAAGGCATGAAATGGAGCGGGAGAAGCTCGTCAGGCAGAAAGAGCTTGAGCGGCTGAGTGGGCGATTTGGCACCGATATCCTGGGTGAAGGCGCCAGCGAAGAGGAGCTACTGGCTTATGCTACCATGCTGAGCGAGGAGGCATTTTCCAGCGATGAGAGGAAAAGGAAGGAGACTCACGGTGGCAGCTCGATTGCCTCGCCCAATCCATCCCAAAGCGGCGCAGAAAACGCGGCTGATGCCGAGCTGGAGGAAGCGATCCGTCTGAGTCTGATGGAAAGCGAACAGGTGTCGTCCTCTCCGGCGATGAGCGCCAGTGACTTCGACATACCCATCAGATATGCAAAAGGCTCAAGACACGGTACACCTTTGAGAAGCGGGAAAGCTGGAAGCAGCAAAGCGAAAGCAGCGGCGCAGGAGGAGGATGACTTGGAGTTTGCCTTGCGGTTGAGTCTCGCCGAGGAACAAAGCCGGATGGCCATGGACGAAGACTTTCCGATGCTTTCCAAATCCACAAGTGGAGGATCTGAGGGCAGTGGCAAGGGGAAGGGCAAGTCAAGACGGCGTTGAGGAGGTCTCTGCTCTGCCGTTATTGTTGGGCAGCGTTGTTTCTTTTGAGGAGATGAGGTTCTTTGCTGTGTTACACATGTTCTCTTGCGTGCTGTGAGACTCGGTTTTATTCGTTGTTCGTGGCTCTCTAGTCGCAATTGGGCCCTTTCTTTATCAAGCGCCGAAGGCAGTGGCCATTCAGATAGATTGCGTTTCTTCCAATCAACCTCAACACTGATACGAGTCTTTTGGTCTTTGATCCGAGATCAGTCTGAGGCGGATGTCATGACTGCGAAGCCGAAGCCGGATCTCGGTTGGCGACGGGTAGTGCAACTCACTGTACCAGGCTACTTAGGTACCTCGCTAGGTACTCCGTAGGCTTAGGATGATGGAGCCAAGACCGGCCTTCTTCGAGCTTGTGCCTGAAATCCAGCCTCCAGCTCGGACTCCAGCTTTTCCCCGAATCCATTCTGTCGCTGCCTCGGCCAACACTCCGCACTCCTAACGTCCACTTTAACCTGCGATCGGTCTGTTTGCAGTTTTGGTGCTCAGAATGCCCTCTGAGAGCACCAGGCGAGCTCAGCAGCGATGACGGCGCCTGTCATGTCCCTCGCTATGCTGCGGCGGGCTTCCTCACCCTCCTCGCAACCATCTCTCTACATTGGCCTCAAGAGGCACTTTTCCAGCACAGTGGCTCGTGAAGCTTCATGGGGCTTCATTGGCCTGGGTGCCATGGGTTTGTGATTCCATCTCCCTTTCCCCTTTCACAGAAGACGTATCCTGATGAAAGTCTCCTCAAGGCTATCCCATGGCGAAGAACCTACGAGCCAAGATCCCCGAAGGTGACTCGATGACCGTCTTCGACGTCAACACTGCGGCGCTGGAGAGGTTCTCTCAGGAAGCTACACCGTCCGGAGTCGTCGTGGCAAAGAGCCCGCGGGAGCTGGTTGAGAATGCTGTGAGTTGTGTGACACCTTCCTCATTGCGCGGCCTTCGTTTTTCTTTGCAATGATGAGCAACCTATTGTTCTATCTATGAATCTAAGTTGGGGACGTTTTTTTTCCCGTCCTTTCCCATGATTTCCCATTCTTTATTAAAGCCAATCCTCTGAAAAAGCAATCCCCGGAAAGGCAAAACATTTACAAAGCTCAAGAAAAGAAACCACGCAAACTGACGGTGAAGAAAAAACCGGATTTCTAGGACAACATCATCTCCGCACTCCCCGAACCACGACACGTCAAGGGTGTCTTTGAAGAAATCCTGGCCTCTTCCCTCCCGCAAGCCCCTACCGAGAAATCGAGACTCTTCATCGACTGCTCGACCATCGACCCCATCACCTCGCGCGAAGTCGCAAAGATGGTGAAGCAGAAAGCCGGCGCTGATTTCGTCGACGCACCCATGTCCGGAGGCGTGGTGGGCGCCCGCGCCGGCTCGCTGACGTTCATGGTCGGGTGCGAGGAAGAAGACATCCCCAAAATCGAAAAGATCCTGTTGCTCATGGGCCGGAAAGTGTGGCACATGGGACCCCAGGGGACGGGACTGAGCGGGAAACTGGCCAACAACTATGCGTTGGCCATCAACAACATCGCCTGCGCCGAGGCCATGAATCTGGGCATGAGATGGGGCATTGAGCCCAAGGCACTGGCGAACCTGTTGAATTCCGCCACGGGCAAATCCTGGCCCAGCGAAATCAATAACCCCGTCCCGGGGGTGATTGAGACTTCTCCGGCTAGCAGGGGTTACGAGGGAGGGTTTGGGATCAGTCTGATGAACAAGGATCTCAGGCTCGCCATGACGGCCGCGCAGGAGGCGGGAGCCAAACTCGCACTCGCGGACAAGGCAAAGGAGGTCTATGACCAGACCGAGAAGGAGTACAAGGGCAAGGACTTTTCGGTTGTGTATCGCTGGCTGGGCGGGAAAGAATAGGCAAAACAAAAAAAAAAGGTGCTAGCATCTCAACCATACGAGTACCCAGTACATAGGGCCATGAGAGGACGAGGACATGGTCGAGAGAATACCTGGTGTGGCCTCGACATGGGTGACCTGTGCCGCATTCCGTGTTGCGAGAAAGAACTCATGTTTCTTTGATAGATCTGATATCCAATACACACAATCGGCCAGCCAGCCAGTCATCCTAAGACGACTTGCAGCCAGCGAGCGAGGCAAAAGTCAATAGTGAATGTGTATCACACCGCTCTGCGCTAGATACCCAGATGCGGCAAAAAGCTCCAAAGTACGGCCAAAGACCTTTGGATGCACAATTAGACTCTCTCACAGCAATTGGCTTGTTCGAAATCTTTCCCCTTGTTCTTCCTCTCCCTCTCCCCCTTTCCTTCTTTTCGTCCATCACCATCCATCCAATCGTTTCACAGGTGGATTAGCGGAGATTTCCCGCTAAGCTGCCCCAAAACCCAAGGTCGTGACTCGTGAGGTGCTTCATCATCTCGATTCTCGAAGAATAGGGGGGCCGCTTCTGGGGAAAGCGATGTGGGCAGGCGCTGCCAATAGGAGTAAGAAACGAACTCGGGAGTGTCATAAATGTTACAGAAGGCAGACGAGTACTCGGCAGTAGCGATGTGAAAGCGGGGGCCTCGATTTTCTCACGTCCCAGAACTGGTTGGCGCCATATTCCCTCGGCTGTAATGACAGCAACTGCACTCAAAGATGAAAGCGGAAGAGTCGAGCGGAGAGTCCCTGAGGGTTGCTGATTGCCTGGGCGTGATCCCCAGTTTTCACTTTGCCCAAATGTGCCCGTTGGAAGTCCAACGGTTGCGTAATTTTGCCTGTGAAAGAATCACTCTGGCTCAAGATTGCGAACCAGGACTCGCCTTCCTTGAACTTTCGCAAAAAGAAGAGCCAGAGCTTGATGGAATTGGGATAGTCTGTTTCTGAGAAATGCCAAAAGCCCAGACTTCAGGCACCCTGAGAAATCAGATCATTGCCTGCCCGACCTCTCGAGCTGAGATTCCATATTCGAGACCAGCGATTCGGTGATTTGCAGGGATAATCATCATATAACCCCCGCAGCAATGAGCTGCGATTCAAGGCAAGCGCTCTTTGAATAAACAAAAAGTGAGTTCGGTCAGAGTGGGCGAGCACCGCGAAAGTTGTCAGAAATGGTGCCAAACCATTGGGTTTTCTGTTCATCGAAGACCGGAACATACGTGAGGACACAATCGAGGTTGCGAACGGCCGAGGTAGTCATAAACGATTAGTTGTAGCCACCGAGCAAACGGCATATACCAAACCAGTGGTATTTAAAGCCCGCTTTGTTGTGCGCTATGTCGAGCGACCCAACTCTTGTTCGTGTCTCGAGACTCTGTGGACCAGTTGATTGTCTATCGAGGATAGGTTCATCTTGTCGGAGTTGGCCCACCTGGCTGAGGTGACAGGGAGTTGAGACTGGGTGGCTCGAGGACAGATTCTGGTTTCGTGGCTAGTCCAATTGTAAGACAGTTGGGTTAGGCATGGTTTTGTTGGATTCAGAGGTCGTCCTTGTCTAGAGAATGACATTCCGAATAGCCATTGTGGCGATGCGTGAATCCCTCTCTTCGGATTCTCCCCTTTCCTTCCTCCTGACTGCCTCGTCATAAGCCTCCTTAGCGAGGAGGCGAATGGCATCTTCGAAAAAGAACATACTCAGCTCCTTTTCCAACTTCTTCCATAGTCGAGCTTCAACATACTTGTCCAAGAATTGCCCCATGACGGTCGTCCAGCCACGAGGACGTATCTGCCCGTGCTGTATGACTGTTCCTATCATCATGTTGGTCCAGAGGTAACACTTGCGTTCCGGAGATTTATGACTAGGAGTTTGGTGCAGAGCGATGTCTGCTAGCGCTTTCAGAGCTGTCTCATAAAATCCAGTCAGATGATCTTGAAAATGGATGACTCTCAGAATGTAGCAATATGCAACCAGACCGTGGGATAGAAATCTCTCTGTAGGCGTAGTTTGCAACGTGGCAAGACGATGGAGATCTTCAAGGGTCGTCTGGATCTTCCTTCTCGAGGTCACATCAAATCCTTCACTTCGAACGGGATCCGACAATTTCGCCCTCACAGTCGCGAAATCGGACAGCAGTCGGATCGTTTGGAGCGAAATCACGCCTGTCAACCCAATGTCACAGAAGCCTTGAGGCAACTTTGCCAACATCTCACAGACTTCGGGTTTGAAGGGATGGGCCATGTAGACGGGGAACTCTGCATTTTGTAAGATTGACCCCGAGTACCGAGTCGATTTGTCGGGGGTAGAATCTGCCGCAAACAGGAAGGACCACAGTGCCTCGTAGGCATCGATATTGGTCCTAAGCAGCCGTTCCCAAGGGGACTCGCCTTTGAGTCCACCCCTTAGCTTGATCATCTGTCTCATTCCCGAGACGTGAGCATAGGCGCCGGAGTGATCGCCCAGAATGTAATCGATTGTGCCCAGCGTCGCCACAACCAGGATGGTAGTGTCGTCCGAACACTGGTGAGGATTCTGGAGACGTGCGCGAAGTTTGGTCATGACATTCCCTCGGTGCCATACAAAATGCCTGTCGCCGCGAGCGGACTGGCCCGAAGTGGCGAGGTGTGTGGCTCGACATAGAGCGACAAGTCCTTCAAAGTAGATATCGGAAGTCAAAGCAAAAGGCCAGAGCAGGCTCACGTAGGGGTTAGAATGACCGTCGAAGGCGAAGGCGGTGCCATGCTGAGGCGCCCAGACCTGGACATCTAGATCTTGGTCAGACGAGATGGAATTTGAGACTGTCGGCCATTCCACTCACAATACTGGGCCATGTTACCCACACAACCAGTGCTTGGGATGGGGAAAGTTTGGAAGGGATCAAGCTGGAGTCCATTGATGGGAGACCGCTTGATCTGCAATTGACTTGCGATGGCCTTTGACAGGAACTCTTCCTTGGCCTGCTTCACCTTGGGATTCAAGTGCTTGAGAGAGATGACGTTGCGCCGTGGTGATCGCGGGATCCGCCTCCGTTTGATGGCATTTTGCTGAGCCCACGATTGCGGGGTGGTGATCGAGACAGTCAAGACCGGTTCTTGCATGGTGACCAAGTCGGTGTAGTCAGAACTTATTCCTCCAGATTGCGAGCCAGGATCATCTCAAGTTCGCTCATGAAGAATGGACACGACTGACGAGAGGACCGAGCTGAGCAGACGGGCGTGCTTTGGCCATATGAGACGAGAAGAAAAGGGCGGCTTGAGTCGGCTTGGAGTTCTTTTCGCGGCCGGGCAGCCCTTCTAAAGACCAGGATTCCAGACGAACAACCCTTCCTGCGCCACTTGGATCTTTGCTGCTTACTTGATAGTCGCAAATCAAAGGGGTTGTGTGTGATCAGTCGAGTCGGGAGGGTGCCTTAGCGGTGCTTGTTTGGCGTGGGTAAGTCAGACGTTTAATGACTGTCGGCAAGATGAAGCGAAGGCGAGAAGCAGGAGGCAGGTGAGCATTACCTAGGTAGCCAAGGGACACCAAAGATTTGGTGTTTTGTGGTTTGTGGTTTTCAACCATGCGCGGTTTGAAACAGACGAGGGGAGGAGGAGACGAGTACGAGGTACTTGGTACTGCCGTGAGTGGTAGGTAGCCTGCTCAAAAGGCAGCTGTAGAGGCCGGTGGCGAGCAATGGCGACCCCCAGAACCAGACAACCTAGGCTGTCGGCTTTCACCCCCGAATCAAGCAATCACACTGGTCGGTTCAATAGGTCCAGGGAGCCTTGGGTTGAGGCTGGTGCTCCCACTCGGGCTTAAATTGGCGACACATTTCCGTTGTGGATGATATGAGTGGCAGCAGTGGCTAAAAGACCCCTCTACCCGTAGCTATATGGGTCGCTCGGGTGTCTCCCTCTAAACGAACCAGTCAAAGGTCAACAAGGGGGTCCTGCTGATCCCAAGGGGGGGAGCATGGCGACCCATGGCTTATCCGGCCGTGTCTTAGTCAAGCGTGGGTGGTTGGCTAGGCTTGCTAGGTACAGGTAGAGGGCACTAGCCGGGCGGCTCCTTGGGTAAGAAACAGAATAAGACGGCGCCTAGACCTCGGGACAAGGCTCTTACAGTCACCACCCACGTTCACCTATCATGCCTAAAGAATCGCTCTCTTGCCTGCCTAAGATAATTACCACGAGTAGTTAAGTTTGCCTTGTGCATCACCGTGCATTGGTGGCATCTCTAGCTGGAGATCCCTAAAGTGCAATTAGCTATCGAGGGACCCAGCATGGCCGAGTACCTACTGTAAATACATATATCAGCCCTCAGCTGGGACGAGGGGCCCTGCTCCTGGCACTTTCTTCACTCCCCGTGGCTACTCCGTTCTGTGGGCTCGCGGCTGCAGATATAGGTACGAGGGTACACGGCACAGCAATCTGCGGACAATAGCCATGACCTCTCCGCCCCCATCGGCATGCAGGTATGCCTCCAGCAGCTCCAGCAGCTCCAGTTAAAACGTTCTTCCCCATGGCCAGTTCTCCTCCATTATTCTGCTTGGGCTTTCGTGGGCGTGTCTGTCCTTCGCTGCCCACTTCCGGCCGTCGTCATCTCCCCAGCCGTTCACATGCCTGGTTCGGACCTTCCATGGTTTGAAGTCAGCCAACCTGCAAATTCCAACCTCAACAATCCATTCATCTGACTTTACCCGTACATTTCACTACACTGCACCTCTCTGCTCATTACTGCGTTTTGCTGTAATCAGTCAAAAGTGTCCGAAGTTGTCTGCGTGTCTATAATTGTCTGTTTTGCTCCTCATCCCCAACTCCGTGGCCATGGACCCTCGATGACCGGCCACCATCATGATTCTGCGGCCCTCGAGAAAGCTCGCTGGGCCAATGTATCGTCGAAAGTCGGGCCTGATTGCGGCTCTGCTCACCCTGTTTCTCTTCCTCCTCTTCCTGCAAACCCGAGTTCACCATGAACCTGCTGGCCCTCCTCCACCTGCCCGCCCCGAGTCTGCCCCCGAATCTGTGCCTCAACCAGAGTCCGAGCCGAAACCACCAGCCAAGATTAAGAATCCCCTCCTCGACAGCCAGGCTGCGTTCTGGCGAAGTCTGTATCTGATCATCCTGAACAATGATCCCAATTGCAGGAATGCCCCCGACCTTGTTGTGCCACAGAAGCTCGATATTGGCTTCGATCCCACCCACGATCATCCTCGACCTGACATCTTGTACATGGACACCGCCGACGTCAAGCGCATGCGTGAGGCCCATTCAAACTTTGTCAATGACTTGAAAAGCGATCCTCCCAAAATACCATATGAACCGGGCACTCGTGGCATTGTCATGACTGGAGGCTTCAGCCAACTTCCCGTCCTGGTCATCTCAATCCGCATGTTAAGAAGAGCCAAATCTGAGTTACCGGTCGAGGTGTTTGTTGCCGATCTGTCTGAATGGGATGAGCATGTCTGTAATGTTGTCCTACCGGCCCTCAACGCCAAATGTCTTCTATTTTCCGACATCTTTCATGCCGCCAATGCGGGTGTCTCGATCGGTCGATTTCAGTACAAAGTCTTGGCCATCATATTTTCCTCATTTGAAGACGTCCTGTTACTTGATTCTGATGCCTTTCCAGTCCAAGATCCTCTTCCGTTGTTCCAAGAAGAGCCCTTCAAGAGCAACGGATTGGTCGTCTGGCCGGATTTCTGGTACGCCTCCGAATCTCCCTACTATTTCGAAATCGCCAAAATCGAGAGGATACCGCCTTTGAACGAGCGGGCTGCCGTTGAATCGGGTGAAGTCATGTACTCTAAAGCCAAACATCATTTGTCGCTCCTCCTCGCCGCGTATTACAACTACTACGGGCCTACCTATTACTATCCCTTGTTCTCCCAAGGTGCACCTGGCCAAGGCGACAAGGAGACATTTGCTTGGGCTGCCACTGCCCTTAAAGAGCCTTTCTACACGGTCCACCAGCGGGTCATGGCTATTGGCCGACATGACTCTTCTGGTAACTACCTTGGTAGTGCTATGGCTCAGCACGACCCTGTAGCTGATTATACATTTACGAATGCATATGGTCCTCCCCACGAGCGAGTTCAAGACATCGATACCGGCAAAGACAACCACTTCGATATCCAAGCCAGCGACGTCAAACCCTTTTTCATCCATGCCAACTTCCCCAAATTTGATCCGGCCACCATATTCGACTTTCGAACGACGGACTTTTCAGGCGAGGTGTCCGGCGATGGGGGCCCGACTCGAGACACAAACGGCACAAACGTCCGTTGCTGGATGGATGAAGCTCGTGCCATTGAATTGTTCGGGTTCGACGTGGAGCGCAGATTCTGGGAAGAAATCAAAGACACTGCTTGCGAGTATGAGCACCTGTTTGCCACATGGAAGGGCAAGAGAGGAATTTGCGAGAGGACCCAGAAGTACTGGAACGACGTGTTCGGTTCAGATGCTTCGCTCGAGGATCGGCAGGATATGGGAACTTCAGTTGAAATGCCCGCGCCGCCTTGAAACTGTCTGCGTTTGCGCTCGAATTCGACCTCTGACAACCTACCCACGCACTTCCCCCATAAGACAAAGCACGATTCCCCAAATTGATATTAATGGGTTCATCCGAAAGCATCTACGCATATACGGACGGTGGAGCTTTTGTACATTTTCGGGCGCAGAACCAGCGGTCAGACTGAGAATATTAGCGGTTTTATCCCGACACCAAGGGTCTTTTGAGACGATTTTATGACCAAGATACAAGATATCCACATGGAGTACACGATACCATGTATTAAATAGGAACGAGATGGGATAATAGAGGTCCGGGCGTTTTCACGAACCTGGGTCTCGCACGAAAGATTCAAGGGAACCAGTTCGGAATGGGTCGTTTGAAGTGATGAATGGGTTTGCAGGTTTTTGCGCAGAACAAGTACAAACAAAAGCGAGGAGCACATGGACGGGCATTTTAATCTGATTTGAACAGGACATTGTTGAAACGAGAGCAGAAACATGCTCTTGAAATATGATTTTCTTGTTCTTGACTTGGTAAACACCATTCGAGCTTCGTGACCAATATCCACATTTCGGTTTGCGTTCAAGACTTTGCGTTGTTTATCTCAAAGCCCAGTCAGTCTCTCGAGGCTCACCCTGAATGGGCTGCGTAACCTGTGTGTTTGATGGAGCGTTGATCGAACCCAAATGAATCTCATCCTGTGAATCTCAATGGGAAGCACATAACATCAGCGCGTTGGGCATCTATCTCTCTGGTAGAATGCTCTTGAATCTCTTGAATCTCTTTGAAAACGCCCCTTCCTGACTCTGCTATCGGACCAACCAAAAAGCAAAAAGGATCCAAATTCCCTCTGAAAAACCTGGCGCCAAATCCATGTGGGAACATGTCGACAGCTGACCGATAATGCCTGAAGCTTTACGCCACTATTAACACACGCGGAGACAGTCGAGTTCTTATCCCTCCCTCACAAACACATATCCACCCAGCGAATGTATGGTTGCCCAGATAATTTTGTCTCTAATATGACTCCTCGAGTTCCGTGCTCCAGGCAGCATCACTACCCTCAACCCTCACGACGCCCGAATGCGCATTCTCATCCGACATCTCCCTGAATCTCTCCTGTGCGTGCCGATACTGAGAAGTCTGATATCCCGTGTGATGGTTCTTTGCCGGCGGCGGCGCCATCTGGCCCGAAAAGGTTGTCGTCCCTCCTCCACCAGCGCCAGCTGCTGTAACCGGTCTCTTTTGTCCATTCGCATTGTAGTTCGTGCCTAGTGCATTGGCCATGGGGTTGTGGGCATGCGCTTTCGAGGAGTAGTGAGTTTCCCGGAGGTCTCGTTCAGGTTCCATGTCTGAGCCGTCGGAATATGTTTCCCAGTTCTCACTGCCGCTGGCTGTAGTGCCAGTGGTCATGTTCGATGAGGTGTTCGAAGTTTGGCGAGAGACAATTGTCGAGGGCGGCGCTGAAGGATTATGTCGTATGCTCTGACTATGGCTATGTATGGAATTGGACGAAGAGTGGGAAGGCTGATGTTGGTGTTGATGCGGAAGATGAGATTGATAGAATGGATCAGCTTGATGAGAGGGTAGGGGTGCGTACTGAGGGTGCTGTTGTCGATCACGATTCAGGAGCGAGGCAGACATGTATGACATTCTCTCTCGGTCGTCATATACATCTTCAGGGCTCATTGGCCGCACGTAGCGACTGCTTTCACTCGAACCCGAGGAGATGGTGCTTGCGGGTCTGTTGGACGAAGGTGCCGGCGGATGAGAAGTCATGGCTGGAGCTGGTGTGGGTTCTGGTGGTGGCACGAACAAATCTCTCATCTTTGGTGGAGGTGCTCGTGGTGGTCCCATAGTCCTGGCATGTTGAGCGTAGTTTTGTTGTGGTTCTGCCTGCATGTTATAGGATCCTGGTTGAGGATTCGCCCGGCGTTCTGGCGAGTTTTTCAGATTTCCCAACGGGACACGAGCTGGTATCTTGGAGGGAGACTTGGCTTGAGACGAAACTACAGAGGTTGTGGCCATTGAAGTTGGTGCCGCCTGTTGTCTGATGGTGCCAGGCCTGCTGGTGGTGGGAGTTTTTGCAGTTGACCGCGGTGGCGGTCCCTTCATCACGCTGGCTGGTCTTGCGGGAGCGGAAGATTTTGCGGCGCTAGGGACTGCTTTTGAAGCCGTTGCGGGTGCAGGAGTCTTTGATCTTGGAGGCAGACCATTTGGCGTCTTGGATCGAGGCGGTGGTGCTTTGACTTCAGCTTCTTCGATCTCATCCAGCATTCGTTCACCTTGGACCAGGAACGGCCGCCCATATTCGTCCTCGTACTTCTCCAGGACTTTAGTCAAATCAGCCATGACCTTTGGCAGCTCCTTCGCAATCCTCTTCCTCATCTTTTCTTCTCGGAGCAACTTTCCCGGGTCACGCTTCTCTCCCTTTTGAGGTTTCAGCATGAGGCGCGAAGCGTCATTGGCAGATGCTGCTAAGGCTTCCCGGTCGGCTATCAGAGACTTGTACTTCTCGACCATGGCTAGAATGGGTGCACGTTGTTCTTTTAACGTCATGAGCCTCTCAATCTCTGCTTCATGGGCCGAGAGCAGAGCATCACTGTAGACATCTGAAAAAGCTGGCGTGAAATCGAGCATCTCTTCTTCTGAGAAGTAAAGCGCATCCCAGAGTTCTTGCAGTCTGACTCGGGCGTCCTCGACGAACAAATGCAGATTCTGCCTCTTGAGCTCATTCAATCTCGCCAGTTCGTCTTCAAACTCATTGATGGTCCTGAGTCCGCAGCCTCGGTTGGCAGCCAGAAATGCTTTCCGATCAGGTTCCTCAATTCCAAGCCGGTCCCACAAGGTCTCGATACTCTTCTTTATCTCGCTCAATCGCTTCTCCCTGCTCTTCTTCTCGTCAAGGAGCTTTTCGCGACGACTTTTCAGCCGATCAAGGTCGGCTTGGTGTAGACCTAGCTGCTCAGGAGAGTCGCGATAGTGTTGGACGATCAAGGAGTCGGTCTGTGCTTGGGGGATGCCGAGCTCAGACCACAGTCTGACAATTTCTTCTGAGGTTTGTTGCACAATTACAACTCTTCTGTTGTATTCGTCGTACACCCTGGTAAACTCTTCATCAAGTGTGGTGACGTAGGAGGGCGAGAGGTCGAAGTTGGGAGGACAACTATTCGAGGATGTTGGAGGTAGTCTGATCTTGACAAAGGATGCCTCGAGATGCGACGAGTATGACTCGAGAGCTTGCACGAGTTTCTTGACTTGTTCGAAACGCTCGCGGTGTAGTCTACTGACAACATTGTACTTCTCTTTGAGGTCGCGGAGACAGTCGATCAGGGGATAGGTGACTCGAAGGCCATTGGTGTCCAGGTCGTACCCTCTGTTCTTTTCGTCGTCCAGCGACAGTTCCATCTGTTTGATAGTCTTGATGATATTCTGAGCTTCTTCGGTCATGGCAGTCTTCTCACTGGCGGTAATGTCAGCACGCTTCTGCGTTGCAGAGCTCTAGAGGGTTTGTCCATACGAGTTGACGAGGCGAAGCTGGTTGTGCAGAGCCTCAGACAAAGCTGCAAAGAGCTCTGTTTCTCTTGACTCGCGCTCATTTCGAGGAACTCCTATCTCGTCAAATATGGCGTGCAGTTGCCCGATAATTGTGTTGACTTGGGTGGTGAGGTAGCTGGTGTCCATTGATGGAGACATGCTTGCGACCCAGGCTCGTGGCCGAGCAGCTTTGTAGGAGCGTTCTCGATTCTGAGATTATCGATCAGATGGTTGCATCGACAGACTGGAAGAATACGAAAAGTACGAAGGAACATGCACTATGGGGAACGGAAGATGGTCAACAGGTGGTCGTGGCGTGCTGCCGAATCAGGTTGAAGGTGTGGGCGAGTGTGGGCGAGTGTGGGCGAGTGTGGACAATCACTGACCATGCCATCATGGCGAAAGATGTCGTTGTGTTGATGCGCGATTGTTGACAGAGCAACCAACGCACCATACGCACCACACGCACCACACACAGCCACACGCACTGCACCGCAGGCTTGGCACTCTGCCACCACCGCGTGCCTGTGTCTCACCGCCTGCTAAGTAATTGTCCGAGGGGCAGCGGCAGAATCGTGTCAACTACTCCAACACCTGCACGCAACACAGCTGCACTCCATCGTCCAGGCACAGCTTCATCTCTACCATCACTCACATCACTCACATCGCCGAATGTCCCAATCTTATCCTGTTCCACCGCCATGTCGACTCTCTCCGCCCTGCGCAACTGGGAGGCCGAAAACAACATCATCACCATAGATCCGTTTCAAAATGCCCTCTACAACCTACCAGATCCTGCCGCCTACAAGACCTTACAAAACTCCGCCCCATGGAAGAAAGATCCCAACTATTTCACCCACGTCCGCATATCTGCCCTTGCTCTCCTCAAAATGACGACCCACGCTCGCTCCGGTGGCAGCCTCGAAATCATGGGTTTAATGATCGGTTACGTTTCCGGTACATCTCTGGTCATAACAGATGCCTTCCGCCTTCCAGTCGAGGGAACGGAAACACGAGTTAATGCGCATGCCGATGCCGATGAATACATGGTCAACTTCGGCATTGCATCAAGAGAAGGAGGAGGTCAGCTCGAAAACGCGGTGGGCTGGTACCACTCACATCCGGGTTATGGTTGTTGGCTGTCGGGCATAGATGTTCACACTCAAAAGTCACATCAGATGCTCAACGACCCCTTCGTTGCGGTCGTGATTGACCCAGACCGAACTGTCTCGGCTGGCAAGGTTGAAATTGGCGCATTTAGGACATACCCTGAAGGACATGTACCGAAGGACAAACAATTTACAGACGACAGCGACGAGTATCAAGCAATTCCTCAGGACAAGATACAAGACTTTGGCGTTCATGCCAACGCTTACTATCCCCTCGAGGTCACTCACTACAAATCAACTCTCGATACACACCTGCTCGGCCTTCTGTGGAACAAGTACTGGACGTCGACTCTCTCGCAGTCACCGCTGTTTACCAATCGGGATTACACAAATAAGCAGATCGCCGACCACGCAGTCAAGATCAGGGCAGCGGCGAACAAACAGCGAACTGGTGCTAGCATGACCCGACGAGGTCAGGAGTTGGTAGGGACGGGAGACACGAATTTCAAGACTGTAAGGGATGGTTCCATGGAGCAGGTTGTTCGCGGCGGCAGCAAGATAGCCACGGAAGAGCTCGCTGGTCTATTAGCACATGAGGTCAAGCAAAAGTTATTCTGGGGAGTGGTGCAGGAGGCCAGCCAAAAGGCAGCTCAGCAGACGGCTCATTCGACGACAGGAATACCTGTGGCAAGCAACGGCGGTTAAAAGGCTGCAATGTCAGGGTACACCATACTGTTGCAGCAAAGGCTGGACGGCGTGCCGGCTCAAACATTCGAGCTCGTCATGCAGCGTGGCAACAACGCAGTCGAAACACCTCTGAAACCTGGTCGCTCGCTATACATACCTATGGATGAGCAGATTCTGAGTCGCGTTCAATGCGAGCGGACACCGGCCAGTCCGGGTCCAAATTGATCCAGGTCATGACAAACTGACGAGATGACGACCAGAGAAAAAGCTGTGGAGATGACTAGGCCTGTCGGAATGTAATGAGCCTCTCTTTGCGCCATTGCCTTCCACAATGTATTATTCGATCGAGCTCAAACTCAAAATGTGCCTTCACTGCCCCCCTGGGGAAGCCGAAAGTATAGCTCAGCCTGGACCAGCCCATGAGTAATATTGAAGTTGGTGTGCCGCGGGGAACCCTAAAGTACCTCGCACCTGGTAAGCCACGATACCGTAGAAGGACCATCCATCATCGAAAACGACAACTCCAGTTGTCATATCATCGATTACTCTCTGTGAAGTGACGTGAAGGGGAGACTATTTCGCCGCTCCTTGCCCTTTCACCCCTAACCACCTCCTCCCCTCTTTGGCCCATTCATACATACCTTAGGTCGGTACGACGTACCGAGTATTCCCTGTATGTATGTACCTATGTACCTATGTATGTATGAGTCCGTCCTCGTCGTGTCAGGATACACCCAACATGAATAACCTCCCTGAACTATCCATGGTGCCAAAGTCCATGTTATTCGCTCTTGGACACAGGGTAATCGGCCCCGAGTTCGTTCTCGGCCCTCTTGGACCTACCTAATTATTCTTACTACTCGGTACTCAAATCAGCACTGAATCGCCTCGCACCCCCCCCTCCCTCATTTCAAGCTAAATCCACTGCAAAAAGCGGAGCCTAGCAGCCACACGGATAATAAGAAAGTCCAAGGTCGGATCTCGGAATCGCCCACCCACCTTTGCAATTCGTGAAAATGGCTTTCTAGAACTCCATTTCACCGTCTCGATTTCGGTAGAGGCCGATGTGTCTTGCGGAAGGTCCCGGAGTATTATTCTACAGTAAACTGTGGAACCTAAAGTCGTCAGAGTAAAGGCCACGAAGGATGCATAGGTAGGTAGGTAGGCAGAAGGAGAGGACGTATTGTCAATGAAGACGACGTCCAGTTCTTTTCTATGCAGTCCGTGGTCTGTTCGGCTCAAAGGGAACTGTCGAGAGACAAAATAAATAGGGATGAAGGATATAGATAGATATAGGTGGCGGATGCAATTCCAGGTCCAAATTCATATCAATGCACAATCCCTCATTCCATTTCCAGGCGCAGCGGTTCGCCAGTGCACACTCTCCAGTTCCATCCTCGATCTGGAATATCCAAGAACCATTAATCCATGCCACCTTTCATCCCAAAGCGGCCGTTACAATTTCTTCCATCCCATCACTTTCTTTCAGTCTTTTTCACCATAAATGTTCTCCTTCATTGGGCCAATCCTCGGGGCACCAAAGTCCGGCCAAATCGATGTGCTTCCATATCGCTAGGCCTTGCGCAAACGGCTATCCACCAGTCAAAACAGCGTAACCCTGGTCTTTTTGATCTGTTGTGGTCTGAAGGTGCACTGACATTGGATATCCTCCGCACCCGTGCGAGGGCCCATACTGACTTCCCTGTTCATCAAGGCGACGACTGGAAATGTAGTACCAGAAGAGTCAAATTTCCTCCACTCACGAACCTGCCCTTTTCGCTCGGGCTGCTCACCCCCCGCTAGATGCCGCATGAAACCAGACCGACAAAATTCCTACTCCGTTGCTTTCGCATTCTCCAGATGAGATAAAACACGCTGAACGCAGGACAAATTCGACAAATAAATAGTTCACACAAGAAAATCTCTCAAGTACACGAAAGGTCCCACAAGGATCCCAAGGTGATCAAAGCCTCACCCGTCGAGTGTTCGTAAGACGATACTCAGAAATATCAACCACGATGGAGCCTTGGTCACTGGCGTCGTCAACCTCAATGGTGTCGCTCACCAAGCCAGCTGGGCTGTCAGGAGCCGCAATGTCAGGTGCGCTGTGAAAAGCATGTGGTTTCATACTGTCCAAAGGTTGGCCGAGTGGGAGAGCAACCTGACCTCTCCCGACACCAAGTCTCGGTGTAGCTAAGTGATCGAAGGACGGTTTGGTTGACAGAGAGGCGTCCGAATCAGCAAAACCATGACTGAACTCCGAGTCAAGATCATCGGCTCGTGAGGCTTCTTGGCTCTCCTCTTGAACTTTCTTCAGAGTCTCTGCAGCTGCAAAGGCCTGTCCAAGAAGAGCATCAAACTTTTGCAGCATAGATTCAAGCTCAGTCCTGCAGTCACCGTCTCGGAGGAATTGGTGAGCGGCCGTCTCACACAGCGCCTGTATCTGCTCTAGCTCCTTGTCCACCTGCAAAAAGCTTGCTTCCTCATTAGAGGCGGCCGGATTCGGAGCAGAAATTTGGCTCTTGCCTGGCAGGAAGGCCGGGGTACTTCGGGATATCATGGAACCTCTGATGTCGTTCAGCACGGATAGACCGTGACTGGTTCGAGCAGTCAACGTGGGCAGGCGGAAACCTCTAGCAGCCGCAAGTGCAGCTTTGCCTTTTCGCAGGTTATTCCGGCCAATCCCAATCTGCTTAACCATAGTATCGAGTTGTACTTGTAAACTTCCATCGTAGTAGACGACAACATGATGTCGGTTTCTGAACTTCTGGGGTCCCGAGGCACCAGAACGGATGGAGGGGCCTGGCTTCCTCTTTCTCCGTGCCTGTGCGTAGAGGTATTTGTTCCCAGCCTCCAGAGGATTAATCTGCCTGGGGTCGGGCGAAGACAGGCGGTCAGCGCTCTTGATGGTGCGAGTTTGGTCATCGCCTTGTTCCTGGTCTTGAGTATGGATCGAGGAGGTCGAGGGAGTCTTCCTGCGTTTCGGCTTGGCTTGGTTCACGAGCCGAGAATATTCGGCGGCGAACTCGGCATGTTTTCCAGCAGCATGGACAGATAATGCCTCAATGCTAGCCCGCCAGGTGGGAAGGTTGTCAACAAGATAGACGAAGCTCGAATGGGCATCCATGGCTTGGGCCATGGCAGCCACAGCAGGTGAACGAAGGTAAATCGGTGTACAGAATGGTTGAACAACTCAAGACATCTTTTCAGTGGCTTCAAGTCGTGCGAGGTGGCATTGCACCGACAGGAGAACGTGAAGGTTGGAGGGAGAGACAGACGTTAAATGCGGTGTGCAGATACTTGAGGTCCTGGAGGGTCGTCGAAGTGGCCGTTTGGGGGGACACAGCTTGAGGATGGCTGCTGTTCGGAAGTTGCGGTCGAAATTCACAACACTATCCGCAGGGTTCGAGCTCAGAAGCTGGTCCCAGACAGTATAGATATCGCAATTGAGCGAGAAAGGGAATGAAGAGGTCGATGCGACCGAATTCTCGGAGGGCGGGCAGGTGTGGATTCGAGGTGACGGTGGTAGTATTCGGGAGAGTGGGAGTTGGCGAGTGGGAAGTAGCACGGACTGGAGGAGGAGAAGATGCGGTGTCAGATGCGAGCAATTAATTATTGTAACGCAACGTGGTGGATGGAGGCACCTGGAGGTGATGGAGCAGAAGCTTTTCGGGAGTCAAGCGTCAAGCGTCAAGCGTCTGTGGACAGGCTGGTGCAGGGTTGATTCCATTCAGAACCGTCGACAATCAGACACATGCAGAGGGAAGACCAGCTAGACCGGATCCAGCAGTCGCAATAGGTGCTGGGGGGGTGGGATCAACGAGAACAACTCAGACGGGAAGGTCGGAAAGCACCGACGGCAGGGCTACAAAGGTGCTGAAAAGACAGAGAAGAACCTGAGCACCCTGAACAACCTGAGGCCGCAGCAGCTTTCTGGACTCTGACTGGAAGTCACCTAAATGTCTAGCGGAACAGTGGCACAGCGGCACCTCCCATTCAGTCAACCCTAGAGGAGGAATCCCGGGCGGGAGAGATGGGCACTATGGGGGAGGATCCTGGTGCCCGAGAAGCCTAAACCAAGTGTCCAGGTGTCCAGATGCCCATCAAGTTTCTCACTAGTGCCTCACCAAATTGACTTCCTTTGCCTAGAAAACGGATTACCGTCTTTCTCCGGGGGTTTCGCCCTTTTTCGCACCCTGGCTAGATGGCTAGATGGCTCGATGGCACGATGGCTTCACCCACGCCTCATCAACGACGAGTCATGATGATGATCAGTCACGCATCCAAATCACCTAGCTCAGTCAAGGCCTCATTCTCCCATCCACTTTGGCTCCTTCCGCTTCTCCTACCTACCGCCTGCTCTCGCTATCGCCTCCGCAGCTTCAAGTTGAACTTACCAAGTACAGTAGAGGCTCGCCCCCGGCCTATTTGCGAGCGCCGGGCAGGGGAACGACTCGAGTCCACAGCGAGCGGCCTCAAAAGCTTCTCCACCGTCGACCACTTCCACCTCCCGTGCGGTCCGTGTCGCAGCTTGCCCTGAATTGGTCTCTGCACCCAGGTGGAAGCTTGCTTCAAAGCCAAGGGTTACTCGCTTCTCCATAGTTGACGCCACGGGAAACCAAGCTAGAGAATCAAGGTTCTTCTCAGTCAGTGCCAGTGGCGTATGACGAGACACAACCCTCGAAGTCTTTGAGACGAAGGATGTTGAGATCTAAGACGATACACACTTCGGGAGGGTTGTCGATTTGTCGAGCATTGACCATTCTCCTTGCTTGTTGCATCAAGCTCATCACCTGTAGGAGCACCAAAGAACCCTAGCAACTCATTCATAGGAATTCACAATGGGAGGCCCACACATCTGTTCATGGCCAGGGAGGACTTCGTGCTAATGATCCACCATTCGCCGTTCATGTGGCTTCTATCGCTAGTCATTTACTTAAGTCTTGCGGCCGAAAGGGCACCAACCAAGTTCCTTGGACTGTCACAATCTGCCGTTGCAGCTCCCCGGATCTTGGGCTGCAGCTTGAGTCCAAGACAGAACAAGAAACAGCTCACCAAGAGTCATGGCGGACTGACACTTGCAGCAATCACAGACTGAACCACCTGCAGCCGCCAGCACATGTCCCGCCTGATCATTGACAAAGCTGCTCAACTTGCAGGGTCGATCAGTACCAGGAACCAATGGTACAGACACCCCCCGGAGAAGAGCGTAATCCTGCTATGCAGATGTGCCAGGAAAATGTGAAACGTGTTGCTGCACCTCGCCGAGGTTGAACAGTTATTGGTTTCCCGCAGACGGTATTGCCTCGCTATCATCTTCTGACGGCAGCCCGAGGGTGCTACAGGGCAGGAACTGAACGCTCACGGACTTGCGGGAAAAGGTCTACTTTGGAGATCACGGAAGCGCAATTGACTCATTACTTGTCTCACCGACACTTTGATTTCTTGAATTGCTTCCTCTTCCATGACGAGGTCTCTGATCACCAGCATTACAGGGCATCCAATCACACTTGGCGAATTGTCGACAGATCAAACATGCTGTCAACTATGGTTCTCCGGGACGAAGATCATACCGTCTGTGGCTGCAGAATGGCCACTTTGGCGGAGATGGCTTCAAACAATGCGGGAATCGACAGCCCCGTAAATGTCCGTTCGTTATGAGGGCTAGTAGAGTTTCAACATCTGCAGGTGTGCTCAAGCCTCAAGTTATTGCGGGCGTGCATTTGGGAAACCAGGATCTGGCACAATAACGTGGCTCTATATCAGTGTTTCTAATGTCAACGCCCGAGAATTGGCTTGTTCGGCAAACGAGTCTGAAGCGCACCGGTAAGGTCTTCGTCTTTAAGGGAACAATAAGTTTTCCACCAAGATGACCACCTTGGACAGTGCGGGAATGAAATCCTAAAGGTTCTTGGAGGTGAGCGAATCGAGAACTTTAATATCCGACAAAAGCAGGATACCGCTACCTGAAATGACGCTGAGAATTTGCCTGGAAGGCTGGACCTGAAATCCATCAGTCTAATACAACGGCTACGACGACCATTGTTATCTTGCAATCAATCACTCGATAAATCGACTCGTAAGATTTCTCGACCTGGAAAGACTCATTTGAACAGTTCGAGACGAAGTTGCCCGTTCGAGCCCCAGCCCCAGCTTCAGTGGGAAATGGCCGACAACCTAGTGAAGTCCTGCCGGCGAGCATGCTTCCAGATGATCATCAAACACGCCGGTGCAAGCCACGTCTGAAGGAGGATCTCAAGCCACCAGCCCTACAAGTGTGAGTAGGTACGTTGTGTCGTCACGCACCTGTCACAACGATTATCACCCTGCGATTTAGAGTACTCCATATATGCATGTCGAGTCGAGCGCGTTCTCCGCTATCACCTCCCGCTATAGTTGATGATCTTCACCGGGACAGAGTGAATCCGCGCGATTGGGGACAGCTCTGGCTTGGGCAGCTTCTGTTCACTCATGTGCCTGATAATGATGCCCAATCGACAAGAATATTTGGTTCTCGACCAAGATCTAAAGCACCCGCCCAAAGGATTAGCTAACTCCATGCGGACGCTCAACCTCTGCAATCAGAAAGTTGTCATGCTTCCAAGAGCATATACAGTAGCACACATGACCTGCTCGGTGCGACCGTCGGCGCGAGCCTCAAGGTTATGCCCCTGAAAAGACAAACCACGGCCCCCAGTTGTGGCTTGATTGGATCCTCCGAATCGGCGATATCACACTATTCGCTGGCCGATGAGAAAACCCTATTACCCCGACCACTGCGACCAGAACTTGGACCAGGCTCCGCAGCTGCTATTCTACTCGAGGTACCGGTACTCAAGGCAGTTGCAACTACTACTAAACGGCCCCTGTCCTGCTCAACTCGCTACTCTACAAACGATCCCTAAATCGGTTCGGGTCGTCCTGACTTTGCGCCACCACCTCCATTTCAAATTCGTCCACACGTTAGTTGCAGAAGAAAAGGTTTCACTTCACAGAAGTCTGCCCGCCAACATGCCCACTAGTCTACTCCTGACCTGGTGCTTACGAACTTGACAATGTCGACTGCCGCATTGAAAAGACCCCTGAGTCTCTGTACGCAAATATTTACCCAACCCTGTAGTTTTGGCACCATAGGATCTTGATCCTGCATATGTGCGGGAGCATTGACGTGGTGAAGCACTTGTGCTGAAGGCGAGAACAGTTCCATAAACTGAGAGGTTTGTTCGTCACCAATGCATCCAGCGGTGCCAGACCAATCTGGCCGACGTGCTCAGAAACTATCTAAGTGATTCCCGTTTCTGGAGCCTCGCCTCGTCCCGGTCCCGCTCCGTACCACTTGCAGAAGATGGAGGCCTTGGACCACTGCCGACGCATAGCTCGCAAGCCACCAGTCACAGGGCCCGAAGAACTGCCAACCGAGCTTGTAAAGGTGGTTTGTGAGAAACAGGAGGATGAGGAGGAGGAGGCCGCCAGCTCGTGTCTTTTCTTGCGTTTCTTAAAATCTACATGACATGTGCTTTGCCCGACAACCTGTGACGGTTGGAGTAAGTTAGTGGGAGTTGTGCAAGCTGCAAGCTTGATATACTATATGCCTATCGTCGCTTTAAAGATCTAACTGTCAGGGAAGATCTGTCCGAAAAGGAAGAAACTTTGGGGGCATGGCGAGCTCAGCCGATCACCTTACAACGGTCGTGCAGACGAGAGCCGCAGATCGATCTAGGCTATGTCGCTGACCGACAAAACAACAAGATCATTTCAAGAGCTCCCGGAGCAAGTCAATGTCCCAATGTTGAGCCCTTCTGCACTGTCAGGAGGATGGCCGTATGCCACAAACCTGTCGCATCTGGACAGTGACATGTTGGTCCCTTCCCAGTAGGGCTTTGCATTTTACCTCGTCAAATATGCGTCGGATAGATCCCTTGCCACCTCTGAACGCATTCTTTTGCCAGCATTGGCAATATTCCTGCATGAGTCCACACATGGCTGAGCAAAGAAATTTACCAGAGTGCTTACCGATGATGTTTCGAACATGGACAACGCAAACGCACCTCCACATCACATGCCCACAATTTCATGAGAGTGAGTTGCCTGACGTTTGCAAGAGTATTCCTGCCGGATGAAAGGATCGACGAGTCATCGTCCACTGATGGCCTATACGTGATGGGAGCCCTGCGGTTGGGTTAGCGTGCGCTAAAGATCTGGGAGAACGGGCATTATGGGAGGCTTTCGCTGTAACTTTGTACGATCAACGACATCATCCTTCACGGCGGATTACTTGATCGATTCGAAGCAGAGTTGTGCATGGCTTTAGGCCACGGTGAACGACGGACGCGGCAGTGATCGAGCAAGCCCTCCGCCGCGACTTTAGGCACCAGTCCTGTTTGCCTGATGCTGGCGAGGACAAGTCGACCCCCACAAAGCCCCGGATCGTGGTGGCCAGGAAAGGGAGAACGTCTGAACGAAGCGCCCGCCAGACGGGATGTCCGGTAGAATTGGGTGGTGCAATGTTCTGGTCCAGGCGGCTCTATGTTCTTCAAGAGCCTGAGACTTGACCGGAGCCGATGTGTCTGGATACGAGCATAAAGTCGCACTCTTGACATACCTAGGTATGTTCTCGTCCGTAGCAACGACCCTTCTACGACCGACAATATCTCCACATCGGTGTCGATTGCCTAACGAACCGGTCCAGTTCTTTTGTCGCTCAATACTCAATTGCACGGTAGAAGCTGCGCTTTTTGCTGCTCCAAGACGGACAGTTTGCCAATGTCGACTGGAGAAGCCCTTGAATGGCAGAGGGCAGTGCGATTAGCTCAGGATGTGAGGAGAGAAGTTGTGTTGGATAAGCAAGGTGCTGAATGTGATCGACTACACCGTCTGTAAGATATAGCCCCATTCTTTTGGACTCGATCAAGCCGTGTTATTATCAGGCGAAGATGGTGAGTGCGAAGAATATGAAGGAGAGAGCTGAGGCTGGCGCCGAGGAAACGGAATTAGCAAGGCTGCCAAGGCTCTAGCCACAGCTCCATCTGCGTCTCCAACTTGAAGTCATTGATTGCGATAGCAACTTGCGGCACGCTTCGGGGAGGCCAGTTAGTTGCGCGCAGTTCTCGCCATCATATCGCAGCTCAATCCCCATGCCGCAGTTGATGTAGCCGCCCTTTTGTCACTGCTCCAGAGTTACAGACCTGCCAACATGTCCTTATTCGGTTCCTCTCCCACAGAAACTGCGCCACTAAACTCCAAGTCTCTATTCGGCGACGAGCCTGCTCCCAAACAATCCACATCATCTCTCTTTGCCGACGATGGAGGCGACTCGCCGTGGTCAATGCCAACTCCCAAGAAGTCGGCGCGGCAGAACCTAGTCAAGAATCTTCTCCCAGCCACCGACGTGCCGGAGAGCTATGTGGACGCATACGATGCCGTATTACATGCCAATGAAAGGACAGGAGTTGGTATTGGTTTGGCGGGCATCAAGCGCCTTCTAGAGAGCAGCAATCTGAGCGAGCAGGAGCAGACAAAGATCCTGGGTTTGGTGATTCCGGGTGGACAGGAAAGTGCCAATGGCGTCGGCAGGAGCGAGTTCAATGTTTTGCTCGCTCTCATTGGATTGGGCCAGGAGGGCGAAGAAATCACCCTCGATGGCGTAGATGAACGGAGGCGAAGTGAGTCTACAGATCCCCAGAGCTTCAGCACAGTACTGACTGTCTCCAGAACTGCCAGAGCCCAGAATTGGCTACTTGGATCAGCTACGGTCGAGCAGCGCCCGACCGCAGCCGCCCTCCCCCCCAACAGCCAAAGCCACTCCAGTCAGACCGCAAAAGCCTCGAGAAGACTCATTCGGAAACGACCCAACCTCGGATCCATGGGCTAGTCCGTCTAACAGTAGACTACCGCCTCCCTCCACTGCCGCTCATACTATGTCTGTCAATGGGGCCTCGGTCGAGGGTGCTAAGAGCATCACGAATGGCATTGCAAGAACAACAAGTGCTTTCACGACGGGAGGTAGTCAAGGCAGCAGTAATGGAAGTCCAGCAAATGAGCGTTCTTCCGAAGGTGGAGGCACTGGTTGGAACAGCTACAATGGCAATTCAGGAGGCTTCTCGGAACAGCCCACCCTTGGGGGAGGATTCGGAGACCCTGGAGACAACCGACAGTCAAATCGGCAAGATCAAGAGCCACGAAGTGCGGTCTCTCAAAGTATCAGTCTGCCACCTGGAACAGGGGAAAGCGTCACGATAACAACACTGCCAGAAAAGGAGGGAGTGTTCATGTTCCAGCATCGAAACTATGAAGTCAAGGCAGCTCGGAGAGGCAGCAGTGTCGTGAGGCGATATAGTGATTTTGTTTGGTTGCTCGACTGTCTGCAGAAACGATATCCTTTCAGGCGCCTACCCTTGTTGCCTCCGAAACGGGTCCAAGGTAAGCATGTCGTGTTCTGGAGAGATCCCAGCTGATCCCAATGTCCAGTGAATGGAGCTCATCTCACCGCAGATGCAAATGTCTTTCTGGAGAAACGCAGACGGGGCCTGGTTCGATTTACCAACTCACTCGTCCAACATCCTGTTTTGAGTCAAGAAACGCTTGTGGTGATGTTCCTGACTGTGCCCACGGTATGTTTCATGGTCTAGGTCTTCCGTACCACGGGAACAAATAGCTGACGTGGTTTTCAGGAGCTCGCAGTCTGGCGAAAGCAAGCTACGATCTCCGTCCAAGAAGAATTCACCGGCAAGGCTTTGCCACCAAGTTTGGAGGACAGCTTACCCTCTAACCTTCCGGATCTTTTTGATCAAGTACGTACAGGCGTGCGCCGCTCGGCGGAGATCTATATCAATCTTTGTGTATGGATGGAACGTTTGGTCAAGCGAAACGAAGGGCTTGCCCTGGACAGTTTGAAGTTCTCAAACTCACTGTCTCACCTTACCGAATGCAGCAGCGATACCTATGCCATTGATCAGAATGATGTACCGCTTCTCAATGAGGGGATCCAGTCCACAGCAAAACACCTTGCCACAACCCAGACATTGCTCGAAGACGAGGCCAAAGCTTGGGACACAGGAGTGCTTGAGGACCTGAAATCGATCCGCGACAATTTCGTGTCTATGCGGGATATGTTTGATCGACGAGATCGATATGCGAGAGACAACATACCTCAACTTGAGCGACGTATTGAAGCATCGGAAAATAAGTTGCAGCAACTACGGCAAAAGCCACCGGGGCAAGTGAAGCCCGGAGAAATCGAGAAAGTGGAAAGCAGCATCATGTCTGATAAAGAAAGTATTGTACAGCAACATGCCCGCGGAGTCTTCATCAAGGAATGTGTGCGGGATGAGATTGTGACATTCCAGACGAGCATCTACGCTATCAGCCGCATGCATCAAGACTGGAGTCAAGAGCGGGTCAAGTATGCAGAACTACAGGCCAGCAACTGGCGCAACTTGGTCGACCAACTGGAAAGCATGCCGGTCGGAGAATGAGTGGTACTAGAGTGAGGCTGGCGACCCAAGGGGATTGAGGCAGGAGAACTGTACTTTTTTATCTCACTTCCCCCACGTTACTATTTATTATATCATTGGCGCATCCATTGGCAGTGAGCGCCAGCAATACATAATGCTCCTATTCTATTCATTGTACCAGCAATGCGCCTCTCAATGGCTTCAGAAAGTCTGACATAGAGTGCTCAATAACGACGAGGTGACCAGCTCCTCAGAGAGAGCCCGTATCTTGTAAAGGGAACCTGCTGTGTTCAAAAGCTGATAGAATACTCTTCTGAGTGAAGATGACATGTTAGCTGGACAGTTGATCACTTCTACTTTGCGGCCTTTCCCTCTTGTCGCAAGACCTGTGCTACTTCAAGTTGTTTTCGAAGTCGGCTCGCGTACTTGCTACCTAGGTAACTTTACACTGTTTGACCTGTTTCTCTTCCTTTGCTAGATTGGAATAGATCCCCTCTTCACCTCTCCAAGGATCTTCTGCTCGATATGGTCTGGAGAAGAGGGGAAATTTGATAAGGAGTTCGACACAATGTATTAGAGTCAGATGCTCTTGCCGTCGGCTGCCGGTCGCCATTCATCCCATCCATGGTCGTGCTGGTCGGACGTCGATCAGGCTGAGACTGGGGATGGCAAGGCCACCAATCAGATGATGGCGCTTTTGGGTCTTGGCGGTTTCAAAGTGTGTTTACCTCACTGGCACTCGCCGCGCTGCAGCGTCTTTGTTGAATCTCTTCCCATCCACGTTTCTGTAGAGTCTTCTTCGTATTCCTCGCGTTTGCTGCAGTGAGCGCTCTACCCTTCGAGTTGTCGATTTCGCCTGCTAGCCAGTGGCGGAAGGCAAAGACTCCGTGGCCCCGACGATCATCCCGCCTCCCGCATCCCGCATCCAGCCAGCCTCGTGCTAGCGACAATGGAGCAACAGGTCCTTCAGCTCCTCCAAGCGACAACCAGACCAGATACAGCCGTCATTAGAGATGCCGAGCAAGGTCTTCTTCGACTCTACCCTCAAGCAGACTTCCCTTTTGCGCTCCTAACCATTGCGTCGCACAACGACATCGACCCCAGCTCTCGCAAGGCTGCATTGACGGCTCTGAAGAATTACGTCTCGGCCACGTGGTCGCCCCAGTTCGACGAGACATTCACAGGAAATGTGTACCTCAACGACGAAGCCAAGTCTGGCGTCCGTGACCGGGTCTTCACCATCTGCACGCTTGCGGGCGAACAGGCGCCGAAAGACGCGAGTATCCAGGCCCTCGCAGCTGGCGTCGCGAGCAAAATTGCCAGTGTCGACTTCCCTGACGCGTGGCCCTCGCTTCTACCCTCGCTACTCACAATTCTGAACACTTCGACAGACGACGCGCCCATACATGGCGCGTTACGCGTCCTCTCCGAACTGGTCGACGAGGGCTTGACGGAAGAACAGTTCTTCTTGATCGCCCGAGATCTCGTCAATGCCTTACAGCATGTTGCGGTCGATAATTCTCGGAGTCTGATAGTGAGAGCAATGACCCTGAATGTCTTTAGAGCTTGCTTTGAGATGCTGGAGATGGTCATGGCCGATCACGGAGCGGCGGTGAAGGCGTTCCTGAACGAGTCACTCAAGGCCTGGATGCCCTTCTTTGTTGAGACACTGAAGCAACCGCTGGGCCCTGCCCTGAAACCCGAAGAAGCATCATTCCGGGGCCTTGTCGCCCTCAAAGTTCAGGTAGTAAAGGTACGGTCCTTCTTAGTGATTCCAGAAAAGAGACATAATTACTAACGGCTTACCAGACACTCGACAAACTCCGACAAGTCTATGCGCAGGCTCTCTCCCCACATGTGATGGCCCTATTCCAAGTCGTTTGGGAGGAATTGATGAGAACTGCAACGGTCTATGCTGATCTTTACATCGACGGCACCGCAGAAGCCAAGCTCGTCGACAGCGACAACCTCCCTTGCAGTCTAGACGCACTTGTTCTTGAAGAACTTGACTTCTTGCAAGTCACCATTAGAGCCCCCACAGTTCGCAAAGAGCTCACGGCGCAAATGCATCAACTCGGTGAAGCACAACATACTGTTCCCTGGCTGCAAGAATTGGTCCGCATATTGGTCTTGTATGCCAGGATCCCAAAGGAGGAAGAAGCGCTATGGGAATACGACGCCAACCTGTACCTCTGTGAAGCAACATCACTTACAGCAAACTACACACCCCGAGCAGCATGTGCGGATCTAGCAGTGCGGAGCTTGGGCGAATGGTTGAAACAGATTCCCATGATGGCATTATTGCATTTCAAGCAGCACAACCTATTGAGCCAGACACCAGGATGGAAAGAACGCGAAGCACTTGTCTTTCTCCTCAACCAATGTCTCAAGGACGTCGACGAAGTCTCTGGGAAGCTCAGCCCTCAAACATCTGCTGCAGTTGTTGAGGGTCTCTCGGATACACTCCAACATCCAAATCCCTTCATGCGTGCGGCGGGGCAAATGGCCGCAGGGTGTTTCTTCAAGGTCGCGGACGGCGAGCAATTCCTCCACGCTGGCGCGGTGGCTTTTGCCAATGCTGTAAGCGCCTCGTCAATGGATGAATCCGACGTGGTCAAAGTCGCGTGCCTGAGCATTTTGCATGACTACATCGATGCACTCCCACAGACCGTGACACGACCAATGCAAAATGCAGTTGTCAACGTTATCGGTGACTTCATCTCCTCGCACGACCTCCGCGACGAACTCGAAGACGCCGACGACGTCAAAGCGGCATTGATCCAACTCCTGCGTGACGCCATCATGCTGGACACCTCCACGATAACCACTCAAGGTAATAATGCCCTCGACTTGTTTTTCACGCTGGCATCGGACGGCGCGTCGAATTTCCAACTTTTCACTCTCCTCACCGAGGCATTCGAGGGCATCGTCTCGTCGGTGTCTTCTTCTGGGCAAGAGCCATATGTGCGATTGTGCGCCAAAACCATCCCTTCGCTCACGGGCGCATTCGACATCGCCAACATGACCCAGGAATCTGCATTGACGAATCTCGCCGCTGAGCTCGTCTCTGCACTCGCCGAGTTCGGGTCCGACCCTCTGCCTTCCGGCTTCGTGCAGGCTGTGATGCCAAAGTTACAACGCGTGCTTATGGAAGCCGTTGAGCCTGAACTTGTGCGCCCGGCCACGCTAGCGCTTAACCACATGCTGTCAAAGGGCACGCAACAATTCCTGTCCTGGACAGATTCTCAGGGGAAGTCCTCAGTCGAAGTGACGCTGACTATCATCAACCGCCTCCTCAACTCCCCAGATGTAGACGAGAACGCAGGCCAAGAAGTCGGCGGGCTCGCGTCAGCGTTGGTCACGAAGTTTGGAGCCGATAAGCTCGGACCATATTTGATGGACTTGCTGCGCGCGGTGGCCGTCCGTCTTGCCACCGCGGAGAGAATACAATTCATTCAGAGCCTATGTATGGTCTTTGTGGGTCTCTCCCTCGCGGCTCCGAAGGAAGTCCTGGATTTTCTGAGCGAGGTGAACATCAACGGCACCAATGGGCTGAATGTGGTCTTGACAAAGTGGCTGGAGAATTCCGTGCATTTCGCCGGGTTCGACGAGGTGAGACAGAATGTGGTGGCCTTGTCCAAGATATTCGCACTGCACGATCCCAGGGTCCACGCCGTGAGCGTCAAGGGGGATTTGATCGTGGACGCTCAAGTAGGCGGACGCATCAAGACAAGATCACAGGCCAAGCTGAACCCGGACCGATGGACTCAGGTCCCCGCCGACCTGAAGATATTGAAAATCATGGTCGACGAGCTCGCCAATGCCGCCACATCGAGGTTCCCCAACCTGGCCGCGGCCCAGGCTGCCGCCGCGGACGCTTTGGATTCCGAGGATGAAGACGCCGAAGACGCGGACGAATGGGAGGATGTTGGATCCGCGGGGGCTATTGACCTGGCCAGTGCGAGCGTCCGTAACGAACTGATGGCCCTTGTCGGGGGTGGTGGTGGTGACGGCACGGCGGACGATGAGGGTTTGAGTCCCACGGGCTCGAGGGCCAGAGATGAAGAGACAGCCGACTACTTGTTGCAGTGGTTCAAGAACGAGGCTAGTCGAGATGACTTTGCGGTCTTCTTTGAACAGTTGACCGAGGAGGAGAAGGGGAAGTTGAGGGAGTTGGTCGCGTAAGCCTTTTTACATAAGGTCTCTTTTGCCGAGCAGGCCCTTTTGTTTTCCTCTCTCTGAGGTGAAGCCGGAAACGTCTCGACCTGGAATGCACGAGGTTGTTTTGTGTACATCGTACCTAGGTACCAACGAGGATCGAGGATCGTGCTCAGAAAAACGCATGAAAGGAGGACCCTCGTAGGGGCGACAGAGCCATCGATACCATGACGAGAGTCGTGCTTCCTGAGAATTTCCCTCCTTTGACCACCCTAGATATGTATTATGTATATGTACCTGACTGGCCATGTACATACAGTGCATGGATGGGGGGTCCTTGACTATCTAATGCGCAATGCACTTGGCTACCGAGCGGTGAACGAGGACCATATCCTAATGGGGGGTTTTTCGTTTCTTCCCATCGCTCACCCCCCTTGAGATTTAGATCCGCGTGCTTGAAGGCTGGTGGGTGGGTACTTAAAATCCATTGGGCCATTGTATCGTAAGAGTCAAAGGGAAAACGGTTTCGGTCTATGTACCTAGGTAAAGTAGGCCGGTATCACCTCTTCACGGCCGGAATAGACCTCTGCGCGCCGAACTTCTCGTGCCATTTCCGCTTTTTCTGGTTCTGGTTCTGGTTCTGCGCATCCTTTGCGAGGGTAGTACTACCCACGGCAGCAGCGGAAGAAGTCGCCAGAGGATGGGGGAGAGAGCCAGCTGCCTCGAATCTCAGGACTTGTACACCTTGGCCATCTGTGGCCGTGTCGGCGCCATCGACGGATGAGATCAGGCTGGTGAGATCGCATTCGGCGGCCCAGGAGTCGGGAAGGAGTTGTGTCCACTCTGTCAGGAATTCGTCGACGCGCATGGTTCTCCCCGCACCGTGACTCGATATGTCGGACGAGGTGTTTGAGAGTGATGATGACTTTCGCCGGGCGTGGCACGCGAGGAGCCAGCGGCCGACCATTTCCCGGGTGAGGCTGGGGTTGAATTTCAGTCTTGCATCGCTGAGTAGTCGGTCGTGATCTGGCGAGTATAGGCTCAGGCCTAGATTGAGCAGCATGGGAACATCAGCGTCTTCCATCCCATCTGTAAATCGGCGCAAGATGGCCATTGTGACGTTCAGAGCCAACGAGCGTGCCGCTTCCGTCTCTTCAGCTTCAGCCAGTCCGTCGAGCACGGCCCGGAGGTCCTTTCCAGACAGAACGTTGTCGTTCTTCTCGAGGTGGATCCCTGAGATGTTGCACTGCTGCAGGAAATCCTTCCAATGCCGGAGCAGCAGGGCCGGAGTGGGTAAATATACCATATCCTCATCGTGTCTCTCGCCCTTTCGCGTCGTCGGCTGGGGTAGCCCGAAGATGAATGACTTCCTCATCACATCCCGTATCAGCCTCGTCGGTGCGGCAATGTTGTCGACAACGTCCCTCGTTGATACCGCTTCGTGTCGAGTCATCCCGCCTTGATGGCCTTGATCAAGAGGGCTGTTATCATCCTCCACGTCATGATATACAGGAACCATATCATAAACCCTTCGCTCAATCTCTCGTTCATCCGCTTTCACCTCGATTAACTCGAGAACATTCTTCACTTGTGCCTTCGTCGTGATCCCACCTCTGCTACCGGCAGCCACAGCCATAGCCAACCTAACTACATTCGCTTGCTCTTCCGCCCCAGCCATCGGGGTATCTCCAGTCCCATCCTTGTCGTTGTCTCCACCCCCGCCGCCCTGCTTCTGTGGTGGACACGTCTGGGTAACATAGACGCTATTACTCGTGCTGACCTGCTTGACAGCCCAGATCTTGTCGTCGGTGCAGAGGTGCAGAAACCCTTCCTTCCCCTCCCCCGCCGCCGCCGCAGCAGCCTGAGAATTGATGCCTCTGTTGGATCCCCCAGGGAGTCGCTGGCCCTGGGTCGGACCGGAACCTCCAATATCCCTCGAAGATTTAAACCACAGTTTCCTCCTCTTACTCGGGTTCTTTATCTGCGCCTCGACCACGTCGAGCAGTTCGGCTGGCAGCTCAAGCAGGCGGAGACTCTGCTGGGGATGGGTTGAAGAGACTGCGACGGGAGGAAAGGCGAGAGGTTGCGAGGAGGAAGTGGTGGACATGATAGTATTCGATTCGGGCGCTTGATTTTCGTCACAGAGGTTCCGAGGGGACCGGTCTGCTATTATCGGAGAATATGGGGAAGGTGTCAGAGTGCCATTATTAATTGGTCATCTTAGGTACGGTGCATTGTGTGCGTTGTACATTAGACCTAGAGTTTTGACGCGTCCCAATTTGGACGCGTCGCGGCGTCACAGAGAACGACGTCATAATTTCGATTTACCATCTTCGACCACCACCACCACCACCACCACCACCATCGAGGTACCCCTGACAGTTAATCGCTTATATACCTCGTTCCAGGCATGTCAGAAATGGACAGCTTCGGGTCAATGTCGAGATGATGTATTGAAATGGTATGCTGCGTACTTGTCTGGCATATTCTCACAGCCGCCACTCGATGACCGAACCATCGACCATGACACACCTGCCTCCTGGTAAAATGAAGTGCTCAATCAGGCCATCAGTCGTAGCCGTCGAGCATCCTTCAAAGATATTGTGTACATGTCACACAAGAGCCTCCCACCAACGGAGAGGTTGCCCAAAATACCTGACCCCCGAAATGGTTGACACAGAACGCCCCCAATTCTCGTCCATGTACGCATCATGCTTTGCTCAAGATGTTTGGATCGCTCGCTTTCTATCCCATATCCCATGATCCGTTATCTTTTGCTTTTTTCCTGAATTCCATGATCCTCTACCCGAGACCTCTGTGTCGTTTAGCGCGGTGGGCAGTCTCCCACCAGCAATGGTTGTTGCGTAAAGTCCAGATTTCATCCCATTTCAGCCACTGTCCTCTTTTCTCTCGACAGAGGCCTTCTTCTCGCTGTTGTCGCTGTTGGTGTTGATCAGTCGCACACCTTCCTTCTTGACTCCTGCCGCCATAGCTTCCTTGTCCTGCTCCCACTGAGAGCCCACCTGTCGAAATTCGTCTTCGAGCTTCTTGACCTGTTCGGCGTTTTCCTTTTCTTGCTTTTCCCGTTCGCGCTTCTCGCGCTCCATTTCCTCCATGTGTCGGATGTCATCCACCGACGGTTCGTACAGGTGCCACACAGTGTAATGTGGCAGCCCAACAACAGAAAATTTCATGCGTCTAGCCATCTTCCCGAATCCTTCTGTCTCGGCGTGCCTTTCAAAGGAGAAGGCCGGGAAATGCACGCCAGCACGGAATACTCGGGCTTTGGCGAGGATGGAGACTCCGCCAACACCGTCCAGTTCCATTTCGACATCGGGGTCGCCGTAGGGGTCGCGGAGGTAGGCAAGGTGAGGCCGCCATGTGGCATACTCTGCGTAACCTTCTACAATGACAGCGTCTTCGTCCAGCGATTCGGCGAGGGCAATGGCTGTCTCGGATTCTTGCCAGGAGTTGAGATCGTAGGGCTGTTCACCCCCTAGCCAGTCAGGCAGGGGCCGCCAGATATCTATTCCTTCTTGTTAGCTTTGAACACGACGGAGACACCAGCAAGACTCACTGGGTACAATTACATCCTTGTCATGCCGCATGAGATCTTCAATGATGGTGTAGGGACACGTCTCAACATCAGCATCACGCCAATAAACCCAGCTGTGATATGGTCTCAGGGCCGCACTGAGCAGCCAATTCCGTGCTCGCGCCATCAATTTTCTTCGGCTGGCTTGGGCCGCAAAACCGTGTCTGCTTTCTACATCTTGACCGACTGCCTGTCCAAAATCCTTGTGTATGACCGAAATCTCTCCGTACGGCTGTGAGGGATCGGGGTCGGCTTGTTGTGTTTCGAGCATTTGAGAGAGCAACTCTTCAGTGTTGTCCTTGGAATCGGAAACAAGAAAAGCCAGGTCGATGAGATGATGAGGGTATGTGAAGTTTCTTAAATGGGCGAAGAACATGGGCAAATGCGGTGCTGCATCCCGCAGGGGTGTGCATAACAGCACTCGTTCTTCCCTCTCCCAACCAACCGAGGTGCCCTGTACATCCTCGAGGTCATAGTACCGCAATGTCTCGATATCGTCGTAGAGAGGCAACGTGGCCGAACCACTCGATAGCAGAGACAAGGTGGAGTTGGAGGGAAAGAAGAGGTAGAATGCTAAGCAGCATATCCCCAGGATGCCCAAGCCCAGCCGGATGTTGCGAGACCGGGTATGGAGGGCTCGTTTTCGCGGCTCGAACTTTCGATTGAAGGAAGAATCCACTTTCTCATCCTCGACTAGATCGGGCATGCCCCAAATATACTTGCTCTCGAGGTCGGAGCGGTCCGTGTAGGGGCGGTAGATATCGTCATCTCGTTTCTTGTTGGCGGCGTAGCCATTGGTAAAGGCGTGATGCCTGTTCATCACTCCAACTCATCACACCCCCTCAACCTTGTATCTCTGCTGCGGTGCAGCTCTTTGATTGGCGGTCGTGTCGGAGGAAGTGGTTTGGTCAATGAACTGTGTGTGGCTGCGGAACGGGGAGGTCGGGGATGGACACGGCGGAGCGAGAGAGTAACGAGGGCTGAGATGTGAGGTCGAAGCCGTTGATCGAGAGGAGGACACGTTGGAAGGAGAGGAGGGTCTAAGGGCAACAGCGGGAGGAGTCGAATCGAAGGCGTGGTGGATTTTGTGGAAGGGGGAGGTCGGGGAAGGACGAAGCCAGGTGTGAAATTCTCAGTGACAACGGAGGCCTTGTCAGCGCACAGCAAGGAGATGTAGATCTCTGGATGGCCCCAGAACAGGTCAAGGGATTCCCAATGGAGGGTGAAGTGGTTGCACAGAAGCAGTAACAGCGGCAGCAAGAGGAAACCTGTCACATTTCAGCTGCCAAAGGCCCATCTGGGTGCCGTTGCTTGCCTTGGTACCATCAGCGCAGTCTGCAGGGCCGCAGTTTGTCCCTGGAAACGGAAATTTTGTATGACATGACGCGGCCGGCGACGCAGGCGAATCGCATGGGGTTCAATTCAAGTTGTTGCTGCTATTTTCAACCACGGCAGTCTCTCATATATTTACCGCGTATTCATTCCCTTACCTGGATACATACCTAGGTACTTACTATGTATGAAGATGTGATTCCTATCCAGCTTAGCAGTTGCCTGAGTGCAGTGGCCTAATGCCATGTTGACTATACGACATACGCACCCGGTCGTCCATCGTCTCGTCAAGATGCATTCCTTTGGGCTGGGTGCTTCAGGCCACCACTTCAGCCTGGGCTTTTCTGTTGCTACACCACAATATATATACAGCACATCTTCATGGCAACTGGGCCTGCTCACGCTGCTCACTCCGCTAGAAACAGCAACGACTGAACTCACTTGTACAGCAGCTAGAAGCAGCGACTACATGACCATGTCACTACGCCAGCAGCTCCTCGAAACAGCCAAAAGGTACCTCGACGCCCACAATCAGCGCGACTTTTCATCCATCGCCGCTTGTTGCGCGCCATCCTGTACCCATCGGGGTGGGCCATCCTCGGTCATTCAACCGACTCGCAACAACGACGAGTATGTCGCGTTCATTGTCGAGGTCTTCAAGATGATGCACACCTACCATGCCGAGATGACGGATGCCATTGTCGACGAGGCCACGCGCAAGGTTGCCCTGTTCTTGCACGCCAAAGCCACCGCCGATGCGGGCGAGTACGAGAACGAGTATATCATCACGCTGACCATGAGCGAGGATGGGAAGCTGGTGGAGGATCAATATGAGTTTATCGACAGCCACACCATGGTGCAATGGATAGCCAAGCTGGGTAACTGGGGACCGGAGAATTGGGAGAAGAAGTGATGAAACTGTCTGCCTACCTACTGTAGGTACTTGAACCAATGTTTAAGGGCACGGAGAGCTACCTGGTACTTAGTATCTATCATAACTGCTGAAACTCTCAATGACGAATGGGGCCAGGAAGAATGACATGGCACTTGTCAATAATTTTCCCGTCGTAGCCGTCGTAGCCGTCGTCGCTCACTCTGCCCTTGACCGTCCACCAGCTTCAAGCACATCATCTTATTATCAATGCAATGCTGTATGTGTGCCCACTGCTCCTCCTGGGCTCCATTTCTCTGGTTTTTCATTCCCACTTGGCCGCCGCCGCCACCACCGCCACCATTACCATGGGCCTCCTCTCGTGCTCCTCGGCGGACGGCAACCTTACCCCACCAAAATCATCGCTTATACCCACCTATCCAGAGCACCCTATCTTTTTGGTCTTATACGCTCTGACGGCGAAAACGGCTGGCCTTACAGCCGACCGAAAACTTCTCCTCCTCTTTTTCTCATTGGATCCCCCTGTGGCCTCAGCCGTCCCAAATGCTTGAACCTCCATCCGCTTAACCTTACTAGATCCTCGCCGATCACCAACAGGTCTTTGGCGTTCAGCGGCCTTCGCGATTCGCTCTGCTTGGATGATGGATCGTCAGCCTTTCCCACAACTACCACGCCTGTGTCGTCACCATGCTTTTGTGATCCCTACCTAGGTACGCAGCGAACATGCACACAAGGGTTCGTCTCCATACTGTGGCTTTGTGTTGCTTGACAGTATCGCCGTCTCCTCCCCTCATCCTTGACTCCTTGTCTAAGCTTTTTCTTGTCCGTGTTACGTCGCAAGCTTGGTCTGCCCACCCCGTCCGTGATCGCAGCTCTGTCCCTTAAAAAGAGCCCTTTCCTCTCTACACGGCGCATCTACCCTCCCGCCTTCTTCCCTCGAGAGTGGAAGAGATTTCCGGAACTTCTTCGCCCCTCTGCAATTGGTATTTCCAAAAATCACATGCAGGCGCCAGATCGTCTCAGTGCTGATTCTTTGTATTTCACCTGTTTCATACGGGTTATTCGCGCGGTCAAGTGGCGTTGATCTACTTGATCGAACCGGCCCTCTAACCCCTCTGAACTGGTATTGCCAAAGCCACTGCTGCGAAAATGTCCGCGATGAACGAAAAGACCGAGCCCGGCTTTGGCGAGGGCAACGGCTTCAAGCCTGAGGGATCCGTCGACTTGGAAGGACGGCGCGATTCCACCATGGTCCAAGGTCGCAAGATGAGCAGAATCGGTCCACCTCCGAAGATTGGCTCTTTGCCCGACACCTCCTCGACGTCTGATGATGAGTATGGCAAGCTGGTCGCCATGGAGGCCAATGATGCCATCAAGTATCGCACTTGCTCCTGGCAGAAGGTCGTTCAAAGTTCCGCGCCCAACACTTTCTTTACGAGGTGCTGACGAAAGGTATAGACTGCTGCTTTGCTCTTCTCCGAGTATATCTGCTTGGCAATCATGTCATTCCCGTATTCGTACTCGGTGCTGGGCTTGGTGCCGGGCCTTATTCTCACCGCCGTTCAAGCCGCATTCGTGCTCTACACATCTCTGGTAGTCTGGGAATTCTGTCTGCGCCACCCTGAGACCAGAGATGTCTGTGACATCGGACAGATGCTGTTCTGGAACTCAAGATGGGCGTGGTACTTTACGGCCGTCATGTTCATCTTGAATAACACCTTCATCCAAGGGCTCCATGTGCTGACTATTTCGCGCTACCTAAACACCATGAGCGGTGCGTATTTTGACATCACACACGTTTTATGCTCCTTGGAAGAGACTAATTTTCACACAGGGCATAGCGTTTGCACCGTTGGTTTTGCGGCCATTGGCGCCGCTGTCTCCTGGCTCTGTTCCATGCCGCGCACCTTCAGTGCTCTGTCGAAACTTGCCGCCTTTTCTGCCTTTTTCACCTTCGTTAGCGTTATCCTCGCTGCTGCATTCGCCGGCGCAGAAGGCAAGCATGGTACGGCTGGCTACAATCCGGATCCCAACCACATCAACGCAAATGGTGTGAAACAAGGCGGTGAGCCCCTTGTTCTTGCAGTCCCATTGGCTGGGACGACGTTTGTTTCCGGGATGAACGCTTTCCTGAACATCAGCTATACGTTCATCGGACAAATCACGCTGCCTAGTTTCATTGCCGAGATGAAGAACCCTTATGACTTCCGCAAGGCGCTGTGGCTGGTTACCATCTGCGAAATCATTCTGTTCAGCCTTGTTGGTGGAATTGGTAAGTCTAGGCTTTGGACGACTTCCAGCCCCCTTTCGAGCCCTTTTCCAAACCCTTTTCCAGCAAGAAAAATCCAGACCGATAACACTAACACACTCGGTTCCAGTATATGGCTACACCGGCACCCAATACAACACGGCGCCCGCCTTCGGCAGTCTGGGCAACGACATCTACAAGAAGATCTCCTTCTCGTTCATGATCCCGACGCTCATCTTCCTCGGCGTCTTGTACGCTTCGGTCTCGGCGCGCTTTGTGTTCTTCCGCCTCTTCGACGGCACGCGACACAAGTCCTCGCACACCGTCGTGGGCTGGGTATCCTGGGCCGCCATTCTGGGCTGTACCTGGGTTTTGGCGTTCATCATTGCCGAAGTCATCCCCTTCTTCGCCGATCTGCTTTCGCTGATGAGCAGCCTGTTCGACTCCTTTTTTGGATGGATCTTCTGGGGCGTCGCGTACCTGCGCATGCGGCGCGCGGATCTGGGTCCCGGGTTCTGGAGAAAGAGGGGCATTCGCGGGTGGATCGGATTCCTGGTCAACATCTTCATCATTATCGTGGGCGTCTATTTCTTGGGCGTGGGCACTTATGTGAGTACATCTCGGCTGTTTCGAACTTGTCCTGTGGCCCCTACCCTAGTTCACACCTTTACAAGTTTTTTTTGCTCTCGAGTGCCATTTGTATCCATTCCATCCTATCGACGAGAAACCGAGGATCTCACTAATATGATGAAATTCCACCCAGGCCTCCGTCGACAGTATCATCCTGGACTACCAGGCCGGCAACGTCCGCGGCGTCTTCACCTGTGCCGACAATGCCGTCTAGTCACAGCCACTCTCTACACTACTGATGAACGATCGGACGGAGAGCGAATGTGCAAGTGGGCATGAAGAAGGGGAGCACAGAACGATATCCTCGACGTCCCTACTCCATACCCAGAGAAGAAGTAACCCACTCACTTATTACTGTGGACGTCAACACAGCGAACAAGCAAAAACCAAAACCAAACAGTAACGGAAATTATGGAAACACGACCCGGTGGCATATATCTCTGCTACTGGCTACGTATGTATATATCGTACACGACGGCTGTCACGCACGCATGCAAGAGAAACACGATCATGCTGCTGTGAGGCGATATAGAGAGACAAGGAAGAATTGAATTGTTTTTTTCTTTTGATAATGAATACAGCAAACAACTGTAAAAATACTAGAGAATAAAGGAAAAGGATAGAAGGGAATGAAGGAGACGGGTCCCATAAGCCTCACCCCAGGAAAGCAGGAAATGCGCGGGATTTATCAACGGAAACCTCGAGACGCAAAGACATGTATGTGCCCCAGCTGGGGCTTGGAGTAATTCTTCCCAACTGGATGAGGTGGATGGGTGGGTGGCACTGAGATAGCACTGGGACTAGCACTGGCACTGGCACTGGCACTGGAGATCTATTCTCCTCGGTCAATTATTCATACTGTGTGATGTGGCCTCCTGTGCAGACTCCTCCGTATTCGGCACAGACGTAGGTAGAAGCCGTGCTTATCACGAGGAGGGATGTTATGCAACCTTATTCCCTATTCCATGATTGGTTTTGAGACAAGTACCTAGGTATCTCGTAGGGTATCGATCTAGACATCCTCGTCCTCATCATCCTCGAGCATCTTTGCATAATCCTCCACGGAAGCAAAGGTGGGCAAGTTTTTCAGCTGCGACCTCTTGGATTTCTTGTTGCGGCTGCGGTCGTCCTCGCCCCCCTGCTTGCCCTTCTTCCTCGTCGCTGCAGGTTGTGCTGCGGCGGTGTCCGAGTCGAAGCCCGCAAAGTCGGACCCGCCGTCGTCGGCTCCCTCGTCCTCCATGAGATCGTCCTCGTCTTCGTCAAAGAACGCAGGGTCGATGTCAACGCCTTGATCGTCGTCATCATCATCATCTTGGCCTTGGTCGTCGTCGTTTTCAAGCCCGCTCAAGTCTTCGTCTCCGTCTGCAATTTCTCCATCGTCATCCGATTCCAAATCCGCCAGGTCGAGATCCACATCATCGTTGTCGTCCTCGAACTCGTCGCCCTCCAAATCTGGCGCGCTCTGCATCATCGCCTTCCAAATTTCATCCTCATCATCCGCTTCGGACTCATCATCCATGTCGTCGTCTGCGTCCCGCCTCTTCTTCTTCTCCTTCTTCTTCTGTAGCTTGTCCCTCTTCTCACCAGCCTTACCGCCCTTCAAGCTCGTGAAGTATTGGTGGAAGAAGACGTCCTCAGCAGCGACTTCCTCGCTCTTCTTCAGCCGGAATTGCTCGCTGTTCACGGGAATTTCCTTCTTCCCACTCACACCCGTTCCGGCAATCAGTACAGCCTGTGAATTGTCTGTCGCCATCGGTTGCATGATGCTACTGCCCCTGAGACCCGAGCTCGAAAGCTTCGGATTGCGGTACACGAAGCGGTCGAGGAAGTGCGAGAGCGTGTGTAAATTGAGGTCAGGTTTTCCGGGGAGTGGTTGGTGGCGCAGGACATGGTCGGCGCTGACGGACACAGAAGGATGGAAATGGGCGAGGAAGGGAAGGAGTTCCCACAGGCACGTGTTGTCGGCGTTGGCATGTTCTGGGGCGCGTTTGTGGGCGTCGTAGACATTGCTGCGCTGCGGCTGCTCCGAGTCTGAGGGACCATTCGTGATAGTTGTATTATTGGTTGCGTCCGCATCGTCTTCATCCACAACATCCCGGAACACCTCAACGTCATCTCCTTCATGATCTTCCGGCTCATCCGTCAAGGCCTTCAGCGAAGGAAACGTCTTCTCGAGATCTTGAATCAGGAAAAAGGCTCCACAGATGAACGGCGGTTCATGCAGACTCAGGACCTGCACAAGCCGTTTGACAAATGCCTTTACCCTCTTCACGCTCAGATCGGCCTTCAGAGCACGATGCAGCAGATTCAGGTACAGCTGCTGTTTAGACGCGGTGATGAGGCGCTGATCGAGAAGAGATTCGTACAATACACGGTAGAAGCGGTCACTTGAGGCTTTGTGTTGGGAAGAATGGGAGATTTGTTGGATCAGCATGAGGGATTGGATGCTCGTGTTGAAGTTGGCTGAGTGGGTGATTTTGAAGAGCGTGTCGAGGTGGTCCGAGAATGCTGAATTGCTGCTGGCGCTGTTACTAGTGTAAGGGTATGCCCGGTTGACACCGGTAAGGATGGCGGAGATGAGTTTCTCGCGAAGTTCTTCGGTCTGGGACTGACCGCGTTCTTCTCGGGATTTTTGATTCTTTTTCTTGCGACCTTTGCCCTGCACAAGGTTTGTGTCAGCTTCGTTCTTTGCGAATCCTTTGTCGCTCTTCAAGAGGTCGGTAAACAGTCCAAAATAGATGTCGAGTAGCTTCGTTGCCACGTCTTCCTCCTTCGCACTCAATGCTGTCTGGTTGAGAGTAACCACGGCATAGTATTTCCCATGCAGGGTTTGTCCGGGTCGGAAGATGAAATCTGTCTCGATGGCGGACACAACCACCATTTTCATGGCGGGATGTGCTAGCAGCAATTTCATCAGTGAATAAGAGGCCTGAGAAGCAATTTTCTTCACGGGATCGCCCAACTTATTGACAAGGAGGCGCAGCAGGTTTGATTCCTGTTCCGGCCTTTCCTTGAGTAGCTCGAAGACGTAGCTGACGGCGCGGGCCTTGGAGAATTCAATCTCGTCATTGCACCATCCCTCCAGGATCTTGAGCACTTCAAAGTACTGCTCTTTCAGCCAGCTCTCGAAGGCCCAAGACACCAGATGTCTTTGTTCAAGGCCGCGGGGCAGCTTGTTCCCTCTTTTCCATGGCCTTAAAACCACAAACGGGAGTGCAGGCTGGGCTTGAAAGGCGTAAAGCTTTCTCGACGCGGGAAGAAGTGAACCTTGAGCAAAGAGATCTTTGAGCGCTCGGAGCACATCAACGGCTTGAGAACGACTGCGTTTTCGAGCCAGGCCGATGAGGGTTTCGAGAGCTTTGATATTGTGGATGGGCGAGTCTTGCACGGCCAACGTTAGGGCTGATATTTTGTCCGACAGAGTTCCTGATGAGATGACAGTGTTGTAGAAAGCATTGGCGGACGAGGACTGTTGCGACTCATTGAACTTGTGATTGTCCTCATCGAGAAGAGCCTTTGCATATTCGTAGAGTTCGTCGATGGATTCCTTGGACACAGAGTGCTTAGGAGAATCTTTCGCGTCGAAATCTGGATCAGGAATGTTGTACCAATCCGGCTTTGGTTCGCAGATAAGCCGCATGTTCTTGTCCCGGCCACTCTTATCCACCTGTTGCGATCGGACAGCAGTAGTTCCTTGGCCCTCCGTAGACACAATATCGCCATCTACCTCATCTTCTCCTTCGGGCTCACTTGAGGCGTTCCCGTCATCGCGGCTTTCTCCTTGAGCGAGGGCGATCTCTTTGAGGATATTTCTCATTCCCTTGTCCAGCTTCTCTAGATCTGCCCCCGGGGTGGTCCCCTCAAGCTCTGACTCGGAGTCTGCATCTGCGAGGAGCTCCAGATCTTCGGCCGTCCCACCAAGAGTCTTCATTTCCTGTTCCAAGACATCACCCCCTGGTTCTCCTGCGTTTCCTTGAGAGGGCTCGTCCTGCCGGCCATTGTCCTTGTGTTGTCGGGTGAGGATCCTGCCATTGCGATCACGCTTTTTACCTCGTTCTATCACTGTTTCGTGACTCTCATTGCGACTCTCATTGCGACTCTTCTTCTTGTCCTTCTCTTTGGCTTCGCCAGGATCGCTGAATTGGTAGCGACGTTGGATCGTCTTCCGCAAATCGTCGACCAAAGATGAGTTCTTGGTACGCTGCCCGGGATCTTTCGAAGATGTGCCACTATGGCGAGGTTTCGTTCTCGACATTGAGCTTGTAGCTTCACTGTTGGTCACGGACCAAGCGTCGCACCTTGCAAACAGAACTAAATTCAACCCAGCGAAAAATATCTCCAAAAATCTGGAGGGACTCCGGGTATTCCTCGGCCGGGTTTAAAATATGCCAAGACTAGTTATCTCCTCACCACCTTTCCGATGGAGTGAGAGGCAGTGGGCACGAGTACAGAGTACATACGACTAAAGGAGGCGCAGAGGGCATCCCATTAAAGGGTGAATGGGACATGTTTACCTCCTTGTGATCGAAACAAGAAAGACAGGCGTGTATTGCGCTACCTGTCCCCGGACTGCCTCAACCATGTTCACAATTAAGTAGATGCTTCCTCACCAGGACTTTCTCCCTCCGTGTCTATTTACAGCGGCCTCCATCTTTTCGTTTCAATTTTCTCCTCATCCCAGTGAAGTCTCCTTGATGTACCTCACCAATCTCCCCAACCGCCCTTACTCACAGGAGAGTCATGCCAAAAAGGGCGACCATACCCGCTAGTGCCATCATTGGGTTTCCTGCGGCCAAAGTGTAAGCAGCTGCATTGGTGCTAGAAGTACTGGGAGTTGCTGCTGACCCACTAGCTGTAGCCGATGCGCTCGCAGGAGATGAAGAGGCCGATGTGCTGCTTAACCCAAGAGTGTCATTTTCCTTAGGAACTCCCTGCAGAAGTGTGACGTTTGCAATCTTAGGATAAGGCACGACACCATCGTCTGGGTAGGCAGAGCAGTTGGCGTTCGCAGCAAGGGGACAGCTATATTGATCGCTGCAGATGGTCTGCAGCTGAGGCCCTGCTGATGGAGGAATCACGGCGGCTGGGGGAATGCAACGATAAGTAAAGGTCTGATCGAGAGCGGTTCGAGTAAAATTGACGTCTGGCTCTTCGAATCCGATCGACTGTCCGGCAAGCACAATCTGTTCGTTGAAGTAACCAGACTCCCAGATGTTGGGGTCCATGAACCTTCAGACCGTCAGTGCTTTACTGTCGAGGATGCATGAAAGACACTTACTTGTGCACCTCCCACATGCTTGCGACGCCCTGATAGTGGGGGAAATCAGCGCTTCCCTGCTGGGAGCATCCGTAGAAATCGCCAAAGTACTGATACACGTGCGTAAGGAGTCGGCTGCAAAGTCAAAGGTAAGCAACATATGGTCGCAAGTGGGTCAGAGAACATACTATTGGTTCGAGTTCGTGGTGTTGGCCGGCTTGTTGGCAAGCAGTGCTGCCGCTCCTCCATCATCAAGCCAGTTTACGGCCTCGGACTTTCCACCTACATTGGTAGAGTAGTATCCACCAGTGAAGTATGGCAGGAGATTGACTTGGTGGCCTTCGTAGGTCTTGGGGCCTGCAATTCCGTCTACTTTGATGCCGACATTGGGGGTGGTGTAGTTGCCCAGAATGAAGGTATGGGTGATCAAGGCCATGAGTTCCTGCTGATTGGCGGGTGTGTTGTCTTTCCCAAGAATGAGGGGAGTATAGTAGTCGCAGATGGACGTGGTGTTGGGACGCAGAGCGTTCACAACTCCGAACGCCGCGAGGAGTGAGAGGGCTTTGACAGACATATTCAACGGCATCTTGATGGACACAGATTTCACTCAGAAAAGACTTCGCTGGGATGTTTAGAGACAAGCCAGTGGGCTGAAGAAGAGAAAACGAGAGACTCTGGAGGGATGCTGCAATTTAAGTGTCGGCAGACCGAGGTCATGTTCAAGGGAGCTTTGCTCCAGATCGGGAAGCTCTGAATAAGACAAGCCACGGCATGCAAGGTCCAAGGGATTAGTTGTCCAAGGAGGCTTGTCTCAAGGGGTTCTTAGAGCACGGCAAGCAACGCGTGCTCGTACTCACAGCATCCATTGTCTAATTTCAGCTCGTGCAACGCTTCCAAATAAGGAAATCGGGCGCTTTCATCCTTGCCGGACAGAGCGAAGGGACGAATCACACCTGGTTGATTAGCAGCGGTAGATCGGTGAATCTGTATAGACGAGGGGCCGTGCAGGTTTGGGCCGCCATGGATTGCGACGGGCTTTACAAAGTGGCGTCGTCGACAGCTTCATAATCTTGAGCTCGCGGAATGTAAACAAGAACAGAATCTCTCCGCACGCCTGCAGCCTCGCGATGGCCTATCAGAGCAAAGATCCATCTGCTGACATATGGTCCTCGCGGCTGATTCGCTCTCTTGGATGGTCCGCCTTAGGATGCAGGATCTCAGTCAGAGTAGCACACTGCAAGGGACAAACTGAGGACAGAAGAAGAATCTCGTGCTTTGTAACAGGAAGGCTAGAGGTTGGTCAGTCGTAGGTCGAGGTGGACTAGAGAAGGACAGGAATGAGCTCGAGAAGTGGATGAGGATGAGGATGAGAATGAGAAAAGCAGCGAGGGCGATTGCCAAGAATTTGCCAAGGACACTAGTGGCTACTTTTGCATGTAATGCTCATCTGCTTCTCGCAATAAATACAGCTCTGCTTATATGCTCCACCCTAGCCCCAACCTCGGGATAACACAGCATCTGCACAACTTGGATGTGAACCCGCATTTATTGTGGCCCCTGTACCCCGGAATCCGACCACCCGCAGCTGCGTTGAGTGCAGACTTCTCCGTGGCTGCTTGCACAACTATTGGATCGTCAATCAGGTGCCAGGCTAGCTGGTCTCGCTGGCTCTTGCTGCTCTCCAGCTGTTGTGCGGTTGGTCTAATGCCCTCCTTCAAAATGAATTTTCCTCGACGTCCCTCCGCGCAATACTTTCAATATCTGCCCAGTCGGTGTTAGTTCTACGAGATCAGACTCGTCCATCTGACCCACCTCTCCTCTTCTATACGGAGTTGCGGGCGCCTAGTTTGTTCAACTGAGGCGGCAGCTGAACCGCCACGATGCCTCCACTCCCACGGGCTCCCAGGAGCAGGGGTTGCACGCAGTGTATACAGCGCCACGTAAAGGTCAGTCAGTGGGATTGCCGCTGTTACTTTTGCCAGCACGCGATTGACAGAGTCTACGTCTTCAGTGCGACGGCAGACCAGAGTATTGTAGACAATGCGCCCGCTTTGGACTCCCTTGCTCGGGTCCTATTCAAGGACCTATCATTCTCGACATGTCTGCCAAAGTTAGTCGCCCGCGCAAGAAACGGCGAGCAAATTCGATGGGACGACACGCCTCTATGACCGACAGTAATAGTGTCATGTCAACAGAGGCCAGCGGTGGGAGTCCTCTGACTGAGGGTGGCCTCTCAATGAGCTCGGATGCATCTACTACTTGGGGATTGCATGCTGCTGCACACGAAAGTCCTTTGCCGTACCAAAACCTTTCACTGATTATTATGGATGTCCTCGACAACAGCAACTTTGTTGAACAGTGTTTCGTGGAGAAGTTTGTGGAACTGAGCACGAGTTCGAGGTTGGGAATGAATCCGAATCGACCCCGATCGTGGGTGTTTGCCCTTCCCAACTTGTCATCGAACACCCAGACTCCTTCTGTAAAATTTTCTATTCGAGCTGCGAGCTTGATCTTCTTTGCAGTTTTCCAGCACAACAAGAGCGCCGAGGTCGAAGCTGTGCGCTGGTATCTTGCCGGTCTCGAGAGCCATCGTGGATTGATACAGGGTTGCAACGACTCCGGCTCAAATTCATTAACGCAGAACAAGTCGACATCAAGCAGCACAGATATATCAGTGCCAATGATGTTTCTCTACTTTGAGACGATGCGGCGGACGTCCCTTGACGCCTGGGCTCACCACATTGCGGCGGCCGTCACGATAGTCGAGGCTCGAGGCCCGGATCATTACCGCATTGGCCATGATCACGCCATGTTTAGGTCTCTTCGCACGTATGCGGTACGTACGCTTATAACACATAAAGGAAGTCTTTTTATCTACGGGATTAGTCTCTAATGGAGTTCACAGGCTTTTAAGGCCCTTCTCAAAAACGACCCTTGCAATTTCGCTTCGCCGGAATGGTGTGAAGTACCCTTCACAGACAGCACCAAAATCCCCTACGAATTTTTGATCGACATCCTCCTCGCTGTTCCCCACCAACTCAAGCTCATCTTGGTTCCTGGTGGCGACTTCGGAGACTCAATGCACAGGATAGCGGACCTCGACGACTCAGACCAGCAGGTGCTAGAAAAGGAGACACTTGTTCTCCTCCAACGTCTACAAAACTGGTGGTGGCATTTCACCCAGGACACCGGCGTCTATGTCGGTCGGCTCAGTGCAAACTCGGACCAGGACGCTCTCGACTCACTCACAATTCAGCCGCCTGTTGGACAGTGTGTATTTCCTGATACCTTGACTGCGAAGACCTTCTCGCTGTACAACGCTATGATGGTCATAGTCTACTCTGTGCTGATGGCTCTCGAGGAACGGAAGCCATCTTCCGGGATGATGTCGCCCATTCCACGCTACCGTGCTGAGATCGAACGCCACTCGTCCTCGGTATTGATGGCCGCCTGGTTTCAGGACTCGCGGCATCCTTATTGCGGCGATGCGTTGCGGACGGGATTCTCTCTGAAGATCGTGTCATTGTTGGGTGCGGATCAAGGGCAAAAAGACGAGGCACTTAGGATGATGGTCTCGTGGGGGATGGAAAGCAAAATTGAATAGGATGGGTGGCTTGATCTTCAAGACACTATATCCCCCGAATCAGCATTCGGTGAAGGTTCGTGGCTTTCCTGGCATGTACATGGCTCGACATTATGAGTCCCCAGAGTATATCAAATGATGTACTTGTATATTTGTGCATATCTTGTTCATGTTCCTCTTCTGGAACAGGACATCGGACAATACCTCTTTGCTTATTTCCTCTCGTCAAGTTTCCGACCGAAGGCTTCCTTCTGCCTTTGTCAGCCACTGATTAATGAACTTTTGGATCTCCTCGTTATTCGCTTCGATGGCCATCAGGTGTCCATTGCCCCTAATGCCCCTATCCGCGAGATAGACATGCTCGACTGGCACGCCTGCGTCGCGGAGGAAGTCCGCCGTCAAGTGGTCATAGCTCGCATGGTACGAAGCCTCGGCGGTGACAAGCAGGACGGGGATCGACGCGAGGTTGACGAGCTGTCTGGGCGGCCGTGTCTGGCGACATCCGCGCGTGGGGAATCCGCAATCGAGTGGCGGCGTCTCCGGGCTGAACCGCTCGTAGCTGAGCTGCGTCGCGTCCGCCGCCAGCGCTGGTGCGAAGCTCAGAGGCGTCGAAGTGATGCCGAACGGATGATGCAGTGTCCCGACCAAGGCAGCAGAGCGTTTGTTCTTGTTGAACGGCGCGACGTCCGGCAACTCGTATGGCGGGCCGTGAGGCTCCAGCGCCACAATGCCTCTGACCAGCTCCGGACACTCGTCTGCGATGTGCCACCCCAGCGGGCCAGACTGGGAATGTGTGACCAGGTACGCGGGTCCAGTCCTGGTGAGGAGAGCACGCGCGGCGCTGCGCACCAGCCGTTCCATGGCCTTATAGTCTGCGTTGTGCCCGACCTGGCTGGCGTAGAAGGCGTCGAAGTGCGCGTCGCCCATTGTGCCCCTGCCGGGCCACTGCGTGTGCAGCCTCGCCGTCGGCCACGCGTCGGGTGCCGGTGCCGTGAAGGCCGCCTGCAGCTCTTCGGCCGTGTAGTGCTTCAGCGCGCCCATGTCGGCGGCATGGTACCGCGACCGACCTACGCCCACCAGGTCGACCACGTAGCAGCTCCAGCCTTCCTGCGCCTGCAACAGCGCCAGACCCGGCCGTCCGTCTGGCGTGACTTCGAAGTGCGTCCCCGTCTGCGCGGCGCCGTGGATGAAGATGACCGTCGGCCGGGTACCAGGGGTGTCGTTATCGTCTGCGCCGTAGTGGCGAACGCACATCTGGCCGCTCATGTGCGTTCCTTCCTGGTCCCGTATGTACTGTCCGCCGACGTAGAAGACCGGCGGGATCTTCCATTTTGTCAGCTGCTGCGTCGTCGTCGTCGACGACATGGCGTGAGGGCATCTGAGGAAGTTGATTCGGTTTGTCAACAGCAACGGGTCCTAGTCATCCTATAAATGCTTACCTCGCCGGATTAAGAGCTATCTACCTATCCATGCCATCATGATCAATGTAGCCACTCCGTTGGGGACACGCTTCTGGCTTAGCATGCCCCGAAAAGCGGACGGGCGTGGCTCTCCGGGCCAGCCTTGAGCACTACCCCCGAGCCGCTTTTCGGCCGTAGAGACCACCGAAACGGTCGCAAGCGGCCGCTGCATTTGCCCAACAGGAAAATGCACCATGTCTCTAGCATGCTGGGCAACAGAGACAGGGTCTTCTGCGGCAGAAAGAGAGGCGATGGTGCAAGTTCATTCTATTACTTGACATTAGCCGACTTGATACGGAGACCCTACGAGCCTAAACTTGCCAAAAGGGGTAATCCCCACGACAGCTGCATGATACTATATGTGTGGGCTCAATGAGTCTCCTTACCGCTTGCAATTCCGCCATGCCAACGTCTTTGAATTACGTCGGGAGCCTAGGGCTCGAATGATGTGTTCAGGTATTAGCTAACAGATACTCCGAGGTAATTTTCGTGCGGCGAGTGTTCTAATCCACTCGTGACTCCTCAACACGAAAAGGCACGCTCTGGAGCTGCTCGTCGCTCTAAAGGACGGATTTCGGAGGATATCGTTCCATGTCAGGTGCCCACGGTGTCAACTAATAGAGCTACCGTAGGGCTGCTTAGGTCCACCGATGAGGGTGCTTCGGACAGAATGAGCATCAGACGAAGAGCTGCAAGGTGGAGGACTTCGGAAAGCGAACAGGAGAGAGGGCAATTTTGAAGCAGAACCGTGTCTGGTATTAGACGAGAGAACCATGACAGTCCATGCTTCGACCAAAGTCAAATCTAGAGAAAAAAAGACTCAAAACCCGACATGCCCGCAAATCTCCTCGCGACGGGTTTTTCGAGTGGATCACATAGGCCTCGACGACCTACACATAAGAGCCACTAAGATGCTATACGGATGACTCCCACCCCGTTTTCAATCGAGATCTTGGTGCCAAACGGCTTCGAATACTCCACGACCTGCTCGAGGATGCTCTGGGCCATTTCTGGCGACGGCCGGCGCGGCGTGCCCATTTCTGAGCTCGGTCGACGCAGCCCAAGGTCAACCGGGTAGATGAGCACTTGGACCAATTTGCCGTCCTCGTAGCTGCTGGTGGCCAAGATGGCCTCGAAGTTTTCGGGCCTCTGCAGCCACGCCCACCGGGACTCGTTGCTCTCCCCGTCGCCCACGACCGGGCCCGTCAGGGGCGCAGGTTGTCGCTCGGCGTCATCGCGCCAGGAGCGGAATCTCTGGTTCTGGAACACAAAGTTGTTGACCCCGTAGAAGATGGGCTTCCCTTTGTATATCTCCACGCCCTTTAAGGTGTGCACGCCGTGGGCGAAGAAGAGGTCCGCGCCGTTGTCGATGATCTCATGGGCGAGCTTGACCTGGTAATCTGACGGGTAGTGGTCGAAGGAGTACTTCTGGAACGTGTACCGGTTCTGGTGCCAGTGGATCGTGAAGGCCGCAAAGTCGGAGAATTGCTTGCCGGATCGGACCTCGCGCAGGATCTCTCGCTCGTCCACCTCGTTCATGTCGTACGACAGCTCTCCCGGCCCTGGTGTCACCTTGAAGTGCACATCAAATGCATCCAAGGTCGAGCCGCTGCCCTCATCGCCTGCTATCTTGCGAAGCTGGGCCATTTGTGCCTCAGTCACGCCCTGATAGACTTTGAGCCGCAACGAGTTGTTTTTCGACGTAATGGGCCCCTTCGAGTTCAAATGGTGTTCCAACCGCTTTTTGATCGAAACGGCTTCCTCTGTCACCGCATCGACCGTTTCTGCCAGCTGGAAGACCCGGCCGAAGAGTAGGAGGCTGCCCTCTGGGCGTTTTGTGTCCCTGTCGATTGGGTTTGGAACCTCTTTTCCCCGTTCATAGAGCGACTCCTCCATTGCATGCAATTGTTGCAGCTGCTCTTTAGTCACGACGACCGGGTCTCCGCGCGGCAGGCCGTAGAGTTGAGAATAGTCCTCGACCTCGGCGTAGGCGCCGACGAAACCGACTGTTCCCTTCGGGAGGGCGCGAAACCGAGCCAGCCTCGCCTCGGACAGGTTGTAGTCGGTGCCCACGTAGGTGATGCCAACGCGGTGGAGCTGTTCAAAGTTCTGGAGCAAGCCGGCCTCGCCGTTGTCGAACGTGTGGTTGTTGGCCCTGGACACCATGGCGATGCCCATCGAGGCCCAGTCGTCCGCAATATCTGCGGGGGCTTCCATATGCGATATCGGCCCGCGGAACGTGAGTCGGTCGACAATCGTGTTTTCGTTGTTGGCCAGCGTGATGTCGGCCTTCCGCATCACGTCAACCAGCGCCTGTATGTCTGGGTCGTCGCGGTTTGCGAAGGGCGCCACCTGAATGAGATCGCCCACGACCGCGACTGTGAAGGGTTTCGTGATGCGCATGGCCAGTTCGGTTTCCTTGTCCCGGAAAGATGTCGGGGGTCTCATTGACAGTGCGTTCGGCATCTTGAGGGCTGAACACGGATTTGACTCTCGCAGTCTCGAAATTGAATTGAAAAATGTGATGATTCTGGCTGCGTTGAACCGTTGCTAGGGATCGGATTCGCATCTGGAGGACGAAGCATACGTCTCTCGACATCCCACTCTGTGCACAAGTATAAATATATACCTTTTCATCGAGAAACTCGCAAGGTATTCCCAAATGATGCAGCCATCGACACTCGGATTCTCCTTCTCTCCTGTTCTCGCCCCGTCCGCCCCGTTCGCCCCGTTCGTGGAGACTCTGAGAACTGTGCATTCTGGACTTAATAATAATGTCGGAATTCCCGGTCCTGTCATCCTCAGTTCCGCCTGTGCCGTTCGGGACCTTGTTCAAAGGAGTGGCGGTTTCACAGGCGAAGCTGTCGAATGTGTGCTAAACTTTCCCCGCTATATGCGTGTGTCGTGGAAATTACCCTTTTGGGCGTAGTTTGAGCGGAGTCTTGCAATAGGACAGGAAATATGCGAGACACCTGCATCAAGCGCCATGGGGAAGAAAGGAAGAAGTCTGGCCGGCTGCCGGAGTTTGCGGGCTCATGGCCAGGAAAAGAAGGCTCTTCTGGCCAACCTGCCCTCCAGCCAGCATGATTGCCACTCACTCCCCACGCCCTTTTGCCATTCCGCAAAATACGAGGCTACTGTTCCGCCGACTCAAGACTTGGGGATATCCGGGGATGGGCACGCAATTGCGAACATAAAAGATCCCTGTGCCATCTCCATTTTCGGAGTTCGTGATGTGACCAAAGCAACATCCTATCTTCCTCCTCTCACAAAATCCGTCTGTGCGTCTCTCGGTGTGTACAAGTCGAGGTCGCCTAGGGCTTGCCTCGAACAGACAATGGCTTCGTCCGTGGAGAAGTTCGAAGGCAAGGAAGAGATCCGAGTCGAGCACCAGGCTGCAGATACCAAAGAGGTTCATGGATTCGTATATGAGGACCCGAACACAGCGCCCAAAAAATCTCGAGCCGAGCGCAAGCTGGTGTTCAAAGCTGATTTGTTGATCGTGGGCTTGACCTCGTTGGTCTTTCTTGTGAATCAGTGGGTGAGTACTCCAGCCCCTTCCTTGCCTGCCATATCACAGCCACCGTCAGCCGGTTGAAGCCCTTTCCATTGACGACGAACAGGATCGAGGGAACATTGGCAATGCCAGGGTCATGGGATTCCAAAAGGACTTGCACATAAGCAATGGGCAGTTCTACAACGCCATCTCCCTTTACTGTCAGTCTCTCTCAGTCTCACCAGGTTCGGTCGTCTAGAGATGAATTGCTGACCAGCCACGGAAAAGATGTCGGATACATCGTCTCCATCCTGCCTGCGAGTTTGTCTGTCCGCTTCTTCAAACCTCACCGCCAGATCGGTGGTTGTGTCATTCTCTTCGCCACGCTCTCCTGCTGCATGGCCGCTGCCAAAAACCCCGGCACCGTCCTAGCCTTGCGCATCATCTTCGGCTTCGCCTCGGCCTTCCTCCAAGCCCTGACGCTCTATATCAGCACGTGGTACAAACGGAACGAAATGGCAACACGTACTGGTATGTTTAGTCCTTTTTATTGTTTCCCTCACAGGCGCTAGTAGGCACGAGATCTGATTCGGGGCACAGGCGCCTTTTATTCTGCCGCCACCATCGCAGGAGGCTTCAGCGGTCTGATTGCCTATGCGATACAAAAGAATCTGAATGGCGCCCTCGGCCATCCGTCCTGGTACTGGCTATTCATCATCGAAGGTGCGGCCGGTATCTTTGTCGGTCTGCTCTGTTGGATTCTGTTGCCGCCGTCTCCAGACCAACTGAAGAAAAAGCATTGGATCTTCACCAACGATGAAATTGACCTGGCAATCAACCGCATGAAGACATACAACGTCGAACACGCAGGATTCAAGTGGAAACAGATGTGGATTGCCCTTAAAGATCCCAAAACCGTTCCTTTCTGGTTCATAAATGCCGGAATTTCTCTGGCGTTGGCTTCTATCAGCGCTTTCTTGCCTACCTTCATAAGCGAGTTTGGATACGATTCTGGTAAGCTTTCGTCCACCCATCAGAGTCTCCTCACTTTCGTACTGTATTGACAGGTCGTCAGTCCAAACACAGCTCTTCTCAATCATCCCGTATGCCTGTGCCTTCGTCACATTGATTGTGGTGAACATTGTCTCTGACCGACTCAACCTCAAAGGAGTGGTCCTTATGGGTCTCCTGTGCATCGGCGTAGTCGGTTACATTATCCTGATTGCGGTGCACAATGTCAAGGTCAAGATATTCGCGACATGCCTGATCACCATGAGCACTTTTCCCGGTGTGACGCTGATGGGAGCCTGGATCAACATCAACACTGGGGGCTTCACCAAGCGCGCCACTACCTGGGGCACGGCTGAGATTGTTGGCCAGTGCTTCGCCATCCTTGGATCGCATATCTACACAGATCCGCCACAATACATCAAGGGACACTCGATCGTACTGGCCTTTGAGGTCCTTGCGTTGGCGTGCGTTGTGTTTTGCTGGTTCTGGATGCGGTGGTTGAACAACAAGAAGGACAAGGAGGCGCTAGAACACGCGGAGGCTGGGACGACAGACCCGAACCTCCACAAGACTCTTGAGGAGATCCAGGACTATCATCCTTCCTTCCGGTACATCCTGTAGTGTCTTCACCACGTGGGACTGGAGATGCAGCGGGTCACGGGATGGTTCCTTGGGAAAAGGCTGTGTGCTGCTGGCATGTACATACATATCTCCCATCAGTGTCCATTCTACTCGCTTCTTGGTTCTTCTGCATGCACCATTGTGGCCTTGGACAAGTTTAACACAGTACCTGGGCCGTAGCAGGTCGCATCGCGACGACACCTGAATATACCTGTGAGTACCGAAGCGCGTGTTCACAGTGAAAGGAGTCGCGATTGTTCCTTTCACTTTGAGTAGTCGGCCGGTACAGTGATGACCTGCAGATGCATTCAGTGGAATGAATTGAGCAGACTCAAGCCTCGTGATATACAGAAAGGTCACAAGTATCATTGATATTCCTAGGTATGAAAATGTTTTGATGGGGTGGAGTGACACCGACGCAGATGCAAAAGGCAGCCAATGGACTCAGACCCGGGCCGGACACCGCCTTCGGATGAGTAGCTGAAGACTTTTATCCACTGGGTAATTAGAGGAAGCGGCCACGACTTTCACCTACCCTCTGCGAGGGGAATCAGTATCAGGCTCAGCAAACTCGCGCCTGGTAGCTTCGACAACTTTCTGCCGGAAGAGTCCGGCTTCGAGTTGAGCTACGTGCAATTTGATGTCATTGTTGATAATTTTGTCTTTTGTAGCTCGATAAATCCGTTGGGAGGCCCGATTCCGTGCTTTCTGCGTTCGGTTTTGACATCCCGGGGAGAAGTGATATAGCACAGAGTTGCCGTCGTCGGTGGAGTGGGGCTGGGTTCTGTTGGATATTCTATCTTCGCAATGGGGTCTCCCTCCAGGTTGGGCCCGAGGCATTGCTTATAGGACAAGCAAAATTGTTTATCATGCCCTCAGCGCCATAGAAATGCCAGACCTGGTTTCCTGCCAGCATATGGTACGTTGCCTTGGTGAAATCGTTGTACCTCACAGTCCCGAATAGTGCCTCGTCCTCCAGCAGAGGTGATTGGATCGCACCACCAGAAAAAATTTCGTAGCCTCTTGAAACTCTTGCTTGGGGCGCCGTCGGCGATCGAGAGCCGAAGACCGTACCTAGATTATGCATAGCCGGGTTGTCGAGAGAGAGTTGACAAAGGCTAGTGCTGATGCTGCGGCTTGAGATGAAATCTTGGTTTCAATCGTCGTTGAAGAGGCTCGGCCTTCGTGAGACTCAACTTTTGTGTTCCTGGCTTGTGAAGGTAATTCTTCATCACCGGACAATCTAGGGGTGAAGAAAAGAAGAGCGGGCCACCTTTTTAAACATTGAAAGCATTGAAAAAGGGTTATCGATGATGTCACTGACCTTCCAGTGGTCGAAACATCCCAAAAAGGGGCGGCGAGGATGCTCAAGCCGACGCGTACACATGGTGCGATAAACCTGTGATCTTACTAACACCTTTGTCCGTTGCTGGTGCCCTGACATCGGTATGAGGACACGGTCACTCTAACTTTCGCCGAGAAACCACAACTGGGATGCATGAGCATACGGTTTCCTCGTCTGTGCTCACCCAGACTTCATTGGAGGGAGTGGATATGCACGTCGGTTAACGAAGTCACCAAAAACTCACATCTTTTATCGCCAGCTGCATTCGATATTGGTGTGGGGGATCTCGCTTAGGCGGAAGTCCAGGAGATTGACGAACGCTGAAGCACTGGTCGGTCGTCAGTCGCTGCTCTAGTGTCGGCTATATCTGGATCTGGCACATCGCTTGTTCGGTTCTGGCAAGGAGGGTCCCTACTCAACAACAATGGTAGGGCCATGATAGCCTCAAAATCTCGAGTATCTGCCCGAACGAACATATACATAACATGGCGGCTCTGACCAAGCGATGCGGAGTCATGCTTCCAGATTTCTAAAAACAAATCTTTCCAACCCCCTTTATATCACGGATGGCGGAGGAAAGGACAAGTCTAGAGCACGGTATGGTCAGGTTGCAAAGGTTCGCGAATAAGGTCGATCAATAGCTTGAGTGACCCTTGCCACCGAAACGTTATCCAAGCTGGGTACACGTCTGCAGCAGCACGCCTGTGGGGTTCCTAGCAAGGTACGCGAATACAACTAGCCTCATCTGTCTAGGTGCGCCTGGACACTACGTCGCCTCTGAGAGATGGGACTACCAGACTGGCCCAGGAACAGCAACCGCTGATACACTATGCTCACCTTTGCGTATCATTCTCGTTTTGTGGAATTTGCACCAGGAAACACAGATCGGATGTAGAAGGAAACTAGACTTTGAAAATGAGTGCTGTTACCCGGGAAGAGATGGAACAAGTGAGCAAGAAGTACCTGCATCAGGAGCGAGATATGTGGAGGAAAGGGGAAAGGGGTTGATGGGGCGAGCTTGCGGGGGTGGCCTCCTTCTGAATGGCGGGGGTAATCGCGGCCATTCCTGTGGGGGAGGCAGGATCCATAGCGTCTCACCTCTGAATAGTGAGTACCTTATGACTGGCAACGTTGTTCGCACTGAGCGCTTCAGATGTTCCGGGGCATTGACCTTGATTACACTTTTGTGACCGTGGCCGCGCAAACTGAATGTGTCTTGCCTGTAATCTGGCCCCTTGACGGCAGTTCGAAACAATATCCCTGTCAGCTATCAGACTACGTCTTCCAAGTACAGTTGCTGGTATTGTAACCAAGACAGGCCAGAGACAAGGCATATCAAAGATGCAAGCCCTTGAAGAAGCATTCGAGGCTGCATCCTCCGAGCGCAAGATCCCTGGTGCGGTTTTGGCGGCTACTGATAAGTCGGGGAACTTTACTTATGCAAAGGCTTTCGGAAAGCGGTCCCTTGTGGAGGGCAAGGAAGCACCACTTGAATTGGAGAGCATTTTCGCACTGTTCAGCTCCTCAAAGCTGGTTACCACTATCGCCGCCCTGCAACAGGTCGAGGCAGGAAAAGTAAATTTGGACGACGATGTCGCCAAAATTCTTCCGGAGATTGCCGAGCAGCCCATCCTAACAGCAATGGAAAATGGGAAGCCCGTGTTTACCAAGCGAAAGAATCCTATCACACTACGGTCAGTGTCCAAGGATCTCGGGCTCCAGGGTAGGCACTGACTTCACCACAGCCATCTTCTCACGCATTCCTCCGGACTTGCTTATACGTTCATGTCACCTCCTTTGATGGAATACCAGCAGTCACTCGGCGTGGCAGGGCCTCCTAAAAACGTGGTTGAAAGCTACAATCTGCCACTTGTGTTCGAGCCCGGGAAGTCATGGTTGTACAGCACTAGTTTAGATTGGGCCGGTGTCTTGGTGGCTCGACTCGCTAACGTTGACCTCGAGACCTACTGTCAAACCAATATCTTCAAGCCACTTGGCATCTCGGACATGAGCTTCTGGGCCAAAAAGAACCCAGAACTCAAGGACCGAGTGGCCACCATGAGTATCCGAGACCCCGCGGATCCTCAGGGCAAAGCCCAAGCGTTTTCGGGACCAGACATGCACTCCGCAGCTCAGACGGAGATGGGTGGACAAGGGCTTTTCGCTTCCGCGGCTTCGTACTTAAAGATCCTGCACAGCATTCTTGTTGACGATGAGAAGTTACTCAAGAAGGAGGCGACGGCGACCATGTTCCAACCGCAGCTTAGCGCGGAGAGCCGTGACGCTCTTCAAGCACTCTACGCCGGTCGTCCCACAAAAGGGCCGTGTGCTATCGGCACGTTCCCACCGGGTGTTCAATATGATTGGGGCCTTGGTGGGCTACTGACCACAGAGGATGTTAACCAAGAAGGAGTCACATATCGAAAAAAGGGGTGTATGAACTGGAGTGGCATGCCAAACTTGTTCTGGGTAGGTGGAAGGACATCTCTGTTTTCACTAAGACTTAATGCTGACCTCTTTCTTCCTTACTAGTTTCTCGACAGAAATGCGGGAGTATGCGGCTTCTACGGTGGCCAGATGATGCCGTCGGGGGATGCAAAGGTTCAAGAGATGATTCACCTCTTTGAAAAGACCATGTACGAGGAGGCCGCGTCCAAAGGCAGGGCCTGAAGGCCAGGAAATGGAAGTCTTCGATAAACCTTCTCAAGATCATGGGAGCACTTAGCAGCAACTTTCAAGTGTGTTTTTGGCTACACAAAAGATGCAGCTACCTCCTCTAATTCTACAACTCAAATCCAGCTTCCAAGGAAGACGATCGAGATTAAAATGTGTACTGAATATTGTGCCGAGTACTATGCCTTTGTAGCCAGAGTTGTTTCTCCGCTCAACTGCCTCCATACATGGCAGTCCCTCCGACATGGCCTGCAGACGACGGTGCAGCCTACTGCAGGGCCCGCTTAAGGTTGTTCCAATAGTGCGGTAACAAGAGTTATATTCTCAGAGATATGGTATGGAGCTTGACGGCGAGCCGCCACTTTCTTGGTCGTCACATCCAGCGTGACATGGTCGTGCTCAAGAGAAGTAACACAAAGTTGCAGACTACTCCCTTCCCAGTCCCTGTAAATATTCGTGATACCTCTCAGACATGCTTCTTCATGTCCTCGATCAAAAATTCCGCATTTTCGTCTGAATATTCCACAACATCGCGCAGATAGAACTGCTTGTTAGAGGCTTCGGCACATTGTCCAGTAATCTCTTCATCGAGGAATTTCTCGAATGCGCCCAACACAACGCTCATCGGAGTCCAACGATGCCCAGGCACCACTTTCTTCATCTCCTCGCTGATACCAGTGTCCACCGGGCCTGGGCAGATTGTATTGATGGTGATGTCCTCGTTCTTGCGAAGTCCATGGCTGGCTGCTCTCACGAGCCCAACGATCTATCCAGGGTCAGCAAAATCATGGTCCCAGGGTGAATTCACAGTGACATTACCCCATGTTTGGCGGCAGAATACAACGGCGCTGCAGTGAAAGCGTATATTCCAGCCATGCTGCTGGTAATGATCATACGACCCACCCCAGGATTGCCACTCTTCTTCCAGTAGTGTCTGAAGAGCTTCAGGCCGTAGATGACGGCGTTCAGGTCGACGTCGATGACCAGGAGATTCGGCTTCTCGGGTTCTTGCTCAATATTTGGGATGGTGTAGAACTTCTCCTTTTCCACGATGCCAGCGTTTGCAACGCACGCATCGATTCGGCCGTGCCACTCGAAAGCCTTTCTGAACATGGCCGCATGAGAGCCCCAATCTGCAAGATCACACTGTATGAAGAGTGTCTTGTCACCCAAAGTCTTCTGGGCTTCTGCGCCAGTTTTTTGGTTAATGTCGGCGAGAACGACATGATATCCTTTGCCGAGCAAGACCCTACACATGGGTAGGCCGATACCTCCTGCCGCCCCGGTGACGATGGCGACCTTTGACGCTGCCATGGCTGAATCAAATCGTTGTGGTTGGTAAATATCTGACCTAGTGAATGTAGAATATGATGGCCGTTTTTCAGACAACTTATTGACCTTCCTGAAACGTTCGATATTGCGTCTTCGCAAGGGTTTAAACAATCGTCCAATGGCTACAAGGCGCGTCGCGTTTTGGAGTGTGACATGCCGAAATGGTTCTCCAGAAAACTCCAGCGCCGAAACCCCCGTCCCCCCATACGCCATCAAAACATCCTTGTCTTCCCACATCCCCCCACACTCCCAGCCAGCAGTCGCCTGGATCCCTTCTTCATGATATGTGGATTTTCGATACAGCGGGGGAACCACTAGGGCTTCGAAATAGCGGGTCCGAGACCTTATGACCCAAGCTTTGCTTAGCAAGGTCGAGGGACCAAGGCAAACGTCTACATCATATCGGTATACGCTTCCTTGCAGTGACGGCGTCTCGTGGGGCGCATAGGGTTCCGAAGCAATGTCGAGAGTATAGACAATGAATATTTCCAGAAGATGCAAATGGTCCAGAAGAAGAAGAGGATGGAACCTAGTTCAAGAAGACTGGACACCATCTCTGGTCCGGCATGCTCGTTAAGTAGTGTTCTTTCAGCCATCTAGGCGTGGACCTACACCTTAAGGTCCTCCACTCTTGGAATGTCGCCAGTCTTCGCATTGAACTGCCGTGCCACTGCCAGCGCCAGATCTCGAGAAAACTGGATTTGGTCTCTGGACGCTCCGTGTCTCAGTGTGCCATTCATATGCCAGCCTGCTTGTACCGGCGAGTTGTTGCATATGAGCAAAGCTACATTGCACAACTGCGTTTCGGTCCAGGACAGTATAGAGTCCTCACTCATCCACATCTCGTAGTTGGCCTTGATGTTTAAAAGACCTGTCAAACCCCAGAATTCAGCAGGAAAAACGACCCTCATCAAATTAAGATGCCTTACAGGTATCGGCGTAGTATTTGGAAGCCCGAACTCGTTGGGCTTCTCCTTCTTCGGGTCCGCCCCAGAGCGTGTCAAAATACCTTTTACCTCTCTCGGCTCTTCTTTGCTGATCGCCCGGGTTGCTGATTTTCTCGGTCCTGGGTTAACCACCTTTAGAACATGAAGGTTGACGCAAGGTTGAAGATGGATAATCATAACATAATATGCACCTACCTGGGGGCGTAGGTGTCGATTTCTTCTTCCGGTATGCTTGCGTTAAGAGAAGAGGAACCTTGTGCCGATCGAGGTACTCCATAAAGAATTGAACCTTTCAGGATTATCTCTTTCATTCTCTGTTGTACGATCTTTCTCTGTTCCAATGGCACGCCGGCTGTGACCATTCGGTACAGTTCCCCTACGTGCTCCCCAGCAGAAGCAGACGTGAGGGCCGATGCCTCGTAGGCTTAGCTTTTTTCACGGCGCATCTGGTGAAGCATCATACCGCAATTATATACCATTTAGCTTTGCAAATGTCAGCCTCTCCTTCGCGAGTCGGAAACTCGGAGAGAAAATCCAGGGCCATCTTTGAACTCTCTTGTTGCTGATGGGTAGTTTGCACGCAGATAACGCCTATGTTCTGGTAGAGGACAACCTTTGAAAGTCCGTGCACCAAGTTTATCAGAAGCCGGTTCAAGCAACTTGGAGAATTCTGGCTTGGACTGGAGAAGCTTACCCTGGGCGTGGAGCGCTACTTCGACCACAGACTAATTAATCTTTGGTCGACACTTCCCAAACAATGGCTTCGACGACGATCTTAGACCCCGAGTCAACGGAAAGTCGGCACATGAGCCAAGCACAGAACATCGGTCTCGCCAGCGTGTTCTCGCCAAAGCCAAATCTATGAGAGTGGGCATGCGAAGAGCGGAGGTGATGAGGATTTGCCTCCAGGCAGTCGCAATCCTCCCCACCCTCCTCACAACCCCACATAACACTTTCTCGTGCGTTTCGGCCCCGGGATGGTCGTCTGAAAGAGCGAGCTTTGCTTTTCTCAGCCTCATATGAAGGCGCGTTGGATCAGAGATAGAAACTGTCTTCAGATTGACAACCAGATTGACAACCAAATTCTATCAGCATCCTCATAACGGTAACTAAGCGACTTCATCGGCAAGATGTCGGACACGGACTCTGCGTCGATATATCCCCTACCGGATCTTCCAGTCAGCCTACCCAGCATCCCGATTCCCGAATTCATAGATGTAGATGCTCTATCTAACTACTTCAATTCCTCCTTCGAGGTTCTGGGTGAAGCTCATTTCCTCCGGGATGCGGTATGGCGCGACACATTGGTCATGACCGGCACCATGCGGACATTTTACTCCGCTCAAAGCATAGCAGCTGCGTGGAAGGATACAGCGGCAACACACAAGCCAACCAACTTCCAGGTTACAGGCAAACCCCGTGTTCACAGAGCGGGAGATGCTCACTGGGTAAACATCCAATTCAAATTTGAGACTCAGGGTTTACCGGCCATATACGCGGACGGACTTCTTTCAGTTGTTCCAGACAAGGATGGTATCTGGAAAATCTGGGTTATGCGCACGATCATCACGGATCTCGTTGGCCAACCAAAGGTCGACAAGCTGGAACCAACATATAATTTGAACGGAGAGAAGCTGTCAAACGGCACGAACGGTCACAGCGAGCAGCCAACTGACTACACCACAAACGGCACTACTTCAAGTGGCACCCTCACAAATGGAGAGTCCAAACACGGTGTGGACTTTGAAGCGGTTGTCATCGGCGGCGGCCAGGCAGGCTTATCCGTTGGTGGCCGACTGAAAGCGCTAGGTGTAAAGTATGTTGTCCTGGATAAATACGAGGAGGTGGGAGACAGCTGGGCAAAAAGATACGATTCTACTAGATGTCAGTATAGCCCGCTTCATACGTGTGAGGTATATTATGAGAACTAACAAAGTCTAGTGCACACGGTCCGCGAGTTTGGTAAGACGTGCAGGATTACTCCCATATACAACTTGGTTCTAACGGACAGGCCCAGCTCATTTGCCATTCGAAAGAACTTTCCCCGCGACTTATCAAGAATGGCTTGTCAAAGATGACCTTGCGAAAGGGCACCGCGAATGGGTCAAAAAGTTTGACATTGTACGGTCTCCTGGCGTTGTGTCCAAGAAGACCATGGCTGACTTGCATTAGAATATCTGGCAGAGCACCACTGTTCTCTCGGGAACATGGATCGCAGAGAAAGCGATCTGGGAGCTGAAGCTCCTACGCCATGGCGAGGAGAAAACCATTACTTGCTCCTACGTCACACTTGCAGTGGGCGCCAACTCTCGCTTCCCTATTGCCCCGACATACGAAAACCGAGTATGTCTTGCAACGAATGCTGGTTACACAGGGAGACATTGGCTAACCTTGTCATTAGGAAGCATTTAAGGGTCTTGTACTACACTCATCCGAATACACAAACTCCAAGGGATGGGCTGGGAAGCACGGCATAGTCGTGGGCAGTGGGAACACAGGTCAGGACGATCCCCAATCCAGTGCTAATAGAGGAGCTCTTGCTAATTTTGCCAAAGCCCACGATGTGGCCGATGACATGGAACGTGCCGGGCTGGCTTCAGTGACAATGGTCCAGAGAAACCCAACCTGTGAGAAGAGACAGCAAACCCTCAACTTTAGACAGTGCCTAACGTAGAAACAGTTGTCATACCCGTGGATCTGTACAGAGAGACCCACGACCGTAAGTGTATAAGTCAAGATCGCCTCGGGGTTGGTACTCATATCTCTCCAGTCCTCTACAACGAAAGAATCCCAACCGAGTTCGCCGACATGATGTTCTTCACAGGCCCATCGGTTTTGACCCCCTTGTTGGCCGGAAAGATGCTGCACGCTAAGATTCGTGCTAATCCTGATCGATTTGACGCCTTGGAAAAGGCTGGTTTCCTTCTGGATCGTTACGCAGACATGGGTAAGATCATCTTCGTGAAGCAGGGAGGCCACTATATGGATGTCGGAACTTCAGGAAAGATCGCTCAGGGCCTAGTGAGTGATCCTCGACATTTTTGTCCTTTGATCCTATTCTGATATCCGTCGACAGATTAAGATGCAGACCGACTCGTTACCCGTCCGCTGGGTTGAGGACGGCCTCGTGTGCGCTGACGGCCACCATTTGAAAGCGGATGTCGTCCTCTTTGCGACTGGATTCGTCGGCAATATGCGACTCCTCGTCGCCGAACTCCTGGGCACCGACACTGCTGCTCAGGTACAGGACTTCTGGGGCTTAGACGCAGAAGGTGAACTACGTGGCGCTTTTAAACCATCCGGTCGTGAGTATCTACCTCTATTCGAGGGAGATAAATTTGTTCTGACTGTTGCTCTCTAGATCCCGCTTTCTGGTACACCGGCGGAGCAATCGGCCAAGCGAGATACATGTCCCGTCACATCGCTCTGCAAATCAAAGCCAAAGTCCTAGGCACTCCTCTCCCCATGTACACCCAAACACCTCCCCGGAATAACAGCCCGCAGTATAAGAAACTACCACTGGTGTCATGATTTACGCTGAGGTCGTGACTACGTAGACCAGAACATTCGTCTCAAACAAGCGGTCCGATCAGGGGTTTTGGTGTCTAAACGCTCATGGAAAGGCAGGGTGAAAATGATGAACGCATTGGAAATTTTGTGCTGGGTATGACGGTGCATTCGCCCAGGTCAGACAAGATCACCAGGACTGGTTGTTCTTCACAGTTCTGGGGTGGTTGTACAAGATTTGAGGAATGACGACTGCAACCAAGGTCATAGATGCTACGAAGACCGTGTGTTGATTGATTGCTCGTTCCTTCCCCCAAGCCAGTGTGACCTTTCAATTGCATCTTAGTACAGTTCCTATAGCTGGATCCAGTATACTTCATGTTCATAGTATTTTGATACCACTCATGCAGTCGATATCGCTGCTGCTGCCTCTGTTGGACATTGTCTCCCCATAATTATGTATAAGTATTGACCCCATCTGGCAATTGGCTCGGCCAGTTTTTAGAGTGATGCTTTATGATGGGGCGTGTTCTGCCACATGAGCACGTCCTGGCGCGGGATTGCTTTCATCTGTCCTCGAAGAAAGGCTAGGACGAGTTGTAACGATTGATCCCCCTTCGGCACCGGTCTCGCTGTAAGCGCAGAGTCTGTGCCGATTCAAAGCTCGGAGGCGCCCGATACGTTCAGGAAATTGTCAAATCAGCAAAACTTCATGCGTCAAGAAATGCTTAGTTGGTCGCAAAGAGGTGGGTTCGGTGTCATTCGATCGTGCGTCAGCGCTAGACCAATCCAGCAGCAAAAAAAAAACAAAAGTCAGGTTGGCAGTAAACGTCCGAGCACGTAGTATTCTCTGTTGCTGTACATCGCACCGGCCAAGCTATTTTCCTTACTCGCAACGCGTCGACTGCGGAATGTGACAACAGCACTAGTCGCGTCACCAGGGTCCTTTGCTCAAAGACGGCCTTGTTTTTACAATTTCCCGGCTGTTCGATCATGACTTCGACCACGTCGCCATCCTGCAGCCGCGGCTTGGGATCAGGCATTACCAGAACTACTCCATCAGGGATTCCTGTCATGACTACTGTCCCCTGTTGCAGCGTAGAGCCTTGACTAAGGAAGCTGACAAGCCCGGCAACGCAGAACAACAGATCGCCTGTGTTTGAATCCTGACGTACCTTGCTGTTGACCAGGGTCCGTGATCTCAGGTGATCTGGGGCTCCTGCGACCGCAGTGAAACGAGGATAGGTCCCATAGGGGAAGGGTTTAAAGGATTTAGCATATGACCACCGCGGCACCGACCCAGCGTAAGCTGGGTCGCCCTGCCAGGTTGTTGCCAAGACGTAGTTCGAGGATGCATACAGTATCAAGCAACGTAAGAAATAGCCTCCTCTTTGTAGATGTTCTCCCTTGCTCTCCCAATAACGACGGCCTGTATAGGGGACAGAAGCCGAGAGATGATAGAGGTCTTGACCTTTGACGCACAAGTTCGCCCTCATAATCGAGATTCTTGCTCTGTTCAATTGGAGCAACGTGTACGTCACCATCGAAAGCGGCAACCGCAGGAGCAGGTCTCATAAATAGTGAGGGAAATGGGGGGATGCTTGCGGCCTGTCTCGTCGATGTGTTTGCGATAATTTATTCCAATGAATTTGAATGCAGCGACGTCATTCTGGGTCAAGACAGCAAGCAAGCGCTTGACGCGGATCCTTTCGTTGGTTTCGTGAGCGCAAAAGCACTATCCCCCAAGAATCTGATCGCAAACGGCTCCTGCTGCTTGTAGAACGGGATATGATCATCACCATGGTCGATGCTTGCATCGCCAAATGTCGTCCATCCAGAATCATCCTTGAATCTGATAAACCCTCATCACGAAATGACAAAGGTCTTGGGCACGAGCAGGTAATCGGTGCGCAAAAGCTCCAGATTACGACGAGTGGCCTCAAAGTCACTCGAAACATTGTCCCAAGTTACGAGGACGTGCGGAAACCTGCCAGCGATTCGTTTTTGTGCCCTAAGCCGCACTGGGCTTAGGGTACGCACAGGGTATGGCCCTTGTGGGGGTTGTGCTGGGTGGGAAGTGCGGAGGTAATGTGGGATGGACGCAACTCGCAAATGCGTGAACCCTGACAGTTCCATTGACACTGGTTCTAGCCCAGTCAAGCCGCTCGCTTTTATCTGAAGGCTTGATCCCCTCGGTATCAGGTGGGGAATACCATTGGTCTGGCATGATCGATATGTACTATCATCCACGACTGATTGTTTCGACATTTGTTAGTACTCCTACTGCCCTACACCACCATTTGAGACCATCAAGATGGCTACGTCGCGGGTGGTTCTACTTATTGCCATAACCGTTGTTGCATTCGTGCTCCATAGAGCAATCGCTTGGTATCAATTTAACAGGAAATACAAACTACCGCCCAAGGTTCCAGGATGGCCAATCATTGGAAACACCCTGGATGTCCCCTTTCCGGCTGGGATGTGGTTGGTTGAGACGTCAAAGAAATACGGCGAAATGTACGAGAGGTTGCCTTGTCACACTGTGTAAATGCTTACGTTTTCGGTATGCAGGTTCACGTGCGATCTCGCCGGGAAAACGCTTGTCTTCCTAAATTCAAATCGCGTGGTCAACGACATTATGGAGAAGCATGCCGCCATCACAGCGGCCCGCCAATATCGGCCAATGACTTCAGAAATTATGTCCGGTGGTAGGCGTATGCTGCTCATGAGTCACACCGATAGATGGAGGAATCAGCGCAAGGTGATGCATTCGCAGTTGAACGGCAAACAAGCAGAAACCAACTTTGTGCCGTATCAAGAGTTGGAGTCGAGGCATTTGGTGTGGGATTACCTGAACAAACCCGAAAAGTTCTACCTTGCGAACCAACGCTTCTCAAATTCCGTCATCGTCAGCGTGGTGTTTGGCAGAAGAGCTCGTCTGGACGATAAGCAACTGGCCATCATTCTTGGCCAGATGGCGGAATTCGGAAAAGCCTTGTTCAGTCCCATCGTTTCCCCCGCCGACTTGTTCCCGGTGTTGGCAAAACTTCCCAAACAGTTACAGTGGTGGAGACCATATGGGGAGCGATTTTTCCAGGAGACTCTGGCGTAAGTATCAAGTCCTGTCCACGCTGTCCAGCCCATCTCGCAATTGAACCAGGCTAATTCCCTCCCAGTGTTTATCAACGCGAACTTGACCTACTGAAGGACAAGATGGCAAAGGGCACCGCCAAGCCCTGCTTCGCAATCAACATGATGAACGAGATGGAGAAGAAGGAGTTCGCTTCCATCGACGACGCAGAGAGGCTTATGATTTTGAGCACCCTTTTCGAGGCTGGTAGCGACACTTCCCGAACGGTCATCACCCAGATCGTCGCAGCTGCAGCGAAATATCCACGTTGGGTCAAGAAGGCACAAGAAGTCCTGGATGAAGTATGCGGAGCAAATGCCGAGCGCCTGCCCTTGCTCAGTGATAGGCCAAGCTTACCCTACATCATGGCGGTTGTGAAAGAGGGTCTGCGATGGCGTCCTTTCCTTCAGATGGGCGTACCACATATGCTCTCTGAAGACCTGGAGTATGAGGGTTACAAATTCCCTGCTGGCACGCAATTTACATGGGGTGCCTATGCTCTTGCGTTGAATGAGGACGACTACCCAGACGCGCGTACGTTCAACCCGGAAAGGTTCATGAATGAAGATTTGAAGGCTCCTTTGAAGGGTCATTGGTCTTTTGGTGCCGGTAAGTGCTTTCCACGTGGCAAAAATGTCGCAGAGTCACGACTAACAGATTTTCGCGACTCCAGGTCGTCGAGTCTGTGTAGGCTACAACGTCGGTGTTAACAACGTGTGGATCGCGACCGCGTGTTTACTATATTGCTTCGACTTTGCAGAGGATCCGGTAAGCAACTACTAGAAGTCTAGTCATGTCTCTAATTCTGGCCTAGGACCATCCCATCGACGAATACATATCACCTTGGGACAAGCACGATGGACCTCCTTTCCATGTCAGAATCACGCCGCGTAGCCAAGTTCACATTGACCTGATCAAGCGAGAAAGCGCTCATGTTTTGAGCATGGAGTACTAAAGTGTGGACGAGGTTTTCAAGAGCCCTAAACGCAGCAAGGGAAAACAAATTGTCTCTTGTGCACAATTTCGAGGCATGACTTGCTTTACTAGTCCGTCGGGCTAGAATATGATACTGCCCGTTGAATATGCATAAAGTCCAGCTCAGAGAAGGAAAAGACCCGTTAATACGTGGTTTTGATCACGCCGCCGTGGGTTGATATTCGACAGACGTGACTCCTTCAATGTACATGTCAAAAAAGAGGTTGACAATGATGTCGAACGTGGTGGGCATTGGCTCGTTTCTGTTCAGGCAATCGGTCTTGGAGTTCATTCAGCTCAGAGTTCATTGCAGCATCTTAACCCACCTGGACAGATGGAAGGTAGATGGACAAAAGAATCGGGGGAATCTGGGGAAGAGCTGGGAAAGAACACATCTTGTAGGTGGCAAAAGTACCAAACCAAATAGGTTGGAGCATTCTTTGCCAACCTTGAAGCCTCTCTGTCTTTTGTAATTGCCTTTCAAAAATTTTGGAAATTTATTTTGAAATGCAACCACTTCAGCTTTCAGGCCACCACATAAGAAATAGTGAGATATCTGCCATTAGAGAGCACGAGCGCGTATGCTTTGAGTAATACTAGTTAGTAGTATTCCAACGGTGATTTCGTCGTGCGAGCGAAGCTGTCAGAGTACTCTCGGGGGGAACCGTTTCGATGATAGCAAGCGAGCGAGTAGCCAGAAGAAACTCAAAAAATGCACATGCCCCAGAACGCAGGATCCCAGCAGTCCCGGACCTCGTTGAGGACAATTGCCAGATTGTCCAAGGCTGAATGGTCGAGTTGGGTAACCAGTGGTTGTGATGAGCTGCAGATGAGCCGAACGAACACGATGCCAGCAAAGAAGAAGGCTAAAACCTCTTGCGGAAGCGAGTGGACGAGGGAGCTAGTCATGAGAGGTGCAGAGTGTTGTGCGCGATCGTCTGGGCTGCGCTATCGGCGACTTCAGATGTCGTTTTGGTTGCTGACTATTTTTCTGGGGGTCTGGCGAGGCCGTTCTTCTGACGCGAGGGAAGGAGATGAGAATATGGTGGTGGTGGTATAGGATACCGAGGTGCTCTGCGAATATCGAAGTTGAGCCTCCTTTAGTAGGACTTTATCTTGAAGAGATGTGGCGAGTCCGGCTGAGCGGTGAATACCAAGTGACTCGACGATGGTGACGGCGACACCTACCCAGGAACATGGGTTCCAATAACTCTTCATATCAGGACCCCAAAAGGTGAGCATGACGACGACCTGGAAAAGGACGACACTATTAGGTTCATAGCCTACATCGTAGAGTACCTTTGCTTTGTCGTAGAAGCATCGTCTCGCGGCTTGTCTCTATGTGAAACCCACCTTTCTTAACACGAGCGCGTCGCAACTTGCGGCGCCGACGAGGCATGGTGCTTGTAGAAGAATCCAAGGCAATATCCTGCTTTCAAGTTGTCTGAGGAACTGTACTCTGTCCACAATTGAGCAAAGTACTTATAGATGAAAGCTTCTATGAGCGCAGTTAAGCACTCGGGCTTGCGGACTAAGAGCTCCCTTGGCCTGCAATTATGCAAGGTCGGCCGCCGGGAGATGTAAAGGGTGCGCCTCTTTTTTGGGCAGGCCAGGGTTGGATCACGAAGGCAATGGTGCCCCAACTAGATGGCCGTCGACGTTTGGCACCGAAAGCATCGCGGAGGATGACACGCGATTGTCTTGGGTCAGTGTCCTTCGAGCTGCTCAGTGCTGATCGGTCGCGCGTCTCGGGCTGGAGTTCTTTGAGTGCAAATGTCAGAGGTGAGGAGTCCCCCAGAAGAACAAAGCCATGTTTTCCTGGGGAGACTCTCGTCAGTATCGCGTGCCCCTTGTCTGAGGAAATTCTCGAAACTCGTAGCATGTTGGTTGCTCCTGCTGGGCTCCTCACAGGAAGAACCAACGTTGACTATCGGTTCCGCTGACAGGCTTCCGGTCCCGGTTGCCTCACTGAGACCTGACATTGTTGTTGGTGGTGACAGCCATCGACGGTAAGTGCGTCGACGAGATGAGATGAAAGCGAAGTCTTCTTACGCCGTCGACTTTGCAACGAGTACATGGAACTCCGGTTTGAGCTGCGTCACATTTGACCTCCTTCTGGTTGCGCCGATGACATGCCTTGAAGGTCCTGCTCCGAGTCGGCCCTATTTTCACGGCCATGCCGTTTGTGTCGAAGCACAAAAGGCAAGAAGTGGGCGTGACAAAAGCAGGATCTAGCCTCTTGTCATAGTTTGTTGCCGAACAGCAATTCTCGGCTTCGGCTTTCTGCTTTTCCAAATAGAGCTTCCGCGTGCGGGCCATAGCTCTGCTCAATTGTCCCGGCGTGTCTAGCCCTGGAATCTGCCCACTGTGTCGGGAATTGCAAAAGAGGTGAAGCGTAACAACATAGTAGAAGCAAGGACACCAAAGCTCAGTTGTCATGCATTCTCTTTGATGCTTCAACATTCCCTTCAATTTCAGGTCTGTCACGAAACATGGGTCAAAGTCTCGAGCTCTCCACGATGGAAAGTTCGAGCAAAGACCATAAGTACATACAATTCTCAACGAACATTGTATAAAGAGCTTACAGAGACCTCAGTCAGCACCAGCAGGCGCACGTGTCATTATAAAAGCAACACAACGGGAGTTTGCGCTCTGTCCAAGGACACGCCTTTGCCTTCATGTCTCTTCACACAAGCTCCCCTGTTTACTCTGTACGTCCACGAGCCTCGATTCTTTCAAAGATGTCATGCTTGTGCCACCAAGCCCTGATCCTCTTGCCAAATATGTACATGAAGATTGTTGTGGAGATGAGCACCATATTGATTCCGGCGATGGTGTAGAAGACTCCCTTCGGTCCCCACTTGGAAAGCCATTTATTGATGAAAACTAGATTGAGTTCAGAATTTGACTGGAGTCCCGTCAATGGGCAATTTTGACTTACAAGAGAATCCGAAGAACACAAAGCTCCTGACGAACATCGAGACGACGAAAACCTCGATGCCGACATTTCGATAAGCGTCGACCATGTAACCACCAGTAGCGGCTGTGACGATAACGCAGCTGGAAAAAGCGACACCCCAAAGTACTGACATAATAACAGGACTCTTGCCCTCGGCTGCGCAGTAGCCGAAAGCGAAATACCCAGCACAGTTCAAGATTGGTGCGAAGATCATGGAGAGAAGACGGAATTCAGGCTCGTAGATTCCGCCGTTACGTGTGGCAGCCCACTTGGCGATTCGGTCCGACACACCTCCAAAGAGAACGCAAGTGAGGGTTCCAAGAACCATAGGGCCAGCGGTGAGGTATCCTAGTTGTTCTGTGTTGAGCGAGTAAGGCGGCAAGCCAAATAGCTGACCCAGCATAAAGTTGATGACAACATTCCAAAGCTGGAAGAAGGCAACGAGAAGGACGGAGCATAAGATGGCGGGGTTGAGCAATATGTAGAATGGACGGATGACCAGTTGGAGCAAGCTCTCTTTACTGTATGTGGTAGTCCAGGGTTTCATTCGCTTCAAGTAAGAGTCACGTTTGCCACTGTAGCCAGAAGCTTGGGTGACGGTTCTTTCTAGATGGACGGCGTCGGCTTCAACGGCAGTGGCGGTTTTGCCGCTTCTGAGCTCCTCGATAACGTGAATGTTCTTCATATGGTAAGTAAGGTCCTAGAGTGTCAACAGCGCAACTTACATCACGGGATGCCATATCAAGTTCATAGAGGTGGTTCCGATTGAATTGAGTCTCCCACCCGAAGAAGAGAACGAGCAGTATACCAATTCCCAAGAAGATCGCTAGAATCCAGAAACACCAGGGCCAGCCCATGCGCTGGGAAATAACAGCGGTGAGCAGAGAAGGGAGTAGCACGAGCCCGACTTGAGCGACAACGTAGATGGCCATGCGCGAGCCTCTCTGGTGAACAAAGTAGAGATCGCCAATGAGGGTGAAGGTAACACTTTCAAATATGGCCGTGCCGATGCTTTGGATCATTCTGCCGCCAATCATGGATTGGTATCCTGTCGCTTTAGCGCACCAAATAGTGCCCGCGAACAAGAATAGAGTGGACAGGAGGAAAAATGGGCGTTTGCCGTATTTGTGGCACAGCGCAGCCACAATCGGGCCCATAGCACCAACGAGTGCGAGCGGATATCCAGAAAGCAAGGTGACTTGTGTAAAGTTGAGGCCCCATGCAACGACGAAGTCGAGGGCAAGAACACCAATCAGGGGACCGATGCTGCGCCAGGTTAGCACATTATTTCAGGTTGCTTAGAAAGAGCAACGTACCCGCCGACACAGACGTTGGTAAGGAAGCAAAACATGACCAAAATCAAATCTCGCTGCCACAGTGGCCAGTTGAGCGGGTCATTTGGGTTGCTGGATGGTTGGGGTACGAGGACGACATCAGAGTCGTGGCCTGAGCCCTTCTTAAGATGGGCGGTTTCCGCCGGAACGACGTCTTGGAGCAGCGCCGTGCCAGGCACATGCTCCAGACTGCTATGGTGTTCAAGAACTCCGAAACCCATGTTGGGAATTTGCGAAGAGGTACAAAGTGTTACAGGTAGATTGGGTTGCTCGGGCGTACAGAGGCGAGGTAAAGAGGGAGGGAGGGAGGCAAGGTAGAGTTGCTTGGACCTTTTCACTCTGGCAAGGAGGGAAACAAGTCTATTCAAGCTGAACAACTGTGGTGCTTCAGGAGCGCTTCTTAGAATGGTCTAGGCTATGAATTCCCCCGCAAATCCCACACCTCCGCTCTCTCCAGCCCGGATCCATCCCCACAAGCCGATGTCAAATCAAGTGCGAGCTTTATCCACTTCCCCATAACTTTCAACCACCATCATAGAACTTGTAATGACTTTGTATAGGCTTCGCGCAATACATACACAAGTGGGCCATGCAGGCACGCGCAGACGTAACAACTGGCGCATGAACTTGACTCCTGCACTACTCCCAGCAGTCTTGCAGGGCATCCAACCTTGAACCGCCAACTTATGCCTGCAAATGCTACTCCTTTGGGCAATGAACCAAAAAGCGTTGGAGAAATCATGCAAACTCAGAGATTTGTGAAGGCCTTTGTGTCTACAATGTCGGAATTGGTAGCATGTTAGGATCCGAGCATTTTCCAGTCCATTCACTGTCCTTTCCCAGCAGGTGTAGCGTGGTACCCCCCGCATCCTCATTTCGACAGTCGGTCCCACCACCAGACACTTAGTGAGCGTTTCTGAATCCTCAAGGGTGATTACCTTCTCTGCAGATTGTGCGTCCACCTACGAAATACACCACTATTAACCCTACAAGATAGTAAATCTCAAGCTTGGATACTACAATGTCGGATTGGTGCCGCGATGAGTTCATGACCCAATGGGACAAGAAATACGTCTCTACCAACCTCAGGCCCAACTCCCGACCATACGACGGAGACATTTTCCTTGGACTTCATTCCCGATTGATTGCTTGCCAGTCTGAAGTACAGAATATCGCATATACTGTCATTGTATGTATAATCTCTTTGAACCTCCATGGCTGCCTAGTAGTTGACTCTATATATGCTGCGGCATGCTGTGCGGTAGGTCGCGCAGATGTTGTTGGGCGCTTCTTCGACGATATAACCGTTGACGCTACCCCGGAGGAATCGGAAAAGATATTCCTCCGTCTTCGCGAGGCTATCACCATTATCTTCCCATATCTGGGTATGCCAACCTGCATTCCAGCATGTTACGGGATGATTGGCGTTGTTCAGCGCAAGGGACCGTCATTTGCCTCGACCAAAGTCTTGCGTAAACCGACTGTGACCGAGGAGGATGTACGCAAAGGGTCAGAACTTCGGGCAAAGATCTATAGTGGGGTTGGTAACTCGGATATCTTTGCGCTGATGGACAAGTATTTCACTGATCTATGTGAATGGCTCCAGTACCCTCAGATCAAAGCAGAAAATAAACTAATCGCTTTCTTAGTCACAACTTCCACTGTCGTCACCTGGGGTTATCTCATCGCGAAGGCCAACGAGGAGGTTTTCCAGCCTCGTGAATCTCATCTTATCGTAGCCACTGCTATCATGGCTTTAGGCGCAACCCGTCAGACCAAGAGTCATATCAAGGCCACGTTGGGTCTTGGAAATTCTGTTGCCTGTGTCAAAGTTGTGACGGACGTGGTCGCAAGAATTGCTGCATGGGCAGATTGTCCACCAATTGGGCCTTTTGATATCGACCAACTTGCAAATGAAATTCAGCAAGCGTTAAAAGGCTGAACGATCGACCTTGACCCTAAAGTGTGGCTGTATGTAGGCATCAAGTGTTGTATAAACGAAACTGCGGGTTACTAGTGATCCGGACTTCTATAAATTCTCAAGATTGCTGTGATGGTAGATAACACGCCATCAGTTATGCCTTGTCCTCACTTCGACGACACGTGCTTGCTAAGGAACATCAAGGTACTGCCGTGGTATGCTACATTGTTAGCTACCTTGACAATCGTCTGCACGTGGGGGAAAATCACTGGGAAAGGTCTGTTGTATGGGGGCGCACTCCAGATTGGTCACCTTAGAGGAGTAGGTTAGTGGGCGGCATCCTACTAGCATTCCCTTCTGTTGGGGGGGTGGGGGCGGGGTTCTATCACCGGGCTGCGAGAACACCCACGTCCCACCCATGACTTTGCAAAAGGGCACTTCCGAAATATGTGGGAGGACTGAAAAGCCACCGGGCCCCTTTGGAGGACTGTCCTAAAGTCTAACGCCGCCAACCAGGTGCCAGTGTGTGTGGCCGCTTGGCATGATCTCAATCCCAGCAATACACAGATCAAATAATTCTCGGAATCTTCATCTTCAACGTCAAAGAGCCCAGCGTACCAAGCACCCGACATTTCTGTCAGATAGGTAAGGTGAGCTTTACCTAATTCGCAAAATACGCATTCCTCTTTAGCTTTCACAAGTCCAAATGCCGTCAGGATGCTGGAGAGAATTCATCCAAAAGACACTTTAAAGTCAACAAATTGGCGGGATTTCATTCCACCCTCAGATGTGAAACGAAGCATCGAGCTTTCGCAATCAGACATTTATGAGTGGACCAAGCTACGCTGTGCAGAGCCTTTCATTCACACGTGGAAGAAAAGTTGGGATGAGCTTTACAAGCAGCCCTATAAAGGGATTACAACCGATGGTCACGTGTTACCGGATATATTTCATCTGGCAGATGAGGGAGACCAAGGGGCGCCTGTCCGTGAAATGGTGAAAGCAGCAGACAAAGTCGTAGCGACGGCGACCCCAACTCAGAGACAGTCTCTCCTGAGAGTTATCGATGCGCAGGAATGGCGGGCCTGGATGAACCCGGAACTCTATGTCTCTCGCCATGGCGTGCGCTTAGAGGAGGCCTCAGAAGACTTCTCCGTGGCCACACATGATCTTATGCGCGCGAGTCTATCACCAACAGGGTATCATAATGTTAGCGGTTGTATGAAGGTCAACCACTTTCTTGGCGAGGTCGTGAACGGCCGGAAAGTGCTTAATGAAAAATCGTACAACTTGGCTATTTTCGGAACTCCTTCAGAAACCGAGCCGTGGGGTTGGCAGGTTTTTGGTCACCACTTCGATATGAACTGCTTCGTGCTGGGAAGTCAAATGGTGGTAACCCCTGTTTTCATGGGGGCCGAGCCGAATGTGATCGATGACGGGCCCTACAAAGGTACCGAGCTCTTTACCGATCAGGAGCAGACCGCGCTTACACTTATCAACTCCATGGATCCGGATACACAGAGTCGTGTCCGCATTTACAAGGACCTCGACGGTCCCGACTATCCCGAGTGGCGCTACCATCCCGCTGACCAGCGCCATCTTGGTAGCGCTTTCCAAGATAATCGTATCGTTCCGTACGAAGGAGCCAAAGTCACGACTCTGTCGACTATTGAGCAGGATTTAGTCCGGAAGCTGGTGGAACTCATTGTCAATTATCTACCCGAAAGAGCTCATACCGCCAAACTAGCCGAAGTAGCCTTACATTGGAACGAGACGTACTTCTGCTGGATTGGCGCGTTCAAACGAGAAGATGGCTTTTATTACAAGATCCATTCGCCTGTAGTGATGATTGAGTTTGATCATCACTCAGGGGTGTTCTTGAATAATGCCCTTCCTCTACCTTTTCATATCCATACTTCAGTGAGAACACCTAATGGCAACGATTATGGAAAAGCGCTTCTTCAGGAGTACAAGCAAATGCCATATCGCAAAAGCTGCGAACAAGAATAGTGTTGGACGACATTTCTCCGCGAATATGGCAATATAGATAGAGTTCACAACTTGGATTTCACGTTGTTAAAGAATATCCCTGGTTTTTGGGGTTTTACAATTCACATACGTCGCTGCGACATAAAAGTTGGACAGCAAGCTACAGAGACGTCATGTTGTCTATTAGCGCGGCCTATGGATATATCTAGAGCAGGTTAAGACAGTCTTCTACGCAGGGCTATAGGGTTCCATCTGCTGCCGGGCTAGTCAAGGTAACTCAGCTGTGCTGTCTCCATATCGTTCGACAACTGTCTATGAGAATGGTCCATACTCAATTTCAGTGTATCTTCTGAGCGCAACAGTCTATCATCACAACTTCTCTTGAAAAATTGCTTGCTAGTTGTCGCAACAAAGGACATGTCGAAAGGCGGACCGCAAGGCTTGGGTGGGGTCATCTGGTCGTTCAACGCAGCGCCATGCGATGTGTCGGTCAGGGCGGACCAAAAGAGCACCACGATCTCCAATCTCTCGAATTTTACTCCAATCGCCATATACGTCGTCGTAAAGGCAGCGGTATCCAACCTTGTAAACTCGTAATTCAACACCTAATTCTTTGCTCACTTGCTCCGCAGCCTTCACGAAGGGGTCGCCGCCGATGCCCATAATGAGACCGAAGGAGCCTTGGTCGAGTATATCCAGCGTGGATAACCTTCGAGTCTTGTATTCTATCCACACATGTGGCAGGTACCCTCCAGGATGAGTAGTAGCTTCGTAGTAGAGAACAGGGTCACGCTTATAGGCAGGGAAAGGTGTCTTATCATCAACCACAGCACACGAGTCTGAATACCGATGCCCTAATTGTAACCCAAGGGCGTTGGACCGATAATTCTGCAGATCGACCACTTCCGCCAATTCGGCACGACGTTTCTCTGCTCCGGGGCCGTCCGAAAAGAGTTCATCCAAGGACTTGTATCCATCCTCATGTGTCTGGCCTTGTCTGAAGCCCAGAACTTCCGGCACACGGGCAAAATTATAGAGGGTCTTAATTGCATGGCCCACAATCTGCTTAGCGACCGGCTGCCTTTCTTGGTTGTAGCTGTCGAGGAGTCGATCTCCAGCTCGGCCAGACACAACTAACGCAAGCTTCCAGGCGAGGTTATGAGCATCCTGGACACAAGTATTGCTCCCGAGGCCGCTAGCAGGTGGATGACGATGGGCCGCGTCTCCAGCCAGAAAGACCCGACCACGGCGGTTCTCAGACGCATAAATATTGTTGACCTGCCACTTGCTGGTGTCTTTGACACGAATTTTTAGGTCTGAAATTCCTAAAGCCATGCGAGCGTACGCGATGATAGCATCATCAGACATATCAGGTTCTCCGTCCTTGGCATTATACTGACGGTTCAAGAGCCATTCGTTGAATGGTTTGACACTAACCAACGTCCCTGAGCCTACCCAGAATGCGTTTCCAGGTTGCACCATCATGTATAGGCAAGCGGGTCGATAAGCGGTATAAGGCTCGAGGTCACATTCCAACCACGATGTTAGCATAGACATGAGTCCAGGTTCGCCAACAAAGCCGAAACCAAGCTGCTGGGCCACAAGAGAGCGACCTCCGTCCGCTCCCACCGCATATCGAGCACGGACAACGTATTCGGCTTGAGTTTGGCGATCTCGGACGCGAGCGGTTACGCCTTCGGGCGTCGACTCGATGCTGGTCAGCTCGTGGTAGAAGCGGACCTCGGCGCCTTTCTCCCGCGCATGTGCTAAGAGGACTTGTTCTAGCACGTGCTGAGGTGAGTTGATCATGTCGCAAGGGCTAGCTATTGCGAAGTCTGACCGCTGGTGAGGCCCATAGCCGTAACAGCTATAACGAGCTAGCTCTAAACCTGTGAGGCTTGTGCACATGACCCCATTACCCAATTGTGGTAAGGGAGTTGAAACCTCAACCACACGTTCTTCAATTCCCATGTCTCGAAATATCTCCATGGTCCGTTGATTTGTGACGTGTGCCCGAGGTGATGGGGCAGTGCCGCGATGCTTAGCTATGGTGAGTGCCCTCACACCACTGACAGCCAAGAGTGCCGCCAGGGTGAGGCCAGTGACACCAGCCCCAACGACGAAGACATCCGTGGCAATGTCATGCATATCCTTGGTGCCGTCGTCTTTATGAGCACTGGTATCGTCACTGGGGCTGATTCAGTAACCCAGTGCAGGGAACACTAAATGTAAGAAAGTACTTACACCGGATGAGGCCGGTGGGTCTCAGAACCCTGGTCACCAATACTCATTCTGCCCGTGGAACACTCGATGTTCGTGAACTCGTATCAGGAACGATCAGACTCTTCTACGTCTGTGCCCAACAATGCAAAGGGGTTGCCAGTGTTAAGACCGGGTATCGAAATGGTCGCTACCTTATTGACTTCAATGATAACGTGTGCCGCCAAGCAGACATTAGTGACTCTTGTTCATTTGATTTTACCAAGTAAGGCCAGACTAAAGCAGAACAAACCAAGACCTTAGATGGCCTGGGGGCCAACATCAGATGCACTGAATGCAAAATGGAGGCCGAACTGACTTTGCGAAAGTATGGCTGAGCAGCCAGTAGTATGTCGAACCAGGGCAATCTGCCACAACAGGCGTCTCTAGACCTCTGGTTTGCCACAGTTGAAGCCAGGGATGTCAACATCGCCTCCATAGGAGGGCGCGTTGCTATACGGCTTCGATGTGGGATGGTTCTACCTCCGCACCTCGAAGCCCGTCCAGGGTTTTGTGTGGGGGAGCTTTCCCCAGCTAGCCGCTAAAAAACATTTGGAAGGGTGGATCACTGTCAGTGTCGAACAGGCTGAGGCGATCATCTTTCTGCGCTGCAGGGAGAATGGCAAACTACTAATCGACCACAACGATTACATTACATGAGACTCATTGCGACGTTCACAGCTTTGCCACTCATAAACAAGCAATCAAAGACGGTGCTTCAGCAGGCTCATTCAAGGCAACATTGGCCACGGGAACACGATCAACAAGCGTTATGGGTATCGAGTATCCAGTTCCTGTTGCCCAAGATTCACCGTTTCCTATCGAAAACATCCCATTTGGGATTTTCTCAACAGACTCTGACGTAAGTCATACGTTGCTCACCAGCTTCAAATAATGATACTGATGAAACTACCTAGTCCACACCCCGAGTTGGAACTATCATTGGAGACCACATCATCGACGTCAAATTCCTGGCACAGCGTGATGTGTTTGATGATCCTGCACTCAAGTCAGCATTGTCTAAAGGAACGCTGAACCACTTTGCTTCACTGCCTCTATCTGTCCGCGCATCCACTCGTCAACGCGTAATTGACCTATTGGAGGATTCATCATCGACCCTGTTCAAAGACGAGGATATTAATTCAGGCGCCTTCGTCGATGCCAAACAAGCCAAATTGCATCTCCCTTTCGACATTGGTGGTTTTGCGGATTTCCTCGCCTCAGAAACCCATCATGACAATGTGAGTGCCATGCTGCTTTGAGTTTCTTCTAGAGCATGTCTCCAGAGGTGAAACTAAGTCAAAATTCTAGGGTAACAAGATGTCCGGGAAGTCGGTACCAGCCTTCTATCACTTCCCACCAATGTATACGGGTCGTACGACATCCATTGTCCCTAGTGGACAGTCGGTCATACGTCCGAAGGGAATGATTCCACCACCTCCAGGGTCAAAGGAAGGGGCCGGATACCAGTTCGGCGCTTCAACAAGATTTGATTTCGAAGTGGAGATGGGGGTCTTCATTTCCAAACCAATCCCGTTCGGCCAGCGTATTACGGCTGATGAGGCAAAAGAGCATGTTTTTGGTCTGGTTCTCTTGAATGACTGGTCGGCAAGAGATATACAGTTCGGCGAAATGATACCGATGGGCCCCAGCAACGGAAAGGCATCAGCTACGACCATCAGTCCTTGGGTTATCGTACCTGAAGCTCTGGAAGATGCTCAGGTCGGATTTATATCAGAGAATGCGCAGGCTCAAATCGAATCACACCCTCCCCACCTACAACATTCGAAGGGGGATACCAACGTATCATGGGACATCGTCCTCGAAGCTCACGTCTCGGGTCCTGGCGAGTCGCCAACCCTGATTTGCCGCTCAAACCTCAAAGATTTGTACTGGTCGCCTTATCAAATGATTGCGCACTATGTGTCACCAGGAAGTGGTGCGAAGACAGGAGAAATGATCGGTACAGGTACTGCTTCCTCACCTGGGCACACGGAGGAGACTCCCACGCTAGGCTGCCTCTTCGAGCTGACTCTTAGTGGTAAGAAGCCTTTCAAGCTGCAGAGTGGTAGGGAATTGAGCTGGCTCGAAGACGGGGATGAGGTCGTCTTGAACGGTTGGGCCAAAGGCAAAGGTGGGAAGAAAATTGGCTTTGGCGAGGCTGTCGGAAAGGTGCTGCCAGCCAAATAGGCACAGATAAAAGCACCTGCGCATTCAGGTCAACTCAATTCGAGTCAAGATGGCCTCTAAAGGGTGTTCATAATGACATTCTGATAACTAAACACTGAACGAGGCTATAACTATACACAGCTGGCGAGACTTATGATCCTGGAAAGTGGTATAGTATCCGCAGATGGAACTGTTCTCACGATGGGGTAGATGTCTTGTCGACGGGTACCCTGATACAGACCTAAGCCCCGAAATGCTTGAAGTTCTGCAACGACAGCATGTCGAAAGTGTAGCAGTCTCTCGAAACTCAATGAAACTCAGAGCCATAATTCATGTTGTTTGGTGCGAACATGATGATAGCCATAGTGCTCGGCAGGATATTGACGCCGAAGCGTTAGACAGTTCTTTGCCTCTTGTAGTACTCCGCAAAGGCTGAAAGTTAGTAGTGCTAACCTCATATTCCCACAATATTCGTGGTTACTAGCATGGATCGCTGCAGGACGTCTTCCACGGAGGCCGCAGTGCCGTCAGCCCCGAAGCGTATCAACTAGCATGCTTCACAATACAAGCTGTGGGGATAGAATTCGGGCCACGTCGACTTCATATGGTATAATAGCATGATCTAGAATACAGTCAAGCATATATTCATACCCTACCAACCGATTTACAACTTGGTAAACCCTCGAAAATGACGTGGGGTCTGGCTGAGCTGCCCTGGTACCTAGCAACCTATATTATGCCAGAGTTCGTCTACCTCAAAGCGGTCGCGAATCATCTCCTAGGGGCTTTGCAAGTCCTTGGACAACACCCTTTTGTACGAGATGCAATCTGGCGGGACCACTTTGCCTTAATGGGGACGCAGAGAACCTTCTACTCATCCGCCTCTATTGTGCCAGCTTGGGAGGAAACTGCAACAAAATCCCAAAGCAAAGAAATTTAAGGTGGAAGGGCTTCCGCGTCTAACACGCCACGGGCAAATGCTCGAATTGAAGTTTGCTTTACTTTCGAAACAAAGGGGCTGCCCGCGGCTCGAAACTACGGGTATGCCAATGTCGTACCTGATGACACAGGAGCATGGAGGAGTTGGATATTCCGGACGATCCTCGAGCAGCTCGAAGGACACCCGAATGTGGATGTCTCCGAACTTGTGGGTGGAAACCATTACGACAACAGCACCAGCAAGCATACTGTCAATGGTAACAACCATGGCAGCTCCCTACCAAACGGATACTCGACCCATCATGTATCAGATGGCGATTTCACATCTGATGTACCTGCCGACAATAGTGCTTTAACGAATGGCACTTGTGACTATCCAGAAGTCGAATGTGTTATTGTTGGTGGTGGACAAGGTAGACTAAGCACCGGGGGTCATTTGAAGGCACTAGAGGTATCATGTCATACTCGGACAACACGCTGCCATGGGTGACAGCTGGGAGAAGGCGAAGCGGTACAACTCTACAAAACGTACGTGGGATCCAAGAACATTCTGCTCTTCACTTTACTAAACTTTGGGAGTCCACACTATCAGGGGATTTGCTCACTTGCCATTCGCACGAACAGTTGACCCGTCGTACAACGAGTGGATGACGAAAGATGAACTCGCAGAAGGGTATGCCAGATGGGCGAAGAAGTAGGACATTGTGAGTGACTATAGACTGCTCAATCGTGTTCGAAGTATTAAGCCGTACAGAACATTTACTTGTCTACGACACTTATTTCTGGAGATTAGATCGCCGAGCGCAATCTGTGTAAGCTCAGAATTCGACGTGACGGGCAAGAGTCCTGGCTGACTTGCTCCTATGTCGTCGAGAAAGCGGGCCTCTAGCTAGGTCCTGCAGGGGACATTATCTGGTATCTCTCTGAGCGCTTTGGAGGCCACCATATGGACATAGGGGCACCTGAAAAGATCCCCAGCGCTCCGCATCTAACGGACATGTTCAATAGTTGAATGAGCAACCCACAGACTAAGGTCAAATCCGATTTGATGCTAATCCGCTACCTGCCTGATGGCTTGGAGCGTGCAAATGGTGACAGAATCACAGCCAAGACTACTAGGCAATCTATCCGTACAGAAAAAAAATAGCATGCACAAACATGATAAACAGCAGTTCCAGACCCGTCCGAACCCCCTTGAAAATCGCCAACATGGTGCCCCCCGTCGCTGTATGCAGGGTCCAGAGACTCGACCTCGGCTCTTCATCGGATGCGAGACCTTGTTAGTAGAGGCCGACACCCTTAGTGAGACCACGACACCACACAAGGATCCCACATTGATTACCCCACAGGTGGATATGCCAGAGTCTCGTGACGACTGTGAGTTGGTTACCGCGTCTCGGTCCATGAACGCGAGGGTTCTCCAACAAGAATTCCACGTTTTAAAATGGCTTCCCCATCGACGATAAACAAAACCGTATAACCAAAGACCACTTGGGACAAGGTGTATTCGTGTCGAGTCCAGACAGCAGAAAAATCCAGATCGCAACGTCAAGACTCCTGGTGATATTGTTAGTGCTAGGTCAGCCTTGCCTTTTTCGCGCACAGACTCTTTCCAAAACCCTCGCCAGAGTTTCACAAGTTGGAACGGATTATCAAATGCCAGACGCCATCGATGTTCCGGTGGTGATAGTGGGAGGAGGCTGTGAGTTCAGCAATCACACATGGCTTTGCGATCATACTGACCCGTCCCCAAGCTTGTGGTCTTTCGCTCTCGATCTTTCTCTCCGATCAGGGTGTACAACATGTCCTATTCGAGCGTCATCCTGGCACATCGATTCTCCCCAAGGCTCATATTATAAACCAAAGAACGATGGAGATCCTTCGGCAGCACGGCGTCGCAGAAGAGATCATCAAGCAAGGTACACCACCACATCAACTGAGCCAAGTCTCATGGCAGACTTCCCTGGCCGGCGACGGTCCTTTTGATCGTAAGATTTTGGGAACCGTTTACACTTGGGGCTGCAAGTCCGGTACACCGGAGCACGCCACGTATCTGTACGTTTAGAGATCTCAATGACTAAGGTTGGCAACTGACATCTTTGGTTCTTTCTAGGCGAGATGCGCCTCACTTGCCAACCAATCTTCCACTGCTCCGTTCGGAACCCATTCTGCGTGATTTCGCGGAGAAACGCAACCCGGGCAAACTGCTCTTCCATCATAACGTCAGAGACTTCGAAGAAAATGAAGACAGCGTTCTCGTCCACGTGACGGACAAAGATGGGAAGGAGCAGGTCTATCGTGCTAAGTACTTGGTCGGTGCTGATGGTGGCAAGACCATCGGTCCTAAGATCGGTGTCGAGATGGAAGGACCCAAAGGCCTTAGAAAGGTCGTATCCACACATTTTAAGGCCGACCTCTCCAAGTACTGGGACGACCGCACAGGTATCACTCACTTTTGCAACCCCTCCTTGGGCCTAGGCATGCGAAGTGGCTCGATGCTTCCTCTAGGTCCGACATGGGGACGATTTTCGGAAGAATGGCAGATGCATTTTGCCATTGGCGCAGACGAACCTACATTCCCGCGCGAAGAGGCAGTCTCGCGCATCCGCCAGCTGCTGAAACTGCCTGATCTCGAGCTAGAGGTCCTGAGTCTCAGCAATTGGGTCCTGGAGAGAGTGCTGGCAACCAAGTACCAACAAGGCCGTGTCTTTATCGGCGGCGACTCGGCCCACCGACATCCTCCAACGACCGGTCTTGGGCTCAACACGGCGGTGCAAGACGCTCAAAACCTTGCATGGAAGTTAGCATTCGTCCTGCAGGGTAAGGCCTCATCCAAGCTTCTAGACACCTACGAACAAGAGCGGCGGCCAATCGGGAAAATAAACTGCGATTGGGCTCTTTTCACGTCTCGACGTCATCATGTCATAGGGAAAGCTATTGGACTTGAGGAAGGGAAGCCCGAGGTCAACGAAGCACACTTCACAGAAATGTTTGACCCAGACTCTGAGATCGGAAAAGCCTCGCGGGCTTATTTGCAATACGTCGTCGACGGTCAAAGGGTGGAACACCACGCCCATGAAATGGATCTTGGTTTTGTCTATCCACAAGGCTCCTTCGTGCCCGATGGCTCGCTAGCTCCACCTCGCGATCCTTTGCACCAACGTTATACTCCGACAACCCGACCAGGTCACCGCCTGCCTCATGCCTGGCTGAATATGAAAGGCAAGATGTACTCTACGCATGATCTTGTGGGCCCCGAAGGCAACTTCCTGTTGATCACTGATCGAGACGGTGTGGAGTGGGTTCAGGCCGCCCGGAAGGCTGCCAAAGCCCGATCCCTGAGGCTCAATGTCGCACAAGTCGTTCAACCTTTGGATAAACCATCCGATGAAGAATATGTCGATCTCGAACAGCATTGGGCAGAGGTTAAGGGCATTGGAGCCAAGGGAGCGATCCTTGTTCGTCCTGACAACATCGTCGCTTGGAGATCGCCTGGACCGGGCTCAGAGCAAGACATAGGTCATGCTTTTGATCAGGTTCTTGGAAAAAACGCTAGTCTTACCGTCAACGGGTCGAAGTGACGAATGCAACGATATGTTCAGGGCATGATGGAGCAGTAATAATTATCGCTTAGGTGCCCGAAGTAGAATGCTGCCGGCCTTCCCGGGTTGACTAGCTCATTGTTTGTACCAGATGTCCTACCCTATCTAGTTTAGCGTTTCCTTCTGTTCTTTGAAGCAACATTTTCTGTAATACTTGGTAACAGAATGATCGTGACCTCGTTATTCGCCACGGATCTCGCCTAACACTGTCTGATACTACCTCCCCACCAAACTGAGGCTCGTTGTGGTGTGTGTCTCCACACCACAACCAAGCAGCCCACACTGGGCCTCCGCTGGGCTCCCTATGCTTCCGCTTCCCACAGCATGGCCATGCGGAGTGAGTGCAAGTTGCTTCCTAATCATGGTGGGCTGCTTTCCCCCTTCTTGGCATCTCCAGACTAATGATGAACGCTGATGCACTAACCTCCTTTGGAATGTCATCTGGGGGTCCACCGTAATTCCGCTTGCTGCACTCCGAGGTCAGCACCAGCCTCGCGAGCTTTGGAACTTTTTCTGTGGCGCATGGATTTGTTGGATTAGGCGTTACGGACAGCCATTTTTACTTAGCAGCTGTTGCAAAGCATCCAGCGAGTCCTGAATCAGTATCCCAGATTATCCCGTGTCTTCAGCCGGCGGGTAAGTTGCCTACCACACTTCACACACCCTAGCGAAGTATCTGTTGGCGGAGCAAGCTCATCGATCGAAGGAGCCACGTCCATGCATATATGTCGGCAGCAAACAGAAAGCGAAAGAGACCAAGTTTGGAAGCTTCAGGGGTCTTTCCCGGTGAAAGACTCACTTACATCTCCGAGGTAGATCTGTTTATCATGATGGCGGCAGAAGGAAATGGTAATCAAGCACAGCGATGAATGGATTGTCCAAAAGATCAAGATGGACAAGCGCATACCGCACATCCCTGTGGGACGCTGCCAACGGCGTCACAGAGCTGGAAGTCGTGCAAATTTATATCCATCACCTCAAGCACAGTCTTCCGATCCTTCAACTGTCCCCAGTGCGACAGCCGACGACTTTGACGGTCTCCTCATGCAGTTTCTCTTCTATGAAGACGAAGCCTCATCGAAAATTCACAGACAGCAGTAAACCAGTCAGTGTGAAAGTGCAATGTGGGGTTGATGTCCGGCTCTGGGCCGAGACCTACTACATGATACTGATCCTCCAGCCCAGCAAAGTACTTTGCGAACTTAGTCAAGCCCTCGCCATGGACCAAGGATCAAAGATTTGCGCACGAATTTTTGAGAGATTGTCTCTGCTACATCAGTCCTCCGCCTGGTCCCAGTAAACCTGTACGGAATACTTTTGTTCTAACCACGAAAGACGTCGCAGCATTCATGATTGTTTGAACGCCCGACCTTCTTCCCATGACTACCTAGGCTAAGGTCGAATCGTGAACTTATATCCGGTATTCTACACCAACTCAAGTCTAGAAGGCTCGCCTCATCTCCTTCTCGCAGTTTCAGGATGGACTTCACTGTAGGCGTATTGGCTATTGCAGCCATTGTGTTTGCCTTCATCATTCACCAAGTCGTGCCCGAAGGTCCATGGCAGAGAAAGTACAATTTACCACCATCACCGCCGGGGAAGCATTTTGCTGGAAACATGCTGGATGTGCCACGGCCAGCTGGTATGTGGGGAGTTGATCTGGCGAGGAAATCCGGTGAAATACTTAAGCAGACGATTGAGACTGGAGGCCTGGCCTTCGCCCCTGGCATATGTAACGCCCCTCGACTACATTCCTTGGCTCCACTACCTACCCAAACCACTTCAGCGGTGGAGACATAATGGTGAGGACCTGTTCAGGCGAACGCTGCAGTAAGTGACTATTGCGTAATCGAAAAGCAGAATGCTAACTATTCGCCAGAATCTACAAGCACGAAGTTGACGGTTACATCGAGAAACAGGTGACTGGTCAGGGCGCAGCCTTGCTTTGCGAGCGACATTATTGAGGGGACTGCAAAGAAGGAGTTCCACCTAGACAAGACAGAGAAGCTCATGGTCTTCAGTACAATTTAGAAGCTGGTAGCAACACGCCTGGCACGGCCACCACGCAGATGTGCGCTGCACCGTATACTCCGACTGGGTCAAGAAGGCACAGGCATACTTCGACGACGGATGTAGCCACATGCTGACCGCAGTTCCAAGCTTCCAGCCTCTGTCGTATCTCGCTCGCTCAGTGACGATATGCCGGCACCATACCCAGCATCGAAGTCAGGTATGGGGTAAGTCGGCTAGATTTGGATCCGTCAAAATGGATGAACAGCGATCTATTTTGGCTCGTCCGAAGATAACTTTGGCTGACTTCCATTCAAAGTGGTGTTACCCTGCGAGAGAGATTTAAGTTGTCAAGTCATTGAAGAGTAGCGTACTGATTTACCAGTCACCGGTCTCCCAGGGTCCGTGCTCTTCAAGTCAACCATATGGTCACCAAAGTAATCAAGCTCAGCTTCCATTAACGGAGTTGGAAGCTCCGTGCTAGATGAGTACTTGAAATACTCCAACGATACGCTGATGCTCGGAATATAGTAGTCAGCTTCTGTGCACTTGGGCATGACGTTCTTAATGGTTAGGTACGGATCAGCGAGCTGTTTTGAGATGTTTTGGGACTCAAAGAGGTCGGCGTTGGAGTGGCTGTTCGCTCGATATCCGAGGACGCTAGCAACCTCGACCTTTCTTCCGTCTGGTTTAGAAACAATAGTCCGCTCCATGGGCGAGGATGACTCGCCCCATATAGCTTTACCAATAGCTTCCAGCATGAGTTTCGACGTTGTGTGTCAACCGTTGCGTATGTAACGCTCTACGTTCCCATGAATGTTGTCTAGCGATTGTTGCAGAAGTTTTGAGTCTAAGCAGGCGGTTAGAATGCATTGAAGTGGTTAGAAGCGGTGACTTGCAGGTAAAGACGCAATTGTCCATGGTCTTACGGCAGAAATTCAGCGGAGCCGTCGCACGAGCGACCTCGTCTTTGCAGAAGATATCCTGATCTTCGAGCTCGCCGAACACCTCCGTCAAAACCTCCTTTAACGCCTTGCCCGGGATGGTATCGTCGTTCTCCAGCCCTTGGGGAGTTTGCACCGACTGGCCTACCGTGAGCCACCACGACAAAATGAGTGCTAGAGTGCGTTACACGGGTTAGTGATTGCCCTTCACCCATAAAACTATTTGATGGCAAGGGACCTGACGCGAGACTCCAATGCAGGAGAGGATTCTTACCAGATTCAAATGCTCCCAAAAATCCGTGGGCGCCGTAAACGTCAGGAGACTGTTGAAAGTGGCTGATACCCAGCTTCGTCCGCACAAGCCACGAGTTTGCGGCGTAACGGACGGCTTTGTATACCAGGGGCCGGGATTTAAAGTCTGGAAAAGACTGTGGTGTCAAAATCCCATCAGCCACCGCCGGCTCGGCAGCCTTGTCTTTCAACGAGCGTAGTTCCTCGCCCACAGAGAGATGATAATAAGCCGATCCCAGAAGTGGTAGGCTGTCTGAAATCAGAGGATGGATATTTTTGAACATGACATGACCAGTTCGCAAATACCGGCGCGTCAGGTCTTCCCAAACTCCAAGGCCTTTGTCGATTTTGCTCGTGAAATCAGTCTCGAATATCTCTAAGCATCCTACTGACATTTTCATCCTCTCGTGATTGCATATATACAGGAGGATCCATCCAACGAGTGAGAACAAGCCGAAACAGCTCACTTTTTGGAGAATTGGTTCCCCCTGGAACAGCGACTCAGCAAATGTGAGAAAGCTGATATTGCTATGTTGGTGAGAAGCTCCGCCCAGGGCAGACCATTCTTGTGCGGATCGAGCCCTCCAGAGATCTTCGTCGAGTGGTAATAGCACATGCTGCAAGTGATGTTGAGTACTCGTCTGAAAACTTTGGTCATACGAGAGAAGAATGGCGCTGATCGTACAGTTCCAAGATGCTAGACGGCTGAAAGTCTCGATAAATGACCATGTTTTCCAATCCTGTCTGGGCTCCACCCGTTTTGCAAGTAAATCATTCAGACCCAACTTCAACATCATTGAGACTTTGCTGAGTTGGGCTTGAGAGCGTAGGGCAAATGCCTTGTTGTTGTTGAAAGCCCCAAAATGTGCACAGAGCAACAGTGCCTGGATCGGCCAGAATTCGAAGGATGAAGGTATGTGACTGTCTTGCTCAATCTGGTGGTTTAGCAGACTGCATGACGCCTCATATGCCGACTCGGCAAATGCGTATTCACGTGTAATGGTAGCCCCCAATGCAAGCATTGCGAGAACCAATGCTGGGGCCGTACTAGACAAGCTGAAAGTCGCATGATGAACAATCGGCACATGCGGGTCCACGCTATCGAAGAAGGCAGAAAGGCAGCGTAATATGCGGGATCGCTTTGGAAAGGGGAAGTTGTTCAGCTGTGCATTGTCCAGGATGCTTTTCTGAAACTGATCTACATCTCCAGAGCTGATGTTGAGAACATAAGGACGAGCGTCGTCCGTGGATCTCTCGAATGGATACGGTAGACTTGGTGAGAACAGGCGAGGCTCGGAGATATCAGCTTCATTCCTCGTAGGAACAGATGGACCATTTGTCGAGTTGAAATCCCCGGGGATCGGGGTGGTAGGTCCAGTGGCATTGAAAATGAATTCCGGCAGGAGAATGTCTTCCAGAAACGTTAGGTCGTCATCAAACATTGCATTGGGCAGTTCTGGCATCGCCATGCACTGGACAGCTGTTTCTTCAAACGCAGAAGCTCCTGAATAGAACTGTGCTGAGCCGGATGATGGAGTAGGCTGCTGATGGTTATCGACAAAGCCAGTCAGCCTCGAGTTGTTCGTCCTTGTGTCTGGGCCTTGATTCGCATCGCTGGACGACAGTGCTAGTGCCCAAGAATCGAGATTGCTCACGTCGGGAATTGCTGGGGTGGTCGAGTTGATGAAAGAATTGGTCGAAGCTCTAGCGGAATCGAAACGCATCAGATGTGCACCTGATATGGACACATTGAATTGAGAGGAGTCGAGAGTGTCGGCCCGATTGCAAATGTTGTTCGGCATCTGCGCTCGTCAGCATATACGCGACATGACGCGGAATCCTCACATACTCCGTTAACGAACTGCATCTGATCCATAGTTTGACGACTCGAGCTACCATGTGTGACTGTGCTGGCGGTGCTTCTAGAATTGCTGGTGTCCGCCGCACCGGTCTGCTCATGTTGCATGCGATCTTGCCCGGGAGGGCTGTTGCATAGTTAGATTGGTCGTGCTATTGTCTCCAAGGAGGGCATCGCCCTGCTAAAACGTACCTACAGCGCTGTGGCTCAGTATTCTGTGCGTTTTGGGGTTGCGGGTACCTCCCAACAGTCACGGTGTCGGTGGCTGTATCGCCATTCACTCCTTCTGCGGCTTCAACCATTCGAATGTAGGGTGCGCATTTCCTCGTATGGCGGCGTAAGACATCAGAGCGGGCGAACCGTGCATCGCAAGCCTTGCACTTATTGGGTTTGGAGTTTTTATCTGATTAAGAAACGGTCAGGGTTACACATCTATACAAGGGAGACGAGTGTAACCTCCGGCAGACGAACGTGAGAGTAAGTGACGCTGGAGATGTTCCGCGCGGATAAAGGCTCTCTGGCAGATCTTGCAGGCATGGGCGCGACGTCGTTCGACGGGTTCGGTGGTTTCTGGACGGATTGTGTCAGTCACGGCAAGCTGGTTGCATGCGATGAGGTTGGTCTAACGCACCAGAAGCGGTCGCCATGACTATCAGGAGCGCGCAGTATCAGAATGTAGAAAGCATAACGAGCGGCCGACAGGAGCCAGTTTGAGAGATTGCGATTGTGGTGAGCGCAGCCAAGGTCGCAAGTAGGGAAGATTAAAGAGTCTCTGCACGGTTGACGACTGTGCATCCACCATGGGGACGCAGAAGAAGAAAATCCCTGGGGAAACCCGGCGACAGGCTTGCCCCAGAAAGGGCTGCCCCAGGATTCTGTTGGCGCTAATGTTGCACTACGGAATTGGACCAAGTTGCAGGCAATTCGTTGGTTAGTGCCTCTGGAAGATCCAAAAATGCTCGCCCCTTGCAGCCGTCACAATGATGCCCAGCATAGGTTTACTGGGTTCTTAGTGTACGAGTACCAGTACTGGAGCATTGAGGCGAACAAGGAAGCAACAAGCAACGGAGAAAACGAATTCAGAGAACTTGAGCAATGCTACTCCGTCCCCATGGAGCCTTCACTGGGGACCCCAGCCGTGCTTGATTGAATCCACTTTGGTGTGCAGCTAATACTCCCTAAAATGATGATTCCGCCTACACACATATTCATTTGCATGGTGATGAAGACTGTGCGGAATCTGTTCCGGGGGCACCCTCCTGTCCAACTCCCTGGCGTGCCGGTCGCCGCTACCACGACAAAGCCCCGCGAAAGTCTCTTGGCTCCAGGATCTCAACTCATTCATTCATCGAAAACTTTGCCAGGATTCAAGATCCAGTGCGGGTCGAGAGTCGTTTTGAGAGCTTTCATAACTCCCACGGTGACGGGACCGAGCTCCTTCATCAAGCAGTGCTTTTTCCCAAGGCCTATTCCATGCTCCCCTGAAACGGTGCCTTCCATCTCTAGGGCTTCCAAAATCATCTCATCCACGCACTCTTTCACAGCCTCCACCTGCTCAGGCTCGTTGGGATTGTACATCACGGTTTGATGAAAGTTTCCGTCTCCCACGTGTCCCAAAACACTTGAAAAAAGCCCAAGTTTGGAAGAGTTCTGCTTCGAAGACTCAATGATTTCCGCCATGCGAGAAAGAGGTACTGCGACGTCGGTGCCCCACATTTGAGTACCCTCCGGACGCACAGCGAGCATCGACCATAGTGCCAGTTTTCTGGCGGACCACAAATCCTGCATTTCCTGCTCTGTTGTGACCACTTCCAATCCCTCTCCCTTAAAATTTCGAGCAATTGCTCTAACACTTGAGATGCTATCACTTATTACGTCCTTTGTTCCTGAAAACTTCAAGAACAACGTCGGGAGCTCTTTCCACGATTTCTTTCCTGTTCCTCCGGCTTGGTTGACAATTCTCATCTGCTCGTCATCCATCAGTTCCAGAGCACCTAGGGAAAGACCTTGGCGCATCATCTTCGAGGCGGCCGCCGCAGCATCCCTCACAGTAGGAAACGATACAGTAGCCACGGCAGACGCGGGGGGGATAACGGCCAACTTCAACGTAATTTCTGTGATGATGCCTAGGGTTCCTTCGGAGCCAGTGAACAATGCAGTCAGATTATATCCGGCTGATGTCTTCCGCGGTCGACGCCTAGTCTTGATGATCGTACCATCCGCAAGGACCACTGTTAGGTTGAGGACCCAATCTTTCATAGTACCATATCTCATTGCGTTCGTGCCGCTGCAATTGGTAGCCACCATCCCCCCAATATGCGCCGTAGGACTAGGGTCGAGAGGTAGGAACAGCCCAGAAGGTTTAAGTTTCTCGTTGAGGTCAACCCAGTTGACTCCCGGCTGGACCACAACGTCCATATCATCTTCATGGAAAACAAGAATGTCATTCATACCAGACATGTCGATGCTGAAGCCGGAGAAAGGTGCAGAGATATGGCCTTCAACGCTTGAGCCTGCACCATAGGCAATAAGGGGAACTCTATACCTGTTACAGATTTTGGCAATGGTGGAAACGTCATCAGTCGATCTCGGCGTGATTACAGCCATCGGCCGAGCTGTTGTGTTCGAAGTTGACCACTCGGAATAGCCATGCGTTTCGAGGTCGTCTTCATCTATGCTAACCGTACCCTCGCCGAGCGCTTCTTGTATCTCTCTCAAGGCCTACACAGTTGTGAACATCGTTGGTCATGGAAGTTTTGTGAAGAACCGTACCGTTTGCATGGTCTGATTGTCTGCATATTTGGAAGGAAGGTGCAGCTGTGGGTTATCTTCGACGACCTCTGAACCATTTGAGAGCTTGCTCCCAGCCAAAGATCCTCGACTTAATGCAAGTGCCGTGCCGACAACTCCTATCACCGCGCCAGCAAGGCCGAATCCGAGCCTGGACCTCCATTGATGTGCAGAGGGTTGGCTAGAAGAGCTTCGTATCGTTTGTATAGATGGTGACCTCACAACATTAACAGGACGGATGCGGCTCTTGCAAACAAAGAGAACCCTCTGAATTTGCTTCATGGCTGGAGTTGCAGGTTTCGATTGGCTAAATGACACAGATCCAGCAACGAATAGTAGTAGTGAGGCTTCGATGAAAGTATGCCTATTATCAAGTAAACCTGGTGCAAGGACAAGATCGAACAAGATCGGTGTTGGTCATCGCTGGACGAACCCCGCTTTACCCGTTAGCCGTGGCTGGCCGCTTATCGGAAAATACGCGCCCAGGCCCTGAGGTGGGATGCACCGGGTGCTGAAGCCACCCCCTGACTCGAGGAAGCGCTGTGGAGAACTTGGATTTCTCCTCCAGACAGATCATTTGCGCCGTCAACGAGCCAATGTAGTCCGTGGCAGCGGCTCAAATATCAGCCTCTGACGTGAGATTCTCTCGAAAGTAGTTTCCTGACACAGTTCTTTTCTCATATAGACTATACCCCTACGGCTCTCCACTGACCCTGCTTGATGCCACGCGACCCGAGTCCAGACAGAGACCAAATGCTTTGGTAGGTGGGAGTTGACGGGTGGCTTCTGGAACAGGTGGTGGGGGTATGCAACGCTTGTGGGGGCTTTGAACAAGGGGAACTCGGAGAGGTTGGTGCCAGTGGGCCAGCCCCAGAGATCAAGCATCCAGATAGGTACGACATTTGATATATTAGTAGCTGAGTCAGATTCTGCACATGGAATAACAGCACTTTGTTTGATGCTCATTGATATTGTCAGCCATAGAAGGGGAAGGAAATAGCCCTGTAGACGTCTGCTCTGGTTATCTCTGTGACCACGATAGTATCCTTGCTCCATAGGGCAATTGGTCAGTATCGATTTCACAGCAGATACAAGCCTTGCCCCGATTGTGCCGGATGGCTTCTTGTTGGCAATACGTTGGAAGTCCCATTTCCAGCTGGGATATGGGCGTACAACATGGCACACAGATATGACCAGATGTACAAGTGAATAAGTTCCATTTTTCATTCGAACTCTTAACACCTCCTTTAATGATCATACAAGTTTACATACAGTCTAGGTGGAAAATCAATCGATTTCTGTATTCACCCCGCGTAGTTAACGATATCTTGGAAAAAAGCGCGGCTAGTAACGACACTCCCCGAACTGCTATTACGGAACTTGTCGAAGCGGCAGCAGTATATTCAAGCTGGGTTACGAAGACGGAAGCACTACTCGAGGAAGCAATACCGAGCGCTTTCAACTTTCAACGATAGGTAGCGATCACCCCATATCTAGGCTATTATAAAGGAGGCGCTACGATAGCTTCCATTTCTTCAAATGCGGACTGCCTCACATGATCGCCTAGGACGAAGAGGACGAGGGCTATAAATTTCTTACCTGGACGCAATTGTATTTGATTTTGCCGAGGATCCGGTGAGCCACCATCGCTGTATCCCTCTAGCTATGGAGTATTGTCTAATGCGAACTAGAAACGCTCATATTGATAGGTACGGCACCTTCCGGGAGCAGCACGAAGAAGCCCAATTTGCTGTCAGGATCCGGCCGCGCAGCCAAGATCACGTTGAGTCATCAAGCGAGAGAGTAGTGAGGTCTTGTGCATGGAATACCGATACGCAGATAGAGAAGATAATTCCATCTCGCCTGCATGTTCCGAGGAAAAGTTGTTCTCTTTCTATGTCGACTACGAGCTGTCTTGTTTGTTTTGCCAACATATGGGACGACAATGGGAGGACGCCGTACCCTTGGACAATCACTGAGCCTGGTCAAATAAAGCAAATCTTCTCTTAAAACTACTTTGTAAGTTCTAGAAGTAAGGCATGACAGGTGAAGACAGATATTCTGGTCATTCGCCAGGCCAGAAGAAGCTTTGAAAGCTCTACACGACTTCTGCTCAGCACATAGGGAAAACAGTGCCAATGAAGAACAATTTTGGCATGAAATTCTTAGCCTGTGAGACGTTGGCTATTTATACGGATTTAATCAGATGTCACTAGATTCGTTGCTATAAGTCATAGCATTGAACTCTTTTTTCGTGGTCAAACCCCCGCTCAGCTCTGTAGTGCGGAGATAGAAGTTGAATCCATGGGGCATAAACACAAAGTGTTTCGCGACTTTGTGAGTTTCTATTGACATATAAGCTTCTTCACCACTCCTCCAGGTCTCGACTTCCTCATCATTGTCTCTGCATTATCACAATGCCCTCACATGCACAAGTTTCCGCCCATGGCGCTCATGGTATCATCCTCCTGGGACACAACAACACCAGCGTAGCCCACGTCGATGCCGTGAGCAGTAAGACACCGTTCGCTTCAATTGGGATACCGGTGACGATGCTCGAACTGGATTCGGGGACAGCAACTAAACCTGGAACCAAATCATCCTCATCCGCCAGTCCAGCGGTCTCCTTTAACGGACAATTCGGTCTCATTGATTTTGATAGCTCAATCCGCCTCCCTCGACACGTGCACATTGCCCCGCCAGAGGCATCTGGAGATGAGTTCAATGAAATCAAACGGACTTTTGTAACGGAAAGAATCCTGGTTTTGGATGGTGTCGCTCTCGTTGAATTGAATGGCAGCGTCTACGTGGTGCCACCCAGGACATTGGTCACCATCGCTCCAGGAGTACCGCATACTTGGACTGCATGCCCGGCAGGCGTGTCATTCTCGGAAGCTGCGAGGCTCTGCGGAGGTCCTATCCATCCACATTCAGAGACAGAAACAGGAACACAGTCCAAGACATTCCCTGTTTCTAATGGGTCCTTCTTGATGGTTTACGAGTACGAAGACCCTACTGGCTTCTTCCCAACAGAACAAACAGAGACACTAGAGTCGGTGAAGGACTATATTAGGTGCGATGATTTGGAAAGGATCCGATTTCCGCAAATGTCGGCCCAGGACATCTACAAGAAAGGATGGTTTATTCTTGGGGGGGAAGTATGGAACCTTGGAGAAGGTATCAGCACAAGCATATAGGAATTGAGTGTGTAAAACCGCATTTTCGAACCGAAGCACATCGAAATATTTTGCTCCAAATAAGTTTTGCGCTGTCTTTTCTGCTAGTTCATTGATGATTCCAATCTGTCTTTACGACCTCTATACCTCAAGTACCTTAGGTCGTCTTCGTGAGCATATCCAACCTTTTACAAGCAGTCATGATAATATTGGAACCGGGGAAGACTAACTTGAGTGAAATTTGGCTGCTTGTACTCAGGAAAGCCAACGGCATAATCAAGTCCTTCCTCCATACAGACTGCGCGGCAAAGGCTCGATCATCTTTAGCGCCGGGGAAATCGAGCAGAGCAAAGTGATTCCAGGTGGAAATATCATGGTATGCTTCAGTGAGAGCGCGTCAGACATGGAATTTTAAAATCAAAAGATATAATCTCGGTCGAAGGAACGGCATTCATGAGAATAGAATACCAATACCTCCCTTCTTCTGATCCACGGATTGCCCTCTCTATAACGTAACTTTTGTTGCTCAGAACAACAACGTTCCACCAGTTCAGGTTCCGCACATCCGTCCTTTTTGGAAGAGATCAGGCGAGGAAATCGCCAGACGATAGTGAAAAAGAGTGCTCTTGCTTAAACGTAACGTACGACTAACTCACCCAGTCGGGTTGCCTGGAGTGAATATCATGCTAAACTATGCGACGATGAGTTCTAATTAACTGGACGGTTTCAAGGCACTTGTACCTCCTGACCTGACGGGTCAGTGCAACTTATGGACGCCGTTATCAGAGACAAACATCAAATGATGGACCCATGGCTTCCTGTGCTATTTTGATTAGAATTACCATATAAGCTAGCCTGCTATATCCGAGGCTCACGTTCACTCGAGCTTCATCGTCTGAGTGGAGGGCTTCGGCTCTATGAACAGCGAGATCTTCGTGCCCGACTAGCCAATTTGCCGTCAAGGTTGGCGCTTCCCAGCGATGTGATGAAGTGCATTGACATTAGAAACAGAGAAAGGATGATTCTGTTGTGTGTGCGACTTGAAATTGTTCGAAGTCACCATTAGTCCTGCATTTGTATATCGGCACAAAGCGTGTTATCGACAAGATTTGCCCACCGGCTAAATTTTGGGCCCAAGAGACATGTATTAACGACATTGTTGCTTAGATTGAAAATTATCGCAGTTTCTGCACTTGGGCCATCGGCTAGATCTTCCAGTGGTCCACCCGCTGCATAGATCCCTTCTTCTGAGATAGTCACTGGTCAAGCTCAGACTCAGCATTGGCGACTGCATCAAATCCAACAATAGTCTGAGCGGAAATAGCACCAGACAGTACTGTCGGATCCTCCTTGCAAGGCAACATCTCAGTTCTCTTGCATAGGAACGTCCTACGGATGCTGCCAGAACCGGTTCGCTGTAGCTCCTTGCACATTGATCGTAGTCCGAGATTTGCCATAGAGGCTCGGAACCTCTGGGATCAACTTTGTGGATTTGCCCTTGAAAAGTGGCTCAGAAAACAGCAGGCCAAGCAACATGCTCAATACAGCGCCGCTCTCAACTGCCACAGCGGCCCCTTGACCTTGATAGGGGAGAGTACCCGCTTCTACCTTCTGGTCGTCAAGTGCTTCGATCTCTTTCTGACTTGACGTAGCCCTGAAGACAAGAACTCCGGTCTCGACTGGAGGAGATCCATGACCCAGTAGTATCTCACGTGGTTGACCACAAGCCTGGCTCACCAGGTCAGAATTGGATCCATTTGATGTGACAGCATCACCAAAGACGACTCACCATCGGCATATATGACTCAATGTACACCCACACTGCAGCAGGACTTGTGTTCTATCGAAGTCCATATCATCAATCGTACAATCTAGGCGGATTTGCACCTGTCCACACCAAGAGGAACTCCCTAGGGGCTGTCGAGGCTGTGTGGCAGTGCTGTGGGAACTGCTCACGTGGCTACTCCGCACGACCCTGGACAGCGAGGTGGAGTGTCTGGGCGTGTGCCGGAACCCAAGAGTCCTTGCGGCCTGGGCTTACCCTAGTCAACTCCCTGCAGCAGGCCCGGGTGCTGCGGGGTTATGAACATTTGCGAGTGCTGCCGAGAGTCCAGTGGGCTTCCCATGGGAAAGAGAAGGGAGGGGGGGGGAAAGTGGCTTGTTCTTATAGGCACTGGGCAGAGTGGCGTGTCGCTCTTGCAAAGGGAATAAGTTTAAACGGCATCATTTACACGTCCAATTTATTCTGGTCGTGTCTGTTCCTTGGCCAAATCACCTAGATCTAACGACGCCGGTACCGAACAAGACACAGCAATGTCCGGATCATACTTGGAAACACTGCCTTGTGCCTTGCCCTCTCGACAACCTCTGCCACAAGATCTGGAGCTCGAGACGATCCTCACCAGCTTCCAAGATGTTTTGTCCAGGCTCGAGGTATCGACTTTTACGGCAGACGCGGTGTGGCGGGATCTGATTGCTCTGACTGGGAGCTTCCGCACATTCTATGGAGCAAGCAACATCATCGAGATTTGGAAAAGCCTGACTCAGAATGCACGACCAAAGCACCTCAAATATTATCAAAACAGCGCCCGCGAAGTTCGGCTCGGGGATGCGCAATGGATCGAGGGAGTCTTCACCTTCGAGATAGATGAGACGCCAGCCAGACTTTGCAAGGCTATCCTATCTTTAGTCCCAACTCAGGACGGAAAATGGCAGATCTGGGTTCTGCGCACGGTAATAGACAAGCTGCAGAACCATCCCAGCGTTGACAAACTGGCACCAGCCAGAGCTGTCTCAACAACGCAGAAAGATTCAGAGGATTTCGAGTGTGCTGTTATTGGTGGAGGACAGGCTGGGCTGAGCGTTGCAGGCAGGCTTCAGTCGCAGGGGGTCGACTACATCCTACTGGAGAAAAATCCCCAGATTGGCGACAGTTGGAAGACGAGATATAGATCAACCAAACGTGAGTTGTACGAATGGACTGGTTGGCACAACTTACTGACTGAGTTGCAACTTACAGTGCACACCAGTCGAGAATCGTGTAAGTAGATCGAAACCACGAGAGGTTATACTCGACTTGCAAGACTGATTTGAGTTGCAGCCCATCTCCCCTTCGATAGAACGTTTCCACCTCATTACCCGGAATATCTTACCAAGGATGATCTAGCCCAAGGCTACCGAGATTGGGCAAAGAAATTCCGCATCGTAAGTACTCAGACTGTGGCGTATCCAAGCAGTCTTTTGACTAAAGAACAGAATACTTGGCACTCAACTACGGTCGTATCTGGACAGTGGCACGAGGAGCTGCAGAAGTGGTCGTTGAATCTTCTCCGGAATGGGGAGAGCAAGAACATTACGGCTACACATGTAGTGATGGCTTTGGGTGCTGGCTGTCAGATTCCTGTTATGCCCACGTACCCTGGCATTGTAGGCTTATCGTCATGACCCGTGATTCGAAGATCTCAAGCGCTGATTTATTCCCTAGGAGCGCTTCCAGGGCAAAATTCTGCATTCAGCTGAGTACACGTCACCTGCAGGCTGGCAAGGAAAGCATGGCATTGTTGTTGGTACTGCGAACACAGGTACGGAATACAAACAGCAAGCTCGAGATAGTACATTGACTTACCACTGGGATATAGCACATGATGTGGCCGAAGACATGGTTGCAGCAGACATGGCCTCCGTGACCATGATCCAACGGTCGCCAACCTGTAAGTGTGGCAGGGGTACTTGATAGTGAAAGCTTACGAACCAAATGCAGATGTTCTGCCCGCAGAATATTACGCGAAGATCCAACACAGTAAGTCAGACGGCCTGGCACTCTTTCCCTGAGCCGGATTCAGCACAGGAAGGCTTCTAACCCAACCTCAGAGTCATACAATCCAGAGACCCCCACGGAATGGGCCGATATGATGGGTCTTACGAACCCGCTGGGGGTGGGCAGGCTCGTCACCATGCGCATTCTCCATGCAATGGCGAAAGCTGAGCCAGAGAGATTCGACAACCTTGAAAAAGCCGGCTTCAAAACCATCAGATACGGTGACCTGATCTATCAGGTCAATGACCGTTTTGGCGGCCATTATATGGATGTTGGAGCTTCCGCAAAGATTGCCAAAGGCTTGGTAAGTATACCTGCGTTGGGACGGCTTCTTGTGGTCCAGGGACGACGTTCACCACAATCGGCCAAGTTGACAAATGCTAACCCTTCGGGCCCATAGATAAAGGTCAAATCCGATGCGCTACCTCTGCAATACACCGAGCACGGAATCAAGTTCACGGATGGGACAGAACTCAAAGCAGATCTGGTCGTGTTTGCTACGGGCTTCGTGGGAAGCATGAAGGTGGCTATCCACGACATACTAGGCTCGGACGTCGCAGAGCGCATCGAGGATTTCTGGGGAATTGATAAGGAAGGCGAAATCAAGGGTGCCTTCAGACCCTCAGGCCGTAAGTACATCCTTCCTTCATAACAAGTTGACCGCACTCACACCTACTCAGATCCGAATTTGTGGATGCATGGAGGCACGTGCATCCATGCTCGATATATGTCAAGATTTGTTGCCTTGCAAGTTCGCGCTGCACTTGATGGAACGCCGCTTCCTATTGCTACAGTATGAGTAGAGGGTTTAACCTGGAATGTAGACATGTGTCAATCCGACACGACCTGTAACATCTGAGCACTGGCAGGGTGAACAGACGCAGTTTCGAAGATAGCACGCGTAAATTTCAGGTCCAGACTGGGGTGCGTTGTCCCATGAGCCAGCAAACACTGCTGAAAATCACGTCTAGCTTAGGAGGAGGGATCCGCACATCGAGAGACATGGCTGTTGGTGAGCTTCACGAGAATTTACGACTGTGGACGAATGATTACATTCCTGATATCGCTTTTTTCAGGATTCGGAACAATTCACGTGCTGCGACTATCTGAATAATTCATGAAATCCAGAAGGTATCCTCAATGGATGCCTCCACACATGTTTCTCAGTTGTATTTCTCTGCCAGTAGTTGTCGAACGTATTTCTCTGCCAGTAGTTGTCGAACGTATTTCCTGTCGACTTCAATCTATCGAATGCGCTCTAAGCATCCGCCGTCATTGCAGACTGCGCTCACACGGAGGCTGTTACTTCATGTTGTATGGCCGTATGTATCGTACCTGAGCTTGGGGCCCAGCCGTGCACCACCAGCACAGCCTTGCCAAGTGACTGGACTGAGGTCCAAGATGCATCGATCCTCCCCGCTGAATAAGCGGGGCATTGTGCTTGGTGGGGTAACCAAGAGCACGAGTCTCTTCTGCTTTCTCCACGGTAGCAATCTACAATGCCCCCCACATCGCGTGCTCCCTGCCTCATCACTACTGATGCCGGGTTCCTGACCAAGACGCCAGACTGGGTCCATGGACGACGCGCATTGACTTTGCCATAAGTCGGAACGAGATGACCCTTGCCGACTCTGGTTTGCATTGCAAACTTCCAGACGACCGAAATTCAGGACACACCCAAACATCCAATATCTTGTACTGTCTGACTCTACTAGCAGAACCCTTTCTGAAGCGTCGGATCCGATCTACTTGCACAAACCTATCAAAATCCCTTGGAGAAAATGGCTGCTTTCTCACGTATCGTCCGGTTCCGTAATTCCGCCGGCCAAATTTTCTACGGAGAGGTACCTGGCGACGACTTGGTGGACCAGAAGTCCCTGGTGGGCAGCAAGGTAGCTGTCTACAAGGGAGAGTCACCCTTTGACAACGACTTCAGCCTGACCGATAACAAGGAAGAGATTTCCGAGGTAGTCCTTCCCATTCATACTTTTCCGCTTGCTTCACACGATGCAAAGGCATCGACAATGAAGTGGAAAGCGAGAATGACTAGCTGACAAGAAGCTCATTACAGGTCCTCGCTCCACTGGCGCAGGTACCGATCTTTGAATGCGTGGGAGTCAACTATCTCAAGCATGTTCAAGAAACAGGGGTACGCTGCCTTTTCCTTAGCTCATAAGGACCAGCGATGCTCATTATTGGCCACTCCAGAGCGAAGCACCAAAATACCCAGTCATCTTTAAGAAAGCCCCAGGTCAGTAAATCCTCTTTGTCAACATCACGCGAGGCATAATACTGAACCTATCTCCGTTTGCAGACGCACTGGCGGGACCTTTTGAGGATGTCCCCGTACACCCAGACTGCCAGGGTGAGATGGATTATGAAGTGAGCTAAAAAGTGGTACACTTGGAATAGAGGGAGGAAAACTGATGATAGTGCTGTTAGGCTGAGCTGTGCGCCATTATTGGGAAGGACTGCAAGAACGCCACGAAAGAGAACGCATTGGACTACGTGCTGGGTTACACGGCTGGCAACGACGTCTCTTCACGCTTCTGGCAGCGGAAAGAGAGGTCCGGCGGCCAACATGGATCAGCCAAGGGATTCGACAAGTTTGCTCCCATTGGTCCTGTCATCGTTTCGCCCAGTGCCATCGGAGACCCGCACAACTTGTCTCTTAAAACCATTGTCAACGGAATAGACGTTAGACAGGAAGCCAGGACGGACGATTTGATCTTCAAGCTGCCCGAGATCATTGCCCACCTGAGCAGGGGCACGACTCTGAGGCCAGGAACGGTCATTATGTCGGGCACCCCAAGCGGAGTGGCTGCATATATGAAGCCACCCAGATTCTTGAAGGACGGAGATGTGGTGGACGTGGAGATTGAGAAGATTGGAAGGCTTTCGAACAAGATGGTCTTTGAGAAGGCGTAGCGCCAAAGCAGACTGTAGGAGGAATATAGTTAGCCGTTACAACGGTATAGAGCTGCGGTACGGACGCAGAAAAGGATTTATTCAGCAGAGAATGATTTATTGCCAGTGGCAGCTTCAGTTAAGCTAAGCTAAGTTGAAAAGAGTCAGACAAACACATACATGCAGCTAGAACAGACAATAACGATGGTTCATGAGAAAAGGCCTGTCCGAAACATCTGGGCGGCAAACATAATTTCGCAATCTCATCCCGTGTTCTGCTGTTGCCAGACTATTTTCGAGGAGGAGCTGAGTAAGGCGGGTTTGGCCTGGGACCGGAGCCGACACGCCTCTTGATGGTCTTGTGGTCCTCGCCGCTGCGCACACGGGCCGCAAGCTCCTCGGGGTCGAAGTCGAATCCGACCGAATTGACCGCGAACTCGGGGAGCATCATGTACTCGGTCGTCTCCTCGGCGGTGTCGAAGTTGTCGACTTGTGTTTCAAGGTGATTGCCATCGGGGTCCTGATAGTAGATGGACGTGGTGGGACCGTGGTTCACGCACCAGATCGGGTGCATGCCGATCTGCTTCCGTTGTTCATATGACTCGATCAGGTCGTCTAGGTTGTTGTATGTAAAGGCGATGTGTTCGAGACCGCTGCTGTAGGGGTCTTTGGGCGTGGTGTTGGGCATGGCGCCGATGGCGATGCGGTGATGTTCCTCGTCATAGGCGATGAATGCCATGCTCTTCCCGCGGAACGCACAATGGCCTCCGGTGAATTTGCAGTAAAAGTCAATCATTGCGTCCAGTTGGGTCGTTTTGAGCAAGACATGGGCAAGGCTTGCTGGGCTCTTGACCTTGATAGTGTCGTTGCTGGCGCCGTTGCTGTTGCCGTTCGTTGTGGTTGTCATGGTGAAGGTTGATGTTGATGTTTGTTGTCAGTCGAAGACGAGCAAGAGGAGTTATTTGAAGACCCATGTTGCCACAGGAGTGAAATCGATCACTTTTGTCAGCAGGGAATGAATTGCGTACTGAAAGTTTGCGGGGTATGCGGAATCAGTGGTATACACACCTGGGGTTGCTTAAACGTTCCAGGCTGCTCGCTAAGTGGGGGATTGTCGCTGGCCTTTTGTTCCCCGGCTGATGCGTGTTTCCGGCACCAACATATTCTTCGATCACGGAATTTAAGAGAACTTGGTACGTCTGGGCTGTGCTACGCTACTTGATTGTCCACTCGTGCTCTTGAGAACGACTCCTGGACCATCAGTGAAGAGCCCGAAAGGCCCTGGTGCTGCGAGCCACGTAATAGGTCGACTTGAGTGGCAAAGACAGCTTGGAACCCGAGCAAGGGACCTCAGGCCAAGTTCAACCACTGATGAGCCATGCGTGAGAAAGGTTCAGGCGACAAAGCAATTCATCTTGTCCTCTTCACATTCTAGTCTTGAATTATTTCACAGGCTTGTTCAAAATTCCTCCTCAGTCGAGAAGGCTGACATCGAGCTCGACCCCAGCTTGTTGTTCGATTCTATTGACCAATTCCATCCCCCATGTTGCTGGTGTGACCATTCCTTTCAGGCGTTTTCCTAGAGTATCGCCGCCTTGCAAAAGCGTGAGAGCCGCTTGAACTACAAACACACCAGTCAGATAGTATGGCGAACCCTTGTATTTCAATGTTGCCAAAACTTTGTGTTCAGGCACACAATCAGCTGTTGCGACTGTCTTGAATATTACTCGATAGTTTTGAAACTCGGCCTTTGGCGGTCCGCTCCCAGAAGGGGGAAATGGAACTACCCTCTTCAGGAGCCATCGAAGCAGCGCAATGTAAGTTAGCGTCGTTCGTATGAAGCCCACAATATAGGACATGAAGAACGCCTTCAGCCGGCTCCCGACATGCTGATACTCGCCAAAAGAAAACCTGTCTCCGTAGTATTTGCCCTGATCGTAGAGACCCCACGACCGATGGACGATTCCAATATCACACTCTGCTTGCGGGAAATGCGTCACGACACCAAAAGGCTGGACGTTGCGAGAGCCGAGGATCCAGTCGAGGAAGGAGTCTCGTCTAGCGCCCTTTGGCGGCGGGATTGGGCTGAGGGCGTGCGGCTTCAAGGCTTTGGCGGTGAATCCTGGCGAATATGCGTCCATCAACCCGAATATGGTAGCTATACTACCTCCACTGGGGCCGCCACTGTAGATAGGTTAGCTGTATGGCCTAGATGTATTGACATGGTTCGTCTCACCCCATCTCGTGTAGAATATTGACACTCTCCTTTACACCTACATCATAGGTTTGTCGAATTTTCTGCACGCATAGAAAGGTCAAAATATCGGCAGGAACCGAGTCCACTCCCGAATGAGGCGCGAGCTGCAATGGAATCAGTCTGTAAGATCTTCTGACGAAGGGAATGATGATTGGTAACAAAGGCCACCCAGTCGGTAGAAGGCTTACCACGACGCCGTTCTTTTTCGCCAAATCGTTGTATTTGTGCAGCATGTCGTATGTAAAAGGGGTCTCTCCGGCTCTAATGAGGTCAGTGTGTTCCAATTACGGTCCGTCAAGATCACAGCCTTACATATCGAAGTAGTGGGTCTTGCTCTTCACACAAGCCTCAACAACCGGCTCGCCATACCTAGCGAAAGGGCCAACAGTAGAAATGAGCACCTGTGTCTTCTTCGCCAGTTGTTGCAGATCTTGGCTATTCAACTCAACGACCTCAATACCTGAGCTTGCTCAAATTAGAAGAGGTATTCCATCCTAGGCATACTTCCTCATACCTGGTTGGATTCTGTTCGGGTTGAGGCCTTTCAATTCTGTGGCTAGCTGAGATAGTTTCGAGCCATTTCGTCCTGCAATGGCCCAGTGCAGGTCTGTCGCAACATTTTGTTGGATGTACTCTGCGACGAGCTGCCCAGTATAACCTGTGGCTCCAAGAAGAACCAGGTCATATTTTCGAGCCTTTGAAGCCATTGTCGGAGACCAGCAAGGCAGCCCCTCGTTGAGGACTTATACTGGCACACTCCGAAGGAGAGACTATGCTATGTGTTCGCTGCTTGACAACATGTTCCCAGACTAAACAACGATGGACGTGGCGGAAAAAAATGTCCAACCACCTGGAGTCACGCGAAACCCTTATGCACGCTTAAGAAAAACTAGGGCACTTCTTTGTCAGCTGTTCCAGGCATCCACTGGCTCTATAGCTAGGCTGCCTGGGGTACCATGTGGGATAATCTGCCTTGCAATTCCGCGCCCCCGCCTCCATACCCCACTCACCCACCTCCAGGTCACGTGACAATGCAGATATTAATGCTAGCCACAGAGCTGGAGGCGACTCTGATACGCAGAGCACCATCAACACTTTCAGGAAGCAACAAGTAACAAACAAGAAGCAAGAAGCAGGAATCAAGACACTGTGACAATGACAACCTCTACCACTACCTCCACTGCGACCCTTCGGTTGCGACAGGAGTCCAATTATGGGCAGCCTGGTCTGCATGAGGAAGCTGCCATGCGAGGATATCCAGCTCCCACTAACCTGGACGACCCTGTGGCAAGATTCAACATTCCAAATGATGCCGACCCCAGTCTGATGACACGATTCCCTCGCCCACCACAATTCGCAGACACGTACGAAGAGAGAGAGTACCTGAAAGGCCGGCTCGCCCTCGCCTTCCGCATTTTTGGTCGGAAAGGGTTCGACGAAGGTGTTGCAGGCCACATCACTCTTCGGGATCCCGTCAACCCAAACACCTTCTGGGTCAACCCTTTTGGCCTCTCATTCAACAAGATCAAAAAATCGGATCTTATCCTCGTCGACGAAGACGGCAAAGTTATTGGGGGTGGAAAACGCAGACTGATCAACACGGCTGCATATATGATTCACTCCGCCATTCACAGAGCTCGGCCCGATGTTCTCTGCGCAGCTCACTCGCACAGTCTATACGGCCGTGCCTTCTGCACTCTTGGACGACCGATCGATATCATCACTCAGGACTCATGTGTGTTTTACAACGACCTAGCTGTGTATAAGCAGTTCGGGGGAATTGTCTTTGCTAAAGAAGAGGGCGAAAACATTGCCAAAGCCTTGGGGAACAAGAAAGCCTGCCTTCTTCAGAACCACGGTCTGTTGACTGCCGGCCCCAGCATTGAAGCTGTTGTCTTTTGGTTCGTCTCTCTCGAAAAGTGTTGTCAAGCTCAACTACTGGCCGATGCTGCTGCCGGTGGCCGTGGCCAGGAGACAGTCAAGATCGACGATGAGGACGCCGCATATACTGCCAAGAATGCAGGTCAGAATTGGCCTGGTTGGTTCAGCGGCCTACCCTTGTTTGATGATGTCCTCGACGACGTCGGTGATGAAGTCTATCAGTGAGGAGATGTTTTTAAGCTTTTGGCTACGATAAGTTAGCACGTATCATAAGGACTTTATACTATATAACTATTACGAGCCGCTTTACAACACGTAAGGTATCAAGGAGCAAACCCGAGATAGTTGACTTAGTACAGAAGACGACGAATACACAATTTGGCGATGGCGACCTCTAAAGTAACTGTGGTGACAGCGGATGCGAGTGGGGCTGGTCTCGGTCTTACCAGGCATCTTCTTTAACGTGGTTTCGGAGTCGTGGTTGCTGCATTGAATTGCGAAGGGGAGCCGAACTTCAGAAGTAATTGGGTTCCGACCTTCTTTTTGCCAAGACCGGCGTTACCGACCGGAATGCACAAGTAGCATTGTTCAAGGGAGCATACGAGTGGGGCGGACAGGTTGATTTCGTCGTTGCTAAAGCTGGGATCGCCTCCATTGAATCGGTCTATGAAGATTTGGTGGTGAAAGACTTGGGCGAATTGCCAAGCCCAACCTTAGAACGCTGGAGGTGGATCTCAATGCAGTTTTCTACGGCCTCATCCTATTCAAACATTATCATCACAAAGCAGGCAGCAAGGGCAACAGGAAGATAGTGGTAACGGCCAGTCAGTCAGGTTACTATCCTCTTCATTTCCGTCCAACCTATTGTGCCGCAAAGCCCGGGGTAAGTTCAGAATCCAAGTCCTTTCAGTGCCAGGTTTCTGAAAAGACTGCATAGGCTATCGGCTTGGTCAGATCGGCTGGTCAGCGATTCCTCAAGAGCGATGGTGTTACCTTGAAGTCTACCTGTCCCGGACCTATGATGACGGGCATCGACGCGGAGGCGATGAAAGCTATTCCCGAACGTTGCCGCAGGCCCATTAAGCTACTCTTGGACGCTTTCAACAAGTGCATTGACGAAGCAATTTCTGCTGCCGTCATCAAGTGCTCTACCAAGAAGATGTCCTTGCGCGGTCATGTACATTTTTGTGCTGAAAATTCCCGCCTCATATGTGTAGATATCACCAAACTCCCCATCCATCATCAACCGGGAAGATAGGAGTCTCAAAACGTCGCTTTCCAAGAGAATCAGATACCATGCAATGAAACTGGCACAGGACTCTTTTCAGGTCGTCCTCTCGAAGCTTATACATCCTAAGTCATACCTCTGCTGACGGCAGCTCGTGGAAGATGTGTATCGAGTACCGTTCACAAGCGCCATTTGACAAGAGCAGGTAGGAGCTCTCATTCACCTTGCAATCACCTGGCTAAATAGGTCTCTTCACACTATTGAGTATCTAGTATGCAGATGGAGAGATGGACAGCACGCCGCCGTCTGTTACCACTGTACACCCATTCACGTATGCACCAGCCCTTGAACAAAGCCAAAGTATCACCCCAGCCATGTCTTCTTCATTCCCAGCTCGAGTAGCAGGGACGAAGGTTTTCGGGAAAGCACCTTCAATGTCGTGAGTACCGAGTTTATTCTGAGCTGGTACAGGTCAACTTCCAAATCACTGAAAAGAGGTCTTTATTGGGTAATAGCAACCTTTAAACATATTATGCGTCATCTCGCTGTAATAGTACCCAGGTGCGATTATATTGGCTCTGATATCATGAGGTATGAGTGTCGTTGCAAGTGATTTGGTCAAATGAATCACGCCAGCCTTGCTGGGACCGTACGACAAGTTCGCCACTGCATTTCGCTTGAACCCTGCAACGGACGAAGTTGTGATAATCTGTGGTCGAGGCTTGAAATTCTCTCGACTAGGTGGCTGAGGTCTTTTCAGGTTCGCTTCGTGGAGTAATGGCAGAAATGCTGCGACGGTGAATTGGGTCCCCGTGAGGTTTACAGCGTAGGTCTCAGTCACTGCTTCTTGAGTTGGCTTCCACAGGTTTTCAGCCAACTGTAAGACAGGGAGAACCTGCTGTTTCGAGTCCATGATTGGGGTGAATGGGCCCGAAGCACCAGAATTGCAGACCAAAACATCGACTGAGTCCACATGTTGCTTGACTTGATCTACGCAAGCCTGCAAAGACTCCTTGGAAGTGACGTCTCCAACGATTGGAATAATAGTATTCTCTGGTCCATCAGTGGCGGCCTCCTTCAAGATACCTTCGCGACGCCCAATGATGAATACTCTGGAAGCGCCGTTAACAGCAAGGGTTCTGGCCATGATCCGACCAAGTCCTGTTCAGGGTAGTTCGTCAGCTTGTAATCTTAAGTTGACGTGGCATTCAGTGTTGCTGAGAATTGTGGCAATCCCTCTTGAGACTCCCGTCTCAGGGTCTATCACATACCGGAGCCTCCTCCAGTGATTACGGCGACAAGGCCATCGACCCGGAAGAGATGACCTGCTTCGATCTTGGACGTGTCTTCCACCGCCATTTAGCCAGATTCAAACAATAGCCGGAAGGTACTCTACACTGGTCGGCTTCAAGTAACGACTCGATTCGCTTCCTCGACTGACATTGACTTCCTCAATAAAGGTAAGCAGGGGGTTCATCCTCTCCTCATACTTTGCAGACTGAGCAATGGGGGCTTCTATAGACGGTGAACTCTAAACTCTATGGCGGTGATTGTGCCCTGGACCTGGCCTAGAATGTGGGGGGTGCGAACATGTTGGTGGGATGCCCACTGACTCGCACACATCAAACGTCCGAAAAGTCCGAAGAAATGCAGACCGCTCACTAAAACGCCAATTGGATAAATCCACCCCCTCTCAATGGCAATTACCTTTAAAGAGCACCAAACCTGAATTCAAAGCACTGGATGCCAGCTTGAGACTCGATGCAAACCCAAGTTACTCAAAATCATCATTCCCTTCAACATGGCCCCCACAATGAAAGCTTACCAATGGGATGGCCCTGGTACGGGTCTGACCATGAAGGAATTGCCAATTCCGGAGCCAGGCCCGCAAGAGGTCCAGATCAAAATCAAAGCTTGTGGACTTTGCCATTCTGACTGCCATATCCTCGACGGCACAGGAGCGCAATGGGTTAAGCAGAGACCCATCACTCTGGGGCACGAGATCGCAGCCCAGATCACAAAGCTTGGAGAGGGTGTGACCGAGTTTCACGTTGGACAGAGAATTGGATGCGCTTTGATTCCCCCTGCCACCGCCATTGGTCTGGATTTCAACGGCGGCTATGCCGAATACGCTGTTGCGCCGGCCCATGTCGTCGTGCCTCTTCCTGAAGATTTGCCCTACGAGAAGGGTTGCATCGCCGTCGATGCCATGGCGTCGGCATACCACGCGGTGGTGGCCACAGCCGGAGTTACACCAGACATGACTGTGGCTGTACTCGGACTGGGTGGCCTGGGTTCTACTGGCTTGGCGGTTGCGTGCCTCCAGGGATGCACCGTCTACGGCTTCGACATCAACGAGTCCAAGTTTCCAGCTGCACTGGAAGCCGGTGCTAAGGAGTGTCACAAGACCATCGACCAGGTCAAAGACGTCACCTTCGACGTCGTCTTTGACTTTGTCGGAATTCAGGCGACCCTGCTTGCTGCTATTAATGCCGTTAAGCGAGAGGGAATCGTTGTGCTTGTGGGCATGGGCGACTCGGAATGTACGCTGCCCACAGGTTTGATGGTCATGAAGAACATTGAGATCAGGGGTTCTCTCGGCGGACGCAAATGGGAGCTGCCAGCAATCTTTGAGTACATTGCACAGGGCAAATTGAAACCTCAGGTCGAAGAAGTCCCTTTTGATAAATTGGTGGACTCCTTACATCGACTGGAGCAGGGCAAAGCAGATGCACGCATGTTTGTAAGGCCGAGTGGACCATAGATTCTTGAACGAACAGTTGTAGAAGAAGGCGGACCAAAGAAACCTCTCTCCATGGAGCTCACCACTTGACAAGTTGAAGGGGCACTTTGGATGTATCTAGAACCACTACTCTTGCCATGACACACATTGTCTACTGAAAAATGTCACGATTCAGCCTCTGCGGTCACACTATCTGTATTAGGAGGTTTACATATTCGTGCCTCTGCCCTCCAATATTGTTTCATAATCCTTCGTCCCGCACTTTCATCAATTCAACGCATGAGCGTGATGAAAAAGCATGCTCGGGACTTTCTCCCATTTTCTCTTTCCATCAAGGTCCTGAGGAGTGTGTCGCACAGAGTCCTTCGAAGCAGGCATCCTGTCTTCCGTTCGGCATCGGTTAATGCCGAGTCTCGAGAAGCTGGAAAACTCCCCCACAACCTAATAACAGCCTAGTGCCAACCCCGCGACACCAAACAATATGGGTGGGGGAATGGAGGTCCAGCAACCTCAGACATGCCCTTGTACTGTAGCGAAGAAACCTACTCCCACATGGTCTTTCTTCGGTCTTTTTCGCGTGTCCCCAATGCACGCTATCGGGAACGCTCTTTCGAGCGGATCATCGCAACACTTGACCTTCATGCAATTGGGATGCCGTCGTTGCTTCTGAAACCAGTCTTCGCATGCTGAGCGCATCTTCGAAAAGACACTGACATTAGCGATTCGCTTCTCGACATTCTCAAGACCAAAATGCAGACCAAAATGGCAAATAACGATATCCCCCTGGGACTGTTACTATGGCAAAAGTAAGAGTCACTCCGTACCAGTGATGCTCTATACTCAATGCTTGCATGTAGGCTTCGTAATCTCAATATTCGAAACGTCATGGGCGTGCCTGGTGATATGAACCTTGAGTTACTTGATTACATCAACGAAGTTGAAGGCCTAAACTGGGGTGAATATCCTCATACGTCCTCCGTTGTGTATTGCGCTGACACCCTTGCTCAAAGTTGGAAATGCAAACGAGCTCAATGCCGCCTATGCTGCAGATGGATATTGCAGAGTGAGCGGGGTTCCAGGCGTTGGTAGGAAGGTTTTATCGAAGTTGTAAAGTCATTTTCTTATGCGAAACAGTGGTGACAACAATGGGGGTCGGCGAATTGAGCGCCCTCAATGGCATCGCTGGGGCGTACACGGAACAGGTCAAAGTGATACACATTGTAGGGACGACGCCCCTTGCCGCCCATGAAAAGCACCTGATGATACACCACTGCTTGGGGCCTTCTCCGGATCATAAGGTGATTAATTCGTGTCGCCCTGCAGCTTTCACAAGAGCTAATCAAACACAGGTTTATGAGAAAACCTCGCAGCACGTCCGGACAGCCCATTGTTGGCTGGACAATCCTGCTACGGCGGCCCGCGAGATCGATGTAGGGTCCAATCATCCGGCTAAGCTGAACTGGTTTCGCTGACGTGGTCATCAGAGGGTCGTGCATGAGTGCTACGCAAAGTCATTACCAGTTTACATCTTTTTTCCTGTCGATATGGTTGATCGAAAAGTTCCTGCCCCGTCACCATCTCAACTGGATTTGGCACCTTTCACAGACAAGTTGAGCCAAAAGGCTGCAATCTCGGCCACGCTAAACTTGCTCTACAAAGCAAAATCGCCGGCAGTGATTGTTGATGCGTTGACGGCGCGCCATCGTGGAAAGGACGTTACTCGCAAGCTTGTGGATCTCCTGCAGTTTCCCACCTACTCGACTTCGATGGGGAAAAGTATCATCGATGAAACAGAGTCATATTTTTGCGGTATCTACAATGGACAGGTTTCGGTTCCTGAAGTGTGTGAGGTCCTCGAGCAGAAGAGCGATCTCGTCCTCGACCTTGGACCTATACTAGCAGATTCCAATACCGGTGGCCACAGTCGGAAAATTGCAGAGCACCAGATTATCGCAGTTCACCCTCATCACGTCACCATTGAGTGTGTCGTTTATCCCAACATCGGTCTTGTATCCTGTGAGTCCCTTTTCAATTCTGCACAATTATGTTGCTAAACGTTCCCAGTTCTGTCGACTCTCCTGGAAACGATTGAGAAATTCAGGCTGCCGCACGTTGCTTCACCCGGGAGAGCGCCGCTACCTGCGGCCAAAGACGTCGACTCGAAGCTGATCACCCAGTCGTGGATATGGACGCGCTTGGGCGAGTTTTGCAGGCCTGGAGACGTTGTCATAGCAGAATCCGGCACCGCCCAATTTGGCTTCCCAGACGCCAATCTACCAGAGGATATTACGTACATAACGCAAGTTTACTATGGAAGTATTGGATACTCCGTTCCAGCTACTCTGGGGGCCGCCGTGGCTCTTAGGGAGCTGAACCGCGAAGGAAGAGTGATTCTAGTGGTTGGCGATGGAAGTCTGCAGTTGACGGTGCAGGAGATTGGAACCATGGTAAAGCTCGGTTTCAAGAACATTATCATGTCAGTATCTTCAAGTCCAGCAAGGTACCCTCACACTGACTTCCACAGCGTGGTGATTAACAACAATGGTTATACCATCGAGAGGGCCATACACGGCCCCGAAGAAGGTATGTGCTTACTTTGGGCAATGGCCGCACAAAGACGGTGTCATATTAACAGTCTCTGAAGCATATAATGACATAGCGGCATGGAATCACCAGGCCATGCTGGAATTCTTCGGAGCCAAAAATGCCCGAGCTTCCACTCGTGAAGCACGTACCAAGAAGGAATTGGATGAGGTGCTGGGCCTCCCAGAGTATCAGCACCCAAGTGGTATCCAGGTCAGTATTCCTCCCTCCCGCCTCGTTTCCGCAGATCCTCTAACCAATTGATCCAGGTACTTGAGGTTTTCATGGAGCAGATGGATGTGCCGTGGAGACTGGCAACGCAGATTGACCTCATTAACAAACGAAACGCGGCGACCCGAAAGAGGCAGGATGACCAGTCGGCATAGATTTGAGGTCTCTATATACCCGGGAGCTTTGTTATTGATAGCACCATAAGGAGTGTCTCACAAAGCGATGTTCGCCATTACCAGTACGAGTATCGGTTGTTTTAAGCGGCAGAATCTTAATCCCATGTTGGATTTCACAAGGCTGAAGGCTTTTCATGCTTATGACTGGCGGGAATCAGAAATCCGCCGATCAGACTTGGCTTATGTTATCTGCATTGGGAAGCTTTGCTGAGGCACTGTCATATTCGTGCCTCCGCAACCGACACTCTTTCATAGTCCTCCGTATTGTAACTACATCAATTCAATGCATGAGCATGATTAGGTACCCTACAGCCGCGACTATTGGATGAGTATGGGATCCGGTCGAAATGAGAGGTTAAGGTTTATATGGAGTAGTGTACTGGTTATCCATTCTGACTGGCTCAGGCTTGGTAGACCGAGTCTAAGGAGCTGAGATAAGAGCGCGGGGAAGCGAAAGGTAACCTCCATTAACCTCCTCCCCTCCATCCAGCTCGGTGCCGCAAATTGTGTCCTTCCATCTTATAAATGATGCCCTTCAGCCTCTCAACAACCTCGAGCAACAGCCCCAATTTGGAGCTGATCTATGCAGGCTTGTTTTGCGCACCGAGGGAAGTAAAATGAGGGGGAGGTCGAGCTCCCAGCGGTTCCGCACAGGCAAAAAGCCAATCATCCGATGGTGCACTAAGTCAAAAACATGAGTGGTGTGAGGAACACGCGACCCAATAGGTCCTGGTAAGCAAAACGTGACCACAGCGTAATCCCTCAATAACGAGACTTTCCTCTTCACCGAAACCATAAGATACGCGGCCAATTCCCCTCCTCATCAGGTCGAGAGTCATACATAAAGCCTTGCTGCCCGATTGAGGATGCTTGCCACCGTCGTGCGAAGAAGCGGCGTTGGAACATTCAGAACACTTAAAACAGCACCGAGGTTTCGATACATGTCCACAATGATGAAAGCACTTGTCTATCGAGGCCCCGGCCAGTGCGGGTTGGAAGACCGTCCTGTCCCCAAGATCCAAGAAGCCTCCGATGCCATAGTGAAAGGTGAGCTCCAAAAGTTTGTGCATGTTACTTGCAGTAGCTGACTATGCTCACAGTCGTCTATACAACAATCTGTGGGACAGACACGCACATCTTAAAGGGGGACGTCCCGACATGTACACCTGGCCGCATCCTAGGACATGAAGGTATCGGCGCCGTCTCGCTGTGAGCAGTTCCCCAAAGCTAACGAGGGCAGGTGTTGGCATTGTCGAGGAGCCTGGGCCTGGAGTCTCGCGGTTCAAGAAAGGAGATCATGTCCTCATCAACTGCATTTCCAGCTGTGCAACTTGCAACTACTGCCGAAGAGGGATGCCCAGCCACTGCGTAAGTGCAGGATGGATCCTCGGGAACACCATCGACGGAACTCAAGCCGAATATGTTCGCATCCCGTACGCTGACAGCGGCCTCCACCACGTTCCGAAAGGCATAGACGAAAAGGCACTTGTCATGTTGTCCGACATCTTTCCCACTGGACTCGAATGCGGGGTGCAGAATGGCAAAGTTCAGCCCGGGTCGACTGTGGCCATCGTTGGCGCGGGTCCCGTTGGCCTTGCTGCACTGATCACGTCCAGACTCTACTCGCCAAGTCTGATCATCATGATCGATCGGGATCCCCACCGTCTCAAAGTCGCCAAGTCGTTCGGAGCCCATTACACCGTGAACAGCGCGGCGGCGTCGCCGCTGGAGACTGTCATGAAACTGACGGACAACATCGGCTGCGACACTGTGATGGAAGCCGTCGGCGTTCCGGAAACGCTGGAAATGGCACAGGATCTCGTGGCGCCCGGCGGCACCATAGCCAACGTGGGCGTGCACGGAACGAGCTGTCAGTTGAAGATCGAGAAGTTGTGGGTCCACAACATCTCGCTCACCACGAGACTGGTCGACACCGTCACCACGCCGATGCTGCTGAAGCTCTTCGCTGCGGGAAGCATTAACCCGGGACAGTTGATCACGCATGAATTCTCATTCACGGACATGGAGAAGGCATACACCACTTTCAAAGCAGCCGCCGAGCACGATGCCTTGAAGATGCTGATCACAGTGTAATCGCAGATGCGAGCATGGCTGCGGCGTTTTTTCAGAAGCGCTATTGGAAAAGTTTGACAGTTGTGTTGTTTCTGTACGTACGCTCAGGTACACGATAAATCATGTACAGAGCATGCCCCACAGTCCATGTGGACTCGATATCAAATGTCTAATGGTCAAAATCCCAGTCCCTTGACTTCAGGATCGCCTATCAAGGCGCTCTTGACTTCTTCCTCTCCTACTCGCAATCTGACTTTTCCTGCCCTCTCGCCCTTCCCTCTCAATTCCATGGCGATGACGCCGGCCTCCACCAGAGCCATCGCCGCCCCTCCTAACGCCATGATCCGGGGCATGACGGAAGTGGAAATGGAAGTGGCTTTTCTAGATGCGTCGTCGTCCGCACGCAGGAAGTCGTGGATTGCGCTGTTGTCAGCGACGTCCACGATGCGCTTCGCCTCGACGGCAATGTCTCCCATCGTGGACTCGGCGACACCTGTGCGACGACTGCGTGCAGAGATCGCCGCGAGCAGGAGCTTCGACGCAAGCGGGAGGGAGCGCAGGTGCTGCGCGACCGGAGACGACGTCGCTTCGTTGATGGCTTGTTTGATTGTTGCGATCGTCACCCTTGCCATTCGTTTGGGAGGCCGTTCTTCCTGTCCACAGCCACTGACCTTGTCCTTCGAGAGATTGTTGCCTCTGCGACTCGGGGTGGTTGCTGTGACGTCGTCTTCATCGTTGATATCCGTAGACGCTGCTAGCAGCTTTTCTTGAGACTGTTCGGCGATTTCCACAGCACGGCGGCAGATATCGAGAGCCCGTCTGGCATCGCCGGACACAGCTGCGACTTTCCGGCTTGCAAATTGTACGGCGTCTTTGTCGACGATGTTGCCCGGAACACCTTCTAACCTCGAGGATATGATCTCCATCAGCTGTGTATGCGTGTAGCCCGGGAACGTGATCCTGGTCAGTCCCAGTCGCGAGCTAATCTTGTTTGACAGCGTCCGCTCGGGCAAGTCCATGGTGTTGGCAACCGCTAGAACGATGAGTCGTGAATGTCGCATGGCTGGCCAATTGAAGAAGTTGTACATGACACTTTGATTCTTCGTCACAAGCTGATCGAGCTCGTCCATCAACACGACGCACGGTATGCGGCGCGGCGAGGGGTGGGAGAATTCTTGCTCCAGAAGGCTCAGCGCATGATGCGGACTGACCCGGTCACCCTTCAGCGCTTCCCACAGAAGTGAGTATGATTGATGCGGCTCTGTGACCTTCATGCCGTTGATTTCGACAAAGTTGAAGTCATCGAGCTCTTCATTGAGCACTGCCTCGTGGAGTGAGGCGACTACTTCCCGTACCGTGGCAGTCTTTCCCGTACCTGGTGTCCCAGAGATGTAAATGCATGCTCCGGAGCCATCCACAATGGCGGAGTAGAGATGAGAATAGACAGTGTGAAATTCATTGGAGCGGCAAGGGAGAGACGTTGGGACGGCAGAGACATGAAGTGTTGCACGGGCATGGGAGTAGGGTGTCGACATATACTGAGAAGGAGACAGGACACGAGTGCCTAGGGGTGTGATCTCAATGGGCTTCTTGATCATGATTCGTTTGTGAGTCGGCGTGCTGTACTTGGAGGTCTTTGTCGAAGACTTTGGAGTGGAAATTGTTGCGGTCGTCTTCCTCTTTTTGTGCGGCGTTCGGGGCTCATCATCTATTGTCTCTTTCTGCTGGACATAGTCCACGTCCTCGGTTTTCAGGGTCTGCTTCTTCCGACCCTTTGTCTGCTCTTTGATCCAATCAATCAAGTCCAAGAGGTCTTCGGGACCCCTATAAATCTGTTCCCACACGAAATCCTCGGTGAATCGCAGTGTTCTCTGCTTGACCCCCCGCCGACACAGAATGGTCTTCGCATATCTATCAGCGGCCCCCTTAGACTGTGGAGGCTCCCCGCCAGGAAATTTCTGGAAGAAAGCCTCCTTCGACAGCACCGTTGCCTTTCCATTTATGGCGGTCAAGGGGTTCATGTTGAAGTCTGCCGTGATGTAGGATTCATTCGGCAACACATCGTTGGGGATTTTGGAGCGTTTCCCGAACATCAGCTCCTCAGGCGTACAGAACCACTGAATGCAGACACACATTTCGTCTTCGCCGTCTTCGTTGGTATCAGAGAATGAGCAGGCCAGTCCCACCCAATCTTTGCCTTGCTCGGGAGATTTCAGCAACACCGGGTCCCCTATTCGCACCATGAAGGTACCCATGCGCGCACCCTCTATGGGAGTCTTTTTTGAGTTGAGGACGTTCGCTTTCCGCTTCTTCGAGGGTGTTGACTCATCATCTGGAGGTGCGCTGTGGCCGTCGTCTTCATAAATCCATTGCCAGGGGTGATCTTCATCTCCGAGTTCATCGTCTGAATCTTCGCGTCGCAGGCCCCCCGTCGTCGAATATCTCTTTTGCTTAGGCATTAGTGTGAGACCACTGATTTTAGGGACGTAGTGTTCACGAAATTCAGAATCTCATCGTTGTCTCTTCCAAGGTTACCTACCTAGGTAGGTAGTGTCTGATCAATTGTGACCGACTTGGGAGTGCCAGCCCTCAGAGCCGAAACGCGTCGACGCGTCGACGCGTATTAGATAATCACCAGGTCATAATCCGCTAACCTTTTACAGCTAGTGGGTCTTGGCACGGACACTGCGATGCACCGGCAGTGATGCACCAGCGTCCGTCTTCCACAACAGTCAGTTTCCCATCTTCACTCACATCGTCTCCGAACGGACGTCGGTGACAAGGACGAGATTTCGCTCCTCCTGCGGTACTCCCCTTCCCCATCGCCAATGGCGGGTAATGTCATCAACCTTGCATAGTGACCTTGGTTGAACTGACACAAGGCCACGGTAACAGTCCTGAAACGGCCTGCCCGATATCTAAGTGATCAAATCTGCAGAGTCGATGTTTGCAACTGACCGCCTCCTTAATGACCTCATCTTCTGGAGCTGCTGCCTAAAGGCTTGTGTTGCACCAGTTTTGATCTCAGGAGCCGGCTTATCTCTGTGCCTTGAGACGGGCGGGTAAAACTCACGTGTTTGCCTCATGTCACCCGACTCGTCACATTTAGATCCGCGTTATTAAGGTGTGGAAAGAAGAGAAGGGTTCTGGTTTTTTCATTTCGTTTGCTCTGCGACGTGGTTCTTTAGCCGAAGTGGCCGGCTTCATGTCCCTTTTGACTGCCTGAGAAAGCACTCTCCTTTGTTGCTCAACACCTATCACTATGGTTTTGTGAGAGCAAAAGTCTTGCTCGTCGCTCACGTCTCCGTCACCACTGCAGTATTCTGTGGAACATCTAACTTCTTTCATCCTTCAAAAGCAGAAACAGCCATCACCATGAGCGAGTGAGTTCAGCCGAAGTTGGCGTATCTTGTGTGCAAGCTAACTTGTCGATCTAGTCATGAGGGGGAGGGTCTTGATCTTGAGCGTACGTTCTTACCTGGACATCACGCTGTCGTCTTCCGCTCTAGTATGGCGCCTTGGAATCTGACCTTTTGTAGGATGGGAGGAGGCGAGCTTGCCAGGTGACTCAGTCTTTTCATATGCACGCTCCGATGTGTTCAACAGAGGAATGGTCACCGGAAATGGCAATTTCCATCCGCCCACAGGACCAGCAAACCACTTTGATCCAAGACGAGGGCCCCCACGTCGACCTCGGATTGACATCTCTCTGGATGATTTCCAAGCACCACAGCAGACGGCTCTCGCTGGCCAACCCAGAAGAGATATCATTCCACTAAGGCAAACTCCTGCGCCTGCCGCTAAGAGCCCTGCTCAAATTCGGTTTGAAAGTGGTCAAGCACCGAATGACGAATATGAGTTGGCTTCGGATTGGAGGCACCTTCGAGCGTCGGCGCTGAGGATCGATAGGGCAGCTCAACCACATCCACTTCAGACACTCCAAGGAATAATGGCAAGATACGGGGCCTTCATAAAGAAACCGGAGGATGGAGATAACAAACTCTTTATCTGGGGAGAACCTCATCAGGTCACAGAAACGAAGGCAGCACTGGCTCAGTGGGAACGTGACGTTCAGATGTCGCCCCAAGAGGTCAGATCTCTCGCCTGGGCCAAATTCAAAGCACTGGATGGCAGAGCTGAAAATCGAGCTGAACGACAGAGCCGACAGAAAGCGTTTGAGCAGATATTGCGTGAGGCGCAAATTGATTATCCGGTCGAAGCTGCTCTTTTATGGCCGAAGGACCTGGACCTCGAGCAGTTTGAGACCGTCAACGCCGAAGTTCTCGATCAACTCAGAAGCAACTTCGGCTGCAGCATCGCCTTTCAACCATCCAATACCCAGCATATCTTGATAGGTGCTCATTCCAAAAAAGACGCTCTCTCCCTCATGACCAGAATGACGAACCTGATCAAAGAGGCGATTGCTGCCAGGGAACAGCTCCTGACGATCAACCTAGTGCATCTCCCTGACCACGAGATTTTCAGAGATCGCGTTGGACTTCAAGACATAGATCCAAAATCTGGTACTTACTTGCCGACACTGCACGGGAATCCACTGGCAGACAAGGAAAAATGGGACCAACAGAGACGTCATGCCCACATTGGTGATCGCAAAGCAATCAGGAAGGCCATTGATTCTTCCATTAAAGGGCTCAGAATCTCGCAGCAGCACGTGCGCATGAGAGTCGTCTTTGGCGAGCTAGGGTTCATGCGCTTTCAGAAACCGACCGACGGGGGTGAGCATTATGGGTTTGGCGACTTCTACCACATGGTCACAAAAGGACGGACTAAACTGACCTTGAACGGTCTTCCCATACGGCAAGGCAGAGTTACCGATCTTCCAGACGTATTGGAATCAATGGGGATGTTCTCGGAGCGCACAGAATACTACGGAGCCTTCTTTGACTTCCAAGGAACATCACCAAACACTACCCTTCGGCTCGAAACGGTTTTCTACCCCAGCGGCGACGACGATACGGAGAGCCGGGAGAAGCGGTGGTTAGAGTTGAGTGACGCGGTCTCCAGACTTCAAGTCAGTCTGGTCAACTTTGAGAGGCCCGACTATCAAGTCACTCTTGATGCCTTCCCTCTTCGCACGGACAAGTCCACGAAAGTCCACATGTCATCATTCCAAGCCAACGTCACGATGGAACGTCCAAAAGATGGCATCAAGTCCCTCCCAAGACGACGAGCCAAGTTTCCGCCCGGCCAACGCAAATTGCAACGTGTCGCAGAGCTGATCACCTTGAGATGGCGCTTCAAGAGCACGGATGGCGTCTTCGAACTTCGCCGCAAAGACACCTACGACGAACTACCAGGTCGAGAAAGCCCCGCCCCGGCGGAGACGAGGTGGCATGCCCTGTACTATTATCCTCAGTGGGATAATCTGATGGGAGAGTTTGCGAGCGTCAAACCAGGAGAGGATATTCGCTGGGTCAAGTCCGTCGCAACGTTCATCCCGGAAGGCGGCGATCAATATGCAGCGCTGCCGAAGGGGTTCAAGAACTTCATCAGCGAAGTCGAGGAGATCCAAGATCTTTTGGCGGAGGCCATTCACCGTTTGGAGAAGGGAAAGGGCAAGGCAACGGACGGGGATTGAGGTGATGAGGCCAGCATTTTGTGGTCACTTGGCCAATCCAGAAGAAGAATTTTACCTGGGGAGAGGACCTTGAGAATGGGCGACGGAGAGGCAGTGGAACGGCAACCATATCTTCACCACAGTGTATGCGTGGTGTTCTTCAACGGTTCCGAAAGGTCTATTCACCGGTCTACACTGCACGAGCGAAAGGGGTCGGCTTGCCGAAGGGCATCTGCTTCCGCAGACGAAGGACTCTTCAGAAGCGCAAGCCATTCCGTCGGTGATTCTACCTCCACATAGCCCACAGATATTTTAGTCCGTACAAAAGTTGTCTTTGCTGCTGTGCACCCTTTCTTCGCCCTGCCCACTCTCTCCAGGTCTTTCCCTACCCAGCGCCGCTCCCACTCGCAGCAGCGGCTGCCGCCTGCCGCCCAGCGCCGAACTGCGCGGGCTGTTCCTCGACCATCTTCCGCCGCAGGGCATCTTCGACGATCCTCAGGCTCTCACTCTTGCCGCCCACGACCTTCTCGATATCCTGCAGGTTCTTGGCCAACTCGTCGACCTTGCCCTGGTAGAACTTTGTCGCGTCCGCGGGCGTCTTCTCCACGAAGAAGCCCGTGCCCACGTCGACCATGACCGTGGGGGCCTTTTCTGAAGATTGTGAGGGTGAGTCCGTCGTCGTCGACGAGGAGGAGAAGGGGGAGGAAGGTTTGGGCGCGGCCAAGGTGCCGGGGACGTAGAGCGACGTTGTTAGAGGAATGAGAAGCGGCGTTTCTGCGCGATACGAGCGAAACTTGTTAGTACAGAGGCTCATCTATCCAAGGAATCCTCTGAAACACTCTTTCATAGTGTAATGAGGGAAACGAACACCCGACGTAACGTACCTCCACTCCGCCCCTGCACCCCGTCCTGTATGCTGCGTATGCAGTCCCGAAAGCGCGACTGCGCGGCGAGCAGCCTCTGGTACGACGTGCTGAGATGCTCCAGTTCCTGGGACAGCCGCGCCTGCAGCGCCGAGAGTTGCTGCACGGAGAGCGTCGTGATGTCGACTGGGGTCTGTGCGGCTTGGGACATTTTTTGGTTCTCCTGCCCCCCTCTTAGGGTCTCTCTTTTTTGTTTCTTTGGTTTCTGGACTTTCACTTTTTGGGAGGGGGTTTGTTGAGGGGTCTCTGCGTGTGTGGCTTTAGACTTGAGCTGAGCTGAGGTTAGCTGTGTCTGCTGCGGTCGTAGGAGGCGGTGAAGGACAAGGGAAAGTACCTAGGTATTTAGGGCTGAGAGGGAGTGGTGGGATAGTTTTTTCGAGCTTTCGGTTTTGTCGTGGACAGACAGTTTCGTTTTCTTTTCTGTGATGCGAGGCGGGGAAAGTGCGGAGCCTTGTCCATAAGGCTGTGCAAGATCCCACTACCACTCCGGACTTCCTTTGAAACAATATTATTCTCCAAAACTGATGGTTATTGCATGTACATCTGACATTTGGCGCGAGTGGGGTATCCTAAAGTACAGTATAATTACAATTCACTTTTAAGCTGTACATCAAAGCTGCTTCAAAAGATCATGCACGAACCCGACGGCATCGTCGACGCCGACCTCCTGTTTGATCTTCAGCCTTCGACACTGTACCTCCACTTTCCCTTGGTCGAATCCCTTGCCCACGACCACGATGACAGGGTATCCAATGACATCCGCATCCTTCAACTTCCATCCCATTCCTTGCTCTTGTCTGTCATCGAGGACGACATCAAGATTGCCCAGCGGGGAAGAAGACAACTGGTTGCAAAGCTGCTCGGCGGCGCGTAACCTCTCCGCATGTGATGGCTGAACGACGACGACAGCTTCGAAAGGCGCAATTGCCCTTGGCCAGTTCAGACCAACATCGTCAGAGAGACAAGACGCAACGGCTGCAATCAGACGAGACACGCCGATGCCGTGACAGCCCATCTCCACTGGCACCGCCTCTTTCCCATCACTCTGCCTGGCAGCGAGCCCGAGTTTCGAACTGTAACGGGTTCCGAGATGGAAAGTGTGGCCGATTTCGATGGCTTTGTCCACTCTCAAGGTGCCTTTGCTGCATTCAGGGCAAAGGTCTCCGGATTCCTGCTTCAGCAAATTTATCCCACCATTTGCGTCGTTCTGCGGTGCCTCAACGACATAAGCGTCCATCTCCCGTGTCATGGGAGGAGAAGAAATCAGGTCTCCAATCTCGTCCAGACGAACACGCGAGTCGAGGACATAATATACCGATGGTCTCTTTGTTGAGGCATCCGCTGTGCCACTAGCTAGAGATTCCTTGAAACTCTCCATTGGTTGCTCTAGCCCCGTATCTATGTCCAACAAACCGTTTAGGGCAGCCTTGACTGCATGTGCATTGATGGATCGCGTTTCAGGTTTCTCCTCGGAGTTGGCGGTGGGAAGTAATGGTACGATGGCGCGAACGAGGCTCCGACGATCTGTGCTGAGGAAGTGTTCTTCAAGATACCTTTGGCCAGATTTGCCATCCGTGGCGCTGGCCTCGGGTATCTGAAGTGGTCGAGGTTGATAGATCGCTTGCGAAACAAATTCTTCATTGCGTGCATAGTCGCAATCCGAACATGTGATGACGATATCTTCTCCAGCGAAGTTGGGGAAGTGATACTCATGGCTGAGGTTTCCTCCCATGTCGCCCGAAACTGCTCTAGCCTCTACGTATTTGACCTTGAGCTCGTCGAGGAAGTTGCGATATGCGCTTCTTATTTCGTCGTATGTTTCGTGAGCGTGAGCAGGGGAGGAGTCGAAGGTGTAGAGGTCCTTCATCAGAAATTCGCGGCCTCGAAGTAAGCCACCACGAGGTCGCTTCTCATCACGGTATTTTCGGCCAATCTGATACAGTCGCACCGGAAGCTGCTGCCGTGTCTGAATGATATCAGAGAGCAAAGTGGTGATTTCTTCTTCATGAGTTGGTGCCAACAGCCACTCCGTACCCTTCCTGTCTTTGAACATGAACATTTCGCCTCCGCGCTTCAGGCGTCCTGACTTCTCCCACAGAGCTTGCGACGATATGGATGATAGAGAGACTTTGGAAGCTCTGACTGATCTCATGTGCTTGTCGATGAGCCGTTCTAGCTTTTCCTGAACCCGCAGTCCCAGGGGCAGCATCTGGAATATGCCGGCATACGCCTGGCGCAAGTAGCCAGCTCGGATGAGCAACTGAGTAGCATCTGGAGCGGCATCGTGCTTTTGCACGTTGACTGTAGGGATCCAGAAGTCGGATATTCGTTGCGTCGAAGCGATCTGATTATGCCGCACGCCAGAGCTCCTCCTCCACTGTGCAGAACGGGGTACTGCTCTCCTTGGTGTCCAAGACGCGGCTAGGAGCTTCATATCTGACTTCTATCCAGTTTCGTTCACACGCTCAGTGCGCATGATTGGTATGCCACTGTTACTAACTGGACATGTTGCCGAGCTGCTGCTGTCATTGAATGCCAGGTTTCCAGATGAGGTTCTGGTAGCAGTCGAGGTTGCAGGCCGCAAGGCAGCCTATCAATTGTACCGAGTATTAGCAGATTTTAGAAGCCTGCCAAGCCTGCCAAGCGAGCTAAAAGGCTTAATCTCCGCTTCACCTCCTCAAACCATCCTGCGACCACAAGGCTGGCATGAGTGCTTTCAGGTTCTTAAACAAGGAGACCAAAGCTACTCTTGGTCGGGTGGTCTTGCGCAGCCGAAAAGTTAGTCGAGATGGTTGGTCCCAGCGAGTGCCTATTTACTTACATGATGCAGAGACGGAATGGCCGCAAAGATGAGGTAGGCGTCCTAAAACCTAGAAGAGAAACTCACCCAGGGAACCGGGTTGTCACTCACCTTTTCTTTGCTCTTTCTTTGGTTCCCCCTAACATAGTGCCGATGCCGTACCATTCAGCTACGAGATGGCTCCGTGATGGGTCTGTCTCATAGGTCGACCAAATGTTTTCGAATCTTACCGGCACGCCCCACACGACGTGCTAGGCAAATGTCGCATGAAGGTTTGCGGTGCTTGAGGACCTGCAATCGTTGACGGGCACGAGACCTCAAAAACCGCCGCCAGTATCCTGACTACCTCTGGTCAAGTTATCCCTCAGTTTCTCAACACGCTTTGTCAAGCCTACCAAGATGATTACCTCCAACCTCGTCGCCGCCCTAGGGGTCTTGCTATTCTCTTGCCCTGCACTCGCACATCCTACTACGGCCAGCCAGATGGAAGTCCTCGTGAATGTCACCGCCCATGACCTTCAGCTACCTCAACACAAGCTCCAAAAGCGCGACGAGTATTATCATGTGAAACCCTGGGACCCGCCATATAAAGGAAAACCGCCCCCGTGGCCGGAGGACGCAGCTTACCCTATACCCCGGTACAACCGCACGTGCACCACCGACGCCCGCGTCGCTCTCTGGAAATGGCGCTACCTCTGCGACCGGGCGAACGACGAGTGGCTCAAGTCGACCAATCCGCGCACCCGGATACGGTTCTGCTTCAACGAGCCTCCCTCGGAGGCGCTTTGCTGCGACGAAGACGGCAACGCCAAAATGGGCCAGACCTGTCTGACCTCGCCGCTGTGGCCCCAGAACGACACGGAAGCGGCCTGGTGCGGCAACTGCCGTCTGTGGGAGGCGCCGTGCATCTTCGGGAACTACCCGGAGCTCAACAATCCGGAGAACATCTGCAAGTGCCAGTTCAATCAATGCTACATCCCCGACGACTTCAACTGGGAGAGAATCAACCCCGAGGCGGACCGCAGTGGATACCCAGGCTTGCAGAGGTCACCGTATCTACGCGACGTGAAGGCCTGGTATGGTTACTGGAGATTACCCTACGATGATCTCAAGGGCAAGGCTCTGTTAGAGGTGGATTGGTTGTGACTCTCACTTGTTCCCGGTGAGCGCCAAAATCAGCTCGCAGCAGGTTGGGCAGCTTTGGCCAAATGGTATTGTGGGCTAGGGTGTCTATGGAGAAGATGGGAATATGATGACTCCCATGTACATACATACCTAGGTAGCTTGTATCCCTGAAAAGCAGACAGCGGAAGGTGGACAACAGACTGATGTCCAGGCGGTAGTAGCACCAGACAATAGCACAGAATGCCTTCCTTTGTGCCTACTACACTCCGAACAAAACAAACCGCCAAGCGATGGCCACACCTTGGGGCATAACGCACCCATAGGCACGCAGCCACTCCCTCTCAGTTCAGTACCGGCACGCGGTATTAAATAGATATATATATATAATTGACATTCACAAAATTGTTTCCAAGAACAGCCTTCGACCTGGGTGAGCCCCATACCCGGGCGAATGATCCATCCCAAACAGGCAAGCAGTTTCTTCAACTCAAAAAACACCCGGCTGTGCCTTTTACAGGCACCTAGGAACTCGAGTACTAAGTTGGGAGTTTCTGAAATAGCTTCAGTTTTTGCAGTTTGGGGTCGGCACTTCGAGTGACGAGTGTTTCTTTTTTTTTCTTCTTCTTCTTTTTTGGCCCTTTCTTTGGCGTCTGGACACCAATTTTGAGAATGGGTGTGAGGATACGTGTGGTTGGACAGGGTTGTGTGTGCGGTGAGGCAGAAAACTCCTGGGTCTGTCCCGGTGGGTAGCGTTGGCACAGTGGGCGCCGTTAGCAAATCTGGAACGAAAACGAAAGGCATGAAACTTGGTCGAGCAGGCCGTGCGTAAATGGTTTCCGACATTAGACTGGACCAGTTCTCAAGGCCATGGAGGCTGAGAATGAGGCTCCTACAGATGCCAACATAGTCACAACGTTGTCGACCTCAATCTCGACCTCGACGAGGGTGCATGCCTCATTCATGAATGACCATTCACCCCGTTTACGCCATCACATCGTTCCTTCAACTCACGATACTCCTCCTGCGCTTCTCTCTCCCTTCTCATCACAAAGTTCACTTCATCTCTGAGCCTCTCCAGCCTCCTGGCCAAAGCACCCTCTTCCCCAATCTGCAGAGTCCTAAAGCCATCCAACTGCGCCCTCTGCTCCTCAATTTGTTCATAAGCCGTGGCAATCTTCTGCTTGAGGGTCTTTTGTCGCGCTTGATACCCTCCCAAGTGCAGCGATAGCTTCTTCTCGAGCTTGTTGCCTGCTTCCGCGGCAGATAGAAGGCCCTGTTGCGCAGATTTGAAAGCAGCCAAGTATTCTTCCGTGGTTGTGTTCATAGAGAATTTTAGAGGCAAGGCATTTCTTTCTCTCTCCGAGCTGGCAAGGCCTTCCACAGCGGCGACGTAGGCTTGCCGATCTGTCTCATCGAACGTGGCTTTCAACTGCTGACGAGCTTTCTCCAGCAGTTCATCAGGCAGCGACGTCAATTGAGGAGGTTTGCCAATTACCTTCGAGCCAGGAAGAGGAAACTTGTTTGCATCATTTGCCATGAGCAGAGCAGTCTCTTGCGCGATCATTGCTCGGATCGGATCAGTTATGGATGTCGCTGCTGAAGCGAGTGCGTTGTAATCAATGGTAGTTGGTCGTGGTAAAGCTCGTTGATAGACTTGAGTCTGTCGTCTGAACTCTGCTGCTGCTGCCGCTTCCAGCGCTTGACGGTTGCGCCTGTCGATTTCATCTTGATCCTCCCTCTCCAGACCCACACCGCCCGAGGCTTCTTCCTGCTCTGATGGCAACACTTCCAGTTCCCATTCTGTCTCCTTGGGCTTTGGTAGAGATGCAAGCTTCGCTCGGAGAGACTGTCTTGCAATATTCTCGGCTAATCGCAGATCCCGTGGCGTTTGCGCGACAAGCTGTCGTTCGCCTCTTTCATTGATTGTCAAATTGTCGCGGGGTGTGCGCAATGGAGTGGCACCAGGAAACTGTCCGACACCTTCAGCTTGGCGCAACGGCGTCGCCATTGGATTAGGCGTCACCATTTGCTGTCTTCGAGGCGCGACTCCATCAAACCCTGTGGAACTAGTGCCCTCATGCAGCGGAGTGTTCTCTCCGCCCAGTAGAGATGACTGCGTTTCTGTAAGCGCTCTAATATTTCTAATTTCATTGGCGATATGGTCTTCTTCCGCGGGCGCTCGAGGCGTTCGGATCGGTGTGGCTCCGACCATGTTCGCATAGTTGGAGACAAGCCCTCGTTCGTCTCCGTCCTCCTGCCCAGCTGCTCTGACTGCTCTGTCCCCCGCCATTCCCATCTTGACGATTTCCTCCAGCTCGCTTTCACTGACTTGAGGGGCAGGCAGGTTCAAGGCCCTACGCTTGCTCTGTTGCTCGGCTTCCCGTAGTCGTTGCATTTGTCCTGCTCTTGCAGCGGCGGCAGCCATCGCAGAAGAAGACTTATCCTTGTCTTGTTTTTGCCGTTTCGGGTCGAGGTTGTCTTCGGGATCTCCTTGTCTCTTTCGTGCTAACTGTTGCTTGCGTGGGTCGAACAGTTCCCGTTCGCGTTCATTCTTGGCCAACTCCTCTTGCGTATCGTAGAAGCCAGATGCAGCCTGCTTTTCGAACGGGATATCTGCATTGTAATCCATCTGACCCTTCTTTCGGGTGGTGATCTTGATATTGATGCCAGAATTTTTAAGCTCTCGCCGTTTCTGCAGCACGGCGAGTCTTCGTGATTCCTCGAGTTGTCGTTCGCGTGCTTTGCGCTTCGCTTTTTTCCCTTGTGTGTTCGCAAGACGAGCACGAGCCTCACTGAGCATCTCTTTCTCATCCTCGTCGAGGTCGATGGTGTCCGGGCGAGCAGGCTTGGATTCGGGATCAGGATCAAGCTCTCCAGGGCGCAGTCTTCGGACCTGATCACCTGTTGGCGCTGCAGTTTCCCCACCTTCTGGCCCTCCGAGGCCCAACTCATCGTTCTCGCGGGCTTCGGCTTCGTCGAGGAGCTTCTGGTAGCGTTCAAGGCACTGAGTGGCTGTCCTTCCGACGATGGGCGCAATTGTCCGCCATTGCGTTGGCATCAACTTTGCTAGGTGTAACAGTTTCTCATCCTCTTCTTTGGACCATTCGATCTTGCGAATGCCCGGGTCCAGCCATTCCGTCCATCTCGCCTTGCACTGTTTCGGGGTCTTTCGTGCAAGCAACGACGAAACTCGAGCCCACTGGTTCAGGCCATATTTCGAGACAGATGCTTTGAGGATTTCATCTTCTATGTTTGTCCAAACACCTCCTTTGACGACTGGCATCTTGCCGCCGTGTATGTCGTCGGGGTTGCAAGGATAGTGCAGTGTCGAAGGCGCAATGTGGATTTTGCAGAAGTTTGGCGCAGGCAACTTTGAGGTTCGGGATTGCAGTGGAGGCGGGTCTCGGAGTGGAAAATCTTGGCGCCGAATTTAACCACTTCGTTAGCGTAGGCACTGTAGGCAGCCCGATCCGGAAAAGGTGGCCTGTGAGTATTAACGACGAGCAACCACAGCCGCAAAACATCCCACCCGCCACCCATTTGAGATTCATCCGTCTCGCTGCCTAGATCCCATGGAGCGTTCCAGTTGAAGTCTGAGCCTTTCGGGTAGTGCCTAGATACGTGGTCTGGCCAACTCCAGTTGCGCGGTAGGTCCAGCTACTGTGACTGGGAATTGCAGGCTGATTGCGAATTTCGGAATGCTTGAATCGGCTTTCCTCACATGGTACAGGGTGAGTGGTGGCAAAAGAGCGCATTGTACCATTAAACATCCATCGGAAGAAAGATTGTAGGCCAATAATTAGAGACGACTTCTGCTTTGCGTCTTCTTCGGTAAGTGACAAGCCTTCTCCTAAAATTTGGGTCTCGTTTTGCGCAACCGAGAATCGATCATTCCGGCATGAAAAGTTCACGCGCAGAGGCAGCAAAACACCCTTTACTTGACCGGTCACCTGCTTCCATAAATCGCCTCGATTGGCCAAAGCACTATACGGACAGATACGATCATTAATCGCTTGCTGGATACATGGCTGAGATGGCTGAGACATCGCTTGGCTTCTATGTTGCCCTCCAAAGCACTGGGATAATCGAAATTGCTTTTGACCCTAGCAAAAGTGCAAATGAGTCTTTGTCTATTATTGCTGTCAACACAGATGCCGGTTTCATGCCAGGATGGCTCACTGCGTCTGGGGACAGAGTCTACAGCATCAGCCGCACTAGCTATCCGAATAGCGAGTCCAATTCGGGTGGCGTGTTCGCATTCCGAAGGGCGCCCTCTATGACTTCAGCTAGCACTGGGAAAGGGCTTGTCCTTTTCGACCAAGCAAGCAGCAATGGGAAGGGAGGTGTGCATTGCGAGGTCAGCCCAGACGGCACGATGCTTGCGGCTGCCAACATCACGGCGTCGACAGTGTCTATCTACCCAATATCTGAGGATGGCTCCGTGGGCACGCCCACATTTGTCTTTGACTACAATCAGTCTGATCCTGGGCCGTTGGAGGCACACCCGCACCAAGCAACATTTGACCCCTCCGGACAGTTCTTGATCATTCCTCTTCGGACCATGGACCGCGTGGATATCTACTATGCCCCGAGTCCACAGCAGGTAGAGAGAGTGCATTGCATTGATATACCAGCACCAGCCGGTGCTCGGCATGTGGCATTCAATCAAATCAGTCCATCCAAGGCATACATGTACCTCATCAGCGAGAAAGACAACTCAGTTCGTGTCTTCATCCTGAACTACAACGCTAGAGGGCCACAAAGTCTCACAGTTGAGTTCAAGCAGTGCCTTTCGACATTGGGCAAAGATCTCGCTCCCAGCCCCGCCAGGCATGAAGATTTGGCTGCGGAGATTGCTGTCAGTAATGACGGGAGATTTGTCTATGCGTCTAATAGAAACTTAACCCGCACAGACGATGACGCCTTTACGATTTATTCGGTTGATCCCGATACTGCAAATGAAGAACGTCATCTGAGATACCTTGAATCTCAACCGACAAGGGGTAAGCATCCCCGAATGTTTGCACTCTCCAACGACAAAGAAAACAAGTGGGTAGCTATTGCTCATCAGTTCAGTCAAGACATTGTCGTTTTCGAGAGGAACACGACGACTGGCTTGCTGGGGGAAGTCAGAGGTCGAATCAGTGTGAAGGTGGCTGCTCCTCACCAAAACACCGCAGACAAGGTCATCTTTGTGGAAGGAGAAGAAGGCCAACGCAGCCGTGAAGAGTTCAAGAAAGGTCGTACCGAAGGACCTATGTGTCTCTTGTGGAAATAAGCTCTCGGCCACTGTGTTGGGACAGTGGCAAGCTTCAGCAGTCCCGGGTTCGTGAGTGAGTGCTTGGAGCGACCTTCAAGGCCCAAGATAGAAGTTATAGCTTGAATAGAGGCATATAACTTAACCTGGATATGTCAGACGAATGCCTGCGTTGTAAAGATGCGTGTCTTTTGCTAATAGGGGTGCTCCATGGGAGGGAAAGGGTGTTGTCGTTCTGCACCATATTTCCACGCCCCAGGTCAATAGAACATCCGTGAGTTTGTGCCCTCCCTCTTCCATCCAAACGGATATACTGTAGCCGTCAGTGTCAAATCTCATCGGGCTGAAATTTTACCGCTTTCTGAAGAACAATGGTCAGTTCCCTTGCCGTAGTGCCACCCTGCTTCGGCCGAGGTTGACGGACCCAATTTTCTTAGCGACTTTCGCAGTGACGGATCAATGGCAGTGCGTGAATGGCCGCGCTACCGACCAAACACTTCGACCATGGGGTTGAGTTCTAGCCAGAACCCCACGGGGTCCAGCATGATAGTGTTGGGGAATCTCGTGTCTGTACGTTGCTTCCTTTCATTTTCCTGGGTATATTAAGCGTGTCGCATTCTCTGTGTTATGCGACCTTTCAACCGCCTTCTCCCAAGGTCCAAGTCACTTCTATCCCGGACACCAGTCCCGATTCTCAAAGATCTTGCTTGGTCCTCAATACCTTCCAAGCGCAGGGGCTCCACTATCCAGACCTCCTGGCATCATGTTTTCTTTCAACAATAGGATCACGAAAAACGTCAATGGCCGTCTGGCGTTCGCCTCTACGGTCATGATGCTATCGCAAATCAATTTCGGAATGGACCTTGTTGCTTTCTCAAATACTCAGGCCATGAGTTCCTTCAACAAGAAATTTGGTGCCTACAACGCAAAACTCGAACGATACGCTTTGGACCCGTACTTCCTGTCACTCTTGAACAGCCTTACCTACGTCGGTCAAGCCTTCGGCGTCATTACGGGTGGCTGGATTGCCCGGCGCTGGGGACGACGGGTTTCATTCTGGGTTATGTCTTGCTGGGCAATCCTGTCCGCTATTTTGCTTGTTACTGCCCAGAAGAAAGAACAGGTCCTCGTCGGTCGTATTTTTAACTATGTGTACCTGGGTCAGGAGCTTGTCACGGTTCCTGTATATCAGGCAGAAATTGCTCCTCCGAAGATCCGAGGGATGATTATTGGCACGTTCCAGCTTGGTACAATGGTAAGTGCAAACGCTGGTTACAGCTGTGTTCTTGACTCACTAACTCTGCGTCCAGGTTGGCGCTTTCATAATGGCATGCATTACGTATGGCACTAGCAAATTGAGCTCTGAGAGCGCATTCAGAATTCCCTTTGGCGTTTTCTTCGTCATCCCGGTGGTTGTTTCCGTTGGCGCTTGGTTTATGCGCGAGGTATGTATATTGATTTTGTCTTCCAAATACCTGGCCCATTATTCATCACCAGACTTATCGTTCTGTCAGTCACCACGTTGGCTTTTAGTCCGAGAACGACCCGAGGAAGCCCTGGATTCTCTGAGGCTATATCGAGAAGGCAAATTCACTGAAGAGGAGATTATGGATGAATACCGCGATCAGGAAGCCATGATTATAACCGTCACACAGGATAAGGGTACATTCAAAGAGATGTGGCAAGGCATTAACCGCAAACGATCGCTCATCGTTATTGGCTCCAACATCTGCATTCAGATCAGCGGGCAAGGGCTGTTCAGCAAATACGGCACCATCTTCCTGACCGACATCCACGGACCCAACCCTTTCCAGATGTTTCTGATCAACACTTCATTACAGATTGTTATCATTCTGACTGCTATGTATCTATTCGACAGAATCGGTCGCAAGTAAGCTCCACCGAACTTGATTCTACATGGAAGTCCCCAAGCTGAAGTATTATATTACAGGCCGCCTTTGATCATCGGATCCATCGTTCAGACAACGACATACCTCGCAATTGGAGGCCTCGGCACTATATCAGACCCTAGTAAAGGGGTAAAGATTGGTCTCACGGCCCTATTTACCGTCTACTACCTGGGCTTCGTGTTCGGTTGGGGGCCAATCTACCATATTATTTCGTCCGAGATACCGACCTCACGTACGTTGAAATGGTCCACGGTTAAGTCAAATGGCTAATGCCTTGAAATAGGAATGCGAGATATCACCTACACTGTATCCAGCATTTTTACAGTCGTCACACAATTCGTCGTTTCATTCACCATTCCATATCTCTTATATGCACCATACGCAAACCTGGGGTCGAAGATTGGCTTTGTTTTCGGACCAATCGCCTTTGTCACCCTTCTCTTCGCCATATTTTGCGTCCCAGAGTGCCGCGGCTTTTCTTTGGAAGAGATCGACCATCTGTTCAGACAAAGGGTACCTATCAATCAGTTCCGCAGATACAAACATGGCCAGATCCTCCCAGAGGCGGATGCTGAAAAAGAAACTGAGAAGTCTGGAGAAGGACCATCTATCGAACTAAAAGAAGTTGCTGAAATGTGAAGTTCACAGCATGGGTGTAATGCGACGACGTGGAGGACTGCCGCGGTGAACGCCACCTGCTGCGCAAGGCCAAAGCCTCAGGCTTACGTGGCCGGGAACAATTATGTACAGGATAGTGATAGCAAAAGAATGAAGATACCGATCATGATATGAATACCTCTTCATTAAACCCAGTCGGCATCATCCTTTGTCCATCTATCTTCTCAAGCACTTCTTCTTCATCTATTGCCAGGTACACCCAGTAGGTCGCAGTGGGTGGACTTATGAAACCCAAGAAAACTAGCTTTGCTCCCTCTCCGCCGAACACCAGCAAAAGGCAGAGAAAAGCTGACGTCTCTCTCTTCTGAATCTGCGTGAGATCAGTCAGATGCAGGAACAATTTCACCCGCATGTTCGTGATAGAAAGTGTGCTTTCACAGACCTGCCTGGACTGTCTGCTAGTGGGAAGACCAACGCCCTCCCCAACATTGTTTACCCCCTTGTCCAGCTTCCACATTCCGAATGATGCCGAGGGCAGACCCTGATTTAGAGCCATTGCGAGACCGCAATGTCACCGCGCATGATCATCCCCAGGTTTCCCCACAAATTTGCTCCTCCGCATATTGCTTGCCTCTGGCTTACTTCGCAATCCGGAGTGAGACATTCCGAACTTCTCTTCAGCCATCGCAGTTGGTGTGCCACTTGGTTTGACTAGTACAGGCATGCATGCTTTTCACACCGACCAAGCCGTGGGGCCATGGTCACTGTGTGGCCGTCTGAATTTTACTCCGATGAGGAGATGTGGATTATGGGTTTGCGATTGCGCACTACCGATCAGGCCGTATGAGCCATTTCTTTGTATTTGGAGCGACAAGGCTGAGGCATAAAAGTCGCCTTCACACACATCAATCGGCGCAAGTTGATCAGGAGCCATCAGAGAAAAAAGCAACAGTCTTCAACAACTAAAAAGGACACCATTAACAACATTATAGGCAACTACTTTGAACGACATGTCTCCCGGGAAAACAAAGGATGAAGTGAGAATCTTCACCCCTGTTGGCCAGTTCGGCCAAGGGTGGAACTCGAGTGTCTTCTGGAACACGATCGACGCCGGTGTTGATGCCATCATTGCTGATGCTGGCTCAACCGATAGTGGTCCTGGACGTCTCGCGCTTGGGAAGACAGCAGCCTCTCCGCAAGGCTACAAGAGAGATTTTGGCGAGCTGGTCAAAGCCTGCCATACCCATGGCGTTCGCTGCCTTATTGGCTCTGCTGGCGGTTCTGGGACGAATGCACAAGTTGACATGAGCGTCGAGCTTATCAAAGAGATAGTCAAAGAGAATGGCTACCGTCCTATGAAAGTCATCAGCATCTACGCCGAGATTCCAAAAGAGACTGTCCGCCAAAAGTTCAAGGATAATCTCATGAGCCCATGTGGTAAGGCTGTCCCTGAACTGAAGGAGGAAGACATCGATTCTGCAATCAAGATTGTCGCACAAATGGGCTTGGAGCCATACCTGAAGGCCATGAACGAGAACCCGGACTTCGACATCATAATCGGCGGTCGCTCTTATGATCCAGCACCGTACGCGGCGTTCTGTATGCATCATGGGTTTGAAGATTTGGGTAAGTGTCCTTTTCCTTTGCCCTTCGGGCTGTCGCTTGGCCTCCGAATCCCCTCGCAGACATAACAATCACTCACAATATATCAATTGGAAGGTATCAACTACGCCATGGGCAAGATCATGGAATGTGGGGCGCAGTGCGCCATCCCGAAAACCAGAGAATCTCTAGCAATTGTGCGTCGCGATAACTTCGACCTAATCCCCCTCCAGCCAGAAGCCCGCTGCACTCCGTTGTCGGTCGCTGCCCATCTTCTGTACGAGAAGAGCAGACCAGACATCCTTCAAGGGCCAGGTGGTGAGCTTCACACCAAGGACATGACATATGAGCAAGTTGATGAACGCACTGTGAGAGTGCGTGGGCCCAAGTTCATCCCACAGCCAGAGGGCGAGTATACAGTCAAAACCGAGGCGGCGCGTATCAACGGGTACCAGAACAGTTTTGTGGGAGCTTTCAGGGATCCGATCTTGATTTCTCAGCTCGACACTTGGCTCCCCGCCGTCAAGGAGACAGTCGGTGCCAGAATGTCCGGGAACTACCCATACGAGACCAAAATCATCACCTATGGCATCAACGGTGTCATGGGGGCCCTCGAACCGGACAAGAGTCTACCCAAGGAGGTCTGCGTGGTCGTTCAGTGCAAAGCACCCACGCAGGAGCAAGCAAATGAGGTGGCCAACAGGACCAAGATGGGCTTGACTCATGCTCCATACCCTGGCCAGCTTGCCACTGCTGGGAACTTCGCTTGGCCCATAACCCCTTGCGAAACTCCGATAGGCCCGGTGCCTGAATTCTGCATGTACCACCTCATTCACAAAGCGGATCCTGTTGGCCTCTTCCCCTTCAAGGTGGACGTGTTCGAGGGAACTAACAAATTTATTGATACTCGTACGTTGAATCACCTATCTCCAAGCGGGCTGAGTGTGGCCAAGTTACTGATCTGTCGACTTTAGGTGAAAAAGTAGCGGTCAAGGCTGACGGTGTAGTGGCAAATATCAAGAACCCAGCAGCGACTGCCGGTCAGCCGAAGACGTATTACTTGAAGCCTGCACCGGCTGCAGGGACATGCTATCTTGGAGATATCGCCTCGGTTGTCCGCAGCAAGATTGCCGGGCCGTATGAAGTGACCTTTGACATTATGTTTAAGGAGGAAGAAGTGTACCAGAGAGTGAAGAAAGCCAACGTGCTGTCTGGAGCGGCAGTGGCCAAGCTCTACAATATCCCCGAGAGCGATGTAGTCGCTGCCCTTTGGTGGGACCCTGCAAGGGCGTTCAAAGCCACCATTCCCCGGTATCGCGCCTCGGCGGGGTTTGAGGAAACAGACACGCACGGCTCCCAGCAGCATGCGCCGCTTCTGTTCTTGACCCTGCCTTGGGGCCGCGAGTAGAGAATAGCTATGTACCTAGGTACCAATGGATTATAACATATGAAAGAGCTTCGATGTTCGACGAAGTCGACTTGGACTTGGTGGTTCGTCAGAACAACGTGCTTACTCAACCACAATAGATTCATCACAACGTCCTGACTCCAGAGATATCAACCGAATTGCAAAAATCTCGCCGGGGTACGGACACTTGGCGACAGCTGATCTTAAAGCTACATCAGTTGTAAACGATATTGGCATACATACAAATCATGTGGTCGCCGGTGGAGTCATATCACTTCCTTGTAGTTGTACGCTTTTACAACCGTCCTTGGCCCAAGCAGTGTTTTCGATCTATTTAGGGTGGTGTTTGTCTAAAAGAGACCATACATAAAGAAACATGAGATATCTTGTTTTAACGATTACACCGTGATCAGTCCTGTATGAAGATATAACTATCTGCTTTATGCGACTTCAGGAAGCCGAAAGTGTACCCCAGTGTGTCTACCAGTCGGTATGAGATGGTTTTCTATTCTATTTTGGACATATTCGACACTTCGTGGCCCGAGTGGTTAGGCTACGACTTAGTTGTCTACGAGCGCTGCTCTGGAACCACTGTTAGAAGCTCCTGCCCTAGTACACCACGTCGAGCGTTCTCCATAGCTAATGCCTCCATTTCAGCCAACGTTTCGGTCGTATGTGTTCCCAGGTGAGGGACCAGTAGTGCACGATTGTTGTTCAGGAGCTGCTCGTTAACAATAGGTTCGTTCTCAAAGACGTCCAGGCCGACAGCGGCGATGTGACCCTCGTCAAGCGCGGCAGCCATCGCTGCTTCGTCGATGATGGCTCCCCGAGCGGTGTTGACAATCACGACACCGCGTTTCATCGTGGAGATCTGGTCTTTCCCAATGAGGTGTTTCGTCGTTCTGGACAAAGGTACATGGACGGAGATTATGTCGCTCTCTGACAGCAGCTGGTTGAAAGAGGTGTACTTGGCACCACTCTCCTGTTCATCTGGCAATTTGGTCCGACTGTGATACAGGATTCTCAAGCCAAAGGGCTTTGCACGCTGGGCCACAGCCTTTCCAATCCGGCCCATGCCTAGGACGCCCAAGGTTTTACCCTGTGGATCATGGCCAAAGTCGACACCTTGTTTGAAGAGACCATTGCGTAGACTCTGGATTCCGGGATTCAGCTGCCTGAGAGCCCCCAGCAAGAGGAAGATTGTGAGGTCGGCAGTAGCGTTGGTGACCGGCGCCGGTGCATAGGTGACAACAATGTTTCGGGCTCTGCATGCCTCCACGTCGATCTGGTCGTAGCCAGCTCCGTTGTGGCATATGTACTTGAGAGACGAAGGGAGTCGCTGGATGAATTCTTTGTCGAAGTTGCCGGCCACCTCCTTCGATCAGTTCATAGAATCATAATCATTGACAAGACTGGTCACAACTTACAGCTCCGCTGGCAGACGTCCGATAGATAGCTTGAACATCATGATATTTGTCTCTAACGTCTCTGAAGAACTCTTCTCGGGACTTGCTGGTCACCACTTCTACCCTGGCCACCTGCCCCAGCGCCTCGTATGTAGTCAACGCATGGCGCACAGGGCTGAAGAAGAGTATCCGTGGCTTAGGAGCGAGCATCGTGAGAAGGTATCATGGCTTGTAACCAGGCCGCCAGATTTCTTTTTTAATCGGTGTACTTGTCGTAAGTATTTTGTTCCGGGTTCTTGCCCCCACCTTTTGTTAATGGCCACCGTGAATTGACTGCGATGTCGATGATACTGTACAGAGATATCATCGTCCAAAAGATTGTCCGAGAAAGAATTGGCCTCCATATGTCCATACGTTGACAAATACAAGGTACCTATAAAGGGGCATTGAGGTCTGGCCAAGACTGCAATGAGATGCCTTGCCTCTGGAGTTCCTCATACTGGGCGGTGGATCATTCGAGCTCTCCACACCCTCCCGGGTACCGCAATACGCTCGGGGGACGGTCCCAGATTAGTGCCCAATTAATGCTTGGGCGAGGTGCGTGCATTGCGATACTCGCAATGGTCCAGCGTTCATTGGCCAGCGCCAGGAGATCAAGCGGGGTTGGAGCCTCGGGGAGAAAATCGAGGGGCTTATATGATGAAGCAGGGCCTTCCACCTATTCCGATTTCTCTGCGCCTAAGTCGCAATGCTTCGACTCCTTTCGGCATCCTGGTGACCAAAGGATTCGTCAACCATGAGAGCGAAAGCGTGCATTCGCTGTCGGCAGTGGAAAGTGGGTTGTGATGCAGACGTTGCCGGGCCCGAGGGCTGTACTCGTTGCCGCAGCGTCAACGCCACGTGTGTTTTCGGGGCCAACTTTCGACGGACTCCTAAGCGGCGCATGCTGGCTGAGTTGCAGGACGAGGTGACTCGATTGAGGGCATTGACATCCGTATTGACGACCGATGGACCTGTCGGCCAAAGTCCCACCACCTCGTTGGAAACCAATGCGTCGTCTTGGGGCGCTGAAAACACATCAACAGCCATTGCTCCTATACCGCCCATCCAGCAGCCCATTATACCAGGTCCAAGTCAGTACTACAAGGGCAATGGCCAAGTCCAGCTTACAGCCACACAAGCCAATGAGCTGTTCCGCATCTATTTCTCCAGATGTCACCCATATCTTCCGTTTCAGATGTGTCGGTCCGTTGAGACCACCTACGATCGTTGTCCACTCCTTTTCTGGGTTGTTTGTGCCGTTGCTTCCACGGATATTGATGCACGTCCCCAATTTGAAGAGATTGTTCGTGGTCAAGTTGCCTGCGTGCTGGATCCGAAGAACGGCTCGGTCGAGGTTATTCAGGCGCTTCTGATTCTTTCCATGTGGCCCTTTCCCTTCAAATCGCAGAGATCCGATCCATCTTTCGTGTACGGCGCGCTTGCTTGCCAGATTGCGTTGCAAATCGGCTTACCACGACCGGCTGTCACTTGTCCCGGTTCCGCCAACTCCAGTGCCACAAATGAAGACCAAGGGGTTCGAACCACGACGTGGATTGCATGCTTCATTGTCAACCAGATTTTGGCTAGCAGACTGGGCGTTCCAGCAACCATCTTCGCCGATTATGCACTTCTCTCTTCCCTCGATGATGCTTCGGTTCCTCCGCAACTGTCTCATCTTTGTTCAATCTCTCATCTTACGGTGGAATCAGCTCATGCCATCGGCGCACGCGCCGTCAATGTTTCAGGCCTCGCAGACCCGGTCCCGCGCATAAGTCTCATCAACATCTTTGCCCAACAATTCGACGAACTCCGGAAATCCCGATTCCCTGCCCCGAGCGACATTGAGGAGATCTTCTTCCTGAGCTCCATGCTCCAGCTCTGGTCGTTTGCGCTGCATAACGACGTCCCCATCTCGCCGGACACATTCTACATCGTCCAGCGAGCAAGACAGGATGCTATTCGTCTCATCCAAGTGGCATGTGAGAAGAACCTCAGTCTCGTCCCGTTCTACATCCACCGTTCCGTCTGCTTCGCGGCTCTGCTCCTGTACCACATCAAGCTCAGTCCCTATGGCGTCAATGACGAACTCCTGGACGACCACATTTCAAGAGCTCAGCAGGCGCTGCAGTCAAGGACGGGCCCTGACTTGGGACAATTCTTGAGAACGTTAACATCGCCAGAGAATAGAGGCGAGTTCATTGCACGAAGGGACAAGAACTCTTCGTACAGGTGGAAAATGGGCGCCGCCCTGACATTTGACTCGGCCCACGCGTATGTCAACATGACGCAGTCCGATGCTTTGTTTTTTCCCGAATTGCTTGACCTTGATGGGTTTCTGTTTGAGACCCCAGCAACTGAGTTGGGATGAATTGGATTTCACGTCTTCTGCGAAACTGGATAGACGCATCGTGTCGCAATTCAACGCCAAGCGAAAAAGCAATCCAGCTGAGAGAAAGTCAAATTGCTCAGAGGGATCAGCAATATCTGGGCTTTGGACTGTGGACATTTTTACCTTCGGTGAGTTGCCCTTAGAATCCAGGAAATGAAGGATGTGTATTGATCAGTTCAGCAGGTCCCTCTCCTACGCCGCCGCCGCCTGGGTAAACAGAGAGGACGATTTCCAGGGTTGCTGTATGGTCAATGAGCCCGGGATACCGACGCAGGCGAGAAACCGCTGACAGTTTACACCTATCTTACGGGACCTTGACTTCGAGCTAGATCGGGTAGAGTTCTAATGCCAGAATCGACGCAGACAGCCACCAAATGTGCCTCCAGTTCTTCTGCGGCGGCAGCGGCTCAATGAAAGTCGCGAATTGCAGCACTTCCCGTAGTCTGCATGCAGTGGAGACAAATGCCGAGTTCCTCACGATAGGCTCCAGATGCCGAGACAGGACTGTTGGCTCATGTGAAAGCATTGCAGAAGTTGCAAATGGCATTTTCGTTGATCCGGCTCAATCGAAGCCACTTCGCCGTCTTGGCCCGGTCTCCGTCTATGAGCACGGCATATCGCGTGTTCCTCTGCCGCTTTTAGTGCCGACACACGGCTCTCTAATGTCATATTAGGAGCAAAAGCATTTAATAAGGTTCTTCCTCTATTATGGACTCCTGCTTCCTGCAGATTCTCATTTTCACGAAGGTTATTCATTCGCAAAAATGGCTGCGCCCTCCATGGAACTCGATGCTTTGATGTCTCAACGGATACTTTCTGAGAGTAAGGGCTCTCTACCAGCCGCGGAGGAATTGGAGCAGGTTCCCAGTTACGACAACATTGTTTATGACAATGCCGACCAAGAGCCCGAGCTCCATGTTCGAACTTGGGTTGCACTTGGAGCCATATTCCTTTTCAATTTCGTCGGTGTTGTTGCTCTCCAGGGACCTCCCACTGTGGTAAACATGGACTTTGATACTGCAAATAAGACCCAACCGATTGCTGACCGTACGGCGTTCTAGCTCTCTTACATTAGTGCCTCTCTCCACGGGACCAAGCAAATAGCTTGGGTGTCGAATTCATTGACGGTGACTCAGGCAGTGCTTGCACCTGGCCTCAGCTCAGCTTCCGACATCTTTCAAGCGCGGAAGAGCATCCTTATCGGAGCTGGCCTAATTTCTTTGATCGGCTCAGCCATTGCGCCTGGCTCTTCAGACGTCTATCGGCTTATTGGTGCTCAAATTCTCATTGGTGTGGGATTCGCGGCAACTCCTCTAGGATACGCTGTCCCTAGTGAGATCATGCCACGGAGGTGGAGGCCAAGTAAGAATTGACATACACATTTCTGGCAATGCTATGAGAAGCTGAGTCCTTTCCACAGTGTCCCAAGGCATCTGTGTCGGTGTTGCCGCAGCTCTGGCGTCTGTTGTAGCACCGCTGGCAATCGGTGCTTTCACCAAGGCGGATCCCGTCAACGGCTGGCGCAAGTTCTATGTCAGTCTTTGCAACGTGAGGCACTGGAGGCTGTCCACTACTGACTTTGGTCTTACCAGTGGATTCAAACTGGTCTCTGGGGAGCGGCCGTCGTAGCCATCTCGTTGGGATATCGACCACCAAGGAGACACACTCGTTTCGACCATTTCTCCTTTTGGCAAAAGCTGGGCCGGCTCGACGTTCCAGGGCTCTTTCTTCTAGCCACAGGGCTGTGTTTACTCCTCACTGGCCTAAGTCTGGGTGGAGGCCAATACCCCTGGAAAAACAGCCGCGTCCTTGCCACACTCATCCTTGGTGGCATCTTTCTTATTCTCTTCGGCCTCTTCCAGTGGAAAGGCACCACAAATGGCTTCTTGAACCATGAATTGTTTCGAGGAGGGCCAGAAGGCGGTCGAACATTCGTGCTTTGCGTAGGGTTCATATGTATCGAAGGCGCCCTCCTCTTTGCGTGTATGTTGTTCTATCCAATCCTGTAAGTTGACTCCTCCTACCATTGAGCACCACGCAGGAATATTAATTGAAGAATGTCTCTAGGACCGGGGCACTCTTCACAACAGATACACTCCTCTTGGTGGTGCGAGAACTGCCGTTCTTTGTCTGCAATGTGATTGCATCTCCCATCTGGGGCTTTTGGAGTGTTAAAACCAGGACTCTCAAAGCCCCCTTACTCGTTGGATTTGTGATTCTGACAGGCGGCATTGTCGGGCTTGCCACAATACAGCCTGGGCAATCCCCAAACATGGTGGTTTTCGCCGGACTGGTGGGTTTCGGTATAGCATCTCCCTTGGTTCTGGCACTCAGTGGCGTCCAGCTTGCGACACCGGGACACCTGATTGCGACAGCAACCGCGGTGGTCATTTGTGCCAGAGCCACTACAGCGAGTATTTTCTCTGCCATCTACCTGACAGTCTTCAACAATCGGCTCAGTGCATCGCTCCCGAGCAATCTTGCTGATGCCGCAGCCAAGGCGGGTCTGCCGGCGGCCAGCATTCCAACATTTGTCACAGCTCTGAGCGCTGGAAATCTGTCCACCCTGTCTCAGATCCGAGGAGTCACCCCAACGGCTATTGACGCTGGCATAGCCGCCATCAAGCAGAGTTATGCTGACTCGGTAAGGGTCGTCTTCATCATCGCCGCCCCCTTCGGTGCGCTGGCATGTCTGGCTTGTCATTTCCTCGTTCCAATGCACGAGACGATGAACTATCGGGTCGATGCGCCAGTGGAAGAGCTACACGAGAAGAGTCATGGACTGCAAAGGCCTGACAATAGCGGGGTGTAAGCGAGGTTTAGAAAATTATTTTTCGAGCAAGAACTTGATCTGTGGAGGACTGCGTGCATACTCCATCTCCCTCTCTTTGTATCTTTGGCGTTTCAGATCGCCCATAAAATCCGCAGCAAATATCAGATAAGAAAGAAGCCTCTTTGCTACTTGCGTCTAGTCTTCCGTACTTGGTCATTTTGGGGACACCTAGGCAGAGGATGTGCTTTCATCAACATTCTCTCTCTAGGGATGAACAAGCGGCTACTGGCTTTGAGAGAGGAATGCTGCAAGATTTTCGTTTAAGTACCCAATAAACAGCTTGTAAAACATTTTTGGTATGCATTTATTGTTCGAAATCAATGGGTGGAAAAAGCTGATAACCTTTTTTCATACTCATACGTGAATCTTGAATAGCATTCACCTCCAGTGTGGCAGGCTCGTGCCTGCAAGTCCACTGTCTAGCCAGAGGCTTAGCGTCTTGGTACCTCGGTGCCTTTAGATATGCGAGCGCTGGTCGCTCTTTAGTTAGTGGAATGCAAGCATTTCGAGAGATCCTTTGTGTGTCCCTACATCCCTGCGTCGTGAAAGCGGAGTGGTAGCTCCATGGGAGCATCGGTCACGGTCAAATGATGGAAGCGCTCCCAACTCTTGTCAGTTGACTCGATCTGGTCAAACCGTTGAAGAAATCTGACCACCACATAAGCTGCCTCGGTCAATGCCAGCTGCTGGCCCAGGCATATCCGCGGTCCCGCCAGGAATGGGAGGAATTCAAAGCCGGGTTTTCTTCCCTCCCACCTGTCCGGGTTGAATTCTTTAGCGTCTGGTCCCCAAATGTCCTCACGCGTGTGGGTGATTGACGGCCAGAACTGGACTTCTGCCCCTTTCTTGATGTAAAGAGGGTAGGTGCCGTCCGGCCCACCTCCAAGCGGCAAGCTTGTATCTTTAGCTGCAACACGGACGTTGAATGGCAGGATTGTGCATGTTCGATTCGTCTCGTTGATGACATATTGCAAGTACTTGCAGCTTTTCAGCGACTCAAATGTTATGTTAGGTTCGCTGCATGCCCCAAATGACTCGTGGACGCATTGACGCAGTCTCTTCAAAACTGCAGGATGGCGTGCCAACATCCAAAAGATCCAGCAAAGCAAGCTAGCAGTCGTGTCCCGGCCCGCCATCAGCACTGCCAGTGTTTGACTCCGAAGTTGCATTGCGTCTTGCGTCGATTTCGCAAGCTCGTTCAGAAAGACATACTTGGTCCCACGCTCACCACCTCCTTCGGAGTTGTTCGCCTCTTGGCCCTTGTCTAGAAGAAGCTGAATGTACGTGTCAGTAAAGCCATGGCATAGTCTGATGGACTCTCGCCAGCTTTTCGGGTTGTACAACCAATACAATTCACCCAGGCGGATTCTGACGGCCATGTCGTGCAAGCCTGTATCTATCGCTTCGGCGACACAGCGCAGGTCGTAGCCATGACGCACAGGACTCTTGTTCAAGTCCGTACTGGAGGTTTGGAGTTGAGAGTGTAATGACTCTCCAAACAGGAACTCTGTGGCCGTGTCGAGAGTCAGATTAAAGAAAAGAGGCTTGATGTCTGCGACCTTGGTCCATCCATCGCTACCTGGCATCGAGAGTTGGTTGAAAAGGCTTTGAACATGTCGCTCCTCCAGATCCAAGTCGCTCACGAGGCTGCGGGCAAACTGTGGTCGAAGGAGTGTGCGCGCAGTCTCCCAGCCTTTGCCGTCCAAGATAAATATGCCCTTGCCGAGAAGTGGTGTGCTGACGTTGAACCTCCTCCTACCAACCTCGAAATCGTTGAATTGAGTCGCGAGGATAGCTTGGATATTTCGCGGCTCGACAGTCACGTAGTGGGATACACCAAATTTGGACTCTTTCCAAGTATTGACCACCCCTTCCTTTATTGCGTTGCCTTGTTCCAGGTATATCTTGTGAAGCTCTTCGGGTACTTGGTGGTGATTGTCAGCTTTCATCATCCTAATGACAGAATCGACACCGAGAGGAAGGCGGTTGGGTCGTATGCGTTGCGGGTGTCGGCAGCCAAGCTCCCTCGCTCGACGAGAGTGGTAGTGAAGGCTGTGGGCCAGCTCAATCACTTTAATGAAGATGAAGCCAGTGACCAATAGGATGCCTAGGTTGCGCAGACCTAGGGTGCCAGAATACTTCTCAAGGCTGTCCCACGGTAGCGATCGCAAGGACGCCATTTTCCTTTTTCGGATCCTGTTCGCTCTGGCTAAGTAACAGAGTCGCTGGCTGAAAGGCGCATAAATATATCAAGCTCGTCAGATTCATCGCTGGTGATCAACCCTGACTACCGCATGTTATGATAGGGAGGGGAATACAATGATGTATCGTTCGCACATTCCCGGTGATTGACGGGCCGCCAGTTGACCGGTATCCGGAACTTCGATATTGTACCGAGTATTTTTGCATTAGCAATGTTTTGTGTAAGCCAGTCCGAACCAAGTAAGCGAAATACCCACCGGTGCCAATGCTAGGACGGTGTCAGTGGCGGTGGCGGGATGTCTGGGCTGGTCGAGGAGGATGAACGACCTAGGCGCGCGTACGGGGAACAGTAGGCCTTTCTCTCTCTCCGCATCAGCGCTTGCCCCAAGAAATTAGAGAGATTTCACAGGAAACAATTCGGTCTGGTACCAATCGATTCACGAATTCGCTCTAAGCGGATGATCCGGATTGCTGGACCAGTACGAGGAACTCTGTACCCCGTACAGAGTACACTTCAATGGGGGAATAGCAGGGGGCCATTGCTCCCACAGTCCAGCTTGGAGCCATACCCCGCCTTATCGCTTGCTTGAAGAATGTTCCTTCCTGGCTCGTTTCTGCCCCTAAGAGCTTTTCACCAAGCTGATCCATTTTACGAAGCCCTATTTTTCTGAAATTGAAGCGCGGTCATTGAGTTCGACTTTCCTCAAGTATTGTGTGTGACATTACTACCGCGGGTTGCCAGCACAGATTTGCCCATGTCTTCTGAATCGGTAGTACCAGCACCGCCGAAAAGAGCTTGTCACCAATGCAACAAGAAGAAGACAAAATGTGATATGCAACGGCCAATATGCAATCTCTGTGCTCGTACCGGTACACAATGCGTTTTCCCTCTTCGTCGAAAACCTTTGACGAGGAATGGGATCGCAAAAATTGGATCCTCGAAATCCGAAGGTGCACTCGCGAATTTGATGGGATTATTGGAACAAGCCAGTGCACTCCAAGCAGCCTTTACAAAGCTTGGAGAAGATCAGCCTGCAGCTCGAATGCATCTCGCCGAGGCGGTAGAGAGCCTGATGAGCTCGGATGTTGCTAGGCAGACTCAACAGGAGCCGTCGACTGCTGAATCTCTTGCTCCTGTGACTGAAGAAAACAGGTCCCCTCCCAGCAGCGGTACATTCAGCGCTCGCCAAGAGACTGAAACACCATCAACTGTGGGTTTTCTCCAGTATGAAGATAAACAAAGCCTCTGTTCGGCATCTTTTGGATCACAAACTGCAGACAGGGCGCTTGATTTTGGCGATAGTGGCAGAGCAACAATCACGCGACAACAACCCCAGGGCAACCGTTTTCTCCAGCTAGGCATCTCATCTGAACTAATCTTCGAGCTGGTTGACCTATTCTTCCTCAAAATCCAACCATGGCTGCCTCTCTTGCATCGGCCCCGCTTCCAACGATGGCTAGATGGCATCGCAACTGGTGATGGGCTGTCTAACGCCATGCTGACGCCTGATGAGGAAATCCTACTCTTCAGCGTGATGGCCTTATCTGCAAGATTCTCTCCAAGTGCATTTTTTGCAGGAAGCCCACCTCTTCAGAGAGGTCGTCAGTTTGCCGAACAGGCCAGGCTCCTACAACGGCAACTGGATGTATCCGATGCAAACGGTTTGCCATATTTACAAGCATGTATCCTTCTCACATTCTACTGTTACTGCTCGGGCCCAACCAGCCAAGGATGGATGCTTAGTGGAACTTGTACCCGTGCTGCTTACGATCTGGGCCTCGCCGAAATCGATGGTGAAAGATCCTTGAACCTGGACCCAGACCCTGTCGACCACATTTCCACAGAAGAGAAAAGGCGCGCATGGTGGCTGGTATGGGAGCTGGACTCTTTCGCATCCATCATCTCACGAAGGCCGTTTGGGATAGATCGAAGACGTGTGAACGTGATGCTGCCTGTCTCGGACGAGGATTGGTTTGCAGGAACGGTTCGCCGCACTTGCAAGCTCGATCCCAGGCTGGGACCAGCCTGGAAAACACTCCGGGACCACCAAATCAAAGACGAATATGCATGGTTCCTGACCGCAACTCATTTCGTAGCAACCATCAGCGATCGATTTCAACGAAAAGCCGAAATTGACCTTGACGAAATCCTGTCGATGGAGAATGAGATTGCAAGCTTTAAACTGGCTCTGCCGCCGAACTTCCGTATCGACAGCCATCCATTGATGTTCAAAGAAGAGACTTTCGCCAGATGTAACCGAGTGATTGGCACACTGCTGTTGCTCATGGATGCTACTTATCACTTGAACTGTCTCTCCTCGGGAAAGACGAATCCTCTCTTCGCTTATCGTGTCCGAGCGGCAGAAATTTCCCGGCTGATCCGTCAATGGCCTGGCGACTACGTGGCATTGGCGCATCCTTTCCATGCGACGAGTATGCTCAGTCCCCCTCCAATCGCTCCTTCTCTTGTGACCGGCGTCGACGCTATCATTTCTTCGTCTCGCGATCTCGAAAAACTCGTCTTATCACGCTTCAGAGAAAATTGGATCTTAGGCTCGGTCGTTCTTGGTATGCATTCTGTCCCTTTGTTGTGCCAGTCCAAAAGGATGGGTTTTACTGACCCTCAAGATAGAATGTTCACATATACTGGAGAAAGGCAGTCCTCCCACGCCCACAGAGAAGCAGATAATGTGGAGATACGCCTTGTACTTCCCAAGCTACGGAACAGTCGAGCTGGGTCAAAGCCGAGCAGACGTTTTGGAAAGCGATGTTTGTCATTTGAGAGCTCCAGATCAGGAACGGGCAGCGGAGTGTCAATCCTATCACCTCACAGGCAATGAAACATCGACACTTGCTCCACCAAGCTCGGCGGCAGTCGATTGGTGTGACATCCTGCCAGAGCCCGTGGGTGGTGACGAAATGGATCTGATGCTCCCTCAAATTCCGAATGGCAATGAGATAATATTCCCCTATGTGAACGTTTTCGGAGCAGTTCAATAACACCTGGCAGGCACCAGGGGGTATGAGAGTCTGTGATTGCGAGATACACCTTATGGCCAGGTATAAACTCGTCCATTCATCTAGTGCATACTTTGAGGGGAAGGAAAATCTCTCCTTGCTGCTCTGAGGTTCCGAGATACATGGACATAGGTGAATTGCAGCACTGGCCCGACGAGGCTGGGTGGAAATGCGAACTAGTATTCTCTTATCCCCAAGACACATGTCTCTCTGGGGCTTTGAATTCTTCCAATGTTGTGATATCTTTGTATAAAGGACCGGTATCCATTGATCAAGGCTCCGAAATACAGAGTGGCGTGTACCGTCCCGGGGCCAAAATCCCGGAGACCGATGCCGACAGTCGGTCGCCTTATCGTGACCGTTGCACCAAGCCTACCCGGCCGGACCCTGAGAATGCTACCGACCGCTTATGTACTTGCCAAAGGGTGACATCCATGTCCTCTGCGGTCTTGTGGCTATAGAGTCAAAGCTGGAAGCTTTCATGGGCAAATTCTCCCTTTGTTGAATGGACCCCTCCTCAATAGTCTGTACTTAGCAACCTCGCCATGGCTGGTCCGAGTACGCTCCGCTCTCCAAATCGATACATCACAACACTGGACGAATCCGGAAGATCTGTCCTATCCTCTACTATCCCAGCCCCAGACTTGCCACTCTTCGAAATACCTGGCGGGGGACCACGTATATCGTTAGTCTACGCGACCAACCGCTTTCCCGTCAAGCTCGATCCGATTGAGGACTTGGCCACGTACAATGCCTTCTGCTCGGAACTGCCGCCCATGTGCCTTCCACAAGGTGTGATCATCCGCATTGTGGACATACCTCCCAGTTACACGTCGGACATGCATCGATCGGTCAGCATGGGGTACAACACCGTGGTGGAAGGAGAAGTTGAGCTGATCCTGGATTCGGGGGAGTCGAGGCGACTTCTTCCAGGTGACACGGTCGTACATCGCATGGACAATCATGCCTGGCGCAACAACAGCACAACGCAATGGGCAAGGCTGCTGGCAGTTGTGACACCGATTGAGGGTGGCGTGGCGGATGGGCACAAGCTGCCGGACAGCAGTGTTCCGTTCAAACAATGAATAGTGGGGTCATGTAGTGTCTTCTCTCCATGATTGACAGACTCTTTCGGGAAGACTTCTAGCAGAGAATGGAGAAACTCTTCACTTTTAATGAATCTCCCGGTGTAACAGCTTCCTCATATTCGTAGAATCCGAAGATTTGGAGTACAAAACTGGCCAGCGTCTGTCGTTTCGGCTCTAAATCCCGTGGGTTATAGTGTTCAGCTCCAATTCGCAGGCAACTTGGCCGTGAGCTTGTTACAAGCACGGAATCGACTCTCCAACCCGGCGATATACAGCAACACAAAACTTCATCATTCGCAAAGTGGCATTGTGGACGAGGATACCAGACTGGAGACACAATCATTGCCAGTCTATTACGAATACAATATTAGGCTAACTATCTGTGGACTAGTGCTAGAAGTCTATTCTCGAGTGATACCGAATTGAGGATCCGGAGGCGGAATAACTTTGTTGCAGCCAATAAGACCGTACTGCCTCTCCAGTGGGCGCCCGCAAAAGTAGCTACGAAGACTGAAGAAAGCCAGCGACCCTGAACATTCACGGCTCTGACGGCTCTGATCTGCCGCATCTCACAGCACACAGCCTCGAGCTATGTCTCGCTTCTTTTGACCATCACCTCCAAACCACTTTGGACGACGAAGAAATAGGAATGCGACTGCAATGGCTTTCCGGGGTAGACTAACTCGAGATCAAAATTTGCTAGTAGCTGGGGAAGGATCTTGTTCATCTCGAACAACGCTAAGTTACGTCCAATGCAAAGATGTCCGCCTCCACCGAACTGTGGCCAGTGGTGTAAGTATACCAATCTCTTCAAGAGAGAGAGTACAGCGACTTTACCTGGTACATATGTCTTTTCATCTCCTTGACGTTTCCAGTAAGCCAGCGCTCGGGGCGGAACTCATCTGGGTGATCTCCGTAGACGGTGGGATCGCGGTGAACTACCCATCCGTTGACCGACGCAATAGTACCTCCTGGATAGTACTTGTCGTCGATTCTCGCCCCGCCTCTGGGGACGTACCGAGGGATCGAAAGACCAACAGCTGGCCTGAGCCTCATTGTCTCAGAGAGGCAGGCCTGGAAGTACAGTAGTTCTTGCGCCTCAGCCCATGAGACATATTCGGAAAGACCAGCACTGCGGATTTCTTTGGTGAGCTTGGTGTATACGTCGGGACTCGACAAGATATAATAAACAAACGATTGCATCGTGGATGCTGTAGAATCGGCACCCGCACCGCTTTTTAAATTAGCCGGCGATCCCAGAGTTTCCACGAAAAGAGAAGAAACTCACATTGCACCCTGGGCCACAGAAAACACATCCCAATCTGACAGCTTGCCGGGATATTTCGCGCTCGCTTCGAGCAACTGCCCCAAAAGATCCTTCTTGCTGCTCGAAACATAGAAACCGCCGGACGATTCCTTCCTTCTCTCAATCTCTTTTAGTGCCATTTGAGCAACTTTTCGAGGCCTTAGAAGCTGCATAAGGAGCTGTAGCACCGGGTTCTCACGGAGTAAATGACGCATCTCGGGCATCTGTCCGACTAGACCGTTGTACCGTTGACTGTCATCAATGAATTTAATAGTGCCTCCAACATCTTTTTCCTGTGCCAGGAACCCATACCGCTGTGAGAAGGCAAATTCTCCGAGTACCTACCTGTTTCATTAGCGGGAGTGATATCTTCGATTCCATTGGCGACTTCCTTACGTCAAATGCAAAGTAGTGCAATAGTTCACCTAAGTCGCATGGCTTTGCAGCCTTTGCATATTCACCCACCTTACGAATCAATTCTTTCTGCACGTCTTCGATATAGGGACCCATTTTCTGGACGCTAGCGAGACTGTATGGCACCACGGCCATACGCTTCATATGTGCGTGCTTCCATTCGCGTACTTCGCCAAAAATATCGCGCAGTGGAAACACTGCGTAGAAGTCTGTCTTCGTGAATCCATTTCCAGGGGTGAAGATATCGTACGCCGCAGCCGGGGCGGCAAATGAGAGCTCATTCGGGCCCACGCGAACAACTTTGCCTGTATAGTAAATGGTCAGTGAAGATCCCCAAAGGAGAAGCCACCAAAAGAGATTTTAAGAAGCCGACTCTGTGTATTACACCATACCATATTTCTTGTGCACAGCAATATAATCACGTTCGGTGTGGCCGCTGTATACACTCCATACTTTCCAGAGACGTGTAATCGAGGCAAGGAACGGACCTGGATAGCTGGAAAGAGGATGCAGGTACCGTCGATAGAAGAATCGAAGGAGGATAAGGAGGATGCTTAACGTCATCATGTGCTGCCTGAGGAAGATCAAGAGATTTGAGACAAAGCTCCAGGAATAGGCGCTCGTGATCATTTTTGCTCCGTCCAGTGTCTTGATTTCTTCTGCATCGTAGGCCATCTCGAGATTCGGGCTTCGAAATGGAGTCATTTGGTCTTGTTTGATGCTCTCCGAAAGGTGGACGGGTTCGAATGTAGACGCATCCAGGTATTTCATGTCAACTGTAAGTAAACTTTGGCTGAACGAGACCGATCTTAGGTACCCATAGAACACTTCATCATACACCTGCAGAATGTGACATCCGGCCAAAGTGTCACCATTACCGTCTAAGCCCGGCCGCCGGCTTGTGGTGCTGCGCGGCAAACGGCAGGCGAACCACCGTGGCTTTTTAGGACCTTTCCGAAGGGGTTCGCAAAGAACTATTTTGCAGCTTCAGAGGTTTGACCGTCGAGCACCCGGGAATCCAAATTATCAATGACCTGGGTATTTATCATGAAAAGAAGGACGATAGATGGTATTAGCTAAGAAACATCCACACCCACTTTGGTCCCGTGCTCGTGGACGCTGGTGATGATAAAGTTGTGGTACTGCATGACAGGCTTCGGCAGATTCATATTCAAAGGACGAAGAAGCTAAAATTATAGCTCAAGAGTCAGGGCTGGCGATTGCTGGGACGGCCTGTCCGAAACAAGCCCTACTCCTGGATGTGGCTCAGTGCTCACTTGGCTCCTTATTGTGGCGAGACGAAAAATAATAGCTTGCGCGAAGATGCTATAGAAACCCAGCCGGGCACCGCAAAGCATCAGAACACTAGGCAGATGCACTGTTTGCGTAACAGGCTAAGGTCCGTTCTGGCTGCGTCCCCAAATCGCTCTGCTCCAGGTCCTCGTCCCGTCCTCAAACGGAGCAATCTGACCCTTGTGACAACCCTTAGCCTTCAATTGACGTAGAAACAGGTCATGTCGCCCACCAACTCTAGTTCGGCCTGCAATGAATGTCAGACCTTGACCAATTTCTCTCCAACACCACGTTCTCAATGCCACATACCGCTTGCAACTCAACTGTCGAATTGTTACCAGCTGAGCTAGCAGTCAGATACTGGAGGAAGGGGTCTTTCTTGATCGACTCTTCATCATCGTTGGTCACCCGACGTAGATTTCTGGTGGAGGTAGGGTCGGTGAAATTCTGCCACTTCTGCCGTCGAATTTCGTCGTATTTGTCGAGGATATCATCGTTGGCCCTGCCGGTGTGAATGCCCACTAAGCAATCAATCAGGCTGCCAACATCAGCGATGCCGCCCGTCAATCCCAATCCTCCGCTGTTTGACTATTTAGAATCCAGTTAAGCAGTGAGCAGGGGAACCTTACAATGGATTGCACAGATGGGCAGCATCACCAGCGAGAAGCACTCTTCCGACTCTCATCCGCTCTGCCAACCTCTGGTGCATTTTGTATGGACTGAAATTGCTGATCCTATACTGGTCCGGCTCGGGATGCCCTGGTAGGATCTTCCTAAACCTCAAAGGTAGGCGTTCCTTGACATCATCATAGCTAAGATGCCCGAGCTCAGAATATGTGAATCGCCAAAGCCCATCTCTGTTAATCCTTGCAATCAAACTGTGATGTTCGCGCGAGATGATGAATTGCGTATCGTCCCAGCCAAATTTGTCGATATCATAGTATATCTGTCAAATATCAGAATCAGCTCGCTCGGAAGACGTATACAGGGACCGTACATCTGTTGCCACAAGTTGTTCGTCCCAGGTAAAGCCCGGAAAGCTCGTACCAAATAGAGCTTGTCGAACAGCACTGTTTGCACCGTCACAACCAACCACGTAGTCAGCTGCAAATCTCTGCTGCCCAGACGGTGTCTGTGCCAATATCCACGCTCCTTCTAGGTCATTACCCACGTTGATGACTTTATGTTTCCAGTGGATGCATGCTCCAGGCAACTTTTCAATCTCCTCCTTCAAGATAGGATTGAGCAAGCTGATCGGTAAGACGGCAGGGCGATCAGGGTTGTCAAGGTCAGCCCGAGCAACCGATGCAATTTTTTCGCCGTTCAGCTTCCGGAAAGAAAATGATTGCACCTCGATGCCAGCTTTGCGGACTTTCTCCAAAACTCCGGCCCTTCTAAGCACCCTAAGAGAGATTTAGCTGGACGCAACTGTGATATCTCTAGGCTGACATACTGCACTGCCGAAGAACCATACCCAAGAGCACGTGGAGAAGAATCGAATTTGTCTTTGGCTTCCAATATGTCCACTGGAATACCTGCCTGAGCCAACATCAATCCACAAAGTAGGCCAGATGGCCCTGCTCCAACTATGATCACTTTCTTTACTTCAACCATGGTCTCAAACGATGGTACAAGAATATCCTGACTAAAACAGGCCCCAATATGTTCCGCAAAGTCGAATGCAGGTATTAATGATCTCTAATCCGAGCCAAAAGCACGGCAACCAACGTAAACAAGGGAGAGTATACTGTGCGCGAATGGAAAAGACTGTACCAACCACCTACTTTCCGCCGCCTTCCTGACCTGCACGGCGTCAAACCGGCGTATCGGCCTAGATTCACGGGACAGGAGCATCTTCTCATAGCGTACCTTCTTGCCGGAGGCAACATCCTGGAGACAGCGCAGCTGTCAGCTCTCCCATGGTCCAGCCATTCCGGATTCTGGACAGACTTCTGGGTCGTGTGGTTACAACTCGCTTTGGCTGCTTTTGCTGGTGCTTGCCAGTCTCTCCGGGAAACTTGAAGTGACCGGTGGTCTCACGGCGAATTAGTAGGGAACAGACAGGAAGAGGCGGCGTGTGCGGGCCGATATATGCCGCTCCGAAAACCCCATGCGATTGAACACGTGCCTTGGCGTTGTAAGTCACGGCTTCCATGCTTGTATCTAACTACCTCGGTAGGTAGTATCCTCAGCCACTTTCGAGGTAACTTACATGACAACTGTGATGTTGGGATGAACAACCTATCCTGGAAAGGGCCATGCGGTCCGTCTGACGCATTTTCAATGCGATTCATTTTCTCCTCGCGACAAAGTCGAGGCTAAACCGACTTGTCCCTGGAAGTGGTGATGGAAGTAGTGATGCCTTCCAAGATTCCATCCCCCGCTTAGCGTTCCAGGGATCTGAAGAAGAGTGTCTCTCACCACCGCTCTGAATGCCCCGTAAACGACCTCAATGAGATGCAAGATGACTAAGAGGGGTTCTCTTCACCTTCAGCTGCATTTCCCGCGGAGGGCCTAGAGCAGCAGCAGACCTTCGAATAGCTTTCAAGCGACATCAATGTCATGGTTCGTCACATCGAGATACCTAGCAGGCCCCATCACGTCGTTGGGCGGTCCCAATTGCTTAGAAGCACCGTTAGCGTCAAGAACGAACGTAATTGGGAATGTGTGAACTTCTCCAACAGGACTTGCATTAACTAACGTACCCACATCATCTCTGAAGGGGAAAATGCGGGCCGGCTACCGGGACCTTCACCTCTTACCATTGGATGAAGTGACACTGAGATATGCGAACACGCCTCGTGGGACTCCCAATTGTAGTCTCTTCTCTCCCTCGCGGCATGGTTCTTGCCTCAGAGAAGGAACCCTGTTGTCCCTCAATGGGCATTGAGTTGGTCATTCGGCTGCTGCGGCTGTACTTCCCTGTAGGAGAATCTCTACTGGAGTGTAGGAACCACGGATCCTAGTGATGATGACAGCAGACAATCCAGTGGCTGTTACACGACACGGTGCTTCGCGTTCCTTATGATCTCTTCTTCTCCGGTCCATCCACTTGAGTTTCTGGTCTCATCTGTGCAAACCTGACTACATTTAGTCGAGAACACCTTTAGCTATCCGCCTTCTGTCAAACATTGTTTTCGCGCCGAACGTCGCTGTGATGGCGGAGCCTACAGGGCTGATTGCACAATCAGGTATCGAGCTTCTAACTTTCGGTCAGTGATAACCTCATTCCTTGCGATCGGCCCCAGTTAGCAATGATCTAGCTAGATCGCTCGAACAGTCACCAAGCCGAGACTTCTGAAGCGACAGCAGCTTACCATAGGAAAAACCAGGGACACCCAATGGCCTCAAGATCTCCATTCTCCTGGAGGAGCTCAAGGAGGCTTACGGCAAGGAATATACCTACCAAGCCGTAAACATCTTGAAAGACACGCAAAAGCAGCCGTGGTACACGTCGCTCAACCCCAACGGCCGCATTCCCACCATTATCGATCACGACCGCGGTGGCTTTGTTGTCTTTGAAGGGCTCGCCATCCTCTCGTATCTGACACGCCACTATGATCCCGAGTACAGGTTCAGCTTTCCTCTTGACTCAGACGAGTACTCTGTCTGCGAGCAGTGGATGGCGTGGCAACACGGTGGCATCGGGCCCATGTAATTCCATTTTCTTTCCTCAGTCCTTTCCCCCAAGATTGTCCATCATAAGTACCCACTAAGCCGTTGTTCCAGGCAAGGCCAGGCGGTCTATTTCGTCCACCTAGAAAAAGAAAAGGACAAATTTGCTATACAACGCTACGTCGGCGAGTCGGAGCGACTTTATGGTATTCTCGACGCTCGTCTCCAAGATCGCGACTGGGTCGTGGGGCTTGGCCGTGGCAAGTTCTCGATTGCAGACTTATCGCTGGCTGGGTGGGCCAACCTCATCCTCTACACCCACATAGATCTTTCCAGGTTTCCCAACGTCGAAGCCTGGCTCGAGCGGCTCTACGCGCGGCCAGCCCTGCAACGAGGCCTTGCCGTCCCGGGAGGCACGATCCCTTTGGTTGGCAACCAAGCGCTCAAGAAGAGGCTCCTCGAAGACGAAGAGTTCAGGACAAAGCACATGGAAACTGAGAAGCTTGTTCAAGAGGCGCAGGCGCAGTATCACTACAAGTACGCGTCCCCTTGACGTTGGGGAGGTACTGAACACGCGGTTGGAGTCTCGGGCCTCCGCAGTCTTCCACCTGTAATGCCGACAACCAAAATATATTAGCGAGACATCAATAAGGGACAAAGCCTCTGATTTCATGCATTATTCTGACGAGGTGCTGAGAAAGTGAATGTGAGGAACGAAAAAAACTCCACGGGGATTCCAGTTCCTTGATTCCTGTCCCTGCTATCATTTGCAGCTTGTCGATTATCAAGATTCGTGCGTCCGGAACTCGGTGTTTCTGGTGGGCAAGTCAATGCAAATGGATATATATCTCCTTCCAGTGGTGTGCTCCGGGGATGCTCTAGGAATTCCTTCGGGTTTGATGTGTCGGTAATTAATCGCCATCCAATTGCCGAACGAGGTTGTCAGTTTATGCGAGTCAGCATCGCTCCAAGAAAGTCGCCCAGCCCCCTTCAATCCCTCTCGCTCTTGTGGGCCTCGCCCAGGTGCGAGCCAGTCAGAGCCGGTGCTCAGACTGGCCCAAGTCAGTCCCGCCGTGTCAACTCCGTTCATGGAGCAACTTCCATACAATGTGATATGGCTGCTTCCGAGGTCTCGAGGACCGCTGGCCGTGTCCACGCTTGACGTGGGGTGCGGACAGGTACTGGGGTTGGGGTTGTTTCTGTGATGAATTGATGATAGCTTGGTATTTGTTTATCTCAGAATTTCGAGTACACATGCTTTTTTTTGTTTTGTTTTTGCGCATGTGCAGGTTTGGACGAGCACCTTCAATCTATCCAGAACTTCTCCTAGCGAAGGCTGCTCTCTAATCCCCCGCTGCAAGCAGAGGTGAATTGAACTGACAAGCAGAGCCGCTGTTGGTCCTTTCGAAATGCCGTACCAGGGATCGGTGCTGCCTGAACGTAAGGACCGCTGCAGTGCATTTTTTTTTTTTTGCGGAAGCTTGGGACTGACTGTTCTCGCAGCAATACCCGACAATGTGACAATCTGGTCATGGCTGTTCGAGACGAAACATTCACCACCAGGGGTCAGGCCATCAGGAGGCTTTCGCGATGCGTCGACCGACCAGTTCCTCTCCTTCGACGATATTCGCCGCCTTGCAACCCGTCTGTCGACCATCCTGTACCACAAATACGGTCTGCGCACTGGAGACGGAGTTTGCGTGTTTTCTGCGAACACAATATGGTACCCCGTCGCGATGTTTGCGGCAGTCCGACTCGGGGTGGTGTTCACTGGTTCCTCGCCGGAATATGGCCCGGACGAAGCAGGCTATATTTTGAAGGCGTCGAGAGCCAAGCTGGTGTTTGCGGATCAGAGTTCGCTCAAAGCAGTCTCGCAAACGTTTAACGCGGATCGGATTGTCCTTCTGGAACCTGCACAGGCTTCTGGCGCTTTGCCTTCAGTCAAGAACTTACTCGACGAACCAGACTCTGGCGGAGCTCCCGCGCCTTTCACGCTTCCCGCAGGCAAGAAAAACGGTGAGGTCTGCGCGTACCTGAGTTTCACCTCTGGCACGACGAGCCGGCCGAAGGGCGTAAGCATGCCGGTCCTTGGATCCAGCCATGCCATGACTGACTTGATCCAGGTCATGATATCCCACAGAAACGTGATCGCCCAGATCATGCAGATGCGGTCGCTTGGCCGGCAAGACCTTCCAAGGGTCTTGCTAGGAGTCTTGCCACTGTTTCATAGTACGTTCCATCTCCGAGAATGTTCGTGCAGGATGCGACTAATACCATTATAGTCACCGGGCTCGTTCAGATCTTGCAGCTGCCAATCGTCCTCGATCAAGAAGTCATCTTGATGCCCAAGTTTGACATGCAGGGCATGATGGACACGATAGTCAAATACAAATGCGATGAATTGTGGCTTGTACCACGTAAGGATCCTTCCCCTCCTTGGCACTGGCAGGACAGCAACTCACCCCACTCTTCGATCGATAGCTCTTCTCATCAGACTGGTCAATGACCCGATCGCCGCCAGCCATACCTTGCCTTTGGTGAAGCAATTCAACACCGGGGCTGCGCCTCTGGCCCAAGAGATCGTCGAAAAACTTGCGAAGCGGTTCCCGCATATCGCGATACGGCAGGCATGGGGAATGACCGAGAGCACCAGTGCCCTGACACTAACACCACCGGCATTGCAAACCTATGAGAACGCTCACACAGTTGGTGCCGTCGTTCCGGAAACAGTGTTGAAGATAGTGGACCCGGACACTGGGAAGGAAATCAAAGAAGGCGAGAGCGGAGAGGTAAGCAAAGGATGTGGCGGGACCCCATTATGTATCATTATGCATCTTGAATATTGTGGCTGACGGTTGTGCAGATCTGGGCAAAAGGCCCTCAGGTAACGATGGGATATCTTGATAATCCGAGCGCCACAGCAGAGACGTTTGACCAAGAAGGATATCTACACACCGGTGACATAGGCTCCATGCTGCCTAGTGGTCTCCTTCTGGTCCAGGACAGGCTCAAAGAGATGATCAAGGTGGGTTTTCTCGAGTCGAGTGGGGTCCAGGAAAGCCAGCTGACACGCCGCAGGTCAAAGGCGTAGGAGTCGCTCCAGCCGAACTGGAAGATCTCTTGCTTGGCCATCCGCTGGTCGTCGACGTTGCGGTCATTGGTATTCCCGATCCATATTCCGGAGAGCTGCCAAAGGCCTTCGTCGTACTGAGCGAAAAGGCCAAGCCTGATCCTCAGACGGCACGGGAATTGCAAGACTTCGTGCGCCAAAAGAAAAGTAGAAGCAAGTGGCTGGGTGGTGGTGTGGAGTTCGTCAACCAGATTCCCAAGAGTGCTTCCGGCAAGATTCTGCGGCGGATGCTGAGAGACCAAGAGAGGGCTCGTGCACAGGCATCCGCGATCAGAAGTCGGTTGTAGTCTTATGTGGCGTTGGATGCATTTCGGGCCCAGAACGCCGCGCCTTCTATTTCCACTATGCAAGAAGGCTCAGGGGGAAATATGCCGGTGTTTTTGCATCATAAACATGCACAGCTGGAGCCGTTGAAAGCGTGCGGTGCTTGCATTGGTTCAATTGGCGGAGTTACGACTTCCCGCTCGAGAACGGCTTGTTTGAACTCCTTGGTATCTCAACGAGGTCAGCTGTTTTCGATGAACCGCGTCCTTTGGAGAGCGCATGGCCACACAAGAACCACGCAGCAAGTCGTTCGCCATTTGTGCTTTCCAACGTTTGAACAGATCTCTAGCGACATGTCTCTTTGAAGTGACCGTTCTTCGTTCCTCTTGTCCTGGTTGTCCCAGGTCGAGGCATCCTTTACCTGGCGGATCGAAGGGCGACTCTGATTACACATCCGATGCTACTGGATACGCGCATGCCTCCGCACCCAGGCACTTCCTTGCTGCCGAATTACTCCAGAAATGAGTGATATGGTGCATTACCAGCATCGCCTGACCCTAGTCCTAAACTGGCAATATTTGAGAGCCGCTCCGTCACCATCCAATCGTTGCACAGTATCCGGGGCCCACCTTTCTACTGTCCCTTGGATGTTGTCTCTGTCCGCCCCCAGTGTGCAGGAGACGGATGAACGGACATATGTGACAATGTCTATCTTACTCCGTAGGCGGGGGTTCAGGCAGTCCCGCTGTCTCTAAATGGCTGTTTTGCTTAGAAATCGAAGCATCCACGAGCAAGTAGCCAGACATCCTCAAAATGGGGTGGGAAGTGATGTATAAATGCCACTATCTCAGCTGTACGTAGAATCTACATCTTCATATTGTCTTTCAAAATTCAGTACCTCTCCTTAGAACCTGTAAAGGTTTTCTTTCGAAAGAAAAACATGGCCCCTATCAACCATGCCGCCTGGCTGAAAAGCAAAGGTGCACAGGAATTTGTCGTCGAAGAAGCTCCATACAGCCACCCCTCTGCCAACGAGATTGTCATTCGGAACAGAGCAGTTGGCATCAACCCAGGCGAGATATCCGTCCAGCGACTGGGGGTCCGAGTAATTGGATACCCAAGCATCTTGGGGTCGGAAGTGGCCGGTGTCGTTGAAGAAGTCGGGTCGGCTCTGACGTCTGTGTTCAAGCCGGGAGACCGCGTCCTCGCCAGGGCGAATCGAATGGTTGCCAACAAATATGCTGGGTACCAGCATCACGTCGTCCTGAGCCCACCGTTGCTGGCCAGAATTCCAGATCATATCAAATTCACAGAAGCGGTGGTCCTCCCAGTCGGCATCACAACTGCCTCGTCGTGTCTGTTCGACAGCACCACCTTAGGGCTCGAAATGCCTCCTGGAAATGGAGGGCAAGGCAAGACACTATTGATCTGGGGCGCGAGCAGTGCTATTGGGCTTGCCGGTGTGCAGTTGGCCGCCGCCGCAGGGTATGAGGTATTTGGTGTCGCAAGTCAACACAATCACGAGCTGGTCAAGTCGGTTGGGGCAGCCCGCTGCTACGACCGTCACAGTGGCAGTGTCGTGGATGAGATTGTGGCCGATCTGGAGGGCAAGGAAATTGTCGGGGCGTATGACGCTATATCACAGAAAGAGACTACTATGGCCCTTTGCGAAATACTCCACAGGAGTGGAAGTCGAAAGCTGATCGCGGCTGTTCTGCCTGTGGGAGACTATGTCAAGCACGGCGTGGTGATCAAAACGAATTTTACCGTGAATGTCGAAAAATCAGGCATTGGCCAGCATATTTGGCAGAACTTCCTAGAGCCTGGTCTGGCCTCGGGAGCTGTTCAGTGCAAGCCGGATGCGCAGGTCATTGGATCGAATCTGGGTGACATCCAGAAAGGCCTCAATTTGCTTGCCGAAGGTGTCAGCGCGAAGAAGATCGTGGTGACTTTGGACGAGTAGGCTGGCCAGCATTTGGGTTATAACGGGCTGCTTTGGCTCTCTCCGGTTGAGCCATCTCTGCACCTCAGGCCCCAAGAGCATCCGTGATTGTCTGTCTTTCCCTCCTCACCCAATTCAAGTAGACGGAATAGTCGGTAGAAGTTGCCTTCGGTATTTCTGAAGCGGTTAATGCTCTCCGCAAGTCGTTTTCCAGTCGAGTCAGGACTTTTCCAAGAAGCCGGGCACCCCTCGTAGATGCCAGGCATTGCTGGATTGTAGCTTGTGGCATCCCGGCCACTCTATCAGGACATGTCTCGAGACATTCTTTCACGGATGGTTTCCCTTTGGTCAAAAGCGAAGCTTCTGCTGCCACGATATTGTTGACCACATCCTTAGCATGATTAAATTGATGCCCTGAACGGTCCGGAGTCTTCACTCTTGCATTCAATTCCTGCATCAGCTGAATAGTTTCAAATCGTAGCAGGTAATACTGAATGAAAAGATATGCAATATCTTGTGAAGGATAACAATGTTGAAAACGGTTGGCTTTATGAGGCGTCCAATCTTTCGGCGCTTGATATTCCCACAGGGATAGACGACTCAGAAGTTCGACTAACCTCTCCCGCATGATTTGGACGGACTCGGTATATAGCAAGGCGCTCTCCCGATCAAACTCGGCCCGGAGAGCTACAACGCTAGTAGCGTGGGCGTCGAGTTGCATTGCAGGAGTACAGGACTGGCCCAGCCGCTCGATGTCGGCCTGAATGCTCCACAAGTCCCAATTGACTGTCCCTTTTCCGTCATCCAGCGCCAAATTGACGGCATTATTTCGCACAGCAGCCAGCAACGTAAGTGCGTTGTGGTCTTTGAAATTCAAGCCTCCTCGCTTTCTGATGAGAGCTTCAGCCCCCCTCTGGTGGGACATGGGAGGAAGCATGGCCGCTCCATGCCTTCGACCGAACAGGTATTCTCCAAATTCCAGAAGCATGACAGCGCTCAAGGTCTCGTCCTTGAGACTCGCGAGTGCATCTGCAATCGCTTGGCGGACGCTTTTGATAACTCTTGCCAGAAGGCCACTTTCTAAGGCGTATGGTTTTCCTTTGGAGCACGTTCCCATCATGTAGATAGCAAGCCATGACACAGCATCGGCAAGCGGAGAGCCGCCGCCGGGCATTGTATGATACAGTGGCATGATTAGTTCAAAGTGGCCGTGACTCGCTCGCCAGTCTCTCTCTGAGGTGAAAATTGTTTTTGAGAAAAAGAAGCCGAGCGCCTGCGCTTCTAGACATGGTGCCATGCCTTTGGGTGGCGCCAGTATCTGGCGCGACTCATCCCTGGACGAACGCAAAACCGTGCCTGGGTTGGATTTCTGGAAACGCAAAGCGACAGATGCGGTCTGATCCCGGAGCACGACATCAATTGGGTGAGAGTAGCCAGGGCAATCGAAGCCCAATCTGGAGCATTGCTGACATCGTGGTGACGTTAGATCGCACTTTAATCCAGACATTAGTGGTTAGTCTTTGACATATCTGCCATGGCATGACTCTACCTTGACATGGCGGTCTTTGCATCTTCGGCATCCTCTCGCAGGACCACGATGTACCATTTTTGTCACCAACAGACCCGTTGACTCTCGGCCGGCTGTCGGCGCACAAAGCTGTTGACCATTGATGAGCAATTCAGCTACTAGATCTTCACGAGTCGTTCAAGTTCGATGCCAATAAGGGCTCCGAGGGGAAGTCAGCATTGATGGGAGACTTCTGATGTCAAAGGAAGAAAACGCGTTGTAAATTTATTGGGGCTCGCGAGTGAATGGAAACCTTATTGCAAAAGTTACCGAATTCGGATGCGCCTATTTGTAAGCTAATACCTAGGTAGGTACTAGTAGAAGAAGTATTGGGCGAGTATAGCATTCAACTAGTGGCCTCTAATACTGGCTACCTAGGTACGATTCGAGTCCCAGGGGAATGATGCAAGGGCCCAGCTGCGGGGCTGGCAAGGCTATACATTCCGTATGCCGTATCCCCCCCCACAGACTCCAACTCCAGGTTTACCGAGGACAGTGAGATCTACCTCCAAATCCCGAGCCCCCCGCCCACTCTATGGCGCCGACATCAAGGTGACCAAGAAGAGTGGTCGCAGGTCAAAGCATCAATCATATTCGAGCAAGACCATCAGGTGCACATCTCCCAACAGCTACGGAGTACAAAAGTTTGAGTCAACATACCTAGATACCTAGCTGTGGAACTATTGTCAGCCAGTTGCCGCCATGATGAAGCTCCTGCTCATGCTATTGAAACATCCTCTACGCGGTCTTATCTTTTCCTATTCCTTCTTGGTCCAGGTCTTGCTGTTACTCTTGCGACGAGCCTTGCTTCCACACTTCCCCGTATATCAGTCTCTCCGGATCCAACTTCAGCGAGCGTATCTGGGGTCGGCCTCACTGACCTTCCCGGACCTGACCCACCGGCTTCCAGTGGGCAGATTGTCCCTCCGCCGAGCTCGTAAGATCGATGAATCCGTCCCAGCCTATTTGATCCCCGGCTCTCGGGAGCTTGCTGAATTTGCGGTCCCGACGCCGACACGGCAACAATGTCTGGTACTCTACGCCCATGGCGGTGGCTATGCGCGTGGTGAAGCGAGAATGTATATCAACTACATGGAGCGGTGGATCCGAGAGGCGTTCAAGGAGAATCTAGAACTCATGTTCCTGAGTGTTGAATATCGTAAGCTTTTCTGCCGCGACCGTATATGAACAACCCAGTTGACACGTCGCGCAGCACTGTCGGTGAAAGAGAGTCATCCGGCACAGAAGAATGCCTTCCTTCAAGTCTACAAATATGCTCTCGACCAGAATATACGGCCAGAGCGCATTGTTTTTATGGGCGACTCGGCTGGAGGTGCGACTTCGATGTGTGAACCATGATATTGTTGCTTGTGCTGATGGATTTACCCAGGCTCACTAAGCCTACTTGCGGAATTGGACCTTAAAACGCTCAATCTTCCACAGCCTGCCGCCACAGTGCTGATATCACCATGGCTGGACATGAACTGCAAGGTATACCAAGGAGGAAATGGTGCTGTCGAGACTGACTACTTCATGATTGCTAATGAAGCAGTTCCGGCACTTGCCAAGCTGTTTGTTGGTGGCGTTCCCCCTGACTCGCCAGAAGTCAACCCCCTTCATCATCGGCCAGAAGCGCTCGAGGGACTGAGCCCGCAGCTGATCTTTACCGGTGGAGCGGAATTCGCTCGTTATGACTCTGAGAAATGGGCTGAGCTGTGTCGCGCTGCAGGTGTGGAATGCAAGTTGATCATCGAATGGGCCCAACTGCACATCTATGCAGTCGGGTCAAAGTGGACAGAGCCCGCTGTTCGGAGAAAGACTGATGGCATAATCATGCAGTGGATCAAGGATCATGTTGCGAGAGTGAAGGGAGACGATTGGTGATTCCATATATATTGGAGATTGGATGAGGTTCCCTGACCAGAAAGAGCCGCTGCAATTGTCGTCTGGGGATCGGCGGTGGACGTCACTGTGGATGCCACGTTCAATGGCGAGAGCCGAGCTGTCTCCTGCAACCCTCCTCTGCAGAGGCTCAAGCAACGGCGCGTGGGGGTATCAAAGCGTAATGCATGATAGATGGGCACCACGCATCAGCTGGAGGTTCAATGGGTATCAGACGCCTAGGGATCCAAATTGGCAATTGCATACAAACTACTCGGTAGAAGCGAATAACTCTTGTGGGACCACCTACGCCTGCCTTCAATCCTTGAGGCTAAATGTGCCACAAAGGCCCGTACAGTCGCATCCCTTATTCTCCCTGGTTCGTCATACAGTGGAAGAAAGTTGAGTCCAGCGCATCGTGTCAATCCTCATGCCACAACTTCCGGCCAATGTCCCGAGCGAATTCTTTGGAATCATGACGATATTGTAGCTCTGCTGGGTCTGAGGATAGGTTGTAAAGAGAGAGTCGTAGCGGCTCTCGACTCGTAGCTGGATAAGAGACCGAGTTATCGGTGGGTGACATGGATACGCGGATACGCGGGACAGGGGGCCTTCTCGGCGTTGTAACCGTTTCCCTTGCAAATTCCTGCGGAGGTGGAGGTTGATCGGTCGATGGTGGAGTTTTTGACACAGTTTGATAACACGAACAACCTAGGTCTCGAAACCTGTCGTGGGATATCGAGGAATATTGTTCAACGGCGTGCTAGGAGAGCCTTCCTCCTGATTATTCCTAGTCCATGAGACTAGGTCAGGGCGTATGGCAATATGAAAACTATGCGGAGACTCGCCTCTTGCAAATATTTAGACCATATGTAACAAACAACTTGTCAGCTGACCCATTCCATCTTGCACGCATACCTCGGCGTGGGCTGGCAGTGCCCGAGACGCTTGACAAAAGGCAAATTGACGATGCTACTGAGGGTCTGTCCGTGGAGCCACGAGACGGTCTCGACAGGGGATCTACACACTAATGTACTAGGTGGCTGATCTACTAGGTACCTAGGTATGTCCCACTTCAGTATGGCGTACGAGTAGAACGGTTGACTGAACCTACCGTACCTAAGTAGTGAAAGATAAGCTCGCTAAGCTTTGCTGTGCGTTGCCAAGCTTTGCACTATGAAAGACTCTTTGGAAGCCACAAAGCTTGTGGATCGACAGCGATTCCTCGTGGAGACGCCAAAGTTACTTGATCTTATCCATAACTACAAAGAAATGGGATGCAGCAAATTACCAACTCGGGCGAATGGTCACGCATCATGGCGGATCAACGTTGCAACCGTCATTTCGAGCAGACAAGAATCGGGGTGGGAGCCAACGTGTCCTTCCAATCCTGGTGTAGCAAGATGGAGCATTGCAGGGTATACAATCGTGCTTGCCGAGATTTTGTGGTTCTTTCCTCGCCGATCACTGTTACATGGAGGTGACGAAATGATGCTTGATCGTTGACTGACAACTGCAGTGTGAGGCAACGGCGGGGCTTGGGTTCCGGGTTGGCTCTGTGTCCCCAATAACTCTCTAGACATACATATCACTGTTACTCTCTGTGTTCTGGAAATTCGTCGCACTGCTCCTGCCAGTCTCCCTCCGACTCTGGCGGATAGCGGACGTCAAAATGGATCCTCGACAACGACCTGGCTTTACACGCACCGATACTGATGGCATTCCACTTGAATCGGTCGGGGCTTCGTCGTCCAGTGGCAATACCAAGAAGGATGTCAAGAGTCCCGTGGACTCAAAGGCTGATGGCGCTATTGACGTGAAGTCAGTGGACATCCTGGAAGAGCATTTGCCTGCATATGACCCCGACAACGATGGTGTCGCTCATATTAAGGAACCTCCGACTACAGCAGAGGACCTAGTCACTCAAGTCATTCATGTTCAGGATGATCCGAGTCTCAATCCGTGGACATTCCGTGTCGCCTTCCTGGGTAAGAGCCCTTCGCTGTTATCCGTCTTCTCTAGAGGATGCTGGACCGCTTGGAGATGTCTTATCTGACACATTATCAGGATGTGGACTGTCAATTTTCGGCGCCGTATTGCAAGAGATCTTCTTCTTCAAACCACAGACCATTTTCGTGTCTGTGGTCTTCTTGACGGTCATCGCATACATTCTCGGCGAAGCTATGGCTAGCCTCATTCCGCGGAAAGGGGTTTTTCGCTACCTCAACCCCCACCCTTTCAATCAGAAGGAGCATGCAGCAATAACCATCATGGCATCTGCCGCCTCTCAAGCAGCCCAATCCACACAAGCATTGGCTGCGCAAGCTTTGTTCTATGGTGGGTTCCCAAACAAGGCTGCCGGCATCTTTGTCACGATGTCCTCGCAGCTGATCGGATTCGGCTTCGCTGGCCTCCTTCGTGATGTACTTGTGTTTCCCACCAGGATGCTGTGGCCTATCAACCTGCCAGTCGCGACCCTTCTCGAAACTCTACACCGTGATAAAAGGGAGACACAGAGAAAGCTAAGGCTGTTCTATATCGCCTTTTGCCTTATCTTCATCTGGGAAATACTACCCGAGTACATCTTCCCTGTGCTCACTGGTGTTTCGGTTTTCTGCCTTGCCAAACAAGACAGTCTGGTGTTTACGAATCTTTTCGGAGGCGCGTCCGGGGATGAAGGACTAGGTTTTCTGTCACTCTGCCTCGATTGGAACTATATCATCGCCGTATTCTCTCCGATGTGGTTTCCACTCAATTCACTGGTCAATTGTATGATCGGAATCGTCGGCTGCTATGTTGTATTCATGGGTATCTACTATGGCAACGTCTGGGGATCGTTCAATCTTCCGTTCCTGTCGCAGGAGCTCTTCAGCGGGACATCCAACTCGACAAATTATGTCGTTTACAACCAGTCTGCGATTCTCAACTCGGATTTCACCATTGATCCTGCGAAACTTGCCCAGGAGGGACTGCCTCAGCTAACCGGTACGTACATTGTTTATCTCATCACCTCAAATATGGGCATGACTGCGGCATTCACACATATGTTCATCTGGAATCGCAACGACCTCAAGGCTGGCTGGGAATGGGCTTCTCCGTCCAATTTGCGGAGGCTGTTCAGTGCCCGTACATGGAAATTCTGGCAAAACCAGGAGTCGCCCGAAGAGCGTCTGGAGCGCAAGTACAACGATCCCACTTTGGATCCCCACTACAAGCTGATGATGCAGAACAAATATTTAGAATCTCCAAATTGGTGGTGGGCTTGTGTCGCCCTGGTTAGTTGGGTCATCGGACTTGGTTGTCTCTATGGCATGCACTCGACGTTGCCTGGATGGGGTTTCCTCCTCGCCGTCATCTTCACCTTCCTTCTTCTCCTATTCCTGGGTGCGCAGATGGGCCTCACGGGCTTCCAGTTCAATGTGCAGCCGATTTGCCAGATGATTGCAGGCTATCTCTTCCCTCACCGCCCGCTTGCAAATTTGTACTTTACCTGCTACACCTTCAACACGCTGCAACAAGGGCAACTCCTCGCCAAGGACATGAAGCTTGCACAGTATTCTCATCTACCGCCACGGATCACATTCGTCGTCCAGATTGTGGGTTGTCTCCTCGGAGCGCTCTTCAACTGGGTCATGATGAACGACATTGTCGAAAACCAGAGACCGATCCTGCTCGCCATCCAGGGCTCAAACATCTGGTCGGGTCAAAACATCCAGATCTTCAACACGCTGGCCATTTCGTGGAGCATTGCCGACAAGATGTACAGCATCGGGGCCAAATACCAGTGGGTGACCATTGCCTTCTTGCTGGGGTTCCTCGTCCCGCTGCCCTTCTGGCTTGCCCACCGCTATTTCCGGCCATGGAAGGTCTTCTCGTACCTCAACACTTCGATCATCCTGTGGTACGTCGGCAACCTGTTCACGGGCATCAACTCGTCATTCACGTCGTTTTACATTGTCGGCTTCATCTCGCAGTTCTACCTACGCAAATACAAGCCCCAGTTCTTCGTCAAGTATAACTACCTTCTGAGTGCGGCTCTCGATGGCGGAACGCAAGGTAAGCTTTCACCGGCACCCCAGTCTCTGCCACGTTGCCCACGTTCTCCCAGCTAACCAGCATTTGAAATAGTGATGGTGTTTATCTTCACCTTTGCCGTCTTCGGCGGTAGTGGCAAGGCGCATCCTTTCCCTACGTGGGCTGGCAACCCCGACACCAGCGTGCACAATGTCGACTACTGCATGGTGAACCCTGCGAACGGCGGCTAGAGCTCCAAGGCTGCACATCATCGTGGTCCCATTCGAGACAAGCAGAGTAGACAAGGATTCATTACCGGGAACTCTTCAGCTGTGGACAAGAAATTTAGTGCCCGTCTGCCATACTGACTTCTGTACCTCCACTGTACTATTTTCTCTTAGCTGGGAGCTTGCTCTTGTCTCCAGTATTTAGCCGACAGGAACGCGCCCAGAGCGCCTTCGTGTTGAACCCGCTCAATGTTTTGTGTAACATGGATATCCTGGCTGGCCCCCTCGCACGATACCATGCGCCTCGCGTCCCAGGATCAATTGAGGAGGTTTGCAAGATTGGAGGGAGCCCGAGGCAATCCACCAATAGACTTCTTCATAGGCCCCTCCGGGAAGAGCTTCATGCTATGGAGTCTCGGTGCATCGTCTAAAGGCTTTGGGCGATATTTTCTTTTCATATAATCCAGATATGTGGCATCGTCATGGAACTCCCCCGGGCTCCAATCCCGGTTGAGAGAAGCGTCCACGTCGAGTTGACTGCCCATCGAACCGATGCCGCCCAATCCTTGGCCCATAATCGCTTCGGTTTCGTCAGGCGGCATTGTAAGCCAATGTTTCGCCGAGTTCTCGCCCAGATCATCGAATAGGGTAAAATCAGGATCGGGGGTATGGTCACGTAGTGGTGGGACAATGCTGGCAAGGTTCAACGCATTTGGTGCAACTGGAGAGCCTGATCTTGAGGAAGGGAGCATGGGCGGTGGAGAAGAACGACCTGGCCGAGTTAAGAGCGGGTAATATTGGGATGGTAGCAGAGAACCAGGTACCGCTTTGTAGTCAGGAATTGACACAGAAGGGTTTTGTAGCGGACCAGGTACCGGAAGTCGTGTGCCGTTAGGAATCGGCACAGAGGGGGTTTGCAGCGAAGAATCAGGTAGCTCATTTTGTGAAGAGGCGTAAGGCAGCAGAGAGGGGGATACTAGCGGAGTGTAGTCAAGTATCGGCGCAGAGGTGGCGAGCGGCGCAGAATCCATTCCCAGGGATTCGGCGAGAATCCTGCCACTCCAGGGATGCACAGAGTCCGAAGAGTCCCTTGAATCTTTGTTGGTATTCGGGACTTCGTACGTCAAAGAGGCAGGACCCGTCAGCTTGGCACGAGGTGGGTAACCATTGTAGGATGTAGCTTTCGTGGAAGACCTATTCCCAGGAAAAGGGGGGAGTACAATGTCACCCAAGACGGTGTGATATCTTTCAACATGCTTCCGAAGTGCGGCCTTGGAAGTGAATCCTCGAACAGAAAAGTCACAAGCAAGGTCATGACAGCGGAATCGTTCTTCGTGGCTCATTTCGTGGGTCGATCGTTCCGCCGCACTCGAAAATCCAGTTAATGCCGACACACATCCCCGCCAGCGGCAGAGGTATGCCCCCGAGCTATGGCGACTCTTGAAGTCGAGTATCTCGGCGAGGCCGACGCCAATTTTAATGCCCAGGTCAGTTGATTCATGCGCCAGTAAAGCCTCGAACTCTTCTTGAAAGCGACTGAATGCAAAGCTGAGTGATATTGGATCCTTCGAAATGTCTTGCGCGGTGGACGCCTTCACCCAGACAGTGGTCGGGTTGGCATCTGCGTGTCTTGTCTTAAATCTCTTCTTGAAGTCAATGTGACGAAGAATAGGTTCCGGCAAGTCTCCAAGGGTCAAGACTTTCAAAGGCAAAGCCCCACGTTCCGAACCGCCATAACCATAGTGTTCCTCATTAAGCTGGTCTGGCCCATAGGTTTGAAACACTCTCAGTAACGTAAGAAGAAGGTGCTGGATCTTTTGCCGCGAATGAACATGCTCTTCTGGAAGGGAATCTGAGACAGCTCTAAAGGACTCGGTCAAGTGCATTGTCCAGAACTGATCCACGTACGGAAATATATCATGAAATCCCTTCACGATATCGGCCCGGGTCCCAAGGGCTAGAGGCTGCACAGTAAAAGGTTGGCAGGTTATCAGATATCGAATGCATGACTGTGTAAAACTGAGATGGATTTGCTGGCGGTCAAGATAAGGACCGCTGTGTTCATGCAAAAGATACCTGGCAAAAATCAGCATCACGGTATACTCAAGGTGTGAAAATGCATACTCCCTCGCAGAAAAGTGCACAAATCGGACAGTGTGGTCTTCATGTTCCTCCAAGAGCGGTTTGCAAATGTCCAGAATGCTTTTCTGAAGCTTGGTATTGTCATTGAGAGAATCGCGCTTCCTGAAGACGACGAGGTCACACAGCTCATGCACCTTTAGCGCACGATAAGAGAAGGCCAATAAGCCGAGAATATGTTGCAAATCGGCTTTTTGTTGCCAGTTACAAGCGCCGTGCAAGCGTTTGAGTATCGAGGCATATCTGCGTGGAACCCTTAGTAAGTAGCATAGCAGTACCGTTAATGCAACTTACACCCCTGGGAGCTCTGACGGCAATTCGTCCAATGTTTGTCTCAAGTCCTCCACACTATGTTGGTCAAATAGCATGTCTAGAACCAGTTGCACCCACAGAAACATTCCTGCTTTGAAGTGAGCACATGTGGTCAGGGTACTGAAGGGACTTACCGTCAGCTTTCTCAACAACACTTTCCTCAATCTCGTCAACCACTGGCCCACTAAATCGGCCTCTCAGTGGAGAGAGGCTTTCTTTCGCGAACAAACTAATATCTTTCGACACTTTGACCCTCTCTTTCGTCAAGAGTACTTGAGGCACTCTCTTAAGATGGCACATAGTCTCCTTTGTTTCTCGCGAACAGATCAGGATTTTGATGGGCAGATGGCCCTCGTCAGTGTTCTTGTTTGGGAGGAAAAAAGCGCGAAGATCCGACAAAAGTTGCCGTTGATGGCTCCCATCGCACTCGTCGACGCCATCAAGGATCAAGAAAGTGGGGCCGCAAGCTCGGAGAAGATCTTTCAGCAGGTCTTTGCTCTTTGTGGCCGACGGTACATTTCCAGTCTTCACATGATTATCGTAGACATGCGGCAGGAGGCTGCGATCTTTTCTTATGAGTTGGGCGATGAGAGAGCGGAATACCAGCCCGCAAACACTGACTTCAGATCTGGCAAAGCCATAGGAGCACAGACAGTACAGCATCGTCGCATTTGGAGGGATTGGGGCATTCTCGTAAAGAAAGGTGGCGAGAGTAGTTTTCCCTGCATGTTCAGGTGGTCAGAAAGTTTCTGCCGCGGAAACATCCCAAAGCGACGTTCATGTCTCGCCCAAAAAAAGAGGATACTCTTGAACTCGGCGTGAGAAGCTCGATGGAAATCTAGAGGCTCCCAGATGCTACGAGACCACTGAAACAAACCCGGCAACATCTCTCGACTTCCTGGCAATGGCTCCATTCATTCGAGGAAGCCACAATCCCAGCGAAGGCAAAGAGCATATGAGATACTCACCTGAGCCTGGTTTCCCACGCAGCCAGAGCTGAGGCCGGCTGTCCTCAGGGTCGAGCCACGAACGAACGGCAGAGTTTTCCAGGATCCAGGCGCAGGTGCCGGGGTTGCGAGCCCTAGATCGGCACTCGAACAAGTCGTTCTGTTCGCGGTCCTGGCCTTTAAGGTCGAGCCAGGCAAAGGTATCGCGTAATTGCCAATCCTGACGTTCTTGCTCCGTGCGTTCAATTTCTTCAAGAACTTGCTGACGAAAAGCTTTCGCTTCGAGGATAGCAAAGCCTTGTGCTTCTTTGTCGATAAGATCTCGACCTCTTGCTAGTCTTTGCAGGATCGCGTTGAAGCGGCGAGAGAAACTGTTCCAGGACGCATCGAACAAGCATTTCCAGCCTAGCCGAGTGAGTGAGGATCAGCGTATTGTCTGCACTTGCGAGGCCAATAAGCTCACCTCCACGGCGTAGATATTTGTACGCATGCGAATGAAATTCGAGAATATCACTGTAGATCTCGGCGAGCACAGCTTGAAAGTCATCTTGGTCCTTGAACGCAGCCCCAAAGCGGCCGAGGCGGGGCAGATTCTGCGCTATTTGACGATAGGCATCGAGGAGCTGGTCAAAGGCATTGGTGTACTCATCTGCGATTTGCAGAAGAAGTTTGATAGGAGCCTTTTGAGGTGTCAGTTCAGTGTGGAAGGAACCTTGGAAGTTGGAGGATGAATTACCCAGATGAAGCACAAATATGGAGTCCCTTGGCACAAAGTCTCGATGGCGCCGCCTAGCAACTGTAACGCGTCAAAGAGGGGCTCAATCCGTCTCATGTTCCGCAGGCATCTTCTTTGCGACTGATCACGCTCAATGATGCGCGCAGCTTCTCGCACGTCCGCGAGGGTCGTTGCTTTAAACAACCGTGCATCGTTCGCCCCAACCAGAGCCTCAAATTTTGTGAAGGCTTCCTCGACGATGGGATGAGGCTGGCTTCGCTTCGTCGCGTCCATGCTTGCACAGTCGCCACGACGCACGACGCACGATGTCAAGATGTTGGAAGGGAGAACTCCGTCGAGAGGAGACGGCTAGGGAATGTCTCTCTCAAAAGGAAGCCAGCGTCTCCGGGGTAAGAGCCGTGCTGCCAGGCAGGTGGAAGTGAGCGGCTGCGCCTTGCGAGGCTCACTAGGCTGAGGCGCAGTCTCTGGGCGAACCAGCATCTCGCAGCCTCACTTTGTGCAGAAAGCCCTCTTGGACCTCGAGGCACCGGGACAATCTTGCTTTGTTGATCACGTCTGCATCGAAAGACCAACTAGAATCTCAAAAGACAAGGCATGTCGACGCACGTTCGCTTTTGAACACCGAGAAGGTCAGTTTCCAACGCCCAAGCCATTGGACAAAGCCTAACAATGCCCTCAGCGAAACAGTATCGAAGGCTCGATCGGTCTGCGGCCATCCCTCATGGCATCGCAGCGCTCTTTAATGGCCAACGGAAACAAGAGGCGGAAGTTGAACGATTGGGACTGCCAACCGTCTTATTTGATATCCTGCGAATACGGCTTTGCAAACACTTACCAACCCTGCCTGCCCGATGTCGCGCACGATCAGAGATGCAGTGCCATTTCTCACTCAGGTGTTGGATACGTGTCTAGCACCATCGACGTTCAACCTACTACTGCTCCAGGAATCCTTCCTCTGCTTCCTCCGCCAGCGTCCATTGAGTGCTCCGGCGCTTCCATACGAACACAGATAACAACAGATGAGAGACACTTATCTTACTATGGCACCACGAGCGTGTCGACGAGTTTTGCCTGCGCCTCTGTCGAAATGGCCGCTAGCCAGAGTGATATACATGCTGACCCCTCGGACGTCCAGGAAGAGGGTTGCGATGTGGACCAGGAATGTATTGCACCGGTATCAACCATGATTGTTTGTTATGGCATGCTGTGCAACATCCAATTTGAGCTCCTGGTGTCCGCCATGTCCTTGATCGAAAGTCAAGCCTTGTGCTGGGATGAGACCTCAACGTTGCAGCATCCAACCGAGGGGTTCGAAGTTGTCAAGCTTTCTGGAGTCATAGTAAAAGTGCTGCAGACGTTGGCATCTGAAGCGTTTGCGGAATTCCAATTCTGGCTCTCACCACAACAGCAATTTGGTCAGAACACGACTTACAAGTCAAGAGAGGGAGCAACCAAAGGGATCCTACACGCAGAGCCATGCTTGTCGCTAATTATCTACGGACCTAACAATATGGCGACCCATGTTGGTGATTGGCTTGACAGCTTAAAGATGTATCTTCAAGTGCCTCGAGGGTGCGATCGAGATGTGCCGTATATAAACCCCCATTGCCTTGTTTCGAACCAGCAGCCTATGATATACACTCACCAGTTTCCTGCCGAACTCACAGTGGACGAATTAGACGATCAAGATCCTCATAAAGACCTCTTCTCTGATCTATATACCGATTCGGTCTTCGACCTGGCACCACAGCCCTACGCCATTGCTTCGTCCCTCCACAATCACCAGAGACAAGCTTTGACCTTTATGGTTGAACGAGAGCACGGGTGGAATTTCACCGGTGCACGGAACGATATTTGGAAGTCCCACATTGATGCATTTGGTGTCCGAAGATACAAAAACACAGTGTGCGGATTTACGCAAACACGGGCCCCAGAGAGCTTCCGGGGAGGAATTATTGCAGATGAGATGGGTCTTGGGAAGACGTGTACGATGCTTGCGCTGATAGCGGCAAGCCCAATCCAACATGACTTCTCAACGTATGGGTCAGACTGCGTGAAAGGCACACTGATCGTGGTGCCTGTCCCACTCCTTTTTGTGTGGGAGAAACAGATCCAGGAGCATTTTCGGCGTGGCTACATTCGGCACACCATCTTCTATGGTCCTGACCGCCAGCAGAATACCAATTTCCAGGACTATGATATTGTCGTGACGACGTACACCACCGTCCTATCGGAATGGAAGAACCGCGGAGTACCACGGTCTCAAAAAGATTCGAGTCCCTTATTCAGGACATTCTGGCACCGAGTTATCCTTGATGAAGCGCACGTCATCCGGACAAAAGACACGATATGTGCGAAGTCGGTATATGCTCTACAAGGAGAACGTCGATGGTGTATTACCGGGACCCCTATACAAAATCGGTTGACGGATATCTTTTCTCTTCTCCATTTTCTCAGAGTGCACCCTTACGACAATATGCAGACCTTCCAAGAACAAATTCTACGTCCGTGGAAGTCGCACATGGATAAAGATGCATTGAGGAGGCTTCAATCTATCTTAAAAGTGATCACCATTCGTCGGGGGAGAAGTGTCATTACTCTTCCAGAAAGAATAGAGCACACAGAAGAAGTCTGTTTCACAGAGGAGGAGCGTGCTATGTATGAACAGGCGCGGACCGGTGCGATCGAGGTTCTGAACAGTGCCATGGATATCGACCCGTCAACATCCAGATCAAGCTACTTGAATGCACTCCAAAGAATCAACGACCTCAGGTACATCTGCAATCATGGCGCCACTCCACGACGACACAGGGAACCTTTCGAGCCCATGAATGCATTAGGAGAACTATTTCCTGCTCTCCTAAACGAAGCCCTTGAACGAGAGGCTGAGAATATGGACTCGCTATGCATTCACTGTGGCGCCAACCTGTTGCGGGAAGAGGAAGATAGGAGCCAAGTCCTTCTCACACCTGAAAGTTGCACCAATACCTCGCTATCTCCAGCATGCAGGAGCTGCCTTCAGTACGGCCCGCCGCCACTTTCGCCACCCGATTCGAAGTTGTCTTCCGGTGTCTTGTCACCGACTAGGCCAGTCAAATCCATGCAACCATCGAGCAAGATCAAGGCTCTAGTGGGCCAAATAACGGAACTCCCTCTCAATGACAAATGTGTCGTTTTTTCATACTGGACTTCGAGTCTGGATGCCGTCGAGGAAGCGCTGAAGCTGGCGTCGATCAAATTCTGTCGTTATGATGGTAAATTGAGTCAGGCACAGCGCAGTCATATGTTAAATGCTTTCACAAATGATCCTTCGTTGCAGGTACTCTTGTTGTCGATAACTTGTGGAGGGGAGGGGCTTGATCTCACTGCTGCAAACCATGCCTATCTCCTTGAACCGCAGTGGAACCCAATGCGGGAAGAGCAAGCCATGGCTCGAGTGCACCGACTTGGTCAGAAGAAGACCGTCCGCTTGGTTCGCTTGGTAGTGAAGGACACATTTGAAGAGAATATTATTAGGCTCCAAGGGCGGAAACGAACATTGGCCGATCTCATTGTCGACCGGTCGCCGCTGCAGGAGGGAACTGGTGGAAAGAAGCAGCTTTATTATCTGCGTGAGTTGGTAGCCTAGACCCGAAGACTGTGGGACATCTAGGGTTGTAGATATAGTGACAAGCCGTGTCCCCTGAGGCTGCTGTTCATTGGATAGGCGGATGCCCTGATGCTCAGATGGATTGTACAGGGTTCGGTTGTGAAATTAACGGCGACCTCTACACAACCTGCAGCCATTTTGACCATCTTCCATCCTTCCTCCCGCCGAGTTTCACTCACATGATGGTCTTATCGGCGAGCCCTCCAGAACGGCCCTGAGGAGAGCAAGCTGCTCAGACAAGCACAATTCGCGAAGTCTTCCATGTTCGCCGCTGCCGCAGCTTGTCAATAACAATGCGGCTTAGTTTCCGCGTCCGATGCTTGGTAGTCTTGGGCTAATCTCTGGGCCGATCCCTTTCTCACGCAGCGATCATGCTTTGCGCCGGACATGCAGAGGGGTGTGAAACTTACGGCTCCGCTCATCTTCGACTCGGTCTGTGCGCTGGCAAATGGCTGAGCACTTACGCACCCAACGGACCTCCAATCCTTCCTGCCACTTTGCTGGCCGGAACGCCTTTATGGAACACTTGAATCAATAGATACTGTCTATCCTGAACATAGGCAATCATTGGGACTTTTCCCACGAGGTAGTGTCTTACCTGTGTAGGTTATCAAGTGGAGCAATGGTGGACCAGCCCTAAAGCATATACCGAGTATTTAGTAGGTACCTTGTAGACCCGGCTCGCCCGCTACCTAGCTCGCTAGGTACTTTCCATATGGCGGGCCATGTGTGAGCATAGAGCGGCATGACTCTAAGCCGAAAGGAGAGTTGCCCGCTAATCACAGATTTTCCTCTTCTTGGCGGGCGTATGCGGAGAAACTTGCAAGTGCCAGTGGTTTCCAACAACTTGCGACAGCTCATATACTCAGTGCTCTCAGCAGGGCCCTCCACTGTTGACTCGCATTTCTTCTCGTCCAGCACATCTCCCGCCATGCCTCCCACTTCGACCTCCACGGAGGCACCGTCCCAACCAAGCCAGCCCTCGCGCAAGGGTAAAAAAGCGTGGCGCAAAAATGTCGACATCTCCACTGTCACCTCGGGACTGGAGGTTCTCCGGGAAGAAATAATCCAGCATGGGAAACCATTGGCAGAGAAGCATCAGAACGAGCTGTTTACGCTGGATACGACGGGCTCGAAGGAGGAGGTTTTGCTGCAGGCAACAAGAGCGGGGAAACCTCACAAAGGGAAAATTTTGAAGATGGATGAGATCCTGGGAAGGAGGAGTGCTGTTCCCGCATTGGAAAATTTGAAAAGCAACAAGAGGACGCTCGGTGCCGCTGTGACCGACGGCGTGCTCGAGCCATCGAGCAAAAGGCAAAAGAAGGACTGGGTGAGCAAGAAGGAAATTGCTCGGCTGCGGAACAACCTGGATAAGACATCGCATTTGGACGTGGAGGACATTGACAACGCTACCTCATCCTTCGATCTTTGGGCTGACAACGGCTCCTCCGACGCTGTTCAAGTCTCATCCGCAGCCGGCACAGCTACCACCTCGGCCACTACATCAAGAGAAAACGAATACGTCCCCAAACACCGCGCCAAAGTCGCTCCCTCATCCATTCGCCGTCCGCCTGTGGCTTTGACAGCAACCGGTCTGCCCACGCAAGCCGTACCGCAACCCGACGCAGGACAGAGCTACAACCCTTCATTCGAGGACTGGGACTCCCTGCTCACGCGCGAAGGCGAGAAAGAAGTCGAAGCCGAACAGCGCCGTCTGAGGGAGGCCCAGATTGCCGCGGAAAGACAGGCACGAATTGACGAGCTCGCTAACCAGCCCGATCCGAGGCCGGAGGACAACCAGGAAAGCGAATGGGAAGGGTTTGAGACGGAGGACGAGACTACCTCAATAGATCTTCTGAAGAGGAAGCGACCCGAACGAAAAACGCCCGCTCAACGGAACAAAATAAAACGCCGCAAAGAAGCGGAACGGCTCGCAAAACACGAGGCGAGAATGGCCGAGCGGCAGAGACGGGGCGAGGAGATTTTCCAGTCCCTGCTGAAGAAACAGGACCAGCACAGCGATGAAGTCGCCAACATCGACGGCCCCGAACGCTCCGATCTCTCCTCGTCCGCACCCGCTCCGCCTGCTACGGTTCTGCGGCGGAAACCCACACTAGGTCCCTCACGCGCCACAATCCCTCCCCAACCGCTCGAACTCGTCCTGCCGGACGAACTCCAAGATTCGCTACGCCGTCTGCGACCGGAGGGAAATCTGTTATCGGAGCGGTTCCGCAACATTTTGGTCAATGGCAAGCTGGAGGCGCGGAGACCGCTCTCGTACGCCGCGAGCAGGAAGAAGAGAGTCAAAGTCACGGAGAAGTGGTGGAGCAAGGATTTCTCCTTGCGCGTCTAAGAATACTGCTCCCGTTGCGTCTTCTACGCGTGCATGAGTGGTTGTTTAAAGGAAAAGAATGGGGGTTGGTTTGCCCTTTACACAGCAAAGACAAGAGACAGAAGAAGAAAAATTCTCTCAAAGTCGATCCTCCAGCCGGGGGAAAATTCATCAATCGATGCATCCGGTCTCAAACACTCCATTGTCGTTCCGTATTCTGCAGTAATCACTCACTCTGCGTCATGGAATCAAGTTCCACTTCCCCCCCTTCTACACCCCTTTACGCAGATGTCGGGCTTGGTAGCATCGTTTGCTTACCTAGGTAGGTACCGTTCCGAATATCTGTGCACCACCGACACCCATACGTGTATATATATGTTTATACATATACACACCCATACAGGAGCTCAGGGCTCACTACTGGACATTTCCACTGTGCAGGTCTCTTATTTGTAGCTTAACAAAACCGGTTTCGGATATGAAAAACACAATCTTGTAAGGGATATCATTATAGGTACTGCCGATTTTCCTACAGGTAGAGTCTGTGCGTCCATCCGTTCTGTTGGCCCTTCGTTTGGGGGTATATTTCGCGTTCCCTGCAGGTGGTTCCTCGAAAGACGCCACGCCTTCCCGCCCGGGCAGGTAAAATACCATGGCATGCCGTGCTCGTGTTGTGTTCATGTTCATAAGGCTAGAGCATAGACCCCCGCTGCCAGAGTCAAACCCTCCAGAGGCCAGGAGCCGTCCAAGCCGAAGGGGGATAATACCATTCCAGTAGTCATAAGACCCGAACATCCCGACTACTCACAACATCGCCGCTGCTTGCTCAATAATAAATCTTCTCTTCAAAGATAGGCGGCTGTCCGCCAGTTTCTTCCTCATTCCAGATAATCTTGCCCGTCTTCTCATCGAAACTGGCCCCTTCATCTGTCATCGGCGTTACCTTGTTTGTATGCAGACACTCCTGCCTCGACACCCCCATGGGGTCTTGGGGCACCCACAATAGAGGTGCAACTGCATTACAAGCCGGGTCTTGGTACGCATCTCGCTCAACTTCCGGCGAATATCTGATCTCGGCGAACTCCTGTGGCACAAGCTTCCGCAGGATTGCGTAACTAGCATAGACGTCGGGGCGGAAGAACCGCTTGATCATCGAAGTGTGTTTGTTGCCTCCAGGTGGCATTGTGCCTTTCACCACCCGTAGCTCCTCTAGCTGATCCTTTTCGTACATACTTGGACGCGAGGGCTGGCCGTCGGGACCAGTCATCAAGGCGGATTCCGTGTGCAGGAGGGCGGCCTCTTCGGCTTCAAGAGAACGAGGAAGATAGTGCAAGAGCGGGCGGACAGCAGCAGTCATGGAAATGTGGTAGAGCACCATAAGGATCAAGAAGACCACCATCAGGACCAGAGGCGCCGGAGCCGCTCGGATTCCAAAGAGGCCGATCAGACAAATGGCAGCCAAATAACAGCCGACCATGGTATGCTGCAAGGCTTTGGCATATACAAGGCCTTTGGTGTCGATGACCGAGCTGTCGACAAAGAGAAGACTGTAGCGGTACGCGAAATAAAACAGGGCTTGGCCTATGGCTGCGAATCCAAGCATGAGAGGGGCGATTGGGGCGTACGCTATCGATATCACAGTCATCAACCTATTTCCGATCAGTTAAGAGGCTGGGTTATACGTGTATGGGATATCTTACTCGACGATGGGAAAAACACTGCCCCAGCCGACAGAGGACAGGCTTGACCATCGGTTGTACATCTTTCGCGGCGTTTTGTCCAGGAACTTTGAAAGAGTGTTATATAGAACCAAGCCAACGATGTTGAGGAGCTGACCCGACGAAAATACAAGACCTTGAAGGATGAAATATGAGATGTAGAAGTTGGAAGCCAAGGGGAGGTTCTGAGCTAATAAGGTGGTCAACGATCCTGGGTTCTTGAGGATTTGCGGAACCGCTGCACTTGCAGCGCTGGTCATTGTGGTGACCAGGAAGACTTGGATCAGCTGGAACCAGAAATATGACTCGTGGCATCGAAGTTCAATGAGTGACAATGTCGGCAGACCAGCGAATTTGCCCATGAACCTCATTATTACTGCCAAAATTGTTAACCCGGGCTTACTACGCACGGATACTTCGAAGGAACGCGACTTGGGCATCGTGCCCTCTCACAAAGGGGAAAACGTACCTGGGACAAGAGACATGAGGATGGAGAGCATCACAACCGGCAGAAGATTCGTAATGACACCCAAAATGACCTTTGGGCATTTGTTGATAAACCGGAGGAAATGGATGACCTCGGTCAAGTAGGAAATCTGTGAGATGGAACCAACAACAGCGACTGGGATGGACCTAGTAAAGACGTTAGTGATGCCCATCACATTCAAGACCCGTGTCACAGAAGGTGAGCAATAGTCCCGAAGAAATGCAATCAGGAGAAGAGACCGGAGATTCTTCTTCGATCTGACGGCGGCCACTATCAACCTAGTCTCTACCAGGGACTTGGAAGATACAGACAATGCGGCATCTTGTGCAAGCGGGCTGATAAGCGAATGGACTTACCAGAAAACGATCAGGGCGGCGATGAAAGCCAGCGCGATAATGTTGCGGATGGTAAGTGTTTTCCATGTTATGCCCAGATTTGGCCAGACGACTTCCTCTGGACTGAGACCGACCACCCGGGGAGACATATGCAAAGGCTGGTGGTGAGTGACCATCTGGAAAGCACTCTGAGCTTGAGTCTGGTTCCAGAATTCGACGAAGACAGCATTCTTTGGTGCGGCTTCGCCCGCGCGGTATTTGTCCTGTTCGGCCTCGATCAAAGGATTCAGCCTTGCAATCTCCTCACGGCACCAATTGACGGTGTCCACTTTCCTGCCAACCAAGAACTTCAAGCGGTGTGTTGGTCTGTCCTTCGGTCGGACCCATCGAGCAGCAGCAGCGCCAGACTCAGCGGCATACTCATCTTGATCGTAGCTGGCTGTGGGTCGCTCAGGAGCAGCATTCTTGCCTTTGATGGATTTCAAGCGAGCATCATTGGCCAACTTGATCAGTTTAGTCTCGGCGGTTTCCAGTTTGATGCAAGTCTTGTAACGTTCCTCCACCATTTCCTCCAATTTCTTTGCATCTGAAGCTACCCAGACATTCTTGAGTTCATCACCGAACATGCGCCTGATCTTGGCTTCGTTGGCGTATTCGTTGGGAACGGCCTGGAACAGCACAGTGCGCGAAGAAATCCTGGAAGCATACAAAGGCGACAAGAGGTACGCCTGGCGCAAGTTGATGTAGTAGATCATTTCCCTGGTGACCAAGAAGAAGATGAAGCCAATAAAGATCCACGCGATGAAGGTGTGGGCAAGGTAACGATTCTTATCCACAACGTTGCTAAAGCTGAGAATGTTGAGTTGGGTTTGACCACCTCCACCAGTGGCGTTGATGGGGAACAAGACTGGCCATGTGATGAGACAGCCGACCACGCAGATAACAATCGACATTTTGAGATAGCGCAGCAGAAAGTAGCCGTCGAGGGAGTTGTGTTGAAGAACGTACTCGTCGGGCAGCTAAGAACCAACGAGGTTAGAGAGTACTCTTTCCCTGGTGACTATCGCACACTTACTTTTCTCATGAAAGGAATCCAACCAAACAAGGTGTTTGGGGGCGCAGGGGTGCGCTCTTGCGGACGCAGAGCGCCCAGGTACGTCCTGGGAGCATATTGTCGAGGAAATCGAGTTCTCAAAAGCAGAAAGACTGCGAAATAGACGACAGCGATGATGAGAGTTGGCACCAGGGTTGAGATCAGACCAGAAAGGGAAGGGGAGCTATTTCTGCTCGAGCCAACGTTCTTGTCGTCGTTTGCATTGGTATCAGGAGCCTGACGGACACTGAGGACGGCATGAAGAATGTCCATGGTAGATAGTTGACGGCACCGCAGTGCGCGAACGCGTGTGGTGTTTACACTGGACCACAAAAGACTCGCAGAAGATTTGTGAAGCAAGCGAAGCGAAGAACAAGAAAGAATCAAGCAAGGATCACGGCACACTTAAAAAGTCGCATGGTGGGTGAAGAGAAGTCTGGTATAGGAATGCCCATGCATCTGGAGATTGTCCGGCTGCACGAGTATTTACCAGGTCGATTGCTGTTGCGTGTGTGGAAGCATTGGCCCTGATTTTGGCCGAGTCCGTCAGGCGCAGAGGTTGTCACCAGCACCGCCATGACGCCGACGTGCAGGTGAATTGGGGGCGTGGCCACCGAGGCTATTGGGCGCTACGGGGCCTTTCAGGGATGCTAAGGCTGCGAGGCTCACCTTGGGGAGTGCCGAGTGGTTCGCCAAAGCAAGCCCAATCCAGGCTGCAGTGGCCGCTGTACCCCTGTCCGCCTGTGCCCACTGCCTACTACCTTGGTACTACGGAGTATTGCGCATACCTCAGGGCACAATGGAGGTAGGTCATCCCGATTCCAGCTCGACTTGTAGTTGGTGCCTCATCCTTTTGGCACATGTCCCAGCTAAGCCTGCTAAGTGCCTACCAAGTGCCTACCAAGCTCCTCTTGGCCCGTACCCGTCAACTCTTATCCTCACCCGCTGAACTCTAAAGACCCTGATGATTTCCCAGAGAATTACTCGTACCACAATTGAACTTGTCATCCCCGTTCCTCTCTGCCGTTACAGGATAAAACGTCGGTCCAGAATGTGACCCCAAACTTCGTATTCTGCTTCCGCTACATTTTTCAATCCATACCCTTGAGATGCAAGCATGACATGCATCATCTCACAACCTCAGAAAGGCGAAGGTATCCGAGCTGACTCGTAAGGAATTTCGACATCGCTTCCGACGTCTCGATTTCGCTTAGAAGAATCCACCCATCGGCCCCGCCAGCCGAACCTCCAAGGCACTGGTGGCACCCAAAAACACCTTGCCAGCTGAAAAAGCAGATTTGCTGTTTGCTTTTTCTCAAGCCACAATGCAGGATTTTCCCGTTGAGGCGTGTGGCTGTGCTAAAATGTTGCTGTTGACTTCGGGGTGCATCTCTGACGATTGAACAAGCGATATGGACAGTCACAACATAACATGTTCGGGCTAGAGAAAGTCTTCAGACTCGGAGTATGCGAACACTTGTAGTTCCCAAAGTCATCAGTTACTGGGCAACGAATAAGCTTGCATCAGTGATCAAGGGATCGAGGAATTCAGGAGATGCTTTGTGGATTTCTTTGCTTTTTCTGTTTGTGGATAGCTCTTATTCACCAGCTCTATCTCAATCCTGATAAAGTTGTACAGAATCTTCCCATGTTCGAGATGTGTCACCTGTCCAGATCCGACAGCCGCCTAGACAAGTCCAACATCGATCTCGAAGTCTGCTTTCCTCTAGCTCCAGCTTCAACATCTTGTGTATGATCAAGATTACCATTCAAGGTTTTGAACAAATATCAGGCGCACGGCCATGTCACACATATTTGTGCTCCGGTGTGATGTTGCCTTAGCCAGTCCTTCCTCCCAAATGTCCCTCGAGACAACTGACCGTGCCTCTGAAAAAAAAAGTTTCGGAAGAGCGAACAGGAAATGGTTATCCAGTTTGCAAAAGCCATTGCGAAAGTGTATCACAACCCCAAGGTGACTCCATGTCTCGCCGTTTCGCCATGTGTGTAAGCAACTGTGCCCAATACAGCACTCAAGTCAAGGTCGTAATGTCATGAATGCACCAAAAGATCCTAATTTCTTAAGACCTTCATAGCCATGGCTTCGCAATCGACCCGAGCTTGTCCTCGAAGATGCCGCCGTACAAGCCAGCGATTTCGTCGAGATAGTCTTCCACACCAAACTTGTAGAGGCCCTTGCCCAGGATTTCCTGTTCTTCCTCATCAAGGAGCCTAGCAGTGGCACCGAACTCTTCGGCGACCTCGTTCACTTGTGCCAGTTCTCTGCCGAACGGGTGTCGGGTCTCCGCAGACGAGTCGGCAGTGCTTCGCGGTTGGGTAATGTTGACAGGAGGTGGCGACATGCGTTGAATAGATCGCTTCCGTGATAATTCAACATGTGCTTTCTTCGAATGCGATGGAGCTCGTTGTGGGACCACAGGTGTGTCAAAGGTTGGTGAAGCAATGGCGGGAAGGAGGGGAGTGGTCTGTTTCGAATCGAAGAATGACTTGGTGTCTTCGTTCGCAGGTGTCACAGGAGTGGCAGGACCGCTGCTATCGATGGAAGAATTGTCATTGCCCGCACTGGTGAGGAAACTGCGGTCGATGGTTGAGAAATCGGAGTCGTTGCCCGACGAAACTGAGCCTGAGGACGACCCAGAAATGCTCCGAATGTCTGGAGCGGTCAACGCCTGCACGTTGGTCGTAGAGATCAACTCGGTTGGCAAAGAGATGAGACTGCGATCGATGGTGCCTGGAGCATATCTAACTGTTGTGCCACGTTGCAATGGTGCTTGGTCCACAAGGTTGCGCTTGACGCGCTTGGTGAATGCTCGAGAGATAGACATTGTGGACGATGTTGTTGATGGAGATGATTGCGAAGGGAGGTCAAATATCCTTTAGACACGGTCGCAGGCACGAGACCTTGGGGATGTTTGCGCTCGGCAATGCGAGGGCAAATGAGGTGGGCCTGTGCGTCTTGTTTATGGGGTTCCGGCTTGCAATTTTGTTTTGGTATTGTGGTAACGCGGTAGAAGTTTATCCGCTCGAACACGTTTTAAATCGAATCGAATCGATGTCTTGTAAGGAATGACAGTTAAGGATTGCTGATATGGCAGGACGCAGTCCGCTCGATGAAGTCGTGTTGCGAGTGAAGGCAACGGGTGACAAGAAGGTAGTGTAAACACTTGGATTTGGTGAAAGAGTGGATAGCTTCGACTGTGCGGTACCACGACGAATCGACCGTCGAGTAAAGAGTGTGACTTGTGATGGAAAGAAAGCACGAGAGAGCAGGATGGAGGGTCAAAAGAATGACTGAGTGGGAAGAGTATTTGGGAAACGAAAGACTTTTTCTGTCGGGATTGGATGTTGGGGGGACAGAAGGGCAAGGGCGAAGTAAAAGCGAGGATTGAAGCTGCAGGGAGAGAAGGGAAAGATGCAGCAAGATGGAGTTGATGGAGTTGGACAGCGCGTGCAGCCGCGGCTTGCAATCCAAACACAGGGCGACCCGGGCGACCAGGGTCCATCCACAACATGAAAGCCCACCCGTCTAGGCTCCCTGGGTTACTTCGTAGGGCTCCCTGGGAGTCTAGGTGGGTGCTAGGCTCCCGATGGAATGCTCTTGGCTGCCATAGGCACTCAACGCTACCCCAGTCGTCGACTGCGGTCCACTGAAAATCTCAACTTGCCCCCGCCCGGTGCCGCCCAGATGAAGCACTGGCGCCCAACATCTTCATTCTCTCAGTGGCCACTCTCAACGCCACCAACTGCTCTATACCTCGCACAGACTAGATCCTAGCTCCCACGCTCAGCGTTATTTGCCTCGTTGTGCCCGTTCCCGATTTCTCAGGGGCTGCACGAGCACGAACCTGGGCCGTCCACATCCATTCAGAGCCGCCAAATCGTTTTCAGAGCCGCCGAGGAGGTGATGTGAAACGACGACCGACTCCTACATGAACCACTCAGACAGCTGATTGTTCACGTCAGGGCGCTTCTCCTAAACTCAGAAATGCGAGGATCTTCACTTGGGCTCCCCGGCCTGCTTGTGAAGAGGGGGAGAAGATAGAGACAGACTCAGGGAGAAACAGACCCGATCCTGACCTACCCATGCCCATACCCCTCTACGAGTCCTGAGTACGCAGCATGCGAGTCTTCAGGACCCAGCATACCGATTCCTTCTCACTGGATATCTCTGCTCTATTCTTACATTACCATTGCGACATGCGCCTCACTCGTCAGTCGGTGCACATGGCCAATTTAACAACGGTATGACAAGCCCTTGAATGGCAGGCAGAACGGGTACCTCGTACTCCGCACATCACATCCCATGCCTCTCCGCCAACTCAACATGGACAGATCTTCAACTCCGACGTTTGAGAATGCTGGATACGGAGTAGCCAAGCGGACACTGACCACAGTGCTTACATACAAGTCACAGCTTGGGAGCCTCCTCTCCACGGATTATGCCTGGTCGGATTCGTTTCAGAGACAGACCAGAAAGAGACTTGGCACTCCTGAGCTTTCCAAATCGAGGTCGACCCAAGTTTCATGTGCGTGGTGTTTCGAGAGGCGAACTCAAACCAGCTTCCCCGTCCAAGGGGGTTTCCCGTAGCTCCAGTCATAGCCTCATAGGTACCGAGGACAGCAGAGTCAGATGGAATGAACAGCATTTTGTCTTCCCTGTATGAAAGCCCCGTCCTCGAACTTCGAGTTCAGCCATTCGCAGGGATGCCAAGCAAAATAAATCTCCTGAGAGAGATTCGTGCCCCTCGACTTCAGCCTTGCGACTATGCGCGGAGCATCTTCTCCGCAACCAAAATTCCGCGAAAGATTTGTCGTCTCCGCAGGTTGAACGCGCACCGGTAATGTGAATGAACTTTCAACACCATTGAAGACTTTCGCACATTCTCCCTCCTCTTCCCTCTCCAAACGCTAGCTACCCAGGTAGTCTTCACTGTCGAAGCTACAATGACAGCTCCAAAAACTCAAGTCCTAGAAACCTCTTCGACGTATTAATAGCAAACAAGATGGTCCGGATCAAACACCGCTACCTCCTCTTCAACATCCTCTACCCCTCCGCTCCCACGTCCTCCTCCATACCAGCACCAGCACCAGCACCAGCGCTAGGACCAGGCTCAACACCGAAAGAAGCACCAACACCACCGGCGGCTGCTTACATCCTCTTCCTGCGCCCATCGCCGGGCCACCTCACGCCCGCTCTCCTAGTGACGCATGTGCGCAACCAGATCCAGACGCTGTTCGGCGACCACGGCGTGTCCGTGACGCAGTCCTCGCTGCGGCTCGTGTACTTCTCGCCCTCGACCTCGACGGGGATTCTGCGCGTGCCCCGCGCGCACTTCCGTCTCGTGTGGGCGAGCCTGACTTTTCTCACCAATATCCCTCCTCCCAGTACTTCTCGGGCCGGCGGCGGCGCAGGAGGGAGAAGAGGTGGCAGAGAAGTCGTCGACGCTACAGCAGCACGTCCGGAACTGGCTTGTGTGGTCCGGGTGGTCAGGGTGAGCGGGACGATCAGGAAGAGTGAGGAGGAACTGCTCAGACGGGCGAGGAGGGAGGTCGTCCGGGCCAAGCTGCAGGGCCGAAGTACAGGTGAAGAAGGCGATAATGATACGGTCCTGGAAGGAATCTTTGCAGGGCAGAACGGGAGGGGACCGCGGAAGGGGAAAGAGAAGGCTGATGCTGTCGGGTTCATGGGCGCGGAGGAAGAAAGCATTGTGGATTTTGACGAGGACGAGGAGGACTTTGAAAATGATTCGGGTTGAGGAAAGAATTCTTCCTCGACGAAAGACAGCCTGGGGTATCTAACAGCAGAGCGCAGCATCTCGAGTATGTGACGCCCACAGAGAGCGTCAAATGTTCCAGAGATCAAGAAACACCACACGACGGCACCTTTGCCGCCACATCCCAAAATGCCCCGGCTCCTCGTCATGGCCGTTGCACTAGCATATCTCTCACCGCAAAGGCAGCGACCGACCGGCTACTTTCGACGCGGCAATAACCACTGAGAGGGAAAGTCGAATTAGCGTCTTCATCTTCTTGAGCGGCCCATCCACCGGCAATGTCATGAAGGCTTCTTCCCACTCCTCACGACTTTTACACCAACATCTTTCAGCGGCGGTAAGTCCATGTCCTCATCCTCTCCATCCTCGCCCATCGCCATCATTGCTTCTCCGCTCTTGGCCCACTCCTCTTCCCTCCGCTTCTGCTCCTCTTCCCACTCCTTCCTCTCCAACTCATCGTACTCCTCCCTTCTATCGATCCACCGTTCCTGGACGTCCCTCACATCCATCTTACCAACCCCTTCTCTCACAGCGACCTGCCAAACAGAGTCATTTGCGCCCTCGGCGCCACCGAACGCATACCCGCCCGCCCGGTCGATGGTGTGCAACAAGCTCATCATACTCTTTTTATCCTCGACCGCCAACGTCTCGAAACCGACCAACCCGTACTCTTCGACGAGCTGGACAATCGCCTCGTTCAACGCTTGGAACTTCCCGCCTTGCTTGAACATCGGCGACTCTTCCTCGAGGTAAGGGAGCAGGTACGAGAGGTCTTGGACCTCGGTGTAGAAGTCCAGGTTAAACGGTAACGGGGGGTATTTGCTGAGGTTATCGATCTTTGTGAGGACGTTGATGTGTGTAAAGTCGAGTTGGAGCATGCTCCGTAGCGACAGCAGGAGGGTGGAGATGTAAAGCGAGGGCAAAGTGAGGGCGTACGAGTCAATCAGGTTGACCACAACTAGCTGTAAAACAGCAAATGGATAACAGTTCCAGTCAGCCCAAGTTCTTCGTTCCAACGATTCACACATTTAAAGCATTCCCAACAAATGAGGGAAGGATCGTATAGCTTGGGGAGGAACAGGGAAAAAACACACACACGAAACCCGATCTTCTCCAACCTGGCAAAGATCCTCCTGAGCGAGCCATGATGTGTAAACAACTCGACCTGACCGGGACAATCGAACAGAACATAATCATCGCCCAAACTCTTGAGCCGTTCCTCGAACCAGCCCTCGAGGTTCTCCTCGAGCTCCTCGAGCGCGTACAGCACGCCGCCGTTGGGACCGAGGGCGATGTCGTCGTCGCGCATGATGGTCTCGAGCGAGATGAGGTCGCGGATGTCCAGCGCGGGCTCGTAGGACGCGTACGACGACGTGGGTGCTGGGTCGTTGGCCGGGTCCAGGTTCACCACGGAGCACTTGCGGCCGATGGCGCCCATGAACTGTTGCATGCCGTTGCAGTAGGTGGATTTGCCGGCGCCGGGCGGGCCGATGACGAGTTGCGCAAAGGGCATGTTTGTGCGTGGGGAGAGGGAGGTAGGTGGAAAGATAGTGTGAGACTAGTCAGACCGGTAAATTTTTTTTCTTCAGCACTCGGGTATAGGGATCTGGATCGGTAGGCGGCGTGGTGGGCTGTTTGATGGGTTCGCAGAGGCGGCGCCGCAAGGCATAAACGAGGGAATGAGTAGGGCAGTCTACCTAGGTAACTACCTGGTAGGTAGGTATTATCGTCCTCGGTCGGTCAGTGGGCGTCGCAGAACTGTGCCATTAAATGCGACGCACATGCACTGTGTACACGCAATATTGTATGGGAGAACTTGAGACTGTATGTGAGAGTGGGAAACACAATGTCTAGTGATGGTGGAAGAAGGGCAAGTTGGACTCAAGGCGGTAACGGAGGGCAGAATCTCGTCCGATACTCCGCCAATAAAATCGCTCGCCATATGCTTCAGCCATAAAGTCTTCGCGGAGTTTCAGCCTTGCGAGCTTCTGCAACTCGTTTCGAATCTCAGCTTGTATCCTCTTCTGTGGCAGAAAAGCATCTCGCAAGATAAAGCCATATTTCCATTGACCCGGGTATCGATGTACATACATCAGAGCACATAATCCTCCCGTTTCCACACCTTCAAGCGTTAGAATCCGTCCGGCCCGCGCCCTTCTCAGCACCCTTGGCTTCGACTTGTCACTTGGATGAAACCAATGTTTCGGTATCAGCCATGCTCTGTAGACAATCCTTCCTCCCGGCTTCAACTGGTTTCGAAGCATCTGTGTCCAATTTGCACACTCCTCCTTTTGCGTTGGACCACCCTTCCGTTCCCAATCGGAAAAGACCGAATAATTCGCTGACCCAGCTGCTTTGTCCATTGGCCCCTTGCTTAAGATCGATGAGGTCCGCGTGCGTCTTTCCTGCCTCATTGCCGACACGAGTGCTGCCCAACATTGCAATACCCAACATTTCAACATCAGATCCTTCCTCTATGCTCTTGCCACGCTCAATAATCGTAGCTTCATCGCTTCGACGGCCAGGAACAATGGAAAACCGAGCCAGCACGTTTTTGAACAGCCCCGATCTAGGTGACTCTGCGCCTCGAAGAGTCGATTCACCTGAGCTCGTCCTTCTGCCGCCCTTAACGCTGACGGACGAGGGATAATTGGTAAAGTCGTCGCGGGCAGGATGCTGGAATTCCGCTTTGATTTTCCGTTCAAACACTTCATCCTTACAATCTTTTGCTTGACCCTGTTGCTGGGCGTTGAAGAAGGACAAAGGAACATACGTCAGTTCCTTCTTACTCGATGAAGCATGTATGCTTCTCAGCACCCGAACCGTCAGGAAGGTACATGTTGCTGAAGGACTTAGGCCATCTCTGGGTCGACATGGGACCCGGAATGGTTTGGCGGAAAATCTGGCTTGCATCATAGTATCATAGTCCCCGATAACATCGACGAGCTTAACGAAGGTGTTGTAAAGCTGCCATCGACTCCCTTCGCCAATTTTTGATACGGCGGACTGATTGAGAAGTATCCTCAAAATCTCACTGACAGTGGAATCATCAAACCGATGTAGTTGGGCCAGCTGATCTTGTGATAAATCACCGCATTGCATCGTGACATAAGGCAAGTGGTCTTGCGAGGCAGTTGGGACGAGAACGTCGAAGCTTTTGTACATGGTGGGACGGAGCATAAAACAAGCGAGATGCACTCCGGGCGGTGGAAGATGCTCGGACGATGCGCTCCGTCTCATGCGCTCGATCTTAGACACCATCTCATCACAGTTGACTTGCATGCTCTTAGCCAGTGGTTCTGCGATTTGCGCAATGGTGGCAAACCGGTATCCCAGTGCGGCAAACTTGGCTGCCTCACTCCTGCTTATTTGTCGATGAAGGAAGAAATATTTTCCTCGAGCCACCACATACGGTGATGAAAAGCCTTGCTCTGCGTCGGCCGCATTGTTGTAGAATTTGGCTGATAAAGGCCTGATGTTGATTCTCAAGTGCCTGTGAATAGAGATTGTTCCTGTGTCCAGGGGTTCTTCAAACAGAACTCCTAGCCTTTCCAGGGGCTGGTGAATAAGATTCGCCAGCTGCTGGGCCGTGACACAAAACAACTGCTTGAATATTGGAGCGAAGTTGAACGAACCCGCTAGGGCGTCATCTGGCAACTTCTTGGAAGTGTTACTGGGCCGGTATTTCCTCGCTATTGGGTCGTTTTCGATGTGCTCTCTCATGCTAGGAAGGTGGTCCCGCAGCGTTATCCAGTTGTGGGATGCTTGAAAGATCCAGAGGTAGGTTGGATGAGACCTGCTAAGTTCATCTTCTCCAAAGGTCTAAAACGCCGGGTCAGTACAAGGAACGCTTCATCTAAGAGCTGCCTACCTTCTCAATATAGTGGTTTGTTATTTTTTCACTAGGCAAGGTTCCTTCCTGGGTGACCATCACTTTGCCCTCGTCATCGAAGTAAGCGCAAGCCAGCACCAGGCGCTGTGCTTTGATTCTGGCAGTGCGTTTATTGCGCCCTCGGATTAATGCCACCACAAGAAGGATGACACAGGAGGCCATTGACTAGAGGAAGGTCACATCAGCTTCAATTTCTGTAAGATCGGGCAGTAAACTAACAAGAGCGGCTGCGATGACTGCGGTTTGGCCCCTCGAGTTTCCGTGGATGTTCAGATCGCCTTTCCAGTGGTATCCTGTACCAACCGCTGCTGTCCAGTGCATTCCGGAGACAGCAGTGGCGAGAATGACACCACACAGGGCTCTTTTCCACCAGCCGTCTTTCCATGCATCCCGCAGTCGGAAAAAGATTCCAAGAGCAGTGAGACTGGCCAGCTCGGCGATGACGGCGGAGCCGACGACATTCTGGACTCGGTATGAGCAAACATAGTTCTCGACCCCGTATTGGCCGATATAATGCATGCCACAAACGGCGGCTCCAGTGAGACAGGCGGCGATGGCAACATGAAGCTGACGAGCTCGAGTCGGCATCCCAAGAGCGTAGAAAGCGAAAAGGAGTACAAGAATTGGCATAAAGAAAGAGATTGCGGTGAAGCCGGAGTTGTAGAGTATCTGTCGCTGGGGGTCTCCGTTTTGTAGCACGATAGCTCTATTACCCACGAAGTGCATGCCCCAGATCCCGATGCCGCCCATGGTGATGGCGGATGCCACAAGCAGAAACCTCGAGATTAGTTAGTGGTCAGCGATTACGGTGAGAGAAGAGTGAACTTGCCAATTGTACGCTCCACTCCTCGATGTGCGCCTTTGGAGCAGTTCCAGCGTGGTGATACATCCTATGAGTGAGGTGAAGAACGAAAGAACTATGTGAGCAGCATCGTATGTAACAGTGGTTTGGGAGGGATCAGAGCTGGCTCGGATCGCAAAATGATGCAGCGTGAAGACGGCATTGTGGTCCATTCGTCAGCAGGGGTGAGGGTTTCCGGTCTCTTTAAGGACTTGGAGCCTCCAGCAAACAGTGCGAGGAGGTGGAATGGAGAGAGAGAAGCTGCGAGCCAAGTTGGATAAATTGAAGTACGAGTGAGCAGAGGGGAAAAGGAGGGCACTCAGTGGAGCTGGAATACTAGAAATGAGGGAGGCAGACAGTGGGCAAGGTAAGGTCAAGGTGCAAATGATACGAATTTGAGAGGCGTCAGTTGCACTGGAGGAGCAGTAATGAAAGAAAAAGAAGACAGTGCTCACAGGGAATGAGGCGCATATATTCAACAATTGGAAGCGACGATGCTAAAGGACGCTCTTTTTCTTTCTCTCATTGGGGACAAGCGATCAAGTCTCAGAACTCAGGAAGGCGCGGCCACTAAGCCAATGGGCAACAGCTTTCAAGATGTCTAGTGCAGCTGAAGCCCGGAAGGATATGGTGGGATCTGGATTCAAGTGAAGGACGACTATGCAGGAGAAACGCGTAAAGAGTGTCTGAGCACACGGGCTGGGTGTGTATGAGAGAGCCGAGGACGAATGAAAGCGGACCATGGCGCATTGATGACAGGTCTGTCCAGAGGAGTGCAAAGCAAGGGATCGGGGGAGGCGAAGGGGTTTGCTTTTAGGACCAGAATCAGAACTGGACATCAGCATCGGGGCGAAGATGTGCAGCGTCCAATTAGGAAAGTAGAAAGAGTGTGTGTGCGTCTTGGGATGAGGACTGAGAGCCAGTTTGAGGTTGTCAACTGACAGATTTGACAAGTTGACAGGCTGGTTGGACACCTGTCGCTGATGCAAGGAGGCGAGGAACTAGTGAGTCTCTTTCTCCCCAATTCCACAAGCATTGCGATGCTTCCAGGCCTAGACTGCAGCAAGTGTCATCTAGGGCAGGGTAGAGGGGTGTCAGAGAAACGCAGAACAGAGCAGAACAAAGTGAGCAGACAGTGAGAGAGAAGTGAAAGACTCGGAGTGCAAAGTGAAATGTCGAAAGTGAAGTGACAAGAGACTGTGTAACACGATGTTCCCAGTTCAGACTAGTCGACCATCGCTAGGCCCAACGCTACACCGCATCGGGGCAGTTACTTCGATCTCTTCCCATCCCGCGATCGCCAGGCACCGGTTCTTTGGGCACGATTCATATTGCTACCCAGGTACCTAGGCCCCTAGTACTGGGTGGCTACCTAGGCACCGTTCGGCGAGAATCTCAGTAAACAGATCGAGTCAAACGTAGAATGCCACAGAGAGAAAGGTCGCACACGTCTATCATTAGAAAGAATACCACTATTTTATCTGCGCTTTTGGGTGGCCTGTTACTGTGGAGCCGATTTCTGTCCCTTGCCGCCGCCATTGGGAACCACCGTCTCTTCGTCTTCACTGTCGCTCGCCAGATCATAGTGCTGGGCTTCCATATTCCCATGTCGCCGGCTTGACGCCAGGTCATCCAGTTCGCTTTCGTCAAAATCCCCGGCTTCCACATCTCCGCGACCTTTCCGCATTGAGCCGTTGGCAAGCGGGACACTGATATACCCTTGACTGCGAGCCTTCCGTCTTCCTCGCCAAACCCAGTAACCAAACAAGGACGCGGCAATGAGCACAACCACCAAAGCCGCCTCGCCGCTGCGATAGTAGGCTTTGAATTCGGCGTCTTTCAGCTTCTGACTCTCCTCTTCCGCGCTGATGGTGCTGTTCGCCGGCGCTTCAACCTCCGTTTCGGTGCCCACCTTTTCACCATCAATGAAGCTATCAGACGGCTGGCCACCAATGCCAGTCACGTCCACCCCGATAAATCGATCAAGCATATCTCGAGTCCGTCGAGGGTAGTCGAACGGCACCATATGACTCGAATTGTAGAATTTGACATAGGTGAGGTTCCGCGCTTCTTGATAGATGCCGGCCTGTTCCCCTTCGAATTCCCAATCGCGCTTCGGGGCTATGACCCCCGGAGACAGCTCAAATCCCTTGCCGCCTAGCCACTGCATGTTGTTGACAAAATCCTCCGTTCCGACATGATTGCAGATCAGGTCGTCCGCGCCACTGAACAGGAGCACTGGAACGCCCTCCTCGAGAATGCCCGGAAGCAATTGAACACTCGGTTTCGAGTGCCTAGCTCGGAACGAAGAAGAAACAGCCCCCGAACACTCGACCCACCCAGTCCGCTTGTCGGGGTTCACGTGCAGGGCTGCAAGCACGTCGTCCCGACGCAGATAAGGCGTCACGGTCTCCAAATCCGGAGGCCAGGCCATTCCGCACGATGGCCACTTGTCTTTGAGCTTGACGTCATACATGTTGTAACACATGCCGTTCTTCTTGGACACGTCGAGAATCGTGGAGAGAACAGCCTCGCACGCACTGACGTCCACCGTTTCTGTCCCGCCAGGCTTGCCCAGTTCGGTAATGCAGGATGCCTGCGCCGCCTCAACTCTGGCTGCTTCAGGAGTACCGCCTTGGATGATTCCAGACTGGTATGCAAACGGAAGATAGGACTGATATTGTTCAGCTGGAGCAATCCAACCATTTCCAATGAGAAGCCCCTTAACGTTCCATGCCCCCTTGCCCTGATCTTTCACTTTAGCGTTGCGATCCAAAACAGCCCTTGTGATATAGGGAATGTATTGCCCGGCGTATGATTCGCCTGCGAAGTACAGGTCGTCGTTCTCGTACTGTGGAAATAGCCCAAACCACTTTTCCATAAAGACAAGGAATTGGTCCGCCATCTCCTGCAGTTCACGGAGGTAGCTGTCCGTGTTCACGTAGCTGAAGCCGGTACCGACAGGGTTGTCCACGAATAATACGTTGGCGAATTCGTCCCAGGATCCATTGTTGTAAGCCAGTTTTCCTCCTTCTCTTACCCGGTAGGGTCCCAACTCCATCAATGCCCCGTCCATCGAGCTGCATCCCGGTCCACCATTGAGCCAGATTACGGTTCGTGCTCGGTCGGCGATGTGTCGGTTCTGATAGTGCCAGAAAAAGATGTGTCCGTTGTGTTCAGGGGTGATTTCAACATGTCTGCATACATCAATATCTGTTTCCCCCAATGTGTAGGGGCTTCATACCCGGCGTGCATCTTCAGGAGAGGGCCATCTGGCTGTCCTGGCAGCGAATGGACATAGTAATCAGCTGCGGTTTTATCCGCCCATGCTGAAGAGATGATGGACAGCAGGGCGCATGTTGCCCAAAACCTGGTCATATTGTAGGAGGAACTGCGAGAAAGGTGCTACCGCTCAACTGACATCTCCGGGCTAGGTGTGCGAGGGAGTCGCGAGGACGGATAATGCGGTGGAAAGGAAGGGTTTGGTCGAGTAGTTGGTCTCCGTGCCCGTGGCGTGTTTGAATGTTATATTGAAAAGGAGATTCCAGGAGAGAATGATCAGTCTTTATGGAGAACCTGAGGCAGGTTCCTAAAAGACACCCTATCGGCAAGTCGCAATTGGGGGCGCGATCTAGAACAAGTCTGACTTGAGCCAGCTGTCCGATTCCGAGCGGAGTTCGGGGACAACTGGTGCAGGGAACACAGGTAGGACACCGTTCGCTCGAGACGACTCGGCACAATGAAGAAGGAAGAAATAGTATCTCGAATGAAAATGACAGGATCTTATTGAGAAAACGAGAAGATGAGAAACAGCAAATGCCCCCTGGCTGAGCCCAGATGAGCCGAAGTGTTGACGAATCCCCGTCGGATAAACGTGGCTTGGCTTTTTCCGCGCGGCACCATGCGTGACCATGTCGCCGCCTCGCCCCAGATCGACAGCTTGGATGCGCTACCTCCCTTCCATTGAGGATCCTGAAACGCCGTATGCCAGAAATTCCATCCCACAGCATGCTGAAAACTGAACCTCCCATGCAAGCTCATATCGGAACACAACCTATCCGGAGCTCCTTGGCTCCACAACTTTGTCTGGACCTCTCCGACATTCCTCCCTGTTGCTTCAGGAAGAAAACAGCAAAGGACAGGAGATCTTGCATGTAATCTCACCAGGACGCGATGGTTCTACAGAATACATTGGACTCTGCGGGAATTGTGAATGAAAATGAAATACAGATAGGGCAACCCAACAATCCAGGTGGACTACGGTCGTCCATGACTTGTACCTCGTACTGTTGTATGCTTCAGCCCAAAAGGCGCAAGGTAAGTTCAGAGTTGCTGATGGACGGCCGCATAACACCGTCGCTCTAGGACTGTACAGATGGTTTCTCCTTGAGCGGTGGTACGTTGCTGCAAAACCAGCACGAAGTGAAGATGGCATCGATGATCGATGTTTTCTGCCGGACGACCAGCCTCAATGGAGGACCCTATTGTTCTTTTGCGCCGCACCTCGATTCACTCACTGGCAACATTGGCAAAATTTTTCAATGGCTGTCCATTCATTCGTCCATTGAGACAGTCACTGTGAAGGAATATTCAACGGCTGGGAGGAAATGGTTCCCTGTTTGGGACGGTGAGGTGAATATTCCCACTGATGAACTTGAAATCTCTTCAATGTCACTATTTTCTTTCCTCTCTCACCTTCTCTCCAATCGACATCTCTCTTGCAAGGTCCAGGGTATTGTCTTTTGTGTTTCTCTACTCTGCCTGTTGTGATATCGAAAGCCTGGTTGTGCGATCAAGGCTTTCCGAACAACGCCATCTCTCTCAATTCAAGATAGGGCCAGCCGTTGGTCAATGCAAGATGCCCGTCTTCAGTGCGCCTTACGTGGGCTTGCCTGATCCTGAGAAGAGAACTGTGGAAACCATGGAGACTCCATTGAACCAGATCACTTCTCCTGAGCGTCGCAACAAATCCTGGTACAAGAAGCTCAGCTTCAGCTCGCGGAGCATTGGCAAGAGTGGTCGTTCTTCTCGCACGTCTACCGGCCTCGCGGAAGCCCAAGCAAGAAGTGAAGAAGAATATCTTCTGAACAAACCCCTCCCTCCTCTCCCACAACCTCCATACTTCGAGTACATGTTCGCGGATGCTGGTCTCAAGGCAATGATGTCCAATGAATCACTGAAATCAACACTCGCAGCGCACAGCAATGCACAAGGTAACCGCGTCCCATCCGCCGCGTTGGAGTTTCTAATCATGATCTGTATAGCTACCACCCAATTGGAGGGCAATCATAATCAACCTACGGCTCACAATCCCCCCGAAGGAAATTTCATCCTTGAATCTCCCGAACTCGCCCAATTCGCCTTCGCCCATGCCGGTGTGGACGTGACGACCAAAGGTATGGCTTTACGTTAGAACCTTTTGCTCCGTGCTTCGCTAATCAAATGTAACTAGACATGATCGACAATCACTTCGCGGCTCTTGGCACAGGCCTCGAAGGACATCTTCACATTGACATCGAAGAAGAACTGGAGAAGGAGAAGGCATCTGAATCGTTCTTTGGCGGAATCCAGGCAAGAGAAGGACCCACCGCCTATCACGCCCCCGTGGTCGATGAGGATGGCTTTGCCGATCGACGAGAAGGTCTGGAAGATTGGCCTCAGCTCTGGGCACAGGACAAGGAGACTTTGGACGACTACGTGATTCCAGGGTCTGAAAGCCTCTCAATGCAACTCAGCAAGACCGCGGACCACGAAGACAACGGTGACAACGGTGTCAAGCCCATTCTCCAACCCAAGTCTCAGAAGAAAAAGGCCAAGGCCCACTTTCGAGAGTATCCCGATTCATATTACAACGCCGACGGTACCGTCAACGATCCAGAGTTTCAACCTGTCCAACCTGTTCAGCCTCCCCGCCCATTGACAATTCGGAAGAAAGGTGAGTCTCTGAGATGCAAATGTTCTCTCATCTGAAATACTGACGGATTCTCCAGTCAAGAAGAGGAATGCCCGCGACTCATTCGTGACCAGATCCACTCCCGATGAGCCAAAAACCGATGGTCAGTGTCCTCAAACAACTTTTCCTTCTTTTCGTCCTATGGTACCTCCAGTAGCTAACACATTTTCCAGACCACGACATCCATCTCCTCTCCACCAAGAAGATCCGCGTGGCAGAGAAGCTCGTTGATCAAGACGTCAACAGCAGCAGCCGTGTCGTCTCGGTGTGTGGCTCCATCTCCAATAGCAGCTCAACCACTCTTTCCTGCCACGACGAGGACGACCGAAGCCGCAATAGCGCCAGCACAGCACCCACTGATGTCGACGATGACGATTCCTCCGAGGCCGCTCTAGCTCTCAAACGCAAGCGTCTCACCACAGATTTGACGGGCTATCCGGGCCAATTCGAATCATATGAAGCCAACTACCTTCACGTGCGGGTCCGCCGCAGTTCGAACTATGGAGATCCGGTCCCATTCACGATGGGCGACCCGCTCCACCCGAACAACGAATTCACACACACAAACTTCGTCCAAGACCCAACGTACCCGTCGACGAACTACACCAAGGCCGACCTGGAGGTCCTCCCCGTCCGTCGTCGCGCGCTCGATCACGCTGAACGCTGTGCCGCGCACGCCGCATCCCTGGTTTCCGTCCGCTCCGCCGTCGAAGAAACCCTGCGCCGAGAGGTCCACCGCGAGTGTGCGGCCGCGCGACTCGAGGGCGTCTCCGTGGGCCAGTACCGCTACTACCAGGGGTTCATGAGCGTGGAAGACTACGTCGCCGCCCGCATCTGCGTCTGCTGGGGTTTCTGCTGGTGCAGCAAGTTGTGCACTCTCTACGGCGATGTCCTCTGCCCATGCAGCGAGTGGATTGGCGTGCACGGCGATGACTGAATGGCCCGGCTTGCGCGGGCTTTTCGAAGCCAAAAAAAAAGCCATAACGAAAAGGAGAATGAGATTCAGCAGAAAGTTTCTCAATATGCCCGAGAAAGATATTCGATTTGCGTGAGACGGTCACTCAGCCAACCGACCAGCTACACAGCACCCAGTCGAACGACACAGAATTGTCTCATGGGACCGAGTATCTGCATGTGCACAAGCCGCACACATGAGCTCACAAGAGCACATCGCACGTCCTTCCACACTATTACTTCTCCTCTAGCGACCACAACCAAGCGCATACAGGAAGACAAATCTCCAAGGACCACAGACCAAAGACATCCTCCAGGTCTGAAGTGGAGCAGCCTCCTTCTGGACGAATGATTCAGAATTTCGAGAAAGGGCAACGCCCGCGGAAGGGGAAAAAAAAAAAAGAAAGAAAAGCAGGCCACCCAGAGAGGAGGAAGTTTGTCAGTGGGAGAAAAATTGGCGGCAAAACAAGGCGCAAATGCGCGTGATCAACCAGCCGTAGATCATTGACGAGCAGCCGGGGCACCGATCGGCATGGCTGATATTGGTCGGTCGGTTTCGTTCAGGGTGAACAGCGCGCTGGGTGTTAAATTGGCGATATGCCGATTAATTGCCTCACGGCGGAAAAGAAACATTAGGGTCATGAAAAGAGCTTGAGGTGAACATCGATATGGACATGATGCTTGCAAGGGCTGTGACACCTGCATGGCTGATCACCACATAGGTAGTGAAGGGCGGAGCAAGCAGCAAAACATTAATACTAAGGGCGGAGCACGAGAGAATATTAGAGGAAAGGGGCCAAGCAGTCATATTCATAGATCCAATTGACGAGATCTCAAATAGAGTCAAACGTCCAGCTCTTGGGAATTCTTTTTCGAGTACATGTCTCTCAGTGCTGACTCGAATGCAGCGATCCCTCCCAGCCCCAGCTCCAGCTCCAGCTACAGCTCGAGATCCAGCTCTGTCGTGCTTCAAAGCACTTGTGTTTTCTCCTCTGAATTTTCGTTCTCATGTTCAAAGCTGCAACCGATGTAGTGTCTCAAAGGCCTCACATGCCTCTACCCAATGTTCAAGCGCCCTTAAAGCCCGTCCGGTATTTTGGCATGCCCGCTCTTCAGAATGTCTGCTTGAAACTTAAAAGCAATGCTGTCTTCATATTCCACGTATGCTCCTGTGCGCGCGGCGCTTCCGAATCAACATCTCATATCTTTGCTTGCACCAACGGCTACGTCTGAGGAGTCAGTAGAACCTTGAAGAACCGAAGCGTGTTTGCCATGATGCCTGTTGGGGAAGAGAGGATCAGCCACAAAGACAAAGTGATGCGGCCGCAGGGAGAGAATGAGGACTCAGAAACTCACCTGTGGGCGTAGGTGCTGTGGGCATAGAATCCTGCTCTGCATCAACAGCCACATAGGAGACACTGTCTTCGGGCCGGATCTCGACGTGGTTAGCTAGATCTTGCTGGATCATCTTGCCGATAGAGTCTGTAGTCGTGAAAGAGCTCGTCGCAGATATGGAGGATGTCATTGAGATAACAGAGGACGCTAGATCTGGCTTGGGGACTGTGCAATCGGCGATGCCTTCCAAAATCTGAGGTCGGCTTTTGGGAGGCAGCTGAAGAACCATCCCAGGTTTCAAGTTCTCCAGAGTGATTTCGCTATGTGTATCCACGACTCCTTGCTTCTCGCTCGTGAAGACGCTACTCAATGGAGTATTTGGTGGAGAGTGTTCGATGCTTGGAAGTGGCTGGTCAGAGGGGTGCATGCTGGACCTAACCTTCGCTTTGGGTACAGCAACGGTCTTTTGTTGAACGTCGTTCACGTTGATGGGTGGAACCGCCTTCTTGGTGGCCGTCTGGCGGTGGACTTTGGGGGGCGTTGGCTGCGACTTGTTGTCCCGCTTTGGTTTCGGCTTGAGATCACCGCTGCAGTCGAACATGTCGAACATGAACAGCTCATCGTCCTCGGACTTGATTGCTTCGGCGTCGACAACGTAATCCTCATCACTGTCCGAAGAGGTGATAGCGCTGGAATCCTCGTCGTTGGCCAAGCAAGCTTTGATGTCATATTTCAACCTTTTTCCCCGGGTCTGACGCCGAGAAGACGGTTTGACATCAACCTGACCGTCAACTTGGGGAGGCCCTGCAACGTCTGCTTCATCTTCATCATCCTCGGCATCTTCCATCTTGCGTTTGCGGGTGCCGGTGTTCTGCTTCTTGCCCTGACTAGCCTTCCGTCCTTGAGGAGGTTGGGCGGGTGTTGGTGTAGCAGGTTGTCCAGTGTTTGTGTTATCCTCGATCTTCTTCTTGAGTCGCCGCCAGCGAATCTCCACTGCTCCTCTAGTCGATCCTGTTGCTATGGCCACAGCGTTCCAGTCGACCTATACGATGTCAGTGATGGCACACAGAGAGAGCTGACCTCATGGTACGTACCTTTCCAGAAGCGTTTACGAGACAATGGTACAAGAAGACGACGTTGTCGTCAGCTTGGAATGGGGCCATGATGGCGGACTGTTCTTGGTTGAGAGCCGTGCAGAAGAGGAGGTCGTTGGACTAGGGTTAGGGATGGAGTTGAAAGTCGGCGGAAAGAAGAGCAACAGCGATGATTTATAACAACTGGCGCCCGATGGCACGTGAATAGAGATCAGTAGTCGAGCCACCGCTTCGGTTTGTCTGACGATCCGACCCTTAAGAGCATCGAGGAAGTGAGGCTAAAGTGAGCTGAAGGTACCCCAGATCCAGATGGATCCAAGTCGAACAAGAGTCGGCTTGGTTGGTGCAAAGTCGCAGAAGCTGTCGGTCTCAGCTGAAGTGAAAGAACAGTGACTTTCCGGTAATCAATTGATCCCAAAACGTCTCGTTGCTCTGAATAGGGAAGTTCGGCTCATTCATCTATTCATTTCAACGTCATTCATTTCTCCCTGACTCGTCTTTTTGAGTGCCATCTGATTTCTTGTCAGGGACTCAAGTAAGGCCTCCTTGAGAACAGTCTGTGCTCCGCGTGCGGCAGCAACAGCAGCGTCAACCAGTTCGTCGAATCCAGTTGATGCATTAGCACCTTGGGTTGAGATAGAACCACTTGACCACACTTCCACAATCTCATCCCTTGATGATAAATAGCCCACCACACAGCTCGACCGTATCTCATCGTGCTCGATAGGCGCAGGATCTAGTATTCGCAGAAACTTTGAGTCGGGTCCAGGGACAACAGCGGCGACGCCTGCGGCCAACAGGTCCAAACAGTCAATCTTCGCATCTGCCAGCGCCGCCATAGCCACATTAATTGCTGCCGCCAGTAGGTTGAAGAGTTCAAGCCCCGCGTATCGACCTCCCTCCTCTTGGTTATCTTCTCCCTCGAGGACTGTGACTGCAACGTCAACAGCACTCTTCGGCCACCTATCTGGCAAGAGAGCGCCTTTCAAGGCATTTTCCAGATGCAATCCCAAATCTTTTTCAGTCTGATTAGGAACGTAGCTTTGCCGGACGCGGGTCGCAAATGGAGCAAACTTGACTGATGCAGTCAGTTGTGCATTGGGCGAGAATGAGGCGGTTCTGGGCAATGGTTTTGGCCCATGCACAGAGCATGACAATTTTATGGTGGAGAACGTAGGTACAAGAGAGTGAGTCGGTGCCGGAGGACTTTCGAGTTCAAAATACGCTGAACCGCTGGCCGACGGTACTATGCCGGTCTGTAGAACTGCGCTTGGTCAGTATATGCCAATGGTGGAGGAAATGGCCATCGTACAGATCTTGCGCAGTTCATTTGGTTTCCTCACTCGTCGTCGTGACGGTGTCGCAGCCTGTGGGTAAGGCGCAAATGCCGGAGGGCTGGTCGTGCCTCCCGGCCCATTGATTCTTCGTCTGTCGCTCATGACATCGCAATTTCAATCTGAATGAGTGGACGTCCAGGGAGGACCAGAACACATTGAATTTGAGGAAAACACTTTTTGAGCAGCCAGTCGCAATTGTCGCACTCGCCAAGGATCGCAAAATGTGACTCGCGATTTAATACTCCGCGGTAGTTGCGGGGATGATACAGCCTTGCGCAGCCTCGTGCGAACTACTATCTCTCAGTGTCGTTCAACCTGTTCAGCATCGCCTGGGAAAGCAATCGGACCCTTTTCCAGTGTCTTCAAGCAAGAATGAAACCTTCTGACCATAACCTTTACATCGATGTCCTCGGGACGGGTGTATGCCTATTCCCAATTGACAGAGCTGTCGGGTGAAGGATTTAGTCGTAGGTACGACGAGGTCCCGAGTACACACTCGCGTACTACTGCCTTCCCTTTGGGGGATTGCTCGGGTCTGGCCCTCGTTGATAAGCATATGCGGATCTCTCTTTCTCTCAGGATTGGTGAGCACTCGGTTGTCAAGACCGTGCTCAAGCTCCCATTCAAGAAGCTATCAATGCGGACTGTCCTCGTCCCTTTCCCCATTTGACAATTGCTTGTAGGTATTTGATGCCAGCATAGCCTGTGACTCCGATCAACAGCCCTATTGATCCCACCAGGACTGCAAAGCGCCTCCTCAGTCGCGCAATCAAAGCCTTCGTTCCCTTGTCTAGCCATGACCTCGGGAAAGCGTGCGGAAAAGGTTGTTGCGGAACAGGGACATTTAGAATCTTGCATAACGGCTCCCACCCATCCCGAACGTTGAAGAAGAAGAGCTGATCCGGCGGCACCACGCGCCGGACATACTCGGCATGTGCTTCATAGAGCCTCTCTTGGTTGAGCATGGGCCAAGGCTCGCACTGAGGTATACCCACAGCTTGCGGGACACGCTTCCAGAAATCGATGGAGAAGATGCAGAAGCGCCACAGGCTGGGAGAGAGCCAGGCCCAAGGATGCAGGTCGTGAATGCTTTGCCAAAGTGCCGAATAGCTGGCCCACCATGAGTCTCGGTCTCGGACAGTGCATATGACCTTTGCCTCTGGATACAACTGCAACAGCTCTTCAAGGAAATAACAACCGGGTTGGTCAGAGCTTGCCACACAGCCTTCGGTCAATTGGGCAAGACGATATTGGACAAAGGTGCGGTCGACTAGAGTCCTCATGGGACAATGCTGCGTAAGCTCCAGCAATCGTCGTTGTGTATCGCGGTCTCCAAGATAGGACGCGGAACCCCCGTCAAAGACTGGGCCATTTAGAAGAATTTTAAGAGCTTCGGTCATGGACGTCGTGCCAGTCCGGGGCAGCCCGCCGACGATGACGCTTAGAGCCGGTCTGCGGTCACCATCGACGTTAGCCATATCATCGAGTAATTCTGAAGTGGTCGTCGTCACTGTCGTTGTTAATGGTACTGTGCACCCCTGCTTGTCCTTGCCGATAATACCTGGTCTACATCAAAGATGCCATTGAGCACCTCAGCCGCACCTGATGAGATCAGACCCCAAGGTAAGCACAGACAACGGGGCTTTCTGCACCACCACCGACCAAATTTATGTATGAGCTGATGTTGTATTTCCTGGTCCAGTCATTGGCACGCTATTTCTCGACCCTGCCGACTAGGTAGGTAGATCTGTGTGAGAGCCTCACCAAAAACTCAAGTTTGTAACTCTGGCAACTATCGAGAGCCTTGCCACCTAGCCGTGCTAGCCTTGTCCGCTAGCCTCGTCCGGGGTGTGTCACGGGCCTCAAATTGCCAAGCTTCCGATGTTTATCCGAATCCGAAACAATTTTGTCGCTTCGACTTTTGCAGCACCTTTGAACTTCGTCTTTGTGTCGCCCAGATCTTGAAATCTACCAAGACTTCAACTGGGTCTATGGTCACCCTCGATTGCCCGAGTCATACATGACCGCCTTCAGTGGACCTTTGTTCCATCAGTAGAAACCGAACGTGAGTTGCTCCATTTCGTTCTCCCAGCCCCCCGTGTTCCCTGATGAAACTTCATCATACACCAAGTTCCGGCGATCCTTTTCATGAGCCTTGAACTCAAACATGCACTACCATCTGAGCCCCTTGGACACAAGACATCTCTGGCAGATTTTTGTTCATGACATTGGATGGAGAGAAACTGACATCCATCTGGAAGAGCAGCAGGTCGATCGTGGGATGACAAGTTTTCAACGGTAATGCAAGATGTAAGTCCTGCCTGATTTTCCTTTCTTCGTTCTCTTCGCCCATCACTCCTATGATGATCAAAGGTTCTTATCAAACAGTTCTGCTTCTGATATCCCTTGAAGAAAGCATTACCAAAGCTTACCATATTGTCTGACTCCACACCTCTTAATACCATGCTTCCAAGCTTCAGCCATTCCACTCAATTCAGTGACCTTGCTTTTGAGCTAACAGGTGGCCTATTCACAGAAACGACAGACTGCTCGACCAAAGAATGCAAAACCATGAAAAGTATGTCACCCACTATCATCCAGCCGCTCCACCAACACCTCTTGCATCCTCGCATTGCTTGATTTTCTGTTCATGATGACACCAAGTCTATCCATTCTCTGAGTTCTCCACTTGAGAGACACCTTTCCCCCAAACGCGACTGTAACCCACCGATCGTGGCTATCGTTATGAAGTTGCGTGTTGGTTTTGGGTTCGTCGTTCCGGGGAAGGGTATGAGGTCGACGGCTTTTCTGACCCTCGTTCACGTCTTTTGCTTCCCATCGAGGTCTTTGTACATGTTGGCACAAGGCAAAAATATAGCTAATCGGAGTTTTGAATAGGGTTTGTTCGATAGAAATATATTCTAAGCTAACCCTGACTCGCCAGATGAATGGCCATACTGTCGTGAGATCTGCAAAACCCCACCTAACAATATTTCGTGCTTCATTCCTTCATTCATTCATCATAAGCATCAACAAGGCCGACCGCGGTATGATCTCTGTCCTCGTCCTGTTTCATCACAAGGCCATCGAGTTTCATGACTAGTCGATCCACTGTTCTCGCCTGCCACGGCATGAATTTGGTGCCGTTCCCATTCAACTGCAAACCATCCATGCTCTCCTGGATACTGCTAGTCATGAATCCGACTCCCGTCCGCTTTTCCTTTTCCATATCTCGAATGTTCTCTACCAAACCGGAGATTGTATTCTCCATCGACTTTCTTGTGCGATCCATTTCGGCGAGAACATCTCTCTCATCTTTTGCATAGTTAGAGAATGCGTCGAGCACGCCTTCATCCTCTTGGAGGTCCAGCCCCTCCCACACTGTCTGCAGACGGGAGAAAAGAGCAATGAAGTGGTCGGTCTGATTTAATAGTTCTTTCAATGTGGCGACAAATGCATCATTCGTAAGGAATAAGGCCGTGCGTAGGGCGTGCAGATATCGGCGATGGGCTTCCGCCATAGCCCGAGGATCTGTTGGTATTGTGGTCGCCTCACGGTTGGACAATTCTGCTGCCCCTGTCTGGGCAGTTGAGGAGGCTGTGCCAGGCCTGGACGACTTTGCTGATGAGGGATACAGTCCATCATTGCCGTCCAGCCATTTCGAGAAGTGTGTCCAGCTACTCTGGATCACCTCGCCCTGCAGAAATGCCTCGAGCTCATTGATCATAAACAGAGCTCTGCTGGCAGTCGTCCAATGTGCCCTGGTTCTCGTCGATCTCCGAGCGTCTCGTGCCCGTCGAGCTGCCAGTCTTTCTCGTCCAGATTGTGAAGCGCTTCTAGGAGGTCCGATTGGAGAGGGATAACACCTGCGATGTGATGACAGCTTCCAGAGTGAGGACAGGTGCAGCCCTGCTCTATGGATAGAGATCAGATACGCATTGATGGATGCATACCTTTGCACATCGCTCGAAGACAGGAAAATATGCAATGCCGAGGACGTGGGGATTGTCAAGTGCAGGAAGGTGGGGGTAGGCAACAGTGTTGACACCAGACCTCGACCAAGCTCGTTGTTCTCGTCGACCGCCTGAAGAGACAACAATTTCTTTGCTAGGTTGAGGGTGTCGTCTTCAATATCGTCGTCGGCCTGTAAAGCTGATAATTCTGCCATGGTCTTGTTCAGGATGCCCTTCAGTTCAGCCTCCTTGATTGCAAGTTCGTCGAGTCTTCCAATCTTCCTGACTGGCCGAACAGTGCTGTGTGGTTGTCGGTGACTAGCTACCCGCTCGTCTGCGTGCTTGATCAACGACACCGCAAATTCACCTTGATTGAGGAGCATGTAGCGCAAAACAACTTGCAGAAGCTGCATGACTAGTGGTCGAGGCAGGATTTGAGACAGAGCATTCTCAGATATAGACTGATTGATGGAAGAGATTGTGCTCTCCAGCAATGATGGATTCAACGGGTAGTGTAAGGACTCGAGCAACGCCAAATGGGTTGGTAGCAAAGACAAGGATGCGTCACTTGACACGCTCAGTAATGGTCCAAATGACGCTGTTTGTGAATATAACTGGCTGAGAGCACAGCCAGCTGAGAGCAAAGCACTGCTTGTCCCCGGATTCAAGATCTTTGGCGTCAATGAATGGTCGATCATGTATGAGTCCATCACCGATGACGGGTTTGGGTTTGGCCTGATGCAGAAATCCTCTGCCCCAGAGGTTGGCAGTCTCCCGTAAAGCACCCACAGCGACGCAGCTCGCATCCATGCTTTCTGAGCAACAGTCAAGAGCGCAATGGCCATGTCCTCAATGTCAGAGTATCCGGTATGTGTCTCATTTCCCAGCCAATCCAGAATGCTGGCTCCGGATGGCGAACGGTTCTTCATATTCTGCTTCGATTGGGGATCCAGTTGCAGGACTACCGACCATAGCCACTCCAATCGTCTCGTCCATGGCGCAAACTCAGCCACAAGAGTACTCAACGGCACAACTTCATAAGCCCCAACATAGGCAGCGTCCTTTTGTAGTATGCACGACTCCACCTCTATAATCTTATCCACATATTTACCCAAGTGCACGTCTGCAATTGAAGAACTGACTGCTCGACAGACCATGGACCGGTGAGCTGTGGATAGCCTCGATGTCGCTTCCTTGATCTGAACATGTAAATCGTGCAGATGAGCCAGGGTCGCTAGCATCGCCCGTTCCGGGGGTGAAACATATTGATTGAATGTCTTTTCGTCGCCTGCTCCCGCTGCGGAGCTCGCCTGCGTCCAGACGGGCGACTGGAGGCCGGATAAGGACAAGAGGATTTCATGAAGCATTTCACTGGTCTGACACAGGGACGAGGGGCGGGATCGTGACACAAGTCGAACAGAGCAGGAGAGTCGTGCTGCCGCTGAAATTTGAGGATTAGCCGCCCGAACAGCTCGAAGCGACACATTGAAAGGGATTGAGGCCCATAGCGAATGCGAATACTAGCTTGCGGAGCTGAACCGCGATCAACACGCGTCAGTAGGAAAAGGACGCGTCGAATGCCGTTGCTACAGTTGATTCTCTCCCGCAGGATGGAAAAGAGAACTCGACACAGCGGCGCGGGTGCTCTACACAATTTTACCCTGCAAGCTTGCCCAAGTGTGAAGGCGGCGGTGACCAATCTCAACGCCGCTACCCAGGCACCTTGGGCGTGGGGCGCATTCACTCTGCTACGACAGTATTAGTTATACGTTTGGTGGCAAGTGTGCCGAGCGGCTCCCATAAGGCTAACCCCAAGTCGCCCCAACTCACTTGGCAGGCCTGAGGCCCGGTGTTGCCTGCGATTATTGCGTCACTGTCTCGGGCGTCTGCCTTCAAGTTCTCACCAGTACCAATTGCTCTCAGCGTCAAAGAACCAACTGCAGCCCGCGAATCTTCTTGACTAATATCACAACAACCATTGCACTCACCTGTGCCGTTTTGCCTGCGCCATCAGATTCTGTCCTTTTCTTCATAATCAACCTCTTCAACGATTTGTCCTCCCGTCACTCATTTCGCCTCCCTCTCCTCCTGCCACGAGGCTCCTCTCTTCGATATAACGTTCATCTGAAGCAGCTGCTTGCGCTCTTCGGATCAGTTCTACCGCCATCTGGGTCTTGCTTGAGGCAAGGCCACTGTCACCATTTCACCTCACGCCGACGTCCCAGACTCTATAAAGGCCGGTAGCAAGAGAAAGGCTTCGTCAGAAGACCTCGCCCGGCCAGAAAAGAAAATCATGACAGACTCTGTGATGGAAGTTGACAACCCTGGGGCTGCCATTACGGAGCTCCAGAATGGCGAAATCGATGAATCTCTCTACAGCCGACAACTCTACGTTCTGGGTCATGAGGCTATGAAGCGGATGGGCGCTTCCAATGTGCTCATCGTCGGCTTGAAGGGTTTGGGCGTAGAGATTGCAAAGAACATTGCCCTGGCTGGCGTCAAGTCTTTGACCTTGTTCGATCCCAATCCTGTTGCCATCTCCGACCTTTCCTCACAATTCTTCCTACGTCCTGAAGATGTGGGCAAGCCCCGAGCAGAAGTGACTGCCCCGCGTGTGGCCGAGCTCAATTCCTACACGCCCGTCGCTGTCCACCAGGCAAAAACATTAACAGATGACCTGAGCCAACTCAAAAAATATCAAGTCGTTGTGCTCACAACTACATCTTTGAAAGATCAACTTACGATCTCCGACTATTGCCACCAGAACGGCATTTACCTGGTGATCGCTGACACATTTGGCCTTTTCGGCTACATCTTCACCGATTTTGGCAAGGACTTCACTGTGGGCGACGTCACCGGAGAGAACCCAATCAGCGGCATTGTCGCAGATATTGATGAGTCTGGTCTGGTGTCAGCCCTGGATGAGACAAGACATGGACTGGAAGACGGCGATTATGTTGAGTTCGCAGAACTTAGGGGACTGGAAGCTCTCAATGGAGCCCCTCCTAGGAAGATCACTGTCAAAGGCCCGTACTCTTTCTCTATTGGCGATGTCTCGGGTTTGGGCAAATATGAGGGTGGCGGCCTTTTTGCGCAGGTCAAGATGCCGAAGGTCCTTCAGTTCCAGTCATTGTCAGAACAGATCAAAAAGCCAGAATTCCTCGTATCCGATTTTGCAAAGTTTGACCGACCAGCACAACTCCACGTTGGCATTCAAGCTCTCCATGCTTTCAAAGAAGAAAAGGGTAGCCTACCTCGTCCGCATAGTGAAGAAGATGCCAAGGAAGTTCTGGCGATCACGAAGAAGTTGGTAAAGGAGAGTGCTGAGGAGGTCGAGATTGACGACAAATTGATCACTGAGTTGAGCTATCAGGCGCAGGGTGATCTCAGTCCCATGGCTGCATTCTTTGGTGGTCTCGCCGCGCAGGAAGTGCTGAAGGCTGTTTCTGGAAAGTTCACACCGGTTGTACAGTGGATGTACTTCGATTCTCTCGAGTCTCTTCCCACTTCTGTGAAACGAAGCGAGGAACTTTGCAGGCCCACAGGTTCACGATACGATGGTCAGATTGCGGTCTTCGGCAAGGAATTTCAAGAGAAAATCTCCAATGTGAAGAACTTCCTGGTTGGTGCTGGCGCCATCGGATGTGAGATGCTCAAGAACTACGCCATGATCGGTCTAGGTACTGGTCCCAGCGGTCACATCACAGTCACAGATAACGATTCCATCGAAAAGAGCAACCTCAACCGCCAATTCCTGTTCCGACCGAAGGATGTTGGGAAGCAGAAGAGCGTGGCTGCAGCTGCCGCTGTTCAGGCTATGAACCCCGACCTCAAGGGAAAGATCACGACCATGACAGATCGCATCGGCCCTGACAGCGAAGACATCTTCAATGAGGCGTTCTGGAAGCAACTTGATGTTGTCACAAATGCTCTGGACAACGTCGAGGCCCGCACATATGTCGATCGGCGATGCGTCTTCTTCATGAAACCACTGCTGGAAAGTGGCACTCTCGGAACTAAGGGTAACACGCAGGTCATTCTCCCGCGCCTGACCGAGTCGTACTCTAGTTCGCAAGATCCACCTGAACAATCCTTCCCCATGTGCACTCTCCGAAGCTTTCCCAACAAGATTGAACACACCATCGCGTGGGCTCGAGACCTGTTCCAGTCCTATTTTGTGGGACCGCCAGAAACCGTCAACCTTTACATGACACAACCGGACTACATCAACACCACGCTGAGGCAGCAAGGCAACGAGAAGATGATCCTCGATAGTCTCAAAGAATTCTTGGTCACTGACAAGCCAACTGATTTTAACGACTGCATTGCGTGGGCTCGGATGCAATTTGAGAAGCAATACCACAACGCCATTGCGCAGTTGCTCTACAACTTCCCCAAGGACTCGAAGACATCAAGTGGGGCTGACTTTTGGTCTGGACCAAAACGCGCTCCAACGCCTCTCAATTTTGATCCTTCGGACGAGACACATATGGGATTCGTTGTCCACGGGGCAGCCCTCCACGCTTACAACTATGGCATTCCTGTTCCTCAGCTCAAATATGAAGATTACGTTAAAGTTTTAGACAGCATGATCGTTCCCGAATTCAAGCCAGACGCGAATGTGAAGATCCAGGCTGACGACAAGGAGCCGGACCCCAACGGGCCAGCACCGACATTTGCGGATGACGCGGAAGAGTTGGACAAGATTGTGGCCGAGCTGCCCACTCCCAAGAGCATGCCTGGTTTCCGACTCAATGTTGTGGAGTTTGAGAAAGACGACGACACAAATCACCACATCGACTTCATCACTGCCGCGAGCAATCTCCGCGCCATGAACTACAACATCCCAATTGCTGACCGTCATAAGACAAAGTTCATCGCCGGCAAGATCATTCCTGCTATCGCCACTACCACTGCACTTGTCACGGGACTGGTGGTCCTTGAGCTGTTCAAGGTCGTGGACGGCAAGACGGATCTGGAACAGTACAAGAACGGCTTCGTCAACCTTGCATTACCGTTCTTCGGATTCAGCGAACCGATCGCCAGTCCCAAGGGCACGTATCAAGGCAAAGAGGGCGAAGTGACCATCGACAAGCTGTGGGATCGCTTCGAGGTGGATGATATTACCCTGACCGAGTTCTTGAAATATTTTGACAACCTTGGATTGAGCGTGACGATGGTGAGCTCTGGGGTCAGCTTGCTGTACGCCAGTTTCTACCCGCCCAGCAAGACCAAGGATCGCCTGCCGCTCAAGATGAGCAAATTGCTTGAGACTATCAGCCGTAAGCCGATCCCAGATCACCAGAAGAACATCATCTTCGAGATCACTGCCGAGGACACTACCGAAGAGGATGTTGAGATTCCTTATGTGATGGTGAAGTACAAGGTAGATTGAGGTCGAAGTTGAAGCTCAAGCTCACTCGCTTCCTTCGACCCATGGAGTTGTGATAATAGTATTGAGGAGGCGTTTGGCAGCATTGGCGCAACTAGACATCTTGGCCATGCTCCTGTGCAGCATCAAAGGCTACATACATATTCTTTTCCTAGTGACCTGGGACGAGGCTGATACCCATGGGCATCAACTCGTACGGCGGTAGGCACAGCGTCTCACACAACAATCAACACACTAAAGGGCAAGACGTCTGAGTAACAAGTTGATTGATTGTCTATCTGTCAAGTTGACTACCAGCACTGTTCAAAGAAAAAGAAGGACCCAGGCTCTCCACCTATCGCACGCCAGCCAATCAGAAGCCAAGTTTGCCATCCCGTACAATGTACGGCCTCATGTTCCAGCTCGCTGTCCACTAACTCAGGTCTCCCCATTACACTACGTGTAATGCTTTTCTAAGGTCCGCTGAGCTTCCTTCTGTAGGAGCGTATGTATGGAATTGAGACGCTGGGACTGTTTTATAGTTGTGCGGTATGGAGGCTTCCCTCTTCCCAGGGAGCTTGTCTCCCCAGTGGTCTAGAGCGAGTCGTGGATGTTGTGATCTTTCCGTGCGGGTAAAATGTCCTTGCTCGTGGGCTTGCAAAGGTTCCTGAAAAGACCCCATATCCAGTTCCATCCAAGGTATTCCTTGTCTGTAGGTTGTAGCGCGGATGGGGGTACATCGGATTGCTCTGAGCTGTGCACCTTGATGTATTACAGGCTCAGCAAAAGGGTAGGCCGTCTGCTTATTTAAGAACAAGAGCAAGATATCTTTCTCCCATTAAATCTGTTCTCCAGAAGATTTGAAGGAGATAGACGTGATCGTCAGCATCGTCCAGAAGTAACGGAATAGGGAGTTTCCACTGGTCGAAAGTCACGCCTAGGCTTGCTAGCTGAGCAAAGCGTTGCTCGCCATCTCGTTGCAAGCCGTATCCAGGATTTTCGGACGCATATGTGAGGGCTTTCGTAGAGCCCTAACGCCCGTAGCCACCAGCCGTTCGCTGCGGACCTGCGTACACGGTGTGAGGGTGGCCGAGTGAAGCAGCTGGTCCAATAGAAGCTCGGGAGCGACAGCCCTCTGCCGAAGCTATTCGTGATACCTCCGGGGTCTATCCAGTAACGGAAAAATCGGAATATGGAAGATCCAGAACAGCTATTCGATCATTATTGTTCCAGGCTGCCCTACAGGCTAATGACATCTTCCACGATCTAATGCAGTAGCGGGACAGCAGCAGCCCGCAGAAGACGCGATCCACTCACTGTTCAGAGACGCAATGGTTCGTCCGGGAGCGAAGTACATCATTCTAGATGCTCTGGATGAATGTACGGACCGTGAAGAACTATTACCTTTTCTTCGAGAAATGACGGCGTCTAAGCCACCAGACCTTCACCATTTATCTAGCGCGTGCTCAAGGGGGATATGGACCTCCAGTTACACAAGGGACAGCTTGTTGCCTACATTACTTACGGAGCAGGTAACTGTAAGATGGATGCCAATTATATTTGTTGTCGTCCGCTCAGCAACACACGCTCAGCAACACACGCTCCAATCGGATCGAGCGCAGTGCCGCCCTAGACAGGACTTCTCTATTGGGGCCAATTTAATCCCCTGGCGTCCTATTCAGAAGGGCTGATGGAGTACGTAGGAATGAACAGGGTCTATGTACCAGCCTGAGGTAGTAATACGGCTTTGAAGTTGCTTAAACGGGCGAGATAAATTAATTCTGGTTCCTATTTAAGACGAGCATGGATCTTGCCCAATATACACAAACGCGACGTCGCCTGCAGCGGCTACAACGTCAGAGCTACTGCAGAAGACAAAACTCTCTTCATTTTGGTAATAGCAGTTTCCAATCGGGCTGTCATATCCACAGTCCACGGCAGTGTCGCTAGGACCGGAGGCATCGCCAGATCCACCACAGGTTCCAGACAATTTGGAGTTGCAGTACACCTGGAACAGCCGACCATTGCTGTTGTAGACTCCATCAACACAAGGATCTGTGTAACTTGGAGATGGTGTACAAGCTGGACTCGTGGTAGTTGTGGTGGTGGTGGTGGTGGTCGTGCTGGTGGTGGTGGTCGTGCTGGTGGTGGTCGTCGTGCTGGTGGTAGTCGTCGTGCTTGGGCTGGTTGTGGTGGTCGTGGGAGTAGTTGTCGTGCTTGAAGCGGTCGTGGTCGTTGTGGTAGTCCGTGCAGTTCGGGTCCTGGTCGTGCTGGTTGTAGCGCTCCAGTTAGACCAGCTCTCTGCGTTGGTGCTGGCCGGCTTCACATCATTCTTCTTGGTGGTTGACGACGATGCAGTCCAGTCGCGCCAGGTCTCGGTGGAGGTGGGATCCACGGGCTTGGAACTAACGGCTGTCCAGTCTGACCATTGAGTCGCCGGATCAGCTGAGGTTTCGCAGGGGCAGATATGGTGAGTTCGGAACGAGGTGACTGTTATCGTGGGATTTGCGCTGGTCCTGTCGTCCCAAGTGTTGGCTTGAGAGAGCCTGACGCCAGTGCTCAGCGTAAGGAGCAAGGGAATGGAGAAGGAGGAAAGCATTGTGGAAGGAGCGACTGTTAAGGATTTGCAGTAAGGAGTGGACGGCACTGTCAAAATGTAGCTGCCAAATCAAACAAGGTGCGCAAGAGAAGGAAGGCCGCTGAAATTGTTGAAGGTGACAAAAGACTTTTGTACCAACTAAAACGGACGCGTAGGACAACATCTTCTTAAGCATTGCGTGATGTTGTCCTACGCGTCCGTTTTAGTTGGTACAGGGTACTATATGCAATGTGGCTGGCGTTGATCTTGAGCTGGAGTAAATCACGAAACCATTAAGTGGGCATAGTCTGGGCATTAGAAGTAACCGGGAATGCACGCTTTAAACTTTGTTATGAGTGAATGCGATGGGTTGTGGATGTTTTGGGCATATTAGTGATTAAATTCGGCAGCGCCACCAATTTCCACCAAAGCCCTAGAAGGCTACACTGAATTCACATCCCAGCCAAACGTCTACAGTTTCATAACGCATAAACATGAGTAGGTACAGTCAAACACTTCCCATCTGTGGACATCGAGCTGGCGCCGCGCTTAGCCTAGCTCCAGCCCTGACCATAACTAAATCGGCGCATTGTAATTAGATTTCCTTTTAAACCGCTTTCGAGTCGAAGTGGCCATGACTCCAGAAGCTTGTGGTCCACGAGGAAGTTTGGTACTTTTTTCACCCTTCCCGGTCGATGGGCCAAGATGCTGCTAGAAGGCGGTACGGCATGAATTCTAGTTCGTCATAGGCTCTGTTTTGTCCACGCTCGTGCGTCGGAACGAGACCGCTAAGGCCTCTGACTGGCGCACTTCTCCCTTTGTCAGGAATCCATATTTCCGTGGAGGAAGCATGGAGCGCCCGCAGCAGCAGGGCTACCGAGGTCTGGTGGAAAACCTTGCTACCTATAACTTCTCTACTGCCGCTCGGCTCACAACATCCGGTCCCGGCCTTGACCGGCCCTGAGTGCTGTGATTGAACTTTGTTGTCACGGCCCGCGAGTGACCAAAGGCGTGGTTACCCCTCACAAGGCTAAGCACGAGGCTGGCTACTTCTATCGCGCCACTACCAACCTCACTAAATGGTTAGGCACTGGTTCTCTGCATTATGATTTCTATTTACACCGGTCTTCTAGGTAGTTTTCACAAAAGGAGATTGGCCGACCAACAAGTTTGTATTCTCTTGTGCGTTAAAAATCGAGATACCGAAAGTACAAGGAAGAACGGCCGAAATTTTGCAGCAGAGATATATCTCGCGTCGCAGCAGTATACGTCCAGTAGATATACAAGTGCATCGAGATCGCCGGAGTGACGGATATGCCCCCAGAGAGGCACTCACCAGAGCTGGACAAGACGTAGTGTCTGAGCCGGAGATGTCAATATGGAGGAAGATACTCGGATGGAAGTCTCTTTCAGGTGACGAGGTATAGGCTCGACAATTCTTTCCGCAAGATTCATTCGGAGTGATTATAAAAGAGGACGGTTTCAAGAGTATCGTGCCAAGGATCCAAAATGTCAGTCATGAAATCACGGAATGTTGGGCGATCTGGACTACCAGAGTCCCATCGATCCTGCATGACAGGGGAACCACAGAGGCATTTGCTGGTGGAAAAGTCTGCCTAATGCGGTAAAGGCTTCGAAAAGGATTCCATTCCTTCGAATCCGAGTTGAATTGATTCCTACCCTCGTCGACTGGACAGCCTAAGTAGGTAATGCCTGCTTCACTACGTCGTGTGCTATGGTGCTATATCTAGCTATCTGACAATAGCTGCTTGAGAAGAAGGCCCGTGCAACAAAATTCAAAGTGTTTCAAGCAGTTCTGGAATGCTCTGGATACTTTTCTCTCGCAAGGGACGGGTCTCTTGATAATAGCTGGCGTGGATAGTGGATCCTGAGTCAAGTGTTTGTCTCAACGTCACCATACCATTCATGTCACAGAAGTGTCCAGCTCATGCGCTCCTCCTGCATATCTTGACATGCTAGCCCTCGGATGAGTCACAATCTGGGACAAATGGCAGTAAATTTGACAAGGCCTAAATATACTGCAGATTCCTAGACGTCAGAACATAAGATCTCATAAGACTCGGCCGCTGTGCCGCAGTGAGAGGACGTCTCAGGGCAGGATGGGCAGGTCGAGCACCCTGCCTATTCTGTCGCTCTAACCAAATATGGACTTTCTCCGACGTGCCAAGCCATCATACATCTGGAGGATGTTGACTTCCCCACCCACCAAGTGATCGCGCCCCCGTTTGTTGGTCGTCGCAATGTCGGCACGTCGAACATGGATTGATCATTCCTCAGATGACACTAGAGTTGAATCCTTTGCGGGCACAGGCATCTATGACAGCGATTGAGACAGTCCGCTTATGAGTAGGACAATCTTGACTACATTCCCCGCTTCTGGAAGAGTTGTCTGTGGTAGAATCTGTGTCTCAACGTCAAGTTTCACCAACAATCCACTATATGGTTTCAAGGTAAAGTATAGCCCCCGTCGATGAGAACATCGCTTCCAGTCTGAAAGCTCGACGCATCACTCGCCAGATATAGATAGAGACCCTTGAGCTCCCGCACGTGCCCTTGACGTCCAAGCACCGCCATCCGGTGCCCTTCGTTCTCGCACAATGGCGAGGCTCCCATTTTTGTCTGGAAGAAACCGGGACTGACGATGTTGACGCGCGCAAAATCCCGCCATTCTCGCGCCAGACTTTTGCCCAGATGGGTCACAGCGGCCTTGGTGGAATTGTAGACAGGCTGGTCCACGGGAACGTTGACAATGTGAGCCGACATGCTGGACGTGATGATCAAGTTCCCCCGGCCTTGTTTCTTGAAGACCTCTCCTGCGTACTTGGCACAGAAAAAGACCCCATCCACGTTGACTGCCATTTGCTTTCGATATTCGTCCACTGTTTGCTCGAGGATTGGCTTGGAAATGGCCATCCCAGCGTTTGCAACGAAGACATCCAGACGACCGAAGTCTTGAGCTACTTCCGCGACAGCCTGTTGTACCCGCGACGGATCTGAAACTTCGACTTGATAGGCTTTGACCTTGATACCGTGTTTAGACGCCAGTTGTGCCCCTTTGGATTTGGCTGCGTCGTTCGTGTTGTACCAGAGAGCAAGATTGGCTCCGGCCTCTGCCATGGCTTCAGCAACCGCCCATCCAATGCCATCTGAAGCACCTGTAATGCACACCACTCGATCTTTCATGGAGAGTTGATCAAAGACATTTTCGGGCGTGGACGGGGTTGGCTTTGGGGGCCGTGGAGTTGCGCATTCCTCAATTGACATCGACATGCTGGGCTGGCTCGAGGAAACAGAATAGAATCGATCAAAAAGAAGCCAAAGTTTCGCAAAAAAGTTTTGTCGCCCAAGTTACAAGGTCGTAGAATGCAATAAGGTCGCAAGAGCCATCGTTTCGTTAAATGCGGGATGCCGTGGCTAATTTGTTCTCGGGGTATTGTCTTCCGAGGATGATCGGCCGGGATTTTTCCTTTCACAATCGTCCATCGAACAACACTTGTTTTCTACGCCACAGGGCCCTGAATCAGAAAGGGAGGTGCTGCCGCTTCGGATCAGACAGAGCCGATGGCGGCGGAATCTTTGGACATCGAGCGCCTACCATACGTCGGCTCACAGTAAGTAGACCATTTCAAGACATGAAACGCAACGAGTATATGCCTGCAACAGCGGCGATTGACCATCCATTGTTCGAATATGCAATTGAACAGATTCGAAACAGCATGCGGTGGGATCTTACTGTGAAATGGACGGCGAGGGGATTTTTAGACATTACCATTCTGGTCTTGCTTGGTTTTGAACGACTTTGTTTCCCATCTCAACTTCGGCTCAGACATACCACATTCGATCTTTGCATGAAGACCGCGACTATCGATGACGTGCCGATCGTGCTAGCACACTTGATTGTTATACTCCGAATACTAAGTCCCGGACCGTAGCCTGCAGCATGTTCGCAGATCTAGCAGTGCCCAGCCTCTGGCGTAAGGTCGCGTAATCAATGCCACTTGGCAGTTGTCGAACCACGGCCGACCGACGACTTGGTGCAGCATTCGAAGAGCTGCGCACCGACAAGCAAGGACACATTCGTATCCAAATGTGCCACGGCCGTGGAACTTATCTCGCCTTAAATTTGCTGTAGATCTAGCTTTTAAACCGCCTATTTAGTAGATAGCTATTACGAACCCATCTGAAGAAGGGTCGTAGTGTAGGGTCCCAGCTGGCCCAAGCGTTGTTGGCGTAACCTGGGGATAGCCTACCAACAGTAGGTAGTCCTCGGTAAGAGTGGGGGATAGGATGCACCTGCAAAGGGCCTAAGTCAACCTAGTGAACTTCTTCGCCCATGCAAAGGGCTAATAATATCCCAGGTGTGACCGAATCAACAGCAACTCTCTTGCATCGAGGGCCTTTGTATCTCCATTGTTTTTGACGGTGAAACTCGGTTCGAAGTGAATCTTACATCTCCACGCAAAAAAGTGAGGGCGGAAATGTGGAAGATCTTCACTCGTAAGTGGTGCAAAACGGGGCGCAATTTGCGGAGGTCGATGAACTGTTGGAGTTTCGCTATAGCCTCGATAGATCTTGTTTCTCTCACCTCTGTACCACGAATACAGGAAGGTTCCTAGGTACTTTTCAAACAGACCCTAACAGTCCGACATAGCCAACGCGAAGCATTTGAGAAAAAAAAAACCAATGGACCTGGCTCCGCCGTGGCCGCAAAGAGAAAGTCCCTATTGCCGGATGTTGCTTGCTGTCTTACCGCATCTTTAGTCAGGATACATGGTTTAGTCATCATCCATGTCCCTCGTATTTGTCGTCTAATGCCCCTCTAGATGCCACCCAGATGCCACCCGGTGCCTCTTGTGGCTCGCGAATACCCCCACATTGTGTCATCGACATTTGTCTGGTGTCGGCGACCGTTCCGCATGTCGCCAATGGAATTATTCACCTGCGCATTTGGCGAGCATCTACAAAAGCTGCTCCTTACTCCCTCTACCAATTCAGTTGCTCCCATCTCAGCCGGTCCATGTCCAGCATCCTCGCACGGGCTCGACTACAGCTAGTACGAGGTCACATAACCACCAAGTCAAAACCGCAGCAAGCACCACCCGCGCAGATATCGGAATCCACCATGTCATCGGTACGGAGCAGCTCTCTTTTCGCAACCTCTATCCTCGCTATTCTTGTCTCTATTGTCGCGTTATACTACCTCGAGATGGGACTGAACATAGACTTCTTGCTACAGGGCAAAGGAACCATTACAGACTGGGTGAAGCCGGGCGACACCTCGGGCGAGTTCAAGAGACAGGTTTCATCGTTTCGGAATTGGATCTCGAGCGATCCGAATGCTGAATTCCCCGCCGAGAAAGGGAGATACCATCTATACGTCAGCTATGCGTGTCCTTGGGGTATGTGGGAGTCCCTACCTAGTCTGAATATGCGAAAGAGAAGGGGTGTCATTGACAAAAGGACCGCAAACAGCACACCGAACACTCATCGTGCGGAAACTGAAGGGTTTGGAAGAGATCATCCCCTTTACCAGTGTACATTGGCACATGGCCGAGAAAGGTACGTGTGTTGCTTCCGCGGGATATCCCCAATTCACAGGAGAGTGTGCTCTGACACAACTTCCTTCCAGGCTGGCGCTTCGCAACGCCCGATGAAAAAGTCCCCGGCGAAAACACCACGCCGGATCCTCTCCACCCTAACAACACCCACCTTCGTGACCTGTACTTTGCCGCAGAACCGAACTACGAAGGCCGTTTCACGGTGCCCACTCTGTGGGACAAGAAGAAACAGACGATCGTATCCAACGAGTCCTCGGAGATCATTCGCATGTTCTACACGGCGTTCGACGACCTGCTACCCGAAAAGTACAAGAACGTCGTGCTGTACCCGGACTCTCTCAAAGACAAGATCGAGGAAGTGAACAAATGGACGTACGACGACATCAACAACGGCGTTTACAAGAGCGGATTCGCCACCACGCAGGAAGCCTACGAACGCAACGTCGTCCAACTGTTTAAATCGCTCGACCGCACCGAATCCATCCTGGCCGAATCCTCTTCCCAAGGACCCTACTATTTCGGTTCTCAGCTAACCGAGGCCGACGTCCGGCTGTATACCACCATCGTCCGCTTCGACCCGGTCTACGTGCAGCATTTCAAGTGCAACATCAGGGACATCCGAAGTGGATACCCGCATATTCACCGGTGGCTGAGGCATTTGTACTGGAACATCCCGGCGTTCGGGGAGACGACGCAGTTTGAACATATCAAGAAGCATTATACTAAGAGTCACAAGCAGATCAATCAGTTTGGAATCACTCCCGTGGGACCGGTGCCGGATATTTTGAAGGAAGAGGAAGAGGTTGCTGCGGTCAAGAAGTGAGCTGGGAGCGAGTGAGATCATGGCGGTGTGAGCGTGAGGTTAATGTATATTGGATACACTACGCTGATTTGATGAACGAGGCCATTGGGAAGGTGAAATATTAACCAACAGAGCATACCCTGTAATCGATTTATTTGTCAAAACGAAAGCTTTATTCGCGACTCCCGGTAGCCAGCCGGAAAGAGTCTTGTTATTGCGAAACCCTCACAATTTGTCCAGCAAGGCTGATGATCAGGTACAGGAAAAGCTCCTCGTCTTCCATGATCATTCTCGACGGAGAAGCAGTTTGGGATCTCAACAGCCGGTATACTCCCAACCACACCCGTTCAAGTCCCTATCTCCTTTTCCCCCTTCATCATGCCCCAACTGCCTATACCCCTATCTCCGTCTCAGTTGTTCAACGCCGCCGCCACGATCCCGGCATTGATCGCCGGCTGATTATTCTTGCTCTCCATCTTCCTCCTCCAGTCCTCGATTTCCGCGACGGCGCTCACGACAAGCTGTTCAAAGATGTCCTTCTCCAACCCTTGTCTCCAGATCTCGATCTTGCCGCTGCGCAGTTTGTCGTGCAGGACCACGGTGCAGACGGCCGCGCCCGTGCGGTCCGCGCACTTGAGGTTTGCTTGTTTGTCGTTGCCGTTTGTGATGGTCCAGAACAGTCGGCCCAGCGTCGCGGAACCGCCGGGGCCTGCGGGCTCGAAGTTGTCCTTGTAGGTGATCTGGGCGCCCGTGGTGGAGAAGTTCAGGTCGATCTTGCTGCTCCATGTGTGCCAGGCTGCTGTGGCTAGTTGGGCGCCTGAGGGGGTCGTGATGGTGATTTCGGGCCCGGACGAGTATATCAGGGGGCGGTTGTAGGTTATTAGATATGTCGGGGTGCTGGAGCCCAGGGGGGTCAGTGAGTGGGTGTGCTTTTGGGAGGTCGGTTGGAAGACGAGCGTGTAGGGTGCGCCTTGCTGTTGTTGAGGTTGAGGCGAAGGAGGAGCATACTGGTATCCCTGCGCTGGGGGAGGGTATCCTTGGGGCGGATATGCTTGAGGAGAAGGAGCAGGATAACCCTGCGGAGGGGGATATTGTGGTGGAGGATATCCTGGCTGTTGACCAGGCGGATATCCCTGAGACGGATACCCCTGCAGCTGTGGCTGCTGACGATACGGACTTGGTGTCCGCTGAGGAGGAGGAAATGGTTGCTGTTGTTGTGCATAGCCCGGGCCAGCCCACGCCTGCTGCGCTGCCACCGCCGGTTCAAACTGTTCATAAGGGCTGCCTGGTCTACTTCCTCCTCCTCCTCCTCCACTACTCGGTGGGTAGAGCTGTGGTTGCGGTAGATATTGACCACCTGCCGCGCGTGGATAGGGCGGGGGCTGTCCGTACGGATATTGCTGCGACATGACAATAATATCTGTTTCTTTGTCTCGCTATTCTCCTCCTCCGTCGTCCAGCGCTCTCTTTTTCAACAGAAGCGGAAGGGGGGCGTTGCACTCTCGACCGTCCACCGCCCTTTAGTCGAGATGGGTAATAATATAAGGACGAATCTCTCGTGTTTCGTGTCTCGTAACTTCGTATCTCGTGCCTCGTGTGTGTGTGCGTGAGTGAGGGAGAGAAAGAAACAACCAGCTTACACGGGCGGTTCCGTATGGGATATTATGGCAAATTCACCGATACTACACGACGACCATCGGTAGATCAATCACCTGTATAGTAATCCCCGAAAGTACCAGAGCCCAGAGCTCGCCATCTGGAGTGCAAGGGTGCCCTATTTCTGGACGTGTGTGATCTTCCAAGGACGAATGTGATCAATGGCCCCCAGGACGGCGAGCCAGACTATTACTACAACTACTACCCGATCCGGTTTAAAAGCAAGCCGATCCCGGCTTGAAAGCACTGCAGGGAACAAAGAAGAAACGGAGCCTGGGGGCCAATGACCATATTGGGGAATATGGGTGGGATCGAGTATTCGGTTCGGGCCTCGAATTGATTTTGAAAAACTGTTAATGACCTAGTAGTTAGTGCACAAGCGAAGATGGGTTCTCTCATGCCGGGTTCGCTCTGGCATTTTTTGGCTCGTTGATTGATCTGGTTCGCACCTGAACACCGTCGGTACCTAGTCTTCTGTCCTCGGAATCCAGTCAGCATCTTCGCCCCCTGTTTCCAGAGGGTCCCAGAGACTTAATCTCCAGGCACCGGAGCTACAAGATCTTTAGTTTCTCAAGCCGCCTTGAAATAAGAGATTCCGTCACCGCGCTGTGTTAAGGTGTCTCTTGACTCCATGGGAGCAGGCTGTCGGTTAAAGGGGGCGAGGCTCCCACCCAACAAAGCGGCGGGAGGTTCTCTCTCTCCAAGAACTAAACGGATACACATCGAACTGGTTTGGTCTTTGCGCAAAGGGGGGACGCATCCCATCTCTCGCTACTCGGACGAATTCGCTCTCTATATCCCTGACGTTTCTCGATGGGATTCCTTCTCTTCAGATAGAATTACTTTTGAACGTTGGTAGAAACAGTAAAGGAGAACTCGGTAGAGGTGTTAAAAACCTCGATTGTGTATTCCGGTTTAGAGGAGGGTTCTATTGAAGAACAGACTCGTAAAGAGGTACGAAAACCCTATATCCCTATATATTCGTTTTCAAAGGTAGTCTTGAGGTCTCTCGGTTTCGCTCATTAAAGAGGTCGCCAGTCTCTCGTAAGGAGTTACTCACAGCCTGCACCACGAGAAGGTGGACCTCCACGCAGGCCTATTAATGTCCCGTCCTTCACCGAATTCGACGTCGAAAACCTATCGCGCCCTATCCCTTTGCAAATGTCACACGCTTGAACGCTCGATGTACCCGCTAAATGATCATCAAATCTCAATATCTCTTCCCAACAAGAGAGTCAACACCGAACAACCAATAAGCAAAAACCCCATCTCTCATCAATGTCAGATACTCTGTGGTAGTGCCGCAAATTGCGCCTGGCGCACATCTCCAGCTCCGCAGACCGGGGAACTTGTTGTCTTTCATCTCGGCGCCTTCCGTCGTGGTTCTGTCGACCGGGAGATTTCGTTGAGCATCGGGTCCGCTGCATCGTCTGGTCCTCCGTCAAATATGTCCTCCAACACCAGGATATGTCATGGGCGACTCGAGTACGGGTCACGCCAGGCGCTTCTAGATCCCTGCGGATGCTTCGAAATCTTTGTAGGGCTTTCTCACCATTTATAGAGTGCCGGTTCCTGTTCGTCCCTCCGTTTGGACCACCTTTTGCCTTCCCGCCGGTGAGACCGTCCAAGTCGCGCATTTTCGATCCTCTCTTGGTTGCGCGCCCTCCCAGCCAAGTACTCGGGATCAGAGATGGCTTCCTCATGTAAGAATTGCCACTCGAGGGCATAATTCATGCATTCCTCCGCCCATATTGGACCTGGAGACGAGAAGCCACAGTTTTCTTGTAGCATAGTGACGATTTCGGTCCTCTTGGTTTCGGTCGATAGGGTTTGTGGCTTGGTCTTGATTTCGGTCTTCTTGGTATTGGTCGATAACGTTTGTAGCACATTGGTGACCTCGCTAATCTTGGCATCGGTCGATTGTTTTTGCAGCTTGGTGGTGATCTCGGTCTTCTTGGTATGGATCGATAGTGCTTGTCGCTTGGTGGTGATCTCGGTTGTCTTGGTATGGATCGATAGCGAGTGTAGCTTGGTGGTGATCTCGCTCATCTCGGGATCTAAGGATAGTGTTTGTAGCTTGGTGGTGATCTTGGTTATCTCGGCATCTATGGACATTGATTTTGGGCGTTGTTGCTTCCTAAAGTGTTGTCCCGTGGCTCTGAGTAACTCTGCCGAAAGAGGCAGCCGACCAGTCTCATTGTAAAATTCCCGCAAGGCGACAACCATATTCATCCTCTCCAAAATCCCCATGCCTCTGATGGACATATAACCGGCAGCAAGATCTCCGATGAGCAATCTTTCATATAGTTCCCAGCATTCCTGGTCGAGAAGAGCGCGCACAATCTCTGAGTCCACAATGACCTCGTCGTTTTTGTCAGTGCCGTTGAGCAAGGGTGTTAAGCGGAGACTCTTTGCCCGTGCATAACCCCCCTTGCCCGAGGTGTTTAACTGCGGCATGCCTCTGAAGGCGAAATGTTCCCAAGATAAGCCCAACTCGTTCCATTTCTCATTTCCGAAGAAGTACGGCTCCTTCTGCATGAGCTTGCACAGCTCCAGGTGGCCAAATCGGGCGACTTCCATTCTCCGCAGAGTGTACCATACATGCACCAGCTCGTGCATCAGAGTTATGGCTAAACTGACTGTCATCACGTTCTTGACCTCATCTGCGAATGAGTAATAGTGGACGTGGGTAAAGAATGTGGTGAATTTGTTATTGAGCTGCACAGCGGTGGTTGTCATTCGTGGAGTGCAATTTTTTGGATGTGTCCCGAAGTGGGTTGACGCATATGTATCCGCGTGACGGTCATGATTATTATCATGATAGCCGGTGAAGAACTGCATGTTGGTGAGATTGTCCATCATAGCTGGGAACGATTCAGACCCAAGCTCCAATTCCGTAAAACGATCATATTTTAGGATCCGACCCTCCAATTCAAACTCGCCAAAGACTAGAATGTTGAAAAATTCAGATGTATATTTGCAGAACCGTGTCGCTAGCACAAGCGCAGGCCGGATTCGGCCGTAAAATTCGTCGTCGATGGTATATCGGGGATCGAGCCAGGTTTCGAGGGGTTTTTCAAGCCCGCGGATGGCGTCTAACCGGCTAAAGTTGGACTTTTTGAAGATTGGGGAAATGTGGCCGTCCGGATGTGGAGGTTGAGGCGTTTTGCACATCTTTTCGTGTCTTGCAGAAAATACCTGTTTCCAGGCACTTCGGCCTGGGTTCGGGAAGAACTTTCGAACCTGAAACTTATCATCCGTGTCTGTGACAGACGCTGGAGTGACGCAGGGAGGCGCTGGCGGCGACTGGTCGGAGGGTTCGAGAGGTCTCGTGAGACCCCGGTTGTTCTTGTTCGAGTGCACGGAGACCATTGTACTATGGCACAAGATTCGACGAGAGACAGCGTCGAATATTGAAGGCTGGTGTTGCCGTGGAAAGAGAGATGTCGAGCGAAGTAGATATGATATCCGAAAAGGAGGCTCAAGAGGACTATCGTCTCAAATACTGTAAAGATCGGGATTTCGATCAGGTGAGCGGCCGCCGTTTGATTCATTGCGTGACTGTGCCGCGTAACTATCCATGGAGATGGCTTTCAAAAGTGGTGACTCTTCGTGACGAGGTTAAATGCCAGCAGGGTGAAAATACATATATATTTTGTCACGCACGCACCACAAAGAGAACATCATGACCTTGTTCCAGCGGCATGTGATCGAAGAGTTCTCGGTGCTTGTGGACAACATGTCTTGGTCGGATATCCAAGGTTTACCAGGTCCTTGGGTCTCTCGGATGGCCCACTCGATGTTGACGCAACAAGTTCCTATGGCAGATCATGGGGTCGGCAAAACCAAGGCCCGTGGGTCCATGATAAGACCCAGACTGGCCTTGAACTTTGGCAGTCGGCTCAGCAGGTTCGCAGGGAGACCTGTCTGGCGGATCACTCTGTGTCCCATCTTCGAAGCGTGGTCTCAGCAGCGTTGCAGGATTCTGTCGGTATAATGGCGTGTGACGCGCAATGAGGCACCATCTATGGGATCCTGAGCTGCGGTTAGCGGAAGTCGTCATGTTGAGCCCACGATTAAGGCTTGTCGCACTGTGGCGTGACTGAGTTGAGGGATGAAGATTTATTTATTCGACGGAAAGATAATGACAGTCTAGGCTCGCCGGAGAGAGCGGAAGTTGACAACGAGCAACAGAGATCGTCCAAAGTAAAGTTAGGACCCTGTGGAATGGGTAAGCATGGATGGACTGCTTGTTGAAGTGAGAAGAGTCTCGGATGGCACACATTTTCTCTCCATCAGGAAAATAGACTTTGTGACAAGACGACCAAGACCTCGGAGCAAGTGCCCGGCCAGATCGGTTGCAATTGGCCACCATGAAACATATCGAACGGTTCGAAGAGCATAAAATGGTGTGGTCGAATGTGAAGAGGCGCAGAGCGATGTCCCAGATATTTATGGTCTGTGCAGGTTCCAGCAGCAAACAATTCACTAGCGCTCAAAGTTTGTGATTTCCTTTGGACAACCCAACCTTAATTCGACAATGAAAGGTTACTTATGTCCCTCAACCATAGTAAGATGAATTTCAACTGCGAGTTAACAGGACATCATTCTCTTCTTCGCCACCGGATCATATCATAAAGGCTGCCCGCTGTCGTTGCTCGTCGGTTCGGTTCCGACTTCGTCGCCCTTTCGAGGTGCGGGTTTCGCTCGGATATCTTTCCATTCAACACCAAATGCAAGCACAAATGCCAGGATGGCCGACGCCAGCGAAGCATACTATTTGATTTTCGTTAGCTCAAATGTTGCTTACGGAGGCGCCTTTATGGTGCGGTTTGTAAAACTTACAAACGTGTTCGTAATTGCTTTGTTGTATGCCCAAAGGACAAGCTCGAGCTTCTCAGGGAACGAATTTAACGTCGTCTTACGAGCGTGACCCGATCCGGCATTCAGTAGTTGCTGAACTTGGTTACTGTTGAGGCCCGCGTGCTGCTTGAGTGACTTGACGAGCTGATTCTGAAAAATCGCCAGGGCAATGCTTTGAAACACCGAAGCACCGAAGTATTGGAAGAATGCCACTGTCGAGATGCCGACGGGTATCTGTTGAGGTTTCGACGCCAGAGAGGCTTGGACCGCAAGAAGTGGGCCCTGAAAAGATACTCCACTAATGCCCTGGAAGACGAGGTATGTGATCCACTTTGCGTGAGGTGTCGAAGAAGTGAGAGTCGTATAGAGACCTGAGGCAATTGCCATGAGGCCGATACCGATGAAGAACCAAGGGTTATAGTAGCCGGTACGATTGACTTGACATGAATTAGATCTTGTGGCCTAGCCAGAACCCGGGGATCTAGGGACGAACTCACTTATTAACCCTGAAAGCGTAGCGGCAACAATTTGAGAACAAACCATTGGAAGTGTCATGACACCGCTATGGAGCGGACTGGCTCCCTTGACCACTTGAAACCACTCCGGCATATAGTAGATGTTGATGATGTACGCACCAAACATGAAGGCGCTGAAAAGACAACTGAGCAAGATTGAGCGCTGAAAAACGATGGAGAAAGGGATCATGGCGTTATCGCCTTTCCAGTGCTCCCAGACAAGGAAGAGCGCAGCAGAACCAGCGAAGCCGCATAGGAGCCCGATCACCGTGGCCGACTTCCAAGGATACTGGTGGCCTCCCCACTGTAGTGCCAGAAGAGCCATGACGATGGTCGGGATGAACATTGCGCACCCAATGACATCGATGTTTAGTATCCTCTCGCGCAGAGGCGCTTTATCGGACGTGCGTATGGGAGGCTTGAAGAAGAGAGCCAACGCTATCAGGGTTACCGCCCCAATAGGTAGATTGATGTAGAAGCACCATCTCCACGATACCTTCGTTGTCAAAGCTCCTCCAATAATGGGACCTGTTATTGTGCCAACCCCGAATAGGGAAGAGATGGCGGCAGTGTAGACCGCACGCTTGGAGAGTGGAGTGACAATGGCGAGGATGGACAAACAGCCAGAGAAGATCCCTGCTCCCCCAGTCCCCGCGACAGCGCGGCCGAGGATGAACATGTTGGAGCTAGCAGCTGCACCGCAGAGTAGTGAGCCCAGAAGGAAAATGCCGACGAAGACGAAGAAGGTCCATTTGAGGGAAAAGTTGGCATAGAGCTTTCCAGATAGAGGCTGCAACGAGCAGAGGCACAGAGGGTAAGCAGCTCCGTACCAGCCAATGGCCGTGGTAGCATTGAACTGCACTGTGATGGCCGGGATAGCCTGCGCAGTAGTATTAGGAGTGAGAGAAATGGCAGATTTAGGGAAGAGTACAACGTACCGTAGATATCACTGCAACATCCAGGGCAAACAAGTAGATGGCAAGACCAAGACCGCCGAGAACGAGGTACAGCCTTGAGCCAGTCAGGTGGTGAGCAGTCTCTGACTGTGTGGCCTTGATGGCGTCCTGGGTGCTTGAGATGGCGTCAACATTGTCCGCGACTGGGATTGACACCTCAGTGGCATGCTCTGATTTCTCTGGCGGGAGCATGTCGTCGGCTGAGTAGCTGCTCGTTTGATAGTGAAGAGGACTTGGAAGGGACCACAGTCATGGGTGTAGGATCAAGGGAACCCTCGCCGGCGGTTGATGATTTGGCACCACTTCTAGAGGAGTAAAAATGAGAGTTCGTGGATTAGATATAGGAGGATTGCAGCGTCCCTGGTTGAGGCCATCTCGAGCACCGTACAGGCAGCAATCTCGATTAGAAACGATGTTATTATTAATTCCAGGGACGGAAGAGATAGACCGCGCCATCTCCTTTTCAGATGTCAACATGATGAGAACAGATTAGACGTCGCAGCAACAAGGGATCAAACTGCAACACGGACAAGGGAAGATGATGAACCGCGTGAGAAGGTGAAGTGAGGATTCAATGCCCAAGACGGACAAGAGACGGCGACGGACAGAAAAGAGTCCGTTCGCCATCATCCTGTGATTGGTTGTACAAGGAACAACCTTTGTCACGTGATACCCCACCACCCCTAATTCCCCAATGAGCGGAGATAGTCGAGTCCGTTCCCGCTCCTTCAACCGTCCATAGTATTTATCCCTCGATCTCTTGATATTCCCGTTCCCGTTCGCCTCATAAGGGACCAGAACGGCAATGAATCAAGTCGGCATCTCTCGAGCAAAACGCAAAGCCTGTGTTCGATGCGCCAAGGCCAAGGCGAAGTGTTCCTTCAACGGTGGGCTGGATGTTTGCGACCGATGTCAGAGGTTGAGGCGGGACTGTCTTCATGAAGAAACCCCTCGACGCCAGAAGGAGAAGCAATCCACGTATGTCAGTCCGCACATTGCCCGACACATACATCTGACCAAGCAACAGGAGGATCAAGGCACTCGAAGAAAAGGTCAACAGTCTCCTCACACTGCTCACCCCGGACAAGAATGTCGTTGGAAACACGAATGCTACCATCATAACAACCACGCCAGCAGCGACAGAGGAACAGAGCAGTGACAATGTGTCGTCCGCCTCGGTCGCAAATGTGCAGAGCACCCAGAATTCGGCTCCATCGACCGTGGACGAGAGCAGAGAGTTCGATGCGATCGATAGCGGCATCCTGACAATGGCTACCGCCGATATCCTCCTCGAGACTTATAAGCAGGTTCACACGAAATTCTTCCCTTTTGTCGTCGTTGATCCAGGGACCGATGCTGCGACTCTGCGCAGAGACAAACCGGCCCTCTTCTTGGCCGTAGTGACGGCGTGTCTGGAAGCAGACCACACCATTCAAAGGAGGCTGGGGTCCGAATTGAAGAGGATCATCTCTGAACGAGTGGTGATCAGGAACGAGAGGAGCATCGAACTCTTACAAGCGCTGCTTGTGCACCTAAGCTGGATTCATTACCACTTCCACCCCCGGACCAACCAGTCCTATATGCTTCTCCAAATCGCCATCGCCCTTGTCATGGACCTTGACCTGGACCGGTGCCCCGCGCACCGTGACCAGAGAGTGGGCAGTAACCTCTGCAGGCTGAATGCCGAGGGCAACTTGCCGACACAGTGCCAGAGAACCACAGCTGAAACCCGCGCCCTTCTGGGCTGCTTCTACCTTTGTTCTTCGTGAGTTGCAACTTCTCCACACCCCAGCTGACCCTGATCTCACGCAAGTCAAGGATGGCCATGGCCCGCAAAGAGCTGCTCATGAGGCATACGAGCTGGATCGAACACTGTTGCCACGTTCTGTCAGCCGAGCAGGAGTACCCCACCGACGTGTATGCAACGGCCTTTGTCAATGCCAAATACCTAGCGCAACGGATCGGCGAGAGGTTCTCGTACGGCGACCACGCCTCGATTCGATACCAGAGCGACGCGGTGGTCCAGATGTCCCTGAACGGCTTCAAGAAAGAAACTGCCGACCTGGAAGCAAGTCCCGGCTTCTCTTCCGCGCAGGAAAATTGTGAGTAAACCCAGATTTTCCACCGTGTCCACCCATAAATTTTACTAACAACGGGTGTTTTCCTTTGATCGAAAAGACGTCCTCATGGCAGAACTAAAAGTCCTCTCCATCACAATGCACGAGGTGGCGCTCTATCGCGACCTCACCACGACGGCTCCTTCCTCGACCAACATCGCGTCACAACTGTGGGAACTATTGACCTCGACGCGCGGCTTTTTGGAGTATTTCCTGAGCGTGCCCAAGGACGCGCTTCGACACCTCCCCGCGGCGTTTTTCAGCTTTGCGGCCTACGCGCTGATCGTGCTGTCGACGGTGTCGCGCCTGCCCTCGACAAGCGGCTGGGACGGCGCCATGGCGCGCCGCGAGGCCGACGCGGTGGAGATGGCCCGGCGCGTCAAGGTCAAGTTCGGCGACGAACTCACCCGCACGGGCGCCCACGACAGCTTGACTCCGGACCAGAAGGACGTGTGGGCGCTGTTCACGCGCGGCATGCGCGGCCTGATGGCCTGGCACGAGCGGTGCGAGAAGGAGAGCGAAAGACCGCCGGCGGCGGTAGCCACCACGACGATGGGGGGAGAAGAAGAAACCGACTACGAGCTCCTCATCAGCGAGTCCGGTGCCCAGCCCCTGACCGCGAGATGCGCCATGGCCGATGTGATGACGCCTTTCCACACCATGCGGCTCCGCAAGCCCACTGTCCATGCTCAGCCGCACGCCGGGGACTCGCTGCCGGAAGGTCCCCAGCACCAGCAGCAGCAGCAGCACCCGAACGCCGACTCTGGTGGAAATGCGTTTGTCCGTGGTAGTGGTGGTGATGCACAGCAGCCCACAGACATGGTCGACGGCTTCTGGGACGACGAGGTGTGGCAGTCCATCATGGACGAGTTTTCCATGTTTCCCACCACGACGGCAGGCTTGCCCGCCGGACCAAGCGTGCAGCATCAGGTGGAGAGACTCCGGTAGTCTAGCTTCCCAGTACTGTAGGGTGGCAGTAAACGACAAGATAGTCAGTACCCTGTCTAGACTACTCGGTACTGGGGCACCTGATATCTCGGCAGCGCTGAGCGGTCGGACCGCTGTATCAACACAAAAGATGTAAAATTAATAAACCTACACAAAGAATATCTGGTCTGTGGCGACCCATCATCCCTCATCATAGAGGGACGATCCTATAAGCTCCCCCACGCTCCGAGGCCTCGGCAACAGTATACCTCACCACTCGCTCTCCTGCCACTTTCACGATATCATCAGCTAAGCCGCTCCGGGGGTGTGCCGGGGCGAAAGCAGGAGCCTGGAAGGCGTTGGCCACCTCGATTGGGTTCAGCGTCACCTTCCGTCCCAGCTCCCAGAATCCCCAGTATGACGGCAGGACCAACAGGACACAAACGAGTGTAGATGCGAGGGCACCAAACATCCAACCATATTTTGTCTGGTAATAGACCTCGGGTCTACGCTCACTCGCTGGGACGAAAACTCGGCTCGAATTCGAGTATGCATCCCAATCCGCATCGGGATTATCCAAGAAAGTTGGGCGGTTATATAGATCTTGTGCCGTGAGGAAGGTCAGTGTGTTCAGTCCAACCATGATGTCTGTCATTGGATCAACAAATATGAGAGGGCATCCGTCAGTACCGTATTCGTATTCTTCCGTGCCGGAAAGTTGCCCAGTGGTGGAGAGGTAATAGGAGGAACCTTTGTCATTGCTTGTTGTGTTTAACGTCGCGGTGCTTTTGTAGCGATCTGACAATGCGCGAGCGATACCGCCAGTGCGAGTCAACGCCCCACTCGTAGGCCTCCAGGCGGTAGCTTCTGCAATCCAATGCTCGAAGTCAAATCCGGGGATTTGGCCTTTGTGGTCGTCAAAGTCGCCGGTGGCAGGGTCCAGGGTTCCATCAATCGGGTCAACGCTACCAAAATAAACAGTTGTCTGTGAGTTCGTGTCGTTGGGTGAGGTCGTGGTACCATTGGCGAACTCCAGGTAGAGGGGGTATTTTAACATCGCCTCTCTCAGCTCGCATTGCTTTGTCCATATCTTCAAAGGACATTTCTGCGTCGCTGGAGCGTCAGAGTCCACGTCGTTGTATGTCAAGTTGAGGCCGATCCAAGTATAATTCTTCGCCGCCGTTGGAAACGTGGTGTTGAAACTGACACTGAAGAGGATGGTCTCGACATTAGCATGAGTCTTGTTAGGCCCAACGTGTGCCGCAGCTTCGCCGACCGGATCCACACTTCGCATTTGAGCATGATGGTTGGTACAATTAGCGATATACCCGGGGGCAAGGACGGTGAGGTTGCAAATGCCCTGACACTCAGTGAATCCATTAGGTTGGTAGGGCTGGCCATAGGCAGAGCTATCCCAATTCATAACATCACTGGTAAACGCAAAGGTCAAGACGCTTGTGTCATTAGCGGCCTCATTCAGCTTGGCGGTAAATGGAAGCTGTGGCGTGGGAAAAGTGGTGATGTTGACGTCGCGGTTAGGTCCCAGTCTGACGTACGTGCTGGTGGAGCGTTGGAAGAGGATGCCGTCGATGATTGTAATCTTCGTGACGATGGCTGCAAGGGCAGCGATGTTGAAATACTTGACGTTCAACACCACGGAAGCAATACTGCTACCAAAGGCCCAAGTATTATGCAGATCCGCGATTGTCGCGCCTTTCATTGCTCTCCTCCACCACGACACGGCAATGCCCTGTGCCACGGCGATGGCGATACAGATGCTAGTACCGCTGTTGCACACGGACAAGATGACGTTGGGGGGCATCTTCTGCGGCCATGACGAGACGGGTCTGTCATTTGTTACTTTCAAAATAATAATCGCAACGGTCGAGAAGACGACAACCATCAAGAGACATCCGAACCCGACCCAGGGAAACCGCTTCCAGAATCCCGGTTGCCATTGCTCTTGGGGCGCAAAATTTGGATCCGACACAGGTCCGTCGCGGCTGCTCAACGAAGGATTGACCTCGACGACGGAGATTCCAATGGGAGATGACTCGGTCTTGTTGTCGATCGGAGACATGGAAGACGACATGCTGCCTCAATGACCTAGGTCCTGGTCCAGTTGACTGTATGGATTGTGTGCAAAAGAAGCTTTGACAAGCGAGCTGGGCGAGTCTCCATGGTTTGATATGTGAAAGGCGAGGCGACTCGATGTCCTCCTGATTCGGTCCACTGACTCCTTTCCATTTCTTGCCAGACAGCCTTCGTCCAACCTGGCTTCCTCAAGCGGCATTGCAGGGCCAAACATAGACTGCGGCATGTGTGTTGTGGCCAGACTGATTAAGCAGACTGCCAATCACCATTGTTGGCAGTGAGGAGGCGCTCAGTTTGGCAGCTGTGAGTCGGCAAGGAGTGGGTGGAGCGACCCAAATAGTCCGGTCTCGACGATTCTAGGGGCTCTGATGGCGTGAGAGCGTGCGAGCGGACGAGCGGCTTTCCACCGGTGGCTGCCACGATGTCCGGATAGCGAGGATACAGAAGGACAATATGTGCAGGTGGTGTACGAGGTACATGAAAAGGAGAGACCATCAGGGCTAGTGAGGCTCACAAAGGCCATGGGCATCCAGTGGCACTTTATGCTTCAGCTGAGTCTCAGCCACATCAACACCAACACTCCACATTCAGACTCGTTCCGACGCGTTCAGAAGCGAGACTCGTGGCTTCAACTGGCGCCCCATGGTGCTACTGAATGATAGAGCAGCCACACACGCCGGTTGCAATTTCGTCGACGCCAAGACCCACAGACGGTTTCGGCATCGCCGGCCGGATTGGCGCGTATCGCTCGTACATACAAGGAGTGTACTAGGTATCATGTACTCGTACGGTCTATGTGCCTAGGTAGGTAGTCTTCCAACTTCCAAGACGATACTGACATCTACGACTAGGTATTCGTATTGACTTGTCCAGCATCCTCCTCCAAAAAGGAAATGACCTCGTCCCATCACTATCTATCTATCCTGCCCGTTGAACTCCACCAAATGTCGAACAATGTCGATAATCCCACCCTTGTCCCCTACGTCGTCACCCGCGACGTGGCGAGGAGAATCGATTCTCCTCCTCAGCTCATCATCCAACAGTGCCCGTAACCGCGAAGCCAGAACACCGATCCTGGCCCACCCCTTCAGCTTCATCCACCCATCCACAACAACTCCTCGCCCCAGTATATCGACCTCGATGGGCCCGCCAAACAGCAGCAACCCGTATGCGTTCAACGGCGTCAAATCCCGGATGAACGTCTTGCTCGTCTCCATCTTGGTGAAGTAACTCACAAAGCTTGCGTTGCCAGAGAACCCTTGGGCGTCGAATAGAACACTGCTCGGGTGCACAAACACCCTTCCATTTTCCTCGTTGAAGTACTTGATTGTTTTGGCGTCCGGGTCAAGTTCCTTTGCCCCGCTCATAGATGCGATGTATTTCTTGTCGGGCATTTGGATGCGTGCAATTTGGGGGCTTAGTGCCCCCGCGATTATGGCCCGCAGGAGCATGATGTTGCTTTTCTGTCGGTTGTAGGCGGATGAGTCACGGTTGTAATTGGCAGGCAACAGCCCAGTCTCTATCAAGGAGTCGAGAAGCTGCTGTCGAGTTGAGTCGATGTCGCGGAGAGTCTGGGGAGACAAGAATTTCGATGAACACCAATTCTGCACATCCCGGTACCGCGACGTCGCAGACAGCTCCTTCCACATCTCGAATGCTCGGTAGTCGACGATAAGGTCACCGTCCGAGGCGGTCATGGACAATCTCGCATCCTTCGCCTCGTCTCTTTTGTCACGCGGCGAGACAAACGGGCTCTTTGTTGCCAAGATGGCAGCAATTGTCAGACAGGATTCCGTACAGTCGAACAAGACGCCGTAGACGAGCAGCTTCGCGCAGCGGAGGTCGGCAGGTATCATTGCCAAGTAGTTCCCGAGACCGGTCAAGCGATCATTCTCCAAAGCACCCATGCGCCGCAACGTCTTGAGTGCGGTAGCGACGGCCCGACCGTCGGGGGCCGAGATGGTGCTTGCCAGAAACTCGTCCACGTTACGAGCCGAACCAGTCGCTTTAACCGAAAGACACAACTGTTCTAACGGCGTTCGGAGCATTTCTGGTGCTGGAGAGTCCGCCATGTTGGCTTCTACATTCCTCGTGAAGAGCTTGTAGCATTTCCCTGCCCGAACTCTTCCCGCTCGGCCACGGCGTTGTTTACAAGCAGCCTGAGAAGCCCAAACCTCTTCAAGACGCACGATATTTGTGACAGGGTCGTAGTTAGTCTCTTTGACTTTCCCCGAGTCGATCACCGCCACGATGTCTTCGATGGTGATTGATGTCTCGGCAACGTTCGTGGCGACAACCACCTTTCGTTTGCCTGCTGGAGGCTGTCTAAACACTAGGCGCTGCTCGGCAGGTGAGAGGGAAGCATGGAGCGGTAAGCCGTGGATTTTGGGCATTCCGGTGAATGTCCTAAGACAACGATCGATTTCCAGGGTTCCTGGCATGAAGATGAGAATCCCGCCGCTTAAGCTGCCCAGCTGCGTGTCAATTTCTCGTACGAGAGAAGCGATCAACTGGTAATTGATTCCAATTCCTAGGCTCTGGATCGCTTTACCCACGGAACGTTCATCGTCTGACTCCTGCTGCGATTCTCTTTTCTCATTTCCCACCAGCCGGACGACGTCATCCAGGTAATAGTCCTCAACCGGGTATGTACGCCCTTCGATATGAACTCTGCCGACTCTATCGCCTCCAAAGTAATCGGCGAAGGTGTCGGCATGGAGTGTGGCACTCATCAGAACAATCTTCAAACGAGGTAAGGAGGGCAGGGCTTCACGCAGCAAGGCCAAGAGAAAGTCCGTGTCCAGAGACCGTTCATGGACTTCATCAATGAAGACGTGGCTGACGTTCGCCAGAGCGGAACTAAGGCTAGAAGAGCTCTGAAGCCGGCGAAGGAGCACGCCAGTAGTTTGGAAGGTGATTTTCGTTTTTGAGGAAACCTTCGACTCTCCCCTGATGATATACCCAACTTCCTGGCCTTCATTGTCACATCGTTCTGCGCTGACACGTTCTGACAATGATAGAGCAGCAACTCTCCTGGGTTGCGTGCAGATGATGTTGACGGAAGAGCCTTGCATCCTTTCGATCGCGTTGTCCAGGATAAATTGGACCGCTTGCGTACTTTTCCCAGAGCCTGTCTCTCCTGTAAGAAGAGTCACTTGCGATCTGTCAACCACTCTCGTGATTTCCTCCTTTTTGGACCATGCGGGCAAGCGTTGCCGAGCTGAATTCATTGTCCGTTGAGTTTCCGAGCTCTGTCGCATTCTCCAAACATCTAATATTGCTTGACTGGATCGATTGTCCTTCGTGTAGACCTTTACTGTGGTCCTTGGCGGGATCGAATAATGCTGCGTTGCATTCTGCGTCGCCGCGAACATCCTGCCCACTGGGGCCGGGGTTATCTCCAAATCACTCAGTCTTCCAGGATCTTCGATGATACTTGGCATCGAGCTCTCTAGCCATTCCAACAAACTGAATATCATCGAGTCACCAAGCAGATGTCCTTGTGCATACCTGACCGCTCTCTTGGTTACACTCAGGCGAATGTAACTCGGTATTTGAGGTGCTTCAATTGAGATGACGGGTGACCTGCTTGGATAGCCGGAGATCGGACGACGAAAGTGAAACGTGGCTGAGATCTTTGAATTGGGGTCCGCCTGGATCGAGCATAAGTTGCGATCAGACCTCTGAAATCTTCGATCAAGGATGGCTTCTAATGCAGTCATTTCTTCATCCCAAACGTGCTCGTCGCTTTCCAGAGCCGCAACCAACTCGAGCTCGGATGGCACGAGTCGTGACTGGAGAGCCTCTGATGCCAGAGCCTCGTCGCCGTCGTTGTCGCGTAGGGCTTGAAGACATAGCTGACTTGGGTAACCCCCTTGACTCAATCGCTTTATCTTGGAATCTGTCCCAAGGTCGCTGCTAACAAGAGTAATCCCTGCATTGTAACCGGGGGGAAAGCTCCATGCAGGCAGGCAATCTTCAGGGACGTGAATAAGAAGCCACTCTAACACTTCTTCTCGTGTGCCGCAGTTTTCAAGGGCTTCTTGGATGTGGGAAGGTTGAAAGCCAGATCGGGACAGGTCGGACACGATGGTGTCCCCTTGCAGTTTGGAGATCTCAAGCTTGTTTTGGTTCCAGATGCTTCGAGACCTGATAATTGACTCAGTTCGGGTGCGAGCCTCCTGTCCGAGCTCAAGTCGCGGTGCTCGATCCCATGCTTTCGACGCAACATTATCAGATCTCGAACCGGGCAAATCTGGTGATTCTATCTTGGGAGGTTGCCGCGCTTCTTCTTGTTTTCGTTTCTCTAGAGCGGCCTTGATCTCCTGTCCCTTGAGCTCTGCAGCAAACGGGTCCGCATCATATTTCCATGCCCTACCATCTTTGACATCTTCTTCCTTGAGACGCTGGAAGTCGCCTTTCCAGAGATCTCGGTAGGTTGGGGGTAATGCCATCGCCAAATTTTTCATACTAGACACGCGGAATAAAGCATAGGCGGCTGCGAAATGGCGGGCCTCAAGCGCTGTTGGCTGATCTGCAAGATGGACATGACTTGGAGGTAGATGGAATGGGGGTAGTTTCGTCACAGACCCCGTCTTTGGATCTGTTTTCGATAATACAACCCATGTTCGGTGAAGCTTGTCTCCACCGCCTGCTGCAGGAACTTGACGACTCTGATACTCGGGCTTGTTCCATTTTTCGCGCTGGCAATGCTCTGATAGCAGATTGACGGGCAACTTGCCGGTCCACGAAGCGCCTCCGATGATCTTTTTCACGTCGGGGCGGGGCGGGGCTCCGTCGGATTCTTTCTGCTCCTGTTTCTTCTTGTCGTTTTTCTGCTTGGTGAAAACTATATGATCACTGTCTGGAACTGCAGGTGTTGCCTTTTTGGAAGGATTACCCTTGCCGGAGGCAGAGCCTTTTTTAGGCGCCATGCCTATCGAGCCTAGAACCTGATAGCTGCACAAAGCACCTTTATTTCTTTACTCAATAGCATGCGATGACTCGCCAGGAACTGGCTTCGACCGCCCTTACCGTCAGCACGATTTCTAGGACGTTGAACAAGCGGTGTTGACGTGCGGCGAAGCAGTTCCATAAGGAGGGTATCAGGAATCAGATCTTGATCCAGTACATTTTGCCATGATAGGTTCTCATCTTCGACCTTGCCCTACTGAAGACCAGGATCCAGGAACAGGCCCAGTTGATCGGAAGAGAATGCAGCTTCTGGCAGATGTTGTCGATGGCAAATGACGCGAAAATTAGGGATGGTCTCGGCATACCTGCCTGGAATGATTGCCCGGTGAATCTCTCATCAGGCTGTCTCTCAGCCTTGTCTAAGCAATTCCCCCCTTTTTGGTAGCCTCGCCTAGTTTGGGAAATCGCCAGCTCCCGTGTAGATACGAACGAAACGCCACGGTGCGACGGGTTAAAAGCCACGTACATATTTGTTTTGGCCGACAGCTTATTGTCATTGCATTCCTTCATGGTACATTATCTGCCCCAGAGCAAGAGTTTGTTGCCTGATGATTACTGATCCCGCTCTATCACGCCGAGCAACCCGTTGATATTTCTAACACTGTGGCCACCGCCGCCTCGCTCTCCAAAGCAGATCACAAGCTTTGACGACGACGATGATGCCCATGAGTCATTCCAATATTCCTACAGGAGACTGAGAGAAGGTTCTCCTCAGCATCCCTGTTCTCCCGGTCACTGTGCCGTGAATGCCAATTACTTTGTCATAAATTCGTGTTTCCTCGTCAGTGATTCCCCTCGAATGTTGAGAAGCCTCTATTCCCGGCAGAAGTGAAAGTTGACGAACCATCCTTGGTCTTCTTTCGACTGGATGGCGCGAGGCTCTCGCCGCTGAGAGTTGGGCGATCCGGGAGTCTCTTAGCTGTCGAAAATCTGTCTCCTGTGATGAACAAGCGCTTGCTTCCGAAGTAAGGTGTCTTAAACTATGAGTTGTTTGAATGATGATCTCCTCACATGCGAAGATAAGGAACGCTATCATAGAATGAAAGCATGGTCGATTGAAGGAAAGAATTTGGTGCGCCGGAATCTGGCAACTCGAACCCTCTCTGGACTTCGGTCTCAACGAAGGCCGATGCTCTCTTGTAGCGTTTGTCGCAGTACTTATTGAACACTGCGTTGTGATGCTTCCGTGGATCCTCGCAACATTCCAGTAGTAAATTGATCAGTGGTCTGAGTTGGCTGTACGTGTAACCGGAATAGTAAACGTGGTGAGCGGTCTAAGTGCGTCAGCAGGTGAGCACTATCCGCCCGAGCTTTGACTTACCCAAGTGCCTTTCCGGAGCATGATACGCGCGAGACAATGCGATGCCGCCGCCGTGAAACTTGGAGGACTGCCAATGAAACGTTCATCCATCATGGTCACTTCAAGGAAATACTTAGCCAGAGTCCTCGTCTCCAGGTCATAATCGTCGGCTTTGCTTATCCGGCGCAAGAAACTCATGGGGCCGGGGAAGCCAAGTTCGAATTGAAGCATGGTAAGCATAAACCGCTCGGCTTTGAGAATCTCATCCACACTGTAACCACCATCGACCATGTACACAATTTCCTGGACCGACGGACAATTGATCTCTTCATATTTTGCAGCAATGAAGATAGCCGTTGCGCCCACAAGCTGTAGTTTGCCAAGAGAGACGACCTTACACGACAGGAACCGATCAATGTAGTTGACTGTAAGAAAGAGCGTCTCTGGTAGTAGGTTGAACCGGAGGTGGACTTGGACAAGCCAGTCCATCAAGACCGAGCGCATGGACCATTGAATTTCATGCTGGTTATCCATGTAGTGGGCGTTCGGAAGCATCTTCACCTCGAGCTGTCTCATGTAATCAAAGATCTCCTCTCCATACTCGGCGACCATGCTCGTGTCGTAGCTTTCATCTTCCACCTCCTCGGGAGAACGAGTGGCTTCGACTAACTGCTTCGCTGCAGCAATTTCCTTGCGAGCCCGTTGGTTCATCTGCGGAAACAAGACGGCCGTAGCGCTGCCGGTGGTATTGTCACCCCGTGATCGGAAAGACCTGGCAGTCACATAATCTTCCTCTTCGTAGTTCTCGTCATCCTCTTCCTCCCAATACTCTTCTTGCTCGAGTCGTTGCTGGATATAGGAGTGGTGAGGACTCAGAGGAGGAATGTTATCGACAGGATTCACGAGGCTTGCCACAGGAATATGTTGTGGCTCGTTTCGCAAGGCAGTGGCGTGTGGTTCCATTGAGGGGAGAGGGTTGTTGGGGAGCGGTCGATGAGGGGGCTCCTGTGAAAATTGTTGAGCAGTGTGTTCTGCGACAGTGCTGCCGTTATCATTCACCTGTGCCTCGCTACATGGCTCGCTCGAAAGTGCAGGACCCAGGTTTACACCTTCTATGCCAGGCAAGCTAGTGTCCGAATGAAGATCCTGAGCATCTTTGACCGGCTCAGCAGGAACAACAACGGGCGCTGGAGGAGGAAGAAGGCAAAGCTGAGGCTCTATTCCAGCATTTTCTGAGTTTGAGCGTTTCTGTGTCTCCGTCGTATTCTCGTTCGTTGACTCGCTCGAGATTATTTCCGTCTCTTGAAGCACGGCAAGACGATTATCTTTAAAGATTGTGGTATGACGCTTTGTCAATGTCTTTTTCGTTGCAGCAGGCTGTGGTGCAAGCACAGTCTCTGTGGATGTGGCATTGGAAGAGGCCTTAGATGTCCCATAGGCAGTTGCTCCAGCAAGGATGGTCTTCAACCCTTTTTGCGCGGGACGCAGCAGGGCAATGGATCTTCTTTGTTCGAGGGCTGGGCCAGGTTTCACGACAGCTTGTAGACTCGGCTTGGTATGCAGTATTGAATCATCTTTGCTTGGTCTGCCTGCAACGATATTGCTCACGTCTCCAAATGCAGTTCGCTTTGCCGCAGCCTTCAGCCCTTGGACTTCGGCGAAGGTGCTTGTCAGGGCTGGACTCGATTTATTCCGATGATGGATTGTTTTGGTAACCTGGCCTTCGGGAGGAACATTCTCGTCGTTTCTGACGCGTATTGGCCGCAGTGGGCGCTGTGGCTATCAGAGAAGCATTACATTAGCTCCCGTATTCCTCACACAAGGGATTGGATTGAAGCACTGGCAGATCAAGCTGCGCATCGACAGCGTGTGACAGGCTCTATCAGAGTTTTCCTTACCTTCACGTCCATACTGAACAGTCCCAATACCTGAGATGAATTCGTGAACGAACTCAAGCTTCTCGAACTTGGAAGGACGATGGGCTCGTAACGCCTTTGGATTCTGCAGAGCGCGACGGAGTCGGGCACATTCAATCGAAGAGAGAGAATGGAAGGAACAAGGTTGTGAAAGGGAGAAGACGGTCAAGGCCAAGGGCAGGAGTATCGATGCAGAAGCTATGGCTGTGGAAAGGAGCACAGCATATGGGTTTGTCCTGGCAACAAACAAAACGACATTATTATTATTATGGGATTATGCAAGGTCGAGGAACTCGCATCGCATGTAAACACCAGCTTCGCTCGGTCATTGGACCGCGCCGCGGCTCTTGCCGCCCTTAGCCTGTCCAGTTAGCTTGGCCAACTTCTACGCTAGTCCGTTCCAAGACATATAAACACTTCACGTCCTTCTGGAAACCTGACTTCCATCCTCCTCGAGTTTAACCAACGCCACTGCTGACAAGAGAGACGATAAGGTCATTCTGCAGCACCACATAGCACATTGTAATGGATCCAGGTCTTTTCCACTTGGAATTTCTCAGGCATGTTGCGGTGAAAGATAAAAAAGCAAATTATGACGTCAACGCGTCGCGCAAATCGCGAGATCACGTGAATTTCTGCGCACATTGCATCAGCTGGCTTTGCTCCCTCCCATCATCCAAATACCCGAACAGTTGGTTCTGGCATTCTCTTAGTTCTATTATCAATATGATGAAGAGGCAGATTAGTGTTCCATCGCGGCTTCTTCAATAATGATGAATTTCCTCCTCTATAATGGCCCCCGGAAAGTGATGGGGGGTCAGACATTCCTTTCAGGCGCTTACGCAACCTCAAAACGATGTCATCGGACCGCAAAAGAGCCAGAGTTCGGATGACATTCTAAGTTGCTTGATACAGCACAGATTGATGGCAATCCATCTCTCTATATTCCGTCAGATGTCTGGGCTGCGACTGCATAGAGTCTGCGACATGCATAACTTTGAAAGTCATGCTGTACCATGATGAGGAGGGATGCCGTGTGCGTGACTAACAACCACCTAGTAGGTTTCGCATTTCCTGTTTGGTTGTTCATTGCAAATCCCACAAAGTGCCATACCTGTTGAAAGATCAGTTTGCAGAAGAAGCCCGAGCTGAAAATCGCGCGGAAACATGTACGACTCGAGATGCGACCAACCCGAGGTTTCGGAGTTTCAGGTTCTTGCGCAAACTCTGATTCTGGCAATTCAGGCTCGTCATTTGTAGGGTATGTGACGGCCCCAATTGGCACGATCCTAAAGGCGCCGAATTGCGCTTACGACTGGCAGACTCCTATCTCGGATGTTTCAACAACAGAACCCAACGACTCGAACCCCAATGAAGAACACTCTTTGTCGGACGAGCACTGGGTGCTTTTCACAGTTGGAGCGTGGGGAATGCGACCGGAAAAAATTCGTCGATCTCAGTCAAAATTAGCGAGCTGAGAAGCAATGCGACCTCGGCCGGGACCACGACGACTAAGATGTTTCTAGGAATAGTAATGCCATCCGGCTCGGGCCCTGCGAGTCCCAGACTCGGTACATACATGTATGATATATCTACGAGCGTGGGCAAGCACAGGCGCCCATCACGTTATCAAGCAAATTGCACCTGGTTTGAAGTCGCCGCCAGTTCCGCCAACCCGCCAAGATCCTGGTCGGTGTGGGCACTTGCAGCTGGTGCATTGCAGATCGCGAAACGATAGACATATCATTACCGCCGTGGCGGGCTTGCGGCGAGTGGCACCCTGATTGAGAGTTGTCTTTATCAGCATCTGCCAGCAAGCTAGCTGGGCCCAAATGGAGCGAGGTTGACAGTGGGCTGCACAATAGTAGTGAACCCTTGTGGAAAGGAACGCATCCTGTGGCAGCCGCTGCGGCAGCCCACGCCCGAGTGGTCGAAGGGATTGGTCGAATGACGGCGACGGATGCTTGCGTGTTCTTGACGACGGCCTCTTGAACGGCACCAGACTCCTTGGAACTCCACCCCCAATACGGCTCAGAAAAACTCACAGCTCACCCGCCTACAGGCTCAGACCGCTGACGCTTGCTAATCTTTGCCAATAGCACCAGATGGGTGCCAGATAGTGGCCATACAAAGCTCGCCAATTCCGCTACCGCTTCGGCCACTTTCTCGAACATCATTTCAACCAAGTGAGGGGTTGGCTTTCTTTCTTATTCTTTCGATTCCTAGTTTCCTAGTTCCAGCGCATCGCCGGGTCTGGCTCACAAATTTATGCTGTCCTCACTTTTCCGACCCTCAGCTCCGCCCGCTGACTGCCTCATGGTTTTCCCCTTCTTGCCCTCCCTCGTCTTGGGTGCCTCTGATTGCCTGGCCTCGGGCCTGGCCATACAAAACCCAAGGCATGCTCTCAGCCTGCCAGTCCCGAATGGCCAGCAAAGACACCGCTTCGGTTCGTCACCTGGCACTCTTTAGCTCGTAACCCGGGACGACACGCCGTCACAAGATAGCGCTACGTGCCCCAAAAGGTTGTTGGCGGCCGAAAAAGACACGCCGTGGAATGTCCTTCTATCTCGTAGTCACCGTACAGTAGTAGTTGCCCACCTGTCTCCAGATACTGAGACTCTCCCTGCGCTTTTTCGCTCTTTTCGCCATCGTGGACATTCTTGTCACCATAATTTGACATGGGACTATTTGTGACTCGTTCGGAATAAATCACTTCCTACACAGTACACAGTGCGAAAGCCACGTTCTTGTGGTACGAGTACGTACTGGCGTTCGTTGGACCGGGGGTGGGCCTCGTTTCACACACCCGTTGACTATTGCAGAATCCCAAGCCTCAGTGCGCACCTTGGACTTCCTTTCTTCCCTGAACCTCTCACCTCCCCATTACCTCTGGATTTCAGTCATCCAACGCTTCGGTCGCCATTTGTGGGCCGAGCAGAGAGCTTCATCAGCTATCTTTACTCTTGGGCATTCTGTCGCCTCCCAAATTTCACCGTCACCGCCACGACACATCGCTACAGCCACCATGCTCTAGCCCTCGACCATGTCTTGACGGTAGAGCCGGATGCTGTCGTAATTACCGTTGCGCCTCTTTTCTTCCATCTCTCCTTGGTCTTGGGATCATCGCAAGTGTTCGCCCTGCTCATCTGAAGCCTCGATTGGTTGTAGGTTGCTCCAGAATGGGACTTGGGAACCAAGCCCATTGTCCTCCAACTCTCACCCATTCCTCCTAGCCCACGTTCCCAATGGCTTCACTGCTCACCACCACTACCATTCATTGCTTCATACACCCTAGACTGATACGTTCACTTAGCGCCTCTCTCGATCGCAGAATCAGTCGAATAACCTCCATAAAGCCCTCTTCGCCCCAAGCGAACCCTTGATGAGTCCTCCCACGGCGCCTGAGGTATAAGAAGACAGTCATATATATTGGAGCCATTGGACAAGATGCAGGTCTCTAGTCTGCTCTCAGCTGAGGAACACAAGACATCGAAGACAAGGATGCCTCCTGCCAAGTCCATCTCCTTCGAGCTCCTCCTAGACGAGGGCTCCAAGACCAGGGCCAGGATTCCACTGCGGGTTGTGCTCAATACGCATGACAGCACAGAGTCGATCATTACAACCGTCAAGAACTTCTATGGCATATACGATGGGAATGGAGTGAGCTTCGAAGATGCCTGGGGCAATACTCTCATTGCCTCATATGAAAATCTCGCCCACAACTCTACCGTCTACGTGCGCATTGTGCCAGCGCCGCAGGCAGCTTCGAATGTGTACCCACATGGTTTGCACACTGGCGAGAGTGCGTATGAACCTAGACGCAGGCCCAGTTTGGGCGAGCCCTTTCAAATGTTACCACCTCACATGCGCGAGCAATCCCACTCGCCTTCTAGGCCTGCGTCGAGAGTTGCGCGTAAGCGAAGCATTTCTCCCACGCAAGGGCGAGGCCGTCGAAGTGCGTCGCAGCAGAAAGGGACATCTTATACGGCTGCCAGCCGAGGATCAAGTGCCACTGGAAGCTATCATGACGAGAACGGATATAGCGACAGTGAGGCCGGGCGCAGCTCAATCTCTGGATCCAAGAAAGCTAGAAGCGAGCCTTTTGCTAGCTCTGACATCAGTACTGCGAACGTCCTCCAAGATGGTCGACGTGGGCAGCCCATCTTTGACAGTTCGGTAAGCCCCCGAATGTGACCTTCGCTCGGCCCTTTGCTGACTTTACGTGTCCAGACCCTTCCTCTTTTTGTGCCTCCCCAGGTCCCGGTGACTGCATCTCAGTCTTCCATATCACCTCAACGACGTTCGCTCCCCCAAGAAGGCCCTTCGCCCTTGCACCCTTCGGGACAGAAGATCTATGGACTACAAATGGTCCCGGTCCTCTCTCCGCAGAGCTATGGACCCAGTCCCAATGGGTTCGCTGGTGGCGATCGAGGAGCAGGCGCCGATTTGGCAACACCTATGCACCAGCATGGTCACCGGCTCCGCGACAGATCATTCATGCAGCAAACCCATGTTGGGAGACAAGGGTATAGTGGGAACGGGGTCCTGCCGACACCGGACCCCACGGTCGCAAGTTGCATTTCAGATGAAGACGTGGCCCGTACATTGATTGCCTTGGGCGACGCCTCCAATTACTCTCATGGTCGTACCTCGAATTCGACCATGGATGAGACTTTCAGTGGTGTTGCCGATGCGGCTTCCTCGACTGGTGCTACAAGTGATAGCGATGAATACAGTGATGCAGAAGGCGGCCTCCCAAAACACAGAAAGTATCTTGACGATGAGGACGAGGAGTATGCTCAAAACAGCACCAAGGGTGATCACGAGGAGCACGAAGGCCTGCCCAAAACCAAGAAGATCAAGACCAAGATGCACGACGGCCCGTCTAATGGATACCGGCCCAAGTCGTCTGGGTTATTGAAACATGGTAAATCGTCCAAACCTAGGCCAAACAGTTTTCCAAAACCTGCCAAGCACTCGACACAGCCTGGCCTCATGAAGGCGCCGTCCGCACCAGCCTCTGCCGGGCAGGTCAGGAAGTTGTCTGGTTCAAGCCTCAACTTCCAACACCAACTCGCTGCGGATGAGGAAGATCTGTCTTCCAAACCTCGATGCCAGCGATGTCGAAAGAGCAAGAAAGGTTGTGATCGCCAGCGACCTTGCGGGCGCTGCAAGGATGCCGGTATTGGAATTGAAGGGTGCATCAGCGAAGACGAAGGCAACGGCCGCAAAGGGCGATATGGCAGGCACATGGGGGTTCCGGTCAAGAAAAGTGCCGAGGACCTTCTCCCTGAACAGTCTGACTCGGTCATGACTACGGCAGACATTTCAGCTGACTCAACGCTGATTCATGGTAGCCCCGACAAGAACAAGAAGAGAAAGAGGTGAGCAGCAGCCACAAAGGCACGCTCAGATTGTGTCGAAGCAAGAGTAGAAGAAGGAAGCTTGATCAAAGCCGAACAAGGATAAACGAAACCAGAGGCACCAGGGAATAGACTGGGGATTAAGGGCTGAAAAAAAATTTGGATCCAAATCGGCCGCGAGGCCGTTGTGTGACGAGATTGATGGACTGACAATGACGCGGCAAGTTGTTTTTGGCCTTTTTGTATTCGTGGGATTCGAATGGCCCCTTGACTCGAGAAAGTGTGAAGCGACGGGTCGTGTTGCACAAATTGCATGGATTTTCCTTTTGTGTTGGTGTCTTGTCTGGTGGACGAAATGGGGGGTATCTTTGTGATCTATTCTTTTGAGGCAAGGAGACTATCGATTAACCGCCGGGCCCGGAAGGACTTATGAATGTACGAAATGATAAGGGTCCTATATTTTGAATGCTATCAGGAAATCTGGCCACCTTCAGCTCTAGAATGACAAGTTCTGTCGACGTCCTGGGCACATACATACCTACTAGGTAGGTACCTAGATACCTAGCACGCCCACGTAGGCATGTGCACAGCCTTGTCGTGATAGGGTCCTTTGAAGCCCCACCACGTGACGAGGCTGTCAACCATTACGAGGTACACGACTCATGCGGGGAAATTTTGAGAAAAGAGTCGGTCCCCCAAAGCAAACCTGTTTAGTGAAAAGAGCGAAATCTCTTTAAGAAAAGGTCACCAAGTCTGCACCTCGGCATTCCTCGTGAAACTGACTTGTGCTTAGTAGGCGGCGCTCATCTTTTGTAAAGAACTACGTGGCGGTTTCCTCTCCAGCTCAATCCACCACCTGCTGAAGGCAACTCTACATTCACCTTTATTCCCGCCTCCAACTATCCAATGTCTACCACTTTATGACCTTCCGATCTGCGATTCAGTAGGGAAACGCCCATCAAGGTGGTGACCGCGAGTCATCTACCATGTCGGACGATTCACCTTCGACCGCTCCCACCGCAAGCGCCAGATCCACTACCCGTGGCGGCGCCGCGAAACCGAGACCTCGAGCAGGAATCCAACGGAAGACCAAGGCCGAAAGAGAACAGTTCGCGAAAGCAGAAGCCGAACGACAAAAGGCTCGAGCAGCCGAAGTGAATCGGGGTGCGAGAGGAGGAAGGGCGACGACTCGTGGAGGCAGAGGGAGTTCCGCAGCTGGCCATAGAGAGGAACCAGTAGCAGGCGGGGGCGTTTTCGGCGCAGGGTCCAGTGCAAGACTTCCAACAAAATCGAGGACAAGCTATGAAGGGTACGGTGAGCTGGTGGAGGGTAGCCTGCGACGTGTCGAAGACGCTCATCAGGCTGCTTCAGCGTCTGGTAGGGCTACAACCGCAGGCCATAACGGATCAGGCCAAGCGGTCACTCTCGCTGCTGGAAAGGCCGGCATTCCGAGAACGGCTGCAGCCCTCGATACGACTACGGACGAGGAGCCCGACGATGAGAATAAACGAGACATCGAGCGCATCATGATCTCGAGCGACGATGACGATGATGAAGATATTGTCACAACGAGTTCGAGAAAAGGGAAACAAAAGGCTACAAGCAGCACAAAGCGAATGCCCACCAGGGGTTTGGCTCTGAGACCAGTGCGTGCACCTCGAACATTGAAAGAGGAGGAAGGCCAGGAAGGAGACGCCGGGCGCCTGCGCAGCAAGAGAGCCCGCACAGCTGCGGGCCACAGTAAAGATGCTGAGCCACAAGAGATTGACAGCAAAAGTGAACCAGAAGAAGATACCGAGGATGCAGGGGACAGTGAATCCCTCCAATTCATCAAAGAACAGCCCTCCAGCCCCGAGATGCGCAAACGGACACTGAAGAAGCAGCTTGGTGCAAGTGCTGGCAAAACCACTGGGAGGGATGTTAACAAGGGACCTGTGACGGAGACGGTCGAAGAGCGCGCCGAACGCATGAGAGCCATGGAGGACACTCAGAAGCTGCGACGTCTATTCGTGCCTGCGCCAGCGACAGATGTGAAAATGAAGGTGGACGAGGACGAGGATAAATCGGAGGAGGAGGAAGATACCACGTCCGAACTGAAGGATGGCAAATTATTCCTCTTCCAGCTTCCACCACTCACGCCCTTCCTGGTCGATTCAACGACCGCAATGCATACAAACGGGGCAGCAGTCAAGACCGAACCCGGCACTACTGGCAATAGCACCACAACCATCGACCTCGAAGCGTCTGACGAACGCACAGCCGGCGCCGCGAATACCACCGATCCCGAAATCAAAGCCGACCCCGACGCGCCTGCGAAAGCGACGGCGAAGCCGGGCCTACAAATGGACGGCCTCCTCACGGCCTCAGAACCAAAACGTCTGCCCGCCGGGGTCGTGGGAAAACTCCGCGTCCACAAATCCGGCAAGGTCACCCTGGACTGGGGCGGGACGGACATGGAGGTCCGTTATGGGAGTGAGGTGAATTTCTTGCAGGATGTTGTTCTCGTGGAGCCTGGGCGGCGGAAGCAAGAAGACCCTGCTCAGGAAGAGGACGAGAATGGCGGCGCTAGTGGCGGTGGTGGTGACGACGATGATGATGACAGGGCAGAGAAAGAGAAACAGGAAAAGGACATCAAGGGCACGGCGTACGCGATGGGCCCCGTGAGGAGGAAAATGGTCCTGATCCCAGACTGGGTCAAGTTATACGACTGATCTCCCCGACCTCCTGCACCTTTCTCCGTTGGACTCACTTTAAAAGGGCGGTTCTTCAAAAGGACATCGATTGATTCATTGAACCCTGTTACATCTATCCCATCTCTCTGTCGGAAATGGGTACTCTTTTACACAAGGGAAAACAAAAAATAGAAAACAAAAGACACGGCTAATAGAGTCAAAATAGAATGAGTGGTGGTGATGATGATGGTGGTTGTTGGCCTTGGTCCAAAATAATAATAATATAAAAAAGCAATGGAGAGTGAAGGACTTTTTACCTACGAGTAGTTAATATCTACGGAACCTGCTCAAAAAGCGGGCATATGGGGGCCTTGTTCATTGATAGTAACCCCCCCGGAAGCGCCAGCATTATCATCGGTATCATGACATGGCAAGGCATGGCAATGGCAATGGCACAGGGTTTAACAAGTTTCTCTGAGATAGTACAGAGTCTTGATGTGTACCTGTACTAGTAATAATATATCGTTGATCAGTCCCAATTCCCAACTCCTTTCACATTTATGACTTCCGAGTCTAATGTACCCGCTCTGGGTCCCGAGAGAACAGGTATTATATTTTACCGACAATTCAATCTATTACCTCCGTATCGTGCCTGGCACCATGGACTTCGCTGTTCCCAGTCGAGCCTGTATATATTGACCTATAAAAATGTCCAACAACTTTATAATACTCCTATAAGAGGTACCACGCGCGGAATCCTCGCCTGACTCCCCACGCTGGACCCATTTGGGTTTCCATTACGCCTCCAAAGCAGACCCATTCGCGTATATGCAATTGCTCGTCTTCATGTTGTAATGTTCATTCCCCAAAAAGCAAAAAGCCACGCCTGGCCTTTCAGTGGTATATGTACGCGAGTTTCTCTCATTTGCCTTCCAAGTGCGTTGTCGAGTTCTCGGAGTTTTTATTGCATTATTGACCACGCCGTCTCCCCTGTTTCGGTCTTTATAGGTAGGCCACGCACATCGTAGCGATGCCCACAGCAAGAACAGCCAGCGTCCCTGCCTGAAAAACACGGCCCGCATCATTGGCAATGGGAAGTGGCCTAAGAGGTACAGAGTCCAAGTGAGCCGCAACGGGTAATTCGACACCCCCGTCAAGCAGAGGAACAACTTCTTCTTGGTCCGAGGTCGGTTTGTCGACTTCCTCCGTGGACAATAGCTCCATCCACCCTTTGCCCATTTGCCTTAGTTTCTCCGTCCACGATGCGGTCTCTTGCACAGGACCGCTTCCCGCATTCGAAGTTTCGCTGCCTTCTTTCAGGGGGTTGTCCTCTGCCAAAGGAGCCTGAGTTGGGAGACTTCTCTTACTCCTCACCTGTCCCACCGTGCCTGAAATGGTCCCTAATCCAATTGTACCGGCACCTGCGCTAGACCATTGATCCGGGACCGGGACGAACGTCTGAGTGTAGACCACCGGCACTTGCGTGACCTCGCCCGCCGCAATGACTGAATTGATGTAATATGTTGTGATCGGACTGACTTGACTGATCGCGGTTGAAGCCGCAGCAGGCGCACCTTGGCCTGTAACTTGCCGGACTTTCAGGTCGGGGACTGCGTTGGCATCGAGACCGAGAGGGAGGATATGGTATTCATTTTTGTTTTCGAGAGACGGTGTAGGTGTGGGTACCGAGGATGCGGGATACGGTGTGTTCGAAATAGGTTCGAGCGTTGCAATAGGAATCCAGCGAAGTGTGTCGAGATCTGAGGGTAAGGGTTGTATGGCGTTATTGTCTATCGGCGGGTGGATATCCAGGGGAACGAACGCGTGGGTGGTGCTGTAGATAAGGGAGGAGAGGAGGAATGTGGTGACGGTTTTGGTAGACATTTTGCTGAACGCGGCTGCGATGGTCTCTGTACAAAGATGGGCGAACGCCGTGGTGGCTAGTCACGTCTGCGATGCGTGTATCGAATCACAGCATGCCCGTCTAACAGACAATCGCTGGACTTGACAGATCGTGATAGGTATCCTCGATAGTAGGCGCAAAGAAGAACAAGATAAAAGGTCAAGGATATGTTAATCCAAGTCAAAGGTCAATGTCAGAGCGGAAAGACAACGTCGCAGTGCGGGATAGGAGCTGGCTGACATCAAGTCAAAGCCTCAATGGTGGTCGGGGGACAGAGTCTGGGAGCCGCACTGCAAGACGGACTCTCGGGGCTGGGGGCTAACAGCTGTTCAGGGTCATGCGCCCAAACGACAGGCGACAGCTGGTGGTGAGGGACCCTGTGAGCAGTATGAGGCAGTAAAGATGTCAAGGAAAAGAAAGAGGCTTGCAGGACTCAAGCGAGGGCTGTACAGAAACAAAGAGCGGTGCTGACGCGTGGCAGGAGGCCGGGCAATCAAGAAAAGTAACAGAGTCGGCGGACGGAAGTAGTAAGTCGGACTCAGCTCCAGTTTCCCCGATTGGCTCGAAGGCTCCCATGGATACTGCCAATCAGCCAATCATGGACTACTAGGCAGAAGTAGGCTAATCTATATCTAGACTAGTAGAGATAAATATAACCATACAGTGCACTCATAATTACAAGGTATCGAGTACCTATGTACTACCTAGGATACATAGCTAGGTACATCACCATTATCCAGCAGGACAATGCTTCAACTCGGATCCAACTGTGCAGAGATCTGACATTATTTCTCTAGACATTCTGTACACATTTTCAGACGGCAAAAGCTCTTAATCTCAGTGAGCAACATACGTATGTTCAGCTGCAAGTTGGTGGTACAAATCCAACAGTCCATCCCATCGAGCCCATGATCACCACCAACATTGCCAATGCAACGGCCACGCTGCTAGCACCATAGATCCAGCCATGCCTTCGGCGAAGCCCCTGGATTTCCGCAACCCACGTACTGACCGTGGTAAGGCAGCCGCAAAATCCGTCCATAATCCCTTGCAGCACCGCACAAGCGTTGGACCCGGATGCGGCGATGGTGCTCGAGTGTTGCAAATCCCAGGCCATGCCTAGCACCGCCGTGCCAAAAATATTGACGGCGAATGTGCCCAGCGGGAAGGACGGTATAATGGCGTTCATGTGCTTGGACATGTAGAAGCGAAGAAGGCAGCCCAGCGGTGCAAACACAAGGGGCAAAACCGCGCGGAACCTCCAGTGTATATCGTTCCCAGGGGGCCAAATAGCCAGAAAGACTGCTCCAAGCCAGGAACCAAACCCGAGAATGACACCCAACGGATCCAGCACTTTGCGACAGAATCTGAACGGTAGCGTTGGCGTGACTGGTTGAAGCAAAAGAGCCAGCTGTGCGCCAACCATCAGCGCCGCCAGAGAGACGGCCGGATGGACAATCACAATGGCAAGCAGAGCCAAGAATGAAAAACCACCATTCCTATGCGCGACAACCCGATCCACCTGGTATGGCAAGGTCCGCGAAGGCGACTGGAGGTCATTCGTCAAGGCCAAAAAGCAGTCGCGGATGAAGGAAGAAAAGGACGTGAATGAACCACAGAACCCCGTAGCGAGCCCGATGTAGAGTGGAATGGTCTTTTTGACCTTGATATGGTCCGATGCTGGCGCTCCGGGGTCTCTTGATCCCCATTCTTCCCGGAAAAGTTGACGATCTTCCGTGAGGAAGCCGAGGAAAAATGAACCACCTAGGTTGGCCCATAATACCCGGCTCGAAAAAGGTGAATTCGGATACAGTGTGAGGGCATCGACCCCCAGTCGTGCCAATGTCCCAAGGAGTGAAAAAAAGACCAACCAAGAAATAATGTAGACCTCTGTGGCGGCATATGAAGTCGTGGGCTCCGGGGCCTTTGTCCCTTCCTCCCCTTCCTCCTCTTGTTGCGCCTCCTCCAGGCTGGTGCGATGACCTCCAGTCTCTTCATCGCTTGGCTTTTCTCTTGACGGAACGGGTTCAGGTGCCGCCAGTTCTCCGAGGGCTTCTCGGCGATCTTTTGTATAGTGTCGACTTAGCCGACGCTCAATGTCTTCTAGTGAAGGACGCCTGGGGTCTTCCGGTTGAGCTGGGGCCGGAACAGCCATCTCAGTCAACTCCTCCTCGTCACCTCCGCTTCTCCGCCGCCCTCGAGCCCCTGCTCCATGGTGGTCGTGCATTTTTATCGCGCTCGGCAGTAGTTGGAGCTGTCTCGCGCCGTTCGAAGGGCTCTCTTGCGGAGAGGTACTGTAAAGTTGATCGGTCTCGCTCAAGGGAGAAATGAGGTCTGACGCGGCCGCAGGCACTTCGGGTTCACCTGCATCAATAACAGAATCATGACAGATGCGGGGAGGAGAAGGGTGAGACAATCATCGCGTCCGTGCTTCTCGCAAGCATATCAAGTGATGAGAAAGTGAGATAGATTTGGGTGCGGCGGAGTCAATACGGATTCCAGAGCAAATTGCCGTTCGAACCGGAAAGCCTGCGATTGACTCCATGACGCACTCTACAGCGTCCCAATATGTGCACCAGACACCCACAGACTGCGCACTCAGCAGTCACGGTCTGCTCCCAATCAATTACCTTGACTTGGTGGTGTATTGAGATTCGTTCTCACCAAGTCGAGCTCTCTCCAACGGGTGCGCGCACGACGAGATACCTCACACTCCAAAGCAATGCGGGCGGCACTGGAGATCGGAATCCGCCGTGGCACACTACCAGTACCTCGTACTCTTCGTACTCTCCGTACTCTCCCTTGTCTCCGTACAGAGCACATGCCCTTGGTGCCCCTCCCTCCCTTTGTGCAACCCCCACTATTGACGGCAGAGGCTGATACAGCGCTCCTGGGGTCCGGAACGCGGCCATTGTTGCATCCTGCTCCAAATTCTAGATACAAGTCGACGTCGCCTTAGATCGTTCTATTCCTTTTACATCTTCATATCGTATCCCCGTCCTTTCCATAGATATGGCGTCGACGTCTCTGCCTCCCAATGTCCATCTTTCAAAACACCCATGCCTTCGCGCAAAGCTCAGCCAGCTGAGATCCAAGGACACCAACGCCCGCGAGACAAAGACCCTTATCCACGAGATTGCTTTGTTGTTGGGGGCCGAGGCGCTGGCGCAACTCGAGATCGAGTCTTTTGGAACAGTGAGTCCGTCTTCTATGTCCTTTGGAGCATTCGTGCTGATCGAGATCCAGACTGACCCATGTTTTGATGTAGGATGAGACCCCTATCGGATATAAGTATCCAATTGAGACTATCGACTGCCACAAACTCACCGTTGTCCCCATCCTGAGAAGCGGACTCGGTATGGTTGAAGGTGTGCTGCCTGCTCTCCAGGAAATGTCTTCATAGGAACTGATGCACAGCGCAGCAATCCAAACTCTCCTGCCTGATTCCGTTTCGGTCCACCATCTTGGCCTCTTCCGTGAAAAGATGACTCTGCAACCTGTCGAATACTACAACAACCTCCCCCAGTCCCCTGAGTTGGTGGCGAAATTGGCCATCATTGTCGATCCTGTTTGCGCCACAGGTGCGACAGCATGCGCCGCGATCCAGATGCTGAAGGATTGGGGTGTTGAGAAGATCATCTTCTTGTGCGTTTTGGGCGCACTCCCAGGGATAACAAGAGCCGCTGCGGAGTGGCCAGAGGGCACGCAGGTGTGGGCGGGCGGCATGGACGATGCGCTGACTGATCAAGGCATGATCAAACCGGGCCTGGGGGACATCGGTGATCGTCTCTTCCTGACCATGGGAAAATGACGGGCAGTCCCTCAAAAGGCCACCGGGGAACAAAGAACGAACCCGTCACTTGAGGCAAATGAGTGCTTGATGTCCAAACACTCGTTCAACTGTGCCTTCTTGATTCAGAAGTCTTCCAAGCCATCTTTTTGCGCCATCAACCTCCTTCGCTCCAAATTTTACCAAGATGAAGCCTCTTGTCTTCGCTGCGGTCCACAGAATACCATCTTGTATTTCGCGTTGTTTAACCTGCTCTGTCTGGTCGATTCCATCGGCCTGAAACATACCTTCGTTCGTCGTCCAATTTTTAGCTCCAAGGCGAGGTTGGCTCGTGAACTCGTGCATGAAAAATTCCCCGAGCTTGTTGAAGACAGGACCGTAGATAATCAAGGTCCCAAAGATGCCCATGTTGTTGGATTTGTCCAATAAACCTGTGCTTCCAAGTCCGTCCTCGTGGAGCATCACGGCGTCACGAAGCAGCAGTCTTCCTTTTGATCGCTCGTCGAATTCCCGGACCTCATTCCTGCCTTTCCAATTCCACAGAGTCCAGCTCTCGCCCCGTGCACGGCGGCCTTCACTCACCCAGTCAAGCATTAACAAACTGCTGGTGGCGTCTGGCTGCACATAGAAGGTCTGCCTCTGCTCGTAGACACTCTCTGCGAACGGCTGAGTAGGATCTGGCAGATAGCACAAGGAAGCGTGAGATCCGATCCTAATATCTAGATTTTGCCTGCTGACGACTGACCTCTGAGGAGACTTGAAGATCTTAGTACTTCCTTGCGTGACGAGGACAAGCCTCGTGGCATCTTGCAGGTCGACTTTGACGCTGATCTGGTCACCTCCCACCAGCCCGCCTCCATAGGTGAGCAGGAAGACGACCGTCACAGGCTTTTCCTCGCTCGAATGGTGGGGGTCAGGAGCAATAAGTTTGAGAGGGTATTGATATGTACATTTCGAGAGAACTTGCCGCTCTGGTGGCAGGAGGGCCAGAAGGATTTCACCGCTTCCTGCTACAGAGGATGAGGCCGCGAACGGCGAGAGTGGGAGAGACATTACTGCTCGGACACCCCAACAGCCAGGACGAGAAGATATGCCTAGCCCTGCGTTTGTGCCATTCTGTGGGACAGCTGCCAGGATTCGACAGAATAAACTGAACCAGGAGCGAAGAGCCTGAATATTCGGGTTGTGGTCAGTGATTGATCGGCTGCCTCTTCCAGGTCAAGCCTCGAAAATTTGTTTATCTCAGCACACAATGGCCGGCTCACAAATCCCTGCCTCTGTACGAGGTCTGGGGTACATGGGCTGAAACCTGCCTAGGTGCGGGAGGTCGCATGGCGGGGTTTGTGCCTGTGGATGCCTGTATCGCGGCACCAGATTAAAACTTTCGTGCGTTGATGGCCCTGGCTGGCCCCTAATAATGCCACCTGAATGGCCTCGGTGGGAAGTAACCAGGTGACCTCGGAGTCGCCCGCATCGCCCAATTTTTCCCTTCGGCTTAGGTGGGTTCGTAGGGAGGGCCCTGCCTGAGCTGCCTCACTGCCTCCGCCGCCGTAAAACTCCACCTCAATCCACCCTGCGCGTCACGCGTTTCCTGCGTGTTACTTTGTTGGGAGGCTTCATACCATTTACTCCGTTTCGCTTGAGTCGCACTCTGCGCATTTGCGCCTACCTGCTCATTCAGCTACCTCGCCTTCAACTGATTCATCTTCTTCCATTCTCGAGACCGCCACTGTGCTTATCTTTCCTCTTCGAGCCCCGAAACGCGTTCTCCCAGTACGAACCCCGTCAGAGGAGGGAAATCATGGAGCCCGTCGACACCGCACAGGATGACCCACCAGAATCCCGCCGCAGGTCAGGAAGAGCGGTGCGCAAACCAGAAATCTACTCGCAGGGACTGCGCGACAGCAGCGTGCTCGCAAATGGTACTGGCAAGAGGAAGAGAGTAGCCGACTCCACCAACGAAGACGATGATGAAAACGACGAGTCAGAAGAGGATGACGAAGAAGAAGAGGAAGATGAGGACGAGGACGAAGAGGACGAAGGAGAGCCAGACGAGGAGGAATTGAAAGCTCAACGACGAGCGCAGAGAGCAAAAGCCGCCGCCGCTAAACCTGCAACCAAGCGCGCAAAGACATCCTCCGGAGCCAGCACAACTCTCGCCATTCGCTCTACGAATATTCAGAGTAAGCCCGCGGCAAGAGCATCAAAATCTAGCAAAGCTCGTGCTCGACCCAGTCAAGCGCATCAACAAGGACTTTACGCCGAAGTGTTTGGGAGAGGACAGTCGCCCGAAGATGCCGCTTCTTGGTGGTTTGAAGGGGTCCAGAAGGACAGCGTCAGGGCATTGCGAGACCTAGTCAACTTTGTCCTCCAATGCATCGGCTGTGACTCGAAAGTCGAGCAACAGGATATTGAAGATCTGGACTCAGTCCCCAGCAAACTTGGCGATATTCTTCAGGAATACGAACAGCAAAAGCCCCCCGACTACCCACTTATCTCGAAGCAGAAACACTACGCAGGATTTCAAGACGTCCTGGAGGAATTCTTCAGGGCCATTATTAGGGTCCTGCATACGTCCTCTGCCTTCTACGACCAGCCCGAAATATACGACAACATCCACGTTTGGGTTGCGACAATGTCGGGCGCAAACTACAAATCCTTCAGACACACTGCAACGATAATTTCATTAGCCATGAGCACCGCTCTTTGCGAAGTGGCAAAGGAGTTGCAGGACACCATGGCAACGCTGAAGACTCAGCTTGATGCCGAAAAAAAGAAGAAAAAGCCCAACCGGGGCCGGATCAAGAGCATTGAAGAGAGTCAGAGAGCGTCCGAAAGTAAGCTTGATGCTATCGACACTCAGTTGCGAGACGCCTTTGATACCGTCTACATCCATAGGTACCGAGATGTGGAAGAGAGAATCCGCGCTCCCTGTGTTGCAGCGCTGGGCAACTGGATTGTGCTCTATCGCAAAATGTTCCTCGAGGGCCAATACTTGCGATATCTAGGCTGGGTCCTGAACGACACAAGTGCCCATACCAGACTGGAGGATATCAAGCAACTGAAGAAATTGTTCAACAATAAGAGCAACATTGCCGCTCTAAGAGCCTTCACCGATCGTTTTCGGACGAGGTTGGTGGAAATGGGCGCGAGGGATGCCGACATCAGTGTAAGGGTGGAGGCCATTGAGCTGCTGGACCGACTCCGGGATGCAGAGCTATTGGAACCGGACGATATCGATACCATTGGACGATTGATCTTCGACAGTGAACCTCGGATCAGAAAAGCGGTGGCCAAGTTCTTTGTCTCCAACATCGAAGACCTCTATCGCGCCACGATTGAGGACTTCGAAGAGACTCAGTACGATGCCGCCCTTCCAGACGCGGAAGGTGTGGACGACTTTATGGTCCCCACTAGATCTTGGATCAAGTTCAAGTGCTTGGGGTCGGTCCTTGCTGGCTATGACAACGACGAGGAATCCTTGGATGGGACGACGGTGCAACCTTTACACATGAATTCGATTTCAGACTCGCGCTATACTCTTGCTACCCAGTCGATCTTCCCTCACATGGCAGAATTGCACCAGTGGGAAAACTTGGCAGGCTACCTCCTCTACGATCACACATCCATCCCATCGCAGGGCGATGATGATGACGTCGAGTTCCAGGTACAGCAGGCATACAAGCTGAGTGCGGGCGAAGATACCATCCTGTTGGACGTTCTGCATTCGGCGGTCAAAGCGTACCTGCAGTCGATTCTTGATCCGCCGACTGGACGCAGAACCAATGTCTCAAAAGATCAGATCCGAGAGAAACAAGAGTCGGCAGCGCAGAATCTCACGGCGCTTTTGCCTCGATTGTTGAACAAATTCGGCAGTACGCCACAAGCCGCGTCGTCCATCCTCCGCATCGAACAGCTGCTGGATATCGGCTTGATCAACGAGCTACAGAGCGCCGAAGCCAGCTATTCCGCAATCCTCGACGATATCACCAAACAATTCACGTCGCACTCGGACAAGCAAGTTCTTGCAGCGGCCAGCGCGGCTCTCCGCAATGCGCAAAGCTACGAATTGACTAAAGAGGTCGCCAATGCTAAGGTTCAAGAGATCTGGACTGATTCCGTCACAACGCTGGCAGATCTTCTTCAGGGCGAGGCTGTCGGGACACGGGGTACGCTCGACAAACCCTCCCTCGCTGAGGTTGTGAACACCATCATCCGTTTGGCTGAGCTGGCAGGTGTACATGACTGCAGCCATGTAATCGAAGGCAAATTAAGCACTGGATCATCAAGGAAACGAAAAGGCAACACGGGCAGCCCACAAACTCTGCTCAGCCTATTATTGCGACTATTGCATCGGGGCATACCCGACGAGGACACCACGGCTGCTTTTGCGGAGCTCGAAGATCAATTATGCAGTGCCGTCCTCGAGCTATTTTCGCGCTATTTCCGCTGGAAGGTGTTCGGGTTGAAGAAAGCAATCAACAACAGCGACGAAGCGCAGCTGTCCACCGGGTCATTGACAGGGCTCGCCAGGACGCGGACAGAGTTTGTGGACAGCATTGCTCCCGTAATTCAGATGCGTAGGCCTCTTGATCCAGTGCGGTACCAAGCGATCCTAAATGTGGTGGAACTCTTCGCCCTCTTCGCCACAATAAGAAACATGAGGCCCGAGAAAGGTGATTTGGATGATGACGCAGACCGAAATCTGCGGAGTTTGATCACGTACATCCCCGACGATATTGTCAAGGAAGTCATGATCACGCACGAAAAGATGGAGCAGTCGTTTGCGAAGAAGACGCATCGAAAGATAGAGTCTGTCAGCGGAAAACGAAAATCAAAAGATTCAGGAGGCAGGAATGAGGACGATGAGGACGATATTGAGAAGCCGCCTGAAGATTCGGATGAGGAACGGGACGATTCAAATGACGAGGAGGACGAGGACGAGGCGGGTGAAGACGACGAGGGAAAGAAAGGCAGGAGCGCAAAGAAACAAGCCGCCCTCCTGGCAGAACAGAAGCTCTGCGAATTGACGAGCAAGATCATCTTTACCCTTGTGGGCGGTACGATTAGGGCTGAAAAGGCTGTTAAGGAGAGGTTGATGCTGAATCGTACAAAGTTGGGCAAGAACTACTCTGTGCTGGTGGGATATTTGGAGGAAAAGAAAAAGCCGGCCGCGAAGAGGAAAGGAGGAAAGGTCGTTTCAGAACAGGAGAAGGATGGCAAGAAAGGGAGCAGCAAGGACAAAGATCAACGCGGTAAGACGGCGATTTCGGAAGAAATGGTGCTGGACGATGATGATGTTGAGGATCCTGACGAGGACGAGGCGCAACGACAGCGCGAGTTACAGGAAGACGAGATTGAGCAAGAAGGAAGTGAAGCGGACGGGGACGGTCCTGGAAAGGAGCAACGAGGTCAACCAGAGGGTGAGAGCGAGGAGGACGACGACGAGATCATGGGCGATTGACGGGATGCAAAACGAGTCTTCTCTACGTGTTCTTCATACGAAAACTGGGGAATGAGTCGGATCCGCTATTACTGTGTGAAAGAGCCACGGAAAGCCAGCGTAAATGGATGTTGTCTTGCCAGGACGAGCTGCAAGCTTATTCAAACAATCTTCAGTCAATCTTTGTACTTTCGCTTTTCTACTCCTGTTTATATGAATTTGGTTTGTGTGTGGGCTTCTGCTGCGCTCGAGACCAAATCTGCAGTCTTGTCCCATCCACCTGCTTGGCTAGCGAGATGCCAGAGAGTGTGGCATTCAGCCATTGACACTGCCATGTTTATCCTCTCATCCCTTGGGTCCATTGGGCGACACACCCCTTCTTCCACATTCCATGCTCCTTGGTGTCTCGATAACCTCCAGATCGTCTGCACAGGTTCAAAAGGCCCCAGCACCATTTGTAATATGCATTTTCCTCCCGGGTAATACTAGTACAGCATGTTGAAGTTTCCCTATGCCAAAAAGTCGTTTCCGTCAATGCCTGCTTTTCGTGGTGATGCTGAGGTTGTTCCCTAATTTCTTGTACTTCTGATAGTCTTTTCTCTCGATTGTCCACCCATCCAACGCTTCAAATGCCGTACCCTCGTTGAAGTCTAAGCGCTTCAGCTCTGCCTCCTTGAGTACCAAGGTAAGGCCCAGCTTCTCTCGGCGAGGCGAGCGTGACTCTATTCGGCCTTTCCACGGCTCTTGGGCCTTGCGCCGCTCTTGACCCTTCTTGCCTCAGGTCGTTGGATGTGGTGGCTTGGGATCCATTCCTCGTTGTATGCTTTGCCGGTTGCGACAGCTGGACCATCAGAATCCGATGTAACACCGCTGTCGACCTTCTTAACCATGTCGCTCCTCTTGCCGCCCTTAACGGCCTTGCGCTTCTTGGGGAAGTATGGGACGATCCAGATGGTGTAGAAGAAGTAACCGACACCAACGGCGCACGCGAGCAGGAAGAAGTACAGGAAGAGACTGATACAACAGATATTAGTCAAGATGAAATGTAACCACTCTCTGAAAAAGAGGGGATGCTCACAGTTGAGGGTCAAAGATACTCGCGTCTGGCTCGACCACAGTCACAGTGCCGTTGAACGCCTGCAGGGTGTAGAAGGCGTTCTGCGAACTAATCACCGCAGCCAAGTTGAGTCTTAAGTCCTGAGGGTGAAGGTTCGTCTGGAAACGGTAGGGCAGCGTCTGCTTTTCACCCGGGGGGATCTCAACGGCATATTGAGCCGTAGTGAGGTTTCGAACAATGCGAGCATTCGTGCCGTCGAACGTCCACAGGCTTCCACCAACGAATTGGACCGTGACAGGCTCGGGTTCTTCGTTCAGGAAAGCGAGACGCGATTCGTAGGGTCTGCCATTGGTGATCTTGATGCCGAAAATTTCCGCGTCGGGGAAGGTTGCTTCGACCGAGACGGCAAGAGCGGGAGACTGAGAGGGATTTTCAATCTCTTCTTCCACCTCCTAAGAATCAGTTGGTTAGCCATGTCTAACGGGGTAGTGGCCAGGGCGCAGTTGGGAGTGCTCACCACGTCTGCTTGGGCGAAAGTGCCTGCAGCCTGGAAGCCAAAGAGCAGCAGGGCGAGATCCAAGACGCGAACCATTGTAGCGATGTGCAGAGGGAATACTAAGAAAAGGCAATGTGGTTGCAGATGTGGCCGGTGGCTATGAAAAGAGACACAGTTGTATTTTTGCCATTGGGCTCAGAACTGTCTGTCGGCGCACCTTGAGCTTGAGTGGCTTGCTCCTCTAGTGGCGGCTGGGTGGCGGCTAGAGACGCCAGTCTCGTAGTCATCCAGCCGCCGTGGCGGTCGCGCTAACTCACAAAAGCTTCCCTAAGCGCCCGGTCACGCCAAAAGCATCTCCTGGAGGATGCTGGCCACTCAACGCCCATGCCGCCGTCTTGGGCAGCCTAATGTGCCCACTGCGCCCACTGCGCCCACTGCACATGCTGAAATGCCCACCCAACGCGTCGCCCCCAGGAAAAAAAGAGTCTCCATGCGGCTGTAGTGTATTCTTTGACGTGCGCCTGGCAGCATTTGACCATGCAGGTTCTTTACCTTGCATTCACCGCCAACAACCACAGCAGCACAAAACGCACGGCTTAAACCCTCCCTCTCTTCCTCTCCCCTTCCTCTCCTCCACTCCTCTTGTCCTACCTGTATTTTTCATCATATTGACTTCCAGCCATCTTCGTCTGGACCAACTACAACTCTTACCCAAATGCCCGACATGGCGCGTTACGATCCCTTCTCACCTACTTTCGACCATCCTCTACTAAATTCCAGCCCGGACTACAGTTCGCGGAATGGCTCGTTGGGATCCAGTCGTCCTATAGGCGACATGAGCGCCGTCACAAACCAAATATCTTTTCGTGAAAGAAATAAACGGCTACGAGGCCTTGAAGAGGAGAGAAACCGAATGATCGAGGTATATACCAACCTGCGTACCAGATTAGCAAGTCGTATCCACAGAGAGCTAATAGCACATATTAGGAACTATTGTACCAGCTTGAAAGTACTCAGATCCAACTGGACCGACTGCAGCTTGAGAACAGCAGAGAAGCCCAATATAACAGAGAGGGTCATCTGCGAGAAGCCACTCTTCATGAACAACTGATTCAGGTCAAGGCAATTATGGTGCGGGTTGGAATTCCAGTGTCCTTGACAGCAGCTAACTCTTCTCCCAGGACCGAAATCCTTTCATTACGGTCCTCCTCGATGGCGATAATATGATTTTCACAAAGGAGTTATTGTCAAAAGGCGAAAAAGGTGGTCAAGAGGCGGCAAATATGATTTTCGATGCCGCCACGGCCTTTGCTGCAGAGCATCTCCACCATCTCGACGCCCCCAAGATCCTCACGCGAATTTATGCCAATGTTAAATCGTTGTCTGAAACCTTGACCAAACTGAAAATCATCGAACGCCCGTCGTTGTTCGACGACTTCGTGCGCGGCTTGAACAGCACTCAACTGTCCTTTGACTTTGTCGACGCCGGAACCCGACCAGACAGCACCAAAGAAAAGGTCTTGGACCAATTCAGGACCAGTCTCTATGATTGTCATTGCCATCAAGTCATTCTTGGATGTTCTAGTGACGGCCGTTACGCGAAACTGCTTGAAGATACGATAAAAGATACCACCGTCCTGAGTCATATCACCTTACTGGAAGGCGTACCATTTGAGAAGGAGATTGCGACTTTGAAGGACAATTTCAAGACCGCAAAATTTGACAATGTGTTCCGTGTCACAAAACTGGCCACTGCATCGGCGATGCCCAAAGGGCCACTACAAGCCGTTACGGCAACCCTGCCCGCCCTTTCGCGTGTCGAGTCAAATGGCACAAACGGGTCGGCGTCAAGTTCAAGCACACCGGCTCTGACTTGGGCCTCGTTGACCGCACAGCCCTCGGCTCCGGCCTCAAAAGCGCCCAGCACCACGCGGACGTCGACGCCAACCTCAATGAAAAGTCCGGAGGCTGTGGTTGCAAAGCCAGTGATCAAGACGATTGAGAGAAACCGGCATGGTCAACGCATCGATAAAGTCGACTCCTCCATCCCCAACCACGAAATCCAGCGGATCAAGAAACTCAAGCTCTGCAACATTTTCTACCTCCAGGGCACATCGTATTGCACAACTAACAATTGTTCTCACTCGCACACTTATCCTCTTTCAAAAGGCGAGCGCAACGTGCTGCGAGAAGTGGCCCGCATGACTCCTTGTTATTACAAACTGGATTGCACGGATCCCGAGTGCATCTACGGGCACCGGTGTCCCCAGAATAAGCCAGATGAGTCAGGCTGCTGGTATGGCGAGGACTGTCGGTTCTTTGGCTGGGGGCACGGGATTGATACCAGAGTGGTTAAGACGACCAAAGTTTGAACTGGCTAGGCGAAATGAAACTCAGTGATGGCGCTGGGGATGGTATTGTACCCCCGACTCTCTCTGGCCTCTTTCTTCTCTCTCTCTCTCTCTCCGGCTGCCATCGAGAGGCTGTCCGCACTATGTTTCAATATAATCTTTTTTATCCTTTCCGTGGTCTTGATGATGCAGGTCTCTCACAAGGCGGGTCAGCAGTATAAAAAGGCGCGTGATTTATGGGGGCGCCGTGGTTTGAGGAAGCACCTGGGGGTTTTTGACCGCATGAGATACCCTCCCCCCATTCCCACTTTCTTTCCCTGAATCAATTCAATTCATTCATTCATTCAATTCATTCATTCATTCAATTCATTCATTCAT